CTGTATCGTGGTAGAGGTCAATTAATTTAATAATAATTGTTGAGTTGTGGTGTTGAGTTTTGAGACCTATTAATTACCGGGGGCCCAAATGTAGGGGGGGCCCATATGTGGGTGCTCCGACTTAACATCTCCGAAGCTGCGCAGACAACAGTGTTAGAAAAGTCAGGCAGCAATCAAAGCTGCTGTTACAACAATTATCGATAGAGAGTAAGAGAACTTCGAATTCAGTTTCTTAATTACATCTCTTCAGCATTAAGTTATTTCGAGGAATCGACCCTTTGGTAGCGGACGGACGTCATTTCGCCAAGCTGATGCAACATTAAGTCTGTTTCCAGGGTTTGGATCTCGTAATTGTGGGGGCGATTGCCAGGACCCAGACCGTGACAGGGGTTCTGCCCGGATCTCGAAACGGGTCAACGTTTCCTGATAGGTCAATTCGCCGAGATCATTGCCTTCCACGCTTATAGAAACATACAGTGAAGTTTCATCAAAGTTTAACAATACCAAAGAGCGTGAGGCGAAGTTCAGCTAAAGGTAGACATATTCCAACCAGAAGTTTACGTGGCAACAGTCCGAACATATTTCATGGGCCATGCTTCTTACGGAAAACGCTTCCTATTATGAAGGATCAACAAACTAAACATGAACTATGTTAATACAAATAAGAGTCTACAGTGACTGCTGGCTGACCACAAAGCAAAAAAAGCAAAAACAAAATATGGTATCTAAATCTTGGCATCCGGGTGTGTTGATTTCCACTCAGCCAGAAGTCCCTTGAAATCGCCGGGTGTATAAGGCGTCGTCAGCTCAGCCCACGCTCCACCCTTACGGTGGCTGTTGATCCCCATATCCTTCAACAACAGATCAACGTAGGGGAGCGAGTCAAAGACGAAATCGGGCAGACTAGCACCATATCCACAGGGGTATCTCCATTTGCCCCATTGTGTGTGCAACATGACTTCTTGTGTGATCTCTTCATTGGTCTTGGCTACACGATCCAGCTGGCCGTCAAGGAACATGGAGATCCACATGCCTTGGATCGAGGCACAGACCGCGGTACCGACAGTAGAGATCATTCCAGCAAAGGCAAGGTTCCGCTTCTCGACCATAGTAGGAGGAACTGCGAATCGGTAGAACCGCAAGGGTTCGCCAGCCTTGCTCTCGAATTTAAGCTTAGGCTGATCCTTAAGGATAGGGAACATCGACAAGACTTTTTCGTCTGCCTCTGTGTTGAGTTGAGCGAGGTCCTTCTCTGACACGGGCAGGCTGAGCCCATGGGCGTCAAGACCAGAAATCTTAAGCGAGGATTCCTTCTTCCAGCCCGTCGAGCAGATCATGACATCGGCATCAAGGGTCTTTCCAGACTCCAAGACAACCTTCTTCGGCTCCAGATGATCGACGTTCTCAATGTGGACGCGAATCTTGCCTTCCTTCACCATGTCAAAAAGGGGAGTGTTATAATTAAGGATACTCAGACCACTGCCAATCCAGAATGCTGATTGCCATGGCTTCAGCTTCTTCAGTTCCTCGTGAGAGTCGTAGTCGTTGGCCTTGACAACGTCAGAGCCAAGGACACTCCAGAAAGTCTTCACAAGAGCACGACCTAGAGCGGTTCCGTGGAGGAAGTTCCGCGCACCAGTGTAGCCGTCCTCCGCCCCCCACGGGCAGGGACTAAACCATGTCATCCACCGAACAAAGAGGAGCTGATCTAGGCGCCTCTTGAGAGGTGTGACGAATGGCGGTGCAATCCAGACGGGTCCGTGGCCGTCAGGTCTGATAATGAGGTCGACTGTTGAACCTGACTCAACGCAGGCGTATGCCACATCGAAAGCAGACTTTGCTCCACCCACAACGACCGCGTTCTTGATGCCGTTGATCGTATCGGCCCGGTCACAGAATTCCTTCGCGTGGTAGAGAGGTGCCTCGAAGTTCTCTGCGCCCTTGTACTGCGGCATGTTCGGGGTAGAAGTAAGACCGGTGGCAAGGATCAGCTTGGCCGTTTCAATCTCCTTGTGTCCTTCTGGCGACGTAATCCCAAGCTTCCATCCTCCAGACGGGGTCGATGCAATCAAGTCAACCTGTGAATTGAACTGGATCTTGTCGTGCACACCAAAGTGGCGAGCATAATCAGTCAGGTAGCGGTTGAGCACGGCACCTGGGATGTGGTTGTTGGGCTTCACTCCATAAACCTCCTCGCGCATGGGAAAATCTGGGTACTCGTAGGTGCCAATCATGTTGTTAGACTTCAGTCCGGGGTACAGACGATGCTTAGCCCACGTGCCACCACATGTTCCAGCCGACTCGAATACTGCAATTTTGTCCTGAGGACGCAGCTCGACGCAGGCTTTGGCAGCGGCAAGGCCAAACCATCCTAAGTAATTGGGTTAGTATCACACTCGCTTTGTTGACATGTCACGACTGCATACCTGCGCCGACAACGACCAAGTCATATGATTCGCTCATGGTCTCTAAAGAACGGGGTGTAGTCTGCACAGATCAAAGGAATGGAATATCTTCAACGACTGGAGGAAGTCTGGGGCGGATTGTCGGGTTGGTAGAGGCTGGTACGTTGGTTGAGGCCTACCCAGCACGTGGTTCGAAAGTCGTTGAGGATTCGTGATGAAGCTTTTCAATATAAAATAGAATTCTAGGCGGGTCGACAATTAAGTAAATCCATCCTGTCCGTGCAGTCCACTTGATCGACCCATCCTTATCTGGGGTCCCCAAATTTGCCCAGGCAATTAGTCTGTCGAGTATCCATGGAGGCTGAAAATGCGACGCATAACCGACGTCGCGGACGGCTAGTGCACCTTGTCCCAGATACGCAACCCCACGCATCCCCATCGGTGCGGCAAACACCAGAGGCTAGCGGTGGTGAAGTGGTTGCGGCCATGCCTGGTCTGATTCAAGACCGCCAGGGGCTTCCCGTCCCTTCCCAGATTCGGTCCTTTATCCGTCATGGCTAGGCGCCGCGGTTGGATTTGACTCGGCGCTAACACTCCGTCGGGGTGCGAACAAGTGCGTTTCCGTCCCTTGGAACAGCCTACCTCCAGATGCGTCTAGCCCCTTATTCTCCAGTATACGGTAATTCGCCTGTGTCACGCGTCTCTACAAAAGGTCGTATCGGACTATTGGTCGAACCAGCTGTGTTGCTTCACTGTGCCTATCAAGTGTTGATCTTAGCAGTGGTAGTCGGATAGGCACCTAGTCGGACACTAACCACGTACTTGAGCCACATTGCAACGCGTACGATCTACACTACACTTGCGCTGACCTATACCTTTGGCCCTGAGGACATTGGCTGTTGGATGCACGGGTGCACTAACCAAACCCCAGACAACTATGAGTACACATTCCCAGATCCGCCACACAACTCCAACCCAGGGGCCACCCGCCCCTGCGATAGTCTGTCTCATTGAGTCGACAAGATGGTTTGCCGTGGTTTTTTGTTTTCGCACAACGTGAGCAGTGCTGCGAACTGCCGATTCATAGGTAGCATAGAGACGGCCGTGAAGGTATAATATAATTATAGCCAGGTGCAGTCAGCAGCCATTGGAGACGTTTAACAATGATCTCATCCATCACAGACATGGAAGTGAGTTGATAGAGATTAGCATGTCTACGCCCAAAATGGGACCCGACTTTAGTGCAAGTTCACGCTATACTGATTTGCAACTATATGGGGTAGAGTTTTTGTTTCTTTTACGTATTCATTCGGTCCCCATGGGGAAAGCTCTACGGCGCTTATTTAGTCTCGTAGCTAATCAATCCATCAATAGTTCCAACATGAAGACCTCCAGTAATAGGGATGTCCGCGGCCGTGGTGAATCTGGCCGCGTCGCTGAGGAGATATACCACAGCCCCGGTCAAGTCATTCTGTGTGCTCAAGCGCTGCATGGGAGGTGCCATCCACATCTGCTCGCCCTCCCTCTGGCTCTTCATATCTCGAACCTTCTTGGTCATCTCCGAGTCAACAAATCCTGGAGAAATAGTGTTGACCCTGATGTTGTGCGGTGCCAGTTCCACGGCAAGGGCCTTGGATAGCATAAGTACACCACCCTTGGATGCGTTGTACGCAGCCATTCGGTATCCAGGCAGGCCGATGTGCGCTGATTGAGATGCGATGAGCACAATGCTTCCACCGGTGCCTTGCTTCAGCATTTGCTTGGTAGCAAGCTGTGTGATGAAAAATGTACCTCTGACCTATTATGTGTTAGACCAGGGTGTGCGGACCGGCCAGGGGGATAACTGACATTAATCTCCTGGATTCTAGTGAACTCCTCCCAGGTCTGCTCGATGAACGGCTTGTCAATGGCAATGCCTGCAGCTGGTACTAGACCATCAATTGAGCCCAACGTCTCCAGAGCCTTTGCGAATCCTGCGTTGAGGTCTTGCTCCTTGGTCACGTCCGTTTGGATGTAAAGCGTCTTGACACCAAACTTCTCGCTGAGACGGTTGAATTCTGGATCAACTGGCTGGGCCTGGATATCCATAACTGCCACATTTCCGCCCATCTCACAAATTGCACGAGTGACGGCAAAACCGATCCCCTGCGCTCCACCGGTTACAATGTAGTTGCGCTTGAGCAACTCAAACATTGGCCGCACATCCTCGAGTTGGTAAGACATCTTAACGTTCTATGCGCAAACGCGATTGTGACGAGCGACGACTAACAGTCAACACAGTTCTCTGTAGACAGAAAGTAAGAACACAACCCGGAAGATGCTGCGTTTGAAGTGGTATCATTGACTAGAACGTATGTGAAGAGTAAGAGGCTCTGCATCGCCCTGATTCATCCGCGCATGCCAATAATACATTTCCCGCTACTAGGCCACGCGACGGCTACGGCACCATGTTCCGTCTCACAAAAATCTTTCCCTCTTCCGCCGTTTGTCGATCATGACTCGCACTAAAACCCCACAACCCATGCGCCGTCGAACTCAAAAGAGATTTTCCCATGTACCCTTTGCCGACCGGCCGAGTAATCCCTTCGTAAGAAACCCTTGATTGCTTGAGAATCGCTGCGGTGGAGCTGTGCGAAAAGGAGAGGCACCTGCTCCTCAAGTCAATATGTATCCGCCATCGACCACCATTGCATGACCTTGGACGAAGCTGGCCTTTGCGGAACACAGGAATAGCGCCGCGTCGGCGATCTCTTCTGGCCGTCCGATTCGCCCAAGCGGTGCCATCTGCACGAATGGCTCTGTTCGCTTCCGACTCTCCTCATCCCATACTGTCATTGGTGTGGCGATGACTCCGGGGCAGACACAATTCACTCTAATACCGTCTTGTGAATAGTCGATCGCATCCGACCGTGTCAGAGAGATCACAGCCGCCTTGGAGGCGCTATAGGGTCCTTAGAATGAGGGGTCAGCCATAATCGCGGGGAACGGCACCAGCATCTGACGTACCCGTCTTGGCCTTGTTGACGATGCCCAACTGGCTAGCAATATTGACGATAGCACCGCGGCTAGGTGCCCGCCCGGGGACGTTACCATCCAGAGGATCCTGCTTTACCATCACCCCTAACTCTGCACGCGAGCAGAGCCAAACACCACGGTAGTTGATTGCTGCAGTGCACACCCGTCAGTAAAATGGCGATCAGAAAGAAGAAAAAACCACTGAAGTTACTTCCTCGTAGACGTCTGTCAAGCAAAGCAATAACGCCGCTCGACGTCGCACTCACAGTTTAGACGGTCGAATTCCTCTATACTCGTCTCTGTGCATCTCTGTGCTGTACCAAGGACACCAGCACAGTTTGCGGCATAATCAATTCTGCCGAACTTGGCCACGACCCCATCTATGAAACTTTGCACAAAGTCGGCATCAGATATATCACCAGACACAGCGTATACCTGTGTCCCGACGTAAGTTGCCTCGATAGCGGTTTTAACAGCGTCTAATAGGTCCGACTTGCGGTCTGTGAGAGCAATGCGTTTGCACCCCTCAGCCGCAAATGCCTTCGCTATTGCTGCCCCGATGCCTAGGAATATATGAGTGCCACATTTCGTGTCTATACAAATAGGTTGAACAGACCAGTGCCGGCCGCGCCGGTAACAACTGCTACTCCAGGATAGAGCCCGTGGGCTGACATTATGAGCCAATGTATAACAAGATGGAAAGCTTTGGAAAAGAAAAAGAAAAACCGTACGGCAACTATATAAACTAGATCTTGAAGTTAAAGGCTATTTTCCTTTTTCTTAAAAAAAAAAAAACGATGATAGATCATTTTCCCACGCCAGGATTTCAGAGCAACTGTGTTTTCTGGTGTTTCCTTATCTCCTCCCGTAGGTCGGCAGGTTTCCGAGCCGGAAAGACGTGTGGGGACCGGCTTCACTCAGACTTCCCGCCCTCGGCTGCGCCGACAAGCCAAAGCCAGCCAAACCCCCGCTGTATACCTATACCTATGTATGCAAGACCACTTGAAATATTTGCTCGATATGAGGGGTATATAATAGAGTGGAACAACGTTACTCCGGGGATCGCCCCTTAAATTAGCAGGCTCATGAGCCCATTTCATTTGTAACTTCTCAGGATCAACTCATATTTCATTCTCTGACGCGCGTTTTTAAGTATTACTAAATGTGATCCGTTGGTTACACCGCAGCCAAATACCAATTATATGGCGTGAATTTTGTGCCAATCTTTCCATAGCAACGTCACATAATGTCAATGGTAAAGAAACAGGAGCTTGGCGACGGAGCAAATAATGCAAGTATATTGCCAAACTACATATCCCCCTCTCTCAGATCAATATCAAGGAGTGTGTGTGTGTGAAATCTGTAAACGAAAACTTGAACTTTCCATCGCAACCATCATAGCAAGCGAACGTTTTGACATGGGAAACCAGAAATCCCAAACCCCAACCACTCATGGAAACGTGAGCATTAGGCCACAACCAAACAATCGCCGACTGAGCTCAAGATATCCAATATGGAGCATCATTGCGTTTAGTAGGGTGTCTGCCCAACGACATTACCGGCAGGCGAATATCTTGCAACAGTATAGTACGTGTTGGAGTTGGAAATGGCGTATGCAATGCCAACCTTGGTTGAACCTCTCCACACGCATTGAGTGTAGTGTCCGTAAGATGCGAAGTTACCCTGCGGGATCACCTCGCCGTGGTAGTTGGACTTCTCGTTCATCCAAGCATAGGATGAGACGGACAAGGGGTATTGGACACCGCTGGTCGAACTACATGTTGTGGTCAGTTTAAGTTTCCACCAGAATCTCTGTTTTCAGGACATCCGGTGCACTTACAACTGTGAGGCCAGATTCTCTCCCTCGCCTGTGCCAGACGAATGCTGCATCTGGTCGATGGAGGCAAGGTAGTTGGCCCAGCTCTGAGCATGGGCTGTCAGAGTAGTATCCCAGATCAGAGCCTGCACGGGGGGCGAGCCAACTTGGGCACGGCCGTCATTGTGTAGCTTCAAGGCAGTAGACTGGTCCAAGGTAAGGGACTGGCGCTTCTCGACAGTGATGTTGACAGAGACGGGGTCAATGAGGGTGACGCCGCCAGTTGGCAGAGGAGGCTGAGGTGAAGCCAGAACAGTGGCGGCAAAGAGCGCAGCGATGAATGAATAACGCATTTTGGAGGGAGGTGAAAGATGACAACTATGAAGTTGGTTGATGTGCAGGGGGGGCGGTCAATCTTCTGGAAGGTAGGTATCGTTGTTTGATTTGATTCTGAACTGATTGTAGAGCAGGAGTCTGAGAGTTGCAAGTTGAACTGCTTATATACTTATTAGAAGGTGCCAGGACTTGAGTGACCCAGTGATCCAACCTCCACAAATGATGGGTGGCGCGGATTCTCGGTCACCAGTCCAGTGGTGAATTCAACATGTTACCTGACGAGAACTTCCATTTCTCGCCTCCTATGAACAATTTGACGTCAACGGCTAGCTCCGTGAGAGACATCAGGGTTCTAGAAGATATGAAGGATCGTGATCCAAGACCTCACTTTTACGTCGAAGCCGGTGGCGGCTCTGCCCGGCTTTAGTCCGCTAGCTTTGAGACAGCAGCATGGCATGCACGTCGGACTCGAAGACAACCCATAAGTATGTGTGGTAAGTTTGAAAACCCGCAAAAAGCAATGAAATCTACAAACTGGGGAAACCGAACGGCCCAGATCATCCAGGGAAAAGATACTTTGTGTCCTCTGCCCGTTGGCGTAGTGGTTAGAGTAGCTGAGACTTCACATGCAGGTGCTCGGAAAGGTGGAAAGGGATTGAGATGATCCAACACGACTCATGACCGTACATAGTGTAGGTTGGCAAAATAAGGATCCAACCTGTCAATTGGCGGATAGAAAACCACCCTCAAGCGCGGGCTTAATTTGCTATAGGAGAAGTGGGTGTCAAGCCCACTCATCTAGATCGTGAGCTTTGCACGAGTAATCGACAATGGAGCGTCTCCGGTGAGATGAATGCGTCAGAGGCTCGAATGATCACCAGTGCACAATTTATAGCTCGTATCTAGACTGTCTTGAAGAGGTATTTGTTGCTGATGACGCCGAAGCACTAAGAAGTCCACGTGTATGGCTGAGTTCTCAAGTGGCGCCTTGAAACTTTCGGCAGGCATTCGGGGCATTCACCACCGACGAGACGCATTCAAGCATTAAATCCGCAGCTTTGGTGGCGACAGAAGACCAAGCAGGTCATTGGTGAAGGTCGACTGAGACATCAGGTTAGCGTCTTCACAGGGCTAGAACTTGTCCACCTACCTCCTTTCAAAGTGGCTTAACCCCTGCAGTGGTCTATATACAAAGTTACATTCTATATACATGAGTATGTACTATTTGCAGTGCCTATTTGGCTACGAAACAAGGAGAAAAGATCCTAGGTTAATGTCACGTACTTTTTTACGGCTTCTAGTATGAAGTACGAAATGCTACGACTTCATTTAGAAACCCACGAGTACAGTACTCGCATCCCGAAAGATTAAATTGAGTATCAGTGACTTGATTAGGGACAGCGGAGCAAAATGTATAGTAGGCTTGCGACTACTCCGCGAGTCATGTACATCACCGACGTAAGACACTAAGAACATGATGTGGCTTGCATATAGTCCAATCGCAACGTGGATGCGGTTGAGATGGGGCCTTTTGTGCACCCTGCTTGGACGATTCCGCGGCGGACAGATAAATGGTGATAATCATCGTCATGGCTGCTTTGAAACGTCACGACCAACGACGTCCAAACATCTAGAACCGTGGTGGCTAGTCTAACCCATGTTCTCCTGGAGCATCTGCTCCATCAGAAACTCCGCTTCAAAGTCGTGTGATGTCCGCGGGCCGATAAAATAAAAACCCCCATTACTTGAACTCTAAATATCAAGGTAGTCACTCCGGGCGGCCGCAGAAGTGTACAACAACATGGCCTGGACATTGTTGGGTGCCGTGAAAAGAAATTTTTATCAAATAGAACTTCCTCAATATTGACTTATATCATAGTCACCGAAGGCCGCTCCGCCTAGTTTGTTAGCCAACAGAGCGGAACGCAAAGCGGGCATAGAGCGGGTCTTAGGTTTAGTGGCACTGGGACTCTCAAATCCAGAGACAAAGTTTTCCACTGCCAGTTCCACCAGCTACCCAATTATGAGTCGGGTGCAGCTCAGCCACGGCAGGAACTGCCGTAATGCCTTCTCCTTCTAGTTGGGCTAGCTGCTTCCCCTCGCCATCGTATACGTCCACAAAGCGGTTCATGTTGGCGATGGCAAACTTATGAATACCATCTGCAGGGCTGAGTTGCCATTGTGGCTTCAAGATGGTGACCCATCTGCCTGTCTGGTTATTATGGCGGATGGTGCTAGCGGGCTCCATTTCTGTAATATTGTGGCCGGGCTTCCACTTAGCCGCCTCTGACATGTCATAAATTTTGACAGTATCATCGTAAGATGACGTTGCTATATGGCCGCTTCTAGACCACGAAGCATGTGAGACCGAAAGGCGGGAAGTGTGTTCACCGAGCAGCGAGGGGTGCCGCATCTCGCCTTTGCCCTTGATCATGCGCAAATCCCAGATCTTCAAGGTGCGATCCAGCGAAGCCGTGGCCACCAAGTGCGGCAACAGCGGGTGTAGAGAGAACCCCCCAATCTTGTTGTCAGTCAGGCTCCAAATCTCGGCCTTTTCTTTGGTGCGGCGGTCGGTTCGACCGAGCGAGCCCTCCATGGTCGAGAACACGAGAACATCCTTCTGCTCGGGAGACATGTCAATGCAGGTGATGGCGAGATCCTCATCAGCATCTGCGGGCTCCCACACGGAGCTACTGACTTGCGTTGCAAGGTCCAGGCACCGAATGGTAGAGTCATAGGAAGCGCTAAAGACCGAGTTGGGGTCAGACTGTGGCGCCAATATGGACGAGATGGTCCTCGTGTGCATCTCAAAGGCAGATACCTGGGGCAGGGGAACGTGTGCGTCCTCGTCCTCATCGTCATATTGTGGCTTCTCCTGGGAGCCATCAAAGACGCCCATGATACCCTTCTTGTCGCCAGCCAGGACAATGGGTTTGTCCTGAATGGGGTGAAAGGCCAGGGCGTAGACGCGCTCTGGCGTAATCTTGATGTCTAGATGAAGTTAGCAAGGGTGACAGCCGGGGGCCTGGGTCCGGGGTGGACGGTACCATTCGGAAGCCAGCCATCGTACAGCTCAAGCTCCTGCATGCCCTTCCTCAGATTCTTGAGCTCCTCGTTGTCGGTGTCCTTGATGTCGTCGTCGGTGAAGGTCCGCACGCCAGGCTGAGCGCCTTGGGCAAAGCTTGCTAGCGCGTCGCCATTGGCCCATCTCGAACCCTCCACCTTGAGCTTGGAGACGTCGAGGTCACCGGTGATTCGTGCCCGCTTGGCGGGTTTCTGGGCCTCTAGCAGCTCGGATTTGGTCTGGAGGGAGTCCAAGTCGGTCTCGGCAGCGCCTCCGGACAGTCTGGCGCTCTGGCGGGTGGGCATGACGCGGGTGCGCTGGACTGGCTCGGCGGCAGCCTTCCTCTTCCTTGGTGCGGCAGCCGGCTTAGGCGGTGGTTTGGCCGCCCTTGCCATCTTTGCGCCAATGGCTGCAGACTCCTGGAGCAGCTTCGCGTTGTTGGCGACATTTTCGCGCCGCCGGGCCTCGAAGGCGCTCACCATCTTGGGAGTGCTGCCGAGTGTTCGGTTGGGGGTTGGGAGTGGTGAGGCAGGCAGGCAAGGACCGGCCAGCCCGGCGAGGGCAAGACAAAAGGGACGAGGTGACGAAAGGCAACCTGAGCTAAGAAGAACAAAAAGAAACGAGCAGAGGCGCCCTGGCCAGTGGAAATGCTCAGCAACAACTGTCGAATTCACAGAGCCAAGATAGCGCGCTCCTGCGGCTCCGCGCGAATCGGATCTGGGGGACTGTCCGTTCGAAAGGGTGTGGTGAGCGGCGCTGAGGGTGTGACGCGCCGTGAGCGGGACCACCACGGCCGAAGACGAGAGCGCCAGACGCGAGGTCATGGGAGAGCGCGTTAAGTGGCCGGGGGGTCGCCTACAGCCCCAGCAGCTCAGGCCCGCCCACTGTCGCGACGAGCGCTAGACCTGCAGCGGTCATTGGAAGGCGATTGGGTGGTTGGGTCCCGGTACCTGCACGGTGGTGCTACCGGTAGGTAGTGTGCAAGGTACCTCGTGAGCACCTGCAGGCAGGCCGGCAACAGCGAACAGTGCCGGTCCGCTGGCATTGGACTTGGGCTGGCTTTCCTTGGGCCCGCTGGCCCGCTGCCTTAGTGCTAGAGGGCCCCGGCCTTGGCCCCTGGCCCCTGGGATCTGGGACCTTCGAAATAGCTTCTATCGATAAGAGTCCCGGGCCCCAGTTGAAATTCTTCCTCCCTTCTTCCCCTAATGGGCCGCAGGGTCCAACAAGTAAAAGTCACCAGCTGGATCAGACGATCAAATCACCAAGACGACACACATTGGCCAGACCCCCCCTTTCTCCCTTCACGTTCGCGCGCCTGCTTCCCGCCCACAATGACGGCCCCTCCTCTGCCGTTCCTGTACCAGACGCGGACGATTCTGCAATGCCGCCGACTGCCTCGCTGTCTCGGCTCGCGTCTGCTGCACCAGACCACGCCCACCCGAGCACGCGGCGACAACGACATCCCCTTCGCCAGAGACCTCCCAGGCGAGGACATCCCCATAGAGGACGAGGAGCCCGCGCCCCGCGGCACCATCACCGCCAACGAGCGCCAGACCTTTGAGCGCATCTTTGCCGACATCGCCGCCCGCGGCCTGCAGCCCAACGCCCAACGCGATCCGCCCGCGCCCGCCCCCAGCGCCCGCCGGACGACCAACCTCATCCTCGAGAGGGCCGCCCAGGATGCCGGCCAGCAACGTCCCGGCGCCGTCATATCCCCTGCGCTGTACATCGATGCTGCCAAGGACAAGAACAAGGCTCTGCTGCGTTTCCCGCCTTCGCTGCGAGCCGCCGCCAGCAGGGCTTTCGAACTGCTTCACCCAGACCATCCTACCGTCCGCTCGCCACCGCTCGGCCCGGACAGGGCCCGCGCGAACACGACCGACGAAGACGAGGGCTGGGGATCCCCCACCAACTCGTTCCAGCGTATGGTGGAGATCGATGCCAAGAGGCACCCGGAGCAGAAGCGCGTCGAGGCCTTGATGTCCGCCGCCCGCACCGACTTCGACCTCTGGGACGTGATGGAGAAGGAGGTCTTCACGTACCCCGAGAAACTCGGCTTGGGGAGCGTGGACGCCTCACCTAAGCCCTCTGGAAGGAAAGCCGGGAGCAAGGCATCCGAGAAAGCCGCCGAACCGCCCGTCGAACCGCCGGCCGAGAGCGCCAGCGGTCCACCGACCGAAAAGCTGGATTTGTACCTATACGGCCCTCTGTACCCCTCTTTCCTCCTTTTTGGCCTGCGGCGTCTCGACACAGCCTTCACCAAGCCATCGCCCCTGACTCTGTCCGTTCTGCCCCGCATCAAAGATCTTGGTCTGGAATCTTTCGTCCTGGGTGTTTCGACCCCCTTTTACAATGAGCTTCTGAGCATATACTATCGCAGATATGGCAACCTGTCCAAAATGATGGAGCTTCTGGAAGAGATGCGCCATTCCGGCTTGTACTTTGATGAAAATACTGCCGCCGTCCTCAACAAGACCTACAGTGCAGTCAATGCAATGGGTCATGGCAAGCGTGGTACTTTCGCACAGGCCGTTATGAGCATGCCTGACTACGAGAGGTCCCTGCGAGAACGATTGAGGCAGTGGCACCGCACTGTAGATATCTCCATCGCACAGAGAGATGTTGACATCGACTACCAACAGCTCGCGCGCACTTGATCTATTTGACTAGTGTTCTACTCCGCCACTGTCTACGTGATCCCCCTCAGCCAGGAGACTCGCCCTGTCGAGCATCAGCTTGTCATATGGTGTCCAAAGTTGTCCCGCGGCCCTGAGGGACTGACCGGAAAATGACCTTGGTGATAACGCCAGGGACTCGCCATCTACCTGTTTGACCTGCGGCTGCGTGCATCTTCTTTGATAGCATCTCCTTTACCATCATACGCCTCACGCGGAATGCCGGCAGCCCGCACGAGCAACGGTGTCCCTATATCATTAGTTATCTCCACATGTTTGACCGTGCCCAATGCCATTCGGGCGTGCCATATCCAGCTGGACTTCTTGGGACTCTTCGTCCAAGAAGAGTTTCCACAGAGGTAGATCGGTTGCGCTGATAGCGACCAGAAACATGAGAAAGCGACGGATGGACCCTCGGCCAAGTTCGGACGTGTCGTCCCACGTTGCTACTGAAATCCCGATGGCTCTCGGTTCATCCGCATTGTTAGGAAGGGGGGCGGGGCGCGCATGCTGCGTGCGCACAGGGTGGCTCTAGCACCCCAGATGTACGCAAAGGGCAAACTACATAGCTCCATGGAGGAGAGCCTTAGACATCTGTGTGCCAACGTGCTAAGTAGCTAGCGGTACAGAACCAGCACCAGCTCTAGAAGACGGGGTGGGAATAATGGTATAGGGTAGATGCCTGTAGTCATCCATAGGTACATGTACTGCAACTCAACTCTATTTTGAGTATCTCAGTATGACGTACTATACCTCTGTCTACCCAGGTCTGATGAGATATTGCCTTTAAAGCCCGCCTTGGCCAGATTTGTAGTTTCAAGCCGCTCTCCGCTCTTTCCTCCGGGATCATGTCTCGTCCGCTTACAAGGAGTGCGCTAGTCAAGTCCCACTTTCACGCTGCGTGGATTTGTAGTCTGCCCTCATCTCCATCAACTTCATAACACACGTGGCGGGGCTGCCATCTCACATCTAGGAGTAGCAGCTCTATGTCTCGTGCAACCGGCTCAACACTTCATAATGATGTCCCGCAGTGCCTGCCGTGCAAGCCACACCCAACACACTGTAACTGCCAGAGTGGTGCCACGATGTGAGAGGAGTGGCCACCTTACACCACCCTATTTGGTCAACATGTGAGCTAGAGTCGCTGAACTATGTAATCAAAGCCATAAATAATTTACGTCTCTCGTCACCCGCCAAGACTTGCATAACGCTTTCACACGCGGGCAGGTCCTCATATCTTGTTTCTGGGCTTGAATTGCCATCTAGCTGCCTTGCCATCAAGCCTGATGCGGAGCGGTTCGCCTAATAAGCCAATGCGAAGAGAGTGTCAATAGTAAATGACATCACCGTGACACGAACCATCTCGATGAACAAAACGAACTCCAGAAGTTCGATAAAAGTCCCTAGGAGACGTGTTTCACTTGCTTTCTTGGCCCAGTCTTCTCTCTCAATTGATTCACTGCGAAATCTTATTACAATTCACATTTATTACTTTGTAGGAACCTCTGACCACAGAATGCCTCCCAAGAAAGGTATCGCACATATCCACAAACCATAGAGTTTGAAACTCTATAAAGCTTAGTGTTCTGAGTAAGCTTACGTGCAACCAGATCCAACTGCGACGAGCGCTGGGGATGATCCTCTGGAGAAGGCCGAGGCAAAGAAAGAAAAGGGGGCCGCGGCTACTGAGGGCATGGTTGGAGAAGACGCCTTAGATGCCGCCATTGGCGATGAAGCGGACGACAAAGTTGCAGAGAAGACATCGGCTGAAGATGACCCGCTCGAGAAGGCTGAGGCTAAGAAGGAACGATCTTAAAACCATCGAAACAGGTCAAGTCTTAATGGGACCATGAACTCAATAGGGTCGGATATCGGGGAGCCAGGAGGCTCGGAAGTAGGAGGTTTGGCTAAGGCTATAATCGGGATATTATTTCCATGAGTTGTACAAGAATATGGTTTATTTCGGCACAATGGATGCGCATACTTATACTCGTCCAAATCTTTGAATGATATGACAAAGTGAGGCGGGATGTTAGTAGTTATATCTATACTGTGATAGTTTTCATGGGCTCTGATGTAAAATGAAATCAAGAACCACCCAAAAAAATTGGAAAAAATTCTAAAAGGAAATATACATTTGGCCCCAAAGACAGCATCTGGAGAATAGTAGAGGTTGGTGAATGAACTTGAGGCTATTCTTTGTGAAGGTGATATCACCAAGAAGTAGAACTTTAGTCAAACCCCTTCAGAGTTTGCTGATTCACTTCAAATCATCGTCAAGTTCATCTCTTCGGATCCTCCATGCCGGCCCAAGCTTCATCTCCACGTACATGAGTGGAAGCATGCACGCGGATATCCCGGCTAGCAGTACATATGTCCAGATATATCCTAGTTTATTGACCATTCGGTCAGTTGTGGCGACTACGATAGCCCCGAGCCAACAGCGCACGAGGTTAGTCTGCGTTTTGATGAGCACCCTTTGCAAGCCTCTCACTGATGATAGCAATTAACCTACACATGCTGTAGCCCCTGAGCTGCGAGATTGTAGGATGTCGATCATGAGTGTCATTGTAGTGTTGAGGATGGCCATACCGCACCATCCGACTTTGAGGTATTAGTGTCGAATCTCCTCTTCATGGCTTCAGAATGAGACACTCACGGATGGCAGACATAACCAGAGGTACTGCAATATGTACTGCCTTTCCCAGAGAAAAGCCCCAGCCAACGACTGTCAAAACGAAGATGGCCAGATGGAATGGCATCGTTCGCAGCCGAGCATACTCCTTGGGGAAAGGCCCCCCCGCATGTGTCCGCTTTATTCTAGTGTATTCTGAATCCAGCAATCTACCGGTAACTTGTGTCCCAATAATCATTCCCGTACCAGTGGGAAGATAGCTGACACCGAGCAGAGACTCTGACAGCCAGGGGTAGACATCTGAGAATGCAGAAGATATGGTGGCCATAATGCTATAGTTGACTGAGTATATAACTCCCGTAAAGATCAACGTAATTACAACATCTGGATATGTAAGGAGAATGAACGGATTCATCGACTGCTTGTTAGCTTGAGGAAGACAAGCAGATCCTGACTTCTTGTTCCGGCCGACGACTTTAATTAGAGGTCGATGTATACCTTTGAGAGGTACGCTGCCATTTCCACAAAGTCGACGCAGAGTTTCAGGGAGGAAGCTTGGTTAATGAGCACTTGTATTCAAGAAACTGATAAGGGAAACATACACATATATGACAATCATGCATGTTACCGCCATGATGGTCAATGCCCAGAAGATGGCCCTCCAACCTAGACTCTCTGCAAGCGCGCCTCCTACTGCAGGGCCGATGCAAGGGGCTAGCATTGGCCCAAGATTGAAGAGTCCGAAGTAGCCGCCTCGCTCTTCCGGGGTAGCAATGTCCCCTGTTACTCCAGCACCTGTGTCTGAATGAGCTCCAATTCATGGTTTAGTTGGTTTCAAGGATTACCAACCCAATGCGATGGTACTTGCACATCCTCCTGCCTGCAGGAGACGCAGAACGATGAGCAGCCAAAAGGCGTTGGTCGGGCACAGGGCTAGGCCAACACAGGACCCGATCAAAATAGATAAACAGGCAAGGAAAACTGGCCGTCTTCCAAAGCGATCTGAAAGGGGTCCCCATAACATTGGGGCTAAATACTGATGTTAGATACTTGCTGGACCAACTCAATATGGTCCGATTAGGTCTCACTAACAAGCACCCTGCATAATAAGATAGGCAGTTACAGTCTGGTTAATGACTTCCTCCGACGTTTCAAAGGCCTTCGACATCATGGGAATTGCAGGAAAATAGATATTTGCGGGCAACGGGCTGTTATCGTGTCAGAATCTGTAGCCCACCCAGTAATGTGGCCTACGCAACATGCCTGTAGAAGCCGGCAACGGCTACTATGCCCACGATAAACCATTTCTCATTTCTCGAGTAAATGCTATAAGGCTCTATTGGCTCATCGCGTGTCCAGTTGGTGGAAAGCACACCTCCGGTGACATCACTGGTAGGTTGCTCCTTGTCTCTGTCCATCGCGTTGCAGTATGGTGAGATCTTAGTTGTGAATGTTGGCCAAGTGCTTTTGCAAGACACATGAACAGGTTTCTTTGAGCAATATTCGCAAGATTATTGGGCCGTACACGCGAATCCCGCTTATCTACGATGATGCGGCTCCGGCTTCCGGAGACTCAATTTGCTAGGCACAATTGCAAGGCCCGGATCTTACCATTATCATGCTTAGTGGACCACGGCCCATGCATATAGGTCCAGAAGTTACTCCAAGTCCAGATTGACCCAAGCAACTTGGCTAAAAGATGAATTCGGAGCCGTCCCGAAAAAAAAACATGGTGCTTGCCCTGGGCGATGGAGCTGGAGGCTTGCGGCGGGCGGAAGAACCCGCGTATGCCACCAGCTTACAGTAGCGTCGGCTGGCTCCAAACGTAAAAAAAAACCTGTATCTCCAGGCGCCCCCGCAGGCCCCGTCGAGAAGACTCAAAAACCATTAACGTAAAATGTTGGTACCCTATTAAATCGATATTCCACGTTGTCAAGCGCGCTATGTCCCGTTTGATAGTAGCAATGGGCAAGCCGAATCTTACAAGAAGCCAGCAGCTTGGAAACCCTGGCCACAGAGCTCGAATTGCGGCTGTGGCTACGTTTTCAGGCATTCTGGACACCAAGTAGACGACGCGTACTAAGGTCCTCTGATTAGTGGGCCACTTTGTGTGTACGAAAGCCCCAACCGCAGTGCGATAACACCAATCCTGGTCCCCATGTTCGGTATATTATGCACTATTGCATGATATCAAGTATACGTATCTGTTAAAGAAGATAAATACATCATTGTTACACCACTCGAGGACATCTCATGGTCTTTTCTCAAGAATTGGCATGCCATATACTGTGGACCAACGACACAGAATGGCAATGCTGGAAATCCTGGACAGCTATGGGATGCTGAGGGTGTATTCTTGGCTGTCCGAGGGAGTCTAGGTCATCCCAAGTCGCCCATCCCTTTCTGAGGTGAGCTAGTCCATATTCTTAGCGCCTGGACCCAAGACCGCCGATAGCCACTTAGTGACAAAAGGATACGATAAGCCGCCACCGGAGGACACAGGCCAGTGAGCTGTTGCCAACTCTGACTCGGGCGAAAATTTTCAGCATTTATCATTGGGACAACGTTTCTGAGTTCTTGCTCCGTTTCCGTTATTGTGTCGCCGTCCAGTGTGTAGTGTTGCGTGCTATTAAATCGCAGAATTTCCCTCCTTTCAGCGCCTAGAACCATCTTGTTTTCTGTTACCCTTGCCCCTATCGCTAGTCAAATTTCAACGTCTAAAGATAAAGGGACTGTGGAGCCGTCTCCTTGAAACCCGAGCTATTGGCCCGTTGTTTATATTCCTCCCAGCTGCGCTCTTGCGTTGAGCGGCATCTAGTGGCCCACTCTGCTTCGACCTTGCCGGCCCTCATCCAACTAGGCTCGCCATGCTTGAGTCTCAGATCAACGATGCCACGGCTTCAAACACCGATGTGGAAAAGTCTTACGAGAAAGATCAAGATGTGCAGGTCGAAGTGAGCTCACCCAGTTCCAGGGGCCTTCGATCCATTCTGGCTAAGGCCATATCTGTGAGCCCTGTCGAAGCACGAGGAGTGATGCCTGTACCTCTTGAAGAACGAACCTCGACGCGATACGTGGGCTATTTCTCTATATGGTTTTGCATGAATATAAACCTATTGCCGTACGGCTTCTTCTACAAGGTTTCACAGGAGCATATTGCTAACAAGTTTCTAGGATCACATTTGGAATGCTTGGTAGTACGGCTTATCTCCTCAGTGTGCGGGACTGTGCACTCGTCATTCTATTCTTCTCCCTGTTGACGGCTGCATTCCCGGCGTTCCTTGGTGTCCTTGGTCCAAAGACGGGCTTGCGGCAAATGATCCAAGCTCGCTACAGCTTTGGCAGATATCTTGTGTCGATTCCGGTCATCCTCAACCTAGCAACTCTCACTGGGTTCTGCGTTATCATCTGCGTCATTGGTGGGCAGTGCTTGTCAGCAGTTACAGGCGGCTCCATGACCCCTACTGTTGGCATTGTCATCGTTGGATTGTTGGCCCTTGGTATCTCCTTCTGTGGCTATAACGTCTTGCACGGGTACGAACGCTACGCCTGGATACCAGCCTTGTTAGCGATCATTGTCACAACTGGTTGTGGCGGATCGCACCTCAAAGAGCAGATACCCACAGAGCCTGCAACCGCTTCTTCGGTTCTATCGTTTGGGATGATAATTGCCTCCTATATGATTCCATACGCATGTTTGTCATCCGACTTCACAACATATTTAAATCCGAAGTTTTCTTCGTACGTCTCCCTTCCTCATCTGTGGAAAATCAGACTAACAGAAGGACCAGAGTTCGTTTGTTCCTCTACGGGTACGCTGGACTGGTGATCCCATCAGTTCTGCTAATGACCCTGGGAGCTGCTATCGGAGGGGCCATCACGAACGTGCCGGAGTGGGAAGAGGGTTACAACACAACAGCTGTAGGTGGTGTGCTAGCAGCAATGCTTACGCCTGCTGGAGGATTTGGGAAGTTCGTCGTCGTCGTCCTTTCCTTCACTATGCTAGGAAACATCGCGGCAACGATGTATTCCATCACACTCAACTTCCAGATGCTTGTCCCACAGCTAGTGGTTGTTCCGCGATATGTATTCTCCGTTGTTATAACGGCAGTTGTTATCCCAGTGAGCATTAAAGCAGCTGCGGACTTCTTTCTCAGTCTTGAGAACTTCATTGCTCTCATTGGATACTGGAGTGCTGCATTTGTGTCAGTTCTCACAGTTGAGCATCTCGTTATTCGCCGTGGCGTATATGGCACATATGATCAGGGCGCTTGGAATTCAGCAAAACAGTTGCCGTGGGGCGTTGCAGCCCTAGCTGCCAGTGCCTTGAGCTTTGGTCTGGTGATCCCGAGTATGGCACAAATCTGGTGGACCGGCCCAATCGCGGAAAGCGCAGGAGACATTGGTTTTGAGATGGCGATAATTGTAACCGCTGTTCTCTATGTTCCCTTCCGTCTGCTAGAGAAGCGCGTCGCAGGTCGGTAGACAAGATAGAAGTGTTAGTAGTAGAACGACTTTCGATCAAAGACTTTAACCTCAAAATTCAGAACTAAACCCTTGATTTGCACTGTTTTCCTGTCAATCAATACTTTTGTTCAATTCCCCTTCCAGGTACCCTCAACGTTAACTTCCATTATCGTTCATTTGGTATGAATTATGAGGTCGTTAGGAGCAATTCCAATCCAAATGGCACCGATCAATCCTTTGGCCAGCCTGCTTTCAAGTGATCAATCGCCTCTTCCTCGGTAACAACGTCGGCATACTTTGCGTTAAGGTCGAATAAGTTAGCGTTTTGAATTTCTTCGCTACGATCACCACACGCCGTTCCGACGACCTGGGTTCGTTAGCCACAGATACGACGTGGACTGCCCTCGTGTGTGTTGGTACCTACCATAGGTCGAAAGCCGTTCTGCATTGCATCCAACGTACTAGCCCTGACGCAACCACTTGTGCTGACACCGCATAGTACAACAGTATCTGCTCCCATGACCCTAAGGTCTGTTGCTAAGGATGTTCCGAAAAATGCGCTTGCATATTTTTTCTTGATGATCATCTCGCTCGTCTCTGGTACCAGCCCTTCGACCCAATCGCCGAGACCCCGAGTGTCCGCAACATTCCAAACATTGAGAGACTTGGATTTCAACCAAAAAAGACCTGCATCTTTCATATCGGGGTCTGTGTACTCAACAGCAGTCCAGATGACGGGAGTACCGGCAGCTCGGGCTGCAGCGAGCATATTCCTCATTACTTGAGGGCATTTGGTAGTTGGCTCATGAGCCGAGCAGTTCAGGGGTGATCCGGGCTCCCAATAAGCTTTGCATACATCAATCAGGACGAGAACGGGCCTGGCACCCCATCCCATGCGATTGCCATAGCCACTCCGCGCGTATGAAGCTGCTTGTGAATGCGAATCGATCGTGGAACTCATGATAAACTGTATCAAAAGCGGCAGCTAGGCTTCAAAGCAGATGGCAGCCTACAGAAATGAGAGCTTATTGAAATGGCGTACAACATATTGTCAAGGCTCATGAACTGAGAGAGGGCGGCCCTATCGAACGTCAGTCATGAGTTCTCGGAGGCTCCGTCGGGTGGTGCTTCCGAAGTGGCGCCCATATCCAGAGAACTCCGATCTCGGCAGGCGGCCGAGCGCACCGGGAGAGCCGGTGTTCTCCATTCAAGCCCGGTGGAACTCCGGGTTGGGGGAGGCTGAGCCATGGCCATCGATTTAATTGCAGCTTTGGCAAGATCTACATTTTGAAAGTTGGGCATTGTTCCACATGTATGCTGTTTATTGGAAATTATGTAGAAGTCACATGTTAGGCGACTTCTACACCACAGCCATGTGTATTTGCAGCCCGCTTTGAGTTTGCCACGTCAGGGGAACACCAGGCGCTATATAATACATAAATCCCTGCTTCAACTCGTGATCTTTGTCATCAGCCGACATGACGCCTTCACCAGATGTCACAATGAGAACACCGGGGCCGTCAATCGCTCCAATATCATCTCTGTCTCCAGCCTTGAGGTCCGCTTTTAACATGTTGAACTCACTCATCGGTGGCTTGTACACGGCTGTCATGCCGTGCTTGCTCTGGTCATACTTTTGACTCGGAAGAAAAACATCATCCTTGCTGTGCGATTTGAACGTCAATGTCTCGGCAAACATATCAATGTTGTTCCGGTCGGCAGGGGGACAAAATCCAGTTTTCAGGACATTGTTGCTGCGCGCCATACATTCGACAATATCGCCAGCAAGGTAGGCGTGAATTCCGTCTGCCGGGATGAAAATAGCATCCCCAGCATTGAAGACCAAATAGTTCATGCAGAGAAGTGCCACGAGGTTTCCTGCATCCTCCCGGCCGTATTGATCCTGTAGACGTGGGAGCAGATCTAATATGTAGGACGCTTCTCCAAGTTCAGCCTTGGAAGTATTGGAAAGCTGGTCCTGGACCTGCTTGACCAATCCCAGATCTGTCTTCAATAGATTCCGAGTCACATCACGGAGAGTCTCGTCCGACCATGAACTGGTCTGGTCGGGTACGAACTGCTGCAGAGGGCGGAGCTTGAACAGGTGTTCGATCTCAATAAGAGGTTTGAAACCAGCGAATACCTCAAACTTGGACAGAGCGACGGCTATCTCCGGCTTGTGATTGGGATCTGTGAACTGGGCGGGGTCCTTCTTGTGAAGTTCCGTGGCGAGGTCTTTGTTTGGGTGCAGCTGAAGGGGAAGAGCTTTGGCGATGGACAAAATCTGTGGCGAAACTTAGCCACACAACACTAGGGAGCAAAGGGGCGGATTGGCTGTTATCAATTACCTTGGGCAGATACGGCAGTTGTGCATCATACTGATCAATGACCTTCTTCCCAAGGAGCTGCTCCTTGTTGGCGTCGAGCACGTCCTTCAGGAGCTCACCGGTGTCAAGTTTGCGAGCTGGAAAGTCTGGATAATCCCCAAACCACATCTCTGAGTATGGCTGATCATCTTGAATCTTGAAGCCGGTACCAGGCGTTTGCGAGCATAATTGGGCTGCAAGAGAATGTTGACCCTGTTTACCCCAGGGATAGTTATTGCAGGTTCCGCTTAGCTGGAACACGAGTGGCGCCATGTTTCTTAGATGATGTAGCAGGAGAGATATGTCTTTGGGCTGTCCTCGCAAGTATAATCAGACGCTCGGTAGGAGCTCGGGACTACGAGCTGAAGGATTGGCATTTGCCAGTGTTCTTCTGTGTATGGACTACATTGCGATTGCAAGAGTGATGTGTGATGTTCAGATGTCGTCATAGACAAGTACCGTCATCGTGGTCGAGCAATTGTGCTGTGATGTACTCCGTAGATCCAGAGTAATTGTGGGTTCGATTTCTTTCGGTGGGGTTGGCGATGTCAGTCTCGGCTTTGGACGCTTGGGTTGAGACCGTACCTCAGGTAGGTTCTCAGGAGTGCTCAAAGTCACCACGCAAATAGCTTGGTTGTTGCTGGAAGTATCTCGGCACCGCAAATAGCTGAATAATGTAATATGTTGATGCGAACCGCACAACGCAAAGCTACATGACACATGACTGCCCTGTCAATCGCGGTCACAGTGCAGTATGGCAATGAATGCAACTCCATACCTCCAACGTGAACCTGAACAAAAAAAAAAAGGGACCATTTGCGATGTCTCAATTCCATACTCGCCGCAATGACGGTGTGCGCTGTAATATATAGGCAAGCCTTGTACCAAGACGCGTACCTCGATCTTGCTACCTTATCCGTGGTTATGACGCAGAGGCGAGGTTCTGCTGCATCCCTGAAGAACCCCAGAAAAGTTAGGTACCTGAGCTCTTTAGCGTCGCTGTCAGTTGCCTCCAGCCCGGCTGCGTGGTTTGACTCTCGGGTTTCTCTGCGTTAGGCGAAGTGCCCCCTTGTCGCCAGGGACCGGGGCAACTCAATCAGCTGCCTGATGAGAATGGAGGCTAGGGTTCTACCGCAACAGGTTCATAAATCCCGCTGGACTGGCTGTCGAACTGCGGCTGAATAGCAGTCGCGTCAACATCCTAGCTGCGATCAGTCCGATCAGTTTAGATCGAATTGGGTCTGGATCAACTGGGCAGGCATCCAGCGTCATCAGCTGTGCCGGGTATGCGCTAGCACAACCCTAGCGCGTCGCGTTCAGGTGCTCTAGCCTATGAATCCTCCGACTGCTGTTGCTCGTTGGCATTCACTATTGAGCCGTCGACGTCATTTGTCTAGAGCGATCGAGACGGCGAGGTCGTTCAGGGTCGCGTTCCCTGAAACTTGGAGTCAAGCCACCATGATAGATAACTGCGTGACAGTGTTGCATAACCCCCCATTGCCACCTTGAAAGGGCAACTTTCACCCATTCGCTTGCTTTGTCCTCCAGCTGCTAGGTAGACTGATCGTTGATCGGCCACGATACTGGTCTCTGTGGAGTAGATCGACGGACATCATGGCGGTTCGAGACGACACAAATAAGGGCAGCCCTGCACCTACTTCGCCAGTCTCCGCGGCGGCAATCACCGATTTTCTTCCCATCCCCCATGACACGCAGCCGGTGACGGATCCTGATCGGGAAGAGAAGAGTAACTCGCTCGCCGAAGGGGCTACCCTGTCCCACACGCTTGCAATGGAAGATCATGAAGAGAAGGGTGTCGCACAGCAGGATCATGCGGAAGAAGATGTTGCCGACCTTGGGTGGCATAAGAAAAAGGATGGCTTCACGCAACAGTTAGTTGGTGGTCTCGACAATGAGGAGCTATGGCTCCTGATTAGAAGATTCAACAAGGTCAGTTGTATTTTCCATAATGCCAGCTATCAATCCATTGGCGAATCATTCGAAACACAGCAAATCGCGATTGGGAAGCCTATCAAGTTGCATATCCTTCTGACAACTCTCACCGACTACTCATATACAAGCAGGGAAGCTCCAACTAACTGATATTTCAAGCAAATGTACCATGTCAAGGAAGTTCCAAACGCGGTACCTGGAAACTTGGACCTTAACATTGCCGACGAAGAAGAGTTCTCACCGGACAAGTTGAGAGCTAACGTTGAAAGACTGTACATGACAGTCATCATCGGTCTCATTGGCGCCGTGAAACATGTAGCTCGTCTTCGATCTTGGCGCGAGGCACGAAGAACAGGTGCTTTCTGCTTTGTGAGTTTCGGCGCATACACCACAAGATCAGCGTATGAATTAACCCAGACGGATTAGGCATACTCTGTCGCTTGGGCGTTTGATTTTATTGTTCCCCTGCTATGTATCACAACGATTACCTTGGTTGTCTATCCACCATCCCGAGGCGTACTTTTCCCGCCCGCACCAATTGCGTTGGTTGACAATAAGTCGGGTGGAGTTCAGAAACCCAAAGCAGGCGTGCTTGGAAGTCACGACTCTGCAACTGGGGCACCGGAGAATCACAAGGGAGAAGCCGTTGAGCAAGAAGCTAGCAACTTCTTCAACGGCATCACGTCAGTCGTACTCGCGAGTGCGACTGGCAAGCACCCACAAGGCGACCCCGAGACTGATGGAAAAGACCCTGGAGACAGCATTCCAGACCCCACGGGAATTGCTGCTGGCGCCGCAGACGCGAAGGAAATAGCGGCTGGAGGAGCTCCGAGCCCCAAACACGATAAAACAAAAGTACCGGTAGAGAGTGCCATGTGGACCAAGATGCGACCTATCATGCATGGTGAGTTAACTGCAACGAATACCCAGAACAGTGGCCAAATTGCTGACGGTTTCAAGGCGTTGCTGATATTTCTGACACGTGGGAGCGTTTTGCAAATGCGCTGTCTCCTACTGCCCCTTTTCCTAAGGATATTTATCGCTTGAGACTGTCAAGTCTTATTGTACCGCTATTTGTACTGTCATTCTTTCTTACCTCGTACATGTTCGTGAAAGGCGTCACATTTGGTATCGGGTTCGGTTTCTTTGGTGACCCTGTCATATCTCGTGGCCTGGCACTTCTGAATCGCAGGTTCCCGCATTGGCAAAAGATCCTGGAGCTTCGCAATACGGTTCTTAAGGGCGTGCCAACCAACGCTCAACTGACTCTCACCCTTCTACGCATCGGTGAAGCGAACAAGGCTCCTCTTCCACCAGCTCCTCGAGCTGGCGAGGAACCGCCAGAGCGCTCCGCCGAAATTACGGATGCCGAACTACGTGCGACTGGCGCAGAGCCTCCCTTGAACGCCACCGACGAGGAGCTTGATGCAGCTATGCAACATGACCCTGAGGTGCCGCATGAAACAGGCGGCGACGACATCAATGAAGCCAAGGCGTCAAAGCATGGTAGAAAGGGAAGTAAGATCCTGGGCTTCTTCAAGGGTACGACCAAAGGCGCGGTGAAAACAGCAATTGGTGCAGACAAGGTCCGGGCTAAAGTGGGCTCCCATCATGCTAGAAACAGGCTCGGTGCGGTTCCGCGCCCCAACCTCAATCTTCTCTCTGGTCCAGTCGATTTCAAGGCCAGATACAAAGGCGAAAAGGGCCACGTCTACATTACCACCAAAGCCACCATACCTGCGATTGCTTTCAGTACCGATGTCACCATTGAGAAGATTGGATCCCAGGATAGGGAAGATCTCCATCCGGTATGGAGCATCCCTGTCGGTGATATCAAGGAGGTGAAAAAGACCGGCGGCTACGGGTGGAAGGCGAAGATAGTTGTGGGATGGTCACTGGGCCGTGAAGTCGCTGATGGACTCGAGATTACGGACAGGACTGGGGCAATCTGGAAAGTCACAGCTCTCCCCTTGAGAGATGAGCTGTTTAACCGGTTGATTGCTCTGGGAGGCCAAAAATGGGAGGCTTGGTGAGAGATAAACATGTAGGGGGCATCGAGTCGCGTCTGACATATTTCCCAGCTCACGATCCTGGGCATTCTAAAGACACATGATGTTTAGCAACACACGACGACACGTACACGGATAGATTAGCAACGATGACACAAGAGTATACGAAATGAGCACACGCAGCTGCATGATACACGATACGTTATAGCAAAAATACAATACATGTGTTATTATTAACGGCTTCCTTGATGACTTATGTAATCCCCTCGGTGAACAGCTGCTATATCAAGATCTGGACTATTCTCTTGTCATAGCACACATTGATGCTGCTGCATCAACCTCTTCTTCCGTTGCATTGGCGGGGCTCTGGAAAGATGCCATCAGCCGCTCCGTCTCATATATGATACGTATGCCTTGCTCGACACTTGGGGACTCTGGAGATCCCAATGTCTCTCGCCACTTGTGGAAAACTTTCCTCAGGTGCGGACCTGTTTCCATAACGTCATGGCGATGTGTGCTCTGCCGCACGGACCGACAGGTCGCTAGAAGAATCATCATAGCTGTTGCCATGCTGGACTGATATTAGCTAGATTGTGGTATGTCACGATGAGGCCCAATGCTTACGACAAGACACATATCCAAGTATCCACCAGAACTGTGTGCGAAAAGCCAGTCAAGGCCAGAATGTGCGAGGTACATGCATCGAGGCACACTTTAGCACGCTCTACGATTTCACTCTTCGCCACACCTCGCACATCGTTCGGACCGTTGGCCAGTAGCCAGGCGAGATATGGTCGATATATGACACTCTTGCAGGTCAAATAACGCTGTCTTAGGAATCCTCCACATTCGGATGGCCACTTGTCTATATCATGGGCGTCAAACTGAAACGCATGTGGCAAGAATTCGCGCCACTCCTCCAATTGATGATCGAGTTCGGTAACAATCGCCGGAAAGCGGGAAATATCCGTAGCAGCACCCGTATCACGTGCGTATAGAAGCTGATGGACACGATTGAGGAGGCGACGCATACTGATACATGCCAGGAAATAGAGCGACGCATGTTCCGTCTCGCTCGGATTTGCATGCGTCACGTAGCTCCCTGGCAGTGGCACAGACGATTCGATCTGAGCAATACCACTCTGTGGAAGCGCCGACAGCTCAGCTAGATAATCGCTTTGAGATGGTCAGTCAGTTCCGTGTATGTCTTGCACGAACTTTCAGGAAACCTCGAGAGAGCTGTAACTTTACGCAAGTTTGAGCTGTTCCTTGACAGTTGTGTTGACCAACCTTTCTAATATATAACATGCCCAGAATATTCTGCGTAGGCATTCTTGGTTCTCGGCCGGCTCGTTCACTGGGGGATATGAAAGGAGGAGCCGACATTTGGCCGCAGTGGAATTGATATAATTCCAGGCTTGAAGGGGACGCCGAAGATATGCGAAATAGAGCCTGCCAATTTTAGCATGTTTGTGACTAATCCTCTGCTCATAGAACTATGATCATACGCGGTGAAGAAAAGTGACTGTACCGCCGAACAGCTCATCTCTGAGTGCACCATATGCATTGACTTCAGGGCTCCGTCGAAATATAGCTCCGCCATGGCCTTTCGGGCTCGCTTGTATTCAATCTCTTCCGAGCCTGGGCTGGAATCTTCCCCATGAACGAGGCCACTAACCACATCACCGGCACAGCCGAGAGCCATGACGAGATGTGCGCAACAACTTGTCACCAGGTCTGCATTCTCATGGAGACCTTGGGAGACCATGATTCGAACATTTTCAAGCTGGGCTAGAGATAGGACTGGGTACCAAAAGTTTACACCATTCTGGAAAGCCGCCAGGATGGCGTCCAGGTCAATGGGTGACAGGTATGGATACATTGAGTTTGTCCGTGTGGTCAAGCTCGGGCGCGACTGTTCAAGCTGGAAGATGGACACATAATTCTGTCGAATTGAAGGGAAAGCGTCAAAGTAGGACCATGACAAGATAGACTCGGTGGTTGATGTATGTAGGGAGTCAAGGATTGCATTTTCCAGATTATTGCTCTGGCGATTCGGGCGTGTCCCATCTGTGGATATGCTTCTTTGTGACAGAGGGCGTGCAGAGATCGGGCTTTGAAGGGAGCTTATCGGCGACTGGACCTGTGATCTCGTCAGGGAACAGCCAGCAACTGCTCATAGCGTCTTTGATATACAAGAGAAATATTCATCTGTTGAAGCAACTCTTCAACTCTGAGGACGCCCTCGAGAATGAGATCACTCTTTCCTCGACTAACTGGTCATTAGCTATCTGGCCTGCTGCGATCCTGACGGACGTGACAGACGTGTTTGCTTCTGATCCGTACGAGCAATCTTGCTTGGCAGCCTTGCATGCCTGGCATGGCTGGTTTCCATCGCATCTACGCTGATATCAGCAAAGACCCCCCTCAACAACGTGGTTGCAGTAGACAGCGCGCGCTCTGCATCAACTTTACCTAATCTTCCTAGATCTACACACGTCGCACTGTAGCAATATCAGCCTCAAGCCTGAGCCATATCAAGATGGGATTGCAGGATACATACTGCATGCGACGTCCTGAGACGTTTTTTGGATGGTTCTGTTGGTTCATCCATATCTGAGCAGACGACCCGGACCGACCCGGACCGTGAGTTAGGAGGGGATCTTCGAGGTCGCGAGACAAAGGGCGACCCCAAAGTCTGGCGATGTGGAGAAGCGGGGGAGCACATGCCTACTACTATCGGCACCAGCCCGAGAACCGACGGAGACCATTGCGATTGGTTCGCTTAGAACGCGTAATGTACAGCCGGTCAAAGCCTTGTTAGGCTCCGCAGGAGGGCCCCGTCTGGTTTAGTTCTCTGATACGGTAGTATTCAACCAACAACAGACCATAATGGTGGTCAATCAACGCTCTGTCTGCATTGGTAGGCGAGCAAAGCAGGGCATGATGTGACCGGGGCAGCTGAAGTGCGATTGGTTACTGTCATTGAATTGGATAGCAAGGGGATTCGGCGTCTTCGGATCCTGAGAGCTGCTCGCCATAAATGTCCGCGGGCCTCTTTCCACCATTCAGTGTCAGCGGTGTTGCTTAAATGTAGGGGCCTCCCTGCGTTGGGAAATTCTTCACATCCAAACCACCCTTGCCCATCTCTCGCATTTTCTGAGGGACTGGTTTATGCGACTTACTTTTGTACCAGTAATGGGGAATTGGATCTGCCCTCCACCTACAATTATCTCAGACAGTTACCTCCTCTACTAGGCAGCACTGTGGCCTTCTGCTCCCCAAACTCTAATAGATACCAGGGCCCTCATGGCTGAGATGGAAAAGGAGGCGCGCGTATCAGAGACGCACGATGGCGCTCTCAACCAGGATGCCAATGCCGCTGTTCAGCTTGCCCATGACGTCGACAATACTGTCTATTCCCCGTGGAGCCGTACGATGCTCCGTCTATATGGCATTCTGACGTGTGCCTATCTGTGCGGATGCCTCAACGGCTATGATGGCTCGCTGATGGGTGGTTTGAATGGAATGGTGTCGTATCAGAAGTATTTTAACATGTAAGCAATGCCTCGTTTTAGAGACGGAGCTAGGAGGCGCCTCTTATGGGTTCCATCGGCATTGAGAGATGACCGCAGGCTAACAAAGTCTACAGGACGGTGGCAGGCTCTAGTACTGGGCTTGTCTTTGCCATGTATAATATAGGATCCGTTGCTGCTGTGTTCTTTACCGGCCCGACGAATGATTATCTTGGTCGCAGAGCTGGCATGTTCATTGGTGCGCTAATTGTTGTCATCGGCACTTGTGTTCAAGCTCCATCAACAACCTATGACATGTTTCTAGGGGGCCGTTTTGTAGGTGACATGCTATCTGTTTCTCCCAAGAAGCAGTCTCCTATGGGGTTGAAAAAAGACCAAAAACTTCTCGTTTTCTTTTTGATGGAGACGCGCTAACCAGCTCACTGTGCAGGTTCTTGGTTTCGGTGTCTCATTTTGCTGCGTATCTGCACCTTGCTATGTGAGCGAGTTTGGTAAGTGTGGCACATTGGACCGAGTTCTGGCTGATCCTTACTTATGAAAGCACACCCGAGATGGCGTGGAACGATCACAGGCCTGTATAACTGTACGTGGTACATCGGCTCGATCATTGCAAGCTGGGTCGTGTATAGCTGCAGTTATCTTGAGCGACCGGATGCATGGCGAATTCCCATTTGGTGTCAAATGATAACGTCTGGCATTGTTGTCTGCGGCGTGTGGTTCTTACCCGAGTCTCCCCGATGGCTGATGGCCCGTGATCGCCATGACGAAGCAGCTCGCGTCCTGGCAAAGTATCACGGAGACAATGATACCAGGCACCCTATCGTCCAGCTCCAGCTTAAAGAAATGACACAGCAAGTGAAGACTGACGCTAGCGACAATAAGTGGTGAGTGATCCTCGAGCACGTTATATCCCCTCCACCTACCTTCGTTCGCCCGATGGAGCGAGCTGGTTGAACGGAATCGAATCTTGTTGACCTGCATTATACTCGTGTCATTGATCTGATGAGTGCTGACGAGCTACAGGTGGGACTATCATGAGCTTTGGAATACGCATTCAGCTAGAAGACGTTTAATTTGCGTCCTTGGTATGGCCTGCTTTGGCCAAGTATCCGGTAACAGTCTCAGCAGCTATTACATGGCGGCAATGTTAGAAACGGCAGGAATCACCGAAGAGAAGAAGGTGCTCGCTCTGAATGCAATTAATCCTGTTCTGTGCTTTGGTGGGGCCCTTCTCGGTGCAAGGTAAGTCACAACATCATACGTGCATCTACGTCGCCCAAGCTAACCTTGTTCGTGAATAGAATGACAGATGTCGTTGGGCGAAGGTGAGTCTTCCAACTTTGTACATAAGAACCTCGCTCTGACATAAGAAACTAGGCCTCTTCTGATCTATACTACCATATTCTGCTCGGTGTGTTTCGCAATTATTACTGGGACATCCAAGTTGGCCACAGATGACCCATCGCAGATCAATGCAGCCAACACGACAGTCGCGTTTATCTTCATATTTGGGATCGTGTTTTCATTTGGCTGGACACCACTTCAAAGCATGTACATTGCAGAGACACTGCCAACAGCGACTCGTGCGAAAGGCACCGCGATTGGTAATTTCGCCAGCAGTGCGTCCAGTACCGTGCTACAGTATGCTAGTGGACCAGCTTTCGAAAACATCCACTATTATTTCTATTTAGTGTTTGTTTTCTGGGATCTATTTGAAGTTGGCGTCATGTATCTGTACTTCCCTGGTAAGAGTCATTCCATCTTGTCTCCACTTCCATTCTAACGCAGCATTCAATGTGCAGAGACGAAGGACAGGACGTTAGAAGAGCTTGCCGAAGTATTTGAGGCCCCGAATCCAGTAAAGAAGAGTCTAGAGAAGAGAAGTGCTGAGACCGTCCTTAACACTTTGCAACTCGAAACAGATGAGAAACACACTGTCTAAGGCCCTCGACCTTATGAGCTCACTAGTCGTATCGACACTGGAAAATCGCTGGCCAGGAGGTCCTTTAGGCAGAACATCAAATAACCAAATGTAGATCATTATCACCTTGCTGGGTCTAGTTGATAGACCTATATGAGAATAAATCCACCTTAGAGTGTTTCTTGGGTGCACAGACAAACGCAAAATTGGGCTTCGTGCACTGGAAAGACTTAACTTATTTGAAAGCCCGATCGTTGTAAATGAGCCCAGGCTTCTTAAGTTTCTCATGAAAATTTCGGATTGTTGTAATGACAGCCTTGTAATGGGCCATAGCGAAGACTAAGAACAGTTCTTACGGACAGCGACATGGCTTTTAAGTGTTGAGTAATTCATAGCAATTGGATAAAAAGATTTGACGTGCGAGATCACCAGATCGGGACATTATTAAGTGAAGCAAGCAGTGAATTAGTCCTACTTGATATATAAGATCCAATCTATCGGGATGCCGTAGGCTGCAAGAAGAATTCAAACTCGTCGTCCTCCACTTTTACTTGAAGGTCGTCACGGACGCCAGGCCCACAAGCAGCTGTTCCAACACCAGCAACCTTTGAGCTGAGACAGAGAAGTGTAGCGTCTTCGGCGACGAGGTCACAAGGGTGTTTGGCGTTTTCCAATTCTTTGGCGCTGTATCTCCCTGCGTTCCAACTGAAGGTGCCTGATCCGCTGAGCATAGTCGCTTCTACGCCAGCGCAGTAGGCATCCCCGACCATGAGCCATCTAGTGTCCATCCGATTTCCGTTTTCTTGAGGGACATCATAGGGGTATTCTAGTTCTTCAACTGTTTTCGTCCAGATTCCGATTCTCTGTGCAGACTTTTTATCTGGGTAGGATTCCCCTGGTCCCAGTCCAAACCACTTCGTATGACTCAAACGCTTCGGAAGTCTTATATTGAGCCCGAGCCGCGGAATGTTTTCTGGAATGGGTCCTTCCGGGTGAACCTTGACCTGAATTGATAGTGAGCCTGCCAGGGAGATTGTATATGTTATTGCAACACGGTATCCCCATCCAAGGATTGGTGGAGACAAGTAACTATGCACATTCACCTCAACAGATCCTGTGGCCTCGTGCTTTTTCCAAGTAAATTGGCGAAGTTGGGACGTCAGGGCATCAACACCGTAATGCTTCCAGTACGGCAAGGATCCAGGGATGTCTATGTCACCTGGGCGATCATTGTCGGTGGGTGCGCGCCAGAAGGCGGGGATAATGGCAGCACGTGTGTTTGAATCAATTTCAACGAGAGCTTGACCAGCGTGCGTCCAACCCACCACGTATCCGCGGACTTTGTCCAACGTCAAGGTCCAGTCTGCACCAGAGAGATTGAGCGTGGCTCGTGTATCCTCTGCCGTGATGGCTCCTGTCATTGGCCCGACCGCAACAGACGGGGCCTTTGGGCCATCAAAGATTTTACTCTGCCACCAAGCAATTTCATGGAAATCACTTGCCCAGTTGACACCCGAACGCAAGGCGAATCGTACGGTCAGATAAATCTCTCCAGGAGTATCCTTGTATTTCCCAAGTTCGGGTGGCAGCTGAAGCTGAGCCCGCGACCAAGGTTTTACTTGTGGAATCTCAAGGTCCCCGGAGGCAAGTAGGGCAGAACTGATATTGTTAGTCCCCAATTCTCGCAGAGTTGTGCATGTAGGCAACTTACCTGTTTCTGTTTCCAAAAGTTTCAATTCTGTATGTTGCACTCAAATGATTCAGGTCCACGAAGTCATACTCATTCGTGACAAAAAGCTTCCCGTCTTCGAGTTCGAATTTGACCGGCTGGAACACTTTCTTCAGCTCAAGAAGGCCAGGTGTTGGCTTATGTTCACTGTTGCACAGGCCATCCATGACGAAGGTCGCGTCGTTGGGCTCGTCACCAAAGTCACCACCGTATCCATAGAAGCCTCCTTGAGGATGCCATAGACCGTGATTCGCCCATTCCCAAATGAAGCCACCTTGGAGTCTTGGATACTTCCTGAACATGTTCTGGTAGTCCTCGAGCCACCCAGGGCCATTACCCATTGCATGAGCATACTCGCAAAGAACAACAGGCTTGCTGAAAGTTCCATCATCTTTCACGCCTTCCGTCTCAACCCATTTGCTGAGTCTTTCCATGCTGGGATACATGTAGGAGTACATGTCCGTACTGACAGCCTTCACATCCCCCTCGTAGTGTACTGGACGTTCAGGATCGACACTCTTGGCATAATCGTACATGGCTGCATGATTACATCCGTAGAAAGCCTCGTTTCCTAACGACCACATTACGACGCTGGCATGGTTTTTGTCGCGTTGGATAAGCTGTCGCATTCGGTCTACATATGCCTCTTTCCATGCTGGATTATCTGATGTGAACTTGGCGGCTTGTGGAAATGTGAGCGCTTTCCGTTCCTCGTAGTCCATCTCCTCAGGAATGTCAAGCGGCCGGGCTACAGCATCATAGAAACCGTGGCATTCCAGATCAGCTTCGTCCATAACCCAGAGACCCAGCTCATCGGCGATATCGTAGAGTCGAGGATGGGCCGGATAATGACTCGTCCGAAGGGCGTTGATATTGTGCTGTTTCATGAGGAGTAGGTCATCTCTCATGAAGTCCAAAGGCACCGATCTTCCGAACCGGGGGTGATGGTCATGTCGGTTTGCCCCCCGGAGAAGGAGAGGTTTTCCGTTGACCGTGATAAGTCCATTTTTTATTTCGACCTTGCGAAACCCGACTCTTTGGACAATAGTCTGGACTACTTTGGAGTCTTTTGATAAGACCAATGTGAGCTCATACAGAAACGGGGTTTCCGCTGTCCACTTCTTCGGATTCTTGACTGGGATTTCCAGTTTGCAGGTTGGAGAACCTGAGTCCAGTGTGTCTGCTACCGACGCGATTTTTTCCGAACCATCTCGCAGCGTCAACGTTAAGCGACTGTCTGCTGGGCTTGAGAGGGTTGCTTCAACTAGCAAAGTGGCATCGCAGTAGTTGTTATCCAAATCTGTTTTGATAAAGAAGTCCTCAATCCTGGCGTCAGCTGGGAAAGCGATCAAGTAAACATCCCGAAATATGCCTAGAAGATTCAGCGCTCACATCACAGGATCAGGATAGTATTCATATAGTCACCTGAAAGCCACCACTGGTCTTGGTCCTCGATGTAAGAGCCCTCGCACCACTGATATACTTGAACTACAAGTTCATTGCTGGAGCTTCGGTCGACCAGCGAACCCACGTCAAACTCTGCGGCATTGCGGCTGCCCTGAGAGTAACCAGCAAATTCACCATTCACCCAAACATGGTAGGAACTATCGACTCCTTCGAAACGCAGTCGCAGTTGTGACGAGCTATCCCATGCTGGCGGAACCGTAAAAGCACGACGATAGGTTCCAGTCGGGTTCTCCGTTGGGATCTCGGGCGGGCAGACCGGAAAGGGGTAGATCACGTTAGTATAATGCGGTCTCCCATGGCCCTGAAGCTGCCAATGCCCTGGGACGTTGATGTGTGTCCATGTCTCGTCCAAGTGCAACTGAGATGAGCTCTTGCCAACTTCGGGGGCCTCCAACGGGCTCAGAGCATAATGGAAATCCCACTCCCCATTCAGCAAAGTCGAGGTCTCTGGAATCCAATATGCGCGTGTTGGCAATCGATTTCTATGCAGAACCTCGAGATTAGCATAGTCAGGTTTGTCTGGTGCGGACATCTTGGCGACGTAGGATTGTCTGTCATGTGCTGCCAATCGCAGGCTCGAAGGAAATGGCACCGAACAATACCAAGGCGCGGCGGTTTCTTATGTAGAATTGTGGCCTGTCACAAGTGCGGCGAATCTTGCTGAGTTACTTGTTTGAACTAGGAACGGGAACGGGAACGTACGGTACATGATCCCAGCTCAACGTGGGAACCTTGGGAGGTAGCGGGAGTGGGAGCAAAGCCCGGTGGGGCGACCGGTTGCACCACCGGTTCCAGGTTTGCTGGCACGTATTAGCGATCGGGATAGCTGCTCCTGCCAGAACTACCCGACACTGTGGGATCAGATTGAACGGTAAGAAGGCCAGACCGTGATTTGACTGTAGTGCTTCCCCAAGATGTGCTTCACGTGGAATTAGCAACCAGATTGTTCGAATCACTGCTTTCGCTGGGCTCCAGCTTTGCGGGCCTCGACCCCACTAAGACCCCTGAGACTCGGACCGATCCGGAGCCGCGGGGATATCGGAGCCGCCATCCCCACTTCACAGTGGACGATGCGGCTCATGTGCCAGAGTCCAGGAAACCCACGGAGGACTCCCTTGTCGTCGTTATTTTGCGAAATTGGGTATGGAATCCTTTGCACCGTATTTGACTTCGGAAGCACACGATCGCGGCGTTGCCATCCGTGACCTACTAGCCTAAGTGGAACCCATAACCAGTGCATAATAACACGCAATACGTACTCTTGTTTTTTAAGCAGCTGGCTGCATCTATTTCTGGGTCGGGTTCGCTACCCAGCTGATCTAACGGAACCTTGCAGAACGTAAGAGTGTTGTTGTTGTTTTAAGCAGTATTTTACTGGTCTGTAACGAATCGTCGTCAAAGGCCCATGCGCTTCGTACCAATAGGCAGCAAAACATCAGTTGGCGGGGCTTTGGTCCGGCATAGCTCATATCGGTCCCCGTGACCCATCGTAACACACCACGTCGACCTGCATGCCCTGCCGGCATAAAGACAACCGAGACCCGGAGTCATTAGGCGGCGATTGCGGATATCTCTCGTAAGAGGGTTTGCCGCGATCGTCTCTTGGAGACAGCAACCTCCGTGTTCGGTAGTGAATACCTAGTGTTGAGCGGGGTTGACATGCTGCACTCAAAAGAACTCAATTATTCAGCCTCAACGTAGAAGCTAAAACTAGTCTCCAAAAGATCCTGTCAACAAGCTAAAACCAACATAAACCGAAGCCGTTGAGATGCTATACGAGGAGCGAGGTCGTCTCTGTTATAGATACGATGCCGAGCAAGTCTGGATCGAACCTTGGGGTGACAACGCCCTGAGGGTACGAGCGACAAAGTTGAGCACCATGCCAGGCGAGGACTGGGCTTTGGAACGGAAAACAGAACCGCGGTCAAGCATAGAGATCTCCGAAGATGGCGGGACGATCTCCTGTGGCAAGATAAAGGCATGCATCACCAGTGGGGGGAAGATAACTATGCGCAACAGGAATGGCGATGTTCTGCTCGAAGAATACGCACGGAACCGGCGAGATGTGCTTGATCCCAAATGCAGTGCCATTGAAGTGGAAGCACGCGAGTTCAAACCAATTCCTGGCGGGGATTATCACCTAACGATGCGCCTTGAGAGCCTTGATCCGAACGAAAAGATCTTTGGTATGGGTCAGTATCAGCAACCTCAGCTTGACCTCAAAGGCCACGACCTTGAATTAGCACATAGAAACTCACAAGCCAGTGTACCCTTCGCACTCTCTTCGTGTGGGTACGGATTTCTGTGGAACAATCCAGCCATCGGACGGGCAGTTTTAGGGAAGAACATCATGAGTTTCGAAGCTTACTCTACGAGATCTCTGGACTATTGGGTTGTCGCTGGCGACACACCGTCCGAAATTGTAGAAGCATATGCAAACGTTACCGGAAAGGTGCCCATGATGCCCGAATATGGCCTAGGATTCTGGCAATGTAAGCTTCGTTACCAAACGCAAGAGGAACTTCTTGAAGTTGCTCGAGAGTATCGACGAAGACAGTTACCAATTGACTTGATTGTTGTCGACTTCTTCCACTGGCCTAAACAAGGTGAATGGAAGTTTGATCCAACATACTGGCCCGATCCTGGTGAGCGCCTAGTTAGATCGTGAGAGCGATTCATAGGCTGATTCGAGAGAACCACAGATGCAATGATCAGAGAACTCGCCCAGCTGAAGATTGAGCTGATGGTATCAATCTGGCCAACAGTCGATAAGCTCTCAGAAAACTACCAAGAAATGCTGGAGCACGGATATCTTATTCGGGTCGACCGCGGGATTCGAACCGCAATGGACTTCCAAGGTGACACGGTTCACTTCGATGCCACCAACCCAGCTTCTAGAAAGTACGTGTGGGAAAAGTGTAAAACCAATTACTACTCCAAAGGCATCAAAGTGTTCTGGCTTGACGAGGCAGAGCCCGAGTATTCTGTGTATGACTTCGATAACTACAGATACTATCTAGGCTCCAACCTCAGCATCGGGAACCTTTATCCCCGCGAGTATGCGAGGGCCTTCTTTGAAGGCCAGGAAGGAGAGGGTCAGAAAAACATTATCAATCTGTTGCGTTGTGCCTGGGCTGGGAGCCAGAAGTATGGCGCTCTAGTTTGGAGCGGTGACATTGCCTCGTCGTGGCCGAGCTTGCGAAATCAAATAGCCGCTGGTTTGAACATGGGAATTGCGGGCATTCCATGGTGGACGACAGATATTGGAGGGTTCCATGGGGGCGATCCCACCGATGCCAAATTTCGCGAGCTCTTCGTCCGATGGTTCCAATGGGGTACGTTTTGTCCAGTGATGCGGCTGCACGGCGATCGCGAGCCACGACAGCCGCAGCACGGTACAACGGGAGGGGCCACTTGCCGTAGTGGAGCTGATAACGAAGTGTGGTCTTACGGACCGGAGGTTTACAACATATGCAAGAAGTATATGGTGATCCGGGAGGAGCTACGCGACTACACCAGGAGTCTGATGATGTAGGCGCATGAAAGCGGTACGCTAGTCATAAGACCGCTATTTTATGAGTTTGCACACGACACAAAATGTTGGGAAATCTCGCACCAGTATATGTATGGGGGAAGTTATCTCTGTTGTCCAGTACTGGACCCGGGCCAGACAAGACTGTCGGCTTACCTGCCACCACTTGCCGATGGAACCAAGTGGAAGTCGTTCAATGGGGAGCAAACATTCTTTGGAGGACAATTTGTGGAAGTGGACTGCCCCCTTGACACTATGCCAGTGTTCGTCAGAGAGATTATCTCCTAATCGTACAGTGATTTCGATTTTGACTAGTCTTCACGTGCTGGCCGGTCGCACACCAGATTAAGGCTGGAACTTTTAGGAGGCACATTATTGGTACATGCATTCGTTACTAGTGGACGTGATAGGGTAAGGGACTTGTGAATTCTGGCATCGCAGAAGACAATGGTCTCGTCTCGCCCATATTTAGATGACATCCCGCAATGCTGACGTTGCCGCACTTGTCGACTGTCTAGACTATGTGCTATGCCTCTTGCCACGTAAGCATCGCACTATGGTAGCTACTACCTAATTCCAGTTTGTCTCGTCCGCATCCCGCACCTGCGATTGCCTGGTCTGGTCATTTCCCCTTCGCTAAACCAACCTGACGAGAACCCACTAGTATGTGACAAGCCCTGAACGACTGTGCGCAGGACCCTTGACTAGCTTAAACTCTAAGCTGGTCGTGTGGTGAACCCCAAGATCTGGGCCGTCCTAGGGCTCACAGGGCTTTTCAGCTTGCCATGCGGGGCCCCTGGTTGGTCAACCGACAGCAACCCAGGTTGTGGGGTTAGCTGGGGAAGCATGTTCTTGAGTACTATGGTACAAGGTACCTCGGTTACTACCCCAATGAAACTGCCGCTTGATTTTATTGCGTGTGGCATATACCTGAAGTTCTGAAACTGCCGAAACAGTTACACCCTTTTTTACCGAGGATTATTCTCACCAGGTAAAGGAGGCCAGTTGAAATAGTGTTGATAAGTTGAGAGAACAGCCACAGTTACAATGGGTTTCAAGTCTGGTACAACACTTGATTAAACACAGTCGCTTCTTGCAAGTACGATTTGCTAACTGCCAACCGTTGTATTCCCAGTCCATTGAACGTCACCCAAGATGGACGAGAACCTCAACGAAAAAGAAATCCAGGAGTTGGAGGAGGTTCTCAATACCAAAATATATCCTGGAACGGAGATTTTGAAAGATGTGGGCAATTATCACTTCGTGAAGAATGGGGGAGGCAACGACAGCAGAGTCTTGGTCCCGCAGCCAACAGACGACCCCCATGACCCCCTGAACTGGAGTCCCATGTGGAAGGGGATCGCTATGGGCTGTGCTACCATGCTTTCTGTGACTCTAAACTTGGGACCGCTTGCCAATGCGCCTCTGTTCGGTAAGCAGCTGCTTCCCACCAATGCCAATTGTCGGATCGCTAATGATACCATAGGTGATTACATGAAGGAATGGAATTGCACGCTTGAAGAAGCCGTCCAATTCACAGGTGCGCCACATTGAGACAAAAAGTAAATGCTTCAATGCCAACTGATACGGTTATAGGTGTTACAATCCTCGTGCTTGGCTTCAGCAATTTCCTTTGGGTTCCTCTCGCCGCTACTTTTGGGCGTCGGCCTGTCATGATATTCAGCACTCTTATATGCGCTGTGTCTTCCATTTGGAGAGCTCAAGCCACAAGCTACAATTCATTTATGGGTGCTGCAATCCTCAATGGTGTGGCAGCCGGGCCGTGCGAAACGCTGCAGCCACAGATTATTGCCGACATCATCTTCCTCCATGACCGGGGAAAGTATCAGACTCTTTATTTCACGATGTATTTCGGGTCTCTCATGGTTGGCCCGATCATTGCAGGATCCATGGCTTTCAATCTCGGCTGGCGCTCTTTCTGGTGGTTGAACACGGGGCTTCTATTCCTCTCACTTATTGTGAGCCTGGCTTTTCCTGAGACACGCTATCACCGCGTTTACGACTCCAATCCTCGGGTGGCTCCCGAGCCGTTGACCCAACCTCTGGAGACGGGATCTCAGAAAGGAAAGACTGATCCCAACGCCATCGAACATAGCGAACAGGATAAAGACTCTTTAGGGTCGGCTGCCAAGGATGGAGGACTGGCACCGGTGCTCACCCACCAGGACCCCTGGCTAGGACGAGGCAAGCCAAGTAAGGCCCAGTTCAGACTGTATCAGCCATTCAGCAAAGACCAGGTGAAGGTCCTGCTGCGAGAACTTTGGGTTCCGTGGTATCTTCACCTGTTCCCAATCGTGGAATTCGCCTCCTTCGCCGTCTCATTCACTGCTAGCGGGTTCCTCGTGGCCAATCTGTCCGAAACCCAGGTTTTCGCTGCTCCACCTTATAATTACTCTGCTCAGACAATAGGCTTGTTCAATCTAGCTATACTTGCCGGGGCGCTTATAGGTTTGTTTACTAACGGTCCATGGTCGGACTGGGTTGCTGCATACTTCACGAAGAGAAACGGCGGTATACGAGAGCCCGAGATGCGACTACCTGCGATGATCCCCTACGTTTTCATACTCATTATTGGCACTGTGGTCATGGCAGTGGGATACGATGATCACTGGGCTTGGCAAGTCATAGTAATTGTAGGATGGGGCTGCCTGGGGATACAGGTTGCAGCACTTCCCGCAATTGCTTCAACGTATGCAATCGACAGCTACAAGCCAGCCACTGGCTCCTTGTTCGTCGCTATCACTGTTAACAAGAATGTTTGGGGATATGGAGTGAGGTATGTTCAATTTAATATTAAGTTCAATCGATAGCGCGGGCTAACAATCTTGTAGCAAGTTCCTGACTCCGTGGGCTGAGAGTAGCGGGTTTAAGGTGCCTATTCTCGTGAACATGGCGCTCATTGTGTTCTTCTGTTCTACAGGCATTATCTTTTGGTTCTGGGGCAAGAAGATGAGGGGCATGACAAAGAACTCCATTGTGCACCGCCTTTAATTTATACATACCTGACTCGAAGTGCCGATGGAAGAGGTGGTGTGAGTTCGAGGTCTGAAGTGGACTTCACCAGGAGCCAGCGGTGCGTTGGTGCTGTACAGGTTTAGTCACCTCAGACGTTCAGCGTAGCCTAGCATCTAACAAGATTTGCCTTTGTTGTCATATCTTTTCTCATCACAGGTTTTGTTCAGATCTGATATTGAACTCTATAATTGTTGGATGTGGTCTGAGCCTTCAACTTACGTCCCATTCATAAGCCTTTACTTGCTCGTCATGTTTAATACTGTTGGGATCAGTACGCCTAAATCTCGTATCAGCTTCTGGAGCCAATACGAACGTTTGATTGAGAAAGGAGTTTCCCGTCACGAGAAATCGCTTGCTTTCTTTACTGGAACGGAGCTGTCAAGGTCCCAAGTTGAATCAATGTTCCAATGGGTATCTTTCTGAAACCATTATCTCCCCATCCGCAACAGCTATATCCGCCTTACAAGTTTTGACAGATAAGTACGTGCACTTGGAACTGTTGCATCACTAAACCTGATAAGCGTTTACAACTAATGAGCTTATACTGGTATAGGTATGCCAGCCTGTTGAGCGTTCCTAGATTCGGTGCACACAGCTGATTAAGGCATCGGCTCAAGGCCTAGATGAACCCACATCTTGCCAACAGAAACTAATGTGTTAGAACTACCGCTTGTGATCCCGTTGTTGGCACCTCGGGTATCTGTTACGCTTTGTGACTTGATGTTTGAGGACTCCGTTGTCAGCTCCCAATGCCGATTACCATTGCCGGTGGCTGTCGCTACACGTGTGGGCCCCAGAATCTGGGGTCCCCGCGTTGGGTACCTTATCGAATCCACTAACCTAACAACCCCCATGCCCCGCAGTCTCGTAGTCGCGCAGGGGGTGTTGACAAGCCCAGATGCCGTGGCGCTTATTGCTAGCGAGACTGTCTGACCTCAATCACTTGGCTGCCCACGTAATGTTGGCTCTGCGGAAGATGTAGGTAAACTCCAACAGGAAGTACGTGATGTGGGATGTCCACTCAAAGCAGTGCACTTCAATCTTGGAGCGCACCATGCCACTGGAATACTGTGTCAGACCCCGGTCAACCTGAATTGACGGATCTGCTGTAGCTTATCTATGAGGCGTGGGCGTGGATTAGAGGCTCAGGGGGCTGATATTGTAATGCTAGCGATAGGACCCCAAAGCCGGGCCAGCCAAGAGCCATTGCGTTAGGCAAACTTCCTGCAGCCGCCTAGAAACACGTGGCAAGGAGAGGAGATTGGCTACCTAATTGGGATTACCGAACGCGAAGCGCCGCCAAGGTGACATTTCCCACAGTTTACATGTGATAAGCTTCGACTAGACATCCATGATATTAGCCAAAGCACTCAGCACATACAGTTTCTGCTTTGGGCCTAGATGCACTATACCTCATTCATTCGACTTTGACAACAATGCAGGGCTGACCAGCTTCCACTGACTGACCTGGTTGGGCCAACAATTTAAGCACCGTGGAACCGTCTAACTCATCTTCAACCAGGACGTTGATCTCCATTTTCATTGCTTCCAAGATTGCCACCGTCTGGCCTTTTCTGAGAGTCTCGCCTTCGACGGCCAGCATTTTCCACACGTTGGCGTTGACTGGTGATTCAACAACGCGGTTGCCAGAGTCTATAAGCAAGTTAGCGAGGGAATCAATGACCTGCTTCTTCCTGGGCAGCTTGACGCCAAACCCCAGCGCGAAGATTTGCGCCCGAGTAAATCGAATGTCCACTTACCTTCTAAAAGTGCCTGCAACTCGTTTGGATCTGGCTCATTAGACATCTTCTCCGCAATCCACTCTTCCAGAAGTTTCTTTTCAAGTTTAACCATCTTTGCTTGAGCAGCAGCAATATTTTGCTGCACCTGTTGTGTTTCATCACGAGTTTGTTGCAGGAATTCATTGTGTGTTGCCATGTCGAACACGTCCTCTTCATACTCGAATCGATAGCCTCCGGATCGAAACAGGGCCATTTGCCTATCATATTCATCTTCAGTCACTTCGTAGTACGTTATAACGTCCATGTCTTGGAACATCCAAGGTTGCTGTTCGCTGAAATCGAGTTTGGACCCGTAAACGTCTACACCCGGTATCGTCATTCCGAGTGGCATATAACCTCCAGGGCTATCGACAGGGTAGACCGCAATTGCACAGCCACCCCACGAGAACGTACCTGCCGGTGTAAAAGTGCGGCTAGGATTCATCTTCGGCGCTTGAAGTCGTTGCCGTGGATCAACAGGAAGACTCTCTGGCAATGCCATGAAGAACCCAACTCCTATGACGACCGACTCAAGGCCAAGTAACATTTTCTTCAGCTCTCCTGACGTGAGCCCATTGTTTGCGGCGACAAATTGGAAAGGGTCTGGCAGGTAGCTAGCCTTGCTCCTCTGGTTTGCCATGTATCGGTCCATCATTGCATCAATCTTTCGGTGCTTGAACGTCAAAGGGAGGCGGAACCGCCTGTTGGGAAATTTGATGCTTCTCATATCACCGAACGACGACTCGATTTCAACGAGCTTAGTCAGAAGATCGTCCCTTGAAAGCCGGAGGCCGTCGTAATAGATCATTAACGAGTTGCCGCAGCCGACCATGTTCATAATTGGAAAAGGTTCGTCGTTTGCATAAGGTGTCGACGATACATCTCTCACCACCTCTTCAAGACATTTACGCAGTGCTGTCGCCCGGCATTTGTTGTTCAGGTCCGATTTTCCATCTCCGTACTCTACGAGGAGAAAATCGTCGCCACCTGCCCTGTACGATACTTTGGGGCTGGATCGTGTTTCCCCAATGACATGCACCATGTCCACTCCTGTCTCTTTCGTTTCTGGTGCCAGCAGAAACCTGTCCAATGATGCAACCTCGTCCCACGACCCATTACGGATGGCAGTGTCGACCAAATCGATAAACAATTCACTCTTCTTCCGGCATTCTAGCGCACCGTCCAGAGTCACCCGTCGGAAGCGTATATGATCTCCCGACCTGATTTGGCCAATTTTCCAGTAGTCAGCCTTGATAACAGTCAAGCTGCAGATGAAGCCACCGAAATCAGGACAATCAACAGGAAATATCACAGGTTCATCACCTGTCCAGTTAAGGCCACCTATAGGATAGCCGTAATCAATCACGTTACTAGGATGGGCACCACCCTCTCCACCATCTGCACGGGAAAACTTTGGACGAGGGCCAATGAGCCTAATTCCTCCCCGTGCTGCATTGTGACTGACCTGCCAAGCTGTCGAAAATAACATCTCGATATCTTCCGTGGACAGATATCCTGTCTCATACGGCCCAGACATGACTTGAATGTCCCAACAGTCGTGGTCATATTGTGGAATAAGCTCTCGAGGCACTGAAACATTTTGTTGTGTTGGTAATGGCGTGGAGTCCACAATGCGAAGAAAGTCGCCGGCACGAAGTGCCCGACCTTGATATCCCCCAACATTAACCATGGGATTTGTGGACTTGCTACCGAACCATTGTGCAACATTGGGAAAGCCGCCATACACCGCTAGGTACGATCGACAGCCCTGGACTAACTTTCCAACCTTGAGCTTTTGGCCTGCTCTGACGTGCACACGAGTCCACATAGGCAGCTCACTCGCGTCAAGGTAAGCAGGTGCTTCAGGGCCACAAAGGGAAATCGTAGCCTCTCCTAAGAAAAGCAATTCCGGGCCGGTGAGAGTAATCTCCAGCGCTTCCGTATTCATAGAATTACCGACCAAGGCATTGGCAACTCGGAATGAGATAGGATCCATCGGACCGGCATGCCCAAAACCATGGCCAACGGTTGGACGCCCAGGGTAATCCTGTATGAGCGTGTAGGAACCGCCAGACAAGACATCAATCGCGGCAGGCGCATAGTTGAAGGTATCAAGCATTCTGGTGAGTGTGGCGCCGCTCTTAAACTGTTCCGAATCGAGGATTGCGAGTAAGAAGTCTAAGTTCACCGGGGGCCCGCGTACTTGACTGCCGACTAGTACCTGCCGAAACTCCGAGATGGCTCTTTCTCGCGATGGTGCATGGTGCATGAGCTTAGCTAAGAGGGGATCGTACATAGGACTGACCACATTGCCAGGTCGGACCCAGGTGTCAACTCGAGATTTGTCTAGTAGATGCCAGTGGACTTGTTGTAGCAACCCTGGGCTTGGTGAGAAGTTACGAGCCGGATTCTCTGCGTATACACGAGCTTCAATTGCATGACCCCGTGGCTCGAGGCACTTGGTCTGTAGGTCGCATAAGTCGTCCGCGGGGAGTCCACCTGTGCCACCTAACTGGCGATCTGCTTGCTTCAGCATGAGATGAACTATGTCGACGTCAAAGCACATCTCGGTCACTCCATGCTCAACTTGTAAGCGGGTGTTCATCTCCAGGAAAAAGTAGTCTCCGGTGTGATCGTCCACGAGATACTCTATCGTACCAGCAGAGCCATAGTTGATGCTTTCTGCGAGCCGGATACCGTCCTTTGTCAACTTCTGGCGGAGACCTTCTTTTCGGGAGACGAATGGACTAGGACACTCCTCTATGACTTTCTGGTGTCTTCTTTGAATTGAGCATTCGCGCTCGCCTATACTTATCACCTTGCCTTGCCCGTTTCCGAAAATTTGTACCTCAATGTGGTGACTGTCAGGATAGTATTTCTCCAGGAAAACACCTTCATTCTTGAACAGTGCCACGCCTCTAGACTTGACTTGCTCAAAGTTTTGCTTGACATCTTGCTCATTATGGCAAATTAGCAACCCCATGCCACCGCCTCCAGCAGTTGCCTTCAGCATGACAGGAAAGCCCAGATTTTGTGCCTCTGCTAGAGCAACGTCGGCTGTTGATAACAACCCTCGGGATCCAGGGATTACAGGGACCGATACAGCCACGGCAAGCTCTCGTGCCGTGTGTTTTAAACCCATGGATTCAATGGCGTCAGCTGATGGACCGACAAATGTGAGGCCGGCAGCAGCCACCATTCGTACGAACTCGGCATTCTCCGAAAGAAAGCCATACCCAGGTATTATGGCTTGAGCACCACTTGCTTTCGCAATTGCAATGATTTGTTTACTGTAATCACGCATCAGCCTCTGCGAAAGGAGCCATCAACGAGTATACGCAGACTGACCCATCCAAGTACGCCGAGCTTGCATCCCCTTCCAGCATCGAAGCCTCATCGGCTGCGAGCACGTGTTGCGATTCGGCGTCTGCATCTGTGTATATTGCAACTGTCCGAACACCTAGCTGTCTGAATGTGGTCAGATCCGTGTTGAGATGTATGCTTCGTGGATTATTGATGCAGTGTCTATTTCAGAACAACTCACTTCGCTGCTTGAATCAGCCGGCAGGCGATTTCCCCCCGATTTGCCACTAGAATACAATTAAGAAACTCCATTGCGATATTGTTATACCAATCTCAGTTCGGCGAGGATGAGAATCCCATCTACCTTATACTTGCGCCCAAAACGTAACACATTTACTGGAGTCAAGTTAGTGGAGGTTCAAATTACGGTCATCCAGACGGCAGTACAGCCACCCCTCAGACATCGGTCAAGCGGAGGTTCCGATATGGGACTTATCTCCCATTTGCCGTGTGCGTCGATCCCATGGATCATGCCACTAATGCATTATCATAGACGTGTTGGAGGTATCTAGCGGCGGGGCAAAATGGTAGTCACTGCCCCACTGCTCGGCTCCGAAGGTCAATGGCTTTGAAATCAACCACATTAGGACTGGGGTCCTAACACCTAGCAATGATAATCATAGACTACCTCGCTTGTATGGTACTTGGCAATGCCAGCCAGCTATCTAGCGCTACCTTGCTGGACTCTTTTCAATGCAAATGAAAGTATGCAACACTTGATAATTGAACCAATAGTAAGCCTCACTCATCGAACTCACTGTATGCTTCGCCCAAGCCAAAGTGGGAGCGATCAGATTATGATCTATCATTTAATACAGCGAGTCATACTAAAGCATCTTCGCCGGTTTCAGATCTGTGCCAAGCTCTGTCGACTTTTCAGAGGAAGGTGCCACTTCGCCAGTCAGTATCTCATCTGCTGGAGTGGAAGTCTTTCTCCCGAGTACACGCCTTAGTAACGCCAAGGCCATATCTTTGCCCTCCCAGATCGGAAGCACCGTAATGATGATAGAAGCGATAAAGGCCCAAATGAACAAGACAATAACCCAACCACGAAAGAAAGTCTGGCTAAAGACGTAGTGCGAGGCGTACATGGGAATCGGCCAAAGAATCGCCAACGAGATAACAAGGAATGCTGCAATTCCAAGAGACCTCCAGCGAGCCTGAACCATTTTCCTGTCATCCCAGCTCTCGCTGTTATGTGAAATAGCACCATGATGCCGTTCGTCATGTGCGTGGACAGTGACATGCTCATCGTCTCCCCGTTTGATCTCTGTGTGAAATATTTGCCAGTCAAAGTCCTCTGGTTGTAGATATGTAATCAAAGGCGTCAAAAGCATCGGGCCAGTCAACGCCATCATGTTGCCGGCAACAAGTGGGAGATTGCCGCTCAGCGTCTCAATGGAAATGACACCGTAATGAGTATATGCCGTCAAAAACCATGCAGTGATACCGGCTGCTGACGACGCCAAAGGGGAGATAATAGCCGCAAGTCTTGACTGCTTCTTCCAAAAGATCGTGCAAACCATTGGAACAACAGCACTGTCAACGAATATTCCAATTGCCGTTATCAGAAAACCAACGCTGAACCCCCCGTGGTTAAAAGCAACGGCGATCGAGGCCGAGACGATGGCAAAGCCCACTGTGATGAAATGAGAGAAGAACAGGAGTTGTTTCCCAGAGGCACCTGGGTGAACGTACGCCTGATATACGTTATAGCTCAACAAAGCTGTTGTAGCCACGGTCTCAGACGACATTGCGCTTGTGACAGCCATGAAGACCATAAGTAGAACAGCGATGACGCCGCCATTGCCCATCAGCGCCAAGGCAGCGTAAGGCATCGCCATTCCAGATGCTATCTCATAGTCATTCATACGGTTCGGATATGTTGGCCAGACTGGTAGATGTTCTATGGCCGCAGCCGCTAGCCCAAAGGTGCTAGCAAGAACGAAAGGAATCGTGAACCATGACAGCCCTCCAATGATATAACCCCGTGATATGCTGTGTCGATCTGCCGCAATAGCTTTTTGAAACAACTGGCTATCAGTAGCAGATGCGAATCCAGCGCCGATGAAGACGAGTCCAATGTATCCACCACCCTCGGACCTCATGGTGAGATACTCGCCCTGAGCATTTCCATCGACTGGGTGAATGGTTGCTGCCGTCTTTAGAAGCTCCCACATCTTCTCTGGGGAGCCTATGATATCAGAAGTTGTGTAGAATACAAAGAGACAAAGAAGCATAATCAAATAGATGATTACAGTATGGACCTAGTAGGCAAGTCAACATCAAAACCCTGGCCTATACATGGTGAGTCGATCTAACATACCCAGTCGGTTATGAACGTCGCTTTGATGCCGCCCATGAGCGTATATATAACCACACCGATAGGGAAGAGAAAGCAAGCCGCGTCACGGTTGACGCCAGTCATAGTGGAGAAGACTGCAGAACCTCCAACCAGGAGATTCACTGTGGTGATCAACTGATAGACCATGCAGTAGGTACAGAAGATCAGATGGACCGCCTTTCCGTACCGAACCTTGACTACCTGTAGGAATGTCTGCGCATTTGGGGCCTTTCTTTTCAACTCAATTGCTGCCACTGAGAAAAGTAGAATCTGGACTGTAGCGCCACATGCGTACCAGAACGGACCCGAAACACCATACTGGTATCCGTAGGTTGTGCTGGTCAGGAGGGTTGTGGCGATGGTCCACGAAGAGACCACAGCCGATGCGATCAACCCTGTTTTTACCGAGTGCTTTGCCGTCATAAACATCTCAGAGTCCTGCACTTCGTCTAAATAACGACTCAAGGCCCAAGAAATGGTCGACATGCCAATGGCAAAGCTGCCCCAACCCCGATCAGAATTCCATAACCAACACCTTGGGACAACGGAGCTGCGACTTGAACTACTTCTTCGCCCGCCATGGTGTCCGGTAGTTTGATATAGCAGCTGGATAGCGGATCGATTGAAGGGAAGTTTGATATGGCAATTGGAACAAGGAGTCAGTGAATCGCAATAAGGGCACCTTTAAGAGGAATTCCCAAGTACTACGGGCTGTATTAATACCAGTGTCAGGCTGAAGACCAGGGCATGTTGATAACGCCGTGGTCCATATTTTGAGCCAATGACCTATCCGTGACGTTGTCTCTTGGATTATGCTATTCGGGGGTTTGCGGGCAAGCCACATACTGTGGTATCTTTTGTTAATCGAGGTTGCATGGCCCAGCACTTCAGGCATAACTCCTTGATAACTCCCTTGGGGTAGAGCCAGGCTTATGAGCTGGATTTGTCGGAACCGGCTGACCAACGGAGCTTATCATACCCCCCTGGGCATTGAAGTCCCCACCCCCTTCCAAATCTAGCATGCCTCAAACCACCCAGGGTCATCCTGGGTTATCTAAGCTTTGCAGTACGGAATCCTTGTTTCTATTTGATTTGTCAAGCTGTAGAGTGACATCCTACACAGCATAGGCTACAGCCCTAGACTGGACAAGCAACTTAGAATTCAGTCCTTGATCCCATGCTCATAGTTTGGCTGATTCGGATCGCAAGTCTTGTAACAATTGAGCGGCTCCTCTCTTGCCGCTACGCAAAGCCCCTTCCATGTAACCTCGCCATTCATTCGTCAGTTCTGTACCTACGAAGTACATTCCACCAAACGGTTCTGTGATAAGCTGCCCATCATCCCTTTGTCCCATGATACCGGGCGGGGCCATCGCGAATGGACATCCCCATCCCGCCCACTGATCTTCCATCCAGGGGGACATCATAGAGCCGATGAATTCATCCCTGACAGCGCTTTCCGCTAGACCGAATAGAGAAGATACCTGCTCGAGAATGGCGGCTTCACGCTCGTTACTAGACTTGGCATACCATTGGCGGCCTGGTCTTGAGACCAAGAAGCAGGTAAGCGCGTAGTTGCTTTGGGAGTCCACTGACGTATCCCGGCAGTGTGATAACGGCCCCTTGAAGCTTTGTGCCAAGCCACAAGCACCGCTGCGGCGCCAGAAGGGAGTTTTGAAGAGACAAATATATTTGACGTAGCACCCGTACCGAACAGCAGTGGTGTATATCAAGCGCGAAGGAGGTAGCGGCGGACTGAACGTGATGTTCTTGTACGCAGGCCCAGGGATGCTGACTATGACCCTGCGTGAAGTAATGGTTCGGCCATCGACGAGCCTTGTTGTGTACTTCGTCCCTTGGTCGTGAGCTGTCACAGCGTTTGCAGCGCAATTGAGCTTTATCGACCCTGACGGCAGGAGCTTTGCCATGCCCTGAGCCACAGCCTGAGTTCCCTCTTCTAGGCGTAGATACTGGGCCCCGTCCTTGCCGTCATGTCGAAGATTAGCAATGCCCAATCCGCCACGCGCAAGTTCTAGGAATGCCAAAGCGGAAACATCACTCGGGTCTTGACCCAGCATTCCATGTGTCCAGAGGCGCACTGTCTGAACCGCCCGGGGCCCTGCTCCAGCTTGGATAATCCATTGCTCGAGAGTCTGTTGATCTAGTTCATTGCGTCGTGGTTGACGGAAGGTCTCAGAATCCCTCGCCGTAGCCTCAATCAAATCCCGAATATCTATCATATTTCTGACTTCGGCTTCCGCAAACTAGCAAAACTCGGGATTCAGTATTCCTCATGGGAATCAAGGTCAGCTTAGATAATCGTACATACATTTGGTAGGCCTCCGTAGTTGAAGTGATGACATTTGCCATCAGTATCCTCACATGCCACGGTACCTTTGATGTTCTGCACAACAGGGGTGAGCCCAAACTTTTGGCAGTAGCTCCAGTACATAGACTGGTTGGTGTCGTTCGTCCAGGCGGCTCCCATTTCCTGAAGACCTTTTCCATCCGGTCGCGATACCGAATACGTCTTACCACCGACGCGATCTCGGGCTTCAATGATAGTAAAGGAGTGACCAGCGTCATGAACGTCGAGGGCGGCCTGAAGACCGCTGAGGCCTGCGCCGATGATGAGAACGTCTACTGAAGTGGCCATTGTGACTTGCTTGAAAAGATAGGAGAGAAGTTGGAACAGGACAAAGATTGAACGGTAGATGTTATACTTGGGTAGTCGTGAACAAAGCACTGCAGGTTACCCATTTACTCTATAGAACCAGACTTTGGCCGATGAAAGGCCATCCCGAAGCCGAACTCGGGCTCCACATTACTGGTCAGCCATTAGGACTTTGAATCATGACTCTGTCGCAACACGTATTGCAACAGTGTCGGCTCCGGAATGGCAAGATTGCAGAAAAGTGGTTAGCGTAGAGTGGATCTGCGACAGTGGCACGCCCAGAGGCCAGGGTCAATTACAGTTCACGGGTTCCGAGAGTAGTGGATCCTGTCTCCAACTACTCCAACCCTTATCTCGGTTCCGAGCAGCTACCCCAAGTCTTCGGCATGCTGCGGGGACGGACGTCATGTCGCGTGCGGCACAATTGCAGCATCATGTACCTCGGGGGATGTTCTCCTGATATCAGTTATCGCTCAGTCGCCAGAGTTGCCAAACGGTAAATTTGAGCCCTTGTCAGTTTGTAAGAAGTACCAATCGAAATGGCGCCGACGCAGCACAAAGCTCTCATTAACGTTGACATGGGCGAGGCCTATGGGAACTACCTATGCGGTCCGGACCAGGACTTGCTGCCGATGATAGATCATGCAAATGTAGCTTGTGGTTTCCAGTGAGTATTGGCCAAGTATGACGCGCTGTTGGATAGGTTGCTTCAGAGCTAACCAACTTGACTTGTGAAGTGCTGGGGATCCCCTCATCATGAAGCAGACTGTCGCCCTATGCAAGGCCCACAATGTTAAGATTGGTGCGCACCCGGGGCTTCCAGATATCCAAGGATTTGGCCGCCGGGAGATGAAGCTGAGCCCCGAAGAGCACACAGCCAACATCATCTACCAGGTCGGAGCCCTACAAGGGTTTCTCTCCGTCGAAGGTGTCGAACTGCATCATGTCAAGCCCCATGGAGTATTATACGGGATGATGGTGCGAGATCTGGAAGTGGCTCGCGCTGTTTGGGCCGGTGTGCCAAAAGGGATGCGGGTGTTTGGACTTGCTGGCACGCATATGGAGACGGCAGCACAGGAAGCCGGTCTTGAGTTCTGGGCCGAATACTACGGAGACGTCAAGTATCGCGCCGACGGAACACTAATAGTCGATCGCAAGAAACAGCCGTGGCTTATAGATGATGTGAAGGAACACGTCAGGTCGCAACTTGAGGAGAGCCGGGTCAGGGCGGTTACAGGAGAGACTGTAGACCTACCTGTCAAAGACTATCCTGTCACTCTCTGCTGCCATTCTGACTCGCCTGGTTGCATTGAGATAGTGAAAGCAACTAGGGAGATTGTCGATAGTTTCAACAAGGCTCGAGGGTTATAAGACGCTCATACAAACCTGACACCGCTTGGGAAGGTCTTTTCGCAGACCAAATCCTGCGTCTTGTATATAATGACTCCTCGCCGGTACATTCTATCTAGCCTTCCAGCAAGGCATGGATACACAACCGGTAAGGAGAAACAACAGAGTTGTATTCAATATGTAGGTTGCTTCGCAGAGTTACAGGCTTCAACATGTCGTTGAGCTACCTACATAATGGCTGTGCCAATCCTTGGTGCCTGTATCTGGGCAAGGTTTGTTGTCAACCTAACTTAGCGGACTACCACAGTGGTATTAGCGCCGAGTCACCCACTATCATGGGCGGGGTCCGGGATTTGGCGCCCCTGTGAGGCGATATTTGAGGCAGTTCCAGGCACGAATTGACTTGGAGTGCTACAACTCCGACCGGCTCAAAGTAGCCATTCAGACGCGCCGTACATCTACTCCCTGCCTTGTATGCTAGGCTATGGACACCTCTACTCAGTATAGGAAACGGCGCCAGAAGAAGGCTTGCGATACTTGCCGTCGGCGAAAGGTGCGATGTGATATCGCCAGCAAAGGCCGTGTCCCCTGCTCTGTCTGCGAAAAGTCCAGGCTTGAGTGCCGGTAAGCCAGGGAATGGCAGCTCAATACAAAACAGCTTTGACTAATCTGCGACAAGATCTACCGCCCAATGGGCACTGCCAAAGCGGGCTTCCAGAATACAAGCACAGTCGGGAAATGCTACTTCACAAATCGGGCTTCGTGAGGCTCATGGGCCGCGAGGTCAGGATCCTGAGGGCGAGACAGATACACGCAGGCGGCCACCACATACAACCTCTAATTGGGCCCGTAATGATGGCCCAATGGAAATTGGGAACTCAGAGACAATATCAGTTTTCCCAGTTGGTGGTTATCCACCAGGCTCTAATGTAGGGTCGACTGAGAATAGGCAGAGCGATGAGCTGGCCCGCAACGGGCTGGCACGCTTCTTTAAGCACGGAATTGGCTCCGGGATATGGGCAGTTTTCGATGCGATGGAGCACTTCCGCGTAGCCTATGTCGGAACAGCAGTTTCGAATCTTGCGCATCTCGTCAGTCTCCGAAGAACACTCCCCCGTCCGACCTCTGCCGGCTCATTTTCCAATGTCGACCGAACTGCAACATCTGATGACTCTCCAAGTGTATCAAACGACAACCAATCCCCCTTCTCACTGAGGACAAGTCCAATGACTTCAAACCCGGCTGTGCAATTGGATGGCCAATCTTTGCACTATCCGTACCCTCCCATTCGACCGATAACGAAGTGGAAGCCAGACTCCACAGCGTGGGGACTGAGCTCTGTAGAGAACCTCACGGCAGACCTCTCTGCTTTTCCTGGCCGCGAAGTTCGCGACGCCCTTGTTGATGCTTATTTCCAGTATATTCACCCGTCTTTTCCTGTCATCTCTAAACCGGAGTTCATGACCAGATATTGGTCAACGGAAAACCCGCCACCACTACTGATCTTCCAGGCTGTTTTACTGGCTGGGGCGCATGCTTGCTCGCATCCTCTCGTGGCCTCAAATCGCAACGTGGTGAAAAGTGTCCTTTTTCGGCGCGCGAACACGCTGCTGCACCTCAGGCATGAGACTGATCGTCTGTATCTTATGCAAGCTGCCTTGCTGTTCACGTGGTACATCGGTGATGGTGACACGGTCTCCGCCGGGCCGTACTTCTGGACCGGCTATGCGATGCGTATCGGATGTGGTATGGGAGTTCACAGGAATAACGCGGCTCTCCCACTTAAGGAACGTTTGTTCTATAAGCGGAGTTGGTGGTCCGCCTTTACCTGTGAAGTATTCTCTTCGCTCGAGACCGGCAGGCCTTGTTCAGTGCGAGCTGAGGATTTTGACCAGTCATTGCTCACCGAAGATGACCTCACAGAACAATTCGACGGCACACCGAAGGCGCAGCCGGATGATGTGCCCCTGGAATATCACCTTCATATAATCAACCTGGCAATCATAGCTCTTGACGTCCTATCACTCAGTGCTCCCTCGCGAAAAGCGACACTGGAACTAGACGTCATTGATAACCGCTTGGCGCTCTGGTGTCTTGAGGCTGGCATCTCTTCGTCGGCAGAAGATGCTATGTGGCCTTCGCTGCTGCGGATGCATTATAACATTGTCCTTCTTCACCTACATCGTAGCGTTCCATGCAACCCTACTAGTGATAAAATACGCACAAACGCTGCAGAATCCATAGTCTCGGCACTTGAACGTTTGGTAGTTCTTGAAGGGCTTGGTCACTGCCAATTCACCGCAGTCGGGGGAATCACGGCCGCTGGAATTCAGATCACCGCTGAACTCGGGCGGGCCTTCACAAACAATACTGCGTTGGTCGCCATAAACGCCTTAGGGCGGCTCAGGCGGACCATTCGATGCGCCAAAGAGTTGAGCCATTTTTGGCCCAATGCCGACGCAGTGTATCAGGTCTTCTCAGAATTACACACAGAGTATGAAATATATGTTACGCAGGGACTCCAAGGGGAGAGTGTGCGGACCATATCAAGTCAGCCAGACTGGAGCCTGCTGTTTGCAGATTTTCCATCCCTCGATTTTGACTTGTTTGGCCCAAGCCAGCCGTGGATGAGCCAACGGCCCTGGGATGAACCTTATGATATAAACATGTAGAAATAGTTCAGACGCAGTCTTGATTAGTATCTCGGCTTTGTGGTAGTTCCACCACATGCTTATTGGGTTGGTATGTAACTGAAAAAAACTAACGCTGCTACCATGTATCTATAAGTTGTTGAGCAGTCAATTGGCCTAGTTTCCCCAAAAAGTAATTTGAGGAACCACATCCAGGGTGTAAATTTTGCGCGTCAATGTTTCACCCTATTCGTGGTCTTCGAAATGTCGCTTGAGGAGATCACTGCGCGACATAAGAAAATGCAACCTGCAAGCTACAAGTCTATTACTGACAAGATTAAGTTTCAACCCACTGTGTTGCTGTTATCTGCACACTGAAAAGGACCTGAAACAGAACCGTCGCGGAATTGCCCTATTATCACAACAACATTGGCAAGGGTCCCACCGATCGTAACAAAGATACCCATGCAAAGAATGGCAACATGTAACCACCACATCGCCTGCAATTTGAGGTCACCACGACGATATTCGGGGTGCATGCAAAACCACATGACGGCAGGTAAACATATCCCTAGAGGGCCAAAGCCTAGAGAGCCGATGATTGAGACCAAAGATCCGTAGAATGGGATGGCTTCGCAAATCAGCCAGCCAACGAGTCCTGTTCCGTAGGTTGACGCCAACCAGACCGTCCAGTGTTGCCAGGTGTTGCCCGTGAGGTGTCGTGAGCGCCTGAGAACGCGAACGAATATTGATTTCCCAGAAATATGTACACAAATCATGCCTCCAGCGATCAGACCGGGTATGGATATTGCGTATGATATAATCTTAATGGTCGGTCCAGCTGAACCGAGAGCTGGGGTCGCCAACCACTGACCCGCGTAACGGTACATCACCATGCCGATAACCATATACGAAATGACAATCCAGGCCATGGTGACGTAAACACTCCTGAAGTAGTGCTGAGGACGCCTCATTTCTGAAATGACGGGAACGTAGCCGGACGTATTGGCAGAGGAGGCGTAAATGATAAGCGATGCTGACCATGCGCTTGAAAACGTCACCGCCGAAGACGGGAATGCGGAAAACCCCAGCTCGTAATCCCCAATTGCTGGAGCTGCCGCAGGGCGGCCGCGGATAGCAGTTGCAATGAGAACCACCATGATGGCGGCAACGATGGAGATGAATCCAACCCAGGTGACCCATGCCGTTTTCTCGATTTTTCGGATGCTTCCAATAGTAGCAACAACGATATATGAGACGAACGCAAACAGGACAGTGCAGGTCCCATGATGTGTAACTGCATTGAGAGCAATAGAAAGACCCAGGATCGAGAGCCCAGTGCAAAGTATCCAAGAGACGAGGTACAAGAACTCGGTGACTTCCTTGGAGAACACTGCCCACTTCTTTGACCCTCCGCTAAGCTGGAGAGCGGCAATCTCTGCGCCATCTGCAACAGTATGAAGAGAGGGGTGGCGTAGTTTGAATTCACCTTGCAGCACAGCCATATACGTGTTGACTAAACCCCAAAAGAGGATGAAAATCGCGCCAGGCACAGCGCCGAGGTCGTTTAGAGCAGCAGGTAAGGAAAGCACGCCGGTTGCAAACGTCATCTTGAGCATGAACATGGCTGCGCGAATCCATCCTACGTTCCGGAAGTTTACTGCTCCTTCACCACCACCAAACACTTCAGTTTCGGTGTCGGTGACAGTGCCTGCTAGTATCGGACTGGCAGAACCCGGCGAGGCCTCGCTCTGGCACGGTTTTTCGCACTTTTCTGGGTCCATTTTGGATAGAAAGAGCTGTGAACTTATCACTATGAATGATTGAGGTGGCAAATATCCTCCTGGACTGATTGAGCGTATTACGTCTCGCAAGGGCTCACGTCTCTTTGTGAGGGTAGTTACAGAAAACCACAATGATTGCTATGATCAGGAGGAGCTATCTATTATAGAAACGGAGTTGCATTCTTTATAATAACCTGCTTCAAGCACAGATAATTAAATTGCAACTCATTGGCTTCAGAGAATTCATATTAAGTGCATGGTACTGATTACCGTGACAAGGATCTGCCAACAAATCATGGTGCAGATCAATTACCCAGATAGTAAGTTGAAGATCTGCCATAGCCATGCACTGCCCCGCTATAATGGCCTTGTTTCCTATCAGACAGTTGCGGGACTTGAATTCTTGGGCCGACTCAACGAACTTCACGGAGCCGGTCACCGGAGGCTCTCCGCCGGTACGTTTAAATCCTCCCGACACTGATAAGCCATTGAGCAGCTGCACATTAGAGCGACATCTATCACCAACAATCGGATGATTGATTGGCGACACGTCATTGATAAGACTGAAATAGTCAATCAGAAAGCCAATCCTCTTCAATGTTGGTATTGGTAAGTATACACCAGGAATAGTTGCGGACGGGCTCCGGATGCAATCAATTTAGCGTCTATTATGCGTACCAGGCTGCCTATATAGTAAATTTGAATCCTGTTCGACGAGAGTGTTAATGTGAATAGCCTGCGCCAAAGGGTCAAAGCGCAAATACTTGTGATACGTAGTTCCATCCAAGAATGGCGATCGTGGCATCTCCCAGGTTCGTCTTCAATCCTCGCATAATAACTCATACATGCTGACTTTCGGTTTGCCCGCTTTAGCGGCTCTAGGCTTCAACCGGAGAAGGTCAAGGCCTTATTGACCAAAGCCGGTCTCAGCCAGTCCGAGGCCCTGATTGATGACTGGTGCGTCCTCTTAGGGTCTTTTGAAGACAGCATTCAGGATGTTCTCAAACAAGAGGATGACCTACCTCGTCCCAACTTGGCCAAATACCCTCGAAGTGAAATCCAAATTCCGAAAGATGCTACCGAGAGCGACAAGGGTGGATGGGCTACTATATGTATTGCCAAGAGCATTGAACCTGTAAACTCTCTGCTGGATAAGAAGAAAGTTGCTCTGAAGGATAACATCGCCCTTGCTGGCATACGCTGTTTGAATGGCATGAACCCACTGGGACGAGAGTGGGTGCCCGGGTGTGACGCCACTGTCGCTACCAGAATCATGGACGCTGGTGCAACTATCGTCGGCAAAGCGACTTGCGAGAATGCGTGTATGGAACCATCATCGGACACTTCGTGGACAGGCATTGTCCACAACCCCTACGCAGATTATTACGCGTGCGGTGGCTCGAGCAGTGGCTCCGGGCGAGTGGTCGCCACGGGGTCGGCGGACATGGCACTTGGCTGCGACCAGGGCGGGTCAGTAGCAGTTCTCCATAAACCAACCCCGGTCTACAACTAACACGTTGACTCAAGTTCGGTTCGTATCCCGGCAGCATTCTGTGGGCTTGTTGGCCTAAAGCCGACTTGGGGACTAGTCCCTTATACCGGTATCTTGGGCCTACATGCTGAAATTGACCATTGCGGGCCAATGTCACGAACTGTCCGAGATAACGCTCTTCTGCTCGAGGCAATCGCCGGTCCCGATGGCCTGGATGACAGGCAGCCAAGATCAATGCCAACAGAAGCGCTTCAGTACTCCAACCAATTGGACCGTTTTATGCGTATCTCAGAAGCACATTTGAAGCCGCTCAGTGGTTTCAAGATCGGAGTACTCAAGGAAGGATTCGACCTTCCTATGCTAGACTCGAACGTGGAAAAAGCGGTCCGTTCCGCAGTGGCGGATCTCGCTGCACTTGGAGCAGAGGTGATAGATGTATCCATCCCTGAACATCACCAGATCTGTGTGTCGTGGACCTGTACACAGGCATTGGCCGGCGGTCGAGATGGTCTACTTGGTCAACGGACAGGCCGCAAGGAACTCTACATGACAGATATCACCGGCGGTCCAGGTTGCGTGTCACAGGAAAGGTTTGACGCATGGGGGCCAGGTGCTCAGAATCTCTACATGAAATACCTATATGTGGTAGAAAATCATGGCGCAACTGTAAATGCCAAAGCGTCCAACTTGATTCGCAAGCAGACTAGAGCTTACGATGCGATACTTTCCTCTCTGGATGCTCTCGTCATGCCAACCATACCCTTTCCTGCCACACCAAGTTTTCGGGAAGGAGAACAACATGGACCGTTGGAAAGACTGGTGCGTATGGCCGGCACAATACTCAACACAGCACCCTTCAATGCCACTGGCCACCCAGCGCTATCCGTGCCTGTGGGCTTTGTACCTGCGCTTGACAACCAATCGATCAAACTACCAGCGGCCTTGCAAATCGTTGGAAAAGCGTTCGATGAGATGTCATGTTTCAAGATCGCAGCATGTTGGGAGCGGATCAAGGACTGGAAGTCAATCATTGTTGAAAGCTAGGCGTGCGCTAGCTCGTTCCTTTCGTGGGAGGGAGATTAACCTCACACGCTGCAAGAGGTGGATGTGATTTACATATGCTCTGGGATAAGGCTTCTGGTCGAGATTGAGGGTGATATTATGCAGACAAAGGAAATATCTGGTCACGGTGGTAATGTCAACACTGGGGTAACATGCGTCTTACCTCGCGATGGGTGGGCCAGTAAGCTTGCTACAGTGGCGTTTTCAGCTTCAAGAGCAGTACAGTAATGACAGGTAGCCAATAAATAAATGAGGTGAACCATGACCAATGGAGATTGTCGTTAACAAGAGTCATCAATTATGGCCCGTTGTCGTGAACTTCGAATCTAAATGCTGATACAATCCAAGCACTAGGCAAGGCTGTTGCATTCGCCAATTGTAGTTGCCAATGCTATTTTCTGTCAGGTCGCACACCAGGGTGTTAACAATACAGGCTCAATCTTGGTGCATGAAAGATGGAAAGATCGACTGGCTGGTGCTGCCTGTCATGGGCGAAGCAGTCGATGTCCACCTAAATGACGTGACTCAGTGCAACATCAAGCCGGGCATATTACATGTGGCTCAGAGAGTGTAATTTACGAGCTTGCCCGTAATGACAACGTCGACACCAAGACCAACATGATCTACAGTCGATTCAAGGGTGTAGCATTGCCTGGTTCACCCAATGGACTGATCAAATTTATCATCAAAAATGGACCTTCATATATTTATGTTGCCAGTTTCAGCAGGGTGGTCTGAGGTTTAAGCCCCATTGATCAGAACACTGTTGCAAGCCATGGCACATTTCACTTTGTAAGCTCGAAGGCGTAGAGATATGTAAGAGAAACATGGATATATCAGCTTAATTAAAGATATGAATTCTGAAAAGGTTGCAGTTGAAAGAACACGTTATCAATTTGAATTCATACCGCCGTTTTATTAGCACCCTTCTCGCAGCCCCTTGAGCAAATTATGGGGACCATTTTCCCTCCTGAACCAGGTTACTATCACTGTCACCTAATCGAGTGAATGTGGACGGGCTGTTGAGACTTTGTAATGCAATCCTGGTGCTTGATGATAAGCCATTGCTCTTTACACCCGAGCCCATGCTTCCCTTGGGCTTTCGCCCTAGGGATGCTATTCCGCCACTTTGTAATGACAGGCTCTTAAAACCAAGTCGTGCGAGGGCCATACGGAAGAGAGGTTGCAGAGTTGAAAGACTGCCTGCTGCGATCGCTAATGCTTGTTCAACTTGTGACCATATAGCAATATCCGTGGTAGCCCCTACATCGCACGCTGTTAGTGAAGGCCACCCTTTACATGAACATGCACTCACACAAAAAGTCGGCCTCACGGAATTTCTGAACGTAGGCCAATCGAACGATTACGGCACAACTCGCTCTACCCGTGAGATTAGCAAACGCACAAGCAATTCTGAGGAGGAGGCCAACAAACGTACACCGCTGCCAAACTGAGAATGGGAATCAGGGCGTATTTTGTCCTTCGATCCACTTGCAGGTCCTTGACAAGCCATATCGGTAGCAAGGTAAAAGTGAAATCCGTTAGGATTGCGAAGGCGCTGTATACATAGGTGATGTCAATGATAATGCCGATATCGATGCAAGATCCGGTGCCCGGGATGCGTGTCCAGAAGAACGAAATAGGGGAGCATTGAAACATAGCGATAAAAAAGAAGGCTGTGCTGATAAACACTGAGATACCGAGAGCAATATATATCGTCAAACGGTGAGACCGGAAAGGTGTAATTCGGAGAAGAAAGAACGCGATGCTGGCTTTGGAAAATATCATGGTTGTGCAGTACCAAAGATAACAAAACCACCAGTTCTGCCAAGCTATGTGAGAGTCCCAGCCAATAGATTCAGGGTACGTTTATTGGAGACAACATACCTTGAGTGCGATAGAAATGTCTGCTAGGTCAAGATTCCAGGCGTGTTGGCCAGTACCATGTGCCACGCCACTGAGACAGAACCCCGTGTGCAGTGTAAAGGAAACCTGCAATTATGAGCTACTGGGACGTTGTAAGGCAAGATCTTGGGTCTTACCATAGCTATGATCATGAGGCAGTCATCAGCCCCAAAAGCCTTGAGCAATCCAGCCCGGACGTACACTCGAAGCAACACGGACGCTAGTGCCAAGACATACATGATCCATACAACGATTTGAACCTCTGGGCCGCGATTCTCTTGAACACCCATGGTGCCATGCGGGTTCACCAGCTGGTGACTGTCAAATGCCTGTCGAATGGCCTGCAGCTAGACGTTCAGGATGATGGGATTGCCCTCTGAAGGCGTGATGATAGCTCTGAAGAATTCCCAGTCGAATCGTACATGGGTTGGGGTGAGGTGGATTCAAGTAGAAAACGAAAGACTGTGGTAAGACGCCGTGATCTCCTATTCAGTTTCTCGCTGCACTATATGTTTTCGCAGGATTAGTACCGTAGCATGAAATAACAATATGGATGTGCAACTCATTAGTCCCCGGTTCCCGGTTCCCGGTTACATTAGTGTCATCGATCGACATCGCCTATTGTCCCCTAGATCCCCTTTAGGACAATACATACCAGTCTCTGTCTGATCTTTGAACTTCCCTACCTCGTCTAGGAGGCGGTCCACGGCTCTTTCGTACGAGACGAGCTTCTGGGTGAGCTCATAAATTAGACGTTTCTGACTGTTTATCAAGGCGTCCTGGATTGATAACATCTGTTGCAAGCTTCTCGTATTTGTGGGATCTTCGTGAGGGCTTGTGCGTCGTACTTGAAGTAAAGCTCCGGGTTCCTGGGGCTTTGCCTCGAGGAAGTGACACTCCATGCCAGCTTGGCTCAGCTCTAAAGACTGAGTTTCTAGGAAGGCGTTCGATGGACAGGAGTTATTTTCTTACATAGTAGAAGAATTTGCGTTATTTTATGATGCATAAGCTTGAGCTTGGCGGTGATCAAGACAACGTAGGGAAACGTCTCGACTTTTCCACCAAGTCGACGATCGCATAACAATATTGCATGTTATTGTCAAGGATTATTTAGTTAGAAACCCCCAGATGATCGTACGGCCGGCTCTCGTTGTATGCCAACGGGGCGGCAGTTTCGACTGACTACCAGAGTAACCCCCCACGTTAGGAACATTTGGTACTTATACCGTACCGGACCCCACGCTCTGTAGGGTGTCAGGAGCAAATACTTCCGTGTTTGGTGGCGACAAATACATACATTCGAGACTTCTTTTTCCATTGACATCTGCATACGAGCATGCAGTAGTAGAGGCTCATAGCGCACATGTATAGATGCCCATTCTACATTGAGTATGGGTTATTCTGTCACCACACTAGGGGATGACTAGCGTAAAAATTGCGCGGGTTCTCGATACGAGAACCGCGAAAGCCTAGAGAGTGTAACCGCACAATTTGCGAGAAAGGGGCCACGGAAGGCCTTGAGGCTGTTGTCTAATGAATATTCGTCGAGCATTGTCTTGGATATTTCCTCTCATCCCTAGAAATCCATGGTAGTCTACACGTAGTCTCGAGTCTGTTGTTTGCTCACAGCAGGGGAAAAGTGCTAGCGCCCCTTGTATGCCCTGCTTCAGCCGTCTTTAATGGACAACGACGGAAGACTCCACCCCAGAGATCAACCAAGATTGCGGGAATCACGAATCATAGCGAACTCGAACTCAAACTTCATTTTGCAAACTCGCGTAGGGACTGGGCTACCAGATACTTACGCCAGTACTTCCTCAGAGATGACTACTGTGTAGCTGCGGGCTATCGTTTAAGAAAAGTATTGGCATGAGCTAAGTACTCTACTATGAATGTGAAGCTAAATCCACCCAGAACGTTGGCGTGATCCGATTTATTCATTTCGCCCAAAGTACGGTACCGATCCGCCACAAATGGCAAAGCTGGGGCTTGGAGATCGCTAGCCCTTCAATCTACTGCACAACCGGATTTTGAGCAACAGTGGTTGACACCAAGCCAAGTTAGTGAGTGTGAGCTTGATGGCAAGGACCTGGCTGCCAGTACACGCACGGACCAATTATATAGTGAGAGGCCCGAACGCCTGGAACTGCTTCGGAGTCTCTAATAGCGCACGGTTCTCGGTCGCTTCACCCGGGTATCGTACGACCTGATCGACGGGATCGTCAGTCCCTAAGTTTTCTCGGCGAATAGGTCAAGCGAAAGTCCGGCTCCCTAGTTGCCTACTGTGACATTTAATTCCTTTAGTCCGTCCGGGACCGTCTCGGTTGCAGTACACTTGACATACACTAGCGAGAAATGGTCTTGGCTTCATGATCAGCCCGACCTTGCATAGCCGAGCCAGACCCTGGCAGGCACCGGGGAGCATGCTCCGTGAAGAATACTACTCCACAGCTCGACTCTAAGCTCTAATCGCGTAGCTATCAAGGTACCCATTCATGTCATGATAACAGAGGAGTAACGTATCACATGCCGTCTCTGCGGGTTTATCATAATAGCAATTCCGTCATCGTCTCACCGGATCCAGCCGATATCTCATGAAGGTGGAGGCGATTATCCGTGCGGACAATACGTACAAACAACCCGAAGCTAGTGCTATGGCCTGCCATATTATAAATTCTTCATGCTTAATTCGACTAACACATGCACGTTGACTCATATCGCGGGCGTTTCGTGGCGAGAGCCATTTAAGAGGTGTGGCAACCACCATCAGATTCCCTTTAATTCTGACGACTCCTGGGCATAGTGGCATTCTGGTCATTTCCTCTATACCTTCCAGTGCTTGGGCAGCGCAGCGATATAGAGGTCCTCTCTAACGGCTTGTACCCAGGTCATCAAATCTCGCTACAGTATCCTGGCTAGAGAGCTGCTAGCTCTTATCGAGGCTCCTTTGCAACAAGGAGCAAGGAGGCAGCTTGCTGGTTTGAGCCTTGGCCTTTCCCCAGGATCAGAATGGTCCCACACTATAATTCAGGACGAAAATCAAGATATCCAGACGGTTAACATCACTAGAGGCACCGATAGTCGCAAGTCTTGATGAGCGCCAGCGTCAGAAAATGTCGTACCGCGCGACACTCAAGTCACTACTCATCAATAGGTCACTATCCCATCCGGGCAATTCTGCCACTCATGCTCAAACCTTCCCCATCCGCCCTCCATTCCGTCAGACATCTGTAGGCCATGTACGACCATATCATATATGCCTTCAGGCGGCGTCTTGCCCTTACATACAGTCCCTCCCATAGCAACATTCAATAGCACGCACCAATCCTGAATCGGCCGGGTTCCTGCCGGCATCAAGTTCTTCATAATCGGCCGCCCGTCAATGCACCACATCAACCTCCCGCCACCGGCACTTTTGCCGTCGTTTCGATATGGTATATTCTCGCAGTTCCAGACAAAGTCGAAGCGGACAGGACGATGCGTGGCATCAGGCAGTGGCGTTTTCCGCACGAGGTGTTTCTGTAAATCTTCACGCACGTACGAACCCCAATGCAAGCACGAGTGATTGTCTATCTCTCCATTCCAGCTCTCTGCAATGTCCACCTCCCCCTCATGGGGCCATTCAAACGGTTCCCGTGGCAGCATCCAGAATGCGGGCCAAATGCCTTCGGCTCTCGGCAATGTCAGCCATGCTGTCAAGCAGCCCCGTGTTTGCGCGAGCGTCTGCCGCGTCACAAGGCGCGCCGATGTGAAGCGGGCCTCTGGGTCGGGGTGTCCGGGCCGAGAGATGGCGCGAACGATCAGCTTCCCGTCAGCCGTGTAAAAGCTGTTCTCCGAGTGCGACGTATAGTTCTCCAGCTCATCATTGCCCCAGCCATATGGGTCACCGTGACCTTGCTTCTGCTCAAAATCAACGCTCACTGCGGCCTGGGGATTCATCCGCCAATAGACCTGAGGATACTGCTGATATTCAGGTGAGGCACCAGACTGTGACGGGCGAGAGTGCAAAGGAACCGGCGGCGCTGCCGGTGGTCGATCATAGTGATTAGGCTGCGGGCCTTGGGGTTGCCATTGTGGCTGCCATTGACCCTGGTACTGCGGTTGCTGGCCGGGATAGCCTTGGTGACCTTGTGGAACATATGTTTGGTGAGCGCTATTTTGTCCGATTGGGAGAAGATTGTGCTTTCTGTTCAACTCTTCAGCTTTGGCTTTGAGCTGATTGAAGTGGTCTCGAAGGGGCATTGCGTCGAGTATTGTCTGGGGCACGTAAACACATGTAATAAGAGTGGTCAAGTTGGGGGCTTAACTATGCATATGTCGTCAAGTCGGAACCACGGCCGTTGCTGCAGTAGTTTTAAGAGGTCTGCCAACTAGCGGCAAAAGCCCGGCAACTTTTTCGACTGTCGCTCAGGGATAACTTAGCGCGAAGTCTAACGCCTAGCAAGCCCACGTTTACATTTCACTTTGTTGTGGAATTATCAAGTGTTTAAGCTGCGTTTTTACTTTGTAAATGGGTTTGAGAGGCATGCGTGGCCTTGAGGCAAGTATACTGAATATAGCCCCCACCTCACCGAGTATTTTAATCCAGTCTCCATGGTCTTACTCCCAAACACATTCATTCACCGACTGCCATGGAAAAGGGGAAACCGTCTTAGTCGATCAGGACTTTCAAGGCCCGGCTCCCAATGTGATGCGCCATTCGAGAACAATCCCTTAAGATATGTGCTATAATCGCTGGCCACCTAGAGCTCACGGTGCGAATATTAAAATGCCAGTCGTCGTCTGAGAGGATCAAATTCCGGGCTCGACAGCCTTGGTTTAACCAACTGAAGAGTTCGATTTACGAGTCGATCAGGCAAACATGAACAATTTCTAAAGGTCTTCTCTTTTGGGGAGCAACTCAGTGTGCCACTGATTATATAACGACTGTGAATGTTCTGTCGGCAGTCACTTGATGTGTATTGCCAGAATCCCTCATTTAAGCCAAAAGATACCCAAACGAATAGTCCGAAGTTCCATGGTCTTAAAGTTGTACGTCGAGAGGAGAGAGAATATATTAGACTAAGGGATTGATCCTGAAGTCCTTTGTAGCACTTCACTCATCCCGTGACTTAGGGTAAACCTCGATTGAATGACGTGGATACTGTTGCTCGTTATTTAAGCGCTGGGTTTTGATCAAGACACGCAATGAATAATTGAGGCTGTATAGAAAGCACGATATTACAGAACGTGTCAAGTCTACTATCTACAGCTTGAATAACATCACTCATTTTGCTTCGTCAATATTGTGCGCCATTTGAACTCGTTTGCTTTTCCTTTGTGTAGCTTGTTTCTACTGTGATACCCAGAATCTGACGTAGACAGCGCCTAACCGGACATGAAGTCTTTCTAATTGGTGATGTATACTATCTTCAAATACATTAGGATCTAAACTCTTGTCAACCGTGAATGCTAAGGTATTGGGCCAGATTTACCTCAATGAATGATATATACATCAGGGTAAGTTTAGAGGGTTTGCCCCATACATTCAAGACCATGGCGGGGATATTTGGCTCGTTCTCCAGCGCGAAGGTCCGTACGAAGAGCATAATTTTAGATGGGAGTCTGAGGAAGGAATAAATGCCAACTTTAATGGTATGTCATGCTTTTTGGACTTGTCTTCGCCTTTTCGAAATGCCTTATAACAGAGAAGAAGCCAAGAGATTTGAAAGGGAGTTGGAAAACGTGAAATAGAATGCTGGCCTCGATTTATATATATTAATCACTTCATAATTATACCTGGGGAAGGCGAACCAGACCATTCTCCAAGTCGTTACGAATCTTTTTGTCTTTTGAGAACTCAACTTACATCGTGCCAATCTCTCAATGCCCCTCAAAATAGTTTTTTGACCCTTTCGCCAGCTGATGCAACCACTCGAAACAATTAATTTGTGAAAACTAAGCCCGGATAATGGTTCGTTATCAGATGCACCGCAACGACCCAGGATATGTATTGGTCTCTCTAAACGACATAATATACTGGCTTCAACTATGACACATCAGTAACTGAGCAAGCTTGATACGATTACAAGGACGAATTGGGTCGACATCTCCCCCAAACCTGGGGAATCAGGGGTATCCTTCTCTCTTAAACAGCAGCCTCTGTTAATAGACTTCTAGCATTATTGTTCGGCAGACTGCTACCTATACCGAATCTCGCCGACCACGAAAATGTTCCATTGAAAGGCGTCTGGGTGACTGAGACTCGAAGTGTGATTCCAGATGATGCAATGTTACTTGACAAATGTAGTGACGATTACTGTATCATTGACGACCGGCAGAGGCCTGAATTACAAGACAACCTCAAGGCGTGAATACCGTGTCACAATTATCGGCTAATCCGCTTTCCACACGGGATAATCGTAGGCTTTAGCCGAATCGCACGTACTGTCAGCACCAGTGTCTCACTTTGTGCAGAGTAAGTCTCATCTCTCATGAGTTCCTCTACCTAGGTTTGTGGATTTTAACTTCACAACTCGGTCGCAGCTCAGGGCACGTGGAGGTACAACCAAGGACGGAGGACTTTCAGCCACCCAGCGGGCTATTTGCGACTACAATCCTTGGAACAACTCCCCTCTTTCTTGGACGCTCTTGCTGGCTTTGCGGGCTTCCTCTGGAGTTCGTTTGCTCTTTCGTTTGTATTGCCGCCTTGACGGCGGCCACCTCAGTTCAGCCCTGCGCCTCAAGTAATTCTCGATTGATCCTACCAGCCGGACGAACCAGCCATCATCCTTATCATCATCGCAGCTGTCGGCTTGCCACGTTTTCGCGGTCTCGGTTGTCATCCTTCGCCTCGGCTGCCTTATGACTTTTGGTTTGCTTCGATCCAAGGGCGCAACTGTCGTCGCCTCAGTTGTGTGGGCCTCTGACCTCGGTTGCGGGCGCTGGCGTTGCAATTCTCCAAAAGCTGCAGCGACCAACGACAGACGGCGGATGCATAATTGCATGTTGCTCATGCATGATAACAGAGGGACGACTGTGCAAGGGCCTCTAACGTAAGTCTACCGGACAACAAGGGAGCATCGGCAGTGAAGGAGTTGTTGGAGACTTGGATGTGAATGATGTTATTTGACTGAGACCTCACCGTGCTTTCAGAAGGCACAGCCACTTCCAACGCATGACTCTGGTGTGTATGCTTTGAGGTGCACGGTTAACATAGTGTCTGTGTGCGCTACATGGCTGCTCCCATCGTCATCCTTAGAAAGGGGACGGTGTCGTTACGTAGATGACCTGCGCAGGAATGGAAGTCCAAAAAAGATAAATCACATGCTCGAGACACAATAACCATGGCATATTGGTTGTAAGTTGGTTCACGCTTTATCCGCGCATGGGAACTATCAGACCAGCCAAATTCATCACAGATGGATATCTCGGCGAGAAAACTCGTGGTAACCAATGAATGTAAACACCACCGTATCGGGGTGGCCTCTCCCCGTGTTTTGAAACCGTGACACCTGAAGACCTCAAGTTTGCATAGTCCGCAGTATTAGGAGCGTTGCCGCATTATGTACTTAAGTATTCCTGCGCCCAGCTCACCGCACTGAACGCTGTCGTCCGTGGAGTGGAGGCGCCGCATGGGATGGTGGGGTTGGATTCAATGCGGGCCAACGTCAGTTGGGCCAGGCCAGGCTAAACAGACGGAGCAACCACCAGGCTGGCTGATGATCCAACAAGGCTCCTATATTTCTACCTACAACAGCACCAACCGTATATGACGGGGCGTTGAGGTCTCCTGGCAATCGTCTGCGGTTCCGTGTCGTCTAGCTACAGCCATAGAACAAGAAATCAGCCAACATGCAGTCCGGAATCTCAGGTAACTCACCTCCACCAGCTCAGCCGGCCTGGCCTCTATTCTCGTGAGCTTGACCAAGGATGACCTTCACTAATGCGTGAACCCAATTACAGCCTCCCAGGAGCTGGTCTCCCAATTCAACAACCTCCTCTCCGACAACTCCATCTTCGGGCTTCTCGTGACTATCCAGGGCGAGTCGCTCGTCCCCGTGACGACACTGCCCTCGTCGTCCGCCGACTTCGCCGGCAACCTGTCGACCCTGACCCCGCACATCCAGGCCAACGAGGCCCTCTACATCCTGCTGCGACGCGGAGCCCAGCCGCCGGGCTTGGTGGCCGTGACCTACGTGCCCGACACGGCCAAGGTGCGGCAAAAGATGCTGTTCGCGGCCACACGCCTGACGCTGGTGCGCGAGCTGGGCTCGGAGCACTTTGCCGAGACCATCTTTGCCACCACGCCCGCCGAGCTGACGCCCCAGGGCTTCGAGAAGCACGACCGCCACGCCGAGCTGGCCGCCCCGCTGACCGAGGAGGAGCGCACCCTGGGCGAGGTCAAGCGCGCCGAGGCCGAGGCTGGCTCCGGCACCGGCGTCCGCGAGATCCATCTGAGCAAGTCCATGAACATGCCCATCGCCGCTGACGCTCTGGCCGGTCTGAGCGAGATGGCGAGAGGGGAGGGCAGTGGCATCGTTATGCTGGTGGGTTATACTCGGCCCCATATACTACGGACACAGCGGGAACAACATATACTAACCTGGGAAATTACCCGAAACAGAAAATCAACCCCTCGACCGAAATTGTAGAACTCGACCCGGCCACTTCATCTGCCTCGCCGTCCTCGGTCGCCGAGCTCGTCTCGAGCATTTCGCCCAACGAACCGCGCTTCACCTTCTGGCGGTACACGCACACGCACGCTGGTGCCGAGTCCAGCCCGGTGCTGTTCTTCTACACATGTCCCGCGGCAGCGGGCAAGTCCATCAAGTTCCGCATGATGTACCCGCTCATGAAGCGCGCGGTCCTGACCGTGGCCGAAGGCGAGGCCGGGCTTCAGGTGGAGAAGAAATTCGAGGTAGAGGAGCCGTCCGAGATCACCGAGAAGTCCATCCTAGACGACCTGCATCCCCAGGCCGAGGTCAAAACGGGGTTCAGACGGCCAAAGAGACCTGGTCGGTGAAGAGGAACGCAGCATTCTGTCTGTGGCGACCAGCGAAATTGAGCTTGCCGGGATGTGGATGTCGCATAGGCTTAGAGAGTACAGGGCGTGTTTGAGTCACACGGCTACGGCCATAAACCTGGGATGACTTGACAATACAAACAGCGCCGCCACGCGCAAGCTTGACTATGAAAAAAAAAAGGTATATACATTCCGAGCTGATGCTGACGAACGCTCTATCCAATGATGATGCACTGAATAATCCATATACTTCGACCACGCCTCCGAAGGGTTCATTTGGCCAACATAAAGAAAAGGGGAAGAAAATTTCGTAGGAACATTGGGCTTTTCCTACTCTTCGTACTTGTTCCCAGTGATGATCGATGGGCCGCTCTTTTCTAATTTGTCCTTGAGGAACTCGTACACTGTGAAGGTGACGGCCTGGCCTGGCGCGACACGCATGATTCGGGGGGTGATGCCCTTGTAGAACGCATGGAAACCTTCTTGCCTATTCGCAGCATGTCAGTAACCGGTGTCGCATCCAACATGGGCAATGGGCAGTTAAGGCCCGAGCAATGAGCCCAACAGGGAAATACATTCTATAATGGCTCACAGCCCAAGCATGTACAGACGAGGGGTAAACTCACTTAAACATCTCCGCGGCGATCTTCGTGATACGCTGCAGAGCACTGACGCCCTCCTCGGCCGTCGCCTTTTGCAAGCGCGTCTTGATGGTATCGATGGGCGCGTTGCTCAGGGGCCCCATGGCGCCACTGACGAGGCCGATGAGGGTGGTCTGCCACGAGGGCAGGTTGCCGCCCTCGTACTGGGGCTGGTAGCGGCGCAAAGCCTCCTTGAAGTAGGTGTAGGCAGTAAAGTTGACAGCCTGGTTGGAGCCCTGACGCAGGGCCGTCAGCGAGACGCCGCGGTACAGGGCCGAGAAACCCTCCTCCTTGACGACCGTGTAGCAGGCGTGCGCGGCGTTGCGGTACTTGGGCACGTCGAGCGGGTCGGCCATGCTGTGGTGCTGCGCCTGCAGGCGGATCTTGACCACCTCCATCGGCGTTACGACGGCCACGGCCTCGGTCACACCCGCCGCCAGTCCCGCGAGGAATGTCGCCTTGCCCGTCACGACGCCGTTTCCGTCCGCCAGCATCTGCTTGTACGCCTCGAACGACGTAAACCGGATTGCCATCTTGGGGACAATGCCCGTCAGCACGGCGCCCAGCCCCTTGTACAGTCCCAGCGGCGTCTCGCGCTTCACGATCTCGGCGCCCGTCTTGATGAAGCCCCGTTTCGGGGCGCCCGGTTGCCGCGCACGGCGGGAGAGCTGCATGCGGACTTTTATCGTGTCTATATTGAGGGGAATAGGTCATGTCAGTCTCGTGAGCCGATAAAAGTGGGAGACAGAAGGGCCACGAGCCAAAATCTCAAGAATAGGACATACCGAGAGGATGGCATACAAGTGCTTCCATCATACCCGCTCCTCCACCGGCTGCAATTGCAAAAATCAGTCAATTGGCTCCCAATAAGTGATCCAGCACGGTAGGCAACCCACCAATCAAATTTGTAGCCACCGACGGCGGCTTCTTGCCGTCTCCATTCACCTTTGTTGCCATTGTGGTTGTCGAGTGTGTGGGCTTGCGCCCTGTCGTTTCTATAAGTGGCCTATACTGTTACAGCAAGATATATATCGGTGGCCGGGCTCGGTGTCGTGTAGAGTGTTTGAACAAAGAAACGTCCCGTATGCGTATAGCCCAGCAAGAGCAGGGGCACAACACCGTCGATCACAAAGGGAGAAGGCGCTGAATGGCGGCAGCGGGTAAGGGAGTAATCTAGCCGACCAAAGCAGGGGTAGGTCGAGGCCTGGGAACCAAAGTGTTTATAGGGTCTCTGCTCGTCTAGGAAACCGAAGCCAACACAGCGACAACAGTAGCTACCGTGAAGGAAGAGAGAAAAGAAAAGGTGAGCCAACAAGATCCTAAACCTTCATGGCCCGAACCCTGGGCGGCAGCCATGGGGGTCATGTTGTGTATATAAAGAGAAGCCAATACCGAGCAGCCGGCCCTAACGTTTACCTCGTGCAGGGTCTGGTGACTCGAACCCAAGGGGCCCGGCCCAGCCCAGCCCAGGGAGCTGAGAAAGCCCCGAACGTATTCGTACACACCCGCGGCTTGAAGATGGGACACATAGAGAGACAGAGAGAGCTACACTCGTAGCGTGATCCGGTGGGGTCCCCTGGGGAACTCTATGCCGCCCTGGGGTGGGCGTATGGGGCCTACAGTGCCTTACCCCAAATCCACGCCCGCACTGCCGGAGGCGGTGGTATTCGGCGTACCGGAGCTTGCCTTGAACGTCAACTTGGCGGCACATCTCGTCATGCGCCTGCGCTTGCACGACGTATATCTCTGAGCCATTGCTCATTTGACGGCCTGGGCCGTCCAATTGGCCTGGGGACTTGCGCCAATTTCACACACCACTTGGTATGACTCTGCGGCGTGCGGGCGAGGGCAAGCTTGGTGGTTGCTCGGCCTGTGACACCCGGGGAAGCAGAGGAGCGTGACGTCGACAGCTTCTCCAATTTACCGACCAGGAGCCGAGCTTGTGATTATGCGGGGGGTGGGCAGGCGCCGCAACAGCTGGGCTGGGACTTGGGGGCGGCAGACTTTGGGGCAGGCAGGGGTCCGGCCAGCACGTTCGTCCGTTGACGTCGGGACTATCCGGGGCACGAGTCTCGCAAACCTCGATCCATGGCGCGGCTTTGTCCAGTGTTCTTTTGGCCCTGGCCCCCTACAATTCCGCAACCTCGGCCCATTCTCGCGTGGCAGCCGGCTCGTTTGACTGCCATTTCCCACCTCGATTTCGTGTCATGCACAGGCACTGGCGCCAAAGAACGAACATGGAATGTTCCGCACGTTGGCCGGTTGGATACGCCTCGGGATTCTGAGGAATGTCAGGTGATCATCTACATACCCCAGGGCAGTTTGCGTTGGTGGCTATCACATGAAGAGATGCCAGCCTACAGAGCAGTGCAAATTCCGCTCCGCGGAAACGGCACCTTCGCGTTTCCGCTCTCCGTGGGACGGGTTCCTCAAATAGCTGTATGGGCCGGTTCACATATCTACTGCAAGTTAAGATGAACGCCCTCTTGCTTTAATAGGACAAAGTTGATTGAACGGGTGGATTTTCTGTATCAGTTCCTGGTCTCAAACATGACAGACCGACTTGCCCTAATCCTGTCCATTGAAGCCTAGAATGATTTTTCGTCGCGGCATAACCGTCCGGAGCCATGCTATAAATCGAAACAAACGCCCTTTAGGCCCCGAGTATCTGTTGAGAATTTGGTTCTCACGTGCCTAACCTGGCTTGTTCTAACAATTGTGGTATCTTTTGCGCCATTACAAAAACATGACGAGACACCCAAGAACCCAACCAAATATCATATAAATCATAAAAGGAAATCAAAACAGGGACGCCTTTCACGCGGGCGTACCCCATTCGGCAGCTTCCGATGGATCGCAATCGAAACGGTAAAGGCGGACCTCACCATCTTCGCCGCCGCTCGCCATTCTACAATCGCTCAGTCCGACGCACGTCACCGGGCCTTCGTGGCCAGTGAAAGTGCGTTCGCACTTGCCCGACCGAGGATCCCAGACTTTGACCGTCGCATCGTTCGCGCCAGTCACATAGCGGAGCGAGTCTCCGACCAGGCCCCAGATGCCCTCGACGTGGCCAAAGAAAGTGCGGAGGCATCGGCCGCTCGCGGTATCCCAAAGACGCATCGTCGCGTCTAGGCTACCGGTAAGCATGTAGCGCGGTGGCAATTGTCGAGTTGCATTCTCTGTAAAGGCGTGGCCGTAAGCCGTTCGTTCATCGTCAGCCGGCGGTGAGGGAAGCGGTGCCGATGATCCCGGACCAGGAGTGCCACTGCGGTTGCTGGTAACAGAGACAGCATCCGAGTCGCGAGCAGTTCCGTCGTCGAATTCGTAGTCGTCAGGTAAGGCCATTACTTGCTGGACTTGACCGACATGACCGTCGTATGTCTTGATGCACCTCTGGGTATCGAGATCCCACAGCTTCACAGTGCAATCATCGCTGGCAGAGAGGAGAGTCCTGGATGCGACGTCGATCTTGACTTGGTTGACCCAGTCGGCGTGTCCCCTAAGGCTGATGATCTGTTGAGTCTTGAAGTTGAAGACCTTGATTGTCTTATCCATCGAGCCGGAAGCCAACAAGTCGCCATCCATGTGAACTGTGATGACGCCGCCGCTATGGTTCAGCGTGTTGATACATGCTCCTGTCCTCCAGTTCCAAATCTTCACTGTTCCGTCGAGGCTTCCGCTGACAAGAACGCGATCATCGAATTGCAGTGCTCGGATGCCCATAGTATGTCCCTCAAGGGTGCGAATGACTTTACCCTTGTCCATGTCCCACAACTTGATAGTGGAATCGTAAGATCCTGTCGCGAGAATGTTGTCGTCGAATTGCAAACAGGTCACGCCGTTGCTGTGCTCGCCACGAAATACTTTGATGGAGCATCGGCCGTACTTCCAGTTTGACCCGATCCGGAAACGATCCCGATACACGTCCTTCCAAGGTCGGAACAGGCGCTCTACAGAGCTCCTTTGTTTGTCCTCGCCACATGGTCGTTTTGACTTGGAAATTTCACCTTCTTCCAGCACGGACGCGTCCCGTTTCTTGGAGGCTGCTGGCGGTGCTGATGCAACCTCACTCGCAGTGCTGGTTACTGCGCCATCGTGAACTTCAACAACCTCGGGCTGGCGGGTTCGTGCAGCGAGCTGATGTTGTTTCTTCCAGCCTTTAAGTCTCTTCGTCTCCAATCTCGGAAGTGCCCAGCCGCAAGAGGTGCACTTGCGTTCAATGTGCTGCAAGCACATGTGTTGCCAGACCAAATCATCGTTTGCTAGTGTCTGCCACCGATGGCTCACCTGGGAGGCCTTGCATAGGGAAATACAATCGAGGGAACGAAGGATCTTGAGCGAGACCTCGGTGGGTAGTGCGGAGAGGAAGTCAATCTTCAGCTGCTCGGATACTTCTCTTGAAACCATGGATAATTGAGGGAAGCAACACTGGGTAATGACACCCTGGAGCATCAACTCGCGGTGCCTCGAGGGGGCGGCGGAGAAGAGGGACCAGACATGCGTGATGGCCTGCTGGTCGGCTTGCGATAACCTCTCCAGTTCGCTCTGGATAGCGCCCATTTTGGACTCGTCGGCAGCTCTGCGGCACTTGGAGTCGGGTCGGTGTCGATAGCAGAACTTGCTGCTGGGGTCTTTTATATTGTTGGAGTTGACGTTGGAGGAGAAGTCGGGCTTTCCGATAGGCGCATAAAGCCCCGGAATGTGCTCCCTCAGGAAGGGGGTCACAGCCTGGCTAGCCAACTGCTGTGACATGTTTGGCAGTCGTGAGCTGTCCTCCTCGTTCGGTCTCCTCCTGTCGCAGTTGTCCCTCGATGGTGGGATGCCGTCCTCGGTTTCGTGTACGGAGAAAGAAGCGGTCGAAGATGGCGATGGGAGGTTGTGATTGGTGAGGGACGATGGACGGCTATGCTGCTTTAGAGGAATGGAGGTAGCATGCGCTCCATCCGAATGCTGGGCGATGGCATCTTGTCTCGCAAGGGGCACTCGGCCTGTTGGTGGTGAAGTGCTGTGATTTTCCATGGTCGGGGGAGGGGGGACGTGTTGGAAATGGCGGAATGATAAACTCAGAACCAATGCTTGGTATTATCAAACAGCTGCAGCCCCTAATGCGGATGCCGTGCTCATGGCACTGACCAAGTTGTGCGACGTGAGCAGGAATGGGCGAGGTGAGGTCAAACAGGTCGAGATGGCGTGCTGGCGGTACAGGCAAAGCATCGAACGGCAGCCAACAGATCGGCTCGTCTCAGCCCAAGCCCAACGAGATGTTCCCACGGGTGGTGCCGCCTCAAACGAAACACTGCACAACCAACGGCAGTGCCTTGACGGCTGAAAGCAGCGCGATGGGGTAGGGCCTGGGGGCGGTTCGTTCGGGGACACTTCTGACCGCCAGATGTCTGGTTTGGGAAACGCAATAACCCAGGGCCAGTTGCGCAATCGTCAGATCGCCTAGGGGGTGCGCAAGGACGTTGGCTCAACCGTCGAGCGAGTAGAGTGCTTGCTTGCGTCCGTGGGCTGTGTAGAGTAGGTTATGTTAATTTGGGGGACGGATGTCGTAAGATGCAGGTTGGCTCAGCCCGCCAGACCGACACTTTCAACCGACAGATGTGCGCTGCAGCAGCCGGAAAGAAGAAAGCAATGATGCCCGATTGCGTGTATGCGTACCGGGACCACAGGGGCGTTGCACGACCGCAGAAAAGCCTTTATAAATGGAGGCGTGGGAGATGGCGAAATCGTCGGTTTTGACTCAGCTTCTGTTCTGGCTGCTCCAGCGTCCAAGTCAAGTCAAATCATTCCTGGATGGCGTGAGCAGGGCCCAGCTCCATCTAACTTAGCACCGGGGCATGCCTTTCTCATGGACACAATTGGGGCTTGCGACGGCGCCGATTGCGTTATCGCACTCCTGGAGCTCGTCACACCCAATTAGCGACCCCGGCGGCGCCCACTCTCATGGCGTCGGTTGTCGGACTCGCCTCGCCCAACCGGCCGGCCGATAGACTCGTGCTGGAAAAAAGGCTGTACCCCAGGAAATGGGCCACAGCCTTGCCGGGAATTATGGAGCCCAACTTTACGGCTGCTGACCGCCCTCTCAGCTTGTGCTTTTACCCCATGTCAGCCCCCGTTTTATTGTTGGAAAGTTTGCGATGCAAGACTATCACCATGACCTTCACAATACGCCTGGCCAGTGTCGGTATTTGTGCGCCATGAACGGCGTCGTTTTGAGACGCCGTCTGCCTCAGCGCAACCTGCGAGACTCAGCTGAGAGCCGTCCGACAACCGCCTGCAGGGACGGGTATCGCGCGGATCACCGGTCAGCCGCAGCGGCTATGATCACGTAATTGACGCTCGGGCCCCGGACAGACCCAGGCGTGAGCACATCATTTTCCTAGCCCTTTTCGTCTTCTGTGCAATGGCCAGGCCAGGCAAGTCGGGGCTCCGTCCGCGGCCTGGATCCTGGCCAACTGACGAGATTGAACAGGCCTTGTTCGTGATTGCCAGTCCCGGACCCCAATGCGGGTTTGCCAACTTCCCAATAAGGCCTGCTGGGCATGAGACCTCATCTGGAACCCGGGCCCCACGCCGCAGACCGAAACGCTGATGTCGCCATACCTAGTCCGATTGCCGTAACTTAGTCGTCCTCGCGGTTCTTTCAACTGACATGAGCCGCGCTCGAAATTTATGTAAGCCACTTGGTTAATCCGTGAAAAGGCGACGGCAAGTTGAAGGCATCTATTTTGTGATCTTTCTCTACATGCATGAAGCAGATACACAATGCAGTGGTCGCATTGACAAGCAGATGGTTCAGTCCAGTAGTCTCGGGCCTCACGGTGCGTTCTATGGCGTTTTAGCACTCATGTGCTGTCGTTGACCCTTCTTCCGGATTGCGAAACAGTTCATGCCTTTACGGGGGGAGATGAGCAGTGGAACAATATCGGTACTCTACGGCGCTGTAGGTTTGCTACACTGTCCCATCAATGAAACCGGACTCCTCAACGTCAACAGACATGTATACAATAGTTGCAAAATTACGATGTCCCTGACTCTCTAGCTACGGCCTTGGAATGACGAGCCAGAGGACTCTTTACGCTGGTGAGAGGCTGCCAAATTTTCCGGGAATCACTACGAATATATCAAACGCCGTAAGCAAAGTGTGGTTTTGCACGGCTTGATGGGCATTTACTGAGGTGGGCGTGTGTTTGTCAGGCAAAATTTCGTCGTTTCCCCGTCTCAAATCTTGACAACTGCACGTAAATTATACATATCTATCTTTTTATCTATCTATCGAAGAACAAATTATGGAAGTAAATTCAAAAAAAAAAAAAAAAAAAAAAATTCCGCAGCTTGGAAACACTTCTAAGGGGGGTGGGGGGCACAAAAGGGAAAAAGGAAAAAGAAAAATATTTCAAAGACAAGCAAAAGTAGCACCTGCTGGTTTCGATCCAGCGCCCTCCGGGTGACCATGATTATCATGATTATGAGCCCGGCGATCTTCCTCTGATCTAAGGTGCTCGTGCTTCCAACTGAGCTACGCTGCTCAGTTGCTTGTTGATATTCGGGTGCTTGTTGGCAACAATGAGGTTGCTGCGGTGTGGCATGGAGACATGGAATCCCCCAAGGCAACCGTTGGCAGTCTGGCCTTGGGCTGCGCGGACGCTCTGTGTAGTCGACGACTGGTGAAAAGCTCCCCCATCTTGTGCAGCCCTTGGTAATACAAAACATCCAGGGGGGTCACTGCCTTCAACATCCCCTCGCTCGCTGCTCAATCCGGTGCTAGGTGCAGTGCTACCTCGTTATACACAGGTCCAGCTCGCCGCCGCATTGATATCCCCAGAACCAGTGTACTTCAGCTGAAGAGGGTAGCGGCACAGATTCCTGGTGAAGCCACTCGAGCCCTTGGCTGCAAGGGTATCTGGTGCCGTCCCATTCTCGACCCACGCAACCAAGGCATTGAAAGGGTCTTCAGGCACGGCGCCGTATCCTCCACTGCAGTGATCCACACCAGGGGCCATGAAAAGGCGGAAGAACTCGTCCACCTTCGCTGCGCCGCCCATGGTGTTCTGCACATCCACGCGGTACTGCACAGAACCATTACCTCCGATGATCGAGTCGGAGAAACCGTGCCATGAGAGCAGCTTCCCACCCGCCGATTGGAAAGATGACAAGTCGGTGTTGGAGGTGCCACTGAAGTTGTGGTACATGTCGATGGACTGCTGGAAGATCTTTGGGAAAGTCTCGTACGTCACAGTAGACAAGTTGAAGTTCGGCTCCCTCAGAACAAAGTTCTTAACCCAAGACGTCATCAGGCTGGGAGGTGATGTGCTGGCAAGAGTGCCAAGCGGCGTGCCCAGGGGGATACCGGAGAACAGCTTGTTGCCGCTGGTGTCGACCGGCCCATGGGCAATGCTTTTGAAGATCTTGGCCTGACGGGCGGTCAGCGTCGGGCTTTCGGAGCAGTTGGACGCCTGGCCGACCAAGGACGCGGCATCAAAGTTGCATGTGTTGGGGTTCGAGATGAGCCCATCCTTGCCTCCATCATCACCGTCGCAAGCGGCGATAGCCGCGTTCGTCAGCGCGGTCAGGACGCACTTTGGCACAAACTCGCCCTCCACGGTCTGCACGACGAACGGCCATAGCTGCGCAACCTGAAAACGATCATAGTTGATGGCGGGAGACGCGGCATAGACCCCCTGGTAATCCGTAGGATATCTCTGGACCTCCATGTTTCCCTGCCTGCCTCCAGTGGAGCAGCCATTCCAGTACGAGTACACCGGCTCCTGTCCGTAGTACTGCTTAGTGAGCGCCTTTCCTACCAGCGTCATCTCGTGCACCGATAAGTAAGCGAAGTTGGTACGGAGCTGCGTGTCGTTGGCCCATGCTGCCCCGTCCGACGAACTTGGCAATCCAGCGTTCGTGGTTCCGGCAGCATATCCAGCCGCAACAGGATTTGACAGAGAGCTCGATGACCCGCCGGCAACAGCACCACTTCCACCAGTGCCTTCGTAGCGCCCATTCCATTCTGTAGGAAGCCAGGTCAAGATGTGGACATTGTCGGCAGCAGTTCCATGGGTGAGGTATACATCTACAGCACAGTGTGCATCCTGCTGTGTGGCATTGATCGATGTGACCACGGCACCGTCGACCGTAGGTGCGGATAGCGATGTACACGATATTATAGGCTGTGTAGCCCGGCCTTGGAGAGGTTTGGCCGTTGCCAACCCGGCGAGCGCCAAGATTCCGAAATGCTTCATTGTGCTGTCCTGGATTATCGTCCGTGTTTTGCCTTCAAGCGTGGATTCTTGGTTCCTGTTCTACACTTGTGCATTTCAGATGCCGATAGTTACCAGCTTATATACGTCGAACATTGGCAGTGACTGCCTGCCTGCCGTGATGTGGTGCCGGCACTGCCGGAGGCTTTCCACTGCGAAGTCATGTTCGTAATGCTTTTATACTTTTACGCGTATTGACAAAAATCTGCTGGTTTCCGGGCGTTAGACCTGAACGAGCGTGGTTATGCGCGATATGTTTTGTTCTTCGCTCGTATTGAAGTAGAATTGTGTGGAGTGTCCAGGCTTTAAAGTTGAATGAGCATACCTGCGTGTGGGGATAAGTAGGTCGGATCGAATCCCGCGGGCTGGGAATCATTCAACGGCCCACTATCCACGTGGACGCTCGTATGTAAACGCACAATCCAGCCGCTCTTCAGTCAAGGAAATCGGCCCTTCACAGCTGAGTATATAATGTCCATCGGAAACAGCTGCAGGTTGCCGATGGTCAAAAGACTCATTGATGACAAACAGGTTGTGATCATACTTTACAATCGGTACAAAAAGTTAGCCTGACATGGCTACCACCAAGACTCGCGTGAACGCATGGCCAAAAGCTTGTGCATGCGACTTCCCAGTAATGCATAGTAATACCAAACCTTTGAAATTACGGAGGTTAGGATAAATATGTCGGAAAGCTTGGAGCAGACTAAGAAAACCAATACGATGTGAGCAAAGCGTACAGAGAAGTGATGGTTTGCTACTCAGGCTTCTGATACGTTCTAGCCCGCAAGGCCCCCTGTGTCGATCCGCACAAGGAATCATACTGCCAAGCATACACAGTACTCTCGTTTGTAGGGATCGCCAGCGATTTTGCGTCGTTGACTCCAAAAAGGTCCACTCATTCAGCCCAATATTTCCCGATGGCTGTTTAACATCACATTCTCTGTATAAGCCTTGCAGTATACTGACGATCCGTTATTGATGGCTCGGGGAGTGCCTCTTTGGCTGGCCTCGATTGAATTTCGTTTGCCAGCAAGAATGCATTTAGCAAGGGCAGGATAAGCTCAATGATAAGATCAAGTACACCGAAAGAAACTGAAGTTCATCACTTTCGCTTGAAAGATGTACGAGTGTTTGAAACCTTGAATGGTTACCTAGGTTATCTGCCAGGAGACTCGCCTTGTGACTGGTCCGCTTCTATGGGACACACATATTCAAGAAAACGCATACGTGCTACTAACTGCCACCGTTAGCTCCGGGAGAAGTTACGTCGAGATCACAGTAGTATTCCCATCAATTGCATACTAACCTCGGAGAATGACACCTTCTACGCTCGGCGCACCAAGAAGTTTCCGAGGTATTGTGGGGTGCAGATGGGGCCACCAGCACCGGGTGCTATAGCCCAGGCAATAGGTATATCAACCTGCATTGGGGAATGCTGCAACCCACCGAAGACCGAAGCCAGTAGTTTGTTTGGAAGGGGTTTTCTTTTTTCCATTGCCCAAAGAAATTTCCAAGTCCTGACTTGGTTTCGAGTTGGTGGAATGAGAGTCCCACTAGCCCCTTGTGACCCATTCATTTCCCGCTCACTGGTGGATTCTGGTCGTCCCGCACCCAAAACGGGGTTGCAATGGTTGGCGGCCGAGCGGAGCCAGAATCGTCAGTAACTTGCAAAAAAGGGGAGTACGGGGTAATCATAGCACTTAGATGGACATGGATTTAAATCTCTACGTCTGCTCTTTTTCCTGATATGTGTGTTGCTCAAAGATCAGCGAGCTCTACCTTTTAAGCTTAATCATTCGCTCATCGTACCCACTTACTAGAGAGCCGGGCTCCATTCGTCAACGGTCTTATCAGTCATTGAACCGATAGGTTTTTCTTTATACACACGCCATGTTGACATCCATCTTTACTACGCTGGCACTTGGTGTGCTCCAAGCAGCCGCCTCGCCAACGCGCGCAGAACTGGCTCCGCGGGCTACACCAACTCTATACTTGTGCGGTGACAGCACCATGGCCAAGAACGGCGCGAACGACGGCTATACTGATGGCTGGGGCCAATATATCAGCAAGTACCTGACCATCAGCGTGGTCAACAACGCTATCGGCGGCCGGTCAGCACGCTCTTACACGGATGAAGGTCGGTTTACCTCGGTTGCCAATTCGGTGAAGTCTGGAGACATTGTTGTCATTGAATTTGGCCACAACGACGGCGGCTCACCTTCGTCGAATGACAATGGCCGCTCCGACTGCCCTGGTGCTGGCACCGAGACTTGCGTTTCGGACAAGACTGGCAAGACCGTATATACCTTCGTCTTCTACGCTGTCCAGGCGGCCAAGCTCATGACATCCAAGGGTGCTACAGTCATCCTCAGCTCTCAGACGCCCAACAACTTGTGGGAGGGAGGTGTATATGGTTCTGGCGCACCGCGGTTCGTCGGCTACCAGAAGACAGCCGCAAGTTCCATTGGGAGCTCAAGCGTCACATTCGTGGACCACTTCCAAGCCGTGGCCAACATGTACAAGAAACTCGGCAACTCTGCCACCAACGCGCTATACCCCAAGGATCACACGCACACAAGCCCTACCGGTGCTGATTTGAGTGCGCAAGCATTTGCCCAGGCCATTGCCACCAGCATGAACGGCACAACTAGCCTGAAGAACTACGTCAAGAGCCCGGCGCCGACGGTGTACTAAAAGTCGAGACACTTCTTGGGATCCGCGGTTTCAGAAGCGGAAGTGCCCGTATACAATGCATTCAGACGTCTATAATTAAGCAGAGTCGCCTCTAAGCGTGGCTCCCCCCTACTGTATATAAACTTCAACCCTACATAACACTCTTCATTTCCGAGCCAAAGCTACTCATTCTTGATCATCTTGGGCACCTGCGTGAACTGCCGCCGTGTGTTCTGTTCTCTTTCTTCTTCGTTTTTCAATTTCTTTTTCCCGAATCCGAATGGAGGTTCAATTCCGTAACGTCGGATTGGAATAAATACCCTTGTTCCCCAACTCGGATCCACTCTCATTCAACTCGTCTTGGCAGGGGCTACGGCCCACTGTGGGGACTATAGCTTACTAAAAAGTGTGCATCCATGGTTCTGTTAAGTATATATCTTGATTCCAAAGCCGTAGTGAAGGGAAGTTTTAATGACCCCATGTTCTACTCGCTATCTCCATGTAGCAATCAAGTTCGACGCCGGGATCCAATTTCCAATGTTGCATGTCAATATGTTTCTTTCTAGATTGATTATGCATACAAAAGTATAGATGACACCCCGCAAAGGAACTTGGATTATTGTTGGCTTATGTTAAATACATTGCTTGGAACATGAATAAGTCTTTGCTTCAAAGTCCGTATTATAAGAAAGGCTTGGCCAGCCTATGTTAAAAGATGGCCAAAGCATTAGGAGGTGACCCAACCAGACCTGGAATATTCAGTGGTGCCGATGTTAGGAGAAAGCTGTAGCGTTTGGACTTCTTGCAATGCTCGGAAAGCGCTCTTAAATCCCACAACTCGCCAATACTCATGCCGAACATCGACAAAAGCCACGGATGAAGAACTGCGGTAAAGTAAGCAACCCATGCCATTGCTCTATAGCACCTGAACTCACCAAGGTCCTTTGCGGCTCCGGCAGACCCGTCTTCTTTCAGGGGCCACAACGCTTCAAAAGCGATCGCATCTCCGGCAACAGCAGCAAAATGCTGGTTCCACAGCCATTTCACAGATTCCACTACAGGAGTGAACGTTAGCGTCTCACCCATCAAGCAAGCCTCTGAGTCCGGCTCCACATCTAGTGTCTTATCCAGTCTCTCCAGGAGATCTTGCTCCATATTGCAAACTAACTCAGTGGCAGAGATTAAATTTCAATGGTACTTACTAACGCCATGCATTCCGGCCATGCCAAAATTTTGGAGTTTAGCGAAGTCTGCTGGTTGCATTGACTCCAGGATTTCAGTGGCACCAGTACGAATGATCAGGACATCTCCTCTGCGAAACTCAACACCTTGGTATTTGGCCACTGTTTCAATCTCTTGAACGGTGATTCGATGGCCATTCAGGGGGTGAAAGACGGCGTCAAGCCCAGTCTTACCATCAGCGGCAGCTTCTCCTTCGTACCAAGCCTTGAAGTCGATGAGCACTCCTCGTGCTGCTAGGCCGCCAACCCCATGCCAGTGATCTAGCGTTGGCATTGTATTGTCAGTTGTTGAAGAAGCCGATAAGCCCTCACGAGTTACTTCGATTCCATTGTAGGCTAGTTCGGTCTCCTGATGCTGCCAATGCACGAGACTGTCCCATTGGCTGCTTGCCTAGCACACAGTTCCATATGTCAGGTTCAAGGATCTCTCCTAGCAAAGACGAACATTACCTGAGTGTTGAAATGCAGTTCATCATCCCAACCAGAGCCATCCACAGAGCCTTCCTCTTTGAAGTTGATGATTTTATGGGCTGGACGTATGCGACCAGGTGTCGGCAGTCTCATGGCATTAAGAGGCCAACTGAGTTATGAAATAAGCGTAAGTACATGACAGTATCGAGTGATTGGCTCACTTCAATGAGATGGAAACTCCATCTCTTGCCTCAGCACAGGCTGTCGCAACTACGGGTTGCGTGAGTAAGTTCAAGGTCCCTAGCAAATCTTTCTTGCCATTTCGGTCGAACACGCCCCAGGCACATCCTTGAGGCATGCCATCTACGGTGGGCAGACTGTCAAAGTCGGGAATTTGGTCAAAGTCCATTCTGACTGGTCCAATCAGCTGACCGCGGCGTAAGCAAGGGGTCACTTTAAGTCTGATATAGGAACGTGCCCGGTAACGCTTTGAAGAAGAGAGACAGGTTCCTTGATACTTACGATTAATACTGACAACAGTGTCGTACGCAGACAGGATACCGATCTTCTGCCGAACTTTGATCAGGTCGTACGGGTTGTTTCAGTGTATCACCATGCCACATCAGATAAATTGTTTGAACAGCCCCGAGGTCAAGATGCGGAAACCGGGGAAATCCAAACTTGAGCGAGATGCGCAGTCAACGTATTAGAAGAGCTACAATCTTGCCTGGCACAATGTACCGTTACTGGAGTTGCAGATTTCAATGAGTTGTGGATTCGCAACAGTCTTGGCTGCAACTCAGCCTCCGCCTCAATATAGTTCAAGTATGTAGAGTTTGGGAGGTTTGCGATGGCGTTATATGGCAGAGAGCGTGAAACCAATTAGGTAGGGAGGTCTGGACGACGCCCGTGGGTTCCTCCCCGCTTTGCTCAAGTTATGTAAGGGCAGCATGTTGGAGTACAGGGTGTGGAGATCCTGCTTGAGAAGACGCCGTCGCATTGTACGCTACTGCGTTATCCGAAGACGAATACGGCGATGCATATTTCCATGCCGATCGCCTTGTAATAATTCTCCGCAGAACGTTAGATGACCGCTGGTTTAATACAAAACCCGGGGAATCGGGTTGGTTGGAAGGCCCGTGTACATTGCCGAGACACCTAGGAGGTGGCGGACTGCACGCCTTTCCATTGTAACGTCATTCAATGTCGCACGCAGACTACGCGCTGTCGTTGCCTTGACTTCTCAACCACCTCTTTACCTCTCCTTTTAGACTCTGATCCCTTGCAACGAATGGTACGATGTAACCGGCTTTGCTAGAAATGTGTGGGCCTCGAACCCCTCCCAACGGTCGGCAATTCCCATATAAACTTGGTGTACTTCCCGTGCGAAAGCCAGCCAGCCAACAATTTCCACTCCTCCAAGCCATTCAGCGATATCCTCTGTCGCTGCGTGTTCTTTCTCCTTACTCGTGACAATGGAGCCTTCGGCAGCATTGGCGGCCATGCCGCCAGAGCAACAGAAGTTCATGGTAGAGGCAGAGAAGCGTAGAAGGGCAAACGGCATGGCACAGTTTCAAGAATTGCACTACAGCAATGATGACCGCCTTCGACATCTGGCAGATGATCCGTTCGCTGACCATGCAGAACTTGATAAGATGCCGTTACCCATCGAGTCGGGAGACCGCGTGAAGTTCTTAGTGATGGGAGCTGGGATGGGCGGGGTCGTGAATGCCGTGCGACTAGTTCAGGCCGGTTTCTCGACCGAACAGATTCGCATTGTTGAAGTCGCCGGTGGGATTGGGGGTACCTGGTACTGGAACCGGTAAGGCACCAGCACTTTTTCCCAGTCCTGAGTGACAACACTGATTTGCTACCAGTTACCCTGGGCTACATTGCGATATAGAATCTTACATCTACTTGCCACTTCTTGAGGAGATGGGGTACATCCCAGCGCAGAAGTATGCATCGGGGGCGGCAATTCGATCATATCTTGTCGACGTGGTGAAGAAGTATGGCCTGGACAAGACGATCATGTATCGTACTGAGGTAAACGGCCTGCAGTGGAGCGAAGACGTTCACGCTTGGAGGGCAGATATGACGGTCAGCCGTGGCGAAAATGGCCAGAACAAAAGTCACCTTTGGGCCAACGCCGAGTTCGTGCTCCTCACCACAGGCCTGTTTCCTCGACCGCAAGTGCCAAAGTTACCAGGTCTCGCTGGATTTGAGGGTGCCATGTTTCATACAGCCAGGTGGGATTACAAGGTTACTGGCGGATCGAGCGAGGACCCCTTTCCAGCCTTGGATAAGCTTAGGGGGAAAAGAGTTGGTGTTATTGGCACCGGGGCTACCTCTGTGCAAGTTATTCCAGAGGTGGCAAAATATGCCAGCGAACTATACGTCTTCCAGCGTACACCCTCACAGGTCAATGTTCGAGCACAGCGTGACACAGATCCAACTGAGTGGCGCGAAACAGTTGCTGCCATGCCAGGCTGGCAAAAACGCCGACAAGAGAACTTCTCCGAACATGTTGCTATGGGTGCGCCAGACGATCATGAAAACATGGTCGGCGATGGGTTTAGCAAATTGAAGGCTTACTGTGCCATTATCGGAAGCGACCAGTTCGGTATGATAACTCCAGACAAGATATCGGAGCACATCGGTACCATGCTAGCGAGGGACGCAGAGCATAATGCAAAAGCGCGCGCCAGAGTTGCTGACGTGGTGAATGACAAAGATACCGCTGACAAGCTCACGCCGTGGTACCCAACCTGGTGTAAGAGGCCCACATTCAGCGATGTCTACTTGCAGACATTTAACGAGAGCCACGTCCATCTTGTTGATACGGAGGGCAAGGGCGTTGAGAGTGCGACTTCTCGGGGTATTGTAGCAAACGGGAAAGAGTACTCTCTCGATGTCTTGATCCTCAGCACTGGCTATCGCTCGCCCGGGGTGGCGTCTGGCAACCCAGCCGCACGCATCGGCATAGAAATAGTTGGCTACGGAGGTCGCCGTCTTGGAGAGAAGTGGGCTGCTGAGGGTGCGAGCACCCTGCATGGATGCGCTACCAACGGGTTCCCGAATCTCTTCTGGATGGGACCTTCGCAAAGTGGAGCAGCCCCAAACTACGCACATGTTATCGAGGTGCTCAGCAACCACGTTGCCTATATCATCAGCCGTGCCCATCAAGAATCCGGCGGGACACACGTGGATAAGGTGGTGATCGAGGTATCGCTTGAGGCAGAACAGGAGTGGGGTATGAGGATAGCCCAAGGTGCGGCACTCCTTGCGCCTGTAGCCACCTGCACTCCGGGATACATCACCAACGAGGGTGAGGCCATCAACACGAAGCAGGATCCGCAGGAGATGCTCAAGAGCGCTAAAGGTGGCCCTTGGCCTGAAGGAATGATGGGGTATATCCGTGTACTAGAGGCGTGGCAAAGCGATGGACAGCTGAAAGGCGTCAAGGTTGACGTGGCACCAAGACCGGGAGGACCATGAATCCTCGAGACGGCCAACTTAGAAGATCAGTGCTAGCATAGAGTTCCGGCGCCAGCCTCGAGAGCAAAGAGGACCCCGTCGCTTTTCATAGCCGCTGTGTTGTGGGCAGGGCATATTTCTGCCAATTCATGACCTTTGTCGCTTGAACTTTTGCACCAATTCTTGGTTTTCAGAACTACTGATCAATTCCTCCAGACGTCGCTCTTGGGTCTCGAGGCGTTTGGCCGACATAACCCAGTGGAAAACTTGTCGCTTGTAGCCTGGTGTGCGGCTCTTGAGATAAGCGGCCGCAGTCTTGTTGGATGTCAGGCGCTCCGCAAACTCGTTGCTTAGGGCCAGTTCCCGTTCGAAACTCATTTGCGCCGTATTCTCCTCTGTGCGCCTGGCGAACGCCGCCCTGCCGGGCTCTTGCATACGGCCTGCAGCCTCTAGAAGCGCAACCTTGTCGACATTGACCCGGCTCCAATGGCTCTTCCTTGCTCGGGGCGTGAATCGCTGAACAAGGCGGCTGTCATCCACTCTCCGCCGCTGCCCGTCAATCCACCCCCAGCACAGTGCCTCGTCCACAGCATCGGACCAGGTCACAACCTGGAGTCCCGTGTGCTTCTTGAAGTAACCAACGAACACCTCGCTCTTCGAGTCGTGATTTGCGGATAGCCAGGCGCCAAAGGCTGCTGGCGACTGGAAGTAAATTGGGTCCTCCCAGCTGTTGGATTGGTGACTAGGGGTGGGGCCCCGTGCAGCACGACGCGACTGACGCCCTCTCGAGCCCGCTTTTGTTGCCATTGCTCTCAGGCCCAGTATCATGGACGAGCGGCAGGGGGGAATCATAGGTATGTGCCCGTAAAAGCAGTGAACGAGAGTCGGCGAGATGCTTGTGTGAGGTTGGATCGCAATGACGGTCAATCATTATTCCTGTGCCGCAAGCCACATTCTCAAGGTCCAGTACGTCAGGTTCGGCCGCGATTCCAAGTCGTGAGGACGATCAACCCCGCGAGCAACGCATTCCCATGTGGAATAGCGTACAGTTATACAATTGCGTTTTGCCTGGCGAACTTCTACATTTCTTTGCTTAGGGAATGGCCACGAGTTGACTAGGTATTGGAATGAGGCTTCTCACTTGGGAGTGGAGGGAGTCCTGTGGTAACTTTGGTTGTTTGGCATCTGGTTTCCACTTCCACTTATGGCGTCTCGGTTACTCATGCACACCATGGACATGAAGCCCGCATCAAGCCACCCACTCGTGCCGCTTTTGATAGACGAATCCACTTTCGCCTTCGATAAACTCACAAGCAACTGCATATCAAATTGTTACGTACTCAGCTGGCCTGCTCGGTGCTGTGCAAGGGCGGCTCGCAACCGAACACCGAGTGATGGCTTATCGTCGCGCTAGCTAGCGTTCAACCCCACACTGCTGCACGCAAAGCGCGATCGGCCAAGGTCACTTTCCGGGACGTTATCATCTACCATCCACCCTCGGCCGCGTACGGATACCCTATCCGGCAAAGCACAACGGTCTAATTCGCATATTCACATAGTTAGGCCGCCTCCGGGCTTAGGTATAAAGTCTACTCAAAGATCCTGCGGGCCTCCGTTACTAGGCAAGTCCTGCAACTACATCCTCGTGAGAACCATTGCCTTATCACCAAACGCTACAGTAGAAAAAAACACCATGCATCCTCTATCGTCACTATGCGAAGCCGAGATTAGCCTCTCGACGAAGCTCGTGCGTGGACTCCATGAGCCGGGCACAAAGCTTCGCTTCAAGGGTATTACCACCCATGAACCCTCACGGAAAGAGATGCAGCAGTACCGAGCTCAGTCAGACGTGAAGAGCTATACCCCACCCCGAAGGTCATGGGTCAACTACTATCTCACGGGTACTGCCTCTTTCTTCGAGGTTATTATTAATCTCACTACTGGAACTATTGAGAAGAGCATAGAGGTGCCTGCAGGCTTTCATGGCCCTGTTGACGATGAAGAAATTATTGCGGTTGAGAAGATCGCGCTGGAAGACCCCCGCACAAAGGTTGAGATTGAAAAGTTGAAGCTCCCTGATGGGGCTGTTGTAGTATGCGACCCTTGGATCTGGTAAGTAAAAACCTAAAACTACTATTCGCCTATCTCAGGTTCATGGTCACTAAGCCCAACAGGGGTGCCGATGGTGTAGCAGACGATGTCCGCCAATACCAGTGCTATATGTACATGCGTGACCCGAATAAGCCAGCTGAGCTGGATAGCAACCACTATGCATTTCCTCTCACCTTTTCGCCCGTAAGTTCAATCGATATTCCAGGAAGCAAGGGGGCATATATATCCATTAACGTTCTCGGGGAACCGTTCGTTCCGGAGAATCAAGAAAAGCGTGCCTCACGAGAGGTTTCTGGCTAGCACTTCACTGATACCCATCCGCTCAGGTTGTTGACGCCGTCACGATGCAAGTAACAAGGATTGACTACCTTCCTACCGGGGCTGGATTCGAGACGACATCAACACAGCCATGGAGAGCCACAAAGCCGAATGAATACATACCCGAGCTCAATGAAAAGCGAACTGGCTTGAAGCCCTTGAGAGTTCTGCAACCTGAGGGTGCGTCCTTCGCTCTTGAAGGTGATATCCTCAAGTGGCAGAAGTGGGAAATGCGCACAAGCTTCAACTACCGCGAGGGTATGGTATTACATGAGGTTTCATTCGACGGAAGACCGTTGTTCTACCGTGTTTCGCTGAGTGACATGTCCATCCCGTACTCAGATCCCCGTGCTCCGTTTCACAAGAAACAGGCGTTCGATTTGGGCGATGCTGGAGCAGGATTGATGGCCAATGATCTCAAGCTTGGCTGTGACTGCCTCGGAGCTATAGCTTACAAGGATGGGCTCATTGCTGACGACCAGGGGCGGCCTGTGGTGAAACCCAACGCAATGTGCATCCACGAACAAGATGCAGGCATCCTGTGGAAGCACACGAACTATCGTACCGGTCGACCAGTTGTGGTAAGGCGACGTGAATTGGTGATTCAGTCGATCATCACGGTATCGAATTACGAGTATATCTTGGCTTTCATTTTCGACCAAGCAGGAGAGATGACTTACGAAGTCCGCGCCACCGGAATCTTGTCTACACAGCCCATCGATCCTGGTGTCGAAGTCCCTTACGGTACTGTGGTACATGACGGGGTTTTAGCCGGCTACCACCAACACATTTTGTCCTTGCGGGTTGATCCCGAACTAGACGGTGACATGGATAATAGACTGGTGTACGAGGAAACCAGCGCCCTTCCCCGCCACCCAGAAACCAATCCTCACGGCAACGGCTACGTTAGCAAGCGCACTACTGTCGAGAAAGCTGGTGGCTATGACTTGGAATCCAAGAAGAACCGTGTTTTCATGATTGAGAACCCCAAGAAGAAGAACCCCGTCAACGGCAAGAACGTTGCATACAAGATGCACATACCTCCGGTTCAACCCTTACTGGCCGAAGAGAACTCATATCACTACAAGAGGGCCGAGTAAGTCACGTACCAAGAAATTCTACATATGTAGCTAATTATCCTAGCTTCGGTGACCATTCTGTCTACGTAACAAAATATCAAGAGAATGAGCTATTCGCCGGTGGACAATACACGAACCAGAACAAACAGACTACGGGTGTCCGAAAGTGGGCCGCCAGAAACGAAGATATTTCCAACGATGATATTGTGGTATGGGTGCAATTTGGTCTGCAGCACGTCCCGAGGATAGAGGACTTCCCGGTTATGTAAGAGTCCTCTGTGGTTAATCCTGTCGCTGCAAGTTTGCTAATTATATTGTCAGGCCAGTTGAGATCGTCAAGGTTGCGTTCAAGCCAGTAAACTTTTTTACACGTAACCCGGCAATTGATGTGCCTCAATCGACGTAAGTCCTCTCCTGAGCTGTGGAACTTGATTAAAGATAGCTAAAGTCTTATCAGACAAGAGTTTAATCAATCGACGCTCCTGAACGGACACCAAAATGGGGTCAACGACAACAAGAGTGAATGCTCGTCGTGTCAGTGAAGATTCCAAACCCCACCACGGCGGTATCAAGAGATATCAGGTCAAACCAGCAAGCGCCTTAAAAGCTCACACGAGAAAAATCTATCACTGTCTGTATGTCTCGGAACAGATGTCATATACTTAGGTAGCCTCGGTGTCTTGAAATACATTTACGCCAACTCTGCAGGAATTTGTCCTTCTTCTGCAGGAAGCTGGTGCAATCCTGGTCGTGCATTAAGTTCAGCCAAATGTCCCATTCTTGCAGGAGGCATTGACTCGGAGCCGGTGTTGGTATCTTGTTTATCACCATGATGCCCCTACAAGCCCTTGTGATGGCTTCGTGTCTTGTGTCGACGATACTGGAACAACCCTTCAAGGCTAGCTGCAATACCCATAACGCCTCCAACTGTCCCTCCCACGATAGCCCCCACGGGTGTCTGCGTTGGAGCCGGGTCTTCTACGCCTGTTTCAACTTTAGCAATTAAATAGGATATGAGGCAGGTGGTTCTAACTGTCGGAAGAATTGCTTGATATGAACAACGCCTTCACTTCATTGCTCGACCACTTGGTTGTCGAGATATTACCAATCAGCGATTAGTTGCATACCAATGACTGAAATGATCTGTCTAAGGGCTATATTGATACTATACCAGTACTGAACCATTTGCGGCGATTCATATGATGCCGAATTGGGTTTGCAGTTTTGCCTCCGCTGATCCTATGCCATCCCACGGGACATATTTTGCTCCGTACTCTATGATTAGTACACCATCGGAGCAAAGTAAGGTGGGCAATACCGCTTAAGTTGGATGATCATCGAAAACGGAGCAGACCGTGATGATTTGCCAATTATTATTATAGATTATATTACTAGTGTGACAAGCAGAGGACCCCTACTGAGAATAACAACATTTCCACATAACCAACACGCGGTGCATTTGCAGCGCTGGCTCTAGGATGACCGTTAGCATATGAACACATCATTTGGGAATTAAATAATCATACTTCGTATTTGTTGCTGAGCCTGATCCTGAGCCAGTCGAGGTAGGGGATGTACCATCGATCGTTGGGTTGTGTTCAGGGTCTGATGAATTCCACCTATTATTCTCATAACCAGTCCAGCAAGTAAACCCGGAGTAGATATCGGTCTTTTTGGGGGTAAAGGTCAGAGAAGCGAAGGCTGCCCCTAGAGCCGGGCAGCTGATATCTCCGGTAGAGAGCACTCTGAGGAATGAGACAGATTTCAGTGATGGTAAACTGATTCTGTAATGTGACTGTATTAGCAGAACTCTTGAAATACAAATGTGAGACATTAGCCGTGCCTCACGGAGGAATACGCACTGATCAAAATGGCCATCAAGAAGCACACCTCCGTTGACCGTAGTTAATGCCGGTAATGATATGTTGCGGAGTGGGTAAGAATCTATGATTGCAAGATCTCCAGTGATAGTATTAAGGTTCCTGATTTTCTCAATGGGTTAACAACTAGACGCAACTTTTTAACAATAAAAGCAAGAAAATTTCAGCCTTACGGAAACGATACACTTGTCAAATTGTTGACATAGCCGAACAAGATTCCTCCGCTCGTTATATTCGTGAGATCCGGCATGGAGACACTGGTCACGCCATCGTCCACTCGGTCAGAACCCTTGAGCTTAGGCCCTAGATACCCTGAGCTCACTTCAGGTAACGACTTAACACCGGGCAATTCGAAGGGACCCTTAAACAGGTGATCGATAAAGAATAGAGTCCCGTCAACGTTTGGACAGGTCTTGTAAAAGTCGATATCTGTCTGGTCCACAATTTCTATCCAAGAATCATCACACGCCCGAGTCTCCAAAGCTAATGTGAGAGTCATCCAGTTAGTTTTTAAATAGGAAAAGCGAGACGACTTGGTGTTGACTCATTTGACCTACCGGCTACAGCATCGATTGCTGTCAACAACGTGACAGATAGCAGAAACCTTGAGACAAACATTCTTGCCCTACTGAAGAAGACACCAACCATAAATCATATAATGGGAGTTGCGATCACAAAGCAGTCCTCGTCTTGCCCAATTTGGCAGGGAAGAAGGAAGCGGATGACTCCTCGCAGACGCTACGTCGTGGGGAGATGAGCCGAATATATTTTCTCGCTGTGCCGCATGACTAACTGTACCCTTGCAGATTCTTTTATTGCACACCAGAGTGGGGCTGATGGTCATGGGTAAATACAAACCCACCACAGCTCAGCGGCCACAAAGCTCTGGAAAGATATATAAACACCATCTTACTTGTGAGATTCCGAAGCTGTTTGAATGTGATATCCGAACCCGATCCCAAGCACATTGGCCCTTTGCCATACATTGAACAGGTCGCAGAAATGTGTCTGCGGCCATTGCTATTATTGACTTAAGCCACTTGGTCTCATCGGCACTAGCGTCCCTATTAGCGCTGTCGGCTAAGTTACTGATAACCCCCAGGCCCCCATCTGATCTCGACATGGGGCGCTCTTTGCAGCAAAGTTCTACAGGCTATGCACACGTCTGGTTCGCAACTGACAGTTCATAAACAGGCGGCTACAGTATAGCATGTATTAAATGCTCGGGTTTTGTGGTATTTGGTGGAAAATCGCCGGTCGAGCAGAGGAGTACCGCATTATGTCAACAAATTGCCACTTTCGCATACGCGACCATAGGATAAGACCTGCCTAATCGATCCACGTTAGTTATTGGCCAGCCGTAAGCGATTAGTGCTTATACAGCTCATCGCACGTGATATCAGAATACTGGAACTTGGAAAATGCTGACCTCCTTCATCTGAGGATAAGTAGATGAGCGTAAATTGATGACTTCAAAGAAAAGTGTCACTATCGACTGCTGCTTGACTTGTTAAGAGAAATTATGGTCCATCGCAGCGTCCCAGCCGATGCAGAAATGTTTATCCTGGTTGTGCCGTTTCAGTTCAGGTTGCAATGTCTGATTCCACGAAATAAACTGATTGGTCTTCGTGCATCGTATGCCCTATAGTATTCTGTGAATTAACAATTACTCCTTGAGTGACAACGTCGCTTACTTAATACTATCTACTTGTAACCTTGCCTAGGACGCCACCAAGGAACACTACAAACATTACCGACGAAGAATTTGTCAGGTAATAGAGTGGAAATTCCTAGGCGTCAAAATTCAGTTCCAAGGTGGGTTTTATAACGTTACCGTGATCGTTGACCACGCTAGGAATGCGGTCGCATCAATTGTCCGTCAAAGGGATGGGGCAAAACCGTATTCGCAATTGAATTTCAAGATTGCGATAAGTCGACAGATTGACTCTGGCGATGTTGTTGGCTGTTCTACTGGCTGCTGGTAGTAGTCTAGCGCTTTCCGGCAGGGCTGGGTTTAGGGGCTGGCTTGGACGATGCTTGCTTAGACGGTACTGGTTTGGAGGGTATTGGCTTGCTCGGTATTATTTTGCCCGGTGTTGGTGTCTTGTTCGGATTCGCTTTCTTTATCGTCCGTCTCGTCCTCTTTGGTTTCTGGTTGGCCACCTTCTGAATCTCCTTCAATGCTCGCTTCACCTCATCGCCATCATCGCTCCCGAAAGCGCATTCCCAGATGATCCAACCCAATATCACGAGGACGGTTGGCGATACAATGAAAGCTGCTATCCAGAAAGGAAGGCTTCTGCCGCCAGGCGGCCAGGCAATCAGTTCTGGCCATTGTGTGTCTCTGCGGCCAATTGTGCTGGCGCAGTTGGCAAGCGCCGCCGTAGCGTGCTCCAACCTAAAAAGAGATGGTATTGGTGACATGCCTACGTATTTTGCGGCTGTATATTGCAGACATGGGCTTTCGCCACGTTTTGAAGGGTGACAATCAAGACATGCAGTCTGAGTTCTACGATGTCACGTCACCTCCTTTCTGCGGGCATTGCGCCCCAAGCCTTATAAAATATCAAACTTCGAAAAGCAACAAAACCGACCCGGGCGTTTCAAACAAAGGTTCGATATGGCAGTTGAAAACTACGCATTGAAAGCGTATCAGGTAATCCATTGTTGGCTGATCATGTTTCTTTCATGGCATTGAGAGAGAATCAGGCCACGCACCTGCGAATAAAAGTACGTCGTTCTACGCATGATCCTTAATTTACATCATGCAAGACAGCTGGTTGACGTGGAAGATAGTGTATCATTAGCGCGTCATTAGTTATTAGACTGGAGAGGTCCGCTTGGTCAAAGCTGGGCCTTTCTTTTAGATAAAACAGATTCGTCCTAGCATTACAGCACTAGTCTAGTACTGGAACCTGAAGTCCAAACGCTTATTACCGTCCTTCTCTCGGGCCACCTGGTCGTTCTGATACTCGAACTTCTCCTCGGCCGTCATTGTGCTCCAGATCGCCTCCTTCTTCTTGTTCAGGTGAATGAGCCATTGTCGCTGCGCAAAGAAGGTCACCAAGCTGAGTGCAACGATAGATATGCACACTGCGTTTCCGGTATGGTAGTAGGGCGAGTCCCAGGACCGGTAGATTTGATTTCCGACCACAGAGCCGATCTGCACAATGACGTTGTAGGTTGCAGCGGTGATAGCTCGCTTCTTCACATCGAATGTGTTTTCAGAGATCCACGAAGACACCAATGGGTGGAAGTAGGGGTATCCAGAGATCAAGGTAATAAGCGAGAATCGAGACCATTCCCGTCCACCATCAGGCAAAGTCAGAAGAGCAGTGAAGAGCGGGAGTAGCCAGGCTTCTCCGAGGATGCAGTGGAATGCACGCTCGTTAAAGTAGTTGCTGCTGTAGGCCAGCGCCAACATGGTGATGATTTGGAGACCGGCCGAAGGAGCTGTAAGCATGTTGGAGGCGAAGGTGGTGAAGCCAAGGCGCCTTAAGGTAAGGGTAAGGTAGGCCTGAACCGGTGTAGCCGGGATGTATGCCACGAGACCGATGAAGTACAGACCCCACATCGACTTGTCTCCCCATGCTGCCTTGATATCCTTCCATGTGGCAGGTTCTTTGATCGCGGTAAGGCCTTTGGCAGGGTCGTCACGCAGAATACGGTTGATCATGATAGTCTCCTCCTTCTCCGTATACCACGGGCGGGGGCAGAGCACCGACTTGGTTGAGGTGGGCGAAAGGGGCAAGTATAGGAATGAAACGACTCCGAGAATTACTGTTAGGAGACCCTCGAGGAGGAACAACCAGAACCAGCCAGGCCTTCCAGCGACACCGCGCATCTCAAGAATGCCTGCAGCAAGGAGGGCGGAAATGACACCTGGTAATCTCAGTTAGGGATATCACTAGGAAGTATACGACGTACTGGCCACTTACGCGCAATGTTGAGTGTAGACCAGAACGCAGCTAGACGAGTCGACAGCTCTTTACTGGTGTAGAAGTATGTGGCCATGAGGACAGCACCGGGAATAAAACCACCTTCACAGAGGCCGATGAAGGCACGGGTAACGTAGAACCCAGCACGGTTGGTGATGAAAGCTTGGAAAGTAGAGACAAGACCCCATGCTACCATCATGAATGGCAACACGAATTTGAATCCAAAACGCTTCGTGAGGAATTGTACGGGAAACTCAGCGCCCAAGAAGCAAAGCAGTTGGATAGTTGTACCCTAGACTAGAGATTAGACATTTTGGCGGCACAGCACGAGATACCTCTCCCAAGGTGAAATACCTACATTGTTGTAATCGTCGGATGTGATTTTCAAGTCCGCTAGGAAGGAGTCGGCCAATGCATTAGAAAGGTTCCCACGGTCCAGCTGAAGTCCAAAGAACTGTATACCTGATTAGTAGGTTGATACACGTGCGGGCTTTGGGGCGAGACGTACCATGACACACAGCCAGCTTAGGAGCATCAGGTCGGTTTTGCGGACAACCTTCTTCTCTTCCTCGGCAGTCCATGTTGCGTACGGATCGAAGCGATGTCCACCTTCATAGCCGTCGTGAGGCTTGACAGCGAGGTGGATGTTCTCACGGCCAACCTCAACTTGAGCCTTATCGGGTTCCGCCTGGTAAGTCTGGCTGACGGCCTTGGGACCAGTCTCGATGTCGTCGGAGCTGGCCATTGTGACTACTCTGCTTCTGCACTAGCTGAGCCTCAGTGGTAAATTGATTGAGATCAGCGTTGAAGCAGACACTAAGATGTCGCGAGGAACAGCAGACAGAAGCGGTAGGTAGCAGCCGTCAGATATATTTATTTTATATCAGGGCCCGTGAGATGCAGGAGGAACTTTCGGGGCCCTGGGGTTACGCACGGCGTGACAAGCGTTGGGGATAGCTCCCATTGGTCGCATTCGACGACACCATCAAGCCGAGACCAACCAGACTCAAGCCATGTCTGCATTTCCGCCGCACGTTGGACATGTGTCGAACCCAGGGATCGGGTTCAGCCCAGCAGAGTTGCACCGGTTCATGCTGCCGTCGCCTGTGCCATGGCTGTCTCCGAGGTGTAGCAGCCGAATGCAGTACCCCATCTCCGCTAGCGCTTTACCGGATCAGGTTCGTGATTCGCCGAGGCCGACTGACCCCGTCCGGGTTTGCGGGGTTGCGGGAGAAAATCTCGGAGATTCATGGCTCACATCATTATGGGGACCGATGTCGTCTTCACGCTACCTGGTTGCTGGAATTAAATATTAAGGCAGGCCCGCGTTGTGGCTGCTATGGGGAGTTGGAGACGACTGGCTTACCAGATGAGGATTATATCGGTCACGCAATTTTAGCGTATTTTCCGTAATTTTATCCAGGCCATAGGTGACTGCATTACTATTCACAACTATCACAATGCCTTCACTCAGCGCCGACGCCAATCTCGACTTCCACATTGTCGGAGGGCATCAAGAGTCTAGAACTAGACTGTCTGGCCCCTTGGTCTACTCTGGGACTTTGGACTCGTTTGAGCAGAATGATATTACCCCTGTAATTGGCCGCGAGTACTACGGACTACAGATCCGTGATCTCTTGCAATGGGATGACCAGCATGTCAAAGACCTCGCGGCGACAAGTGAGTAACTAGATTGTCGTTTTGTTTGCTCCTTTTGAGTCTTGTAGGCCTCAATGAGTCTGACACGCCGCAGTCTCGCAGCGAGGAGTCGTCTTTCTTCGAAACCAGGATGTGACGCCCTTAGAGATGAAGGACTTTATGATCAGATTGTCAACCCTGGCCGGTTGCCCAGAGTCCTCGGGCCTGCACGTGCATCCCTTGACCGAAGAGGGTAGCGAGCTGGGCGATCAGATCTCGGTCATCTCCAGCGAGAAGCAAAAGAAGGGAGGCGGCCTTACACACCAATTGAGCGATGTCAGCCGTTTTGCTAGCACGGGATGGCACAGCGACATTACATTCGAGAAAGTACCATCAGACTATGCTATGCTAAAGATCCATACCTTACCAAAAACTGGTGGCGATACTGTAAGCGAACCGGCCCTACGGCTATATTGTGTGTCACTAACTGATTTTGAATTTCAGCTCTGGGCATCTGGATATGAGATATACGATCGGCTTTCGGAACCCATGAAGAAGTTCTTGGAAAGCTTGACTGCAACTCACGATGCGAACTTCTTCCATGACGAAGCGGCGCGACTCGGCAACCCCCTGCGCAAGGGCATCCGCGGCTCACCGCTGAATCAAGGGAGCGACTTGAAGACTACACACCCAATCATCCGAACGAATCCCGTGACCGGTTGGAAGAGTGTGTTCATCAACAAGGGATTTACCAAGAGAATCAATGGTGTGACCAAAGACGAGTCTGATGTCCTCCTGAGCTATCTGTTCAACCTCGTCACGCAAAACCACGACGCCCAGGTACGATTCAAGTGGAACCAAAACGATCTGGCGATTTGGGATAATAGATCAACATTCCACTGCGCGACATATGACTACGAAGCTGCAAGAGCTGGTGATCGGGTGTGCAGCTTGGGGGAAGCCCCGTACCTGGACTTCGAGAGCAAGAGCCGAAGGGCCGCACTCGATATCTAAAAACCAAAAAGTAAAAGCGTCAAATCAAAATGTTACAGTCCAATAATCTATAATTAATTACTGGCCACAATTGTATATACTGTGTGCACATGTCTTGTCAGATTGTTACTAACCTACTAGGTACAGTCGTCTCCTGTCAACGTGTCTGACGACGGCTCGCTCCGGACAGCCCCCAGCGCTAAAACTAGGCCCAGTAAACCAACCGAGGGTCGAAGCTATAGAAGAGCCCCATGCTCCGTGTACGACTACCGTATCTTGTGACTGCAGACCATATCGTTGGTATTCATCAAGGCTGTGCGAAGAGAGCCTGAAAACATTATTATGTCGCCTGACGTCCGGCTGATGATGTCGGGTCGTGCAATATTCAGGCGTGCCACAGCCGACAACCCGTGGACGCCTCGGATGACGCAAGAAGGCCTAGAACAACGCTAGAGCCGCTGCGACTTAGTGGGGAAGTTTAGCCCCAGCCCGCCCCAAAGCCTTGATATGTGGGCACCGTAGGGGATCGGCGGCCCTTCCAAGAAGGTCCACTACGGCCGGCTTCTCTAGGCGTTGATTAGTGGGCAACGTGGGCGTAGTATTCCGACCCGTTCTCCTCCGCTGAAATGAGTGTCGGGCTTGTCGCGGTGTCTCAACAGAGCAATCATGGCATGACCTGAGCATACACGCACGACTCGGCTGTTCGCAAACAAGATGTTCAAGCACATGTAGCCGGTGCCGAAGGCGGTGGCGACGGCAACGGCAACGGCAGGATGCCCAAAGAACCGAAACCACCTTCACAGAGAACGAACCTCGTGAAGCGCGCTTGCGATGCGTGCAAGATTCGGAAGGTGAAATGCTCAGAAACTTCGCCATGTCGCGGCTGCGTCGCGAGTGGCATCACATGTACCTTCAAGAGCGTCCAAGCTACGCGAGGACCGCGGAGTCTGCGCGCAAAGACGATAGAGAAGATTTCTGCTGCGCAGTTTGGCAATGAAGGTCCGCTGGCACCGGATGAGGCACGGGCGCCGGCGGGCCCGTCGTTCAACAATTTCACTGATGCTCCGCGCGCGCCGGCTCCAGAAACTGCAAGTTTGCTACGGGCACTGGAGACCTATCGCCAGAGGCTGTATCCGATATGGCCTATAGTCGATGTGCGCCGACTCCAGGAAGGGCTGGCCGGGGGAAACCCACAGCTTCGCTTGCTGTCAGTTGCCATCCGTCTAGCCACTATCGCGCAGCTTCGTCTCGAGGCCGTCTCGCCTAACGAGGTTCCTCGAACAAGTCTTGAGGATTTTGACGACAGCCTCGGTTTGGACGGGCTGCGAGTTGCCTTCTTCTTGCACATCTACCATGAAAATCAAACACCAGGAGGCGGCAAAAGCTTGCTGTACTTGAGGCAGGCCATCACCATGTCGCAAGTCATGCGTTTGGAGAGGGAGGCATCGTATCGAGGCTTGCCTGAGGCTGAACAACAAATGCGCAGGCGCATTCTTTGGCTCCTGTTCGTCACCGAGAGAGGGGTGGCTATGCTCCATAAGCTGCCTGTCATTCTCAAGCCGGCCATAGTATTCCCAATCCCGAATGGCGATGATCAAACCCACGTCTTGCCAGCCTTCCTCAAGTTAGTCAACTTGTTCTGGGTATTTGACCAGTCGGGGATATTCGAGATTCTCCAAAACTCAGACTCGGATATGTCAAATATGGCATCGACGGCTCGAGGATGCCTAGATCTCTTGCAAAGTCGTCTGCAGGAATCCGCAGTCGACTATGAATCCAGCAATGACGTCCAAAAAGCTGACATCTTCGTAACGCGGCAGTGGATGCGGGCTGTACTCTGGCGGGCTGCCGTCAGGTTTGGGATGGCCACCATGACAAGCAGTCCTATACGCATTGCCAAGGAGTTTTTGAACTTCGTGTCACAACTGCCCCAAGCTGCTATAGAAGCTCATGGCCCTACGATGGAGTTCAAGACGTATGATATTGCGACCGCGGTCATCGACGCTGTGACCAGCAATATCTCCGTCAGCCCGACGGACCACCCCGAGGAGATTCTGCTGGGACTGCAAAGAATCCTGTCGTCCTCTCGTGGTGGCAACAAGGCTCTGATGGCTTCTCTGTACTTGAAAATGGCAGCCATTTCACCGAACCCGCACACCATTCTTGGAAGTAATGCGCGCATTGAGGAGATCAATGACAACGTTGGGCACCTATCTAGTGGGGGCCCGTCCAATGGCTCTATGATCATGCCGACCGCCTGGACCGATCTTGATGACTTACTGTCGACGAGCAGTATACCAAGGGCAGATGGTTCAAGTTCACCGAATTATCATTCACTAGACCAACAGAACCAGCAGATGTCATGGCCGCCATTAGATTTTAGCACTCCGCTACTGCGAACACCCTCTCCGTTGACGCGCATGATCTTCGACGCTGCCCAGGGGAACGACGATGAGGAGCTCCCTGGCTCAGAGACCGGTTGGATAACATCTGCAACTTGACTGAAGATCAAACTCCGATGTTATAGTCAACAGAAATCTACCAACCAAATAGTGAAACACTTATATTCGAGTTTGGGTTGCAAGCCTCTCGCCAAGGGACACTAAGAATCTTTATCACTCTGCCTCTAGCTTCTATACCCAAACCTAGCCGGACATCGCGAACGCGATTTACGGCTGTCCCAAAACATCTTTCAGCGCTGTTACTCGCTCGAGTCCCTGGCGGAGTCAGATCCGTACGGCATGAAGCCGAAATACTGATACGAAACGTCGTTCTGTACTAGCATGGGATGTATGCCGGATCTTCATATCTTCATACACTCTCACTCTGATGACAGAGAGAGGAGAAAATTTTTCTTAGCGGCATTCGGATTGACTGTGGATAAGCCGTCAAAGCGAGGTCTGTAAGTCGGTGAAGTTGAATTGACGCGAGGCGACAGCGCGATGCACGTCTCAGTACAAGCGGTTCGCCACATATCTGGTAATCTCTATGTAGTGTAGGCAAGAGTTGAGTCGTGACTACAATGCACACTTTCAAGTCAAGGGTGTAGACATATATGAGTAGCGGCATAGTATTACGGACGGGTATATATGTATTTACGATTTTATGATGCATTTCCTTGGGGCGGTCTGGCGCTACGGAAGCTACAGCAACTCCTTCCCCATACGCACGCGTTGGTCGGTAAAGTTTGGGACTACTAGTAACTATTTTCCGATGCTACGCAGGCGCTGAATTGTTAATATGGCGGAAAGCTCTGTAGAATTCCTGTTTCACTGCTGCTGCTGATATGTTCATCGTGAACCGAAGCCGGATCTCAGGGGTTCGGACAGAGTCATTCGGTGTGTTCCAGACGAACTAGTACTAAATCGCTGCCCCGCTGCCCCCACCCGCCATGAGCGTCCCTCCTCTTCCCTCATCTTCCGAGAATTTCTCCTTGGGCCAGGACAATTTTGCCGTTTTCGTTTGCTTTATAAAGAAACTCATACACTCACACATTCTAACCAAAAGCATAAGATTGTATTATCTGGCAATAAAGAGAAAAAACATATCACAACAATGGCCTGGGAAGAACCGAGAAAGACCGGTATGGTCTATCGGCGGCTGGGCAACTCTGGATTGCACGTGTCGGCAATTGGCCTGGGTGGCTGGTTGACATACGGCGGCCACGTTGAGGATGGTAGGAAGAAGCTCATTGAGTGCCGGGGTTCGATGGAACACGCGGCTAACTCCTGCGATAGAGAAGACTTTCGACTGTATGAAGCAGGCTTATGACCTGGGTGTCAACTTCTTCGACACCGCTGAGAAGTAAGATTACTCGAATTCAGGGGCTGCTTATTTCGGTGACGGCTAACGAACCTTCTCAGCTACACGGCCGGCAAGTCTGAAATTGCCATGGGCAAGGCCATCAAGAAGTACGGCTGGAAGAGAAGTGATCTTGTCATCAGCACCAAGGTACTTTCCAGCCTCCAGGGAAGTGGTACGTCTTTGAACTGAGCTGATTATGATGAAACTAGATCAACTGGGGCGCTGTGAATGGCGAGATTCTCGTCAACAACCACGGTCTCTCCCGCAAGCACATCATCGAAGGTCTTGAGGCTTCCTTGGAACGCCTCGAGCTGAAGTATGTCGACATCGTGTATGCTCACAGACCGGATCGGTTGACTCCTATGGAGGAGACTGTCCGTGCTTTTAACTACGTGATTGACAAGGGCATGGCTATGTAAGTTCTTGTATTGCGCGGAAACCGCGCAAGCTGCTGACCTCGCTTTGCCAAGGTACTGGGGAACTTCTGAATGGAGTGCCGATGAGATTGCCGAAGCTGCCGGCATCGCCAAGGAGCTGAGGATGATTGGACCCATCGTCGAGCAGCCCCTCTACAACATCCTCGACCGTAAGAAGGTCGAGGGCGAGTTCCAGCGACTGTACTCACGTGTGGGTCTCGGCCTGACCGTCTTCAGTCCCATCAAGATGGGCCTGCTTAGTGGCAAGTATAATGACGCCGTGGACGCGCCGCCGAGCGACTCGCGCTTCGGTGTCAGCAAGGACGGCTTTGCCGATTTTATGCGCAGTCAGTACGGCAACGAGCCGTGGAAGGAGAACATTGCCAAGGTTAAGAAGCTTAAGACCGTCGCCGACAAGCTGGGCGTTACGCAGAGCCAGCTGGCGCTGGCCTGGTGCCTGAAGAACCCCAACGTCACATCCGTGATCACGGGCGCTAGCCGCCCACAGCAGATCGTCGAGAACGTGAAGGCGCTGTCGATACTCGACAAGCTGACCCCTGAGATCTTGGCTGAAATTGATGAGATCACCCAGAACAAGGTTGAGCTTGACCCTGCCAGACAGAGCTAAAGGCTCCGGCTAGGTAGTAATGAAAAGTTTCTATAAGGATGATGATGGCTTCACATAAAACCCGGCTATTGACACAACGGGTAAAACGAGTAGTGATTGAATACATGGGAATTTAAGAATTTGAGGAGCCAATACTTGGCCCTCTCAACATACTACCGGATCAAGCGCTAATTGCAGCCACATATATTCATATCTTAGATGTTGTTATGCCTCCAAGCCGTGCTAATCGCTAATCACTGTTCATACAGCAGTAAGGTGTACACAGTGACGCCGGAAATGCCTGGAACTCCACGTCGTGACAATCTAAGAAGACCTTTGGGAAGTTACTAGGTAGCACGCCTGTCACGGCGAGGCTACTTGCTGCGATATTTTCAACGAGCATTGATCTAATCATTGTTAAAATTGGTGTAAGTGTTACTAATATTCATACCCAACACATATGACTCTTGTAGTAATCTAATCAGGGCAAGCAGAGGGCGAAACAGATTGGTACTGTGTACATAGTAGCGAAACCATGACGCTTGAGACAAGCCATTACCTCCCCACAACGTATCATTATCCGTATACCTCTAATCAGATATCATACGAGTACTCAAACATAAGATGCTCTCGTGCTACCTCCTTTTCTGTGGAGAACATACCCCAAGCCAATGATTGCGACGCCAAATATGAAGCCGAGATACTCGAACACATAATCTGCCTGAACACGTTGACAACGACTGCCGGTGAGGGCATAATCGTCCTCTACCGCGCATGCCGGTCCTTGATCCGTGTTGATGCATCCTCCGTTGAGGAGTTTGTTGTCATAACGCTGCCGCGCGGCTTCGTTGTTCATGTTTGTGCAGCTGCTGACACCCTTCAGTGCCACCGTTAAGGCCTAGACTTGGTTAGTATGGCAGCCATGTTAAGTGCCACAAGCCGATGTGTTACTTACGATGCCACCTGCGAGATAGAAGACGGATGCGAGTGCATCAAGGGCAAGCGGGATAAACGGCGATATCTTGTCGACCCATAGTGCGACGAGGCCGACAGCAGAAACGATGATACCAAAAGCACCAGCGAAACTTCCAAACGACGACTCCGTAGGCGCACTACCAATTACTTGATGCTTGGCCAGGGTCACCGAAAGACCGAGGACTACTGCACCAAATAGCAGCTGTGGTTTTGTCAGTGGACCGCATCATGTAGGCAGGCTCGGCTAGGACTCACCAGAAAGCCGCGGACGGCGATAGCAACAATGGACAGCATTGTGGAAGAGATCCGCCTGCCCGTCAACGATGCTAGGATGTGCGTTCGTGTGTTGCGTGTACTCTGTATGGCCTAAGAAAATGCAGCCGTCAAGTCGGACACTGGAAGTTCTTCCCAAGCGTGTTGGTTGTGGATGACGATATGATACCGAGCGGAAGAGTTGGCTTGGTCCAATCCTTCAAGAACGCAGCTTGAACATGAACGAGGGGGCAGGTCCAACCTTTTATTATCATCCTGGGCACCTAAGTATTTGATTGACATCCATGACATGACCAGTGCCGGGCCATGCTCGGTGGCACAAGGCAGCTGCGGTCCTTGCTGCCTGGTCCTTTGAGATGGGCCGGACAGGATCCATCGCAGCAGAATGCGTCGCAGCACAAGACTAACAGTACCCCTCCTCCTATCCGTCTCGTACGAGCGGTCGGGTTGTATGTAGTATAACGGCGCAGATCCTCGACTGATGAGTCAAGCTGGTACCAGCCCACGGCAAACGACATCTCAAAACAAGGGCCGCCCCTCGAGAAGCGGCCGACAACTGCCTTGTGGTCGGCGAAGCCCCCCAACGCTAAAGCGGATCGGCCAATTGGTTGCCATGATACATGTTAGTTATGGTCGATGTATTTTGAAACAGGCTGGCGGCGGCGCGAGTTGAGTACAGCCATTCGCCCAGCCTTGCCAGAGACTCACATACTGTTGATGTTCAGATTTGCGGGTTGGCTCTATTTTGAGACACAAACGTGGCGGAGCACCCTGGCCCCAGCCCGCGTCGTCGGCGGGGCTGGTGATCCTTCGTCGCACCTTGCCGCTCCTTCGCTGCCTTCAATCAGGACTCAAGCAATCAAGGACTTGTATGTCCCCTCGAGCTCACTCTGCCCACTGGCGGAACCCGGCTGAGCGGGGGCAGGTCTTATTGGCACTGGCACAGTCCTTGCTAGGCCTTGCTGTGGCGGTGGTGGTTTGACCATCCCCTGGGACGGAGACGCTGTGTCGAGATAAGCTTAACCTGCACCCAGTAGACGGCTCTAGTGGAGTTGGATTGGGGCTGTTTTCTATGTCCTAGGCACTAAAACCCACAGCCTAGTAGCACTAAAATCCGAGCTGCAATCAAGTCCGACCTCACCCCAACGTCGAATCTCCCCCTGCCACACAACCACTTCTCAACTACCTAGAACAGCAAAATGTCCAGGCGCTTGTCGTCCAAAGAAGTTCCTGGCCAGGGAGCCGAGCTAGGAGATACTGCAGGCCTGTCTCTCCGCTGCCATCATGTCAAGTTTCAGTTCCTTCTAGCGTTCGGGAATGCCATGTGAGCCGTGTGAGGCCATAACATTGGGGTCGGGGCCGGTGAACATTGTTGGGAATCCCATGTCGAACGCTTGCACGCTCTCCAGATACTGAATCTGCCCATCGATTAGTCTGATGCTGAAGGCCTGGATATTGTCGTGGATGTGTTCCAGTTTCCTGCCCCCAACGACCGGGAACACGTTCAGCGCCTTTTTCATCACACAGACCAGCGCGATGGCCGTTACAGATTCGATGCCGTGCTCCGCAGCCACCTTAGCCCGGGCCTCGCTCATCCGTAGCTCGACGTCCTGCCGCTGGCTACTCAGGCTGGAGTATCAGATATACCGAGGTACAGCACCTTTGGTTCCGCTACCAGATATTGAAGAGGGACCATGAGCTCTTTGTTGGACGTCGTGTAATCCCATACATGCACGTGCAGTATGTCAATGTAATCCATTTGCAGCTTTCCCAACGAGTCGCGCACAGTCATGTACAGACTACGCCTGTGGTTTCCGGTATCGTTGGCAGCTTTTCCGAATCCCAGCGCGTGGGTTTTGTAGTCCATGGTGAACTTGGTCGCAACCACCAACTAGTCGCGATTCTGACGCGAAGCCAGCCACTCTCCAATCCACTTCTCAGACTCTCCATTTTGGTAGTTTTTTTAGTCCTGTCGACCATCTTTCCGTCGGCCTCGTTATAGCCATCCAGGAGCTTGAAAGCATCCTCCCTGCTGATGTTGCCCAACATGCGACCCCAGCTACCGCCAAAAGACATTGCGCCTACTTGCAAGGGTGAGACTCTCTGCCACATGAGGAGCTGAGAACTCGAGGTCGAGCCAGCTCCATTTGATCTTCGGGATTGCTTGCATTTCATTCTGTTCTGATCTAGGAAATGTTAACGGAATTCACTTATGACTGTAGTTCTGTCTCAGTAGTATGACTTCTTGTGGATGGTTTCGTATTAGTAGCACGTGTTACCGAAGTATGTCTGGACCTTATATGTCCATCTCTGGCCGTATTTTTGCGCTCCTGTCCACTTCAGCCGGGAGCCCCTTCGACCACATAACTGCACTCTACTTGTTGGACGTTGTAGAGTCCGTTGATTCCATGAAAAGCGGCTACTTGGTCGATCACGCTGCTATATTCTTTTAAGGGAACATCTTCCGTGAGCCCATTCTTGGCTTGCTTAACTAGCCTCAGCTTGTCATTGAGGTAGGGGTTTGACAAGACTGTTCAGTCCACTTCCTGCATCTCTGGCAACGGTCGGAGATGGAGTTAGATAGACTTTAATATTAGCATAGAGAAACCAGTTAGATCAGCGGGCAATTGCACAACTGTTGTGCCGATGTACTTCACAACACTGAGCTGCGGAGCACCAGCTAGCGGCAACCTCTCGGACTTCTCAGCCTACATAGGTGCGGCTTAGCTCCGTGCTTGTCCCATCACATGCAAACAATTACTCAAATTCAGTGGTGTTTAACAAACATAATCTTTGGATCTATGACTGAGGTCGTTATTTCTCGCCATGCGCTTCAATGCCGTCAGTTTCTTTATCACATTTCATTCCTCACGGCCAGCCTCAGGGCACTGCAGCAGTGTGGAGTGCTAGACGGTACGGCCACATGTGGAGCGTATCGAATGCACATCATACAATGGGACACTTTTCGTACCAAATTCTAGTAACTTGGTGATCGAGCAGTATGACACAATGCGTAATCGTCGACCGGTGTACATCTAGATTTCCCATCGCTGAGTCCTTTCTTTTGCTTTCGGGCATGGTTTCGGGTGCCTCGATAGGGATGCGGATTTTCATACTTATATCGCCTCCACTGGCAAAATAGCACCAGTACTTGTCTCTCTGTGTATGTTGCCCTCTTTCTTATATATCCAGGATACGCCTGCTTTCAAGGCAGTGATGCCGAAGCGTGGTTTCTTCAAGCCCATCTTGGATATCGCACGAGAGGTGGTGGCCGAACGCTTTGGAGATAACCAGGTCGAGCGGAAGATGTCCTTGGCATATGGATCAGCAACGGTCTAACACAAAAGAAGGCTGAAGGAGAGACAGTTGGACAACTTGCCGTGAGTTGGCCCACCCTTCGGGATCTGTGTTGTAGAGAGAAATAATGACAGAGTTGTGTGCAGGCCGGCGGCGACACAACAGCTACCGCCATCAGGTCAGCCATGCTTTTCCTCCTTACCAACCCTCAGACATACCTCGAGCTCCAAAATGAAATAGACACAGCATTGAATGATGCAGCCATCTCGACACCGATTGCAGAGTCAGAGATTGAGAAATTACCTTACCTCCAGGCCGTCGTTGAAGAAGCACTCCGCATTTTCCCTCCTATGGCTATGCTTGCTCAAAGCTGTAATACTAGTCAGGATGTGTGGGGCTTCCATATTCCGGCTGGCATAAATGTGGAACTCTCAGTCAAACCAGCCTTGCGCAACGCAACAATCTATGGACAAGACGCCAACTTTTTCAGGCCAGAACGCTGGCTTGAAGCACGTGACGTAAGTGCCCTGAAACTGATGGAGGAGACATCGAGGTTCGTGTATGTGTTGGCACAGCGAGGGAGCACTGGCTTTGGAGCTTTATATTAACAATCAACAGATTTGGCGGACCCAGCAGATGGGAGTGTCTCAGCAACGAATGGCCATGACAAAGCTTTACAAAAGCATCTGTCAGCTGGTTCGTGAGTTCGACATGGCCATAGTGGACCCGACGTCGCCTTGGACGGCTATGGTAGTCGGATTTGGGGAATTGCTGACATGTTTTTGCGAGTCACGGAGAGAAAGAGCTTAGGTACAAATTCTTCGGATAACAAGACTTCCATTCAGACATTACGGACAAGTTTTGAATTCTTAAATGGTTTGAGTTATTGTACATATTCATCAATCATCCACGCATGATATAGTATTGAGCCTTCGCTACTCATCTCCCGCTCGAATGGGTTGTGGTATAAGTTCGTGTCAGGGCCGAGTATTATACTACGGGCCAAGTCTAGCCCAAGTCGTAAAGCTAACGGATATATAACGAAACAGCGTATTTAGTCGGTATCACTAGCAAAAAGGATTAGTTTTGGCTGTATAGGGAATAGTGACAATGTATGTACTTGCAGTAAAGCGAGCGTGAGATCACCGTGAATACGGGCCTTCAATGTGACTTCAACTTCCAAGTTTAGGTCCAAACGCAGCTTCAAAGTGTCACTCTTCCCACCGTCGTCGCCGCCCTGCTGCTGCATTTGTTGTGATTGCTGTTGCTGCATCATTTGTTGTTGCTGTTGCTGCTGCATCTGCATCTGCTGGTCGTTCTGCTGGGATTGTTGTAATTGGTTGTTGCGGTTGCGGCGGCGGCGTCGCTGAGGCTGTGGGCGCGGTGCTGGCTCTTCCTCTGCGCTCTCCTGGGCGTCGGAAGCCTCAAACGGGCTCTCCTGCGACTGGTCGCTCTCCACGTCAGCCTCGGCCGTCTTGGGCTGGCGGCTACGGCCACGGCCTTCTCTTGCTGGGCTTGCAGACATGTCGATGCTGTGTGATGCTAGTAGAGGTAAAACAGGGCACACTCTGTATTTACCGGGAAATGTAGTACGAAGATTACACAGGTAGGTCGTTGTGAAGCTAGATATACTGGCCTTTAAGTCAAGGCAAGTTGAAAGCGGTCGGATCAATAGCTACGGCTTTACGTTCTGGGAATAAGGGACAAAACAAGGCAGGACGCCTTGTGGGGGCATGTTAAACGTCAGACACACGGTTACATTCCGAAAACCAGCCAGGGAACACGACGGGAAGGTCCCTCATTGGTCGCTGGAGCGATCGTCTAGGCTGGATGATGTGAGTGTTGGCTGTTGTCTGAGTTGATTCTGGTGCTGATCGAGATGGCGCCGGGGTTGAGGGTGGTGGATCGCCTGACATCATTAGGGACGTCGAGGCTTGCGTCATGGCAGGGCATCAAAACTTGGCACATGTCTCACAACTCCTCTGACTTGCAGGAACGATCAGCCAAACGTCTCCGCCAGCTCCAGCCTTTGGTGTTGGGTTATGTGCAGAATTATAGCGAAAGAGCATCATTAAGACAGGCAATTGACTTGTCTGTTGATGTTCCTGCTCCCAAGTTATTAGGCTACCTTTAATCCGTAGTTTGGTGGTAGGCGAGACTTAGACCAACGTTGGGCGTTCCCCCAGCCCAGCGGGAACAGCAATTGGATCTCCACATGGCGCACTCTTCCCTGAGCCCCGCGGACCCCCGGCAACTGGCCCCCTACACGGTCGCGGTCGTTACAGGCATGGAGGCGCTCGGCACACTATCCGGCCGCCAAGCTTTTCGGCTCGAGTACATCATCAATTTCAAGCACGCCAAGTGACCAGCCAAGGTGGATTTCCATTGGCTCACAGTCGCCGGGATCACGTCAATGGCATAGAAGAGCAAGCGGACTGTGTCACATAAACGCTGGGCTTTTGGCAACTGAGAGATTCAGCAGGCCAACAAGTAACCCAATTGGCGCGCTATCAGAAGCACGGCTTCCAACCTATTAGTGTCGTGAAGTTGCACGGCAGAGATGCAAAGGAAGTATGACGACAATCGGCCCAAAGCAGGAGAGAACTGTTCAAAACTTTGATTTAGGTATGCCATCATCAGTGCCGCACTCCGTAACTGTAGTTCGCGCTGCTTCAGCACTTCCTGCAAGAAATGTCCCCGAATATTGAAACCACCAACTCACGAATGCTTTGTTTGACTGTCCTATGAATACTTTGGGGTGGTGCTATGCTGAGTTTGGTGGGCCAGGTTTGTGAACGCCAAGCCCATAGATATTTTACTTGAACTCCATCAGGACCAGCACCTGGGTGGGACTCCCAATTTAGGCTGGGTTCGGAACCAAGCAAGTCGCAAGATAAGACTATTCACAAAATCTACGGTACTTTTAAGAAGATCCCACTTGAGCGTTACTGGTAGCATATCAAGTTAAGTGCTCTTGAATTTGCGACAGGAGATGTGAAAGTCGGCATGGTTAGAGTAAATGTACTATTAGATAAAGGATATGCGAATAATGCGTATGAACCGATCTGCCCCGTCCGTAAAAGAATAAACGTGAGAATTATAGTCGCCTTATAGTCCTCTACAAAATAACGCCGAGATTCCATTGTTACTCTTAAGAAAAAATTCTTGTTGAATACATGATTAATCTTGCTTTCTTCGTCTTTACATTTTTATCTACTTTCCTTGTTGTTAAATTATTTGTTTCTTGGTGAGATGTGAAGGCGAAATTTACGTATACTGAGATGCTCACCCAAATACAGTCCACATAAGTCACACATCGTCCGCCTCACCATTTAGGCATGCTTGTGGCTACTTAGTTACATTATACAGCATTCGATGCTAGCACACCGTCTGACTGAATGCATCATATTGTATAGAGCTTTTGTATCAAGGAGTTGCCATACGTTTCTCTTTTCCACGTGACAAGCTTCTCCTGCAGTTAAAATGACGAGGAGAATAGCCGTATTGCGGGTAAGAAGCATGCATGAATGCCTGCGTGGACGCATATAACCTGATTGAGTTTTGTCTCCGGAAGGCCAAGCCGCCCAGCTGCACAATATTGATTCATACTCTGCATGACATTATAGTGGCGTTAAATCTACGGCCGGTGATGCGGTTCATAGGCACCAGGTGTGTTATGAATGTTGACATACACCACCGCAAGCATGGAGCCTGCGATTGAATCTTTACATACTAGGAATCGAACAATTTCGGATGTTAACAGTGAAATCGAGGTTGGCTTAATTAGGGATGCCGGAAGGTTACACATTTACCGGGCGCTAGAAGTCCCGGAATGCGGCTCGCGGTTTCATTTGTCCACGGACTTCCACTGCCAGGTACATGTGTGACATTGATTCGCCTCAACCCGCATTGAGAGCCTTCCTCGGTCCATCCTACTCTTCAGGCCAAGTCATTCCCGAAATGGCCCGATGAGCAGCGGTCGCTTGTATGCGTGTCTGCCTCCACAGCTACTTATGAGAAACTCTATGCCAATTGCCGCTCCCCCATTCAGGCTTCAATTCCCTGAGCGCCCCCTGAAACTAGCCAATCAAAGTCTATCGCACTAATATCAACCCGGACACACCGATATGTGCCCTGGCGAATCGATTGGCATCTGCATATAGTCGAATATTAGAGTTTACCCTAGAGTTTGGTGCAACCCTCATGTTTCCTCCCTTGCATAGCGAACAAAACGTGAAATACTACCATAATCAGGAGATGATGTTACAATGAATGGGATAAACTCTCGCTATCGGAATTTCGCGACCGAAAGACGTTGGTCGATCATGCGTCAACCGAGACGGGATGATTCAAGGTTTGTGGAACAGGCCCAACGTCACACGGTCGCGTCTTATACTGAGCTGCACATTGGAGGCTAAGAAACTGTACCGCAAAAAGGGAGGAAAACCCCAAAGCCTTCGATAAATCAACTGACTCTAGGCCAGTGATGCTGTGTCTACTAGGTGTGTGCTCGGCCCTAGCATGCACCTAGCCGGGTTTGCGGACCAAAGCGGTAAATGATTTCGCTCATGGCTGTCTCATCAACGTGGCTTGTTAAAAACTCGACCTTGAGGATATCGGAGACGTGCAGATTTCGTCCTTCACTCCAATTGCACGCTAACATGCCGCCTACTCGGCAAGATAACCCCCGATATTATCCTCCTTCTCTGGATGAGCCACATAAACTCTCCATTGCTGTCGAGCTCAAATTCTTGATGCGCTTCTTACCAAAAGATGGTGCCCTGCATGGTATGCACAGTGACCTGCCGCTTGAAGTCGTGGATTTCATTGATACAACCAGAGATGTCAAGAGTGAAGAGAAGGCAGCTCTTTGGAGGTATGCATTCACAGGCGTAGCCGACACCATCAAGTCTGTATCTGCTCAGCAAGCAATGACCAGCTATGACATAGAGGACTGTGGCATGCAAGAGAGGGACTGTTGGGAATCACAATGGGTCGTCAAGAAATCCAATTCAGCAGAGCCAGCGAAGCATTACCCTCACTGCGAAGAGTTCTTGTGGGTTCCGGTGGAGGTCAACTCGCCCAAGATGGCCTGGACGGATCCAAATACGTTTGCCATCATGCGCTCAGTCATGGATGCCATCCAAAGCAGGTACAATATAGTTTCGAACTACACTTGCGAAGTGCACGTTCACGTTGGTCGCATGGATGGCCTCCCATTCTCTTTGGTTACATTGAAGAAGCTGGCCATGCTGCTTTGGCTGGCAGAGCCAGTGTTGAGGAAGGTGAAGGATCCTGCCTCCCCCAATTTCGGTCATGTTTACACATGGAGCTCTGCTGCAAGAGAGCACAGCCGCTTGGCTGCTCGTCTCAAAGATGGAAAGTTTTCACGCCATCCGTGTCGACCCTGTGATTTGGGTGGCTTCGACAGGGTATTAAGACGCCACCTGATGAAACCAACCGCTAAGGTGTCCGCAACCCATGAGGCGCTCAAGCTCATCGCCAGCACACAAACACACGTGCAGCTCGGCAGACTTATGTCAGGGGATGGAAGACCTTATAGAAGACTAGGGTTCAATTTCAGTGCTTTCGGGGGCGAAGACGAACGAGCTAGAACGAATCCCAGAACCGTCGAATGCCGATTTCTGGAAGGCACCATCGACCAACACATCGTACTCGGCTGGATGCAGATTTTTGGAAAACTGGTCGAGACTGCATCGTGGAATCCCAGCAATGAAGCCCGATTCACGCAGCTGGTATTGGGCCTTTTACGTGAACAGAACAGATTGCCTCAGGATGATGCATTCGCGAGGTTGATGAAGCAGCTGGGAATCACTTTCGAAATCTACTATCCGGTACTAGCAATGATCTCGGAATTCAGTCGTCACAAGCCGAAAGCAAGTTCATTAAAAGCCAAGAGGGTGCGAAGAGCCCGGGTCTATCCATGACTATTTAGGCACTAGGTTCATTCTTGATTCAAATTTTGCTCACTTCACCTTATTATGACGTTCTTCTGGTCTCAACATCGTCTCGACTCTACAATCATCGGCCGGGCAATCATACCAATTAATATCATGCATCAATATCTTCAAGCAGTCGAGAAGCGGATTTTCGATCCGAGTATCTTGGTCAAACATTCTATACATTCATGTAGTATCAATTGATTATCCAGGCATATTCAGGAACCTTGATAACGCAACCATCATCGTGATATGCGCTTGAATTCTGGAAGCTCACTCCATCGCTGAATAATTTCCACAACCTTGGCATTGCGCTGCAATAGCTCACAAGAAGAGGCCCTTTTACCCTTAGCATGGAAGGCATCAGATTTCGAAAAGTGGCCAGCCGTTTGTCCCTGCCGGTGATCCTCGAAAGACTTCATGTGACCCCTGAATAATGGACGCATATCGTCAGTGATTGCCTCTGCGCCCGTCAGGTTCAGCTTTTGGAAGAGCGAGTTAATCTCCTGGCTTTCGTTGCGGAGGGCCGATAGAGACTCTTCCGCTTGTGCGTCTTCAAGGACAGAACCAGCCCGACCCTGACCGGCAAGACTGTCCGCCAGCAGATGATCAAGAATTAGCAGGTTGGATTCAGATGCGGTAGCTAGTCCCACTTTGACCGCAGACTCATAGAGTCGGTGCAAGACCTGCTCGGAGTCGCTACCCTTGGCAGCCCGCTGTTGGACGAACTCAGTAAGCTTCGTGATTTTCTGCGAGGCCGGAGTCAGGGGGTCGATTGCCTTGAAAGGGAACCCGCCAAAAGTATCTACGCCTTTCTGAATGTATTTGAGTGCAGTGGTCGCCTCCGCCTGACCACGACTGCCACCAATTGGCTGTAGGTGATGGGCTTGTGAGTGACCCCTCGTCACTACCTCTGCAGGCCTGTCCTGTGGCAATGCTAGATAGTGCTCGAAGGCGGTCAGGAGCGCATTATGATGATAGACGGCAACTCCAACACGGTTAGCCAGTGCTTGGAGTCTCTCGTTCATAAAGTCAAGACATCCGCCAATCTGGAAACGATCAGTAAGGACGGCTCGAAAATTGGGTGACAAGACATACGTAAGAACCGATAATAGCATTCTGGTACTCGCGTGTAGTCTTTTTCCCGCCGGCTGTCTTGAGGATCGGCTCGAGTAGCGTCTTCTCGACAGCCATGTGTGCGACAGGAACAACCTCGTCCCAAAGTGATCTGATTTCTTCGAAGATAGCCTGGATCTCAGCTTCTAGCGCACGTGCTTTACCTGTTCCGACAGGGTTCACGATAGAGTATGTGTTAGATGCCTCTTTAAGCGCCGAGTTCAGTTGACGTCTGCATGCAGATACGGACAAGAACACCTCTCTGGGAGCATGTCAGTACAATTTTAACCTAGTCAGGGTTTTCAGGTGAGAACATACAAGCTGGAATAGTAACGTGCAGCTTTGACTAACGAGTCCGTCTGGGGGTCAGCTTTCATCTCCCAGCCAAGTGCCTGTAATTTGCCTAGGAGATTGTCATAAGGCTCGTTTGCGAAGACGAGATCTGAACTGAGGCTCTTCATATCGAAAGCCTGATCATTGAGAAGTTCGTTATGGCCAGAGATCAGTTTCGCAAGACCAGATTGAATATTCTCGCCACGGCTTTTGATATTGGACTCTTCATGCTCCACCTTGAGAAAGTGTCAATGGCGCAAGGCTCCTGGCTAGCGAAGTACTCACCATAGCTTCAATCCGGGCTTTAGCCTCCTCGAGGCTGGTCTTCTTGGCTTTCTGCAGGTCAGCCCGTCGGTCATTGCTGCTGCGGCTAGATTGCACAGTGACCAAGGACTGCTTCAGATTGGACTCAAGATTGGCAGACATTTTGGCGAGATTGTCCACCCAATTGTTGAGGTCAGCCGTAGCTGCCTCGGTCTGCTCTGATCCAGTGATAGCCGACGAGTTCTCGGCAAGCTCTATCAGCTTATCTATTCCGCCCGACTCCTTTAATCTGGTGATACTGTAGATATGTCAGATCAGTGCGGCTCAAGCTTGTTACCAGGAGACCTACAAGTCTAGTTCTGTTGGCGACAGAGCGACATCACATGACGAAGAGTATGATGACTCGACCTGTTTCCAGAAGGCTTCGTCCAATGACCTGAACTGTTTCATGGATGACTCGCTCCGCTTGACATGTTCCAGAATGCGTGCCGTTCTGTCCAAGCTATTGGCTTGGGACTCTTCAGATGCCTGGCAAGACTTTACAACATTGGAGGCCATGGCGCATATCGGGGGAAACCAGCGATTCGGAAGAGGTCAGCTCCATGCGTAAGGCATCCAAGAAACGGCCAGAAGAGGTCAAGAGATATCGGGAGATGTGACCTCTGTTACGGGGCAGCCCGGAGGTGCATCGAGGTGCAAACGCTTGGCGGCGGTGAAAGGGGGAAATGCTTAGTACCAAACAAACGCGACTCGGTGGGGTGTTGTCGATTCAATTGGTGGTGGGGCTTGCATGCGATAACATCATGAAAACTGTCTATGCCTGTATGCGATTCAAGTACCACCCACCCCTTGCTAAAGCTTTCGCATGTCAATGGGTAATATTGTTCCATCGGGGGTTTGCAAGTTCATCGCATACGTCCGTGTCAACCAACATAAAGCGATAGCTGCTCCTGATCTTCACGGAGATGTTGAACGAGATTCGGACAGTGGCTGGCTGCATTAGAATATGAACTTTGATAACTGGACACTCTGTGAAGAGATAGAAAGCATGCGATATGCTTGCAATACGGTGTGAAGCTCTAACATACGGTTACACAGATCTGAGCATCACCACAACGGATGATCATTGATACCAATTCATGCGATGATCAATGGAATATTTTCACAGACGCATTGGAGTGTGCGGAGTTCAGAATGAGCTCCCACCGTCCCTTGATCGTGAGGTTGCCTCGCCTCACTACCTTGAGATATGTTGTGCCAGTGCATATTAGCATAGCCAAGTAGTCCCGTGCTTACAAGCAGCGCTCAGCTGTGAGCATATCGTCCGTGTAAGTCCAACTCCCAACATGGTCACTTGAGCTGCTCGCCACGAGGCAATTTCAAGGTGGCTGCCTCAAACTAGAGAGTCGAATGCAAACGATGCCCCGTTGCCTGACATGTATTCATGTTCTGCCTCATTGAAAGTGTGGATTCGCGATCCAGATCGCTCGCGAACGACTGAGGGTCACCAGAGCCGCCCTGCATGTTGCCTTGCTTCAACATGCCACGCAAACCCAAGGCAAGAAGGGCCACGGCGTTTTCACAGATTGGGCGCGACCCTCTGCATATCTCTAAGGCTAGATGGCTATTTTCGCAGTCTGGAGCGCCTGTACCAGGTAGGCACATGATGCGGAGGACCCCCTCTTGCACCAAATCTAGTACCAGCTTTGACAAGCCTGGGTACAGATATGTTCCAAAACGATACTCGACGGGTGCAGGTGTATGCGAGCTGCCTGCACACAGCATTCGGCATGGCCATTGGTTATCTGTCAATGGCGCAACCAGGCCCTAGAAGCATCTCGCCCAAGCTGGGCTTTCATCGCTTCACCCTTGACGATGATGGAAGTTGGGGAAGCCGACACAAGCTTTGACTCAGGTCTGTGGCTGGCCAGGACGGCATTGAGGTCCTCGCCTATGTGGCCAATGGAAGCACTCAATGGGGCCAGACATTTAACCAATCTGATGCGTTCTACCGGATTTTTGGTGCCCCGGCTCCAAGCGAGCTAGGCTGTTCAGTGGGTCACCCAACGGTACGGCACGGCGTCGGGAGTGTCTAGTGGTGTGGCTTTTGTTGGTTCATGAGCCGCAAGCTTCCGTTTGGCTGCAGATAGTCCCAACATCTCCATCAAAGATCACTCTAGCACGCAACGTCAAGATCTGGCCGGGGTCATATCACCCGTGGATGCTTCACTCGAAAACAACAGCAGACAGAAACCTCGTGGCTTTTGCATCTCAAGCCCTAGCCGCCTTCGGGCGCCATTGACTGCAGCACCCTCCAGATCATCCCAGATCGTACACGCCTACAGCTCCAACCCCCCTGCCAGAGGTCTGATACGGGGCCTCAGCCAAGACGATTGTACTTTCAGGCACAGGGAAATATCCAAAAGCCCCTCTTGGAACCTCCTGGGGACTTGGAACATTGGCTTCCGTGAAATTTTTCTGGGGCCATTGACGGTGATGTGCTGTCACACTCTGTTTGCAACATGTACCTCTGGACGGCTCATGATTGGATCTGTACAACGGTAGCATTGGCGGTCAACGAACGTTTCCCCCCTCCGATCTTTCTCTTCTTGTCCCAAAGTATTCCTCAGATGGGACACGAGGTCAACTTTCCGTGCGAGGTGGTAGACCCGATCTTGGACCCTTATTGTAGCTTCTGACGTAGCCTGTGGTAGCAACACGTCTGAGTATCACCAGGGTCCATGTCACGAAGTGCGTCTTATGCTAATCAAGGTCCCGGGGTTTCCCCAACCGTACTTCAGGTGTGAGAAATTCTACACGGCGAACGCCGTACGTAAGGTTGGATCAGATATGGCAGCCCCAAGCTAGCATGCATCTGCTTCCCATGTGGCGATCCGCTCCCGCGCCTGCGCTGCCCCTGCACATGTCAAGGAGTGACAGTACCCGAATTTGCCGTGAAAAGGTTATATTGGGGTTTGACGTTGTGATCGGTGCGGATTCTGTTTGTCCACCGGGAGGCCATTATCGTCGTTCGTTCCATGCCTAGCAGGGCGCAACCCGGTCCGCACCCTCTGAACATTTGCCTAACCAATTCCGTGAGACGTCAGGTCTAGAAAGTCCCAAATCGGTCGATATGGCAGCCCAGTTAGTCGCATGTGTCCCTCCGTCCGCGGGATAGTTGGCGGTCCAATTGTGGGTTGTCAAAGGCCAATGTGTGTTCTCGCTCGACAGACGTGACTGGCTTGCAAACGGTTGGCTCACTTCTATAACTTCCAACGATCTTCCGGCACGTTGTCTCAATTGTCGAAATTGCTTCGAGACAATTCCTATTTGCCATCCTGCCCATCTCCTCAACCAACGTGTGCCTGCATGTCTCTTATGGCCGATCTTGCCTCTGTACTACTGTCAACATCATGACTGCTGTCTGGATCTCCCATGTTTGCCGTGCCATCGGAGCACCGGAAACTAAAAGAAAATATTGGAATGCAGTCATCGGGATCCTCTTGGTGCCCCTCGTCCAACTCCTGGTCACACCGATCCAGCTGACACTCGATTCCCGCGGGATCGACCTGCCTGCTTCGATCCTGGTGATGACGGTGGTCACGGTTGCGATGCTGATGATTGAATCAATGCATAGCGGCATCGGCTCTTTGTACGTTACGCACATGAAAGGACCAGTGAGTTCAATTCACAAACCGGTAATTTCTTCACCAATCTAACCGTGGTGTCCCGACAAACAGACCGATTTTCTTGGCCGGCACATGTCTTTGGGGTTTGTGGCACCGTTTGTCATGCTCAGTAGAGACCATATCACCACTTCAGCGGACATACCTCGAATTGCAGGGGCATTTGGTCTGTACTTCAGATTAACTCATCTCCATGGATGTAAATGCTAACAGATGAACAGTCGTCACTACCTTTCTCAGCTATGTTGGCTCGTTCTTGTTCGCAACCGGCAGCTATAAGCTCGAGGAGAGAGTAAGGGGCTTACGAAAGCGGACTGAGGATCTTGAAAAGGCGACTAAGCCATCTCCGCCTTCGTCTCGATTCGCCAAACGGGTTTCCCAAGTCACCAAGTTGACAGATGTTCTCGCGAACAATGGATCTCTTACATCTCTGGACACGCTATGTGCACCATCGGCCACTGTTGACTTCGTGGTTCGAACAGCTCCTCTATGGATTCCACTCTCTCTGCTCGTCACTGTTGGGCTCCCGGTCTATTGCGCTACCAACTATGATTTACCTTTCGAGACCTTCTGCTTCATTGTTTTCTGGGTTGTAGCAGTCTTATTCCAACGATATATCAAGTCGTGCAAGAAACTTGAGCTTCATCTCCGACTCCGCTCCACCTTGGCTGTTGTCTTCAACCCAGTTCTGCTGACGTCTGCGTTGGGAACCGCGTACTTCTGGACGAAAGCGGCCGTCACGCACCGGGTCATAGGAGACATTCTGAACAACTTCAAGAGCCACAGCTCTTGGGCCAATATTATCAGAGAGGTCACTGGAAGCCCCAGCGCACAGCATCACGTTGGAGCTGGCGACCTGTCTATGGCGCTACTCGATGCTGGCATCGTGTCGCTAGGTCTCAAGATGTTCGAGTACCGGCGCGAGCTCTGTAACAGCTTCACAACCGTTTTCTCGACCTCACTGGTCTTCGCTACCATCAACGTCTTTCTCAATGTCATCTTCGCCCGCGCTATGGGCCTGCAACCGGCTGACGCCTTGGCCTTCGCCGCGCGCAACGTCACCATCGCCCTCGGCGTGCCCGCCGTCCAGCACCTTGGCGGGAGCACTACTCTCATGAGTTCGCTTGTTGTTTTCAGCGGCATGCTTTTCCAGATGACAGGTGACCTCCTCTTCTCCTGGCTCGGCATTCACGACCGCCCGCTGCCTGCCAATGTTACATACACCAGCGACGGCGAGAATGGAGGGACCAATACTGAAGAGAACGTCGAGTCGGCGACTGATGCCAAAGTCATTGCCGCCGGTGTCACGGTTGGCATCAACGCCGCGGCCATGGGGACGGCACAGCTGATCGAGCGGGGATCGATGGCTACGGCGTACTCGGCGCTCTCCATGACTGTCTTTGGGGCCATCACAGTTGCACTGACAGCTGTGCCGGTAGTGGCGGATTGTTTGGTGACATTAGCTTCACGTTGATAGGTGGCGCGACGAACTGTTACGATCATGACGCCCGGATGCTCTGACCTTTTTTTTGAGGCGGGGAACTTTTGTCTGCTTGCGTCTTTTTCTGATTTTAATGGTTTGCAACATCATAGGGGCATTTGGTTGAAAAGCATGATTTGATACCAAAAGCGAGGAGTTACAGGCTGAACACCAAAATGAGGCGAAGACGTTGAAAGACAAGCAGGGATGGGGGATCTAGGTTGGATCTTTCCCCTTTTTCGTGGGAGCATTGAAATTAGGTGGTTTCTGTTGAGTTGTAGCTACCTGGAATGGGCTAGTTGTATATGGCGAGACCCCCTGGACAGACAATCAACAACACAAAACGTGATTCTACGCATCCCCATTCACTCGCCTGTATTCGTCTTTGTTCTTTTGAATGCTGTGCCTATTCTATCCATAATGCCATGGCATATACGCCATGGGACCTGAGACCAAGCGCTTTACAATCACTCCAAAGCAGCGGGATAAGAGCTCAGGAGAAGATCATGATTTGGGGACTCTTGTATCATGTGGTACGAGACCCTTGTTCCACACGTACCAACCATGACGGCATTGTAACCTGATTCGAGACCCTGGAATAATGTCTCTGTGGTAGATGATATCCAGTATGCTTCGAAAAGCCTCTGTATGACACCACCGTCGCCATTGGAGCGCCTGAAGTCTCACCGTGCGATCAGACGGCTACACCACCGAATGCTGTGCGCGCTCCCATAGGCTATGGGAGTGCTTAGAACTGAATATTTCACGCAAGGCCAATGATGGTAGAACGTGGTCAAAGGCAACAGGGGAACGTTGGGCAATCTCGAAAATCCGAGGAAAGTCCAGTATCCCAAGTGAATTGTCATGAAGGACGTAGGTCGCACCAGAAGGAGATTTCTACAAATGAGAAACCTCTCAAAGTACATCAGACTAATGTTGGGCGCATGAAACATTGCATTTTGCTATGCTGCTGAGAAGCAAGCCCAAGATGACCTGTGGGAAAAGCTAGCTGATACGTCAAAAGTATGTCTCTATCTGCCATGCTCCATGAGTAGAGTATGTACTTTTCACAAGAGAAAGGGGGTAAATGTCCCGCATTGCAACGTCACATTCAGTCAATGCCATGTCATTGTTGAGTGCCGATATACCCATCAGGACTACCAAACAACCGCCACTGGCCGTAGGAGACGGGTCTGTGGTCGGGAAGTAGCGTAACATAGTACGCGTACCCAGCGCTCTCATCGTTGATCAACTATTCCAGACTAGAAAGATGTTAGCTACACGGGTTCTTTGCACAGCAGAATACTTGCGCTCGAACTGGGAATGTAATGAAGCACCATATCCTAGACAGGAAAGGTCTTGGGCACACCCTTTGGGGGTGGTAACATCTCTTGTCCCACACCAAGTGAGGTTTCCACAGCCGACGTTGCAACCAGTCTCAGAGACTAGAGAAAAAGAACCAAACAAGCCAGGCACCTATCGCAAACTCTAGACTGCACTGGCAAGTTCCGAGGACCAGCAAAGTCTGCACTCGGTGCAAAAGGGAACGGGAAAGAACAGGCTGCTGAATCCCGCCCGTGACGCCAAGGCCACGGCCGAGTCCATATACTCTCGTAGGAGGATCTCAAGGGGATCGGGGGAGCAACTCACCGTTCGATCAGGTGCAGGCCGCTGGCCGTCTCAACCACGCCGCTCATTTGGCCGGGTTGAAGCGCAAAAGCGGCGTCCTCAAACTCCTTCTGCATGTCGCCCTTGCCGAAGTAACCCAGGTCGCCCCTCTTACGGGCGCTGCTGCAGTCGCTCTCCGTGATGGCCAGCTCGCCCAGGCTGATGTCGCCGCGCTTGATGCGGGCCTCGTGGTTCTTGATGATACCCATGGCGTCGTCCTTGGAGCGGGTGATCTCGCTTTCGCGCCACGAGGCTGGACGGCGGCTGTCGCGGTGTTTGACGAGCAGGTGGGCGGCACGGATCTTGTCCGCAGGCTTTGCGACGGGGGCGCCGGCCGAGGTCGAGCTGTGGTGCAGAGCCATGTATTTCTTGAGCTTCTCGGTATCGGTGCCGGCCGGTGGCTCCCAGCGAGAGATCTTATCCGTCGCATTGAAGTAGTAGGGCAGGTTCTTGGAGTTGCTGTGGCGGACTTCCCAGTTGGGAGGCAATCCTGTGTCGTCCTGAGGGGAAGCAATCAGTGACGGCAAGTTAAGGTATGGCAAACTCGAGCCGAGAGACAACGGCGCAAAGACCATTTGAGGTTAGGCAATGGATGTCGCCTGGGATCTCGAGCATTTTCGTCTCAAGAGCGACCAGGCAGAGCAGCATTGACTTAGGCAGAAGGCCGTAGGGAGAAGGTCGGAGGATTCTTCGTCTGCGCAGAGACTTACCATTTTGAGTCCGTGGTCTTGCGTGCTGGCTACAACGGCTGCTCGATGTTTGCTCTGGTCTTGCTGGAGCTTGCCACGCGCTGCTTTGTCTATGCTGGGCCGGGCTGGCGTGCCTAGGTGGTGTGGTAAAGGGTCCGTAAGGGTATGATATGGCACAGGGTCAGATGCGAGTCCCAAGTAGACGTCACTCCAGCTTTATTAAGGTTGATCTGACTAGACAACTGTGAACGGGCCCGAAGAAAAGGACTGGGGGGCCGGGGGCCGGGGGCTACGTGGATCAGGATTCAGGACCTGGCAACGGAGTAAATCCACCAAAGCAAGCGCAGCTCCAGAATCCAAACGGGCATCGGCAAGCGAGATGCACGTCAGAGGGCGGCTCCCAAGCTTTTTCCCTGGAAGCTGATGGCTCGGGCTGGAAAACTACCGTTGCTCCGAGGGACGATCACGAGGCTCGTTGCCCTGGTCAGGCTGGTCGCAAACTGGCAGATGGGCCCCTTGTGGTGCGGGGCAGCATCCCATCCTCCAAACGCGGGGCAGCTTTGGTGGTTTTCTGTTTTGTTTTGGCAGCTCAGCCCTAGAGACAGCTGGGGCTGGGGCATTTGATCCCATCTACCAGAGCCCATTCGCTCTCGTGGGCCGCCCGTCAATTACCGTCCACGGGTGTGGCCACGGCTTTGTCCAGTGTTGGGAAGACCGAGTTCACACCACTATGTCCGCCAACGCCAGAGAATAGGTGCTAGAAGAGGCACCTCACATGTATTGAGAGGGCACTGGGATAGTCTCTCAAGATTCCTCCGTCTAAGTCAGCCACTACGGTCATATTTACTTGACTAAGTTTTGGGTATGGTAGAAGCAAGGCAGACGGTCACAGCCCATCTCTCTCTATTCGACGAAGAAAGAAGGCCCAGGACATACTGTGAAGCTCGAGCAAACGGTTATTGCTTACTGGCTATGCAATTAATCAATTGACCATTTGACTTCCGCTACATACGAACAGGTCCTTAGGTACAGGAGTCGCAAAGGTTTATGTTGATAGATTCACCTCAGGCAGACTTGACTCCACCCTATCCCAGCTCCATGACTTACCGTAGCAACACAGGGTACCTAGGTACGGAATAAGTCACTTCGTACCTGAAGTCCATGAGTTTCTCCGATTATCCGCCGCCTCTTAACCCCACCCCCACCCCCCCCCCCCCCCCCCTGCATTCAATGTCACTGGGCTTCTGAAGAAGGTAACAGCAACAAACTGTCTCATGTACAGAATGACAAAAGATAATAGGGACGCAAAATCTTTGTCTGCCAAAGACCCAAAGCCGCTTGATAAACAAAACTCTTCTACCTCAGCTCCACGCACCAGAGTTTATATGCATCTGCATCTGCATCGCCATCATTGGCAAGGCTGTTTGCTGAACACTTGGGATTAGTCATCTCTTCCCACTGTGCCGGTTGCTAAGTTAGTGCCTTGCGGCTCTGGGCCTCTCTGATCGCCACCTCGCGCTCGCGGAGACCCACCTCAAAGTGGCTGACTTCTACCAGTTGAGACACTGGTGCTCTTCACAAAAGACCACAACCACCTTCACTCAGCGCGCCCTTGGGAACCTCTCATCACATTCACCTTCCCTCTCTCTTCCACCCATCCTCATCGTCATCAAACATGTCTAGCCCGCTCGACACGACCGCCGACGACGGCTCCCGCAAGCACCTCGAGCAGATCACCTTCAGATTTTGCTCCGAGTGCTCTAACATGCTTTACCCCAAGGAAGACCAGGACTCTCACAAGCTCCAGTTCACCTGCCGCACCTGCCAGTACACTGAAGAGGCCACCTCGACCTGCATCTTCCGCAACCTCATGAACAACGCTGTCGGCGAGACCGCCGGAGTCACCCAGGATGTTGGATCGGACCCTACGGTTAGTATCCCTTCTGCTGCTGCCTCTGCCTCTGCCCATGCTGCTCCCCAAGCTGGAATCTCTGCTGGTGATGCCTCTGGTTATCTGTCAGGTGAGTTTTCTGGTGAGTATGCCACTGCGACGGCGCAGCCTACCACTGGTGGTCATGCTTCCAACGGGGGCGACCTTTCGCATATCCCGCGTAGTCTCCATCAAACGGATTTCGATCTGGACACCGTCATCGGCACCGTCACCATGGCAAGTGTCTACCAGTGCCTAGATTCCCAAGAAAAAGCTACTTGGGATGGTCAGTTTGTCGCAAAGGTCGTCTCGGACACATCATTTGCGCTCGCTTCCTCGTGGGAGTCAGTCTCGGCTTTTGACCACGAGACAGACGAAGACCCCCCGGAGGCACTTGGCATGGAACCTGAGTACGGAGACCTAGATATGGTCCTCTAGTTTCACCGATCCCCTCGGGACTTGCGCTCCTAGGAAATGGTTTCGGCTGTCGATACTCGACCGACAGGGGCGTTCAGCAAGATATTCGTCGCCCTGCTTTGCTTGCGCTGTATCCCTCCACCATGCCCCCCTACCGTTTCTCCACTCCAGTCTGTCGACTTGGCCATATTGTCCACCACCGCTTGCTACGGCCTCGACTACTTTCGTGGTCGTGCCAGTTGCATCATCAGGGTTTGTTCCGGTGGATATCACCGACCTTTGTGGAGTCCTGGATGTAGTGGGTAATCTTTGGTTACCAACCGCCCGAACCGCTGGAACTAGGCATTTGTGAATCCCAGCTCGATTTACAGGATGGCCAATACGGCCAGAGATCACAATCAACTACCTGCTACGGAAACCGAATACCGGCCTTTCAGAAGACCTCGCTTGTGCGCAAACGTCCAAGGGCATACCGTGGCCACTTTTCCTTGTCCGTCTCGGCCAAGTCTCCAAGACTTTCGACATTCAGGGATCGTGTTCCAAGTGAATCCAGCCGATGGACATCACGACCATGACCAGAGGTCATCCAGCTTAGGAGCATGCATCTTGCGTATATCTTTTATCGGATATTTCGCTGACTGTCGTTCCACTTTAGCTCCCTCGCTCCAACAAGACCTGCCCGGCCTGCAAGCATGAGGAAGCTGTGTTTTTCCAGTCCCAGCAACGAAGCGCTGAGACGGGAATGGTGAGTCTCAACATGTTCATCATGGCTTCAAATTAAGGTCTCTAACAAGACATCTTCAGAAACTTTTCTACGTCTGCTGCGAATGCGGTAACATATTTCAGTAAGGAAACAAGTGGCTGTAAGTTGGTAGGAAGCGAGGCGAAGTCTGGATGGAAAGGTGATTTCTCGGATACCATATTCTCAATTTCATTGCATGGACAGGCGTTAGGGGTCATACAGACAGGGAATAAATATCCGCTACAGCAGGCAAAATCAGTATAGATGCCTTTGCGTTCGAGAGTCGGTTCATTGCTTGAATAGTGATGTGTGAACTGCGCAAGATCGGGCCATGGACGACCACTCGATGGTGACATTCACGTAGATGGGACCGGGGATGTTGAAATGACCCCTGAAGATGGAAAAAGCGGTAGGAAAACGTAAGCGCGCAAATTCGATTTACCATGATTTGGTTATTTCTTCTTATTTTTCTTCCCCTCCGACACCCTGCGGTGGAGAGCTTCTGGTATCTGAGAGGTCGCTAGATCCCAAACGCCTGCCAGATGCGTGTACACTGTATAGTATAGTACAAGTTTTTACAAGTCGGTAACGAACACGCCTCTTATAGACTCCCCAATGCTGCGCCTCCGACAGCCCTTTACCAAATCTCCCTCAAGCATGCATGGGTGCCATACTCAGGATCTTGCTCCACTTCCTCCGTCGCAGCTCGGCGCCGACGATGCCGTTGACTCGCGTGCCGATGGGGTCGCCAGCCTTGTTGATCAGGACGCAGGCGTTGTCGTCGAACTTGACAACGGAGCCGTCGGGGCGCTGGACCTGCTTCTTGGTACGCACGATGATGGCGTGGCGGATGTCGCCGCGCTTCACCTTGTTGGCCGCCGAGGCGGCCCCCATACCGGCGTCGCTGGCGCCACGCTGCTTCTGGACGATGGCCACGATGCGGTCACCTACAAGGACGAAAGGTCAGCTGGAGGGCTGGGCTGGCGAGCTTGGGATCGGAGCTGCGGAAGGAGGGCATGGAGCGGAGGCGTACCGATGGTGGCATGTCGCTTTTGCCCAACAACCAAGGCGCACTCGACAATGGCGGCGCCGGAGTTGTCGATGCAACTGAGCATCGTCTGGGAGAGCGAAAGGTTAGAATTTCTGTGCCCTTCCTGATCTGTCTATTTGAGGGAGCTGCACGGGTTGTCCACATACCTTTAACTGAATCATGGCGGGCGGTTGACTGTGAGCTGGTTCAGCCCTCTGGGATCGTGGGTTACAGCGCGACTGGGCACGGCACGGAGGGCTATGCGGCTGCGAGGCTGTCGTCAAATTTTGGCGTTGAGAGTTTCGGGAGCTGTCACGGCAAGGGAGCCCGCCTGATTGGCCGCAGAGACGGGATCGGCCCCCTGGGGGCGCTAATCCGGGTCTGGCCTCGGGTACCCAAAAGGGCTACGTACTGTACCTGTACCGGGTGTTGGGCGTTGCGTTGTGCTTGACTGGCTGACTGGCTTATTGGACCAGGGGCCATGTGCTCTTACAAGGCTTGCAGGGGTCTGACGGACCACCTGACGAGCTGAGCGCGTTGACCTGCCACCCTCTTTTCCCGCAATTACGCCATGGCTATCTGCATCTACCAGCTAGTTCGCTGGATAGGGAGAGGGAGGGAGGGAGAGGCTGAGAGAGAGACGGCCGATCTTGACTCTGGTTGTCCTCTTTTCCCCTGGACCAACCCAGCCGAGTCGCAGAACAATCGACGATAGCCCTCTATAGCTGGCGATTGTGTGTGCGCTCGACGAGGTCATTCCCTTGAGTCTCTTCGCATTCGTATTCCCGAGAGAGGAGGTAATTCTGCCGTAATTGGAACCGGATCTCGTTTCTGGTCTGGACCTGTCTTGCATTGCATTGCATTGCGCCGTCTTTCTATCTTTGTCGCCAACTGCACCAGCACGATCACTGCGCCTCGCTCACTTCCATTGGTATACATTTCGTTCCATTGCCCACCCTCGCTCGGTGCTCCTGCTGCTGCGAATCGATTGCGGGGGCTTTTTGTCACTTTTCACAACCTCGAGGACTCCATGAGCGCAAGGCGATCGCCCATTCCCTAGTAGCATCTTCCTTGCTGCGTTGCGGCGACGGCGACGGCGCGGCGCCTCGACTGTCGCAGCCCGGCATTGGCCCGGAACTCAAACGCAACTACCTCGTCTCCAGCTCTCACCTGCCGGAGCCACGGTCGCCAAGTGTCCTTGTCCTGGTGCTGTGCCTTCCGAGTTCTCTCCTCCCCTCTCCTCTCCTCTCCTCTCCTGGTGCACAGTCTGCCTTGCGACTTGCCGCATGTCACGATGCCTTGCGCAACTGCCACGGCCAAGAAGCAGCCGCTGACCTTGGAGCAAATCTCCAAGTACGACGACGTCTGCACCGATGCGCTGGTCGATCAGGTACGTCCACGTCGGGCTCACTCGGCCCTCAGCTGCCTTGTCGGCCTCGGGTAGCCGCAACAGACAGACCACTGACCGTCCCCGCAGACCTTCTACTCCTCGACCATCCCCAAGAACCGAACCACGTACCACCCTTCAAGGGGAATTCGGGAGGAGCAGGTCACCAAGATCATTCAGAACCACCTGATCGTCGACCCTGATCTGCCGCTTGCCGAGGAAAAGCTGCTTGCGCTGGAAGGCCTCCGCAAGTTCCACAATGCCCTCAGGACCGAAAAGGAGAAGGACGATTTTCGCCGCCATCTGCGCCGCTACGCCCAGACCTACCTGCCCGACTGCCCCTTCGAGGTCAGCACGACTAACCGCTACACAATCGTCACTTACGAAGCCGCCGTCACCGCCCGCCACTTCATCAAAAAGGGTGACTCGATCAAGTATCTGTCGGGCATTCAAGTCCTCATCACGCCCAAGGAGGAGGAGGACATGACCAAGCGCAAGAAGGACTTCAGCATCGTTGTCAGCTCCCGCAACAAGTGCGCTAGCCTATTCATGGGGCCCGCCCGCTTTGCCAACCACGATTGCGATGCCAATGCTCGGCTCGTCATAACGAGTCAGTCGACCATTGAGATATTTGCCAAGAAAAACATCGAGGTCGGCGACGAGATCACGGTCACGTACGGCGAGAACTACTTTGGGGAGGACAACTGCGAATGCCTGTGTCAAACGTGCGAGAGAAACCTCGCCAATGGGTGGTCGCGGCCGGACGGAGAAGATGCCATGGCGGGGCCGGCTGGTCCGGTCAAGAAGAGTATTGAGGAGTCGACCGACGAGGGGTACTCGCTGCGACGGAGACGGAGAGACGACAGCACAGCTCGCTCCTCCCGAACGCCGTCTAGAACCCCGGATATTCGCCCTAGGGTCTCGAGATCGAGGACCAAGACGTTGTTGCGAGTTGATTCATACCGCGCCTCCCAGACCGGATCACCTGCGCCGGAGACGCTCCTGCGTCAGAAGCGAAAGCATGAGTTCGCTGTCCTGAGCTCCCCTCCGGTAACACCAGCCAAAAGACAAAAGACGACACTTCTCGATGATCAGCCGGTTCCCCTCCCTGAGGGCATCTTGCAGCGAGACAGTGAAGGGGAGTCGAGCTCTGATGCGGTTGGTTCAGCAGCCGAATCAAGTGCCGGTGACTCTGTCATCACCGATTTGACTACGCCAGATGAGGAGATCAAAGAGCCAGAATTGTCTCTGCAGTCTCCCAAGCCAACTCCTACCAAGTCTCTTGCGCCCGGACTTACGACAGGCGATGCATCCCTGACGGTATCAGACGTTGCTTCATCTCTGGAATCTGAGAACACGATGATGGTACAGCCGTTGCCCGCTGCAGAGGTAGCCTCGGGAGCGGCAATGGCACCGGCCGCAACTGGTATTCCGGCACCAGATGTCCCACAGAGAGTTTCAGGAGTGGATTTCATTGCTCCCGAGGAACTCGATCTCATCGTGATTCCTCCGCCGCTGACACCTGCCTCAAAAATGAATGAGCACGAGCCGCACACCCCAGGTTCCGCACAGCCGGAGTCGACCGGAGAACCCATCAAGAGAGGTCGCGGTAGGCCCAAGGGGAGCACCAAGGCTAAGAAACTTGCTGACTTTACCGCCGCGAACCCCTCTACAAACATTACGCCTCCTCGGAAAGCCACGTCCACCCCAAGGAAAGCTCGGTCCCCACCGCCTCCGATGTCTGATGATGACTCTGTGGACGACACAGACATGCCTAGGAACGTTCGCAGGCCTGGCGACTACACCCTCACACCGCTTTTGTTGTCCGAGCCAGATACCGCCTGGATCCATTGCACAATCTGTAACGATGCTTTTGTACAGCGCGATGCGTACTTTACACGCAGCGCCTGCCCACGTTGCGAACGTCATTCTAAGCTCTACGGCTATCAATGGCCCAAAACGCAGAAGGTAGATAAGAAAGACAAAGAGGAGCGAATTTTAGACCACCGCGAGATTCACCGCTTCCTGGACCCAGAGGACGAAGCCAGAATTAGAGGCCGGAAATACCCTTGGGCCTCGTCCAAGGAGAATGAAGAAGAAGAGAAAGATACCAGTATGCCAAAGTCCAGTTCTAAGGCCCGCCAAACGAAGATAGGCGCGCAAGGAAAGCAAGCATCCAGTAGAAAATCGACTGATCATCAGGGCCTGGCCTCGGCAGAAGGTTCCAGGAGAAGCGGTCGGGCTCGGACTGTAAGCCGAAGAGGCCAATATGCTGCCATCTAGGCCCCTGCAAAGTATGGCAAGCAAGCAGCTTTTGGGAGGACATGTCCGGGGAGATGGTACTCAATTCAACTTTGAAAGCGATTGCATTTCCAAGGAGTCAGCCAGGATTCCAGTATCATCATCTCATTGTATATTAGTGGACTAGCCACACACATACTGGGCCGCCTCGCGCCTGTTTTGAGACGCGTTCTGTATATAACATCCAGCATAGGTACATACACATGCGGCTCAGTATCCGCATAGACTTTTTGATAATGCACTAAGATATCAGAAATTATATTTATCTCTATGTTTAGTTGTTACTTGACAAAAAGCATTTGCTTCGAAATTGTCAAGTTTGATACTAAGTCTGGTTGCGGGCCGGCTTACATTCCAGCTTGCCAGGGGACTAGGTCCATTGACAATGGCCATTCTGCTTTCGGGGGCGATGGTAGACAATAAGCCACAGTAGTGACACAAGGCCAGGTGCATACGCTACCTGCAGATGATACTTGTCCGTAGTTCCTCACATAGAACATGACATGGTGGATAAACAGCCACAATGTCATGATCAACAACACTTAATGCCCACAACGCGGATTGCAGAGTTCTCAAAAGACCAAGCATATGTTCGGCAACCTATGGTCCGCCGTCAGGTGCAAGACACTATTGTTTCAGGTTTGACTGGGGGTCGGGAGGCCCTTATGAGGAACATTCACACCTAGCCACACGCGGCAAATGGCAAAGAGGACAGCAAAATCAAACCCGCCGCCCAGCGCTCCTCCTCCTCCGGGGACATCGCCGCCGACCGGCATCCCCGCTAGTGCGCTTCTGCACTTTGCGCGAACCCATCCGCTTGCTTACGTGCTATCACACCCACCGTTCGTGCTGGGCCTGGCGGTCGTCGCCCTATTCCTCTACATCGTGTACCAGCAGCGGCGGCATCGCGACGAGCTTCGCCAGATCGCGGCACAGATCCGGCAGCTAGGCAAGACCAGCGATCTAGTCGCGACGGGGTTAGAGGAGAACGAGAGGCGGGTTGGCAGCGTGGCGCAGAAGCTAGAGGGGGTAGGTGACGGTCTCAGGGGCTTGGATGGCCTGGTTATGGGAATCAGGGACGAGTTGGCCCGGAGAGATCGGGGGAGACGGTCCCGGGAAGACAGAGGGCGCGGAGGACCGCCGAGGCTTGAAACTATATTAGACACCGATGGGAATGGGATTTATGAGAGTGCGGTGGAGGATGTGTCGTTCTTGAGGGGACGGTAGCGGCTGTGCATTGCATCTATACTCCATCGTAGGAGAGCCTCTTTCGTAGCTTTTGATCTCGAGCTACGTCCGGGTTGGGGTACATTGGCTTGAAATGCACTCGTCGGGAATGAAGAGACGCCCGATGGTCCGTATCATTGCGTGAGCCAGCTGTGTAATGCCATGATTTGTGAGGCAAGGCGAGAGATCGCTCCCACCCTGATCGTAGCTTACAAGTCTAGTTCTAATTCCTAATTTACTACGACGAAGAATCTTTCATCATTCCTCGCTCCAGGTTTTGTTATAGAAATTTTAGCGACAGCTCGATGGTGTAACTGCGGAGTGGTACCACACATATTCATTGACGAAGGTCTGGAGTGAGGCCAGGCCGCTTGTCTCTTCAAATCACTGAGCGCATTCACATACAGGTATAGGGTCATCCACTCATTCTCAGTCATCCTCGAGCACCTGACTACCAACACCGGTGTCCCTACTGGATCTAAAAATTGTAGCAACCAACAGACACACACGACATCAGCTAGCCGCTTGTTCCACGCGCTTTGATGAACTAGATGCAGCACCCCATATATCTGCAGACTTCACTGTTTGACTCGTCCTGTCAGGCGACTGGCCCCCGATTTCGCGATGTATGCGAATTTCCGTACTCTTGAGGACGACATTCCGCTGTTTTTGTCTCAGGTTCGCGTCCATCTCGTAGTTGAGTGGACCCTCGTCCGAGTCATTGGTATAAGAATGTCGCTGCACCTTGCGACTAGCGAAGGTATCCTGGGCTGTAGCACGTTGGTAGTTGGCGTAACCTGGTGTATGCCCCGACTTCGTCGTTAGTGACACCCCAATCGCTCCAAGACAGGCCTGCAAAGCGGGTTTGCAGAACGGAGTGCAGGCCGCTAATATACCAAGGAAACACTCCACTACAACCCAGGTACAGATAGTTACTGATTGTGCCCAGGTATCGATGCCAGGCTTGCCATAATCCCTCACAACAAGGTTCTTCATGAGCGATGATACAGCAGCCAGCAGTCCGATTCCCATCAATATTCCAATGACAACTCGTTCCCGAAGTGGGCGGTTCAGGTTCCACAGAAAGCTGACCGGTGCCAGCGACAAGAGGATGTCAGTCACGATACTTATCACGGCACCGACAGTTGATGCGATGCGTATCGCCGATGCTCCAAGACACTGTGCGTCTGGTGTCCCCATTGGATCCCACGCTGCCTCCAACGGTCGACATTCAAGAAGGATGAAAAAGGTATTGCCAATACCATAGGCACATACTACTCCGATTATCAACCATATGAGGCTTGTGAACCACACTGCGCTTTGAATTCTCATGAGCGTCAATCCCACAGAAGTCTTGATGAGCGCCATGGCAATGCCCCAAATTGGAATCGCTAGGAAGGTATATTTGCCTGCGTTGATGGCAACGTCTTCGTCGATCGATCCGGGCGTTAGGACCATGGTCGGGAGGAGGAGCGCGAAATCGGCCACGGAAAGGATCTTTGACGTATCAGCCCCTGCGTAGTTTTAACAGCAAATCACTCACATAACCAGCTAGTATACACCAATCTGACCATTCGCTGAGCCGCGACCTCAGCCTCCAGAATCGTATTGCGACAGTGGCTGTAGAGAGAACCAGCAGAGGTATCATGACTCCATAGAATATCTGCGCGTTTGCCACGGCAGCATCACTTATTGGAACCATGGCTCGCTTGGCCATAGTGCACCACTTCCTTCGTAAGTGTAAACGGCACTTTCACTTATTTTCAGGTGATTAGTCTGCCTAACAGTCTGGGTGGATCATAGGGTGGGACTTTGCAGGTCGATGAAATATGTGTCCGTATAGCATACTTCAGCGGGCAATGCCATGGTTGAGACATATATAGTTACGAATAATCCTAACATGAGAATCTGGCTCGTAACAGCTTCTCGAAGTGTTAACCTTTTTTTGCCCACGGAGCCAGGGCCGAACATGCAGTTGTGATGAAACCTACACCACATAAGTGCTGGACACACAGACCCTTGATGATGCCTTGTGTGGCTGGACGCTACGGATCCCAAAGCTGCCAGGTAGTTTGGAGCTACTGGCGGCAGGCGAATTGGCGAGTTGTGATAGAAGCCATGCGATCGGTAGGATTCTGTGACCCCGGAAAGTTTTATGTAAGGTCTTTGACACCGTTACAGGACCCAAAAAAACACAAACTTGGTTACAATATGCTACTTTCTCTACCAGAAGAGAGGAGTTTCTCAACCGAAGCGGCGCAGCGCCTCGCCACCGGACATGAGTTCTGATGAGCAAGGAAGCGGTGACTCCGCCTACCCTCGCAATGCGCCGTAATTATCAGGCGCGGCACAGCATCAAATTCAATGCTACTAATTGTTTTGGTAAAATTGTTGAATATCGTAGTTGTTAAGTTGTACAGGCTAGCATGTCTTATACAATAGATTCTACAACCATATGGCATACATGGTTCCAGTTCTTTCAGCAATGTACTTGGATGACCCATTCACCCCACAAACCTCTCACAATTTTTTTTTCCCCACTACCTGCCCTTATACATAGTCTCAGGCTTGTCGAAACCAACTAATCGACTACAGAGTCGAGGTCTTAGGTTCTGTTCGGAATACCTTAATTTTCATTTCACTATGCATAGCTAAGTTGGGGCCATTCGGATATCATTCTAAGCCAGGGTGGATAGGTCCGCGCTTGTACAGAAACAGATTCTCCTGAGCTCTTTCGCTTGCCGGCTCGGTTTCCCGGCTGCAATTGGATCAGTAGGTTGGTTTTATTGAGAGACTGCAGATTCTAGATTACTCTGCGGCAAGGGCTAGGGAATGTCTTACGACTTCCACCCTGGCCCATGCATGGGAAGCTCGCAACCGAGCTGTTGGGACCAATCACTGAGAGGCAACCATGCATCAGCAGGGACCAGACGCAGCGTCCAATTTAATGGGGTTCGTAACCTTTCCCCATCATGATCAAACTCGACTATATGCATTTAGAATGTAACTCTAGCCATGCAGTATGACTTACTTAAATCCATCAGTTTGCGTGATGTCTCATTCTGCCATTGTTCGCATTCGTGACTGTTTTCCAGAGGCGAATCCTGCGTAAAGCCTTCACCATGGCGCCCCTTGTCTTTTTTTCAGCCATATTAGCCCTTGCCCTACCTCTGGCTGCAAGCCCCGTTTCATCAGTCAGCTCGAACTCGTCTAATACATCAACATGCACAACACCAATCGTTCGCAAAGAATGGTAAGCGACCGTCATAAATAGTAACCTGGAAAACCTATACTAAAAGTCCCCTTTCAGGCGACGTCTAAGTTCATGCCAGAAAAAGTCTTACATCAAAGCCGTCCAATGTCTGATGAACAAACCCCCAATCACTTCGGTTGCCGATGTGCCAAACGTTAAAACTCGGTACGATGACTTTTTGGCAACTCACATTGTGCAAGCCGACGAGTGTCACTTCACAGCCATCTTTTATCCTTATCATCGATGGCTATTGCACAACTACGAGCTTGCGCTTGCCGACTGCGGTTGGACTGAAGGTCAGCCATATTGGGATTGGACTCTCGATGCAGGAAGCCCATATGACTTTGTCAATTCGCCCGTCTTTGATGCCAAGACCGGCTTTGGTGGCAACGGGGCACTTGTCCCGGGAAACTTCAGCAATCCCGATCCGGACGTAGTACGTTTTACCGATGGTTGGTGATCTACACCCTTGGCTAACAACAAGCTCAGCTCCTGATTAGTCCTCTCGATCTACCCGATCACAGTGGTGGCGGTAAGTAGGCATCAATCACCTTGAAAATTGGTATTGTTGTTTATATTGTTAAATTCAGGATGCATTGACGATGGCCCTTTCGCCGGGCTTAGCACTTATCTGGGCCCGTTCGCAAACGTCACTGGGACAAGTCCATACTGCGTGAGACGAGACTTCTCCTACAATGCACTCACAACAAACTCCGGAGCAGCCAGCGTCGCAACTCAGATGGCAAGCCCCAATTTTGGCACTTGGGATTACAACACCGAGTTCTCTATCCACCCGGGAGGCCATTGGGCAATTGGAGGTGTACGTGTCAACCCGCGTGGTCTTGCGGAACGAGATTCGCTAATTCTTTGACAAGATTTATGGGACTATGTCAGATAAATGGTCATCCGGTAAATTATTCCAAGCTACTTTTGATGATATGTACGAAGCTAACATGATGCCCAGTCGCGGACCCCCTTTTCTGGCTCCACCACAGCAACCTGGATCGCGCTTGGTGGTCATGGCAGACACGGGATCTTGAAGCACGCGTGACCGATTTTTCGGGACCATTGATTGCTTTCGACTATTCCAATGCTTTGGGTGGTAATGCCACCCTCGAGACCGAGGTCTATATTGGACTGACGGAGAAGCTCTCGATCACCGTCAAAGACGCGATGCATATTCAGCAAGGGCCGTTCTGCTATACCTACGACGAAATCTACTAAACCGTAGAATCAATTTCTTTTGTTTTCTGCTGAAGGAATCTCTTATTCAAGCATATATTGTTAAACGTAGTTTTTAATGCTCACACTTATCTTCATGAGAAGCTCCACTATTCATCAAGCACCAGAGTTGTACTATCGTGTGACTCAACATCGACAATCCCTAGTGATATTGACGACAAGTCGTCGCCAGGTAGCATCACGCCTCTTCTTTGTCTAATTCCCTTTGTAGAGGGCTTCAGGTATGGCATATCTCTGCTTTCGTAACCTTTGATGGTGCACCATGGAGCACTTGGGCCACCTTCAGAATTGATTCAAATTGAGACCGGCGCGAAACAGTAAAGGGTACTAACCGGACATGATCTGATTACATTCTGAGACGCACAATAAGAGGTACTGGAAATGGTGGCAATAAACATAACCAGGTCGATGGAAGTACTGCGGCCCCAGGATTGCGTTGGTGGTGTATATAAGCAGGTAGGAGTGCCCCTCCCAGCTAAGCCAAGACGGTTGTTTTGATACGGCCTCCAAAATAAGCCTGTTGGAGCCCAGCCGCTATGTCTTGCTAACCTGAGAATAGTACCTGAACTTTTTCCATAACGTCGACTGTCTCGTCATTTTCTTGATATTGATGGTCCTTTCATTCGGGTTTCTGCTACTTGAGCTGGTGGACGAGATAAGGGCTGAAGTGTACGAGCAGGAAGTAAGGAGCATGTACAACGACAATTTCTCAGAGATGAAAGATGACGTCAGAGCTTTCCTGGAAGACCAAGAATTGATTCGGTGTTGTGATAATGCACACTTGAAAGCAGGAAAGGATTGACTGTGCTGGAAGCTCAGTTAGTGGGTGATGCTTAGACATCGGACTCAGCCGGCTCAACTTAACATTCACTACAAGTGACAAGCTAAAACGGCTAGAGGTCAATGAGAATTTCTTATGCTCTTCGCTATCACGGTTTCATGCAGTGAATACTAGATAAAAACTTTGAATTCCGTAATCTTACCTCCTGTTGCTGATATGGTAGCACTGCCTACTTAGGAACAAATGGAGCATTACTTTGACAGTGCCTGTCATAGCCGACTTACAGATAATTCACTAAGTAATGGATACCAGGAATAACCCCTTCTGTAAGTACTTCAGACAGCCAAGCAGCATATTAAGAACTCGCCAAGTAAATCCTCGTAGACACCCCATCACCAGCCACGGCTTCGGATTATGATAAGGTCTGTTCGAATGATAATCTAGCTGAAGCCCTCCTCACTAGATATCGTGTTCAGCTTTCGTAGCAAAATGGAAAGAGCAAGCGCATGTGCTATTGATGAAAACGGAACCGGGTGCTTAGGGTGGTTGAACATAGGTTGTCTGAGTCTTTGTACCATACTGGCATTCCTGGGGTGAAAACGATTGAAAACGGTCTCCATGCACAATCGAATGCATGGTGTCCTTCGAATTGATTCTATTGTCTAGATCCTTGTGACTTTTTCTTCTCATAGTAGCCCTTTGCCAGAAGCTGTGAAGCGGAATGTGCATCGTCGCACTGTCGCAAATGTGATTTCATCACAATATCGAGCACACACCGCCGTCATGACTGGATTCGGGCCGCTTTGGCCGGAAAGTAGTCATAATGTAGAACCGCTCGCGTCAGAAGTAGGGGAAGTTGTGAAAGCAGCCGCGGCATGGGCAAATGAGATGCAGCACAGAGTAAGTTATGAGCACATCCAGGTTCTAAAAGAATTCAAAATTACCGGAACCACGATGCAGGACTAAGTGAACATTATAGCTCACTGGAATCCACTATAATACAAGCCAATTCTTCTTCTGGACCATGTTCGCCAGCATCGCGACGCTAGGGCTTATAATGCTGCGAACACTCAACAGTCTTTTCTACCAGCTCCAAGAACTGAACGCCCACCAGGCGACATACAAGGATATGTGGGTGGAGGAGCGTCAAGGCTGGCATCAGCAAATCGTGAAGGACGAGGAAGCACGGGACGGTCTGATCTACCAGCTCCAAGAACTGAACCATCATCAGGCGAGATACAGAGAGATGTGGGTGGACGAGCGTAAACAGATGTGGGAGCAGATAGGCAAGGATGAGTCCACGAGGGAGCACATGTTCTCACAATTCATGGACCATGTTGCTCCCCAGGGTATTGATGGCCAGGGGGGCAAAGGGAAGGCGGCCGGCGACTCACTCTACCATTCAGCTGCATTCAGAGATCTAGTAAAGGGACTTGCAGGGAAGGCTAACATGGCAACGCGGTCAGGAATGCCCGCTTTTTCATCGAACCTGAATGACGATCCCGGCTTCCCCCCATTCGAAGAGGAAACCGAGTAAGAATGGAAGTAGTTGTCCATTCTCGAAATCAGAACACTTGTATCTTCTTGAGAAATTGTAACATCAGATACGCCTATGGAACATGATTATCTATTAATGGTAAGCCGGCATGTAACAACCCGCATTTCAGACGCGACCCAGATGCTCCCAAGGTCGTGCCAAGCGAAGGTATCATCCCGCAATCGCGCCCCTAAATTAGCACATCGGCTGGAAGACAGACCTCTGAGTCCAGGTAAACAGGGATGGCTTACCACAAACACGCGTTTCCAAGACTGACTGTCGACAACATTCTGTGACTATGAGGCGACCCTGTCCAATCGCCAACCATAAACGTCGCTTAGTGCCGAGAATGTCTGTGATTGATAGGGATCTCATGGTGCTTGCCGCGTAATTCTATATCACAGAGTTCCCGAACGGGCCTCCTAGATGGATGGTTCCTGATCTCGAACTGTCCGTAAGAGGAAGTCGGAAAGCAGGGGTGGAGACTTGGTAGTTTCGGGCCCTCACTTCGGCCCCCCACATCAGGCTGGACGGATAGGCATGCATGCGCAGTCGCTAACAACGTTTGTTTCTGCGATTTCACACTAATTCGTTGTTATTATGGGGACATTACCTATGCAACCTTGGATTCTGGTATGGGAATTTTCTGCCTCTCTGAATATTCCGTACAATGTCTGCGCTCGTGATGGCCGAGCTCTCAATATTGACGACGACGGGATGGGATGGAAGAGCTCGCCAATGTCACCCGGAAACCCCACTGATAGCCCAGAAGTTCCGAGTCATATCTTACTGTGCATCTCTTGTTCCCTTTCTCCGTCACATGCCAAGGGACTCCTATAGCATGTAGGTGCCGGGAGTTAGTACGAAACAGGAATGTATCCTTCGAGAAGTAGTACTGTTTTCTGGTTCATTGCGTACCACTCCCGAGAAACTTTATCTATAGGGCTGCTAGTAATCAATATGGTATCCATAGTATGGCCTCGACTCTCTTGGAAAACGATGCTGCGGCAAGAAGGTCGAGCGACCTCACAGTATATGAGCCAACGGACGTCTCGAGAAAATGAGGACCGATGACTAGCAGCTCGTTTCCCTCAGTCTACTAAAACATTATGAAGGCAACAACAAGTCTTCACGCTCTTGCAGCGCTCTCAGGAGTGGCCGATGGCCTCGCTACAAGGAACTCGTCGGCTCCTGTCGGTGCGACTGGCCTCCCTTTGTTGGCGGACGGATACGGTAAGATCATAAGATTTCATGACATTTATACAGGTCGTCGGGCAAGCTAACCCGTGGCAAGTCGACCTTGGTGTTGCCTCTGCGGCATTTGAGAAGGCCAAGACATTCGTTGATGGTTTGACGAATGAACAGAAGATCAAGATCATTACCGGCTCGAGTTTTACGGGCAGTTCTTCGTGGACTCCGCTTTCTTCAAAGGATGGCGTTGCGGGCATCAATATGCAGTTCTTCGTGTCGGGTTTTACGATGATCAACGCTGCAACGATGACATGGAACCCCGACTTGGTTGAGGCTCAGTTTCGGGCTACCGGCGATGAGTTCTATCAGATGGGCTACAATCTGATCATGGGACCAGTCGCCAGCCCTCTGGGACGCGATCCATATGGTGGGAGGCTGCCTGAAGGATTCTCACCGGACCCATACCTGTCCGGCATCCTTATGGGCAAGGCCGCTGCAGGCATGAGCTCAGCTGGCATTGTCACAGCCGGTCGCCACTATCTTCTCAATGAGCAAGAGACCAATCGCATGAGCGGAGGATACTCTGCCAATGCTGATGACAAGACGACCCAAGAGGTTTACCTATGGCCGTTCGCAGATGCAGTCAAGGGAGGATTAATGGCAGTTATGTGTGGGATGAACCGTGTTAACGGCAGCCTTTCATGCGAAAATGACAAAATTCTCAACGGTTACCTCAAATCCGACTTGGGTTTCCCGGGGTTTGTTTTGCCTGACGTCAACTCGCAAGCCACCGCGTTTGGGTCTGCCAACGCCGGCCTGGATTACGGATCTAGCAGGTACTGGAGCGAGGAGGTCATGCTCGAGGGCATTGAGACCGGAAACTTCACACAGGCGAGGCTTGATGACATGGCGACCCGCAACGTTCTTCCCTATTATTTCGCCGGTCTCGATGACGGTCAGCAGCCAGAGAAAATCAGCAACACTGATTATCGTAACGTCCGTGGGAACCATTCGACATTGATTCGAAAGGTGGCTAGTGAAGCCATCATTCTGCTTAAGAACGATAATACTAACGGCCGAGGTTTGCCGCTGAACAAGCCTCGTACGATGGCCCTCTTTGGGGCACATGCTGGACCTTGTACCGCGGGCCCAAACCAGCAGTTTAGTGTCGGCGGTACTCCTGCAGACACATATCCAGGCCACCTAGCAACTGGAGGCGGTTCAGGGCAAGCTTCCTTCCCCTATCTGATCACTCCATTTCAGCCTTTGACGACACGCGCCGCTGAGGATGGCGGCATGATCTGGTGGGTGTTGAACAATACCTATACGGCTCCACCAGCGGCAGGATTTCCCGGCGGCGGAGGCGGAGGGTTTCCAGGAGGTAATGGTTCGTTCCCAGGCGGTGGTGGGGGAGGGTTCCCGGGAGGCAATGGTTCATTTCCAGGTTTTCCGGGAGGTAACGGGTCGTTCCCAGGAGGAGGCTTTCCCGGTGGTGGCGGCGGCGGCGGTGGATTTGGATTCGGAGGCACTGGTATGGAACCATCGATCCCGAACTACGCTGAGAACTCGGAAGCTTGTATCGTCTTCATCAACTCCATGTCCGGTGAGGGTTCTGATCGCACCGAATTGGCAAACGAGGAGCAAGACGACATGGTCAATACGGTAGCGGAGAAATGTAGCAACACTATTGTCGTCGGCAACTTTGCAGGTCCGCGCATTCTCGACGCGTGGATCGAGAACCCGAACATCACAGCCGTCCTCTACTCTGGCCTCTTGGGACAGGAGAGCGGCAATGCCATTTCAGATGTGCTGCATGGAGACGTCAACCCCAGCGGCAAGCTTACCCACACCATCGCGAAGCTGGCTTCTGACTACCCAACGCCTACCTGCATGACCTCTGAGTGCAACTACGATGAGGGTGTGTTCATCGACTATCGGTGGTTCGATGCCCAGAACACGACAATCCGCTACCCCTTTGGCCATGGCTTGAGCTACACTTCGTTCACGTACGGCGACGTAAGTGTCAGCGTCACGAACCAGACCGCACTCGGCTCCAGATACCCCACCGGCGGGCTCACACTTGGAGGCAAGGCTGACTTGTTCGACGAGGTCATTGCCGTAAGCACGACAGTCCAAAACTCAGGGGAAGTCACGGGCGCAGAGGTCGCTCAGCTGTATATCAGCTTCCCGGAGGAGGCTGAACAGCCGATCCGTATCCTGCGTGGATTCGTTAAAATCGAGATTGCAGCTGGCGAGAGCGCCGATGTGACTTTCAGCGTGAGGAGGCGAGACATTAGCTTCTGGGATACGGCAGCACAGAAATGGGCCATTGCTGAGGGCGAATACACGCTTGCGGTGGGCTCATCGTCGCAGGACATCAGGGGGTCCGCTACTCTGACCGTTTAGGCTACCTTCTTTGCCCTTGCTCGTTTCGTCAGATTTGTGTGGTCTAGCCTAGATATATGCTTACACACGTAGAGTGCAACTCAATCCAATCCCGTTCAATATTCTGCGATGAACATATCAGGCCGTGGGCCGTCCAGGCGTGGGTCGCGTGGCGCTCGTGACGGACCAGCGCCGACGAGACACGGCGCGAGACGCTAGTCTCGGGCAAGGCAAGGCAACGGTTGCGGAGTCTGCGGGCCGGACGGAGCCGAAAACGGACGCGACGGGACTTCTCGCTTTTCTTCTTGATATTTGCCCGCACTGGTGCTGGCAACTGTGCTAATGACCAGGGACTTGCGCATTCATCATCCCATCGTGAGGGTTAGAACGCAGCCAAATGAATGGCCCAGTCGAGAAAAAGGGCCGGCTCCACAGACGCGCCCATGTCGTGCTTCTTTCAGGCGAGTCTCTATTACTTTGTGCAGCAACGCTAGGCCGCATCAATGCCTTCCTCAGCCGCTAGAGACCAAGAACCCCAGCTGGCCGCAGATTTGCTCTACACAAAGCAATTGCTTGTTTGTGGCAGCCTAGAGATCGACAGGGCCTATTGGGTTAGTCTGCGGCGCAAATAGAGTTGCTTGGCCATCACAGCCTGGGGGCCCGGCTGGCTGGTGGCCCACCCTCAGCCCACGCAACCACGCTGAACTCGTGGCCGACGCCAGACGCGGGTCCTGTAAGAGGCCCCTGCGCGACAACAAGCGTCCGTGCCTCCTGTCTGCCATCATCTCGCCGGGTCCTCAAACAAGCCCGTTGGTCGTTGGCGGTTGGCGATTATCACGATGGGCGCTGTGGGATAACTACGTCGATCGCAACTTGAGGCCTGGGACCGTCGTCGCTGAGTTCTGGCCTCGTACGTCATGGCTGTCCAAGGAGGATGCAATCGCTCCGCTGCCACTCCTCTTCTCGAGTCGTCAAGTTGCCAGGACGCATCTCTTGGCGGTCGTGCATTTCCGAGCTAGCATCTGCACCTAGAGTTGGTAGTCATGCTGAGGAAGACGCGGTTCCTGCATGACTGGGGTCATTGGGCCCCTGACGATTACATTTTTGGCATATCGTCAACGCCACCAATTTCTCTGCCCCCGCCTTTCCTCTATCGCACTGGTGTGCTTGCCTCTGATGAGCTGAACTGACAGGTCGAGTTTGTGCAGCCAAGGCCATCGCGCGCTAAGATGCTATCATCACTTTTATACCACTAGCACAGAGCTGGTAACTTACCTGTTCCCGCATGGTTGGTTGCTGTTCAAATAGAGCTGAGTCCCAACCGACGACCCAAGGCGTGGTCCAAGGTAGGGATCCCTCTCTTTGTTTCCTCTCCCACCCTGCCCAAGTCGCCTCACTTGCTCAGTAGGGACCTCTTCGTCCCTAGCCATTCGTTTCAATATGCGTTTTCAGTCATTCGTTTCGTTGTCGTGCTTTGCCACGGCAACACTCGCTCATTACGTTCCGAGGAACGACCAGAGTACACTATCTGTCTCCTCGACCAGGGCCAAGTGTGGTTCTAAGCCAACGTCGACCTCCAGTTCGGCTGGCCAGCAAGAAACAAGCAGCTCCAGCTCAGCATCCTATGGCGCCAGTGTCTCCACTGGCTCGACTTCGTCGGATACTGCCACCGAGTCATCGGCTCCTGTGAGCTCTTATAGCTCTACCGAGTCTGTCAGCTATACGGCCAGTGCTACCACGTCCGTTTCTTCCGACGTCTCCAGTAGTGGCTCCGCATCATCCTTGAGCTCGGCCAGCAGTCTATACTCGGACTCCTCCAGCTCAGTCAGTCTTACATCCAGCACTTCCGGTTCCTCTAGTTCCTCCAGCGCCTCCAGTACTGGGACCTCCAGCTCAGTCAGTCTTACATCCAGCACTTCCGGTTCCTCTAGTTCCTCCAGCGTCTCCAGTACTGGGACCTCCAGCTCAGCCTCGATCACCAGCTCGGCCTCTGTTTCGAGCTCAAGCTCGTCAAGCTTTACCAGCTCTAGCACAAGCAGCTCGGCCTCCTCGGCAGCCTCGGCATGTGCTTACTGGTTGGAGGACATCAAGTCTCAGGTATGCAACTCACAACGTTCCAATTCTCTTCCCTCATTCCCCATGTTGTCTCAAGAGGTATACTTTTTTCAAAAGAACTGGTCAATTGACAATTGTGGCAAAGGGTATCGCATCGTTCAATGATGACTCGGCCAGCTACAAAGTCTTCCGCAACGTCAAAGATTACGGAGCAAAGGGAGATGGTGTGACCGATGATACAGCGGCCATCAACAGAGCCATCAGTGAGGGCAACCGGTGCGCACCAGGGACTTGCGCGTCCTCCACCACCACGCCTGCTCTTATCTACTTCCCCAATGGCACCTACATAGTTTCCAAGCCCATCGTCGGCTACTACTATACACAGATTGTGGGCAACCCCAATTGCCTGCCTGTCATTAAGGCTGCATCCACCTTCACCGATGCCTGGGTTTTTGATGGAAACCAGTACGGCGCAGGCGGCCTTGGCTGGGGAGCCACGAACGTATTCTGGCGGCAGATCCGCAACTTTGTCATTGATATGACTGCGATACCTGCATCTAGGTCGGTCCGGGGTATTCACTGGGCAGTCTCACAGGCAACCTCCCTCCAGAATATCGTTTTTGAAATGTCGACTGCGGCTGATAACCAGCACGAGGGTCTTTTTATCGAGGAGGGGTCTGGTGGTTTTGTGACCGACCTTGTCTTCAACGGTGGTCTATACGGCTTGAATGTTGGTTCCCAGCAATACACGATGCGAAACCTGACTTTCAACAATGCTGCAACTGCCATTCACCAGCTCTGGGACTGGGGCTGGACCTACACTGGCATTAGCATCAACAACTGTCAGATTGGATTGGACTTGAGTGCACTTAAACCAGACGGTAGCCAAAACGTCGGCAGCGTTGTGCTTATCGACAGCGAGATCAGCAACACCCCCGTAGGCATCTTGACGGCACGTAGCGAGGATTCTACCCCGGTATCAGGCGGAAGTCTGATCCTGGAGAATTTGTCACTGAACGCTGTCGATGTCACAGTCCAAGGTCCCAATGAGAACGTGATCCTCGGTGGCTCGTCCGGCTTATCTAAAATTGATGCCTGGGGCCAGGGTCAGTCGTACACTGCTGCGACTGGACGTACTACATTCCAAGGCACGTTCACCGGCAACAACAGACCTGCGAGCTTGACATCAGGCAGTGATTACTACAGCCGCTCCAAGCCACAGTACGAACATGTTCCAGCTTCTCAATTCGTCAGCATTCGCGATGCTGGTGCCAAGGGTGACGGCCAGTCGGATGATTCAGACGCTATCAATGCCGCGTTGGCGACCGCTGCCATTTCTGGAAAGGTCGTCTTCTTCGATGCGGGTTACTACAAGGTGACCAAGACCATCTTCGTTCCAGCTGGGTCCAAGATCACAGGAGAGGCATACCCTGTGATTTTGTCCAGCGGCAGCTTCTTCGAGAATATCAATGACCCGAAGCCGGTTGTCAAAATTGGATACTCGGGCGATGTGGGCACAGTGGAATGGTCCGACATGATCGTCAGTACGCAGGGGGCTCAAGCCGGCGCCGTTCTGATTGAGTGGAATCTCGCTTCAGCTGGCTCGCCCTCAGGGATGTGGGATGTCCACACGCGCGTTGGTGGTTTCAAGGGATCCAACCTTCAGGTCGCTGAATGCCGCAAGACGCCCGACACGGTCATCACTGAGGACAACATTGCCGAGAACTGCATTGCTGCATATATGAGCATGCATGTCACCAAACTGGCATCGGGTCTGTACATGGAGAACTGCTGGCTCTGGGTTGCTGACCACGACGTTGACGACCAATCGTTGACCCAGATCACTGTGTATGCCGGACGAGGTTTACTCGTTGAGAGCACAGTTGGTCGTATATGGTTGATCGGTACCGGCGTCGAGCACCATGTTCTGTATGAATACCAACTCGTCAACACAAGGGATATTGTCATGGGACAGATTCAGACCGAGACCGCCTACTACCAGCCGAACCCGAGCGCGGTGATGCCGTTCCAGGCCAACGCTGACCTCAATGACCCCGTGCTCACAGATGGGGAAGATGGATGGGGCCTGCGTGTTGTCAGAAGCTCCGATGTGTTCGTCTACGGCGGAGGGTAAGTTTTCCACAGCCTTGGAGGACTCGGGAATGTCTGCTGACCTCGAAACCAACCAGATTATACTCTTTCTTCAACAACTATGACGTCTCCTGCTCGCAGCAAGATGTTGCTGACAAGTGCCAGTCGCGCATCGCAAGCTTTGAGGACAGCAACGTCTCGGTGTACAACCTCAACACCGTCGGAGCGACTGTCATGGCCACGATCGATGGCGAGGATGTCGCCAACTGGGCAGACTACAAGAACAACTTCGTCTCTACCGTAGCACTTCTCCGAACCTAGACGAACATGCTGGCCACCGACTCGTGCCTCGCCACATTGAAGGGGATGGGAGTAATAATTCGTAATGATAATCAAGCGGGTTTGCCTTCACGCGTACATAGTCACTGCCACTTGAATACTTGGCTAGCTTGGAAATGAATGCAACTTCCTGTCCTTCTAGAAAGCATCCCGATCTGTGCGCCAGGAAAGCTACTGCTGTTGGTATTCCAAATGCTTGACAGTCTAATGGACTAGAGCATCCAGCCCTAACATGTGCGGCGGCGACAGAACTCACGTTGGCCGCTGCTCTAATTTCCATCGAAGCGTCTCTCGCGATGCAGGTCCTCTTAGAGCCAGTCTGCGGTGGCAGTGCGATGCAACATCGTGCAACCCGTTTCGCATCAATGATCGGCGGCAAGTGAACCGAAATGCCAAGATCCTTCCCGTCGGCCAATCGCAGCAAATATGATCCTCCGAGGGTAGTGTGATCTACTCATACCAGCCCTGGAGATTCTCTTGGAGCCGAATAAGTGAGCGACGAGATCTGCGTAAGGAAGTCGGGAATATGTCATTCGGCGCGGGAGAGCTGGAACTAATCGCCCCGAGGGAGGGTCCATTGGTGCCACGGCCAAGGGGCAACCTGCTAGCGCCCACTCTTTCGTTTCAGTGCCCCAGACTCCGACGAAGGGGTCACTACGCATCGCGAACAGAGCCCCAACTGCCAGTGAACCGTGTTCGGTTCTGCCTGAAACAGTTTCCAGCACAATTGCCAAGACCATATGCTATGATCTACGACCGCCGTGGGGGCTGGACCTTTTGTGGCTCCCTCTCCGTTCTTGAATGCGATTCGCTGTGCACGTCTTTCTTGGCTATAGCTTGGCAGTTTTGCAAGTCGTCTCGAACCGCCCTACAGACATGACAAAAAGAAACTCGAGCTCAAGCTGCCACCCAAAACAACAGTGACTATAGCTTCAAACCAGAGGAATCATCGGACGATGGAGTCATCCAAATTCACCTGCCAACTTGCATATAAGGGCCGACGCTTCGCCGACAATGAGACGCTTTTATTCCCATCATCAACAGCATCAGCATCCGCATCTCAACAGTCCTCCCGACTTCAGAGTCTCTTTTTGTTTTATTTCTCTTCTATTTCTTTAGGACAGCCCCGGTGGCAGTAAACAACAATATCCTTCTTTTTATCTCCATCTATACTCGACCTTGTTCATCTAATCCACATTCAAGATGCGTTACTCCCTGATCTTTGCTGCGACCGGCCTCGTTGCCTCGGTCTCCGGGCACGGACTTGTCACCAAGGTGGTTGGCGCCAACGGTGTTGAGATGCCTGGTCTATCTGGTAGGTTCTCAGTTTGGAAGTATTTTGGCCTTCAACTAGCAGTCGTTAACTTTCATACCTTCAAGTGGCTGATGGCACTCCTCGGGACTGTTCCAGCAACGGCTGCGGCTCTCAGGCCGACACTGCCATCATCCGAGACAGAGAGATCTCCAGCGGCCAATGCGGACCTTTGGGCCGGACCCAAGGCAATGGACCTATCGATGCTTCTGTTATGATCAACAGCTTCATGGGTGCTGGAGCCGCCCCTACCAACAACGGCACTGGTGTTGGTGTTGAAGACGACATTCCCGCAAATGTCGGTGCATCCAACAAGGCCAGCAAGGCCAGCAAGGCCAGCAAGAACAACAAGGTACGCAGTGCCAAGTTGCGCAACCGACAGCTCCTCGCTGGCCTCCTCGGAGGTGGCGCCGGCGGCAGCAATGCCAAGGGCGTTAAGTCAAGCACTCCCCAGGAGACCATGGTTGCCGCCACCGCCGGCACGGGTGCGTCCGGAGGTCTGCCTACCGCGGCCGATGATGGCACCGTCGAGCTCCAGTTCCGCCAGATCAACCAAGACGGCGCCGGTCCTCTTGAGGCCATGGTTGATGGCACTTCGGGCGGCACTGAGATGTCCGCTTTCCAGGAGGCCGAAGTCACACAAGACGTTCCCGGCTTCATCGCCGGCCTGTCGACGGCCACCAACACGGATTTTGCCGTCAAGGTGGCGATGCCTCAGGGTATGACATGCGATGCCACCGTCGGCAACGCTCAGAACGTATGCGTTGTCCGTGTCCGTAACAACACCCCGGCCGGCCCCTTCGGTGGCTCTGCTGCTTTCACCCAGACCGCTGCTGCCCGCAAGCGAGCCATCACTTACCGCTTGAAGAAGCGTGCTGAGGAGGCTGCTGCTGCGGCTGCCCGCAAGTAAGCGAAGATCTATTCTTCGCTTCGAGCCAGAAGCACAACACAAGCATGATGGTGGATTGTTGGTATAGAATGGACATGGGCGCTTGGATTTTCATTTTCAACGGGTAACTTCATCTTTAGAACCGGATTCTGGTGATCCGATGGGACATGGGTTTATGCATTGATGGTTGATGATCATCTTGAGAGCCAACCAGTGAGCAATCTACCTTGTATATAATAGTCCTGTAGAAGCAACAAATTGGAGCTTTCAGTACATTCTTTTAAGTTGACATAGCCTCCTGCCGCCATCTTACGATCAGGCCTTGTCGAGAATCCCTCCCGCGATCCCTGCCGTACAACACTATTCGTTGATTATGTCGCAAACAACGTGGTTGTCGGTGTCACTTTCTCAAATTTATTTTGCCCACACTTCACATATGTTTCTACGAAATGAGGGTGGTGGCCATGTGCTTTCTGAGACCATCCCGCTAATTCCGTCGATCTATTGCAAGTCGGGCCAGAACCACCAGGCCGCTGAGCAGCCTCCATTTCAAAATGCAGTTCTGCCTTAATTAGAACCTCGGCTTCCGAAGAAGTCGGTATTGTTACGCTTGGCGGTTCCAAAAACTCAACTTTCGTAACAATTGCGGTTCTGGCGCGAAGGTCCATTTCTCTTTAGGCTGGATCTGGGTGGCATTCAGACTTTCGATGAAAGAAACCCCCCGATCTCGGCGCATTTTGATGGATAGAGGTGCTTTCTTGTTGTGCTAATACAATGTCAGAGTGGATGCTAGGCGCCGTCTGCACGACTTTTACGTACCCATGTATGTATAAGGCGCGCCCTTCAACGGACCCCACAGCAATTGTCAGGCTGTTCTCAGGGTCTGTTTTGGCAAGAATAGCGGGTATGCTTGTAATTTGTTGTTCTAATTGGTTACTTCCTTCTAATAACTTCCAATTATTGGCCCGTCGTTCACCAAGCGGTTACCTGGACAAAGCCAGGCGTGCCAATTGCTAAGCCTTGTCTGGTAAGCACACGTCAAGAATTAGCACTCGATTTCCTTACTCTAGGGACATCATCCGGCCGGTGAAGGCAAAAGCCGAACGAGCTACTCCGTATGTCTGTGATTGATAACGGTGACCTTCCGCAATTGCCAACACAACAATCGCAGTACACTTAACGAAGGCCTCTCTACATGGACAATTCAAGCTTACACCATTTCATTATCTCTTAATTTCTCAACGATCAGCGTCCTCCTACGGTCAGAGATGTAGCCACACGCTTCCAAATTGATACAACCACGGCGCGGCAGGGCCTACAAGCTTTGGGAAACTATCATGGTGTTGTACTGCACCCCAATTCTGACGAGGTCTGGGTTGCCCACCCTTTCTCAGCGGCACCTACGACCTGCGTCGTGGCCTCGGGCGACCGCAAATGGTGGGGAAATTGCGTATGGTGCTCGCTCGGTGTGATGCAGCTCGCAGCTGGAACGTCGACGCTCAAGACAAGGATTGGCGCTATTGACGACGAGGTGTCAATCATGGTCGATAACGGGAAATTGATGGACACAAACTTTGTGATACACTTTCCAGTACCTATGCGGAATGTTTGGGACAACGTTATTTACACCTGCTCGGTTCAACTCCTCTTTCGCAATGAGGCTGGGGTGGACGAATGGTGTGCTGTTAGGGGGGTTCCGAAGGGAGATGTACGACCGATTCAACAAATATGGCACTTCGCTGCCGAATGGTACGGCCGACACGCCGATACGGACTGGACGAAGTGGTCTTTACGCGATGCCACGGAAATATTTGGACGTCATAACCTGACTGGACCGATTTGGGCGATTGGGGACGAGGCAGGTCGCTTTTGATCTCCAAAGCCCGCTGAAGATAAAACCTGCCGTTCCTCACGTGGAAACAAACCTACCATAATGCCTGGTCGTACCCACGCGGCCATGCCGACGTGTCGTCATGCACGGATGGGGCCCTGAACCACTAGGACGAGCAAAGAATGGATACATGTTGCACGATTTCTCCGGGCCAGAATATCAAGGTATACAGAAAAATGAGTTCCAATTTTTCCAAGTTCACGCCAGAGAGCTGCAGTATTGTACTGTACATGAACCTAATTGAGTTAGATAAGATATGATAGACTCATTAGTTTGTACTTAATTATATCTTCCAATCTCCTATTTATAGTCTATTGTAACATCCTTTGTTGCCTTGTGGCTTGCAGTTTGATGCGCTGACAGTCTGCTTTTCTATTTAAAGAAGATCCTCTCCGCATCTTTCCCCGTATACAATTGACTTCTATTAAATTAAATGTAATTTCCGACGACTTATCAACTTATTGTCACTAACATTTTGTCCGCTTGACAACTTACTGACCAAAACAATCAAAGACGGAACACTTCTTATTTGGTTTTAAGTAACCCGTTAAGTTGTCATCCATATCTTCAATACCGCTGCGGCCTGCTGGGCCAAATGCCGCAAATTGGGCACCCATCCGCTGCCTTAGGTAGGCTGTATCCAAATCTTGCATGTTCAACTGATTAGAACATATTTTCATAGTCGTAGTCCACGTGAAACAAGCAGTAGAGCTATTCGTATACATAATTGAAGAGATCGGCGTCATACTCTCCAGGCCCTTCAATCTTTAGGAGCAAGTATGTGGTGTACTTGACGTTGATCTCGTCTTCCGTGAAATAAGGGCGGCCCCCTTAAGCACACCGGCGATACTGCTACCTCGCTTCAGTCACCTCGTTGAGCTGATCCTCGCGCGGATGGAACACCATCCATGGCCCGTTGTGCGACGCACCAAACCTGTCGCGGATAGGATACTCGTTATGTCTACCTCGGTGTTTCCCTGAGCCATCAATCCTCATGCTTTCCATTCTAGCCCGATTGAAGGGTGCCTGCTTAAGGTCCAAATGCCACAGTATTCTGGCGACGATGAGTTGGGCTTCCTGGTAGGCCATTGCCCTCCCTAAGCATCCCCGGACACCGGTAGAAAACGGCACGAAGGCACTCCTTGTATTCTTCTTGTACTCCACGCACTCGGGAATCCACCGCTCTGGTTTGAAGACAAAGGGCTCAGGAAAATATTCCTCGTTGTGGTGAAGGGCGTACGTGTTGACTCCAATCTCCGTTCCCGGTGGGATGATGTGACCGTCTATTATCAACGGCTGACCGTCGGCTCGAGACTCTGCCTCCTGTTCTCGCCAAAGGGTCCCTGGAACTGGTGGAGATATCCTCAGGGTTTCGTCAAGGCATGCGCGAAGGTACTGGCAACGAGCCAGCCGTGGCCCACTTCGGATTTCCCTTTGATGATGGAAAGTCGACCTGATCTCTTGAGTAAGTTCTTGGTAACACTGTGAGTCTTCTGACAGGTAATGGAATAGGCTGCTCAAGCAGGTCGTTAGAGTGTCACTTCCTGGGAAAAGGAATGAGGTCATTAGCGTTTATCACGTCATAATTGATGCAGGTCCCAAGTAGTACAAACCTGCAGCAAAGAGGAAGATGGCCTCGGATTCTATTTCTGATATGGTGTTCTCGTCGTCCTCTGAAATGGTTGAACTTTCTGTCATATATAGAAGATTCTCCTTGGCATGAACATCTTGGGCAAGATGCTTCCTGATCATTCTTTGAATAATACGAGTATAGCTCCCTCCCCTTATGAGAGAACGAATACGTGGAAGGACTGTATGACGAAGACTACTCAGTGATGATAGCTGTAGCGAGATATTGAAACAGAGATTCGCTGTTGAGTTATCAGCCATGAACCGATATGTTTTCTCCGTCTGGAGGTTTAGGGGGTAAGAGAACATGAAATGGCCCATTATGTCGATCATGAGATGCTTGAACATCTCTGTTAAGTTGACGGAGCCGAGAGTGTCGTCATGATGCGACGAAAGCAAGCTTTGTATCAAGATGTCCACTTGATCGTTTAGGGTTCTTGCAAATGACTTGATTGCCCGATCATTCATTTTCAGGGCGGCCAGCCTACGCTTCTCTTGGTGCACTTGTCTGTCGACGGCATAGAATAAGCCATAGAGCCCCGGAGCTCTCTGTGACACAAGATAAGAGCCGGATTTGGTGACACGCGCATTTTGGTAGATATCTTGGTTTGTCAGCCAAAGGACTAAAAGGTCAAAAGTAGGGTCCATGGGTATGTACCGCGGAGCGCATTCACCGAATTGAATACAAGCTTGTTAGGGCCCTGCCTCACGACCGGGCCTGAGCCAATTAGCATGATCCAGGCTCTCAAGTGCCGCGACATGAGCATCAAGTGACTTGCCGTAGAGGAGATGATCCTCCAATGTTCTACGATGTAGAACGGTCTGTATAGCATAGAAGACACCGTATAGGCCGGAGACTCGGGCCATGAGCGGGCCTGGATACTGGTGCAATGGATGGAAGAGCAGTCTGTATGTACATAGCAGTGTAACCTATCGCTGGTCAATGGTCCCGTTCATGTTCATGGGGTGAAGAGAGTCTGTCTTACCAATGTGATGATTAGGTATGGACTGTACGTTGCAACCAACGCCACACACCTGATGAAGGCCATTTGAAAATGTGACCGGTAGTAATGACGGGTTTGCGATAGTCAGTTGCTTACTTAGGCAGCAAAGCCTTGGCATATCCTGAATCTAAAGAAAAGGAGTCGTTGACGAACAATGAGATGCATGACAGAGTTTCAGAGGGTGATGGGGCTGGCGTGTCCACCTGTAGAGACAGTGCGCCCCCAAATTGGATGATCCGTCATACGCGAGTTGGTCTGCGATAACATGATATGACGGTTTCTTACAAGGGCTCGCTTTGCATGCATGGAGCTCCACGACGAGGTTCCTACCAGTTACGGCAAAAGACCGCCATCCTTAGGTGTGGGAAGTCTGGCGAACATGTAAGGGCCGACCAAGGTATACATGTAAAACGCACGTTCCATCGGTACATTGGTTCTCATGTAGGCCCCACGTTGCATTGGATGGTCAATGTCGTGGCTTGGTAGAAAGGCCGTGGTGGCTAACGCAAGGGACTGTAGCATGTTGGTGTTAGATCGATTAAAGTCGTCAGACACCACTAGCCCCGCCGGTAAAGCTAAGATGTTTTGTTCTCTGCTCAGTTTCCCTCTCACGCTTTTGATATTCCCGATAACACCAAACGTCATTCCGCAGCTCACCACGTCGACTTGTCGCCATGGCGCCAGAGGAGACTGCTGGCCTCAAAGGCTCTTCTCTGAATGGCTCTCATGAGCCGAAACATACCGAAGCCGAACGTACTGGTGATATTGATGGTACCAGAGACCATGTCGACTACATCCAAGGTTCTCGGTTCTGGCTGATTTGCACAGCGTGAGTAAGCAAATGCTGGCTCTAATCGACTGACTAAGATCTTACTCTCTAGCATGGTGATAATGATGTTCATGACGAACTTCGAAGTCCCTGTGGTCATAACAGCTCTAGTGGCTATCAGTAGCGAACTGGGAGGATTTGGTAATGTAGGCTGGGTCATCGCGAGCTATCTACTAGGCTACGTCGGTCGGTCAACCTCACGGCCTACTGCAGACGAATGACTCACCGTTCAACAGCTGTCATTGTCATTTTCGCCAAGTTCAGCGATATTTTCGGCCGGAAGCCCATCCTTTTGTTGTCGATTGCTGTTTTCATCGTCTTATCTGCAGCTTGCAGTGCCTCCCAAACTCTGCTGCAGCTGTGAGATAGCCGCGCCATCAAAACTCTCTGCTATACTGACGTTTTACAGGATCGTTTTTCGAGCTTTCCAAAGCATCGGCGGCGGTGGATGCTTCTCCCTTTGCACCATCATGGTCACCGATCTTGTCCCGCCCGAGAAATACACACAGTTTGTGTCCAACATTTCTGTGACCAATGCTATAGCACTCTTACTGGGACCAATTGTTGGCGGTGCTATTGCCGCCCACACGACGTGGAGATGGATATTCATCATCAAGTAAGCTGCACCGGAACCGAATGAGATCTCAACTGCTCAGAAGTTAAATTTCAGCGTTCCTATCTCTGCTCCGGCTTTCTTGATAGCCATCCTCGCGATCCCTAAAGACTTTCCTCATCACATTCGAGCGAACGGCGAACGGGAAAACAGTAAGAGCACGGCCAGCAAATATACACTTCCTCGGATAGATCTATCAGGGACTGTTTTGATCTTACTCGCAACGCTAGGGCTTACAGCGGCCTTCGAGGGTGCTAACAAAGAGTTTCCCTGGAGATCTGCATTTGTCATTACGCTCGTTGCTGTATCTGGGGTTCTCTGGATCTTGCTTGTTCTTTGGGAACGACATGTTACCATAGCCAACCAAGTTCGAGAACCGATCCTGCCTTGGAGGTTTCTGGTTAGTCGTGAGATGATGGGTATATTGCTGTATGGCATCAAGCGACGTCATCTCTCAGTTTGGGACTATGCTGACGCGCAAGAAGGAACTTTGTGCTGTTAGGAGGACCAACAGTGATTGGAATGTTCATCATTCCCCAGAGGTTCGAACTTGTCTACGGGGCATCCGGCCTAGATGCTGGTGTCAGACTGATACCGTTTACCTTTTTCATGGCGGTCGGTTCCATTCTTGCCTCGATTATGGCCACTAAGATGAAGATACCAGCGATATATGTAGTAATCGCCGGGTCTTGTCTTCAAGTGTTGGGGTTTGCCTTGATTGGTACACTACCGTCAACTCTCTATATACCTCCCAAGATATATGGCTTCGAGATCATTGCTGGCTTGGGCTGTGGGATGAATTATGCACTGCTATTCGTCCTAGTCCCATTCGTGGTTGAGGAGCGCGATCGCGGTGAGTCATACCCTATAATTCTTCATCTTTGGTCGAGATTCTGGGTACTAAAACAGTCCAGCGGTCGGCCTAGGAGTCGCATCGCAGTTCAGATTCGTGGGCAGCTCAATGTTGTTAGCGATTTCAACCTCAATATTCAATGGATATGTGCGATCGCGATTAGAAGCTCTTCTGGAAATTTCAAATTCTGATTTACTCAGCACTTTCCTGTTCACATTGCCTCAAGAGCTTCAGGAACAAGCGCGTTACATTCTAGCAGAAGGATACAACCGCCAGATTCTTGCTTTATGTGTCTCGGCAGCTCTCCAAGTACCGGCATCATTGCTTATGTGGAAGAAGAAACAGGTTGTCGTTTGAGAAGTCATTGTTTGGGAGGTCGAATGGTTGGCTTTATGGGCCAAACCATTAAATGGCGAAATCTGGCTTGGTAGGGAAAGGCCATTAGTGGAAAGTACAATATTTCAGTATGATTCAGTCTAATAGCACCTTGTGTTTGTTCGTCATTCTTTGATTTGAAAATAAGAGTTTCAGAGCCGATTCCTAGCATTCGAGCACCCATTTAGCTCGTCTCGGGCGTGCCCGAAATTACACGTGGCCTGGAAAGTCTGCCAAGGCCATCGGTTGGGAAGTTGGCCCTGGAATGTGTGCTGATTTCACCCCTAATGCCTGCTCTTACTATCTGGAAATTGGACAGCTGAAATTGGACCGCAATTAATTATGCCAATCCATTATGCAGTTGGTCACATCCTTCCCATTGGAATGTGGACACGAAGGATGGTAGTTGGCAACAGTTTGGGTGGGATCTTGATTGGTGTGAAGGAGTTGCAGTTTGTCAGACGGAGGAGTGCCACATTGGGGCAGACGAAAAGTGGTGGTCGCCGCATTAAGGAATGGGAAAAGTAAGAAAAGGATTGTGGTGCTGCTCCTTGAAAAGCGCGGATATTAAATCAAGCATAAATAAAAAGTGATTGCAGGAACCGGCCACGCCCCTACCTGCTTCAGACCGTTTGGGGCGAACGTACGAGCTTGATATTGAGCTCGGGTTGGTGGGACGTGGTAAGAATTGTGGCTTAGCAAAGCTGTGGATGTGTTTATGGCTGTGTTATTTGCGTTCTATTTATTTAATCCTCCCCGCTTTCGTAGATTGAAATGAACCATCGAACTTTTTGCCCTCAATTCACGCTTATTCGGTTTGTCGACCGTCGATTTACAAGTCTATTCTACCACACGTACAATGTATGTTCAAACCGCCGACACAGACGAGGAGAGCTGCGTTGGCTGAGTTAGTGTTACTTGGAGAAAATGGCCCAGGAGCACCACTCCAGTTCAATATGTACGAAAGATACCTGAAGAGACTGTCAGCCATGGCCTGAACTTAGAAGTCCGGCATTCGTTGAATTTGGAGATATTGGAATAACCTTGTCCCCAGGCCGAATATGGCGAAGTCGACTCCAAGTATCCACAGCATCGCATTGAACGTTGTACAATTGTGAGTTGGCTGGCCTCGACTCTGGAAAGAAAGAAGTAGCCGAGTAGAACACAATTTTGTGATCAAATAATAGCGCAAATTCGCAAGCAAGGAAGGTACTTGGAGCCGCAAGTTACTTCCACATTCGTAATTCGTCTATTTCAAAGACGAGTGTCTGGCTTGAACGCTTCCGATAGTTCCGAGGTCAACAGAGGTCTAACTGCGTAAAGCACCCATTTGAAACGAATGTTAGTCCAGGTGAGGGATAGATTCGGGGTGCTAGGTACCAAGCTTCGAAACTTACCGTCTTGGATTAGGTCTTTGACCGCAATTGTCAGATTACTCTTTAAAGGCAAGTAATTCGAATCCTCTGGGCTTGCAAACCTGTATATCTCACGGTTTGATTAGCATTCATATAGTAGGTTACCTCGCTCTACAAGTCAAGTCAGCGTGTTATTATGTTTTATGCATGCTGCTGTTATGGTCATAATGAGCGTATGTGGAAAGTTGGATCTGGGTTGCTCTCACATGACTCACCCTGTTGCTAGTTGACCTCGCTATGATGCGGGAGCCGCGGTATCATTCTACTGGCGCACACGCCAACAGATACATAGAAGTCGTCAAACCTTCAGGGCGCGTCGAAGACTCTGATGACAGATACGCTATATATGCCATGTAAGTAGCGGTGACGAGGAAGACACGTATCCTTAATTGTTGTATGCACCTCAAAGCTAAGCGTTGGGTCAGGCAGGACAACATCATTAACTCTGGTCTACATGACATAGACACTCCTTACGTGAGGAGTAAGAGTACCGTCATTCATTGAGTTTGTTTACTTCTGACAAATTATCTTAGAGTCAGGAAGGAAATGCGGCAATTAATTGCGAAGCACCCTAAGGGAATTGACGGTTTCGAAGATGGCGGAATACCAGGATCGACAATTGATACTTATAATCATATCAACTGTCATTCTCGATATCCATCCAGTACCATGATATCGGACATGCATCATCAAACTGAGTATTCTACAGTTTAATTGCCCAGAAGAATGATGGTTCAGACGAATCTTCAAAGTCCAGCACAGTTGGGTTCTCCAAATCGATATATCACTCGATCACGATTCTTGAGATCCCGAGCTTGTCTATGACATAACTAGAATACTGACTAAGCCCACGGCTTGTCATTTTCTGCTGTTAACCATCATGTAGCAGCAGACCTAATTCAGCATTGTGGTCTATTCGATAACTAAATCCACAGTAACATATGCTTTATTTCCAAACCTCGCGCTGTAATAGAAAGCTTTGTTCCGAGTAGCATCCCGCCTATGCTGCGTACGCACAAATCTCTGTTGAGTTTTTTCTTGCGTACCTCATGATTTGTTTCTCGATAATCGATAAACTGTCCAGGTCCTCGTTTTCCCCCATTAAACGGACAGCCGCCCGCTTGTACGAAGTGTCATTGAAGATTTTCTCGGCTGCTTCATAGATTTGCTCGCTCGATGGTGTCTGGGTCTTCAAGTTCACCGCAAACCCTGCATATTCTGCACGCGCGGAAACTTCGACCTTGTCCTCGCTCATTCCTGCTACAATCATGGGGATACCGTTGATGACGCCATGCATCATTCCGCCGTAGCCACCATTGCTGACGAATACGTCGCCATACTCCAATGCCGCGTCGTACGGAAGATAGTCAACGACTCGAACATTTGAGGGAATGTCCAAGTCGGAAGGCAGAGTAGCACCCTTTACTCCAAGAATAACAATCAAAAGTACATCAGACCTCTTGGCGAAAGCTTTGATCGCTGGTATTATCAGCTCGTTGTAATTGGTTGCAACGGTTCCTTGCGCAATAGGGATGATCTTCTTGCGGTCAGGTGACTCGGTTGGAAGCTTTGCATTCGCCTGAAGTTCTGGCCACCACGAAGGATACGAGAACTTGGGATCGATACCTCTCTTTGGGAGAGCACCGGCATATCGAATCGACGGATGCAGGTCTGACCTTGGGTACTCCAGGCTTGGGCTGCACAACTGGAATAATGTGTCAAACGATGTCACCCAAGCGTCGAACATGAAATCCGTTGGAACAGAAGTGCAAGCGACTTTTCTTAGTGTCTCGTGAAAGATGTTATTCAAGGTAGCAAATGGCCCGTTCCCATGCATTAGTTGATACAGGAGTTGGTTACGCGCGCGACCTGACTTGGTTGAGTCTGGAGGGAGACCCGGCCCGAACGGGCCAACGTCGATGCTGGAGACCACGAGCGGTACAACGTTGATGCTGATGACTTTGGGGAATTCGGTGTAGCCCTTCGGAAGGGGGGCGCCATACTTGAAAGGCAAGACACCCATTGTGACCGTCTCAGCCACGATCACGACGTCGCGAGAGGGGTCTCTCTCACGAACCATCTCCAGCAGTGATCGCAGGCTTGCAACCCTGGAGGGTATGGAGGCCATGAATATCCATTCCATGTCGTACATCATTCTTGGCATTCCAGCTGGGTACTTCTCTCGCTCCTCGAGAGTGCCTTCCGGCCAGAAAGGGCTAGTTTCGTAGTATTCTGCTCCGATCTTCTCAACGTTTTCTCTGAGGTCAGGTGCCGTCATGAATATAACCTCAAAGCCTCGATTGATCATTTCCCTGGCAATGTGAAGCGTGGGTGCAGTATGCCCCATAATAGGACCTGCCGACATGACCAGCAACGGTTTCTTCGTCACGTTGGTCATCTTGGGGACAATGATGTCTCGACCTTCTTGGTTGATTGTCATAGCTGCGACTTTGAGTAGGGGTTAGCAATGGCAAGGCTAGTAAGATAAGAGGCTATGCAATGTTTAGTGAGAGCATTCATCGATACTTATATGAAACCAACTGATTGATTGCCAGTCTCGCGCAGCCCAGTGCTTCGTGAAGGCGGCCGCTAGATGATGGATAATGTGGGTACCGCTCACTGGCTGCATATTTAACAATTCGGTTTCGTTACGCTTACTTTCATTGGATACAAGACGAGCAAGTTTGAAATCAGTCAAGGAGAGAGCCAATCAGTACATGGTGGAGGATTTCACTGAGAGGCTAAGCTCGGCCGGCCGGGTTCTCCAGCGCTAATCAACGTCATTTACCGCTCTTCTTGTGCATCTTTCTCCCAAAAAAGAAAGAAGGGTTATTGCTAATGGCGCCAGCAATGAAGGATCTTAGACCTTGTCATCTTCAAGTCGGTGGCTGTTGTGGTAGGCGCGTTAGTGCTGATGACAGGTTCAATAGCCTGTTAACCTGATCTGATGAATCACGCGAGTTATGTCCAACCAGCTGAACACAAATTCGAAGTTAATTTCCTGCATGCTCACGCCAGACGTGCGGCTGATGATAGCCTTATGGGCCAAATCTGGCGAGAGGGCTTAAAATCATCTCGGGCTATCCGGCTTACCAATCGCGAAGACAAATTCACAGGGCTTTGAAGATGGGGATTCTAATTTCCATACTCCCATCGTTCCCGAGATTATCATAACTTTGAACTATCCTATCAAGCCATTGCTCTCGTTCGCGGAAGTGGCACGAGGGAACACAATATGCGCGGCCACTTGCATTCGATGAAGCACGGTGACGAGCAATCTGGGCCGACTACAGAATGAAGTACGACTTCAGCAATCGTTACCATAGTAGCATGCGGCGACTCCCACTTGAATTGCGCCATCTTTATAGTGTAGCTACCCATAGCAGGCGAAATATGTGGTTAGTGGCGTTGGATGACGCCGCAGATTGTCCTTTGGATAGAGCCTAGAAGAGAGAAGGACGGGTGTCTTCAGTCCAACGTTTAATGCCAAGGCCGGATGGAGTCACAAAACTGTTGAAGTCCCAACTTCAACCAAACCCTAATTACGCATACCCTGGCTAGGTATAGTATAAGTTTGAGGAGCTTCACTTTACACCTCTAATGAAATTGTTTCAGCCTAACCTAGGAGCTCGATCAATTACTTCTTGCACATTTGGATGTGAATCTCATCGTTTTACCCCTAAGTAAATTGAACCTCCCGTCCGTGGTGGTCTCTACGCCTCGATGCTGTGGCTAATCGTTGCGTTTCATAGTTCCGAGCCAAGGAGGTCGTTCATTCTGTTCTATTTTTCAGCTTGAAGTAAAGGGTAACGCAAGTGTTCAACAGGTTCGACATACAACTCAATACATTGAACTCTGCACGAGTGAACTTTTCTTGGCATCAACTTCATCTCGCTCTGGTATACTATTTTTGGCTTTGGGGCTCTGCTAGTTGGATAGCAACACAGTAGAGCGCTGTAGCATGTGCAGAAACGTTTTGATGATACACTCTATCCATGATTACTTTATCAGTTTCGCGCTCTACAAGTCAACCCTTCTATTCCACTCCTAGTCTATGAGCCATTCTCTACACACCAGCCAGCAACCATGTACCGACTGAGCTGGACTGGAAGAACCGAATCTTGGGCCTTGGGGTGTATCGCAAAATGTTTTCCCGGCATTCTCACGGGGTCACCTGTGGAAGGAATGAATGGTTACGTTCGAGATATTAGAGATGAGTCTGGCCTATGATATGTATCTGCACTGAGGGATTGGAATGCCTCGTTTGAGTCTAAAATGGAGTATAGACTGTAGATCCTTGAATTCTTGGGGTTTAGAGAGACTTGGTAGGCAAGGCCACACCGCATCATCGAAAGACACGGTTTGGGGATCGAAAACGCTTCCAGAGCACCCTGAATAGAGCATTTCGAGTCGTGAGGGTAAAGTGAATTCGCTAGGGCAAATAAGTCCGTGTCGGCGTCGTTTGACGGCGATCACTCGCGGCATTATAACTCTGCTCTTCTGGTGGCGTTTGCCCCGTCGCTATCTTTTCGAGTTTTCACTTGATCTAGAGACTGACAGCGATCGCCGCACCTCCCCATCGAATTCTTGTCGTATCGACAAGCTTTTGCTGCTTCCCTTCATTTGACGACGACCGGGCTGCGACTTCACCTCCAGAGAAACTCGCTTGACTCACAGCTGCGGCTTCCCAGTACAAGACACGCACAGTCTCACCCAGCTCACGACACCGCAACAAGGGGACTGCAGATCTCCCTGACGCCCAGAGCTACGGTCATGTGCACTTTACGTCTTTTCCGATACCCCTGCGGTCACGTCGCGCGCGACGAAGAGTTTTGCAGAAACGCGCCCATCAGCTCTGACGGGCGAGTCTTGGGAATGTGCAAGCACGTCCGCACCGTATCTCGCGAATGGGATCATCCGGACGACCCATGCTCTCACGATGGTTGCCCGTGGTTCTACGAAGTCGACCGCAGATGGCAATGCTGCAAATGCAAGCACAAACCGAACCGGACGCCGTACTGTTCGGGGACCCGCCTGCTCAAGGGTGTCGTCCCGATCCACTGCAATCACATAGTCTGCCACGATTGTGCCGCTGCTCGTAAGTGCCCCTCGGTAACGTCCGATTTGGTATGGAATGCTGATCGATGCCTGACAGCTTGGCCGCGATGCCCGATCTACGATGCACAAGTGGGAGACTGGCGTTGATGGCGGTCTAAGTCAACTTGACACTAACCGTGAGGTCGTGGTGAGAGATGGGATACAGCGTAAACCTCTTGGACACTAGGTTAGATCTGGATCTAAGCCCCGATACATATCATGTCCCAGCATACTGTCAAGCCTGTTCAAGTGCGGGTGAAGGGTCTCTGTTGCAACGCCAGTAAGCATTCACTTCCGAGCTTTCACTACACCACAAAGACCCTCCCCTAACTTGCCGAAACAGTGAACAGGGGGTATCTTAGGAATATGAGTGCGCTGAAATTGGCGCAGCCAATATAGGTTATGGCCAGCATGATGAACTAAAAGAAGAAGCTGGGACATTCTTGTATGCTTTATGACTAGACACGTCAGCCAGAAAACGCGAAGGCACTCAGACAACTTTTCTACATTGGTTAGCTGCTGAGCTAACGTATTATACCTGGACAGTAAACACTTGTGATAGGTCATTAGTACATGGGCCCGAATCCAGACAACCATCTCCTGCCACGATACATGTAGCATTCTCAGCATCTAAAGGGGAAAGAACCAGACTTTTACCACCGGTAAAGGGGAAAAGTTGTCCTGTATTGGTCTCGCCCTCTGGTGAAGGCTGTCAGTAGGTCGAAACTCAAACTTTTGATGAGCCTTCAAGTGACACGTACCCCCTGCAGCGCGACCACCGCATGAAAATATTGTAACAGTATCCCCTGCAGAACGTCTGGAGTCATAGCTGACACAGCCTTGGGTCTGGCACACACAACATTATGAGCTATTTACTACATCACAGATCACAATGGGGTCACCTACCAGACTGCTCACAATCAAGATCTTACCTTGTGCGTTGTTGTGCTTGCCCGCGGTGATGATATCAAACTTCTCGTTGGGTGTTCCGCCACAAGCCACCAACGATACAGGGATGAGATTCTCTCGAAAGTCGCCGGCCGTTGGATCCACGAACAGGCATTTGCCGTTTGGAGCTAGAATCGACGCCGACGAGAAGGCTCGCGTAGCAGTATTGTCCCTCTGGTGCGCTTCTGCCGCTGCTGATGGCTGCAGAATTTCCCCAGCTCGGGAGACGGGAACAGCAGCAGTGGGCCTGGGAATCCCGCCGGCCGCGATCCCGGTGGCACTTCGAGTTGAAGAGGTAGTCGCTGTCATCATAGTCGAGGCCTCAGTGGCTTTCATTGTGGAAGCAGTACTCAGGCTGGCGGTTGTTAGATCCGGCTCCTCTGTATCACCCTCAGTGACCGCGCCGCCAAACGTGAAGGTTTGACTGGGGTCATCTGGTGAACAAGGCGCAATGGCGAGCACGTTCCCTTCTACAGTGAAACATGAGTCGGATTGATTTTCAGGCGAGAAAGTCATTGGACCAGAGTCACCATGGTAGGGGAACAGCTGTGAGTTTGTCACTTCGCCACCTACAGCAAGAGGTATCAGCTGGTGAATGCCTCACTCAACATGAAAACCAACTAACCACCATCAGCCCGGCCTCCACACGAGAAGAGAACGACTTGGTTGCCGGCAGCACGGCGCGGGTCAAAGTTGAAGCAAGCGCCAGTCTGGAGTATGGCATCAGTCGTGCACTTCGTATCAGCCGACAAATGTCCTTACCAGTGTGCTAACGATGAGCATGGAGTTTTCTGCGTTGTTATGCTTTCCCCTCGTGATGACATCCCACCGCTGACCGTCAACGGCAGCGCAGTCTGTGACTTGAATGGGAGTCAAGTTAGCTCGAAAGTCGCCTGACAGCTCGTCTATAAACAGACATCTTCCATCCGAAGTCTTATACATCCAAAGTCAGTGTTTTGAAACTCCAATGGAGAAGCTACCACATACTTTTATTGGGACGTTAGTAAAAGCTCTGGTGGCGGTATCATCTCGCTGCTGGGCCTCTTCAAAGAGAGCTTGATCCAGTTGGGCCACTGCGCGAGTTACATCAAGCGGAGCAGCAGAAGCACGCGCCAGGAGTAAAGCAAAGAGGGGTGAATAGTGAGCAAGCATCTTAGGCAACGATCTACATCTGCGACTTCGATCGTCCCAGTTGGATAAATGGCTGTCAAAAAGCTACTAATTAAGAATGTCAGAGCCTGCTCGACAGAAAAGAGACACGGATTTAGATTGAGCTGCCGTGTTGGCTGTCTGGATTGGAATAGAGGTTTTCTATATAGGAGACACATCGGTTGGTGGTTGCGGTCCCATGTTGACTAGACGCCTATTCTGGGCGCTTATCCACGCGAGAGGCTGAAGCTGAAGGGTTAAGGGGTTGCGCCTCATTGTGGTGAGAGGTTTCCAATCATTAGGACTGCAAGCAACATGCCACAAAGAAGCAATCGTCCAACCAAGCATTCAAGCGTAATTGGCACCGTTCGTAGCGCGTCTAATCTACTGCATAATATATCCCGGTGCAGGTCAAGAAATAGGTCTGTGGGCGGACCGATGAAACCATGCCCGTCTCGATTTGCGCAGGGGGTAGATGAGCGGCTCCATCTGCACAAATGAGACAGCGGTAGCTGGGGGCAGCTAGGGATCAACTCAGGCCTATGAATTCCCGCGAGGTAACCTGGAAACACACAGTGAAGAAAGCCAGAGAGCCCTTCTGACCTGCGCTGACGTTATCAAGTGAATAAGTCAGGTAATCATTTCAAAGATCGGTGGATGAACGATTGCGGCGTAATCATCGCGTACGGTTTTACACCTAGACAGTAACATCGGCCAAGGTCAAATCACATCGATCTGCCTCAGCATACAAGTTAGTTGATGAGCAAAAATTGTCATTTCAGAAAAAGAGTTCAGTGATTTAATGGGCTATGGTGTATTTCAAACCAACTACACGAAATCTTCCGTGAATGAGTGTTTAGTAAGCCACCTGGCTGCTCAACCCTTCTAATTCACGATCCCAATTGCGATGACTGGCAATCTGGAACCAGAACTTCTCCAAGAAGTTTGTACCCTCCTTGGCGATCTTGACGACTTCGGTGAAGTGATCGGGTTGGACTTGAGAAATAGTGACAACACCATACGACTCCACTGCCTCTCCGTCTTGTGAAATATTGATGTTTGGAAGACCAAAGGCAAGCTTGAAGAGCTGCACAGCTTCTCCACTTCCTCCGATGGCCTTGAGATGTCCAAATGCTTCTCGGAGCCAGTGCAGCGAGCGCCCGCTCTTTGACAAAGTCTGAATCGAATCCGCACCACCAGGAACGAAGAGCGCATCAAACATTGTCGAGCGCATGCCCTCAAAGTGGTGGTCGGCCTTCACGCCATTGCCCGGTGTCTTTCCTGCTCCGGCAGGGAAAATCTCGCTTCGCCGAGGCCCAATAACGAATGGTATTGCGCCGGATGCTGCCAGTGCACTCTTGACACCGTTGAAGGCAACTGGGTCATACCCATCGGCAATGAGGAGGGCAACACGCCGCGTGGCAATTGTTGGACTAGCTGGCGCAAATTCAGCCTGACTGATCTTTGTAGCCTTCTTTCCGTGGTTTGGCCTCGTCTCCTCCTCAGGGACAGGCCCTCCAACCATTTCAGCGACTTGCTGCGCCAGATCAAGATCAATGTCAGCCAAACGCGTCGACATTCGCTCGTACACGGTAGGATCATCGCAATGATCAAGCTCAAATGCAAAAGCAGCAATGAGATGTTGCCTCTCTGGGGGCGACAAGCTATTCAGGAACAGTTGTGCCTGGTTGAAGTGTTCCTTGAACTTGGCGCTCTTAGCTCGTGCCTTGATGGCTTGGAATTTCTCTGGGTACTCTGGGTAAGCGCCCTCCTCAGCCGTGGCAGGAGGTTGTATTCCGAATCGGTTAGGCCAGTAGTTAATCGTTCCCTTAGTGATACGATGTCTTCCTTGGCCGTCACGGTTAAAATTCATGACCGGACAGACAGGTCGGTTGATGGGGAGCTCTTGCCAATTGATGCCAAGTCGTGAAAGTTGTGTGTCGAAGTAGCTGAAGCTACGACCCTGAAGAAGAGGGTCATTCGAGTGTGCGATTCCAGGGATCATGTGAGCCGTGCAGAAGGCAACCTGCTCAGTCTGCGGGAAGTACTCGTCAACGTTCTTGTTAAGCTCCAACTCACCAATGTTTCTAACAGGAACCAGCTCCTCGGGCCAGATCTTGGTGGCATCAAGAATGTCGAAGTCGAAATCGTGCTCCTGTGACTCTGGAATGACCTGGATGCCGAAATCCCACTTCGGAAATGCGCCATTGTCAATAGCCTCTCCGAGGTCCTTGCGGTGGAAATCAGGATCTTGGCCAGCAAGTTTCAGTGCCTCGTCCCAGACGAGAGAGTGCACCCCCAGTTGCGGGGTGAAGTGGAATTTGCAGAAGTGGCGCTCGCCCTTCTTGTTGATGAGCACGAAAGTGTTGACTCCAAAGCCTTGCATCATACGGTATGAACGTGGTACTGCACGGTCTGACATTGCCCACATGTACATGTGAGTTGCCTTGCAACCGGTTAGCAATAGGATCTTGACGCTGCTTTGGATAGCGTGGACTTACCTCGGTATGGAGGTTGACAAAATCCCAAAAGTTATTATGAGCTGTGGTACCGTCAGTAGACACTCAAATATTGCAGGAAATTGGCTATATACCACTCTGGGCTTGCGGTACTTCGTTGTGAGGTTCCGGCTTGACGGCATGAACGAAGTCGGGGAACTTGATGGCATCCTGGATAAAGAATACCTGCATTGATATTAGTATCAGGTAACTGATCCCGTGGTTGTGAGGACTTGCCGGGATGTTGTTGCCAACAATGTCCCAGTTGCCTTCCTGGGTGTAAAACTTGACGGCAAACCCTCGCACATCGCGAACTGTGTCGGCACTTCCACGACTTCCTTGAACAGTCGAGAATCGCACAAACACAGGGGTTTCGCGGGAAGTATCGTTCAAGATAGGTGCCAAGGTGACATCTTCAGCGCTCTGCTTCAAACGGAAGGTCCCGAATGCGCCGGCGCCCCTGGCGTGGACGACACGTTCGGGAATCCGCTCGTGGTCGAAACGATGGATCTTTTCTCTAGCAAACGAATCCTCGAGGAGCTGGGGCCCAGTACTATCCTCGTTGACAATCTTGAGCCAGTCATCTGTGTTGCCCTGCTTCACGCCAAAGTCCGAGGTAATGCGGTCATCCTTTGTCGGAGTTGCAGCATCGTGCTCAAGCTGAGCAGCCTTGCTACCCTTTTCACCACTCATCATGTTCTGCACTTTCTTGATTGCTGAGGGAACAATCGTCGATGCCATTGAGGGTGCTGGATGTAAATGTGTGCGGGTTGACGATGTAAACCTCAAACTGCGGGACACGGAAGCGAGGGGTCATTGTTTATATGGACTTCGTGCCATTCAGAGTGTTCACGTTATCTAAGTAGGGCGGCAGATACAGTACGGGCGTCACGCAGCAATGATGTCAGTATACTGTCACGGGAAGCTGTCAAACGGGCTGGATTAGGGAAGCGTGCCTTGCCCCCCAGCCGCGTAATACTACGAAGACCGGGCTTCATCTCGAAACATCTGTGGACCAAAAACGCAGCGATAGGTCAGGCTGTCTGTTTCTTCGAACAATCCCAGCGATTGCTTCTAAAACATGATGCCTACATCTTGATCGAATTTACCATATGTCTGCAGATTTCGGGCCATTTGCTCCGCCATATGCCCCACCGCAACCCCTGGCTACGGTTCCTGCGAATGTCTAGCCGCATCCCCCAATAGCGCACGTCTTCTTCCCGTAGCTTCCACTGGATTGGGTCACTCACTACCTAGGTAGAGAGTGGGATGCGGTGGCGGCTTTCTTTGCAGATGCCGGGTTTATTGCCAATGGCCAATAGCAAGTAAGACTGCCTGGAATTTTGACGGGCACAACGTTTTGTGAGACTGATCGCGGTCCCCGGACCACCTCCGCACACGTGAAATGTTGATTGATGTAAACGTCATATGGCGGACTGCGCGGGGAGACGCATTCCCCCTGCAGCGGGCAGGCATGGCAGGCTAGGCGAAATGCACTAGGCTGAGAGTCTCAGGGGTGTATCAAACTCTATACTCACGCAACCGCCAACGGTTAGTGGCAAATAAGAGTTGGCGGGCAGCGTGCGTCGCATACTCGTCTTGCTCGTAGACTCTTGCAAGACCTTCCCACTTCGGCTACTGGACTAACTCCTTTTGTCGATCACGCATAAGCCATGGATGGAAGTCCGCTGCGCAAGAGTCGGACTGCGCACCTCATCGTGCTTCGCCCAGTCTAGTAACGCAAAGCATAACTGCACTCTCAAATAGGCATACCGCCGATTGTATAATTTGTATACATTTCCTCATTTCGACAGTGAAATCTAGGAGATCATTACCTTGCTGCAGGTTTAGAAATGTTGGGCACCTGTTGTACTCTGCTACGTGCCCGAGGCCCAAGCCGTGAGCAACGTCCAGGTGTGTACACGAAGGCTCCAGTGGGAAAGGCATTAGCCGATGGCTGCGTCCTCACAAAGTTGCAAGATAGCTTCCCCCGCTGTTGAAGTGATCATGCAGAATGAGAATGTGTATGAGCACTGAAGTCATTATGTGCTTCAGTTCAACTCGTAGGAAGCAGTTCTTCCGCGCGGGGGGCTCGTATATAGCAAAGACAATGTTTCTGGGTTAATTCCAGTCGATGGCATGCATTCTACAGGAGAGTGTAGTTGAGTCTTGAGGACTTCCAGGTTGCACAACAGCAAACTACCACGATCTGTGTGATCTTTCAGGCTCCAGTCAATCAAGCTGAGGATCAGCAGTCAGCAGGCGTGGCCAGGTCTAATCTATCCGACCCGTCGTGAGTGTCGCCGAAAGATATTGGATGTGGCATAGTCCGTCCCAGGAGAAACAACAGGACGGCGAGACGATCATAGTCCATCCAAGACTTACACGCCCACTGACTCGCTCAACATAGCCCATCATACAGCAACGGCAGGGTTAACTTGGCGTGCATAGGGTTGGAAGATGTTCCTATAGAACCGCTTGGGCCACCAGGCCAAGGGCTAGCCCAACCCGAGTCGAGTCTTCCGAAGACGCAGGGATCAGGGCCACGGGAATTCCGCTCCCCTCTATGGGTCCCTGACGGAAATTTTTCAATACGAGAGTCAGTTTCCCCCACCGCGCCCCGTTGGGCCAACATAGTATACCGTAAGCCTCCCCGTCCTCACAACAGCAGAACCATCTGTCCTGCCCGGTTGGATCATCACCAATCGGCCTGGTTAGCTCAATCGGTAGAGCGTGAGACTCTTAATCTCAAGGCTGCGGGTTCGACCCCCGCATCGGGCTCAATTCCCGATGCACCTCGGAATACTGAGGTATATCGATCTCTTTTTGCTGTGCTGCTGTGCGCCTTTCAGCGCAGACCCTTCTGGCTTTTTGCGCTAGCAAAAGTTTTCGGGGTGCTTTTTTTTGCCGAAGATTAGCCTTCCGCCGTGCCCCAGAACTATGCAAGTACGGTATAAGTTAGCAATTCACGAACTTAAAGGCCGACTGACGCTTTTCTCGCTGCGCTGCGTGTACACATCCTCTGTTGTTTGTCTTCTCTACGACAGCTCTGCTCCGATTTGTAGCATTGCGTTGGTATATTTGCAACCTTCTATGATGCCTAATGACCAGACGAACGATAGATACATTGTCTGCACATGTTCGGGTCCTCTTTGGCATGGGCGATTCCAATTACTTTATACTTTTGCATCAATTACGACATAGTGGCAGTCTATAGCCGAAAGGCTGAAGCAAGCAAGACATTCCTGGTGTTTTCAAAGTGGTTTCCAAGGATGTTACCTGCTACCCTTACACAGTAGGTGGGGTTTCTCTATCGAGACGACAAAAGATGCACTGTAAAGCAAAGTATTGATAGCATATCACAACCTGCTAATTCATGAAATTCTAACGCTGAGTGTATATTGGGAATCGGAATCGGTCTGTGGCTAACGCTCCTCGGTCTGGAAGGTGTAAGCCGTCGAATTGAAACTCATACTCATACTATCGTAATGCACCTCAATTCTTCTTGGTCAAGCTTAAACGGGCGATCAGGTGAGCGTTCGCCGACATTGTATTGTAACATCAATAGCCCTAATCTTCAACTGGAAGTCAGCTTGTCTGATACATACCTCGATATGCCATCAGTCGCGACGGCAGTATCAACTCGAAAGGGGTTGGGCGAGTCGCCAAAGAGAAATGTGATCCATGGCATGAATGCTCGTAGACATGGCGAGAAAGGAAAAACACACCTCTCGAATTTATCTGCAGCACTGGGGCTCTTGCCCAACACGAGAAACTCGTTCGAATGCTCGGATGGCGAGTTGCGCATTTGATAGAACCCAAGCCTCAGCAGCCAGCCTCGTGCCCCATCCTCGATAGGAGTTCGATGTGAGGAGTTGTAGTCACTACCAGCATTATCGTCGTCGTCGTGATTCGTTACCATTGCGTTACTCGACGCCGGTGCGGAGCTGGACAGTTGCGTGCGGCGTCTGCAGGCTACCACTACCTCTCGCATCTCCTCTTCAGAAGGAGCTTTGAAAGTTGCAAGCAGAGTGTCTGCTGGGAATGGATAGTACGTGCGCCTGTGTGCAATGCGGACGGAATAAAAGCCGTTGTGTCCATCTCCGACCAATGTCACGGGCGTTAATGGACCACGGATAGTCATCTCCCCACTTCGGACGGTGCCAAGTTGATTATGGCCTTGAACGTCCGTCGTCCACGATAAAACTTGGGAAATCTCCCTGTATGGGTGTGCGCCGTTCATGTAGCATCGATAGTCAATCTCACCGACGACAGACGCCCAGGAATATGAGGGCGCGAGGTATCCGGGCTGAGCTCCGATTTCCCCGACCCTTTCCCAGAGCAGGTCTTCCGCGATGTTTTCGCTCCACAAGCCGGCAACATACTTGGATCCGGTCCGCTCCTGTATGACTTGCGCGACACCTGATATCGCCGGCAGTCGGTCCACGCTGTGACTCAATGTCCGAATGGAATAGTCTTCAACCACCTTGTGCCAAAATAAAAACGCATCAGATGCATTCTCTATGCCTGAGAGCGACTTGCCTCCAAACAAACGCCGATGATTCAAGGGTGACGTACACTCGCAAGATTGCCGCTCCTGGCAAGACCACTGAATTTCAGAGGATGTTAGCATCAACAGCCTGGGTGATAAAAGCTGTTCTTGGAGAGTCCATCCCCGCTGCGACCACGGGTCGCGGGGGTAAAGTTGTCGTTCATAGTACCAGTGTGTCCATTTCGAATGGATTCCCACTTCCGGAATCACCCGGGCTCTGAGTTCGGTGACTTGCCCATTCAAAGTCATGCGCTTCACAAATAAACTACTCTGCAGAGCCGCGGGGTTGTTGTCTCTCCTTTGGGGTTTGCTCAGGAAGCTCTCTGATGTGGACGCGGACATGGCAGCGGCAATGGTTAGAAACGCTTGCGCGTAGGTTAGGGACATCTTTGAAGACTCCCTTTCCCAGTCCTCCCGATCATCTTGAATGATACACAAAGCATCGATCCATACAAAGCGTGTCCCTAGTCTCCGCGATAGCATGATACATTCCCGGAAAACCAGTGGCAGGTCCGAAATTGCGAGGCCAGACTCAAAAGATCGTACATTTTCTCGTGTAGTCTTGACTATGGCACCATCTTTGCCCCAACAATAAGTCAACGCAATATAAGGTTCAAAGGGCTTCCCCTCGGTACTTATCAGATTTATCCTGCTATCCCCTGATGTTCCGACATCGAGCACTCGAGTGGGCAGTGTCGAGCCACGTGATCTGCACAAAATGTGACTATTCAGGCATGACTGAAGACGTGACTTGATAAAACCAAGAGCATCAGATGAGTCGCGATCACTGAAGAGTTCGCGAAGGACTGGTACTACGTTCCAGCAAGGCTCAAACCCTGTACACATTAGTGACAGTACACAAGAACTCAATGGCCACGAATGCGGATACCTGACGGGGTATAAAGCTGTACCGTCTTGACGAGACCACCTTCTTCAATGACCAGTTCTGGAATGCCTGATCTGGTCGAAAGACGCACTCGCAACCACTTGCCATCCAAGTCGGCATCCTCATCCTCATTCGAAGTGAAGAAAAGGCAAATCTCCTTCAGCACGGAGCAAATAGCACACCTCTCCCTGCCGCTCTGCTCAAACTCCAATAAACTCCGCCGACTAAGCTGAAAGTAGCTCTCGTCCTCCTCATCTTCCATCGAGTCCTCGTCAGCGTCGGAGAGAAACTGCGATAAATCCAGGCTGCCGCATAGTTGGCAGACACCACCCCGAACATGATCGTGGTCGGGGTGGCCAGCCACCGGCAGGATTTGCAAAACCATACTTTTTCCGGGTATGGCTTCCAATGCCGGAACACTGGTATCGATCCTCGAATGAAGAAGCACTAGTGTCTGGGCTTGATCTGACGTGAAGTGGTGTGCTGAGCTCAGTCTGTTGGCTTCGAGTGCGAAGAGCCCCTCAATTTTTGCCCAGCTCTAGCTGAGACAAATGCGCTTGGTACCCCGACAATAGCAGCCTCGTACGTGATTGGCGCTTATGGCATGCAACCTACAAAGCATAATTTCATATATCGACCTGTCAAGCCTGCATCCGCAAAACATCTACATATTGCGCAAGAGCAGGAGTGGACATGATCACGATTATTTCGATTTGGTGTGCAAATCGAAGGGACTCTAGAGTCAGTGTGGCAAAATTGACTGGCAAGAAGGGTCCCGAGAGCGACCAATTCCAGCAAATTAACTTGACTTCACCTTTCGATATTGATGCAGCGACACAACTACCTTGGACGAGCAACAGTGATAGCTACGAATCCAACATTCTCGGCCACCACTGGAGGACTTTGCTGCAATGGTACTTTTGATACACCAACTCCGCATTTAGGTGCACCACTACTCTAAGGTAAGGTTGCACGAGGAAACACCGATTTGGCGCAATATAAGAAATGGGGAACCCAACAAGAAAGCCAGTATCGAACCAGCAAAGTAGTACACAGCTGACCACAATCTCTCATGTCCGCACGATGCATCATTTACAAGATATATCTACCAACCTATTGGTTCGTGTTCAGTAAACATTACTGCTTGTAATCAAAATCTGCAGGTCGGATTTGGTGCCAAGCTCGCCTATCGTGCAGATCGATCCTTAAGTAATGATCATCGCGCTTAGCGACTGCGCTGGCGAGCGTGTGCTGGTTACGCTGGTGGCAGTCTGCAGTGCCTAGGTATTGTGTAGCGGCACGTGGGGGTCTCTTGCATACCAACAAGCAGAATTATGCTACAGGACAAGACTGCCTTGACTGCGTGAAGCCAGGGCGGTACGTCCGAGTCTTGGCAGTTAATGAACTGCATTGCCCGAGAACACGCCTATTGCTCTCTCCTTAAAGCCCACCAGAGCGCTCCTACAGGGCAGGAAAACCGTGGTAGGCGTCAACCTGGAGCTTCTGTGATAGGCCGGGCCCTACTTTCAGCAACTTTAACCTCCGTGCTGTCACTGGACCGAAAACGCCCTAGCGTCGCCATTGACGTCTACACTAAAACGACTCGGCGTGGAAAGGGGTCTTGCTGTTAGCTCAAGCAAGTACCGAATCTACAAACACCAGAGGCAGTTGGCCTTGCTAGCTAAATTCTACGGTCTTGGTCAAGCAGAATTTCTCTGGGATTATATCCATACTATTGGTACTCTTCGTCGCAACCGCCAGCACGTGTCACCAAGCTATCGAGCTATCCATCTGCGATGCGGTGGGGCGCCTGGATAAGATGTAGTCAAGACTCCATACCCAGGGAACTGGTTCTCAAATGGTGCGTTATGCTGTATTGAGCAGTGATCGAAGATCCTCGCTGATCAGTGGGCCGCGGATCTGAACCCGGAGAATATTCGTGAAGGATGGCACGCACCTACAGACTGTGACGCCTTTGAGAAAAGGCCAACCCTACTCCCTTCTGCCAGTCACGCCAACTGGGTATGGGTTATGGATTTGCCTCGAAGCTAGATGCTGTCTGCATTGAGAGCTGATCAAACAGCCGTTGTACGGTTCCGATTGAGCGTGAATGAGTGGCACGAAATGTCATGCCGAACCCTTCTTTTTTCTTTTTCTCTGACTTCTAGCAGTTCAGAGAGAATCTCAAGCCAACAGCCAAGCCACCGGGACGAACCCCGGATTATGTTATTGGCAATAGCTTCTTGATCGACGTTCCAGATCGACGTCACAACTTACCTATCCTGGGCTGGGATAGAGACTGGGTCACATACGGTAGATGAAAAGCAAGAACCATCCACAATACTGGTTTCCCTGTCTCGTTCTGTGCTTTCCTGCCTTTAAAGTCGGCCAGTACGCTCAAGATTGGAAGTGTCTCACTGTTCTTCCGTCATGAGCCAGCGTGATCTTTGAAGTTCTAGACGTTCGTGTTTTGTGTCACTCCTTTTATCACCATGGACGTCTATTCGTTTCCGCCGCAGCCAGCCAACTTCGATGCTGTGGGCAAATTTTTCATTGCCTTCTGCGCAACATGGACGACCCTTGTTTTTGCTGGCATAGGGGTCCTATGCGTATTCCACTACGAACCGATTATCAAGATCCGGTGCCTTCCTCTGTCGCTTGCTAGTATACTCATGCTGCACGCGTATTGGGTTCTCGCGCAGGTTGTGTATCCAGTTGGCATGACCATGCCCCTGCCCCTCGCGTATTCCATTCAATATTTCTTCATGGGCATCTGGTTTCCTTTGGGTATCGCCCTATTCCACGCTTCCAACAGTCGTTTCTTGCACATTGCAAAGCTGCAGAAGCAGTTCACCCATCCCGCGCTCCGAGCCAGAGCGGGCTGCAATGGAGCTTCGACATCCTGGCTCTGCCGCTTCCGTAACCTGTCTTATCCCACCCGTATCTTGATATACATCGGGATTGGCATGGTAGTCCAAGTACGACATCTCCCGGATTATAGCACACAGACAACGGCACTAACATGAGAGCTAGGTTCTCCTTACCGTTGGCATGTGGCTTGCGTGCCTCAAGTATCACCCCACATTCGGTATTCCGGGTACTGGCCTTAGCGGTCCGTTCCAGCAACAACTGGTTGAACTTGGTCGTGGGTGGGAGTGGTGGCCTTCCGTTCTGTGGCAGGTTATCTGGACATGGATCGTAAGAGTCCCTGGATGCTGTTGTAGCCCGGTCTAGATGTGCATGACTAACCACATCCACCAGGTTGCACCAATTCTTATATACAAATCCTGGAATCTCCGGGACACTTTTGGCTGGCGTCTTCAGACCATCGGGTGCTGCATTTCGAGGTTAGTCGGCTATCAATCATGGACGGTCAGCTCTTTTACTCACCAATGCTTATTAGTCTCCATGCCACACCAATGTTCCTGATCGCTTCGTACTCCCCAGCATTTTCGGCCATCAATGCGTACTACCCCCCAAGTCAATGGTAAGTGGTTCGGATTTCGTCCAGCGGTGAGACAGGATATACATTTATTCTGACGCGTGCCAGGATCCACCTCTCTGTCTTCGTGTTTGAGATCTTTACGGTTTTCGTTCCTTGCTGGCAGGTTTTCAAAGTTCGACGCTTGCGCCAGAGGGCCATCTTGTCGAACGCCAAGTGGGACACTGTATCACAGGCAACGACGCTGACGACATCGACCTCGCCGGACTGGAGATCGGTATCCCGTGCTGAAAAGGGCCAAATCGACGAGGTCGCCGAGGAAGTCGGCAGCGACCGGTTGTTGACGATGGGGGCCCTCGACCATGTGCTCAACGACAACCCCCAGCCGCTGCAGGAGTTCTCCGCCCTGCGAGACTTTTCGGGAGAGAACATTGCTTTCCTAACCCGTGCTATGAGATGGAAAGCATCGTGGCCTTCAAAGCTCGATGAGGACGAGACACGTGATCTGTTCACCCGTGCTCTGGAGATCTACACGGACTTTGTGAGCCCACGGGACGCCGAGTTCCCCATCAACGTTTCATCAAATGACTTGAAGAACCTCGAGTCCGTCTTCGAGACACCAGCTCGCATCATGTGCGGCGAAGCACGCTCCAACACGGCCGTTCCATTTGACACTGACGAGCACCCTCTCCGTAACGTTTCGTCGTCGGAGGGTGAATCGCAACCAGGCAGGATGGAGCTTGGGGATGTTTCTGGCAGAATTCAGTTCACGGGACATATCTCCAGTGACTTCAGTGTTGACGTGTTTGACAACGCTGTCCAGAGCATCAAGTACCTGGTGTTGACGAATACCTGGCCCAAGTATGTCGAGTCCCAACGACGCCGGTCAGCAGAGAGTGTGCGCACACAGAGTACTGCATATACGGCCATTTCGCACTCCACACTTGTCACCAAAGTGTCGAGCATCATTAAATCGATTCTCTGAAGGTGTTTGCGCTTGTCTTGCTGGAGCGTGGGAGGAGTCACATCCTACATGATGTGCTCCTCGCCACAGGAGACAGATGAAGCCCGCGCCGCTTACGATTCTAGTAAGCAGATATCGCTAGCCGCCATCCACTTTCAGCACTTTCCAATCATGGAAACGAAGGAGCTGTAAACCAATTTGCAATCTTGGCAGACGAGAGTGGCGTTCTGCCACGAGGTCTCGTCATTTCCTAGCTTACTTCGGCCAGGTCAAGATAATTTTGGGATGGAAAGCCCGTGAAGGGGGCTCGGAGTGGTGGGCATAAGTTGGATGACTGAATGAAGATGGTCGAATAACGACCATTAAGTAATGTATATATACATACTTCTAATTGATGCCCTGTGGAGTCTGGGCCATGTCACGAAATGATACTTGTTCAAGTTCCAAAGTTCACGGAAGCGCTCAGTTGCTGAAATTCCCTGTTCTATAGCGAGCTGAGAGAATAGCAAGGGACAGTGTATCTATATAATGGTTGAAGAAACAGCTTCTCAGCGAAGCTGGCGTTCATTCCATACATCGAGGGGACGCTGACTGCAAAGATTTGGTGAAGCAAGTCTCAGGGACTGTAGAACAGCAATGGTGCCAGGAATATAACTTCTTGTTCGTCCTTCGCTCTCTTTTCTTGGCAGAATCCTCACGACCTACGTTGTCATGCGACTTCAGCTGTCCTCGAATCCGGGACCTCTTCCAGACATATCTTATCATGGTCAGGGTATCATTACTGGCGGGCAACCTGATGAAATTACGTTTGTTTGTTGTAGACAGTTACTGGCGATCGTCCTAACACAGCTGTCACACGTTGCGTTGGCCGCTCAGCTCCTTTGGAGAATAGTTGGATGGGGTTCATGAGCAGAGAGCATATGCTTGGTCATCTGTCGAGCGTTGCGCCCGGTGTGACTGACTGGGAAGACGAAAGCCGTGGGCAGAGGCTTCATGACAAACAGCAAGCAGGTCACAAAAATTTCGCCGTGAAGGACTTCCCTGTCGTCCAGGCCAAGGTGTTCCCCCCTTTTGGCCCTTCAATGAAGGAATGGCGGCCTGGACCCCACGGGAGACAGAACCGAAAGCGCTGAGTGGGGACGCAGACGCCCAGGCGGGCTAGGGTGGCTGTCGTTCAGGGGGCCGGGGGGGGGGGGGGGGGGGGGGTGACCCAGCCGCAGGAGCGCAGGCGTGCAGGCCCTGCAAACGTGCAGAGACGTCATGCGGGCCTGGGGCCAGCTAGGCTCTGCTGAGTTTAGGGGCCAGACCCAGGCGTGACAAATCCCACACTGACGGGTCCGGGAATGGCCAATGTGCAACCAGCCGCGGCATGTCTCGTGAGCCCACAGGCCCAGCAGATCGGGTCGGTTGATCGACATGGTGACAGATTGTTGTGCATGAACATTGGAATTTGGGGCGGAAAGACCAACGAGGACCCACGCCTGTGCAAAAAGGCCAACGAGTAGGCAAGGTAGGCCATCTCGAGCCACACACGGGGAACTCTGGTGAACCAAGGCACGGCGAGTGAGCTCGGGAGTTCTAACTTGTAGGTTATGAGTTTCGGGCGAGCACCCGGGCGAGCAGGCGACCTCACCGGAGATGGATGACTCCTGAGTCCTAACGTACCCTGGCCGACACGGACGAACCCCCTGCCCTGCCCCTCCATCTCACATGGTTGCTGCATGCATGGAGATGTCCTCTCAGCTTGCACTCTGACATGGGACAAGGTTGTTATATGTGTGTCTAGTATATGGACTCATGGGTGTATGGGTGCATGTAAGGATGTGGGTAGCTGGATACACTATTGAAAACCCCCAGGCTTACCATGTACGTATTTCTGTATGTACGAATCTAACGTCGAAATCATCTCGGGGACAAAAGAAGTGGTGCTGCACTGGGATTCCTGCCCCCAACTTTCCTGTCGTGGATAGCCTCGCCTCGCCTCGCGCCGACTCGACTGCTGGAATGCGCCCGTCATCCCTCCTCTCCTCCACCCCCCTTAATCGTCTCGTATGGGGTCCAGTCGTCGCCGCAGGCACGGAAATAGCAGTCAATACTGCCGCTGATAGCTCGCTCCGCTTCTATTTTTAAGCAGACAAAGCGCCGGCTGGCACACCGCGACCCCCTCGGCCAATCCTTCTCACCATCCTACTACTACTACTACACCACCACTATTACATAGTGCTCGCCCTCTCGACGGCACCTGCGACCACGTACCGCTCCGCTGGGACAGACTAGAACACGTCCAGTCTTGCTGGGATCCGTCCCATCGGTCTCTGGCGATTGGGCACGCACATGCAAGTCGGGCGTCATACTGCCCACGCTCTTCTGTCCACCCGCTCCCTCCCTCCGTCCCACCACTACCACCTACTGTCCACTGCCTACCAACTACGACCTACCACCTGCGGGCGTACATACCTGCCAGCCAGGCTGCCCATTGCGACCACCACGATACGACGTTCTTGTCCGTGTCCTGGTCCTGGTCCTTGTCTCCGGGGTCTCCTTTCCACATCCACTCCCACCAGGGCGTTTTCCACCCGGTGCTGCCCGCTGCCGGTGAGACGCCCGACCACCATGACCATGGACCACAAGAGTTTCTCGGCGCGCTTCCGACGCAACCACAGAAAAACCAACGCCTCGCCGCCCTCGGCACACTCGCCAGTCGCTGTCACCACCGACGGCAGCGACTCTGCCGCCCACCCGCCGCCCGCACACGCGCCCCCAGTCCTCACCATCACCACCACGGCCGCCGCCACGCCGCCGCGCTCCAGTCACAGCGACCACAGCATCTTCCACCCGCCCAAGTCGCCCTTTCGCAACTTCCACTTCCGCTCTTCGCTCAAGCGCGCCCGCTCGCCCGCCCCCGCCGAGCTCCCGCACCCGACCTCGCCTGCTGTCGTCAACCAGGATGGTACCGTCGAGCACGACATGACGTCGCCCGACAAGAGTCCCGCCTCTGCGCGGACCCGTGCCAATGGCGGGGAACACGGGATCCAAGGGGATGCAGAGACCGGGTCACTGCGCCAGCAGCAGCAGGAGCCGCAGCAGCCCAAGATCCCCGCATTCCTGACCATGTCCGAGCAGGGTACGTATGTTTGCTTTCCTTGTGCTCATCTGCGCCCTAGCCATGTGTCGAACCGTCGGCTCGGGCCTTCTCCCATATGCTTACTGATCTGGTTCCGCGTGTCACAGACATCCTCGCAAAGTACACCGAGATCACATGGAACGAACGCAACCGCTTGTTCCGCGCCGTCACGAATACGTCGCCGACCTTCAAGTTTGCTCGCGTAGACTCGGCCTTCCGAGAGCTCGACCGCTACGGCAACATCCAGCCCTACAACAATAATCGTGTCAAGCTGCGCGTCCCGGACGGCAACCCCGACTACATCAATGCCTCGCCCATCGCCCTGGACTCCCCCCTCAACCCCGACGGACGCCCGCCGCACAAGTACATCGCCATGCAGGGGCCGACCGAGAGGACGTCGGAGCACGTGTGGCGCATGGTCTCGGAGCAGCTGGCTAGCCCGGCTGTCATGGTCATGCTGACCGAGACCCATGAGAACAACATGGAAAAATGTTACCCTTATTACCCGGACGCCGTGGACGAGACCCTCGAGGTCGGCGAGGACGACGAGTTCCAGGACGGGTTCCGCGCCCAGGTCAAGTGTGCCGAGATAGAACAGAAGGCCGACGGCGCCATCGAGATGCGCAAGCTGACGGTCCACGTCGACGGCCGTGACGACGACATGGAGGTCTGGCACCTCCTGTACAAGAAGTGGCCCGACTTTGGCGTGCCCGCGCTGGGCGATATTGACTCCTTCTTCGAGTTGATGCGGCTTTCCCGCGAGAAGAATGCCAGCGACGACAACCCCCGTATTGTCCACTGCTCCGCTGGTGTCGGCCGCAGCGGGACTTTCATCGCCCTGGAGCACTTGATGCGCGAGATCGACTCGGGCGACCTGGAGCGGTACGACGAGGCCCGGGGCGCCGATGCCTCGGATCTGGTGTTTGACACGGTCAACGAGCTGCGAGAGCAGCGCAAGATGATGGTCCAGGCCGAACCGCAGTATATCTTCATCTACCAGGTGCTGCGGAAACAGTGGCTGGACAAGTATGGCGATGCGGATGGCGTAGGAGGCGAGCCGGCGGCGAAACGGCTCGAGGTCGGCCATGATCCTTTCGTCGAGGACAACTAGGAGGCGGTCTCGAGCAGGGACAGAAGCCCTTCGCCATTCACACTCGCCTGTCTCCTGGACCAGAACGCCAACATCATGACGCCAGCACGGCGTCCGCCTCGGCGACACAAGGTTCCAAGGGAGCAGACTTTTTGAATTACCGACCGATTCCCCCCGCCTGAGGGTGGCCCGGTCTACCAGGATAAAGCATTATTTCAGCATGTGCACAGTAGGAGGTTCTGCACGCGGCATCGGATCACGAGGGGAGAGCATCAGAGAGCATCAGCAACACGGCAACCGGGTGGGGGTTTTTCAGGGGAGTAGAGACAGAATTGGAACAAGGCACTGAATACGCATTGCATGAAAGGGTTTTGCATCGGGCCGACTGAAGGGATATTGTACATAAGGGTGGCGTTCTTTCCTCGTCATTTTCTCTCTTTTCAGGGAATCATCAGCATAGCAAAGGTGGTGTTGGTATTGTGTATTCACCAAATGCTGGGACAGGCAACGGATCATTTGAGATACCCACTACGTTCTATAGAGTCTAGACAGAGCCGTGGGGCCTGAACAAAACATGTATTTTTGTTTTCCGTATAATCATGACTGGTATTGCACTGGGTTTTCAGACAAACACCTCTTCTGCACTGCACGGAGATAAACCTGGGGCTGGGAGTGGATAGAGCGTTGCCTTTGGCATTGGCCCTATTTGCAGGCATCGTCATCCATCTGAGATGACTTTAGAGACGGGTGTAGCTATCAAACATTCTATACACCACAGATCAACATCGAGCTGGCCGAGCCAGTCCAAGGCCGGCTACTGCAGGCTTTTCTTCAACCTAGACTATGTTTCCTATTTCATTCTCATCGTGTGTCTGCAATTTGGCATCTTCATCTTGAGCCGATGTGCAATCACTCTTCCAGGCTAGGGGTGTGAAGCATTCACTCGCTTACCACTGAGCGTATGCATCCTAAACGAGAAGGCAGCACTACATACCTGATGCGTAGCTGTAGTGCATACTCCGTACATTAGTTACAGTAGGGCTGCATCTGGAGCTCGCTACCCCGCGGTGCCATGCAGCCGGAACCCTCGGTACATCTCGCTAATTGCTGGCACGGTTACGGATACATTCCGCATCATGATTGTCTTCAGAGCTGTCCTTACTACCCCACACAATGCTAAGTGGCGACATCATCATTATCACCACCACTACTCAAAGTTTGCTTATTAATAGAGGATTACGAACTCAGGTGAAAGGGTGCCGGCCGAACAGTATTCTGGGTGATATCCAATAAACGAGACGACTCTTGTTAGTATCAAAGTTTTGGAATGTCCAGATCCCGTGGTTTGCTTGTTGCTTACAAGCTGATGTATTTATAAGCCCCTGAACAAGTTGCTTCCCTCGGGTCTGCTACAGTCACGTTTATACTCATACTCTCACTCACTATTGCTTATCGAAAGCTTCCGAAGAGTATACATTCAAAGACCTCATAAGGCCATGGCGTCTCCCTTCACTAAATCCGATCTTCTGGAACTAGGGCGGAAACTCATCGCGGACGGGCCAGTCAAGACGCTCAGAACACCAAAGCGCATCCGAATCCTCTTCAACGGGACCTACGTTGCCGATACTACCTCAGCACTCTATGTTTGGGAACATCCCTTCTACCCCTACTACTATGTGCCACTGTCGTCCTTCGTCCGGGGCGTGTTGCATGACAATCGGGACGAGGGACCCCTGAGCATCATGGGGTTGCACGTCGGGGGCAGGTCGACGGACCGCGTGCTGGCGTTCAGCGACCAGGGCGGCGGCCACGTCCCGGAGGAGCTGAGGGGCATGGTCCGCGTCGAGTTCGCGGCCGCCGACGCCTGGTTCGAGGAGGACGAGCGCATCTACGTGCACCCCAAGGACCCGTTCCGGCGCGTCGACATCGTGCACTCGGCGCGGCCCGTCCGGGTCCTCGTCGACGGCGTCCAGGTCGCGCGCTCGTCGTCCTCGCTGCACCTCTACGAGACCGGGCTGCCGGTGCGGTACTACCTGCCGCCGACGTCTGTCGACCGGTCCGTGCTGAGGGACAGCCAGACGACGACACAATGTCCTTACAAGGGAGTTGCGGAGTATTACGATATCGTATTGGGGAAGGACGGGGCTAGAGGGGAGGAGAAGGCACACAAAGACTTGGTATGGTATTATCGAAACCCGACGCATGAGAGTGCTCAGGTCGCCGGCGCACTGTGCTTCTACAATGAGAAGGTCGACATCGAGCTGGACGGCCACATGCTAGAGAGGCCAAAGACCCATTTTGCGTGAAGACCTCCTGGGATCATAATTCTGTAGGGAGGACTCTGGAGTTGGCGAGGTGGCTGGACAAGCAAAACCATTACAGCCTGAATAACTGCTTCTTTGAATTAACCTCCTGGGAGCGACACCGCTGTGCCAACGAGAGGCTTGATCTATAATACGGTTGCTGCCGCACTGGCACAAATGCTGCACCCCATACGATTAAGGCCATTTTCTCTGAGGTGTATAGACAGTATCAAGGAACCTGTAGCACACAGTTCTTCGCTACTGGGGGACGCATTGCCTGAGTTCCGCCTGTTGCACATTACAACCCACTGGAGTAGCACAATAGACATGATCCCAGGTCCATATCCCGTCACCGGTGCCTTGCACCAGGTAAGTATCGTAACTGAGCATTTTCTGCCTGAGTATCAACTAACCCGCCAAACGTACACGGCAAACTTGGTTACGATAGTACTCGGCCCTTGGCAAAAACAATGTGCTTGTTTTCGATCTAAAATCTGCCACAAACATTGTTCGTATACTTACCTGGGTACTGTGTCCAGCTTGATTATAGAGCTCGCTGTCAGCAGTTATTTTGCTTCCGCATCGACTCTAATTAGGGGTGGTGCTTTCAACGAACTCAATTTGCCAACATATGACTTCCATGCTTCTGATAATGCTGTGCCTCGAGTGGACTACAGCATTTACTTCACCTTATAGAGGCCAATAATAGAATCCAGATGGAGCAGAATTGGGTAGTCGGCTCGCAGCCATGGAGCAGACGCGAACGGAGCTTTGTGTGACGTGGTACCCCTGGGCCAAGAGAAAGAAGGTAGCTACAGGTTGAGAATACTAACATACGTGCTCCCAAACTAACGGCCGAGAAGATGGGATGAACCGGCAATCTGTCTATCTGATGTCAAGTTGAAAGGCGGCTTATGACTTCGAACCCTGGGGAACGTGTGGAGAAGCGGGCTGGTATGCCGAACCGGCTGAGTTCATCGGCTCCTTGTGCGATGGTTTCTACACACCAACTTCTAAAGCCGGGTGGTGGCTTGCGCCAGTCAGAGCAGATGCAACTGTGAGACCATTGAGACTTCTGTAAGCTTGATAATGCCTTTGTCATTGTCTGTGCGTGGCATCGAAAAGTTTGGGACCAGAGCTGTTGGTCCTAAGCTGCATATCACCATCACCAACGGCTTTCTGGGGGCCTAGGCCAGTCGCAGATTGAGGGTACCATCTCCGACCAACTTAGGCAGTTTGACTGGGCACCATCTGCCAGACCCTGGACAAATCCTCAGTGGCCCTCCGTTATAGCACTCGACGAGAATCCAAATACGATGATGGCGTCGCCATGGCTCGGAATGCAAAATTGAATGGTCCCAGAGGAAAACCGAACGGCCTGATGTGCCCAGAGCCGGAAAGTCATTGCTACACAGAATCCGTCATTGTGTACCGATTCGGACGCATGGTCGCATCGTTTCCCGTTGCAGCACGTGCCTGTCGTATAATGCGTGCAGCGTGATCTCCAGAATTGCCCCCAAACAGGCCAATGTACCCCGGATGCTGCCTGAGCGTCGGGCACTGCTCCAAAATGGATAGCACACCTTGAGACAGCCCAAACGAGGAAACGCACTGACGATAAATGAGGAAGGATGCCGGGACACTCCGCCCGCTGGAACCTTTCTAGACGTTCTGGTCGCGGATTCCACCTCGAAAGCGCGGCCGAATTCGACCCGTTGCAGTGCCGGGGTAGACAAGCTTCGTCTGCATCCCTGACAGCCACGCGAGACACTCGAGCGCAAGGCCCACTGACAAACCCGCTCTGCTTCCCAAGCTTCCATATTGGACCAGGGATCCACTGGAACCCCCAGACTCCGAAATGACAAGATGATGAAAGTGATTGATCAGCTTTTCTAGAGATGCAGCGCGGAAATGATGATACTTGTCAATTCCGTCAATGCCTCACGTGGATAGTTGATTGACGAGGATCAGGACTCTGCTTCAAGCAAACCTTCGTAACCCCGGCCAGCCGGCGACTTGGTTCGGTGGACCCTTGCCAGCCCGGTTTCATGAGAACCCTTGCCGCCAGCGAAATCCTCAGAGCTCACGATGCGTTCGCTGACTGATTTGAACGGCCGCAACGTATGTAGCCTCGGGCTGCAGCAGAGCGCCGGACGAAAGGTTTTCAGCGGTAGGCGCCACCACAAGTAGCTGATGAGGGGACTAGACGGCAAGACACGGCGAGCTCGCTGTACCAATGGTCCCTCCTGGGTGGTCAGCCAGGCCGGCCTGCAAGCTTACAAGCCGGTGCTCATATCATGGCGCTCCGCCGGATGAGGTGACAGTTTGCCGCGAGCCCGGCCGCTATCAGATCTGGTCAAATGCTCCGTTCCTGTGCATCCGCGGACGAGCTAAGTAGTGACTCGATGCATGTCAGCAGTGAGCCTGCAGAGACATGGTTGTTTGGCTCATAAACCGGTGTGCCCCAGGCGCCGGACGGCGGCTCATGGCTAACGGCACCTACGAAGTCGCCGTCGCTGTAAGTATGTATGTGGAAGCCTTATCGGGAGGGACTTTCGGCCGCTGGCGGTGAGAGACTGAAGATGCGCACTCGTGAGCTGCAACACGTCGGCCGATGCTGACAGCCCCTGTACATGCTGACGATGCACGACGCAACCATATTATATCGGGGGTGGTCTTGTCTTGGAGGCCGGTACCATGTCCCAGGGCTGCTGGAGGTGGAAAATTCCATCGCTGGGTAGCGCGGTGGTGGGGTGGTGGTCGGCAAGTGGGAAAGAGGATTACACAGAACGAATACCTAGCATTTGTCTAGTCTGAACCTTGGCTTGGGGATTGAGTACGTCGCTGTCTCGCTTGCGGTTCTCATGTGTCCAATATGGCAACTATGACATCAAAAGCAGCCATGGCTTTCAGCGCCTCTTTACCAGTTTGCCAGCCACTGGGCGGGTTCACGGTGATCGAGATCCTATCCCAGCAGATGCGGTTGCATGAACAGTCCGCTTCCGGGGGAGGACGCATCCATCCGCGAAGTCGGAAGCCGATGGCAGGGCGGATGAACATGATAAACCTCCAACCCCTGCTCAGTCATCGCGGATTAGCATTACGGCCCTGTCTGATTGCAATACAACAACATTATCCAAGCTGTCAGTCAGGCCGCCTCTCATGGCCTGGACGCTGTACGGATGCTTCTCCCCCAAAATTGCCTTCAAGGCGGTCGGCCAGGATCGTGGACCCGAGCTGCCGTCAGGTCGTCCCAATTCTCCCGTTACACAGCCTGGACACCCTGGCGCCATTGCCAGACTTGGCCATCACCGGGTCTGTCTTGTCTGTAACGCCTGGGGTACGTACGCATGCTTTGGATGGATCAGCACCCGTGCCCATCCTTGACAGATCTGACGGGAGGGGATACCGCGAATTATCCCACGGCCAGGAAAACCCTTGTGCGCTTTGCATTGCGACGACCTTTCAGTCGATCCGTGGCCCCCTGTTCTATACCCCGGGGTTCACCATCGTGTCATCATTTGTCCCTGACGTACCATTGATTTCGACTTGATTGGCCCCGAGACAGGAACGTAGCCGGTAGCCGGATTGTGCCGACAGACGCCTCTCGGGTCTCTCTCGCACACACGTCTACTTTATTAGTGAATCGCACTTGCAAGACTGGAAAGGACCAGAGGACAAAAGAAAAAAAAAGAGTTTAAGTGAAGCATCCCCGTCGATACCCAAACCCGCCGTTCACGATCCGCAACTCGTTAACTAGCTTCCGTCACATGCCGCCGTATTGGCTACTGGCCACCAATTGACCCGTTCAGGTCTCGGTTCTCACTGGGAAAGCCAATTGCAGCACTGGTAAAACCTTCGCGTTTAAGACAAGATTCGCACCTGGGCAGAAACAGACGGGAGGACAGCCAAGACACGCAACACGCTTTTTCACGACCCTTTGCGTGCGCGAGAGAGAGAGCGCGCGAGAAAGCGAGAGAGGTGACCCCCAGGGCTTCCCTCCGCTAATTACACCCGAGTTGGCCCACCCACTTTCAAAGACCCTGGGGCCCATCGTGATGAATCCGACGACACACGACAAGTGGGCCTTCTAGAAGGAATCCTTGGACCTGGTTCTCCTCTCAGCTTCCACTCATCTCCAATCAAAGCCGGACTGTCCGCTTCTCACTTAGAGTTCCGCGGGGCAGTTCCGGAACCTAGACCGAGCTACTATTCACTGCCACTCCACTTGGGGGCATTACAGATCAAGGAAGTTCCTGGCTTGCGACGAGCAATAGAAACACAGGTTTTGGCAACCGGCAGACCTGCGATTGTGGAGGTAAGGCCCGTTGGGTCTAGGGTGAAAAACAACAAGACCCCATCAACATCTACCGGCCAGGCACCGGGTTTGCTTGTCTGGTCGTCTCGCCCTCAACAATTCCTTCTCGTTACCCTCGCTACCCTCGCCGACCGGAACACTCATTTTCTCTTTGTGGGCAGCAAAGAGCGACCAGAGGGCATCTAGGATCCCTACGATAGTGGCACTTCAAAGCTGGGTCGGTGCTGCTTCTGCGGGTGCGACAACCATACGGTTTGAGGCTCGCTCTTTTTGGTTTTTCTTTTCTTGCCTATCAGGAACGACACCCACGCCGGAACACGCAAAGACGGCAAGCAAAACTGCAAGCGACGCAGCAAGCAACGTCCTTGTCGCCGTGTCGCACAGAGAAAGACAGACAAGCCGGCAGTTTCGACATTGCACATTCCTAATCATAATCAGCTGAGCATCCGTTAAGAAGGGGAAAAAAAAGTCAAGATAAGCACGCAACCCGCCCGCGCGCAGGCAAGCAAGGGGCTGGGCGCTGTAGACGTCATGACCTCGATTGTGAGTAACACTGTTTCGATTCGGGCAACTCTGATTTGTCTCGAGTTGCTTCTTGTACAATCCCTCTATGGCATCCCACGCCCTCACCGCCTCGTCTGTTCAGGTCTGGTGTCCCCCCCACGCCGCATCCTGGAGCCAGCGAGCCAGCGCATCACATCCTGTCATCTCTCACCTCCATCTCTTATTCGCACATGTATCAAGCTTCTCACGCCCGCGCCTTAATTCCAAGGGACGGGGCGAGGCGCGCGGCCCCCTAGCACCGTATCCCTTCCTTCCCTTCCGTCCAACGTGAGCGACTAGTACTGTGAAGCGCACAGGCAGTGCCGCGCCGATCGCCACGATGCTACCGTAAGCTCACCTTATTCCACTCCCTTGCGCCGGGGTGGTGTCGGTGACGTTTCTGTCGTGTATCAACCTCACTTCTCCTTCCTCTCCAGCTTCTTGGCTAGGAACTTCTGCACCTGGCTCTCCCACTGCAGATTGTCTAGCGCATCAGTCTCGCAAAGAAATGCCTTGTGCCCAGCCCGCCTGACCCCCACCCATCTGTTGCGATCCCTCGTCAACCTTATTATTATACCTGTCTTGTTGGTGCCGTCGAGCACTGTTTGCGCATTGCCTGACGACGTCCGCCATGATGCCCTGTCAACAGGCTCGATCCCTTCCTTGACCTTTGCATACGCACACACCTCAACATGGTCGTCACTTGCAGACCGGCCTTGACGCCAGCATGGCTAACTTCGGAAATACAGCTGTGCCTGGCGCACTACTGCGACCTGCATGGGCCGACGCCTCTCATGGTGACGGAGGGTCTGCCCGTACCATGCTCACAATGTTACGACGACACGACCGAACTCGATCGGCCACAAAGCAACGGCCCGACAGGTCCTCACCCCTCGGTGTCTGATGCACTACGCAAGATGACCCTCGATGCGACGCGCCACTCCAGCTCGCCGGCCTCGGAACAGGACGCACACATGCACCGGGCCGCTGTACGACGGGCGACCAAACTTGGTACGAACAAGCCTGGCTCTCCGGCCGCCGTCGAAACACCACCGCAAAGCCCGCGCAATGCGCCCGAGACCTTCGCCGAGTCGAACAAACAAGGCAGCCTGCGCCGTGATTCCAGCTTCCGTCGCACGTATGACGACTACGTGACAAAGCGTGCAAACCCCTGCCAGAACTGCGCCCTCACGCTGCCCAGGCGACAGGACAGCAGTAAGAAGACCGGCATGGACAAGACTACGGGCGCAGACGATAAGGCGGACCTACGGGGCCCAACGCTGCGGACTCGTGCCCCTTACGCGCGCGTCTACGGAGGCAGCAGTAGAGACGCCAGCCCGCCCAACTCGAACCCGCAATCCTCATGCACTTCCGATGATGACGAGGAGGTGTCACCTACAGACACCACCCGGCACGCCACGACCCGACGGCCTAACACCTCGACGTCACGCTCCAGTATCTCGTCCAAAGCGAGCATGACCACCCACACGCACTATCTGGATTATACAAGCACCCACGAGCCGCAGATTGCCAATACGTACTCCATCGTCCGTAACTCGTGCCTGCGGACGCTGTCTTTTGAGACCTTACCCCGGCGGACAGATCACGGCTCGGCCAACTCGTCAGCCATGAGCAGTCCGGTGTCCAGCGTTGCGCCGTCGCTGCCACCCTCCTATACGTCGCCCCCTCTGTCCGTGAACCCGGCCTACATCAGTGCGCCTCCCACGCCCCAGTCTGCAGCTTCCGGCGGCCCCATATTCTTTGGAGACTCGATGAACGGATTCACAACGGCATACATATTCCGGATACCTGACATGCATGCTCGCGGCAGAAAGCGGGTGTATGCATTCCTCGCCCTCACCACGCACCGGGAGAGACTCGCAATGAAGGTATTCAGCTACATATCAGCCGCTTTCCGGGACTTGGCAGCATGGGTTCAAGACCTCGCCGAGGCAGAGGCTGAGCGCGAGCGCGAAAAGCTGGAACAGGAGGGAGGGCCGGTTGCCGGCCTCGGGGCTCAGTACGGAGGAGGCTACGAACGAGGCCCACGGGATAGTGGAGTAGGCCTCGGGCTTGGCGGTGGCAGCGTCTCTGACCGCGACCGAGAGCGAGACCGGGATAGCGGAAGCAGCTTCCTGACCGGTGGCGGAAGGGGTGGCTTTACGCAACGTATGGGCATGGGCGGGTCGATGGGACCCGGCGGGTTTGCGCCCAAGTCGCGCGGACTGGCTGAGTTGGTGGGCCTGCCAGATTTCTTCATCGAGCTGCACGCGCGGTTCGTGAGAATGCTGCTGGAGCTTGGTGTTGTTCTTGGCTCCTAATTGGACCTGGCCAGCGTACCATGGTCTTGGGGTAGCAGAGGTGAGTGATGGAGGATGTCGACACCTCCGGCGGAAGGACGATGATGGAAGATACCCAGGTGTGCGCAGAGAGGATGCTTGAACCCGACGAGATTCCCCCAGCTAGAGCTCAGCCTCGGGGTGCTTGAGCTCTAGCTTTGTACCAACATGGTGATTTGGGCGTTGGGAAATCGGGTGCGTATGGCGTTAACTGGTTGGTTTTCGCCCTTGGGGACCCGAGCATTACCACCGCTGAGCAAAGACGTCAGTCATCTAAACACTATATGGCACCACATGAGCCTCATTGGAGGCTTGTTGGTGGCCAGGATCCGAAGCGGAGGATCACGAGGTAATGATAATGAACCCCCACGGTTGCTTTTGTTTGCTTGTTGTTTCTTTGTTTATCCGGCCTCTCGAGGCAGCTGCACACATGTACCATAGAGATGCGAGAGACGATAGGAATGAGCGGAGGATGGATAGATTTTAGCATGGCGGTCCCAAAGGCATAGCGGGACCAGACGGATAGACAAAGCGTTGCGCGATGGAAGGCAAAAACAAATCGGGGGCAAAAGGAACAGGGACCAGCAGCTGCCAGCCAGCCAACCTCATAGACCATATAGAGAATTCGAGTTTACCCAGAAAGATCATGACTGGAATCCATGACAGTTTGCCTATGGTAATAGGTAGTCGGCAGCAACAGCGAGCTAAGATATGGCGTGCTCCAATGTGCTCTTCACGCCAGCCGTGAAGAAGTTGCAGGTAACACGTGCGCGTGCGCGAGCCCAAGGACAACTGGGGGTGGATCCTGGACTAGCAGCACGCAATACATCGAGACGGTGAGGTTGATGATACGGGCCGCGGTCGTGGCACATTGACGTTCGTGGTGATGATGGTGTTGGACCCAATAGTTGAAGGTGTGTCCTGATTAAGAGTGATACAGCGCACTATAGAGAAGAAGAGGTAGTTATTCTCATGCACGGGTCCAAAACGACGGTCCGCATACTCGATAGCTGCCTTGGGGCGAAGGATGTCCGCCATGGGATCTGGCAACATCTAGGCACCCGTCCAACCCATTTACCTCCATCTGCTTACATCGCCCAAAAGTCAAGTCCCAGGCACAACACCCAGGCTAGTCTCTGGGTATTGAAGGTGCATGCTGTGCACTACGTGTGAGCGAGCGCCGTCGCCTATAAGGAAATGGTGCGCTGGGTCCAGCTTCTCTGGGCTGACAGTCAGATCTTGTACATGGAATAGGAAACCACTGAGAAATTACCGGTAGGGTTATTATACGGCCCTCGCATCGTGGCTCATCGAAAAAAAGAGAAGAGGGGGAGGTACAATTAAACGGCTGGAGTTCTTGGATCGAATATCAGGACTCGTCCAGTGGGGTCGTCGGTCGAAGGCTACCGAGGTAGAGATGCTGTACATGAACCTATCTATCATCACTTATGGAGAAAGACAATAGCAGCCGAGACAGTATGTATGGCGTAGTTCAGTTAAGTTCCCACGAGATACACTTGAGGTCGATAATACGAATTCGGGTTTCATCCAACTATGGCATCACCATTGCGCAGTAAAACGCCTCCTTTATTGCTAGTTATGGTACATTGTACACGTCACAGCTCGGCTCCTATTCGAGCGGGACTGCTATGCTCACGTTATGAGTTCATCCATTCCACCGTAGCCTTTCTTCCGCAGGACGCCATTGTCGTGAAAGCGTAGCGACCCCCAGCAACAACCGCAACAAGAAAGCCCACCGTCCTCCCCGTTTATTTGTAGAAGTCAAATTTGTTGTCGTCACTCGTCCCCTTGACCTGGCTGGAATATGCGTCCTCCAGATCGGACTGGATGATGTTGTACCGATTTTTCCTCACGGCGCGCAGACCAGCCTCCTGCATGATGGCGGCAATGATGGCACCGCTGAGGGGGTCGTTCCTCGTGATCAAGCTGTCCAGGTCGACCTCGGGGGCCAGGCTCATCTTGCTGGCGATGGTGGAGAAGATAAGACGTCTTTCTCTGCGGTCGCGCAGGCTGGGGAACTCGATCTTGCGGTCCAGACGGCCAGGTCGCAGCAGAGCGGGGTCGAGGGTGTCGGCACGGTTGGTGGCCATGATGACCTTGACGTTGGAGGTCTGGTCGAAACCGTCCATCTGGTTGAGCAGCTCGAGCAGGATACGCTGGACCTCTCTGTCGGCGCCGGTCTGGGCGTCGAAACGCTTGGTGGCGATGGCGTCGATCTCGTCGATGAAGATGATGGCGGGCGAGTTCTCGCGGGCCATGCGGAAGACGTCTCGCACCATGCGGGGACCCTCACCCAGGTACTTCTGCACAAACTCGGAGCCGACGACACGGATGAAGTTGGCCGTGGTGGAGTTGGCGACGGCCTTGACCAGCATGGTCTTTCCGGTTCCGGGGGGGCCGTAGAGCAGGACGCCACGCGGAGGGTCGATACCGATCTGCCGGTAGAGGTCGAAGTGCGTCAGAGGCAGCTCGACGGCCTCTCGGATCTCCTGCTTCTGCATATCGAGACCACCAACGTCGGCGTAGGTGACGTCGGGCTTCTCGTCGGCGCCCAGCATGGCAATGGACGAGTCGGCCTCCGGGGGCAGGATGTCGACGAGGGCATTCGAGTGGCGGTGGAGGGCGACGGAGGACGAAGGCTTCAGCTTCTCGCGGTCGAGGGTGGAGAGGATGCGAACAACATAGTTGGAGCCCGTGCTAGACTGTACGATTCCGGTGCTGGTAGGAGAGGACGGGTTAGAACGGAGACTGGTCTTGTCTGGCAGAGAGCCGAAGAGAGATGGGGGGGAGAAGGGGCCGGGAGGCGAAGTGGAATGGATGCTTACTTTTGGTCGATGGCCTCCATGAACTGGCCGATGACCAAGGGTACACTCTGGATGCGCTTGATCTCCTCCTGAGCGCGGACAAGCTCGCGCTTCAGGCTCCTCTGCTCATCCTTGATGTACTCCTCCTGCAGCTGGATGTACTCGAGATGCCGTTGCAGCTTCTTCAGTGTGGCATACTCGTCGCCGCCCTGGGCGGACAGGCCCTCGATATCCTCGACGTTGGGTATGGTGGAGGGGATGGGCTTGCTGTGGGGAGCGACCGTGTTGGCCGGGTTCTCTACCGCGACGTCGCCCATGTTTGCTGTGCGGGAGCCGCGAGTGTGAGATGTGGGAGGAGCGAGAGGCGGGTCTCGCTGGCAACGTCTGTGATCGTCTGTGCTTTGGCGGTCCTTGGGAGGGCGGGATTGAATGGACGGATGCAGATCGATGTGGCTGTCCGCGTGGGCGGATGGGTGTGATGATGATGGTGGTGATGTGGTGTGGATTAGGGAAGTCGATGGATGAAGTCAGCCAAAGCACTGCTTGGACTACAGTAGAGCTGTGCGGGTGTACCTAATTAGTGCCAGTTACGCCAGCCTTTCAGCCTTGAGCTTCCATGGAAGCCCGCTGGGGGTGGGCCCAGACCAAACCCTCCAATCAGAACAACCAGGGCTGCTGGGATCGGAGGAATGCTTGTACCTCCAGGCCCAGGCTGTCTTTCCACCTTCTGGCGACTCGACCTGTGGCACTCGATGTCAGTAAGTTACTACGTTACCTAGGTAGATAGCCATGTTGAATGAAAGACGTGTTGAGTCGACTATACCCACTGCTTAAGTTCGAGATATCTTATCCTGTGGATTGACGACACATCCCGGCTACGAACGACCATCCCAACTCCACAATCTTGTCCCGTTGTGCCTGAGTGACTGGCAGCTGAGCTGTGTTGGTGCGTCTAGGCAACTTGTCAGTTAATGGAATTGTCCTTGGGCATAACGAGGCTCTTGGCCAATCCCCAGGTCGTACCGTGATCGCCCGTTGCAGAGACTTGCCTCATCAACGGGCGACGCCGAGCTACGGGAGGATATACCAACGTCCCCAAGTGCTTCCCTGTCATCACATGCGCCGGTCACCAAGTGAGTCGTTACTCCGTAGAGATAAGGAAGCGAGTTATGAGGTACCCCAGGCATCGGCACTAACTAACAACCAAGGTACAGTAACCACTGACTGACACCCAAGTCCGACATCGCCCACCCCCGTTTCGCCCGTCTCAGTTATCCAGCATTGGATACCCGGCCTGGGCCGAGATATGCACTGTGCCCATGTGCATTCCAGCAGAGGCAACTGTCGGCGGCACAGTGCCTGTTTGACGTGCTGTAAGAGGCAACTTGGGCAAGCTTCGACCTTCTGGAGATCCGGCCAACCATCCGCGTACGACTCTGGCCAATCAACCCCGTCAACCACCCACCTCATCCCACCGTCCAAACCATGCCATCCCAACAGCTGGCCGCGCTGGTTGGTTGGTTGGAGCTGGGCCCAAGGCTCCTGGGGATCCCCAGGCTGCTTCTGCTTCTTGCATCCCGGAGTGTTGCAGGTAGCAGGTGCCCAGGTGGTGCTGGTCCACGGGTGTCGGGTGCTGGTGCTTGCTCTGCTCAGGTGACTGGAGTGACTTGACTCTTTGCCTCGCCTCGCCTTGGGCCTGGCCTGCCGACCATTTGTCTCCATCTTCAACAACCTCACCTGCCCAAGCACACACAAAACCCTCTCTCTGCCTTCGTCGTCTTCTTCACACCTTGGAGGGGATCCTGCTCTACGTCGCATCCCGGAGTTGGCGGTTGCCTCGTCACTGTACCTACGGGTCGCCTTTCCGCCTCTTCCTTACTGTATCACCGTGTCTACCCACCCGTCTATCTATCTGCCTGTGATACTGTAGCCATCGGCGGTACTATAGTCCTGCCCGCCACCCTCTGCCATCGTCGCCGTCGTCGCCGTCGTCGTCGCCCGCCGCCCGATATTGTCACTTCACGTCACGTCGAGTTGCCACATCGCCGAGTCGTCATATGAAACCAGCTAGACAACCGCTCGCTCTGGTCCCGGTCCCGGCCCTGGTCCCCGCCCCCGTCCCCTGATCGGTCGTGGCCAGAAAGAAGCCTGCAATCATGTCGTCGTCCATTGCAATCCCCTCCGGCCGGGTTTCGGCCTCGGCTTACGACGACGAGAGCCCAAAGCCGGCCTCCAGCTCGTCTTCCTCCTCCTCCTACTCGACCTCGCCCCACACCCCGGCCATGGACAAGGCCTCACCGTCTCCGTCTCAGTACCGCCCCAAGTACCTGCACCAACGTCGGCCCAGCCTTCTCAGTATGTCCCCCTCCTTTTCCTCTCTCATTAGTTGGCTTTAGTTTGGCGTACACCGTGTACTGATCAGCCACCTGCTGCAGGCACCTCTTTCTGCAAAGACGAGTGCAAGGTGATCGACATTGGCGACCCGGAGGGCCCCCGGCGACTGGTGAGTCCCCACCCTACTATCAATCAATAGCCAGCCCCCGGGCCAGACTGGGGCCTGGTTCTTGACTCACACAACGCCGACCGCCACCGCTCACCCTTACCGTTACCGTACATGCGCTGACAAGGCCCTCCCTCCAGATCTCGTACCTCTCTTCCAGCCAGGGCTTCGTGTGGAACCCCGAGATCTTCCTGCCGTCATACGTCGACTGCGATTACGTCCCGCTGGAAAACCGCCGCGAGCCCGTGCACGAGATCCGGCTGTCGGACGACGAGGTCAAGAAGATGCTGCCGCAATGAGCTGCTGCCCGCATCGCCGTTGGCCCGCCTCTGGGCCCGCTCTCGCTCGCGTGCCCGGCCGATCGACGACTTGATTTACAGCTACTAGACGCCCCGGAACTTTCTCGCGAGAGCATAACTGTTCTATGCATCGGAAGGGTGACGCATTCTGGGTCGCATTCTGAGTCAAGAGGGATCATTTCGGCACTACGTTTTGTTTTCGACACGGTCGTTGACCGCTGTTTCCCCCATCGATGGGTTCATGCTCGGAGTTCTAGGGCACACGGAATGGAGTTCCTATATCATGCGCGGTCCTTTCCTTTCCTTTCCCTGTTTTTCTTCGCTCTCACCCTTATCATGTTTATCTTAGGTTTGGATGCTCTCGGGCTGGCGTTTACAAGGCTGCAGCCGCTCGGCCATGGTTGGTTTTGCTTGGGTGTCACATAGGTACAATATTCCCATCTCGGTCTACATGTCACTCATAGAGAGCTATCCGAAATTGATTGCTTTTCCCACCTCAAACCCTCCCCCCAATGTAGAGAAGCTTGCCTCCGTGCTACGTGGCGTTGATCAGTCGGGCCAGCAGTGGACAGGGGAATGGAATGTTCATGTGGAAGTGCTTGCATGATCAGCAGTCGATGCTGCTGGCGCTTTGCATCCCAAGTGGGCACGAAGACCATCTTTACCCGGGTGACACCGGGTTTTCAAGAGCCCAACAAGCCCAACAAGCTGCCACAGGCATGCAGAGGACTTCCAGGTCGCACCCAGCCAGAACAGCCTCGGGGTGGGGAACCCTGACCAGCTAGATGGGATAGGGTAGGACGCGTACGAGATACGAGACGGAGTGCGATCTGCTCGTATGCTTCGTCCCCAGCAGCTGGCCAGATCCTCGTTCAACAGAGGACAACACTCATCCAGTCATCCCCTCCTCCTAGGTACGGCAACGGCACTTGTTACCATTGCCCGCAGAGTGGGAGCGAGGCAACGTCAAGCCCCACGCTTGCTTTTGGCCAAGCTTACTGCAACGCAGAGCTGATAACGCTGCTTGGAAAACGGCTATGTAACAGAACGTGGGGTATCGCACCCACTAGCCGCCTGCGGGAAAAGTGAGGCGGGGGCGCTAGCCGTAGGGGCGCGTTTAGCTGTGCTGGGCGCCCCGATTTGCCGGGGACGACTGGGGCCAGGGGGAGATGCCAGCCAATGCTATGCCTGCGTGGATCCCCAGGGGTCCAAGCTAAGCATGTACGCTGTAGGGGATCTGTAGGGGACTGGAAGTACTCGGCAAAGCCCCTGCCCTGCGAGCGAGCGGCGCGGAAGCAAGAGATGCAGCCATTCTTGGGCGCTTTGCTGCAACACTCTCTACACCTGTTGATCATCACCACGGCCTTGTATCTTCCAGCCTGAAATGTGTCGTAGATTTGATGCTTGCGAATTGCAGTTCAACTTCGAGTGGCCGTCTCCCATGCTAGCTCTGTAGTGGCTTGGAGCGTCGAGGCCCTTGGGGAGGATTTCCCTTCTCCGTGCACCGAAGTACTGATGTGCGTGTAGTCGCATTGCTCACCTGTTGTGCAAAGATGTCTCGTATGCATGCGTAATGAGCCCCTTTCACGTGGGCTTCCCACGATTCCAGTTTTGCTCCCCACGGCAGTTTGTGCTCACCAGGGCAGGCGACTTGTGTGACAGAAATGGCAGCCTTGACTACAGAATTTTTCGCATTATGGTCTGCCTAAGAAGGAGGAAAATGGAATGAAATGCCACTTTCAGATGCACCTTGAGGTTGGATACTTTGACCATGTAGCCTTGCGTTATCTCTAAGGGGGAGTAAAGGTCTGACTGATACCAATTCCACTAGGCCTGCGATCAGGTTTCCAATGAAAGAATAGAGGCTCTCCCTCGAACAGATCGCGGAACATCACCCGTGGATCTTATAGTGCTATGATAGCGATAAAAGTAACAGGAGCGGAATTGGAGCGTTCTTATATAGCTACCTAGAAGATGTACGTCAGCCACATGGCTCGAACCTGACGTGCAGCTCTCCCATCGTCACCCAAGCTCAATAAGCATCAGCACATTCCCTTCATGAGACTTTATCATGTTCGAATATCTCTATGGACTGGTTTTCGCGTTATATATAGTAGGATTACTGATGCCCTTTGAACAGTACGCCAGTGTTGACGCCAGAATCCACCAGGTCGAACCATGCAGCCGGCTACGCGCATAACGGAGAATTCCCAGGCTCGTGTTTGGAGCCACACGATTGGATGGATACCTGGGGAAGCAAGAAAGCTCCACGATGGTCTGACTCTTCGAGTTCAGAGGCCTGAACGAAGGTCTCGCCTTACTAGTGACCACAACTCTACCTCTTCGAGTTCCTTCAGTATTTGGAAATAAGGCACAAGACCATTTGAATATGATTGATGCTGCCCGGGTTTGGAGTCTTATCATCTCCTCTATTCCTGGGAAAGCTTCTCCCCCAGTACCCGCCTAGTGAGCAAGATGGTAGTGTACAAAATAAGGATGCGAGCCCTCAACTACAAATCCGAATCAAAGGAGGTAGGAAATGATATAGCGACTGTTGACGAATGCCAAAATATGAACCTGAACTCCGTGCTATGCTGTCCATGCCGTAGTCCTGCAACGCCCTCAATGCTGTCCGACCTTTGGGTCCGTGCCGGGTCCCGACATGGAAACCAAACTCAAGAATATGTTCCAAATGAATCCAACGCAAGAAGATACGAGAACGCGCCACCTCACTGGCACCCATAGAAAGTTGCAAACGGCAACAATGGGCCACAGGTGCCACCCTGCCCTGACCAACTGAAAAAGTTTCTCCCGGATCACATCAAAAACGTCGACGAGATGGGGCACGCGGGCTATGTTCGTAATGATGAGAAACGTTGTGATCATGACACATAGCCCTATTGTCTGGTCTGCAACCAGTTTGGCGACCACATTCTTCCAGCTAACCTTGGTCGCCCCCGAGCCATGGTCTGCCGTCTGTGGTGGTGGTTGGAGGGGTACGTGGGTGTCCTTATCCTTTTCCCCAGGTGCAATCACAGGCGGCTGGCCGACATGAAGTGCCGCATGTGTGGGGAACCGATGCTCCAAAAGATGATGCCAGACGTAGCCGATATGGGCGCCGATGAAGCCAAAGACAGCAAACTCGAAGATGCGTTGACGATCCAGGGGTTGTGGCTCCTTCGAGCCCCACTGAACGGCTACCTGGGCCGTGAGATTTGCTGCCGCTTTGATGAAGGTGTTTTGGATGGCAGTAGATATCATCGACGGCATGGTAACCTCCAGTGGCTGAATGCAGCTGGACCTCGTCCAGATCTGCAAGTCGTGGTGGTCTCGATATCTGAGATGGACTTGTCACGCGACTAGGCTGCATGCATGGGAAGGGAAGTGGTTAGGAAGACACGTTGACCGAGTTTCATGTAATCTCGGCTAGTTCCGCCGTTGCGGATCCTGGCAACACGGCGGGTGGGGCTCAGACACAGTACTGAACTATGTACGTCCAACATGACAGACCCGGCATTCCGGGACTTGCGCTTATTATTGCATTATAAGTCTCAGCACTACAGTAAAGGAAGCCGAGGGTTAATTGGTTGCGGCAAATTTGGCATCACCACCGCGTCAAGTTAGTTAGAGGTGCAAACCCTCCAATACTATAGAATGCGAAGCTACTTATTCAATCCATGCCGGCCAAGGGCCCACACACAGTCCGGAAGATTTCACATAATCACTTCACAACATCAAGATTACCTACCGATTTTCGGCAGGTCAACCACGGTTCATGTGTCTACGCAGCTGTCCTGGTTGCGATGTCGTTACTATACGCAAGTTCACCTGCAAAGAGGTCCTTAGACTTATCGTCAAATCCCGCGTAGACAACTTCCAGGTGCAATTGTCAGGCCATAACTATTCTACTTCAACTCAACTTTAAATCGTAAGCAACCATTATGGTTCCGCAGCTCGAAACTAAATTAGAGTCTGCGCGAAGGCCTCGCCTTTTCCCTCCATCCGCAAGGAACACGACCAATGCCACTACGAACAGATTCACTGACCAGTAACGAACAAAAAAAGACAACAGAGACACACAGAAAGAGCAAAAAGTCGACGCCTGTGTGATTCGAACACACGCTCCCGAAGGAAATGCCTAACTTATCGCTGTTGCGAGATAGCAGGGCATCACGTTAACCACTCCGTCAAAGCGCCAAGTGACTAAGGTTGGAAAACGGCGAGCTTATGCTCGCTTAATATGCATTTGTCACGGCCCCACATTTCCTCCACTCCAGAGCAACCCACTTCGACCGAGTTTTGTTTCACTATCACAGCCCTTCTTTCTGGCTGTCCATTGCACCTTCTCTTTCCATGAACAACCTTCCTCTTCCTAATATCATAATCAGAATTAGCTATTAAGTGGATACGAATGAGGTTATAAGGTTCGTTATAGTCATGCCCAATAGTGTACTATGGTAGGCAGTGTTGAATGCACGAGACTAGCTAACCCCAACTTTGTACCAACACGGAGGAGTGTAAGATTACACAGGCTCTACGAACAGGCACACGTGCCGTTCCAAATACGGTGAGCTTATGTTAGTATATGACACAGTTAGCCTCATTGGTCAAGGCATCATCAAAACTCTCGATGTTTAAGACATCATTGACGCGCCTAGATAACAGCCTCCAGTGAAAGTGACAGGTGCGGATCGTGGCATATACAGGGCCGTCACAAGGCCACAGAGTATTTCAGGTTGACATCATTTCGATACTGCCATCCCAATTAGAACTAGTATCAATCTGATGTTCATAGCTCATACGAATATGAAAACCCCATCTGTGACCTAAGGTCATCTGGGTGACCGGTGCAACGCGCCCTATGGCCTCTGCCGGTGATAATCAACATACCGTTAAGAATGAGAAATCTGGAACGGGTCTACGCGGGCCAGTTCTTATCCATAGAACATGAAAGTGCTGAGCAGTACTTATTGGTATGAGCACACCGGTAATAGCGAGGGAAATCGGTACCACGTCAGGAATAGGGGGCGGTTTCCTTTGACTGGGTATGCAATATAACTTGGTTCGTGTAGGCTCGCCCTAGAAGTCTTATTTCAGGGGCATTTCGGTGCTTGCTGCCAAATCTAGCAGTTTCTCATTATCCAACCGGGACTTGACAAACCACCCACCGGAATCACCGCGACACGCAGCTAGAACATTGATTTCGCTAATACTTTGGCAATTCAAGTCACCATGCTCATTTGCTAATGCGGGGTCTTCATCTGAAGTATGCTCTCAATTGCAAAGAGTGGCGAGGCAAGAGACAGTCGTGGTCAACCTGGGCGGGGTCCGACATGGTAACAGTATGAACAGTCTTTCACAGCCGTCCCAAATATCGCAGCAAGCATTGCTAAGCCATTCTACAAGGTTTATGGGCAGTCAAATCTGCTTTACGGTAAGCGGTGGAGCCGCTTGCCTTGATGCTGGTGGTCATGGAGGTCTAGGAAGGAATATGACCCGATGGCTCATCCGTCGCTGCACGCGTTAATTTGAAACTGATATCGCGGCCCGGCCCGCGCACGTTCGAAACCCAGGAGCTGCAGGTGCACTGCAAGGAACCTGGGGTCCACACGGTGGCTCCGGTGTTTGACGTGAGCTTGATAACAGTCTTGGCCAAGTCGTCTAACACATGCCCCCGATCAAAGACTACATCTACCCATTCAGAGTCAAGACTGTAAGTAGTAAAGACATAAAGCCTACTCGGCCAAATTTGAAGGTTATTCTACGGCTTTGAAGGATTCAACGGCTGTAGGGTCACCGTTGAACTGCGAGATCTTGAAGCTCGCCCCGTTTCCTTGCAGGAACTTTGGCAGGGGGTTAGTGAGGCAATGGTGATTACTGACGCAAGTTAGTCTCAAACTCAGGCAGACGTGTCCACTTTCAAATGAAGCAAGAACACGCATTTTCTCGCCTCGTGCGGTACGGGAAACTGCTCAATGGCCGCCACTGAATTCCCGGCTTGATGAACGAGGACCTGGCGCTGATCATTTGACTTGATTGATCCTTACGAGATTCCTGAAGCTGGGATCACTTCAGCCTTCCTGGGCACTGTTTGTGGTGGGTTCGATGGCTCTACCGCAGAATCTCATCAAACGCCCAATCTTGGCATTTCTGCTTTAAACAGTTAAGAAGCCATCGTTAGCTCCACTGCTGGGTCATCTGCAAAGCCACAGTAACTAGAAAGTGCGGGGAGACGAATCAGGTGGAAGAGAGTATCTGCTAAGACTGGGCTTTGGGATGGGGTTATAGCCGAGCATACTACGAACTGCCGAGATATGCCTGTCTGTTTCCCTAACTAGCGCAAATCCACTATTCAGGTGGCCTGTGTGTGTAAGTTAAATCCAGATGTGAAGCGAATGCGAGCAATCATGCTGGAGAACCTACATACCGGTAGTCCAGCCTATCGTCCCTTCCGCTCGAGCCCCGAGTGCTTTAGGTAGAGGAATACATTTAAGTCGCCAGCCATCCTTCCAGTCACCGTCGAATCAAGCTTCTTGCCTGCCACCCATTAGGTTCTCTGTTCCGAATTATGTATATTCATCTCCTCGGGCTCCTCCTCGCCGGAGGCCTTGCCTTCTTTTATCTCCTACGAGCATTAATATCACCGCTTCGGTCCGTTCCCGGACCTCTACTAGCACGTTGTACTGACAGTTGGTATCTATGGCGGATAACAAAAGGGAAATTCGAGTTTGATAATATTGAGCTACATCGCAAACATGGTAACAGCCACCGTTAGTCCTTTGACCCGCTGGGACTAAACTGACATGCCAAAGGCCCAGTAATCCGCTACGGGCCTAACAGATTCAGTTTTGACGACCCGCAAGCTTCGAAGATCATCTACGGTCATGGAACCCACCTCAAGAAGTCGGCATGGTACGAGACCTGGAAATTCCCGAAACCAACAGATCAATGGAATTTATTCGAGGAGAGAAACCAGAAACGACACGCATTACTCCGTAAACCTTTTTCCAACACGTATTCAACCACATCCTTGGTGTCATTCGAGCCTTACATCGATGAATGCACAGACCTCTTTGTCCAAAGGCTCAGGGAGTCTGCTGGCAAGGGCGTAGCCCTTGACTTTGGCCACTGGCTTCAATGCTATGCGTTCGACGTCATTGGCAATATCACCTTCGCTCGGCGTTTTGGGTTCCTCGACCATGGGGATGACATTGGCGGGGTGATTTCCGCGCTCGAAACTTCCGCCAGCTACTCGGCTAAAGTTGGTGTATACCCTCAATTCCATGGATTTCTTTTCAAGTTGGCCGGTCTACTGGCTGGGGAGGATGGATCCGGCTTCAAGTTTGTAAACAAATTTGCCAACGACACGATCAAGGAGTATCGGGATAGCCGGAAGGCCGCGGTCGACTCATCACAGAGCGGGGGCGGTAATGAGTCCTTCCTGTCTATGTTCTACAAGAAACACGAGGAGAACCCTACACAGTTTACATCCTATCACGTCTTCGCTGGTTGCGCCCAGAACGTCGGCGCGGGCTCCGACACCACTGCGATCAGCCTGTCTGCGACATTCTATCACTTGTTAAAGAACCCACAATGCTTCCACAAGTTACGTGAGGAGATCGATGACGGTATCAAACAGGGCACTGTGTCGCAGAAGCCAACTTTTAAGGAGACACAGTCCATGCCTTATCTTCAGGCAGTGATCAAGGAAGCATTGAGACTCCATCCTGCTACTGGATTTCCCCTCGAGCGCGAGGTACCCGAGGGAGGTGCAACAATTTCGGGTCGGTTCTTCCCCGCAGGAGTAAGTGACATAGCATTTCTCTATTTACTGGACAAACCCAGGTTGACCATGGAGTAGACTATTGTTGGCATCAACGCATGGGTTGAGCATCGAAACAAACAGGTTTGGGGCGAGGATGCAGACCAGTTTCGGCCTGAAAGATGGCTCATTGATGACGCTGACAAGCTGTCGCTAATGAACCGTCACTGGATTCCAGTCAGTATTCTTCCCTTCAATGGATCCCCCTGTCCGCGCACAAAATCCTGATACCTTTGCGTTATCTAGTTTGGAATGGGTTCTCGAGTTTGCATTGGGAAGAATATCTCCCTGCTCGAGATGCAGAAGCTTGTCCCTCTCATTGTCCGTGAATTTGATTTGGATCTTGCTGGGGGACGTGCCTGGACCTGGACAACCATCAACCATTGGTTTGTGAAACCCAAAGGCTTCAAAGTGTTGGTGAATCAAAGAAACGATAAGGCGGAGGGTTGAGCTCATGTCAGGAGGAGCAAAGTGAGGCATGGTGGATTCGCCCAAACCTTGAAGTGCTCTGCCAATGTGTCACAAAGAAACAGCCATAGGATGGCAGTGTGGGAGCAATACAAGGACCGCCCACGGATATCTCCGCGACAAAGCAACATGAAAGCAAATTTCAACTCTGACGATCTGCGGATTCGAGGATGGAGCAAGACAGTTGGTGTGACAGGTTATGAGAGGAATATCAGACTTCAGTAGCAGCCAGGACAGAGGGCATGTGCTTGGGATGGACGCTGGTTATCGTGATAATGTCATACAGCAAGCCGGCAAGCAACGGTTGCACTTGGAGTATATGCCCGTTGGAATGCTATGATCTCTCTTCACGAGAATGAACGGCAACCTTGACGTCCAAGAGCAGCTTTAAACACGAAACCACGCAATCCTGGTCTATAGAGCGTTACTGTCGACCCTGACCGTAAAGAAAAAAAAGCCTACAGACATCGATATTCAGCCACTGAACGACCCTTTCACATTGTTGCGATTCCAGTGTATCAATTGATTGTATAATTATTACTTTAAAACTCTGTTTCCAGCTGTCTTAGTTGCAGTACTGCAAGTGTTGTTATCTTATCTTTGTGCCACTTACTGTACAGTACAGTACAGTACTTTCAGATGGGTGTACTGCGCCAATACTGGACTGTAGCCTTATCAGTGACCGATGTCGGCCCTACGCTAGGGCCAAAAAACTATGACTCGCAAAATTTCAGTGACACATCGTTGCTTCTTTCCTGGACTTCATATCAAGGAACCTCAGCTGTCAATTCGTTTGTCCGTCATCTCCCAATTGACGTTGGCTATTTACCAATTGACTCCCGACACCTCCAATTGACTTTTCTGTGCCCATCCCGAGCCCATTGAAAACCCGTCAACATGTCAAAGGGTCGCGTTTGCCTGTAAGCCGAAGCCCGCCCCCCCCAACCCCGCGGCGACTCCCGTTGTATGTTGGGTCCCGGCTGCTGATCTTGATGAATCCTCAGTGCCTACTCCGGTGGCCTCGACACATCGGTCATTCTGAAATGGCTTGTGCTCGAGGGCTACTCGGTCGTCTGCTACCTGGCCGATGTTGGCCAGGAGGACGCCCAGGACGCTGCCGCCATCGAGAAGAAGGCCATGCTGCTAGGTGCCGAGCGCATGGTCATTGAGGACCTCCAGAAGACCTTTGTCGAGGACCTCGTCTTCCGCGCCGTCCAGTGCAACGCCATCTACGAGGACCGTTACCTCCTGGGCACCTCCCTCGCCCGCCCCGTCATCGCCAAGGCCCAGGTCCAGGTCGCCGAGCGCTACAACTGCCAGTTCCTGTCGCACGGCTGCACCGGCAAGGGCAACGACCAGGTCCGCTTCGAGCTGGCCTTCAAGGCCCTCAACCCGGCCCTGCAGATCATTGCGCCCTGGCGACTGCCCGAGTTCTGCAACAAGTTCCAGGGCCGCCAGGATCTGCTCAAGTTCGCCGCCGAGAACAACATCCCCGTCTCCTCCTCCCCCAAGGCTCCCTGGTCCATGGACGAGAACCTGGCCCACTGCTCCTACGAGGCCGGCATCCTCGAGGACCCCGACCACACCCCGCCCAAGGAGCTGTGGAAGATGACCCTCGACCCCCTCGACGCCCCCGACAAACCCACCGAGTTCACCATCCACTTCGAGAAGGGTATTCCCGTCAAGGTTGTCGAGGGCGGCAAGGAGACGACCGGCTCGGTCGAGCTGTTCAAGCTCCTCAACAAAATCGGCCGCGAGAACGGCGTTGGCCGCATCGACATTGTCGAGACCCGATTTGTCGGCATCAAGTCGCGAGGATGCTACGATACACCCGGCCTCACCATTGCGTAAGTCGCTGCCCATTGCCCTCCACCAACCCTTTCTCCCCGCCATTCCTCCTGCTCTGCATCGAAAAACGTCATGTTCGCTAACAATGGCATGCAGCCGCCTGGCCCATCTTGACCTGGAGGGTCTCGTCATGGACTCTAAGGTGCGGGAGCTTCGTGATCAGTTTATCACCGTGTCCTGGTCTCGACAACTGTACAACGGCATGTACTTCAGCCCCGAGCGCGAGTTTGTCGAGAACAGCATTCTCTTCTCCCAGCAAAATGTTACCGGCCAAGTCAGGATGATGGCATACAAGGGCAACGTGAGTCTTCTTCAACCCCTCCTCCAATACCCCACACACCCATGAGGCGACCCCCCGCTGACTCTTTTTGATCTTTCCAGGCATATGTCATTGGACGATCCAGCGACGCCAGCAACCTGTACAGCGAGCAGGACGCTTCCATGGACTCGCTCGAGGGTTTCAGCCCCTGGGACACCACTGGCTTCATCGAGATCAACGCTCTGCGACTCAAGAAGTACGGTCTGCAGAAGCAAAAGGACGGCCAGCCTCTTACTAAATAAAAAGTTGACGAGAGTCAGCACGGTGGGTAGACAGTGTAGACAAAGAGCGGGCGCACAAGGTTAAAAATAAAAATTTAGTTATAATTCATGTTACGATTTCATCCCGAGCCAAAGGCTCTGAACAGGGGTGCCTACCTAACCTGCTTGTGTGTGCACGCTGTGTGTATCGAGAGATTTTCAGCCGAATAGCGAGAGATTTGGGACAAAAGTTCTCCGGTCTCGCGCAAACGAAGCGCGTACGAGGCATGATCTCCCAGCCAAAACACCGAGTACGTAGCGCATAGCAAAATTCGGTGATGATTCCGCTTTTACTAAGATATATAATACACTAATCGAACGCCTTACGCACAATGGAAGACTAACAAGTACAAAGTAAAGTCAAGCTGTATTTCAAATCAAAAGTACCCTCGCTCAACTTTACACCCACGAGATTTCCAAACCTGGCTTGTCCCTGATGCCATGCCAAGATGCCACCCTGAGTACTCCGTCCGCCGTCGTATATACCCTCCTAACTCCCCAGATCCGGAATGCTATACTCTGGAAGACGCGCCCCCCCTGTCGTGGTCTCCTGCGCCCTTCTTCTCCTTGCGGGCCTTGAACACGAAGTCGGCCATGACCTGGATGTGATCGGATGGGAAGTGGTAGCTCGGGAAGCCGGCCACGCGCTTCAGGTAGTGGTAGTCGGGAGGCCCGAGCAGCTCCACGGCGTCGAAGGTGTTGGTCGAGTACCAGATGTAGTCCAGCACGCCCGAGAAGGTCGGCGTGTAGTTCGTGAAGGTCAGGTCCTGCTGGGTGCCGCGGACGTGGGCATATGCGGAGCGCAGGCTAAAGGGGTGCGAGATACCGTCGCGCGTGAAGTTTCCGTAGGAATGGCCAGCGAGATCCGGATGTTCCGGAGCAACCCTGCCCCTGTCCAGCAGCTCGTAGACGGCGCTGTTGTAGATCGAGTTGTAGTCACCACAGACGAGCAAGGGGATGTCCGTGTTACTGCGGTACTCCTGGCTGGGCGAAGGCATGACGGGGGAATTCTCGGGCGTCAGCTCCGATAGCTCGTCCGTCATGGTCGAACGGACCAATTTCTTCTCGTCCATGGCGATAGCGGGCTTCCTGGTGTATCTCTCTGACATCTTGGTAACCTGCTCCATCAAGATACCCGTCTGTACGGCCTTGACATCGGCAAGGTTCTCCTCCCAACACAGATGGGCGTTGACCACGATGAATCGGGCACCGGTGGCGCGCGACTCAAAGAGGCAGAAGACACCAATCTGGTCCTTGGGCATGACGCGGTTGAAGACATCTTCGGTGGCCTTCATGTCAGGGCGGTTGATGGCAACGGACCGGAAGTCGACCAGCTGCTTGTCCAACAGTATGTACTTGGTATTCTTGTAGAAGATGGCACAACCATCAACGCGCCCTTGCTCAGTCTTGTCCCGCATGTGGGTCACCCGAGTTTTGGGCCAGTATACACCCCGGTAGTCAAGCTGTGCAAGTTCGGGGCTGAAGAAAGACTCGAAAGCGTCGCCTGAAACCTCCTGCAAACATAGGACGTCGGGTTCGCGCTCACGGAACTCGTCCATGATGACCTTCCGGCGGTATTCCCACTCCAAGGCACCAGAGGGAGTGTAGCCATAGACGGCAGCCGTGGCGTACCTGTCACACAGGATGTTCCACGACAGGATACGCAGCCGCTCCGCGCTCGGAGATATCCCCTCTAGAAGGGGAACAGGCATGCGGGGCTCCGGAGGCATGGGCACTGTACAGAGACAACGGTTAGAACATGCGACGAGATATTTTGGTGTGTGTGAGGGGGGGTAGTTGTTAAGGGGTTAGGGGGTTAGGAGGGGTATATAGGCAAAAGTCATCATCACATACCTGGGGCATTCTCCTTGAGGTGATTGATCAAGGCCTTGGTGCCGTTGTCAACGAGCATCTGCTTGGTCTCGTTATGGAGCGGGTTTCCCTGGACTCCTAACAGTTCGAGGGAGTGCAGGGCGCCGAGCTCAACGGGCAGTTCGCGGATCTGATTGTTGAAGACGAGCAGCTTGCGGAGCGGGGTGCACATGCCCAATTCGGGGGGGAGCTCGGTGAGCTGATTGTTGGACAGGTCGAGGTGGCGCAGCTTGCGGAGCTGACCGACGGCAGGTGACAAGTAGGTTAGGTTATTGGAGCAGAGGTAGAGCTCCTCGAGGAAGTCGTAGCGGTTGAACAGGGTCATGGAGATGGCGCGCAGACCCTGGCCACTGAAGTCGAGGCTCATCCAGTCCTGGCGGTCGTCGGTCTTCTCGACGATGACGGGGCGCCCCCTATCTTCCTCCTCGCCATCGACGGGCTTATCCTCGCTGTTGTTGTTGGCGGCGGTTGTGATGCTGGACAGGACGGGGCCGAGGCCGCGGTTCTCGGCAGCTTTGGCGCGGGCGAAGAAATGCGGCTGGTGCTGCTCCGTCATGGACTGGTGGGCGCGCTCCGACTCCTTGAAGGCCTTGAGCTGGTCGTTCATGTGCTCGCTGAGGGGTTGGCCCTGCTGAGCGCGGGCGGCGGCGCCGCCGTTCTGCGGGGTGAAGGGGGCGACGTTGGACAGGATGCCCGAGGAGAAAGCAGAGCTGGCGGCGTGGTCCTGCGTCTGCTGGTGGGGGTGCTGCTGTTGCTGTTGCGGGTGGGTATGGTGCTGGTGTTGATGTTGATGCTGGTGAAGATGCTGGTGCTGGCCATGATGCTGGTGTTGGTGTTGCGAGTGGCCGTGGTGCTGCTGGTGCTGATGCTGGCCCTGGGACTGCATGTAGCCATACATCTGGGGAGCCATCTGGCGGGCGGCGGGCACGCCATTGAGGCGAGAATGCTGGCCTTGCTGGGGGCCGTACATGCTCGTGGCTCGCTGCCTCGGGGCAGGCTCACACTCTTCTCTAGATTATCTAGAGGCTATGAAATGCTGCTGGCGGCGGGTCCATCCGTGGGGTGGCATGGAAAGAAAAAAGACCACGTGAGGGGATGGCGCGGCGGCGTGCGTGACTGGCGTGACGGTGTGTCGAACGCCAGCGGCGGGTCGCTGTGTCGACGGTCGCGGTCGCGGCTCGGGCTGCGGCGGGTGGACGTGATGGATGATGGGATGATGGATGGCGGAGGAGGGCAAGGAGCAGGTGGAAGCGATGAGGGCAATTGAGGGCCGGTCGATCAGGGCCGTGGTCGGCGGTCGATGGGCGGTGGTCGGTGGCCGGTTGATGTTGAGACTACCGTGGTGGTGAGACCGACTACCGGGGGGGAAACGGCCGAAGGAGGGTCGTCGTTTTTCCTGTCCTCACTTCGTCCTTCTGTCCTCACTTCTTCCGCTGCGCCGGGACGGCAAGAGGTGCGGAGGGCTGGCGTGTGGTTGAGTGATGCAGGGCAGTGTGTAATGACTATCAATCGAACGGATGGATCAACCTGAAGCTCAAGCTGGGAGCTGGGTCTTGAGGCTGGGGCTTTGGGGGCTTTGGGGGGCTTGGGCTGGTGCCGGCGGGCGGGTGTGCAGATTCCAGATTGGCGATGGGCGGACGGGGAACGTGGCGCATGCGGTCGGCGGCAGGCTCTCAAGCCCCAGGTCAAGCCTCAAAGCCTCGCTCGCTTAACTTAATTCAAACCTCAGTAGCCTCAAAGCCTCGTGAGTCAAGCCTCCATTCACCTCGACAGTGGCTTGTACCTTGTACCTTGTATCTTGGTGAGCCGCGGCGCTTGATTACCCAACTTATCTCAAGGCCTGGTATGGTGACTGGTTCGCAGTGGATATTAGCCAGGATATTCGACAGCCAGTGAATTCACCACACCACGAGTCAATCTGTGGAAAGCAATCGCCAGGCCACAGCAACAGAGAGCAGAACTGTGGTGGCGCTCCTCGGCAAGGCGGCTCTGGTCTGGCTCCGGCTCCGTCACTTATTAGTTACTGTGGTGCTCGCTGGGAAATTGGGACACTTACAACCACCCTCAAGCGGGCCACAGTGAGCAGAAGATGCTTTGGCAACATGCTGATCCAGCAGTGAACATGAGACCATTTCCCATTTCCTGCTGGATGCCACCCGGAAAATAAGTATTTCAATACCGAGCATGTGGTTTTCTTCCTGGCCTACCGCTGAAACACACATTTGAACGTCGCTCCCCTCAGCACATGGAGGGTTGGTTGGCGCCAGTCGACCAAGGCATGTTGCGCGACCTGCGCATCGACTCGGTTACCTTTTGAGCCTACAAGTTGGCATATGCAGGACTTACCGCAAGGCGCTCCTGTTTCTGCTGCATGTCTTCAAACCAACCCTGATGCAAGTTGGCCGTGGCTCTGACGAGAGCTTACGACCGCCTCGGGCCAGGCTCTTGAACACCTATACTCCAGTTCACTTTCCAGCTGGAGGCTTGCCTGGGCTTGGCTGGCTGCCGTTACACCAACTGCGTAGATAACGACAGCACGGCACCAGGATGACAGCCGCAGCCACCGCTTGGGGTAATATAGCTATCCGATGCTGGACACGGACAGAATCGTCTTCTGCTTGGAGAGGCGCGGAGGGTCAAGCTTGTGTTGTATGACTGTTGCTACATCCATAGCTTGCGTTATCGCCTGATCCAGATCGAGCGCACATCTCGACTGTCCTCACCGGCCGTCAACAACGTTACCAGCAACTTATATATTGCACATTTTCTATCAAGAGACAACAGCGCATTGGCCGCCCGATGTCATGTTCCTGCCTGGGCAGCCATATGCTTCCTACCCATCTTGCGCGCGGGCAACACGGAAAGCGAGCCTGAACTTGCCCTTTGGGAAACCTGAACCTGAACCTGGACTTGGCTAACTTAGAACTGGATCTGAACCCTGCAGCCCCGCCAAATTCAATTACCACCCCTTGGGCATCCCTCACTTGTTACTTAGGACTCTCCCAGTTGCCAAGCCCGCCTACCACCAATGCTCTCCTTCTCCTTCTCCTGCTCCTGCTTCTCCTCCTCCTCCTTCTCTCCACCATCACCACAACCCGCCGCCGTCACCCACTACCGTGACGCTGCAACCCCTTTGCCGCATATCTGGGCACTCAGCAAGCCTCTCTTCCCGTCTGCCCGCCCGCCACTGTCCCACGCTCTGCCCTAGGAACCGCCGCTGCCCCAGGAGGAGAAGCGCGGCCCCCCCTTTCGCCGACGGCCGCGGCCCCGGCCTGGAATATAGGCCGTCGCTCCCTCGCAGATGAGAGCGCCCGCACCCCGTCGTTGCTTGCGTCCGACTCGAGCCACCAGGAGCTGCTCGTCGGCAATGGCCAACGGCTGTCGTCGTCACTGCTGATTACGCCGACCATACCCCTCGACGCCATGGTCCCGGATCCTGCACACAATTCCGACCCCCGCGTTCCTGCGTCTGCCTCAGCCTCGGCCCTGGCCGCCGCCGCCGTCTCCCACTCCCATTTCCATGCACAGCTCAACCGCGCCGGCGTCATGACCTCGTCCGACAACCTACCCCCGTCTTCCCACGAGGGCTCCGTCGCGGCCTCCATGTCCACCACCGACACCTCGCCCAAGCCGCGCGGCGCCGCCCCTAAACCCCTCATCATCCGCAACGGCCGCACCTACATCCACCCCGAGCAGCTGTCGTACCCGCTGCCCGTCGACCTCGCCGAGCTGCACCGCCAGTCGCTCCGCACCCTCCTCCTGTTCCAGCTCTTCGGCGGTCCCATCATCTCCACCGCCTTCTCCGCCAAGCCTCCGCAGCGCATCCTCGAGGTCGGCTGCGGCTCCGGCTTCTGGAGCATGATGTGCCACCGCTACTTTGCCCAGCACGGCCATGGCCAGATCTCCTTCACCGGCATGGACATCGTGCCCCTGTGCGGCACCGGCCCCGATCCCAACTCCAAGCCCGACAAGGACATGAACTGGCGCTTCATACAGCACGACATGCGCCGTACTCCATGGCCCCTCCAGGACGGCGAGTTCGACCTCGTCATGGTCAAGGACATGTCCTGCACTGCTCCGGGCCAGTACCATCAAGTTTTCATGGACGAGTATCTGCGCGTTCTCAAGCCGGGCGGCGTCCTCGAGATGTGGGAGACGGACATGAGCATACGCATGCTGCGACCGCACGTGCCGGCGTCCTCCTCGGCCCTCCCCACCGAAGACACCGAGTCGGACAGCGAAAACGACACCGAGGATGATGCGTCGAGGTTGGGTGCCTACGTCGTCACCGCCAACACGCCGCTGTCGGCTCCTCTAAACCCATTCCTTGTCGAGTACAACGGCTGGCTAAGCAAGGCTCTCGATAAGCGCTTCCTCTCGGCCGTACCGTGTACCTTGATCGGCCCCATGCTCCTTCAGGAAGACGGTCTCGTCGAGGTGCGGTCCAAACGCCTGGCGGTACCCTTGTCCGAGGTGCGTTGGGAACGCGAGGGCGTAGGTGGTGTGGTGACCAAGGACGGCAAGAGCTACATCGACAGTATGAAGGGCAAGGGCAAGGCCGGGGACTCCAAAACCGCAAAGGGGGGCAAGGCCCTGAGCTTGGCACAGGCGGCCATTAGGAGGACGGCACTTGAGACGAGCGTCGGTCTGATACAGGCTCTGGAGCCCATGTTGAGGGAAACCAGTGGCAAAAGTCAAGACGAATGGGACGGCTGGACGGGCAAGATGATGAATGATCTGCTCAAGGAGGGCGGCACAAGCTGGGGAGAGTGTCTGGAGATCGGCGCTTGGAGCGCCAAGAAGAAGAAGTAACTGAGCGTGGCCATCGGTCTTGGATACCTGGTCTACGTAGTGATTTGTGCTACTTCTTTCAACACCAGCCTCTTCTGTGGGTCCTGGCTTCAGGCAGGACGGGCTATATCAGCACATTACATCGGCGTTCTAGCAGCGCCAGCTCCGGCTCCTTCGTCCGCCCCGGCACGACCGAGATCTGTCTGCTTGCTGCCGCCGCCACGCTGTCTATTTAGCGGGCTGCTGATGAGATCCTCCATTATGCCAGTGAGCTGAGGTTCCGAACTTGTCACCACCCGTAGCCGCTTCTCAGCTCGCATCATACCTTTTCCGCAGAGCACGGTACCGTTTGAGATAATATCTGCATGGACGGATTAGTCTTCTAGATTTTTCAAGAGCCCCAGTGGCAGGCCGATTGGGGGTTGCGCTGAAGGGGTATAGAAAGTTGGACCCTATTCTGAAGATATGGATATAAGAAGGGTACATAGCTGTCCTCGTTTTGGCGTATGCTTGGACGGGCTCCATCTATACTGATGTGAAGACAGTTTGACGCATCCATGTGGTGGTCGATGTATATAAGGACGGGGCGATATCAGTGCAGTGGCACGGGATATGGACTCAACATAATATATTTTGGGAAAGGTTGGCTGAGAGAAACTGGGTAGGTGGATGGGTGGGCATATGCCGTTCACAAGGCACGGTGTTATAGATCATCGGGACCGCTTCATATTACCCAGTCTTACAATGGAACTTACAATGCTTCGATCTCTGGATGGGCGTGTAAATCGTCAGTCATGTTGCTCAAGCGATGAAGAAATGCCAAAGCCAATCTCAGCCTTGCGGTGTCGGATAGACAGGAAGCACCCCGTCACAGCGGGGCACGAGAGATGCCAAATACCTTTGCGGACGAAATCAGCCCTGGCGATGCCTTTGCGAATCTCCTCGTCGTCGCGCACCTGGGCATTTGCCATGAAGGCCTTGTGCAGCCGTGGGCGGAAGTAGTCGAAGCCCAGAGGGTACTCCTTGCCGAGGTGCAGGAGTTCTAGCACATGTTATTCAAGCTGCCAATTGCCAATGCGCGCAAGAGTCCCACGGTCTGCGGTTGAACAAACCTTTGTAGATGGCTATGACTTGTCTCCTGAGGGTTGGGTTCGGCGCCGACATCCTTGAATGGGATCGCTCTCGTCTCTTGGGGTAGGGTCGAGAATGACGACGGCGGCTCTTGATGACATCTAACTTGACTAATTTCACCGTCGGGGAGCCGCTAAAGGCCAATTGCAAGGCTGTCCAATGGGAGTATATGTAGAGCTGCTTGAGAATTGCGGTGCGAGAGCCGGTGACTGAGTGGGCGGTGCGTTGTATACGGGCAGTGGGTGGAGCTCCAAGACCTCGGCAGCCGGTGACGCCATGGTTGTATTTACCTGGGTGTTGGTCGTCCGGCTGTATCTCAGTCCCAAGGCCTACAGATTAGGTAAGCCCGCCCGCTACACGCCGGATCATCGTCGCCATTCCGGCTTGAGAATCACGGTCGTATAGTAACCATTCTACCTTGCTCAACTTGTAAGACTTATATCTCGCTGAAGTCAGCTCAATCTTGGTCTTCTGGAGAGACTTCGTGGCACAATGGCCTGCCGCGCCCGCCTGAAGCCACGTGGTGCGGCGTTCCCCTGGCCGGTCACGGCCCTGCCGCGCCCCGGCGCAACTCCGTCGTACCTCGGACCTCACAGCTGCTTTCATCGGCGCAGGCTGGCAACGTCTTCTGCCGCCCCCGAGGCGCCTCCCGCCAGGTGGCATGCCGACTTGAAAACGAGGCTAGGGAAATGCATCATCTTCGGATGCACTCCGCCGCAGGTGCAACGAGCCGCGGGCGTGCTGCGTGCCGTGGCCCAAGAATGGCGCACCTTGACTGCGGGTAGTGAGGGTTTCCTTACCGGCGGTCTAAGAGGTCTGGAAGACCAGGCCGTTGTCTGGGGTGAAATGGATAGTTTCGTAAGTTGCGGCTTTCTTCTCACTTCTAAACAACTCATCCGGCCGCCCCGACCGAGACACTCGCCTGGGATTCCATGCCGAACAGGAAGAGGATATGTACTAACATGCCGGCGTAGCAACACGTCAACAATGCGACCTATATCCGGTATGCGGAGTCAGCTCGTGTGAACTGGATCACACATTTCGCCTCTGTTGACCCGTCTCACGGATCCGAATGGAGGAAACTCATGACGCCTCGCGCCACGGGCCTCATCCTGAAGAGCATCAAGGCCGATTACAAATTTGTAGGTTCTGTAACAACATGAAAAGGAAAGGTCAGCACTGAGACAAGGGAAATCCCCTCACAGCCGCTAGTATACCCAGATCGCGTATCCGTATACCACAAGCTACGCTCCCTGCCGTCTGCTTCTGATACGTCGCTTGTTCTTGACTGTATAATACTTTCACACAAGCACCGGCGCATTGCCGCCCGCACGGAGGAAGACATTGTGATTTACGACTACAAGGCGGCTAGCAAGACGACGATGCCGCCTTTTGTACTGGGGGTGTTCCAGGACACCTGGCAACGACAGGTAGACGAGATGGCAAGAGCGAGGCAAAGAATTTGGCAGTTGGTTGGGGAGGTCGAGTCGTTAGAAAAAGAAACATGGAACCGCGAGGATGCGGTTGAAGACTTGGGTGCTGCAGCATAGAGATCCGCCCTCATTTACTTTGACCATAGAGATATTGGTTGCAACACGCCGCTGTATAGTGTCGAAACGGATCATCTATAAAGTCAGTGAAACCACCGGAACAATCAAGTGACGATGCTCGTAAATTGCTCTAATCGTGGTAGCGCCATGACCGTTTCGGACAGCCGCATCAAGTCAGTAACCAGATCAGGCTGTCGACGACCCCATAATTAGCAAGCCGAAATGACAATGCGATCGATGTTCTCTGTCGTCAACGTCTTCACAAAAACTTGTGCCACGTGAGTGGTCCATGGTGGATAGAATAGGGGAGCACGGTGGCCCTGAGCTCTCCAGTCACAAATCTCATCTGAGAAGTGATCCATGTCAAGGTCCGATGCCGTAAGGGGGTCAGATCTAGGAAGATGGGCTTGAACTACATGAGGATATATCTCTGGTCCTGGAACATGCCGCTACATTTGGTTGGTGGTTCAAATATTGGTTGTGGACGACTTATCTGTACTGCTCATACACTGCTAGAGACGGGACAGCGAACCATGTACCAGTCGTACACCTTCAGCTGTCATGGGATATCCACACAGAAAGCATGAACTCAACTGGCATCTAAAGCGGTTGCATTTTGGAGGACAGGCTTGTCGCCCAGCTCCATTGGTTTCGACGGAGGTGATATCTGGCTTTCGTCATCATCCATACACTATGAAAAATCACAGTAGCTGATCCTAGTTGAGCTGGTGATATCCGCAACGCTGTGTCAAACAAGACGGATAACCTCATTTGGTTCCACCACAGGTGACTGCAGATGTCTCTGGGTTCATCAGCACGTTACATTAGACGAGACACTTGCCTATATACGACCACCGCGCTGAGCTCACACCCCACAAGCCGAGCGCCAGTTCAGATGGCTTCATGGCCATCTCGTATTGTGGATGTATGATATACCAAACTATGTTTAAAGTCACTGAGTCTAGAAACAAAGCTGACCTTGTCTGCACGAAGTAAGTCAAGTTCTCCGTTTCATCGCAGACTTTATAGAACTACGTTCAACTTGAATCGTGTTCTACTAACATTAGGCCTTGCAACCCGAAACCTTCCAGGCCATGCCACTACCGAGGACTCTCGACGGCTTAGTGTTTGCTGTCTTAAGCATGTTATATGTGTTATATGCACGGGTCCGCAGCAATTACAAGTTTGATTCAACTCCAAGTCGTATATACTTGCACGATCATTCCGTAGCCGTGGCCTTGAATTTTGTGTACAAGGTCCAAGAGACTAGTTGAGGAACTTGTAATCGGAGTGCGTACAAGACATCGTTTGGTCTATACCGTGGTCAGTTTATTTTAATTTCTAGGAGCTCTTCAAAAGTGTCTCTCAGGCGAAACAAATTGACGGAAAAGTCGTGGCTCCTATTGTTACACAACGCAAGGTTTATAACCATGACATTGAGGCGAAGTGGAAAGGACAAACTGGGTGAGACACATAATAAGCAGAGTCCAATTCCAGCGAATCAGAGATCGGCATGTCAATGAACAGCATAGCATGGCTGGCCACTCGGGTCTACGCGAGTTGGGGCAGCCAACCTACAAGCAGTACAAAGCAGCCTCTCAGTTCGGCGGCTTCAAATGCAACCCACCCCCCTTCGTCGTACTGTGCATTCACCCCTGAGCGGCGGTGTTCAAATGCCGATAGGGCAACAAGCTGGCCTTACCCCATGATACCTAGCGCTCGGCAAGAAGTTGGTGTGGAGGGCGCAAATAGGTAACAATCGGTTGACGCGCTGCGTGGGGTATCACTTCCACACCTGCTCCGAATTGGCTGGCAATTGTGCGACCTGGACAAACCATACAAAGCCCTGGTTCGACTTGCATTGCATGCTTGGCGAGAATTTCCAAAGGCGAAGGAGCGGTCAGATAAGGGCCTTCACTGGTATACAAACGCAAACGTCAGATAATGTTCCAATAGTAGCAGGGAAGATTTGATGGAGGGAAGCCTTGCCGTTTGCCAATCCCGGCACTGATCAGTACTGACCTGAAATGACACAGGTGCCGTTGGATCAGAACCATGATTGCAATACGAGTCCTTATAGTAGCATCGTCTTGCTATACTGTATGATGGCACCCCTGTATCACAGGACTTGCATGCGCAGAGCAAGACACTATGTCGGGCCTGGGATACCCATGGCATGCGCCATGCTCAGTGTATCATGCCGGGTTCTAGTCCACCCATGGTAAAATGACAAAAGCTGCCGACAGGTTGTATGGGAATACCCCGCAGTCGAGGAACTACGAGAGAAATGTATTGCGAGAGGATAGGTTCAGGATTATCACGGTACATATTGCCTCGTGTTATTCCACCTGGCAGGTATCGCGTGATACCGTTGTCCTGCTGCATATAGAGCCGGCACGATTTCAACATATGCTTGGGCCCTCGTCCAATCCTGCTGCATACTGGACGTTCATTACCTGATCAAGGCCTTCGGAGCAACACAACTGATAAGTGGTATACAACAGATGGGCATATCTTGACAACTGACTTACACAATTGGCAATGCTGACAGGCTCTGTCAAGTCAGTCCACCATGGGATTGCTCTTTTAGCAGGGATCGACAATGCAGAGTTAAATTTGCTGCTTACTGAGTGGCCGCCAGTGGGCTCGCATGACTTGAATTGGGCTCCGCTGCGCTCCACAGACGATGCTCCTCTTGAGTGGTGCAGCCAGTGAGAAGCCGCACCCGGGTCGGGAAACTGGGAAATGCCGGCTGCATAGGGATCTCTAGCGGATAACCTTGTCTGGTCTGGTCGTCAATCGTGCCGACGATCTGATGATTGCACGGAGGGGATAAGGTGCCCCGCGTTGGCATTCTCGCTATGTGTGCTTGGCCGCTGAGCGCCTGCTCGTGCCAGGCGGCGGCAGGGCCGAAAGGCCGGATCAGATATTGGATTACGATGGCCGACACCGTTCGCGGGATGTCAGGGAACAAACGGTGTCATAATTATGGGTAGCAGAGCGCAGCATCACGACGACCTCAGTGCTCTGTACCTGCTCAAGCATATACGTACCTGTAGGTAGTACAGTTCTGACAGCATAGCATGTGCAAATGTTAGGCTGCCACAGCGGCGCTACTGCAAGAGCAAGCTCTGCAACACATGTACGGTGGCGGGCGTTTATCTGGGGTCGGGGGGACAGCCTGACATGGGAAGCAAGGAAAAAGTGCCTGGCGGCCGGCGCGATGTCGAAACAAGCTCAGCGGCCGGTGGTGGCACATCTTTATTCGACGGCAAGCTCGTGGACGCGGCAAGGGAGCCTCTCTCTGTGCTCGACATTCGTTTTCATGTCCTCTCGAAACTGCATGTAATGATGATGGATTGCATACCTAAGTTACCTGGCGGGGAGATCACGGTTGGCAGGCAAAACATTTGACACTGGCGTGCACCAATGGGCAACGAGGAAAGTAAGATACTAGTGCTGTGTAGTTACGTGAAGAAATCCATGCAAGTGGAGTGAACTACTGGAAACCAGAAGGAAGGAAGAAAAAATAGAAAGAAAAAAAAATATCAAGGCAGAACCAAAGCCGCCGGTAGTTGTGCTAGTCGGCTCTCGCCCTGCCATGTACTAATTATCAATGCAGTGGCTACCGAAGTAACTCGTACTCGGGGTGCAACTAACAGTACTCGCTCGGCCTCGCTGCTCGCCTTGCTCGTGGAAACGACGTGAGTCAGTCAGTTGGCCGCTCGGGCCGTGGCCAATATTGACAGACGATCCTCGAATCTTCAATGCTATGTACTAGGCCATGCTCTGCATCCATGCCACCAATTAACAGTGAGTTATGTACTGTACGGCATCCACCAACCGCACTGGACGGGAGAATTCCGTCTGACCAGAATAGTGCACGCTTGCTGTCATGCTGCGTAGGATCTACCAGGTCGGCGCAGTCCTAGGCGGCATGTTGTGTCGTGCTTACTTACATCCGTCTATCCCAGTCAAGGCATCTGCCAACAATACTGGGCTGCCTGTCTGGTGTCTTTCAGTGGAGCCTGGAGCAAGGTGAGATGATGATGCCTTCACCGGCTTTCAGAGGTGTCGCAAGCCCTATGCAGGTTCGGTGGTCAGAGCAGAGACACAGGTTCCAGGTGTATCGGCAACCAATTGATATTCGGGAGGAGTGTGGTGCTTGCTACTATTGTAATGTACTTTTGCGCCATACTGCAAATCCAGCTAACGTGGGTACCTAGGTACATTTGCCTAAAGGTATGGATGCCGCGGTAGTCTTTTGGGGCCACAAGCGCCTTTGGTACGATTTACAAAGGTCGGGAATATAGCAGTATGTGCCTCTACATATGTCTGCAATTGACCTCCATGGTCGCAAACAGGCCTGCGTCTAGGAGAGGAGCAAGAAGAAGAAAAGAAAAGAAAAAATTCAGACGGATACTGATCTGTACCGAGTGTATAGAAGGCCCTATTAATGTACCTAAATGTCTTGGCAGACTGGAAACAAGCACCAGAGGCGGGCACAGATTGACAGAGGGCGACCAGTAGCCCAATACCACAGGGGGCCAGGGCCCTCCGCAGACGCCGGTAGACGCTAAGCAGGTCCCTAATAAGGTACCCGGCGCCTTCGCCTGCGGGCCACTGACACCGCCCGCGGCTGCTGTGCCCTCTGGTTACTTGAACCAAGCCTTCCCCAAAGCCACGCTTTCCCACATGCACTAGGCAAAGGTAGAGAATTCCACACTCGATCCGATTCGATTCCCATTTCTTCCACATCCACCCCCCCCCGACGACGTCCGGACAACAGGACCATCACCACACGTCCCAACACGACCGCCCCCGTCCCATCGAAACGCCCAGGAGCCCTCGTGCTGCCTTCACCGCATCCCACCCGCAAACAATCACGACGGTGGAAGCGAGACCCGGGCCCTCCCCCCTCCTGACTGTCTCTCATGACGCCCCTCAACCTCCCGGAATAATCACCGTGCTGTTCCGGGAAGGACACGAGACCACAGGCCCCAACCCGACGACAGCGATAGCGAGAGCGAGAGGGAAGAGGGAAGAGGCAACGGCCCCGATCCGACCCCGACTGCTGGACTTGCATTCGACAGCTGGACTGGCTCGCCTCGGGTCGGAACAGCGCCTCCACGAGTGCTTTCTATGCCTCGCCCCTCGGCATCGGCAAAGCGACAGCAGGGTGCCGCCAACCAGCGCGACACGAGACACGAAGCCGGCTCCGTCGGCCCCGGGAGGCGCATCTCCAAGCAGAAGAGCCAGGGCCAGCTACCCCCGTCCGTCGACGCGTCCGCCGCTCGAACGCCCGACGCCGGCCTGCCTACTGTCGCGAACAACGCCAGCCCGGCTGCCAACCATGGCTCCTCGACCCCCGTGCCCCCCGTCCCCGCCACGCCGCCGCGCCAGCTCAACGGCTACTCCAAGCAGCCCGCCGACATGGCCTCGGACTCTCCCCGGCGGCCCTCTGTAGGCACCTACTCTGAGTCTGACGAGTCCGAGTCCTTCGCTGCCACCGCCGGCCTGGGCTCGCCCGAGGAGTCCCATCGCCGCATCGATGTCAATGCCACCAAGAACTCCAACGTCCACCGCGACCCCGGCCCCTTGGATTTTGCCCTGACTGTTCTGCGCTCGTGCCCCTTGCAGGACACTATTGCCATCCTCATCATCCTGATGCAGATCCCCCCCATTGCCCTGTCGGGCATCTACATGCTGTTCACCCTCTTGACCTTTGTGACCACCAACAACGGTCTGACCCTGAGCGACGTCTTCGAGTGGAATCTCGGTGCCCCCTCTGTGGCCACCGTCGTCTGCGTCGATGGTATCGTGCTGCTGATCTGGCTGTTCCTATGGGGCCCCATACAACATGTCATACTGGATCTGGCTCAGATGGTCATTGCTCTAGGCCTGGGCGGCGGCTCGAGCTCGAGAGATGGAGGCTCCATGAAGAATAGCCTGATCTGCCTCAGCATGATCCTGCTCTCCCACGTCCTGCGTCACACCAAGATGAAGTACTCGCCCGTAGGCTACCTGCTCGGGTCCAGCCGCTTCATGACCCCCGATCTAGACGACCCGCTCGAGTCGCTCGAGTCCATACGGGGATATGACAAGGTCAGATCGGGCTGGGTGAATTGGGTCCGTAGCGTGCTGGCAATTCACATTCTCACGCAGGGCTTGGTCAAGTACATACGAGACTGGTATCTACGGAGGGAGCGGCGTGATAATCTCGCCCAGACGGTAGATCCAGAGGCCGGCAAGCCTTATGCCGGTGATCTGTCTACCGACGGCGGCTTTTCGACCCCCGATAGCGACGCAGCCTCCCTCCAACCCCAGGCCGCGTGTAATACGAAAAAGAAGAGAAAACAGAGTGCCCAGATTCGAAACCGGCAGCCCCTATGGGCTGCCATAGCCAGCACCAAGATTGTTGTGGTCAAGGAGTACGAACTGACCCACAGCACTGTTGATTCCGCTGGATCCAATGCCACCGATATCCACAACCTGGGGAACGCCCCTTTCAACACCGAGCCCGAGCAGATCTGGGTCTCCTATGTCGGTTGCGATGAGGTTTGTTTCAATACCAGTCACTTCCCGCACCACGTGCCCTCGCACGACGCTCAGGAGAACGAGTCATCGTCGGCCAAGGACCACCTTAGCAAGCCCTTCTACGTGCGTGTCAACAATGCCGTTTGGCAACCGACGCGCATTACTGCTGTACGCGACCCCAGCCGGGAGGGCCCCCAAGCCGTCACGTGGAGCGGAGATATCTACGGCTTGACCCCTCTGTCCAACTACGAGTGCGAATTCGTTAGCACTGCCACCCACGAGGTCCTATATTCCACAAGTGTCAGGACCACGCGGGCCAAGACTGCAGACATTGATGCCGCTACTGCTAAGCCCAATGGCCAAAATTCTCTGCGACCGGACTCCCCGACGACAACTCTCAAGACGTCCATTGCTGCATCTGAGGTCAAGCTGGCTGAGGAGAAGTCGCGCCAGAAGGCTCTCCGGAAGGAATGGCACCGCAAAGCAAATGCCCTCAAGAAGGAGAATGAGAAGCTCTCGGCCGCTGTCCAGTCGGCTGGCGCTGGTGATGATAAGCTGCGCCAGAAGGTGCAACAGAATTCAACCCAGCAGAAGCAGGCCGAACAGGCTATGGCGAGTTTGGAAACCGAGTTGAAGGAGTTTGAAGCCATCCCAGAGTCTCTGCGGTCAGCATGGAAGACCAAGCAGTCCGAGTACAGCAGCGAGAAATGCAAATACGACCAGGCCCTGTCAGAGTTCAAAAGCTTTAAGGCCACCGTCGACGGCCAGGTCAAGTCACTGATGGATGAGAAAGCCAGTCTAGAAGCCAAACGCAACAAGATCAGCAGCCGTATTGCCAAGGTCGATGGGGAGCATGCCCGCATTGCTGATGCCAACGCCCGTGGACTTGATGAGGCCGAGCGACGCCGCCAGGACCGCGCAACCTTTGAGGCTGGTGCCGCCAGTGCCGAGCGCGCCTTGTTAACCACCATCAACGAACTCGAGGCCCAGTATATGCAGCGAGATGAGGTCATGTCGGCGATGAAGGCCCAGCTCGATGCTTTCCACAGTCAGCAGCAGTCTGCCTTCTACAACGGTTCTTACGACTACGCCGATCCCGCCGTGATGGGTCACCTGGCACCCGCCTCGGGCACCACTGGTGCCGGCTCGACAAACCCTGCGCCATATGACGCTGCTGCTGCGTGGAGCAATAGTGCCTACAACGCCTCGCTCTGGGGTCCATCCCCCTTGGCACCTGGTTTTGTACCTCAGTCCTCCGTGTTCTCGCAGAACCCATCTGCCGCCAAGAGGGGCCGGTCCTCATCGATGCTGAGCGACGTGTCCGGCTTCACCCAGTCCAGCGCCAACGACGACGAGTTCTCTTCCATCGTGAAGCCTGCTTCGGCCCGCCTGATCGGCTCTGGCCCGTTCCGCCCTCCTCCTGGGTTTGGATTCCCGCCTTACCAGGGAGATGCGGACGCCATAAGCGATGAGAGCTCAAGTGCAAGCGGGAGCCCAAGCGGTAGTGCAGGCAGCACGGGTAGTGATAGCGTCAGAGATCCGATGAGTCCGCCGCCCAGTTGATTGGGTCGTCTTGGGTCGTCTTTGTTGTGTCCAGAGCCTAGGCAGTAGCCTCTATCCCCAGCGTGTCCGGCTAGGTAGTTTCAATCTTGACGAAAAGTTTTGTTCTCTCTTCATATTTCTGAAAATGCCCAGTATGCTATGTATGCCCTTGGTGACTTCAGCTGGTGACAAACGCTGTTTTTTCTGCGAACCATGTCGATTTCGTCTGGATGTGGCTGAGAATGGACTGAACCCTCTGATGTGAACCCATCACTCCCATTCCGTACTTGGGAGCCTAGCACGACCGGCCATTCAAACTTTATTGCTGGAATGCATGACCAACTGACCGATTGGCAAGTCTATTGCAGGCTTCTGTTGGATGAAGAAGCCAGTGTCTACAGAAGTACAATCCTCCTTGAAACCTTGGTCCTTTTACTTGTTGATGTAGGCGCTGGTCAGAAGGACTCGATTTTTGCTGCTGCGTATATCAATGACCTGATACTTGTCGCCCTCACGAGTGGTCACACACCAAATCTGTTGCATGGTTTTTGTGGTAAGCGTACGTCGTTTCCAAATCATATTGTTGGCGTCTGCTATCAATACATAACTTTGTTTAAGGTGTTGTGCCACACCCGAGAAATGACACCAAAGCACCATAGTTGAGCCTATGATTTTCCAGGCAACGCAACCGTCCGTAGCCCGAAGCTGAGAAACACTCATAGGGTCGGTCCTCCGATATCATGTTGCGGCGGCCGGGCGACGCAAACTGAAGATGTATTACTTTGATGCTGTGTACGAAAATATTTTCAATCCACTTGCTGAACGCCTGGGTAAATTTTCTGCACACGAAGTTTCAACTTGAATGCAGCCTCTACAACCGCTCATACGTTTGGTAGCACGTGTGGCACATACTGTGCCTTGACTGGGAGACATGCAAGACTGTAAACCTTTAGGTCCGCACTATAAACGAATTCAATTCCGTCGATGTATCCAACAACCGTTGTCGAGTGGTTTGTGGCTAGGGGAATACTGCAGGGCCTCCGTTAGGAGACCCTACGTAGTTCTCGTATCTCCCGTAACCTTGCACCCAGCCTACTCACTAGGTTGTTCGTAGTGACTATATGTTTGAGCCGGCGAATATTCGGTTTGAAAAAGTGTATTCAACATTTTCAAGCACCCGTATGAATTGTGTAGTTCAAAAGCCTCCAATCCATCGCAATTTTGGTGGTCCAGAGATATGGGAGAGGCTTACATGCCATCTCTTGCCCATACTTCACAGTGAGTCCATGCTTAGCCTAACGACTGAGTCCAAGTTTTTATAATAAATACGAACACAGAGTCAACCATCAAGCTTTTCTGCCTGTAAGAACTTGATTTACCAAGTCACGTCTCAGACTTTTATGTCAAGCGGACAACAGGCTCAGGGATAACTGACTTCCAACAGACGACATGTTGCCGATTCACTCACTCTGCCGCAATGCAAATCTTAGAAGAGCAGACCACCCAGGAGCATTCCACCAAACAAAGGTGCAGCAAGTGGCATCATCCCGATGCCACCGCCATATCCATATCCGTATGGCCTGTTATAAGCAGTACCAGGTCTGCCATAGGCACCATAACCCGTATATAGTTCATCTGGTCTCACGTACCTTGCTCCGCTCGGTACTGGACCCGGAGGTTCGTAGAATATCTCTTGTATGTAAGGGCTAAGCCTTGCAACCCTCCGAACTCGAATTCCCGGATTAAATCCGGGGGGCTCGAGGTATACTGGTACCCCATTGTCGTCTTCTCCCAGGTACTGCGGCTGGCCAGAGTTCAAGGCTGCCTCTAGACCACGACGGAAGATCTGATGTTGGCGATACATGTCTCGTTCCTGCTGCTCTCGTCGCTGACGCTCAGCGGCGCGCTGTTCATGGGTCGTCCCCGTAAGCTTGTCCTTCATCCGGCGACCCAGGCCTCGGCTGCCCCTGGCATGGCTCGACGAGGCCGTCCCGAGCGGCTGCTTTCCCCGGGAGCCGTGGGCATGATCGTCGCCTTCCTCGTCCGTTGTCTCGGCGGATATGTCCTCCTTGCTGGGACAGCGCATGATGCCGCCGAGGTGCTGTCGCTCCTCGGGCGACACGGAGTTCATGTACTCTTCGTCATCGTAAGGGTGGTGCCAGATGGACCGGGGTGGGTCGGCTCTGGTATCCACGAAGAACTGGTGTTTCGACACGGGGTCAAAGGTCCGAACCCAGCCGTCTGGCAGTGGCCGCGACTCATCCTCGATACTCCGGCGAGCCTGGGGCGTAATGCCGTTCCTTTCGCGACGGGCAAACGACGTAGACCCCGTGGCCTGCTCGTAGGAGGGCGGTTCCGCGTTGGACATGCTTGCTAGATACTGACACAGACAAGGAGCCTCTGAGCAAGTATTCAACTATAATACACAAGTGGCACAGAGCAAATAGCTAATGGTATGAAGGGAATTTCCTCGAAGAAAACATTGGTTACATAGGTAGGCAGCTTATTCGCAATGTCGACGTCATGGGGCCAGCCGCGTTTTACAAACCTTGACCCCTCCATCTAGCTGGTCATATTTCGGGACTCTGGCCCTTCAAGGACGGAATAAGATGTACGAGGCAAGACTGAGATGGCCGTTATTTTTTGTCCAGTTTCGTTGAGTTTTGGTGGCCGAACCTCTCCTGGTCATCGCAACCAGGGGCGTCACAAGGCGTGGCAGGTGGTAGACATTGTTGTTCACAGAGGCCAGCCCCCTGCAAATAGCTGCGGGTCTACCTACTTATTAGTTTGACATAAGTAGAAGTCCTCCAACGAATGAGAAGTCTTCGTGGCTCAGTTGGTTAGAGCGTCAGTCTCATACTCTCCGTATGACTTGATCTGAGTTCAGGATATCTGAAGGTCGTGAGTTCGAGCCTCACCGAGGACATTCGTTTTTTGCTACTGCTTACTTCTTCTAAGATAGATCTCTTGCGCTTGCGCCCTCTCACTCGCTCTTTCATTGGTAATGGTGTAGGTTTTGTTGTTGTTGTTCTTCTTCTTCTTCTTCTTTTCTTTTTTTCTCCCCCCCCCTCTTTCAACTTTTATATATATACGTTCTTTGCTTAAGTTGTTAGATCGCCTGATCCTATGCGTACCCTACACCACGCTGATAATGCGGTGTCGTCACATGTAATAGAGTATAGATTAAAGCCGTGATTCTGTCTATTCCCGAACATTGTCATGCTGCACGGGGCTTGTGTCAGGTAGATCCCAGTTGCTATAGAGATATGGTAGAGGTGAGAAAAGTTGCACTGGCCGCTGGAGACATTTCATGAGCTTACAGGCAGAGACTCAATCATGGGGGGAATTGTATGTGAGGTGGCCACTGCAGCGGCCCCACTTCGCACTCTGAATGCCAGGGCCAGAGCCTTCAGGTGCCATGGCCATGGCCCATGGACCCCCGGGCCACAACCAGCTCAAGCGGAGCGGGGAGGGATCGATCCCCATTGGAGGTGTGCATGTACGTACTAGAATCCCCAATTCGGCGGCCACCTGCAACCTGTTCATATCCATAAGCTTAATACGTACCTGGGATATCGTCCACTTCCCAGCCCACCACCACAACCACCGACACAACACCACTACCCCCATCTGACCCGCCAGGAGGAGGTACACCGCCGTCCCAAGACGACGACGACGACGACGACGACGACGACGCCGCCGACGGAAGGGAGCCGCATCCATCACCACCACGACCACCACCAGAAGACGCAGCAGCCCGACGCACCGCCGAACGTACGCACACACAAACAACCCCCAAGATGAACTACGAGGCTCTGAAGGAGCAGTGGAGCGAGGTCGAGGACCGCGATGGAGTCCGCCTGAGCTGGAATGTCTTCCCCAGCTCGCGCATGGAGGCCTCGCGCCTCGTCGTCCCCATTGGAGCTCTGTACACGCCGCTCAAGGAGAAGCCCGACACGCCGCTGCTGCAGTTCGAGCCCGTGGGTTGCAAGCAGCCCTGCCGCGCCATCCTGAACCCCTTCTGGTACGACGCGCCCGCACTCTTTCGCCCGCTCCCTCTCTACTCTCTCCAAGCCCCTCCCTCTCGCTGCCTGCCTTGTGCTGACTCCTGCTTGCCCGCGCAATTAGCCAAGTAGACGTTCGTGCCCGTCTGTGGATATGCCCCTTCTGCCTGTCGCGGAATCCCTTGCCGCCTCACTACAAGGACATCACTGAGAACGCCATCCCGCCCGAGCTGCACCCCTCCAACACCACCATCGAGTACAGACTGTCGCGCCCGGCCCCGAGCCCCCCTATCTTCCTCTATGTCGTCGACACCTGCCAGGAGGAGGACAGTCTTGCCGCCCTCAAGGAGTCCCTCATCATGAGCTTGAGCTTGCTCCCCGAGAACGCCCTCGTTGGCCTCATCACCTACGGCACCATGGCCCAGGTCCACGAGATCGGCTACAACGAGTGCGCCAAGTCGTACGTCTTCCGCGGTAGCAAAGAGTACGGCGCAAAGCAGGTTCAGGAGATGCTCGGCCTCTTGGGCCCCGGTCTCCGGCCAGGCGTGCCCCAGCAGCCCCAGCAGCAGCAGCCCGGCCGCCCCATGATGCCCATGGGTGCCGCCACTAGATTCCTGCTGCCTGTGCAGCAGTGCGAGTTCCAGCTCACCAAGGCGCTGGAGCAGCTGCAGAAGGACCCCTGGCCCGTTGCCAACGACCGCCGAAGCCAGCGCTGCACCGGCGTCGCCCTCAGCGTCGCCGTCGGCCTCCTCGAGACCTCCTTCCAGAACTCGGGCGGCCGTATCATGCTCTTTGCTGGCGGCCCGGCCACCGAGGGCCCCGGTATGGTCGTCGGCCCCGAGCTGAGGGAGCCCATCCGCTCCCACCACGACATTGACCGTGACAACATCAAGTACTACAAGAAGGCACTCAAGTTCTACGACAACTTGGCCAAGAGGACTGCCCACAATGGCCACATCATAGACATCTTCGCCGGATGTCTCGACCAAGTTGGGCTCTTGGAGATGAAGGGCCTGTGCAACTCTACCGGCGGCCACATGATCCTGACGGACAGCTTCACCTCGTCCATGTTCAAGCAATCCTTCATACGCGTCTTCGAGAAGGATGGCGACGGCAACCTGCTTATGGGTTTCAACGCCCTCTTTGAGGTGCTGACGACCAAGGAGCTCAAGGTCACTGGTTTGATCGGACACGCCGTCTCCATGAACAAGAAGTCGACGTCGGTAGGCGAGACGGAATGCGGCATAGGAAACACGTGCGCGTGGAAGATGTGCGGCATCGATCCGACAGCGAGTTACGGCGTCTACTTTGAGATAGCGAGCCAGGGAGGCCCCACGCAGCACCAGCAGGGGCAACAAAAGGGCCTGATGCAGTTCCTCACGTACTACCAACATTCGGACGGGCAGTTCCACCTGCGCGTGACGACGGTGGCAAGGAACCTCAGCGGTCCGGCCGGCGACCCGGCCATCGCTCAGTCGTTCGACCAGGAGGCCGCCGCGGTACTCATGTCGAGGATTGCTGTCTTCAAGGCCGAGGTAGACGACGGGCCAGATGTGCTGCGGTGGGTCGACCGTATGCTCATCCGCCTGTGTTCTCGGTTTGCCGACTACAGGAAGGACGATCCCTCGTCATTCCGGCTGGAGAAGAACTTTACCCTCTACCCGCAATTCATGTTCCATCTGCGCCGCAGTCAGTTCCTGCAAGTCTTCAACAACTCGCCCGACGAAACCGCATTCTACCGCCACGTACTCAACCACGAGGATGTCAGCAACTCGTTGATCATGATCCAGCCCACGCTGGATTCGTACACCTTCGACCAGGACGGCGGCCAGCCCGTGCTGCTCGACTCGACGTCGATCCAGCCCACGCACATCCTGCTACTCGACACCTTCTTCCACATTCTCATCTTCCACGGCGAGACCATTGCCGAGTGGCGGAAGGCTGGCTACCAAGACCAGGAGGGCTACGAGAACTTTGCAGCTCTTCTGGAGCAGCCCAAGGAGGATGCCCGGGACCTTATCGGCGACCGCTTCCCGCTGCCTCGCTTTATTGTCTGCGATGCCGGCGGCTCCCAGGCTCGGTTCTTGTTGTCCAAGCTGAACCCCTCGACCACCCACACCACGGGCGCCTACGGAGGAGTAGGAGCACAGACGGCGCAGACCATCTTCACCGACGATGTGTCGCTCCAGACATTCATGGATCACTTGATGAAGCTGGCCGTGAGCGGAACCAACTAAGGAACCCGTCGTACTTTCAGTCGGCGCAGGGAAGGTGGAAAGGAGAAAGGGGGTCCTTTTAGATTTAAGCGCCGTGTCAAGATACCGCACAACATGTTTTATTCTCTAGAAGCCTCCGATGGCATGCATAATGATACGCAATGATGATGGGCCGCCGCCGCCGCCGCTGCTGCTGCCGCTCATGCTTATACCGCGACCGTTGGCCACATCCTTGACATTCTGCTTGCCATTCCTAGTGCATAGCTCAGTCGTGATTATCAAAACGGGGGAGACCCAGGCGACATGGAAACGCATGCCGCCGATGCCAGTTCCACCTGGACGAGCGATGGTGCGTTATGCTGAGAAAATGTATAAGATGCATAGACAGGGTAGACGTCCTGTAGCCCATATGCTGTTATGAGGTTAATCAGCCTTATAATAGACAAGCAAACCTTCCTCCTGCCCAGGGGGCAACTACGTGCCCTTCCAGTATGCAGAGACTGCTATCAAGTGTGTCTTGTTTCGCTCCGTGGATGTATGCCTTGCCCCATTCCTCCCAACCTGCTTTGACTACCCATTGCGAACCTAGGTGCATGGCCCGGGAAATGAGGAGTAGGTGGTTGAACTTGATTTCAAGCCTTCAGTTACGCATCCGATTAGGTGCGTAACCGTGGCAGCTCAGTCTTATTCAACCTATGCAAAATATGCATGCATGCCAGAGAGTGCGGTTGGACACCGATAAGAACAGATAAGCGCGGGGGCCCACTTTCGCACTCGCACGCCGCAAAAATCGACTCCTCCCATCTAGGGCTCTCAAACCCCACAAACTACCCGAGTTTTGGTCCTGCAACTTTTTCCCCTGCCTGCCCAAGTTCGACTCGGCGCCTTGAGAAATCGTGAGGGCCCAGCTTACATCAATTCACCAACCCGACCGATCGAACGTCAAGACAACCGTCGCCATGCGTGAGTACACCGTCTCGGACTGCTGTCCTCGCTGCCAGTCCCGCCCGGAAACTGACCCCCGTGCGCAGCTCCCAAGTTCGACCCCAATGAGATCAAGGTGATGTACGTACACTGCCCGCGACCACGACCGAATCGCACGATCCCCAGCCCTCCTGCGACCGCGACGGAAAGCACCGCGGCAGCCGCCAGCTCGGCAACCAACCTTCGGTTGTAGCCATGACAAGAGAACCCGAGACTGACAATCGTGCACAGCACCCTCCGCGCCACCGGAGGTGAGGTCGGTGCCTCGTCCGCCCTGGCTCCCAAGATCGGTCCCCTCGGTCTGTCTCCCAAGAAGGTCGGAGAAGATATCGCCAAGGCTACTGGCGACTGGGTATGACATGCCAACAACATCCCCGCCGGCTATACGAAGAATCCGAGACTGATCATTTGTTTTTCCACCGCGTACAGAAGGGTCTCCGTGTCACCGTCAAGCTCACCATCCAGAACCGTCAAGCCGCCGTCTCCGTCGTCCCCACTGCTTCGGCACTGGTCATCAAGGCCCTCAAGGAGCCCCCGCGCGACCGCAAGAAGGAGAAGAACATCAAGCACTCCAAGTCTGTACCTCTGGACGAGATCATCGAGATTGCCCGCACAATGCGATACAAGTCCTTCTCCAAGTCGCTCGAGGGTACCGTGAAGGAGGTTCTGGGTACTGCTTTCAGTGTTGGTTGCCAGGTTGACGGACGAAGCCCCAGGGCCGTCACTGACGACATCTCGAGCGGTGCTATTGAGAGTACGTCCTCCCCAACAATTGCCTGCCTCGACTCGCGAGTCTGTTCCCGGCTGACATGACTTCTAGTTCCCGAGGAGTAAAATAGGTTTATGGACAGCCAACACGATTTCCCTTTCCGCATCTTTCTAGGAGTTCAGGAATGGCTTTACATCAGGCCTTGCCAACCAACAAGAATCAAGAAATAAGCCAAGCCGTGTTGGTCCATTTCCTGCGTGATTCGCTCGTGAGAGCACGTTCAACCCCAGTATTTTGTCTGATGACCAATGACCGTTTCAACCCAACCCCTTGCCTACACTCTGAGATATACCCAACTCCCCCGTGGTCTATCTCTATTTCGTGTCAAGGAAGAGATATTGTCCACTTACTCACCGCGGCCCCCTAGCCTGGCGGCCCATGGGGGCCGAGGTCCATCTTTCAATGGTCTACATTTGCTGCCGAAGGAATCAATGACCAACACCACGGTTCTGCTTATACACAAAATGGCTCGCGCGAACGAGAGCTCTTTCGACAAAAAATCACAAATCTCGCATGCCCGGCTGGGCTGGCAGCGCGGAACTAGAAGAAGCTAACATTACCTCGGGTCTGACGATGATTCGACTTCCGTGGTCGCCGCGTGGCAGGAACCTCCTATTCTCTGAGCCCCTTGGCAGTTGACTTCTGTAGATCTCATCTACCTTGGGCTATATTAGAGACATGCCATATCATGTAGATGCCCATGCCTTGAGATCGTAAAAATAATTGACAAGCTGTTGAAGAATATCACCGCATGTATCCATGTTTGAGGTGCTAACAGGCCACGTTTGTAGTGGTTGCACGTTGATGCCGACGAATCCGGTATCGTTTCAAAGGCCCCCCTTCCCCCTGGTCGACTGTGTAACGGCCAGTGAGGTACACGCAACATACGGCTTGGGGCTGTTGGTCATCATCTTCCTCCTGCGCACATGCAAAAGCACGGCAAAGGCATGAAGGATGTGTTGCCACGGATTGTCACCGGCATGGGTTAACGTAGTGGGGTTTTGACGGTCGACATCAGGTGGGATGTAACACTTGCAAATTAAGACTGTATGCTTCGGGGTTTATCCTTCTGTTTTTACAATGATTCGCAAGTCTTCCGCTTCCACGTCCTGCCTCAGTAGCGGCTGGTGCCCGTGACTGGCCCGTAAAGCGTGCTGTGTAGCGAGGTACTTCGTCACTTCTGATTTTGGTGAGTTGGTTGCCTGCCTGGGGCCCTGCTGAGCTTACGAGTGAGCATGGGGGCAAACGCTTGATGATCCTGGTTGATTGCAATTCTCGAAGTGCAACGTACGTGCAGCTTCCATCGTCTCTGTATGCGGGCGTGGTCGCCCACGTCGTGCCGAGTGTCACACACACCTGGCGTTCCATCCCACCCTGAGGCGGGTTGTCGCGGGAGTACTTCGTACACAGTGTAGACAAAAGCGAGGCAGAACATTTCGTGGAATACGCTCGAGGTCATCGACCCCTCGGCGGGGGCATCTCATGACTGGCAACAGTCCCCATGTCTGGCTATTTGTCTCCAGCTTTTCTCACTTGTTGATCCTTCTTCTTTCTCTGACGGGACCATCTCACCAGTGTCGAGTTGTGCATATGCGGGTCCAGGTCGATCCCATGTCCCACCGGTGGGCGCCAAGCAGCCAGGTTACCCTTCCCTGCCGCCCTCCGCCCAGTCACTGGCTTGGCTGGAGGCTGCCAATGCCACCGCCGCCCGAGCGGCCAGGAATCGGCCCAGAAAGCGTACCTAATCAGCTGGTGACGGCGCCTGGTGTGCTCGAGCGGCGGACTGCCGCCTCGATGCAGATTATCTTACATGCCTGGTGTATATACTTGAGCACGCAAATAAGGTTGGTCTAGGCTGCGCCCTTGGATTGCATCTCACTGTGAGATCGTGCCACGGAGTGTCATGTAACTCGACTTACAGGAGGAGAGCTCCAGCTATGTACCACTGTGCAGTGATGGCTTTAGCGGCATGAAATAACGCCTGGGCTGTTATTATTGAGGTGCCTAGGGGGGCCCTAGCGACGGGTAGCCGTCCAATCCGTTCGTTGGATCTGCAGACGACTTCCAGCACTTCCAAGGTTCTTTTTGCTTCTTGCCTCCCTCCCAACCCCAGCCCATTTTCTGACATACAGTACGAGTTACATGACATTACATACCTGCCTGCACGCCTGACGGGGCTGACGGTGGACGGACGGACAGACAGAGTGGACAGCCAGCAAGTAATAATAACAATTCTGTCTATCCCACGCAGCGGCTGCGGTTCCCTCCAGCCCAGCCCAGCCCAATCGACAGGGTGCCCCCTCCCTCCCCTCCCCTTCTGGTCCCACGACTGGATTCCTCCCCGGAATGGATGGTGTGCTCTGATCTGTAATCTCCACCAGTCTTCCGTTTTCCGGATCGCACGCTGCTCCATTCACTGATTCATTGTTGGACGTTTACACATCGAGACTTGGTGCCGGCTGCGAACTTGCGGGAACTTGCTATAGTCCTGTCGATACCGGCTTCATCGAGGACAGGTCCCGCGCGGCAACCACCTACAGCAAATACTAACCAACAGTTGCTGCTGCTCCCCTTATTATTAGTTAGAAACCTTCCCCACGCCCAAACTCAACTAGTGATAAGCTCACCGAGTCTAATGACAACCGCCACTCCCTAGTTTTTTGAGGCGCCAACCACGAGAGCTGTCCCTGCCTGCGACGCGACCAGCGAGAGACGGACTGAGATATCTAGAGACGCACGCACACGCGAGAGAGGGAGAACTGAGAGCGAGAGGGAGAGAGAGACCGTCTTCTCCCCGCCGCTCTCGTCGTCGTCCGTCCTCCACCTTCATCACTGCCGCGTTACCACCCCGGTGCCAACGCCTACGACGGAAACGATCTCCAACGCCCAGGTTCCCGCGGATCCCTCTTCTTCGGCCGCCGTCCCTCGTTGTCCCGAACCCCTCCGTCTCCAAGTAGGCCGCTTGGTCGTCGTTATACATCACGGAGGGCAGGGACAACCCGTGGAAACGAGACGGCTTGAGACCGCACCCCGAGTACCTGGCCGATCGTGCCCTCACTTCTCCTGGCGCCCAAATGCATAGTGGCTCGCTCTCGCCCAGCCGTGCTCCTCCCGGCTGGCTATAGCGCAGGTGTCTTTTCGTCGTTCACGCTCCTTTGGAAACCATCTCTCAGATGCTGCCGCTCGTCCAGACGCACCAGATGGTGCAGCCCTCGTCCCATTTCGACGCGACCTTGCCCTTCCGCCACCGCTATTCTTACCATGCCCAGCATCCTCACCCTCCCAAGCATGGCCCGCTGTCGTCCCATCGCGCCTTTCCCATTCGCGCCACCCAGCCGCCGCTGTCCTTGGCACCGCACCTGCAGCATCCCGACGGTCGCGAGTATTCCCTGAGGAGGAAGACCCCCAACGGGACCATCGATGCAGGCTACGATGGTACCCCAGCCCAGCTCGCGTCTGGCCCGCCGCCGTTGAAGCACATGATCCTGCCGGGCGCGGGCAATCTGCCGTCCGCCTCGGATTACGAGTATACCGTTGCCGGCCCCGTGAGCTGGCCCCCTCGGGCCCCGGGGTCGGGTGACTACGCCGAGCCCAGGGCGTTCAACAACTCCGACAACCACCCGATGGCCCCCGGCGCTGGCTGGCAATACCGTATGGATCATGGCCCGCCTCCTCCTGGCCTCGCCTTGGATTGTGCCCCCAACGCTCCGTCGGCGGCCTACTATCCGTATACCAACGGTCTACGGGTTCCAACAGTTGCGCAGCCCACGTACCAGCAATCCCCTGGACCGGCAATCTTCAACAATGGCGGTCTGGCTCCCCTGCCTCTGTGGCCAGATATGAACGCGCAGTATATTGAGCCTACAGCGTACGGGGTGCCCTCGATCCAGTCCATGAACCGGCAATCTTTACATTCGTCGATTCCATTTGCGGCATCGGCGCAACGCGAGCATAGGCTTGATGTTTCTCATATGAATTTGCAGGCGCCAGCACAGAGGCTTGAATCTCTCAGTCTTGAATCGGAAAGATATGATCTCGCTGAAAGTCAGATACCCGACAAGTCATCCCCATCGCGCTTTCGAGAAAAGGCACTGGCGAATGCACACCGTGCGTACATAGACCTGTTGGCCTTCCTACACTCGAGCAAAAAGACGGGCTCTGGCCGCTCGTCTAATGGCAGTCGATCTTCCTCAAAGATGGTCATATTTCCAAAGCTCCCCAACCCCCCGAAGCAAACCGCTTCGGCGCCTGGGCTTCACCACCGAGGGAGTTCCCATAATGGCTATAGCAGCTCGGCTGGCTTCTCCGTGCCTCCTTACTCTTACGCGTCCCATGCTCACGTGGGCATGTCTGAAATGCTCCCCGTGTCACACGATCCAAGGCTACACGGTGCTGGAGGGGTCGGCGATGTCACCAACACTGCATTCTACCATTTGTTTAACGAGGGATCTCGGTACGCTGCCCCTGAGCCGCCCCGACCCATGGTTGCCCATACACCGGTCTCGAGCGCAAAGGCTGCTTCTGAGATGCTCCACCACTTGTGTGAACAGAGTGGCTGGAAGTGGGTAGATGGGATGCTCCTGGGTGGCTGCCTTCATTACGGACTGGAGAGGTATGAACAAGCTCTGGAATGGTTCTCTAGAATCACGACCATCGATGGCGGGTAAGTATTCGCGCCGAACCTGCTGTGGATCGTGACTGATTCTTTCATATTATCTAGTCACGTGGAGGCTTTATCGAATGTAGCTGCGACATTATACTGCTTACAGCGCAATGATGAAGCGGAGAGGTATTGGATGCTGGCTGTCAAGCTGAAGCCGAGCTATCTCGATGCTGTCGAGCATCTAGTCGGGCTTCTCTGCTCAAATCAGAGGAGCAAGGAAGCTGTGGACATCATTAGTTTTGTCCAAAATTCTCTGCGTCTGCAGGCCTCGTCCAAGAATGCTGTCTCGGGGCCCCCTCTCACCTCTGCAGGCCATGGTCTGTCATACTCTTCATCTGGGGGTAGTTTGTTCGCCGCCAGCAATCGAGTGCAGAACCACGCATTCGAGGACAATCCAGCACACCTGGACCAACCTGGATATGGCTCTAGTGGGTATGATGTGGCTGGCACTGAGAACGGTCGAATGATTGCTTTAATCCATGCCAAAGGCAACATGTTGTACGCGCTCAAGGACATCGATCATGCATCTGAGGCGTTTGAGGAGGCGGTTCTGATTAGTGCTGGGGGAGGAGTGACCTGTGTTCAAGCTCTCATCAGCAGGATACGCTCCGTCTTAGCACCCCCGAATACGTACAACCTCTTTGGCTCCGACAACCAGGCAGGCTCCGCCGGACCGCTCCTGCTACCACCAGAGAAGGCTCGACATACTGCGCAGCTTGTGTTCGCCAATAATGGTGAGCTTCCGGGGTTACGCTTTGTGCCTGCCGGCGCTCCCAGAAAATCTGCGATATCCACAATGAGCAACTCTCTGTTATCGCTGGCCAAGATCTTCCAGGACGGCATGTCTAACGGCGGGTCAGCATTGGGGCTTTTACAGCAACCTCCTGGCGTTGGCGATATCCTCGCCCTCTACTATCTTTCCCTCTCGCTGTCAGAGAGTCCCTCCACCGCCAACAATGTCGGCATCCTTCTTGCTAGTGTCCAACAGTCCAGTGTTCTACAAACCCTTCCAGCGGCTGACAGTTCGAGTAACTCTTCTATCCCTGGAATACAACCAGGAAGCGGGCTTGACCTGGCGCTGGCCTACTACAAGTACGGCCTCAGTCTCGATCCCAAACACGTGCACCTGCATACCAATCTTGGGAGCCTTTTGAAGGATATAGGTCAACTTGACCTAGCCATTCAGATGTACGAACAGGCTGTAGCATGTGACGGGACGTTCGACATTGCTCTGACAAATCTTGCGAATGCTGTCAAAGACCGTGGGCGCATCAACGATGCTGTGATATACTACAAACGGGCGGTAAAATCTAACCCGCACTTTGCGGAAGCTGTCTGTGGGCTCTCAACGGCACTGAATTCCGTCTGTGACTGGAGAGACCGCGGTGGCGTCATCCTTCACGGTACCAAGTATGACAGGTGGCACGTTGACGAGGGCGGCATGCTTCGGGATGCGAGGCACCATCCCACAGGGTTTGGCCTGATCAGTAGAGTGGTGGAAATTGTTGCTAAGCAGCTAGCCGACTCGTCACATTGGGGTGTGGGAATCTTGCAGGGCAGTTCTCTCCGGTCCGTGGTTGCGCAGCTGAAGGCTGCCGGCGCTGATCAAACGGATCGGGGGCTCAACCTCGAAGTCGAGTGTCGAAAGTGGGCGGGACGTCCCTGGGAAGGCTCTCGACTGCTACGCTTAGTCGAACGTTCCGTCAAGGCAGCTACTCGTCTTTGGTATCGTGACAAGTACATCCTCGGTCGACCTTCGAGGACTGGGTATCCGCGGCCGCGACTGCCCGCGTCGCTCGCGGTGCCGTCGGCTCCGACCGTTCTTCCTTTTCACACCTTCACGTGTCCTTTGACAGCCAAGGACATTCGCATGATCTCTCAGCGCAATGCCCATCGTATATCATGTTCAACTCTGCGTTCTCCGTGGCTGCCCAACTCCGTCTATCCACCTCCACCGCCTCCCCGTCCACATCTCAACATTGGATATGTGTCCTCTGATTTCAATAATCATCCCCTTGCTCATCTGTGAGTTGTGGACACTCCGCGGCACCAGAATCTGCGGTCTCATTTGCTAACATTTTAACTCTAGGATGCAGTCAGTGTTCGGTATGCACAGCCCTTCACGCGCCAAGGCTTTTTGCTACGCAACAACGGCGAGCGACAAGTCTAGCCATCGGGAGCAGATTGAGCGGGAAGCTCCTGTATTCCGCGATGTGAGCAGCTGGTCGACCGAGAGACTCGTGGACCAGATTGTCAAGGATGAGATCCACATACTAGTGAATCTCAACGGCTACACCCGTGGTGCCCGCAATGAGATCTTTGCCGCAAGGCCTGCGCCCATCCAAATGTCGTTCATGGGTTTTGCCGGTACCTTGGGTGCTGAGTGGTGTGACTATCTCCTTGCGGATGAGACGGCTGTCCCGCCCTCAACTTTGAGGCCCGTGAGAAGCAACGTCAGTCTCGAGGACGTTTTCCAAGATGAGAGATCAGCAGATGACGAGGATTGGATGTACTCGGAGAACATCATATTCTGCCGGGACACCTTCTTTTGCTGTGATCATGCCCAGTCCAGCGGGCCCGAGGAGAGACACATCACGTGGCATGAGGAGCAGCTTCGCCGATGGAAGATGCGAAAGGAGCTGTTTCCCAACCTGCCAGATGATGCCATCATCCTGGGGAACTTTAACCAACTATATAAGGTAACACCGGCCCTCACCCTTCAGGATGCTACTTCCTTCCAAGATCCCAAAACTGACATAGTCTGATTATAGATTGACCCTTCTACTTTTCGGTCATGGTTACGCATTCTCTCAGATGTGCCAAAGGCGCGTCTATGGCTGCTGCGTTTCCCTGAATTGGGCGAGAACAACCTCCGGCGAACTGCCAGACAATGGGCAAGCCAAGACGTTGCCGACCGCATCATATTCACGGACGTGGCTCCAAAACAACTGCATATCTCCAGAGCTCGTGTCTGCGATTTGTTCCTCGACACCCCGGAATGCAACGCTCATACGACCGCTGCAGACGTTTTGTGGTCTAGCACACCACTTCTAACGCTTTCACGATACCCTTACAAGATGTGCTCCCGAATGGCAGCATCCATCTTGAAGGGAGCCCTCCCCAGGGGAAGCGCGGGCCTCATGGCTGCCGAGGAGCTTATCTCAGAGGACGAAGACGACTACGAGGCTAAGGCAGTTAGACTTGCCGGCAGTCTGAGCTATGATGTGACTAATGGCCAATTTGGGATTGGGCATGGCAGGCTTGCAGAACTGCGCAGGATGCTATTTTGCGCCAAATGGACCTGCGCCCTGTTTGATACCCGCAGGTGGGTGCGCGATCTGGAAAGTGCGTACGAGGAAGCATGGCGGCGTTGGGTCGATGGTGAAGGTGGTGATATCTACCTTTAAAGGGCTTCTCAAGAGAACTGCGTTGGTGGTGATTGCCGTCTGGCTGCTCGCTACACAATTACAGGTTATTGGCATTTGTTGGGATTTTGAGCGAGGCGAGCGAGGCATTGATTTACAGGCGTTCGGAACGAGGCAGGGGCATTTCACTCATAAGTATCACGGCGAGGAGTTTGGTAAACAGGGATCATGGAGGTCTCGAAGGGCGCAATGGGAAGCCAGAGTGTTTCTCTGCTCTATATGCCGGCCATGGGCCCAGCGGATTTGGTCTTAGGTGCCTTCACCCTAGAAACAGCTTGGTTCGTGTCGGTATAAAGAGAGATGGGGGTAACTGCTCGACCAAGTGCTGGTAAGGGTATTGTTACAGGAATGGGCTAGGGGGGCAAAGACCGCATCCAGTCTGCGGCTTTGCCCAGGCGTTGGCAAAGTGTGTGGCTATCGAGCATTTTGAACGGTAGCGTAGATATACCCAGAGCCGTTCTGGTCAAGAACAGGCGCGTGTTTGAATGAATGGAACTGGAATCTCACCTTCACAGGAATGCTCGGCGGTTACCACCCACCCACCCCGCCGAGGTTCGCTTTCATGACCTATTTTGTCGACTTCTCATCCTTCAACCGTCCAGCCCAGCTGTCTGGGTTACGCATCAATTTGGGTGCTTAACCACGTGTGTTTGGCTGCTTCCCGTCGGCGCAGCCCGGCAATCGCAATGCGCACGCTTCCCCTATAATCCCTGTTTCAGCCCTTCAGCCTGCAGATTGGGTTGTGTGTCTCTCTGCCCTGTAAGTGAATGGCATGCGAGCAAGGAGCATACGCAGATGCAGGCCCCCCCTCCCCTGCTTCTTCATCTCGACTCCAGCACGGGGGATTCAGCTGGATGAAGAAGCGAAGGCAGCATGACAACCTGATGCGAGATGAATTCTGTTGCACCCCAGGACCGATACGAACGAGTCTTCCTCCCGGGTTCGGGCGGGATTACTGATCAGACATGCTGGCCCAATATCGTGTAAAAGTCTCATCGATCAAGAAGACAGGGACCCGGGCGGACGAGGCCGCGGCATTGGCGGGATGGACAGTCTGGCAGGTGGTTGAACCGGGGGGGGTTGATGAGGATGAGGGCAGTCGATATGGATGGCGATGGCGATGGCGACAAGGGGGCCCTGAGGAGACAGGTGTGGCGGTGGTGTCTGGGTGTCTGGGGTAGAGACACCGGCTGGGTGGTTTCGGCCGTTGGAGATTCGCAGACCCCGGTACCGCGACAAGGGGTTACATTCAGCTGGGAAAACCAGGCATTGTCGCGGAGCGGGATCGCCGGTCGTTCGTTGGGAGGGACCCTCTCCAATTCGGCATGTCCCATCTGCCCCCCGGGCGCCTGTAGGGTTGGTTTCTTCTGCTCACTCTCGCTCCCCCCTTCATTGTCCCCTGCAGTAATGGCTATACTATGTACAAGGAGCAGCACACAGACAGACTAAAGGCAGTGAGCACTTGCAACCAGACAGGCTTGACAAGCTGAATTGACAGGGGCGGGCAGGTTTCGCTTGACTTTACCCTTTTCAGCGACCACGTCGAGGTAGGGGCGGGAAGGGTAATGGTTCGTTTGATGAAAGCCCCCACCACCACGTTGCGATCTACCTAGGATGGGTTCCAGCAAGCAAATATGAACGGCCACGGCCGAACGATCTTGAGCGCGCGCTAGCCCTCGGTGCCGCCAATTTGGGGAGTCTCTAGAGGGCTCATAGGACCGGACAGCAAGGCCCCCGACAGCTTTGGTTGTTACCCTCGATCACAGTCGAGGCTTCACTTGGGAGCTAGTCGAGTTCTGGTGGTCGAAGCCGAAAGTGGCTGACCAAGAGACAGTCATCATGCCGCCGCCACGGCTCTACGGTTCGGCTGACAGAACTCTGTGCGGCACCGGGGATCCGTGGCTTCAGCCAGCCCAAGGCCCAATAGAGTCTGGCTAGACGGGCGACTAACGCTGGGCCTGCTGGGTGAAAGCGCCTCAGAGCTAGGCCCATTGGCACAGCAAGCCGTCAAAAGTGTGACAACGGTTATGTCTGCGTCAAAACGTCTTTTTAGTCGCCGGGGCCTAACCCCTTTCTGCTGGCACGCCCGAAGCCGTTTTGGCGCCGCCTTCCATTGTGTCGTCACGACTTCATAGAATGTGACCTCTGGTAACAATCTGTCCAGGACTGGAAGTTTGCGTGTAGTCAAGACTCAGCCAATCTGCCATCCTGTCGTGGTCACCGGATTTTGGCGGCGTAGAGATTGCTTAGATGGCTCACCCCAAGAACAAGTATCAGTTCCCCCCTGAAGTCATCATTGGGGTTACTTCGTGGCGTTACAGAGAAAACAGATCGAGGGGTAATGTCAATGCAGTATGCGAAGGCACCTTGTAACTCACCGGTTTCTCTTTACCAGACCAATTAGTATACCGTGACATCGAGGCACAATCTTGGTCGTTGCATGGATACGCAGTATCATCTTGCCCTTCAGGCACTGGCCACGGCCAATTGTGCTTCTAGAAAGCTTCGATGGAGCTGCTTTTCCTGACCTGAAAAAGAAAAAACACGTCATGCATGCACTCCTGACAAGTGAGCAATTTCCAGGGCTCTCGCATTGCTCTCCGGTGTTGCGGTCAGTTTGCTTTTTCCAATCTGATGCTGCCCAACATGATCCTGCGTGGATAAGGCAGTAGAATGATGGCGATGCATGAAATCTAAAGGTTTGCGAGGGTGTTCGTCCCCGGGGGCCCTGGACGTATCCCTGTTGCCTCGTGATGCCGCTGTTCCTGCCTTACCTGACTGCGATGTTACTGGACTCCAAGGCATCGGGCTCTTGCAGCTACAGGAGACAGAGATCACAGACGGAAACGGCAGCCATCTTACTTCGTCTACTTCCAGAGTGCGGGCAAGGGAAGGAGACGCGTCAAATCACTCAAGCCACGGGTTACGTAGGCCCCCTAAACCTGGTATGCTTCGATCGAACGGAGCTTTAGTTGGTTGGGCAATGACGACCACATTGAGAACGACCAGGACAAATCTACCAGCACACGCAGGCTCGGTGCCGAGAGGCAGGGCGTTTTGTCCTATAAGCAGGTAGTCAGGTGGATAGAGAGTCGGCAGTCTTGTCCGAGGCTAGACCCCGTGCCAGGTCAGATACCAAGGTAGATATGAAGATAGTGTGAGAAGTATTCTGCCAGGATACCAACCAGAAACGGGGCGGGCCTCATTTCGACTGATGCAGAAAAGAAAGCTTTCCCATCTTCACTCTCTGGTCAGCAATCTGGGTTCCGGGGTTCTGGGTTGGGATCCTGACGGCACCTGGCCACGGGAAGGAGTAATAATAGACATACCCTGACTGGGCAACTGGAGCTTCACTCGGCGGGTTGGGTGAGAAACCCATACCTGCGTACTGTGTGCAGTACGTATGTAGTAGTGTGTGCGGTGGGTAGGCACTGACCCAGCAGAATGGATCGGTGAAAGCCACCCGTGGAGATCACCAGAGCCAGGCCAGGGGGCAGCTGAATTGCCCGTGGCTCAAGGGCAGGTCCAGGGTTGGCGGGTGACGCAAAGAGCTGGAGAGCGACCGTGATAGGCTTCGGCAAGTCTCCGCGACGTGACCCGGCCGAACTATTGGCCCACGTCGATATTGAGCTGATCTGCTGGCACAAGGTTGAACCTGGCACTTGGCGCAAGAGAGGGCCTCGTCTTTTTTGCTCCAACCGCAAATCGGGCGCTGACTGGCTGGATTCCATGGGGACCACCACCCACGGCAATATGCACGTATGTGCGTTCAAAATCACCATGAGAAGTGGATCGTGGTTAGCGGATACATCGCTGAGAAAAAGAAAGCTCACATCTCAGATGAGCCACAATGTCGGATTGCGAAACCTTAACCCGGGGGGACGTACCCCGAGAAGAGAGGAAGCAGAAGGGGTAAGAATACGCCAAAGAAAAAGAAAGGGAATTCAATGGAGAGGGACAAAAGAAGCGAAACAGCATTATCACGCCCAGTGCTCTGTAGCATACCCACTGGTCCAACAATTTACATAGTACCATAGTACAGACATAGCGCACAGGAGCACCCTGTTGCCTGGTGCAAGCGACTATCGCGTCGATGCGACCTTGACAGCACATGGAATGGGATGCGCACGAAACGGAATTGATTGTCGCGGTAGAAGGGGTAACGAACACAATAAGGTGCTATAGGATTGGCGATGGGCAATCTATCGTGCGTGCATATTACGGGGGGGTCGTCATTTCCTAGAGCTGCAGCACCTGCTACCGTACGTACGTACCTTTGACGATTCGGCTCGCAGCAAAAGGACGATACATCAGCCGTGGTCGTGGGCACTGTCCAGGTGTTTTTGGGTCATGATCTGCACTGTAGCCAAACGAAACGGGGGCAGCGGACCCAGGGCATGGAGCCTTGTCAGATCTGTCGGAAACACTCACAGCCGCTGACCCTGGCCCCGGTCTGCGGTCTGGGGGGGGAGAAAACGGGCAAGGTACCTCAGGGACCCAAGCAACCAAGCGGCCAGGGGGGAGCTTCTGTGGACGTCGACCCAGTCGAGAAACTCAACTCGATGCCAAGCATCGATGTCCACAACTGTTGACTACTGGACAATGTTACGTAGCGTACAGAGTGGCAGCTTGATGATTTGCTACCTTTCTCTCTCCCGTCCGCCAAGCAGCAACTCCTGCTGTCGGCGGGCCCAAGACCTAGGTTGCCGGAAGACTCGGGCAGGCGGGACGGTCCTGAGAGGTGTCACGGACTATTCGTCCGGTCTGGTGTAGCAACATCAGAGCTTGGTCATCCGGTCGGCAGCAACTCTCCATGTCGCACAAATGCTTGCCTGAGTTGGCGCCAGCCCATACCATAACGCCTTTTTCATCGTGGCCCGAGACTGGGCGGGCGCCGGAATAGCGGCTACCGTTTTAACCAGTGCTCTGGGTCCAAACCTACGACCTAGGCGTGGTACGGGCTGAGTGCTTGGCCCTCGTTCACTGGCTGCTCCTGGAGCACGCCGTCGTTCTGGCTTGCCTCCTTGCGGCTACCTCAGCTGTCATGACCGAGTAGCCTGGTGGCCTCTGCCCTCGGCTTCGCGCCACCGTCCATCCTCAGAGTGCCTGGACCACCCTCCCTCCCTGGGCTGTCTCCCCGAACGGTACGGTAGGGAGAAAGGCACGCACGGCTTCTCCAGTCCATGCGCTAGACAACCTCGTGGCTTTCCACAACCAAAGGGTAATGTCGCCCACCTTGCTGGAGGGGAGTCTGGCGCTGCTCACACACCCCTGGCTGCCTCGACGTCGAGCTGGCTCCCAGATGATGCAGACACCCTTCATTCTGCTTCGCAACCCCCTGTCTCTTCTTGGTTCGCACCATGAACCCTGTCGGTATACCTAGCACCTGTCTCTATCCTCTCGACGTCTGGTAATGGCGCTGGCAGTTGGGCTTGGCGTTGCTGTCCAGGCGTGCACAAGACGAGGCGTGGTGATCCTGGTTCTGGCTCTGGCTCGAGGTGGATCAGGTACATCGCTGCGTGACTACCATGTACAGAGACACACACAACTCCTGGGCAGTCGGGTGTTTCGAGTCTACCATGTACATGCCTGTGTGTGTCCGTCCTCGCCCTGAACCACCACCCCCCTCCTTGGGAGAAACCATCAGCGAGATCTGCGGCCAGTGTTCCCCCCCCTCCTCGCCCTGTCCGCTTTGCTCCGCGCTAGACGACCCTAACCATGACCCAGCGATCGCCATAGTAGATCTAGCATGAGGTACGCTACCTACATAGTGCTACTTCCCACCTGCTGAACCTTACTTTTTGTCACTTCCCAGGCTTGCCCGACCCCTGTCCCGATCTATCTATTATTACAGGCACTTTCCCCATGAGCTGGATGATGCTATTGACGCCCACTTCACTCAGCCCCATCGAGCCTTATTGACACCACTCTGATCTATATATCCTTCTTCTTCACCCGCCGACCCATACGCCGCCTCTCCTTCCATCTACTTGCATTCACGATACTTGAGCCTCAACCCCATCTGTCTGTCACTGCCACCGGGTGCAGTGTCGTCTTGTGTAAAATTACATTTGGCGTTGCTTGCAGAATTCCCTCTTGTACTCTCAAAGACTCTCGTGTGGATCTTATATTGAACTCTAATCGGAACGGCTTGTCGAAACCCTGGGCCAGTATTTTCACCCATCTCACGGGGTAACGGAACCATTCTCGAAATCCCCCAACGCAACTCTGCTGCCCTGAACACCTACTATTCGTATCAACATCAGACACCATGGCAGACCAAAGGCGAGGACCGTGGTCTCAGCACGAGGATGCTTACCTCATGGACCTAGTCAACACCCAAGGTCCTCTCAACTGGGTCAAAATATCGACCATGCTCGGGACCAGGACCCCTAAGCAGTGTAGGGAGCGGTACCATCAGAACCTCAAGCCGTCCCTGAACCACGAGCCCATTACAGCAGAGGAGGGTGAACTCATCGAACAACTCGTGGCCCAGCTAGGAAAGCGGTGGGCAGAGATCGCACGCCGTCTTCACAACCGTAGCGACAACGCCGTCAAGAACTGGTGGAACGGCAGTATGAACCGCCGCAGACGGCTCACTCGCAAGAGGTCGCCCTATGATGACTCCAACGATGCTTATCCGTACTCGCGAGCGCCTGCTCGATTGCAACTGCCGACCGGTCCCGTGCAGTACACCCAGTATCCTCTGCCCTCGCCAACGAACTCTACCAGCCGGTACTCGCAGTCGTCCTGGGGCATGACGCCCAGTCTCGCCTCGCCAACTTCGGCCATCACCCACACCAACGAGCCCGCCTTGGATGGAGCACCGTCTCTGATGTCGGACTCTGGCTCGTACTACTCCGAGTCGCCCACGGCCTATGGGCCTCCTGAATCACCAAACTTTAGCCTGCCTCCCTTGAGATATGGGGACAGCGCTTCTACACCCCGCTGCTTCGCCGTCGACCACGACCCCAAGCAGCTCGCACACTCATTACAGCTACCGTGCATTCGAGACGCCCTGGATGGTCGGACACAGCTGCCCACGGCACCAAACTCCCCAGTCACCTTACCTGCGCCCAGGATGCTTCAAGACGCGAGACTGCGGCATAACGCATCGAGGAGCCCGTCGAACTTGGAGCCGCCACAGGCCATCGACCCAAGGATGAAGTTGAATAATCTACTGCACTAAGCCCGTGTAAAGATGAAGTTTATGTTGGCATTATGGAGTTGGGGCGTTTTGAAGCATCAGCGTTGACTTATTAACATCTGAAGGGGCATGTTCTACTGGTCTAGGATAATCCCATGGATAAGGAGATAATTTTGAGAGGGGAAGGATATATGGCTGGTGGTTAACGCCATGGTTAAAACGTAATTTCTGTTCCGATACCATACCCCCCAAGGCGCAAAGGTATAGCTGTATACTAGAGGGCGCGATAAACCCCCTATAGCGAGACCATGATACCATCAATGTTTATTTGATTTTGAAACAACTACTCTGCGAGTACTCTGTTCCCTCAAACTGGCAGTGAAGACGTTAGGAAAATGGGTCTGTGAACCACTCCTCCTAGAGTCCTCCCAGAGTCCCCCGAGCCGCGGGTGCCCAGACTCGTGTTACGGGTTACGACAACGCTAGGAATGCAAAATAAGACTTTAGTGACTTTGCTAGGGATGGCCACAGTGTAATGGGACAGAAAAGCAGGGCAGCTAGGTGCTCGAGCTCATGCTCGATCCATTAGAGAAGGGCCCAAGATGGGTGCTCTGGCTTGCTCTACCAACGGGCCAGCCCCTTTTGCTGCCGGATGCAAAGGGACTTTTGCTGAGAAAGTCCTCAAACCGGCCGGTACGAGCGACCAAGTGGAGGCGGAACGACGAACGGTGTCGCATGCCAGCTGCACGGTATGACGGCTAGCGTACGTTACAGAAGCATGTCTCTGTGTTCTGGTTGGCAGAACGAGATGGGGAGGGAGACTTATTGACGAGCGTTGTGCTCAGTCTCCTGGGCCTCTCTCCACAGTTCCGGCCGTTCGCTCACCACACTAATGGCACGGCTCAACGCTGCGCTCCAACGGCCGGGCAGAGACTCCAGAGAGGACCTGTGGCTCGTCAGTCAGGACTTCCAGGCTGGGCCCAGCATCTCCCCTTCTGAGCCCGGGAACTACTTAGCGCGTGTCGCTCGTGTCAGTTTCTGGCTAGGTGTCAGTCCGGTGCATTAGTCCAGGCTGGACTGGGCTGTCGTTGTGTTTGATTCAATAATATCGTGACATGCACGGCAATGACTGGAGGGCCTGCCGAGCTGGGAACTCGAAATGTAGGCCCAGGAGATTGGCTGCCCAGCAGTGACTGAAGCCATTCCCGTGCACGAGGCGGAAGAAACGGCGGCCGCTCGTTGGTCAGATGTCAGAACTTGATTACAATGCAGCAAGATCTGCAGGCCGATCTCCCATTGTTCGGCGACCAAAAAGATTGGATTCCAAATAAAACACCCCGGTCAAGCTTTTGCGCGACCCTAGGCCCCGAGCGGTTGTTCCCCCCCTGTCGAAAAGAAACGTTGATGGGGATCAACGGCAGGGGGGTGCGTGCTGCCAGAGGGCGACGACGTTGGATCTTGTGCAGCAGCCCGGAGCCGGCACAGCGGATCAACACCCAGTCGGAAATCTGGGCGATCTCTGGCTGGGCCGGGGTCCCCTCTCTTGCGACATCGTCACACACATACCCACCCACCATGGCTATGACTCTCTCTGGCTGGTCTGGCTTGCGTGTGAGCCCGGCTGTCTGTCATGGTCACGATGCTCTCAAAATTGCGGTCGACAAGGCAAGAGCAAAAAAAGAAAAGAAAGCAATAGCAGGAGAAAATAGCATACGGACCTGATCGGGCTACCCAGACCCACTCACTGCCCCAGGTATATGGTTCACCAGAAGCCCAAACGCGAGCCAGAGAGCCGAATTGGGTGAGGTGCATCGTGACCGGTTGATGGTGGTTATGCAGTCCCCTACTCGATCTCGCAGGATGCGCAAATCTACAGGTATGCACACAGGAGTGAGTGCCCAGCCAGCACAATTGGGTCGGATGTCTCTTAGCTCGCTCGGATTGCCCCAATCTGCACAGACATAGGGCTTCTTCTCGTAGGCGGCACGTCGACGAGTGCAATTGTCATGTTCTCTCCCCTGGATACCATAGCTGGCAGGGGTTGGCATACTTAGATCGTTGTACAATGTTGAAGGCAACGTGGTAGAGTAAGTTCATTCAGGTACGGGCTCGTGGCCGGTGTAAAGTTGCGGTGACCCTCCGGAGCAAAAGTACAGGAGTCGATGAAGTCAATCAAGTGCGTGCAGCACGAGTCATGAGCCTTGGGTTGCTGCTGACGAGCTGAGTTGCAGTGCACTGCATTCGGCGCCGGTCACATTGACGCACGGCAGACCCCGTCGTCCTGCTCTCTCCCTGCCTTGTGGTTGAATTTACCCTCGTTACATAGTCGTGGCTATTATTCAGATCTGGCTGCGCTTCATTCGCCCGATCGTATCGAACCAAGTTGCCGGTACCTGAAGCGGTCGCTTATCTCCCAGCGAGATGCAAACACGTTCAGCTCAGCTGGAGCCCATCCGATGCACGGGAAATGGCTGGAGATTGCCTGGCGACCCCTGCACACGAGATCGCGGCGAAATATTGGGGCAGCCGGGGTCGACATTCAGGGATTGCCGCAAAGATTAGTGAACAAAGAAAGGACCCCGGCGGTTCAGGAGCATCTCTGAGGCTTGTACGGATTTGGGAATCTCCTGCAGTATTGCTTGCTGCCAAGAGACGACTACGGGGACGCGCCTTCACCAGTACCCAGCAAACAATTGGGATCGAGAAGAATTATACTTTTCTTCACTTTAATTAGCCGGGCCTGCCCACCTTCCCATGATGGCAACTGTTCAGCTGGTCTGCTCCATCTTCATTACATGATGTGTTTTGCGCCTGAGATTTCCCGATTGATGCACGCCAGAGCTGGTCCGCGCGATCAATCTCGCAATCGGACTGTTGCGGTTCGATGGAAGAGGCGCTAGCTGAATGCGTGTGCTGGCCTGAGATGATCTGTACGCATTGGGATGGATCATGACGGTACGACGAATGGACCTAGCGCCCAGTGATTCTAACGGTCTGCCTACTATGCACCTAGACGACTTGAGTGTTCAAGTCCAGCGTGAACCAAAACGGCAAGGTCTGTCATCAGGAGACGGGACAGCGGACAGAATAGGACTGCCCGAAGTTGGCCAGCCCGCGCAACGGCTTAAATCGTACATAGCATACACACGATAGGCCTTGGTGTGCCGCCGGATCGCTCCCCGTGCATTTGGGATCGCAACGGTCAACTTGGTCGCGACGGGGCGCCTCTGCCAGCGCCAGAAAACCAATATCTAGACCAAGACCGTACAGTACTATGTAGTCAGCTAGCAGACTCTAGTGCCACGTTACTAAGAGATTTGTCTTACAAAATTCACCCGCCCCTAACGGCGTCCAGGCGTCGGGCACCAAAGCGGCTTAGACGGCGGGCTTTCCAAGGTCTCAGTCTCTTCTCAAGCCCCCGGTGGAGTGGGTGTGCAGTAGCCTCGTCTCAATAGTCTCGTCAGCTGTGAATACATAGTATATCTGAGAGCACTTGCGCAATAGTGGACCGGGATCCCTCTTCCATCATGGGACAACTTTGAAAGACCGATCGACTAGACGTCCATTTTATTTGCACATCGATCTGCCCCTAGCGGCGTGTGGCTGTGTGGTCTATTTGTCCCGCAGAAATTATAGCACAGGGCCTTGCCAACTTATCATGGACCAGGTGCCCCAAGGGTGGAGGTGGTTGCCCTGCTGCCTTCTTGCCCTGAGGGAAGCCACTCTCTCACCGTTGACGCCGTCGGTCGATCAAGCAAAGGCGCCAAAAAGCCTCGACTTAAGGCCCACTAGATTCCAGGCCTTCCGGCAGAGCCCAGAGGCCTCTCCAGTCGATGTAATTAGGTACGGCAGGGGCTGAGCCGGTATGCCATGTCGCACGTTGCTCTCGCTCTCTCTCTCTCTGTGTATTTGTTCGTATATATCATGTGTGCGTGTGTGTATGTCAGGTATCTAAGGAGCACAATTATTGCCCCAACTGGCAAGCGTAGCTTCATTCATAACCGGGGGCCTTTCAAAAACTGATCAAATACGAGGCAGTTAGGCGCAAATTAAGAGAAGTTGAAAAAAGACCCTTGTACAAACTTCAATATTCCGGTAGGATTATTACTGCATCGACATGGGCATTTACACAGTATCTAGGTCGTCGTCAAGCTCTCCAAACGTTAGGCACGGGAGGTTACCAGCAGACTGGATGAGTTGCACAGGGATTGGGACGGGCGGAGAGCAGGGAGGGTATGGATCTCACATCCGGGACGCCAGCCTGAGATTGATTGTGACAGGGATCATGATGACAGTGGACAGGCAATGCAAGATCAACTAATAACGACCTACAGCAAGTCGCAGCACCTCCGTACAGTAGTCACTGCTGTAGTCGAGTTGTAGAACTGTGGCACCCCCGCTGCCAAATAACCATCGCTGCAAACGTCGCACACAAAGGCCACGGCCACATCTGGAGAGTATTCTGCGTCAGTTGGGTTATGGCATCTCGTATCCACCTGTCACCACACCCTGTACCCAATATTTGCCTCACCGCTCCCCCCACCGCCCTCTGTCATCGCTGTCTCCAGGCCCCAGGGGGAATGGGACAGAGACATGGATGCAAAGGAAAAGAAGAGCAAGTCCTGCGCTCGTGCTTACGCAACGATAACGACGACGACAAAAGACGCGCGCGCCCGTGGCTTGCTGCCCTGCAGGATTTCTGTGCTATAGCACGGCGAGCGCGCGAAGTTGCAGCTCGGATGCTTGTTACCCGTGAGACGCCCAGCTGACCACTGGCGCTGCAGTTGTGGGTGTCGGCGACCACGGCCGTCCCAACAGTCTGGTTCACCCATCGGCCGGCAATCGATCGACCCTCAGCCGCTGTGACGTGACCTAACCCCCTCCAAGTAAGTCCGGTCGCAGGCAAGCATCGCTGCGCCGTTAGTGCTTCCTGACCCCAGACTATTGGTGCGCCATAGCTCTGCCATACATACATAGTAGTATCCATGGTGCAGACAGTGTTGCAGTGAAGGCGGGAACCTTGGCACCGCAGCTTTCCCAACGCACTCAGCAATCATCTGTAACCATCACGGCCCCGGTTCTGTTCCCCTTCTCCTCGAGGGCGTCGCAATCGTCTGCCATTGCGCACTCCACTCCACATTCCGTATGTCGTCGCTGTACATCCTGTTCCAATCCTCCCGTCGCACAGCGGCTCCACTTCTCTCGTGCCGCCTTGTCCTGTGGTCAGCTCACGGGACTACCCAATTACGCAGAAAGCTGCATCATGCATATTTTGTTATCTCGGAAAGCTCCTCAAAAGCAACGAGTTCATGCATTCAAAGACACCGGCTTCCCCCCCAGTGTGCTTTTAGTTTCTTCTTCTGCGGTCCTCATCTGCTAGTTCCTGCATCAAACGTCTGGCATTACAGAACCGGGAGCAGGGTTACCATAGTGTATACTGGCGGCTCACTCTATTGATGTACCTACGTAGTTGGTAACTAACTTGATTGACCTGACCCACGTCATGCATACCCATCCAAAACGGCTGCGTCGACACAGTGAGCAATCAAAAAAAGTCCAATAAGAAAGATCTTTGATTAGAGACGCTCAAATAGCACCCGCAGAGTTCGCGCCAGGATGCCGCCCACGGCAAAACGGTGCCTGCCAGGCCTGCCTGGCAGGTATCTCATCACGATGATATGCACGAAGTCGTGGATAGCCCGTCCTGCATAGCCTGGGAAAATCATCCCCTTACGTGAAGCCGGCGTTGCAGCACGAGTCTCGTTGTCTCTACACGTGCAAATGGAGCTCACTTAGGATGACTCCATTCCCTAATCTGTACGGTGGTATTATTGGTGTATTCTATAGTAGAGACACACCGCTTGTATTCGCTGGGAGTAATAGTATAAAGCTTGGACTGCTGTGTGTCCCAAAAGCACCATCTACATTGACTGCCGTGATGCAGACTGCGTTGGAAACCTCCATGTTGCATGCTAAGGACATGAGGGCGTTATCTTCCGGCATCTCCGCCCTCGAGGACTAATCTTGTAGGCCGGTACGCTTCGGGACGGGGTGGGACTGCCTTTGCATTTGGTACTACACTCATGAGACGTAAGATACTGGCATGAGCGGGAGGATGGCGAGTTGGCACAGGCAAGTAGCAGGACAAGACCTGAGGGGATTCCGTGGTTCGCCAAACCGACGCCAAAGTCTGACGGGGCACTCTGACTGCATATGTTTAAGTGGTGTGATTCCCGCACCATCAAGGTCTCCAGTCTGACAATATCGTTGCGTCGTTGAAGGTTCTCGGTACGCTACAGCCATAGCTCTCGTGATAACAGATACCCCATGTCTGGCGTTGAGGTGTATAACCAGCCTTACTAGAGAAGCTTCTCCGCTGGTACAGAAACGCCAACTGACGTACGTTTGGACGACGATTCTCGGATGATCTGTCATGGATAACTCTAGTAGGTCGTCGCCAAGGTGATTCGACGAAAAGTAAGCCTCCACAACACCATTAAGAATGCATTCCACTGATCGGACCGATGAAACCTTGGATGAGCAAGTTATACCCCTACCCCTCTGGATCATCACGATCGAAGTTAGATAGCACTGGGTCTACGCCGCCGTACTCATATATAGCTACTGCGTTACATGTCACGGCATTAGTCTGGCCACTGCTGCTCGCATTGACCATTGTTGAAACTCTGATGCCCTCTGTAGTTCTTTGCCACGCTAGGTCAACAGTAACTCGTGACACTCAGAAGACACCCTGCATCTACTACAACGCCCGGAAGGCTTCCGGTACCTGGTAGTCAGAAGTTAACCATCCACATGCTACCTGCCAGGGTAGTCGGCGAAGTAGGTTTCGGACCTCGTCGCTCATCCGTTCTACCCATCTGATCAGTCCAGGAACTGCCGACCCCTAGACCTTGGAGCCGGACCCTTTCAACTGATTTCTCTGCAGGGCTCGCGATGCTGCTATTTGCGCACTGTTCTGCCTATGAACTTCCTGTCTCGGCGACGGATATACTCGCCTAGCTCCAGTTTCTTCGACATATTTTGTGGTAGGGTCGGTACGAGCTGGATCCCCTGGAGTGGCTGTGCCCTCGATGGTGCGCTTGCAGGAAGACGAAACGTGATCTTCACCTTCGCAAACGCGGATAACGGTGTCCATGGTGCCTGCTGAGCCACTTTCCGAGAGGGAAGGTTCCCCCTCGAGTTTCGACCCACCACCGACCTTCAGATTATCCAACGTTGGCCTCACGGGAGCTGCAGCAGAAAATGCTACGTAGCTTTCATCGATGGTCGCCTCTCTCGATGGGACATCCGTCGAAATGTGCTGCTCATGTGGCTGGAACCTTGCTGCCCGTTCGCCCCGTTCCAGACGCTCTGGTGCCATGGGTCGGTCATACCGAATCTCTTTTTCCTTCGCCACGGCCGCAGTGTGGTGGTCAGATGCAAGGAGACAAAGATGATTCTCGGAGGTCTTTTCGTCAAGGCTGCTGTCAGTGCTAAGGGGAGACGCGTTTTCTGCTGATGACCATTGACTGGTTCCAAGCCCAGTTGCTTCTCCAGCTCGGGGCAGACCTGGTTCAACGCTCGTACCACCAGCAACACCAACGTCACCTCCAGAGCTTGAGCTGTATGAGTTGCCTTTGGAGTCGGGCCTGGCAGGGCTTGTGGTCTTGGATGCCAGTCGTAGCCGAGAAGGCCTTGGGCGCTGGCGCATCTTATTGTTGGACTTGATTGCCCCCTGGCGTCGGAATCTCTCGCTTGTCAAGAAGTCCTTATCGCCATCGAGAATATTAGGGGTTGCTGCATGTCATTAGCCTGAACTAATCATGGACGCACGGCCTGGGTGACCATGGTCATAATTCTGGAACGAGATAGTAGTATCATACCTCGTGGCACGGACTTGTCGCCAGGTTCAGACTTTGCCTGGTACATGTTCTCGATCCGTTCCAAAGCCTTCAGAACGTGCGTAGTCGTTGACGGGGGCTGACCCAGAAATACCGGATAGTCGTTTTGTGTATTCGGCTCCGAGTCGACCCTGTGCGGTGTAGCCTGGCGGCGCATCTCCTCCAACCTGGAAACGAACTGCTTCGGGTCGGGTTCTCCTCGATTCACAACGCTGTTGGTCCTGGCCAGCGTCACCGTCTCTAGCCCATCACGTGAGGTACGTGCGAGGAGCACCTCCAATCTCTTGACCTCGGCCTTGTACTGTGACTCTCGCTTTGCCCACTCATCCGCCACTGTCTTGAAGTCCTCTGAAGTTTGGGCACGCGCCCCCTTGGCCTCCTCACAGGCCGCATTGACCGACTCCAGCTTTTCCTGCAGGTCGTGGAAACCTTCGATGAGGTGCAAGACATATGAGTTGTACTCCAAGGGGATCCGCTCGAGGACTCCATTGGTCATCATGGTAACCTGGAGGGCTTCTACCATCTGGTCCAGCGACGGGTTGTGCCAAACCCTATCCTGATCCTTGACCAGCAGGCTCGTGCTGCTTGATGCTGTAGGGGGTTCCGGAGAGAAGGAGAAGCGGCTATTGAGACTGAGGTAGCTGGAGACACGGGACGGGACTGGCCGACGTTGCTCTTCGGGTTCTTGTGCTAAGAGGCGATCCGTAGAGGCTGGAGCCTTGGGAAGGGTGGGTGTGCGCGAGCGCTGCCCAAAACGCAGCCAACTAAGGTCCGCCATGATAGATATGGTGGTGCAGGCGCGGAAGCGGTTTAAACTTGCGAGATGCGGGCTGGCGATGTGGCTCTTGGGTAAGATGGGGTCCCTGCTCTCGAACAATACGTGTGGGCTTCGCAGGCTGTGCTGGGACGCAGTGTGGTGAAATATGTTCGATGGTTATGGCTCGGTTGACTGCACCACGGACGGAGGGGCTACGACAAAGATGCTGCGACCAAGATGGGCACGTCGCTCGGCTACCCTCTGAGAGATTCCATAGGAAGGCCCGCACGGTGCGTTTGCACTTTCCTCTGAGTGACAGACCTGGGCAGACCCCATTCACTCGAGGTCACTTGTTACATGCCAGATTCGGGATCGAACGACGTGCTTGTTTGGTGATTTGGAGCCAGTAAGCTGCATGCGACGTTGCCGATTGGCACATCTCCTCACGGTTCCTGCTCGCGTGAGATGTCTGCCATCGCAGGAACGCTGCCACTGCCCTCTAGTACATCCAGACTCCATTATTAGTTCACTCGCTTAGTAACGATACGCTGCTTCCTCACAAGGCCACACTGGCGAATGCTTCGGTATCACCAGCGCTTAGCCAGTGCACCTCTCTGTTGGTTCTCGCCATTCGAGGCCCAGCCCTTCAAACACCCTCTTTTCCGCTGTGAGCAGGTCAGGTGCCGGCTGTCCACCGTCGCTCTCCAGGTCAACCCATTGCCCAGTGGTGCGGCTGCGAATCCCACTACTGTCGAACTTGAGCGACCTCTTAGCCTTACAGTACCTCCTAAGATCCCTCTGGAAGGTTGTACCCCCCGACCATCCGATGATCGCGCATCCTGCCGTCTTCCAAGGGCTGATGATGACATCCACACGCCGGTGAGGGTGTGGGTTCTTCGCATGTGCCGACTTGTCCCACACAGGATCCTGCCAGACTACCAGGGCCTTATCCAGAGTATCAAAGCCGGACCCTGCGTTCCTGTCCTCCCCCTTCCAGGGCAGAGGTGCCTGGCCGCGCTCTGAGTTTTTGGTACTCAGTATCAAGGTGTGCGTAATGAAACCGTCCTCCTCAAGGCCGGTGACGAGGTCTTCAATGAAGCGATGGGTCGCATCTGGGTCTGGATGACTGAGGACGACATCCACATCTCCGCTTTCCTGTTTGCCTCGTCTGTAGCCGCCAACGATGACCATGTGAAAACCTCGACGTCTTCCGTTGGCCTGCGCCAGCACCGTGTTGGCAATGCTCTCGACCTCTGCTCGAGGAATGGTGGCCAGGAACTCGTCATAGTACTTGACTCCGATCTGCTGAACCCGGGTCAGATGGCTCCACCCAAACTCGACAATGTCATCTAGTTCTCTCCACCCCCGGTTATAGAAATCGCGAGCTGTCGTTTCGGCCACACCCCAGATATCATAGAACAGTTTGAGAACGGTGATGTGCGGGTCAATAGCAGCATTTTCCACTTCCTGAATGTGACCTGTACTTTTCCATTCTTCAAAGAGGTCGGCAATCTTTGGCCCGCAACCGGGCAGCCTTGATACTTCTACAATAAATGTCAGCCCTACTCTAATATTTAGATTGTAACCTCTGCCTAGACCATACCTAAGGCTCGATGTAGTGGGTGCGGATAGGCTGCCAAAGCTGCAATGCTGGTGGAATACGCACGAACGCCAACCTTGTCGCCCGTAAGAGACCGAGTCGTTCGAATCTTCTTGAGCTCCTCAATGAAAACCTCATTTTGAGAATCAAAAGGGGTCGGCCGTTCACAGGAGTACGTCGTATGTAGATATGCGGGAATAGATGGTAGATCAAGATCTAAGTCGTGCTCAGAGGTTGTCTCCTTGAGGAAAGCTGGCCGCTTAGCCGGAGCTGGAGTCCTCGGACGTTTCACGTCAACATTATGGCTACTAGAGGCCAATTGGCCATGCGATCCCGGAGCCTTCTCTTCCTCGTTTTTAGCGCGTCTAAGAATATCCACAGCTTTCGGAAAGTGCTCTTTGAGTGTCGCTTGAGGCTCTTTGCGACCCTGATATACTAGGTAGTTGTCGGTAGGTAGTACTACGCCTTTTGACAAAGAGTTGGTGAACCAGACCAGATTGACGACCTTGATAATTCCCCCTGCGTCTTTAGAGGATAGGGGCGGCTCATCACACTGGCGCCTGACTTTGGGACTGGTCACCCCAACATCGTCGCTTCCGGAAGCAGTGCTCGACCTATCATCACCTGAAGCTAAGCGTGATGCAGACAGCTTCCTACGTTTTGGAGATGGTTGCGATTCGTCAGTGGTAACTTGAAGGAGCTCCGTGGTGTTGATTTTGCGGCGCCTGAGTTCAAAGACGGCCCGTTCTTTCTTGGTGATCTTGCCGACGACCACCTCAGCTCTGCTGATATCCGGGGTCAAACTTGGCATCTGGCGTTCAAGCTCGAGGACCTCGTCTGGATCCATGTGAGCTGCAAGGAGATAGATGGGTGGGAACTCGAGTTCGGCCATGGCTGATGGTGTGGCATGGTATCAATGCATTTTAGATGCGGCTGGTTCATCGTCGCATTCTTGGCCAGCGAGAAGAGGTCAAGGAAAAGCCAATATTTGAGACTCCAAGAAGCAAGGTAATTACGAAGCCAAGGAGATCAAATTAATTGATCAAGCGCGGCCACCCAGGACCCGGGAGCGTCCAGGAGCCCGGGGGCAACTTACATCAACCTGGGGATGCAGTCATCACCACATGCACTACAGTGGCGTCACGTGCTACCGGTGTCCAGCCTGTAACCACAGTGGCCAATGTGGTTGGATAATAACAAGACAAAGCTTGAAGAATGCCCCAGGAACAAACCGTCCATTTTGTGTTCATAACAGCTCCAGCCGCATTGAACAGGTCTTGGGTGTTCTTTCTGCGTATGATTCTTGTCACTCATCACCCTTGTTGGCCTTGGTATTACATAAGCAAAATCGGGGATTCGAAGTTCCGATCGCATCTTTTCCCATACCCTTCCAGGCATCCTGTCGCAACCCGGCGCTCTGCAACCACGTACCTGCGCTATTGTGCCGTCTCGACTTCTCACGTAGCAGCTACGCCCAACTGTGCCCTCGGTGCCACGGCCTGAATGCGAGGTAAAGGTGTGCAAGGATTGTGCACCGAGTGGACTGTGTCGAAAGCGGGCCGCCTTTTGTTCAAAATGCATGGTTGGGAATCGAGGTGAAGGAGGCATAGGAGGCAACAGCGTACCGTCAACACCCTCCTGACCGCTGCGCTTCAATTGTCCCGGGAGAGTATGGATGGGTGCATCGCATGAACAAGGCATTAAGACATCTTGGTGCAGCACCCGACGAGCAAGTTACTGAGCTTGGGCTTTGTCCCGTTTAGAAAACTTGCACCGAGCCGTTTTCTCGAGGAACCAGGCACGACGACCCTGGCCCGTTGTCGTCTTTTCACAGTCTAAACAAACAACAGTCTAGTAGTTCGTATTTGTCTGGCAATCCGCTCAAGCATCATGGATTTGGCACAGACGCTTGTGCGCTCTGTCGTACGCGCCTTCTACGATCCTCGAGAGGTGGATACCAGGCATATCGTCATCGTCGATGCGCTCATCACGCACTCAGCTCTGCGCGATGATGACTTGTCCTACTTGATGGGCCAGAACACCAAAGACATGAAGAAACTCTGCGGCAACCTTCAAGCAGATCGGTTTATCCACCAGCATGTCCGGTCTGAACTGCGTGATGGCCAACAGAAAGCGGTACCACGAACCTATTACTACATCGACTACCGCCAAGCTATTGATGCCATCAAGTGGAGGGTGTATCATCTCGACAAGTCCGTTCAAGGCAACGCGGTCCCCGCCGCTGAGAAGAAGGAATACTTCTGCACTCTGTGCAAGTCGGAGTGGACCCAGATGGAGGTCCTCGACAATTCCAGCACGGCGGGCTTTCTCTGCCATCGCTGTGGCACCCTCCTCATATATGACCCTGAGCGCCAGTCTGGTGGCCACGAGCAATCAACACGCCTGAACAATCAGCTCAGGTTTATCACAGACCTTCTTCCGCAGCTTGACAGCGTCTACGTCCCCGACAATACCTTTGAGACGGCCTTGGAAGCAGCTCGCCCTGTGGTGCGCGACGCAACCAACCAAGTTGCAGCATCAGTCGTGGTAGAACCGACGGACAAGCCTACCGCTGTGCGTGGCATGATCGACACAGGTCCCAAGAGCATTGCTATAAGTATAACGGCGGAAAGCGGTCCTAGTGAGGCCGAAAGGGATGCCGAGAAGGCTCGCAAGGAGAAGATCGCACAGCAAAATGCTCTGCCAGAGTGGCACACTACTAGCACTGTCACGGGCATATCTTATGACGGAAATGCGAATGCGAACGTCAATAAGGATGCGGATGAGGACAGGAAAGCCGGCATTGACACGCTCAACGCCAAGGAAGATGCAGATCTTGACGATTTCTTTGCGAAGTTGAAGCAAGAACAGGCAGCAGAGGCAGCACGCAAGGCGGCCGAGGCCGAGGAGGAAGATGACGATGACGACGAGGAAGAGGAAGAAGAGTTCGAAGATGCTATTCCTGCCAGCAGCTTCGTAAACTCAGGGGAGAAGCGAACGACTTCCAGTGGTGACACCAGCGCTGCAGACACCCCGGCTTCCGACAGGCCATCTAAGAAGGTCAAGGTTGAGGAGCCTGAGAACACCGCCGATAGCGACGAGGAGGATCTAGCCTTCGAGGACGTGTAGATGTCAGCCGTGTTCAAATACCAAAAAGGCAGTTTCCACATCTGCTGGCTATGATCCTGGTCGTTCGTCTGAATGTATAACACTCAACTGATGGTTGCGAACATACAGCGACAAAAGCCCAGTCGCCTGCGTCACGTGGTATAACTTCACAACGGACCGTTCGAGATCAGATACACGGCCTCTATACTCTTTTTAGAACCTGCTAGGCTTTTTGCCGCCGTATAGTATAGTTTCTTCCTGAATTCATACCGATGGCAGAAATGGAAGACAAAGCCTAGCCAAAAGCCACTGGTTCAATCGCCGTGTCCGTTTTCCCACCAGCCACTCTATAGATTAAAGCAGACAGACCGCTGACGCATCTACTTCTCAATGCATTACCACTGTGTAGTGCGCACTTTGAACTGCGAAGGTTCGCGGACTGATGCCCAGGGTGCGACTGGTGCCTGTGAGTGATCTCGGAGACTAATACAACAAAGGAGGAATTGGTTGTGCCGACAACCTAGACACCCCAAAACACTAGTCGCAGGCGGAGTTCGGGTGTAATCAGAGCCCGTTGGCAGAATTCATCCGCATGGCGGGCTGTAGCAACCCATCAAAATTGAGCAGCTTATTCCGTGCAGGAGTAGTTCCCTCTGGATAATATGATTTCCTTCGTCTTGCAGTCAGCTGAACCCGGCGAACGCTGCATTATGGAACGCGAGAACAGCGGTGCCCAGCCCGGATTTAGAGCCCCGTCCAGTGGTATGCTGCATGGAGGAAGATTTGCCCGTGTGCTTCCATGCCAATCGATACGCTAGTACATTAGTAATGATTAGAAAAGAATACCGTGGATTGCCGTAGTAACATCAACTTGGTAACTACTGTAAAGTTAGCTAGGTAAGGTAGCCAGGGACGGGATAGGAGTATCGAAAGGGTCCGTGTGAGCAACGGCAGGCCCCATGTGGATGTCTGTTCTCTTCACCTGCGGGCGCGTTTCAAATACTTATTAAGAGTGCAGCATCGAGGCTAACATTGACCTTGGTTCCCTTGCGCAATCTACTCTTGTCCAATTCTCAACCATCAGTTGCCACCTAGAGCATCTACTCACAACCCTTGCCTATTCTGTCGCAGTATAAACAAGGAAAGTAGCCCAAGATGCCTTTCTCCTTGCAGCTCCCCAGCGAGTACGGGTACGTTGTTATTTCTCTCTAGCATTACGCCATCGACATTGCACCCCATTGGTCCATGATGTGCGGGCGGCGCAGTATTCAATCCCTTGCGTCGGGTGCCGACCAGTCGGTTGTGCTGTGAGCAACATACTCCAGATAGGGGCAAGCTGATATAATCTGCATTGTAGCTACGTCCTGACCGTCGCCTCGGCCTCGTTCTTCGTCAACACCTACCACTTCGTGCTCAGCGCCCGCGCGCGCACGGGCAGCGGCCTGAAGTACCCGATCCCCTACGCGACGGAAGAGCAGGCAGCGAAGGACCCCAAGGCCTTCAAGTTCAACTGCGCGCAGCGAGCGCACGGCAACTTCGTCGAGAATGTCACCCCGTTCCTGGGCGCGCTGCTGATTGCCGGTCTCCGGTTCCCAACGGCCAGCGCTGCGTGCGGTGCTGCGTGGGTATTGGGCCGGGTCTGGTATGCGGCCGGATACACCGCGCGAGGCCCTGCTGGTCGCAGGGGGGGCTTCACAATCTCGGCGTTTAGCGACCTTGCGCTCAAGGTCATGGCCATGTGGACCGGCGTCCAGATGGTGTTGGAGTCTGCATAAGGGAGTGTCGCGAGACGACGACAAGCCGAGCTCGGTACTGGAGTTCTCTCGGGTTGCCAGGATACTGGAAGCACCCTTGACAGATGTATACTATATAAACTGATTGTCTTGCCTGTTATCTTTTGCTACACAATCCCTCAACTAAACAAGCCATGCACATGCGCTGCGAACACTGTGTTTCTTGCCTGGCACCACTCAACTACCTGCTCCGGCTGGCAACCTGATTGGTGAATGTATGCATGGGATGTAAGTTAGCATGGGCCGGATCAACACATGCAAAAGCCGTCTTCAGCAATATCCATTTGCCACGGGCTGCGTGGATGCGTTCCCCGAACTGTGCCTGGTAGCCAAGCTGTGGTCTGCATGTTGAGAGCCACCTGGGCACTCAAGTACACTGATGCGTTAGTGCCGTCTCTCGGAGACTGCCATCGCGCTCCGATGGCTGATCAAAAGTCAAAAGATTTAGTTCTTGCATTAAATCCAGTTTGCGACTTCTTGTCTTGCTCTGCAGCTTCCTCCCTTATGGTGGGACGTCTTCTGGGGACATTGGGGGTAATTTATGTGCTGGGTAAGAACACGCAGTAGTTGGTAGACTTTACCCGTGGACCTTGGGTAGGTACTTACAGTCGCTTATCTACAGGGCTGTACTATGTATGTACTGTACCTACTGTATCGTCCTGCTTATCGTCCTGGTCCCCGCGGCTCCGCATCGGCCGCCGCAACCAAGCCCAGGCCCAAGCCCAAGCCGCAATGGGCTTCAACCCGCTGCGACCAGGCAGCACTTTCCAAACTCTCCTCTCCTCTCAACGTCAACCTCGAGGCGAATCTGGCCACCCTTCACGAGCGCGGGCCCCGAGACCTCCTCTTCCCCACGGGCACACGTGCATATCCCTGATGACGATGCTGCTGCTGCTGCATCGGGAGAGCTCTTGACACTGTTATCGTACTCATTCGCCACCAACATAAGTTAGCTACTTAGGGACAACTCGGCATCGCTCAATTCGCATCCACCATGCGGTCTCTATCTCTCTTCACGTCTGCTTGTGTGCTTCTGGCCACGGCGGCCGCCACTCCCGCCTCGGCCGCCCATCTCCCGCAATACCACATCCCGGGACTGCCCAGACGTCCGCCTCCGCTCCCGGTCGAGGCCCCCGAGCCGACAAGATCGTGGACCGGCCGCTGGTTCAACTTCTGGCCCTTGACTCTCATCCACACTGGCGAACCCGGCCAGTACACGACACTCGAGGCCCAGTACGACGGCCAGGTCGTGTTGCGCTTCAATGTCTCGACGGTCGATCACGAAGCCGCCCTCGGCAAGGCAGCCGAGCAGATGTCTCTGGATGTCTGGGACTTTGCCGCCAACTATACCGATCTGCGCATCCCCAAGAGGCGCATTCGTGCCTTGCTGAGCCTGCTGCCCAAGTCTATGCAGACCGAGCATATGATTCTGATTGAAGATGTCGCTCGTGCCGTGGCTGCCACCTATCCGTCGCCCAAGAACAGGTTGGATCTCGACGCCATCGTGACACACGGCCAGACCCCCGTGGACACCAAGAACCGAGGCCAGGGTGTCAACGACTTGTTCAAGCACAAGATGGATGACCTGTTCTTCAAGGACTACCAGCCACTCTCGGTCATCACGACGTGGATGCAATATATTGACACCATGTTCCGCTTCGACCAGGCAGGGCTGGTCACCATGTTTAGCATCGGTAAATCCTACGAGGGACGAGACATCCCCGCGCTACGGGTTGGACTTGACGCTACCAAGCACCACAGCAATAAGAAGAAGAAGCCCCGGAAGACCATGCTCATCACCGGAGGCCTGCACGCGCGCGAGTGGATCTCCGTTAGCACGGTGAATTATTTGGCATTCATGTTCGCCAGCCACTTTGGGAAGAATGAGCTGATTACGTCTATACTCGAGGAGTTCGATCTAGTCTTCGTCCCTGTTGTCAACCCGGACGGCTACGAGTACACGTGGAGCGTCGACCGGCTTTGGAGGAAATCACGCCAACGCACTTCCATGCGTTACTGCCATGGCTTTGACCTCGATCACTCGTTTGGGTATCGCTGGGATGGCCCTGGGCGCAACGATGAGCCGTGCTCTGAAGGTTACGGGGGCGACAGGCCGTTTGAGGCCGTCGAGGCCTTGCAGCTGGCCCAGTGGGCCAAGAATCAGACGAGGCACAACGTCGACCTCGTGGCATACTTTGACCTGCACTCCTATTCACAACAGGTCTTATGGCCGTACGCTTATTCCTGCGATGCCAAGGTCCCCAATCTGGAAAACATGCAAGAGGTTGCCATGAACATAGCAAAGTACATGAGACTCTCTACCGGTGAAGTGTACAACGTGGGATCCGCATGCGAGAGCGCCGTGGCGCGCGGTCCTGCAGCCTCAGATACGTCGATGGGAGTTCAGAGACGTCGAATTGAAGCTGCGGGAGGGTCGGCGATTGACTACTTCCACCACGACCTCAAGGCTCGTTACAGCTTTCAGATCAAGCTACGGGACACTGGGAGCTACGGCTTTCTGCTCCCAAGCGAGAGCATCGTGCCCGTCGGCGATGAGGTCTTCGAGGCGGTCAAGTTCTTGGGAGACTATCTACTGGGCAACAACGGGATTGAGAGGGGCCACGCCGCTCCTCAGGCTACCGACACGATGACGACCGGCAGGCCCAGCCTGGGGTTCGAACTGCGGCGGAAGCTCAAAAGGTAGAGACTTGTTTGCGAAGAGCTGGTCATAGACATAGGGTTGGTCATCGAAAACATCATGGAAAAGGTGTGGAGTGTGACATATGGTATCACGGTTGGTGTTTTGAACAGCATGGCGTTCCGGGGGCTGAGGTGTTCTGTTCCTCCGTATATGCTTATCAGGATTCTGTAATTACGAGCGAGGAACGTGTCTGTACATTAGTATATTAAAAGGAACAGCGAAAATAAGAACAAAAGTACAAATTTGACTCTCATTCAAAGACTTCCATGAAACCGCTAGCCTTGAAATACATTAGTTTTGACATGTGGATTTGTGAGTAATGAACATGGCGAGTGTCTAGATTGGGGATAGTAAAGGGGTCCAAGGGACCCAACAGTGGCCCGGATGTGTGGAATGCAGACAACGGCTGTGGGGGTAGATGTGAGATGCTGAAATGACCTCACCCCACCGCCGGAGAACCTAGTTTCCAGCGACTAGGCTGCTAGGCAGGTGTGAAGTTACGATGGCCCAGATCGTCATCTTCTCGGCCTTCCGGTCGTAGCTTGCCTGGCATTAGATCTGTCGTGCAAATCGACCAGCTACGTGCTGTCAGGGCGGGCTTGGTCCAGCGTGGGTTACGGGTACGCATGGTGGCGCTAAACGACGGCGTTCGCTGGTCGCAGAGATGTGATGGCATGGCTCAAGGACATAGGTATGGATAGATAATAATGTGATACAGCACCTGTAAACCTAAAACTAGGGACACATCGGTAACCATGGGTGGTCTGGCCGCATCATCGCGCACATCGAGGCTTTCACGTATTACGATATGTAGGCCAGGTGCTCAGGCTCACAGTCGAGAGGGTCAAATGCCTCCACTGTCGAACCGTGTAACTCTGTGCCCGAGTGATGAAGGACGAAATTGGACTCAATTTCGGCGCCGACCGGCAGACGAGAGGGACCAAGTCGGCGGTGGCGGAGGCGCGCAGGGGAATCGGGGGTGATCGTCCAAGACGGGAGATTTGAATAATGACGATAAGGGTCATTCAATCGACGGCAAGAAGGAGTTCTCGGTGGAGCTACGCAAGTAAGTTATGCATGTACCTAGGTATGCAGTCAAGTCAAGTACAGACATACAAGCAACGAAACCTAAGCCATCTATACTAGTGGCCCCAAATGTGTATATGCCAAAGGAGCCAAAGGAGCATGCGGCAAGCAGGTGCCAAAAGGATTCTGCACTCATGCAAGGTAGAGGCAACTAATTGCCTGGCTTGGCTGGAAACCCAACTGCAACCAAGAAAATGCTCCGCGATCCATGCTCCCTCGCGTTTGTGCCTTTACTGCCGGGTGGATCGGGTGACAGCTACTAGCCAGCTAGCTTCAAGGAAACAAAGCCAGGTACCCTGTCGGTAGGTTTTCCACTTACATATTACACGTAAGTCTGCGAGGAAGTAAGGTACTTGTGTACGCAACTGCGGTACGGCACGAGTGGGTGTCTGTGACCTCACAATACGCGGGGCTCACTGCCCTGAGGGACTGCACTTGTTGTGACTTGTTCTTTACGGGCTTCTGGATGGGGGGAAAGGAGGAGAGGGAGAGGCGTCGGAGGGGAGACGGGAGGGTAGGGCATTCATCAAATGGATCTAGCACCACCTAGGTAGATACATACTAGTTAAGTTACTTGGTGAACAAGTGAACAGTGAACAGTGAAGTTCTGACCGGGGATCCAGCTCCCCGGCTCCCAGCTCCCAGCCCAGTCGGCCACCTAAGTGTGTCCTACCGGCCTATCGCAGCAAAGCAAAGGCAGACTGGAAGCCAGGAGTGGTTTTTCTGGACTGACGACAGACGCAGACACGCTGCCCAGGTGGTGGTGGAGGAGGAGGAGGAGGAGCAGGCGGCGGAGGAGGTGACGGGACACTAAGCTGCATACATATCCTATTTGATCCAATCCATGCCAACCCTGCCACCAACCTGCCAACCAGCTACCTGACTCCATGCTGTGATTGATTGACGGATTGATTGATTGATTGATTGATTTCTTTGCGTTCCGTGCTGACCGTCATTCACTTCACCTCACCTTGCTTCACACTCCGCCATCTCTACCGTCCGGTGTCTGCCATCCGCACCCAACCCCAATCCCACCCCGGTTCTCCCTTTCGTCGTCTCCAAAGCCTGCCTCCTCCCCGCCTCCAGCCCGCTGGAACGAGCGCGCATCACGACCCGTCCTACCCGTCAGCACCAAGAGCGTCGTGCCTAAACCGCCTATCGGGACACCGAACCAGAGTAGCAGCAGAACCGTAGCCCAGCCGGGGACAAGACAATGGGCGACTGCGACTGTGGGCACTCGACATAGCGACTACCAGCACAGCAGCAGCTGCTTGCAAGTCCCTTCCTCATTCGACCCGGCATTCACTGCCGCCCACCATGCCCTTCCTACGACGCCGCGGCGTCATGGCCAGCGAGAACGACATGCGGCGACACACCCTCATCGACCCGGGCTCAGGTGCGACCTCGGGCCCTGCTTCTCTCAGGGCCAAACAGGCCGCGCCGCGCAAATCGCTGGCCGACGACCTCCTCAGCCCCAACGCAGCCATGGCCGGTCCCGAGTACGACGACGGCGGTCGAATCGCCAAGACCACCACGAACACCAGCGTCAGTGGCAGTGGGAGGGGAACCGCCAATGGCGAGCACTCCTCCATGGAGGAAGCCAACATCCCGTCCATGTCTACGTCCATGTCCATCGGGCGGCCGAGCGAAGACCCCTTTGACCGCCCGGAATCCCCGCCCATCCAGGAGCAAACGCCAAAGCATCGCCGATTCTCCATGTTGAGGTTTCGAAATGCCTCTGACTCCCAGCTGTCCACGCGAATGCGACAGCAGCAGCTGGCCGAGAAACCTCCGCCCATGCCGCAGCGTAGGTCCCTCCCATCTTCAGCCGCCTCCCACTCGTTGCTGTTCCTTTGCGGTCGCTCTTGCTATAGAGGTATGCTACTTTGCTAACCAGTCCATGCGAACCTGCCAACAGCCCCAGCTATTATCACCACGGCCCCTACGATAGACTCCACCCAGAGCCAGAAGAAATCGCGAATCAAATTGCCCAAGATCCGCCGGTCCGGGGAGATGACGAGACCGGACGATGGGGGCAAGCTTAAGCTCATTCCTAGCAAGAAGGATAGGAGGAAATCCATGACTGGCCTAATTAGAGAGGAACTGTCTTCTTCAGGCGCGAGTACGGGAAGCAAACACACAGTCACATTTCAGGAGCCGCGGCCTCGACCCTTGACCTCGAACTCGCATCCCGGGCCTCCTGCGTGCGGAGATGGCCAGGGCTCTGCTCTGGGCCTGCCAGCGAGCCGTCTATCCGAGTCGGAGCGATCGGAGGCCAGCTCTGGGGATCACAACGGGGCCCATGGCGGCAGTACCACGAGCGCCCAACCGGCGTCCTCCTCCTCCAGCAATTTCTTTCGTCTCCCCCGCCGGAAACATAAGCAACCGGAGTCCATGTTTCCTCTTGGCCATCTCCCGCAGAGGAGCAAAACGCCAGTGCTCCAGCCGACAGCATCCAGTTCGTCGCTCACCAATACGTCCCGACCCTCGACGGCACAAAGCAGGCCAACTCTCGTCGCCTCCCCGTCTCACGGAGCAACTCCGAAGGGTCCTTCGTCTCCAGCCACGGCACTATTCCGCCCGGCTTCCCGGAACTCTGGCCAGTCGTCGCCTACGCGAGCTCACCTCGCTCTGAGAGGGAGATCATCCACCATGAGCTCCCTCGGACGAAATTCCGGAGAAGACCCACAATTCCCAGGGGCGACGCGCACCTCCTCTTCGACAGGTCGCAAGAGCTTCGGCGATCTCCTTGGGCTGAGTAGACTGCGCCAGAATCCAGACATGTCACGCCATGGCAGCTTGACCCCGGCAACGCCAGGCTCCAGCACGTCCAAGAACAACTCGTTACAGCTCCCAAGAGAACGGGAGTCGGTCGTGCTACCGGAGCGCCGTGAAGACGATACCCCAGCCAAGTATCTCGCTCGTCTCGAGGATATGCTCAGCCGTGGGGTGATTGCTAGTGCGTTGTCCAAAGGCTCAGACCCCTTTTCAGCAGCAGTCTTGAGAAGTTACATGCGGACGTTTGGCTTCTTTGAGGAACCAATGGATATGGCGATTCGAAAGTTACTCATGGAGGCTGAGCTTCCCAAGGAGACTCAGCAGATCGACAGATGCCTGCAAGCTTTCGCGAACCGATATCACGAATGCAACCCCGGCATCTACTCTAGCCCTGACCAGGCATACTTTATTGCTTTTTCCCTGCTCATCTTGCATACCGATGTGTTCAACAAGAACAATAAGCACAAGATGCAGAAGCCGGACTATCTCAAGAACACGCGCGGCGAAGGCATCTTCGACGATGTGCTTGAGTGCTTCTACGATAATATCACATACACACCATTCATACATGTTGAAGACGATTTATCCATCAATGGGGATCAAATCGGTGGTCACAAGTCGAGAAAGAAGATCATGTTCAACGGCAACGGCACTCCAGAACCACCTAAAAGATCGAAGGATCCGATCGATCCCTACACGATGATTCTGGATGGGAAACTTGATTCGCTGAGGCCACCCCTCAAGGATCAGATCCCTCTAGAAGAACACTACAACTATATGGGCACCGTCAAGGAGCTGAATGTAAGGGAGCTGCAGAGAACGTTCTTCAAGACTGGCGTACTGCAGATTGTCTCTGCACGGTCGAGACCTGATGCCTTCATTAACGAGAAGACTTTGTCTAATCCCGAGGAAGCCAAACCTGGCATCGTCGACATCAAGGTCACCAAGGTTGGCACATTATGGAGAAAAGATGCCAAGAAAAAGAAGACTAGATCCCCCTGGCAGGAGTGGGGCGCCATCCTCACAGGAGCCCAGCTCTACTTCTTCCGGAATGCCACCTGGGTCAAAAGCCTCGTGCACCAGCACGAGCAGCACGTGAAGTCGGGGCATGACGGCATCCCACTGATCTTCAAACCGCCCTTGGAAGAGTTCAAACCTGATGCCCTCATGTCGACAGATGGTGCAGTCGCACTGTTTGATCAGTCCTACAAAAAACATAAAAACGCGTTCATTTACGTCCGGCATGGCGGCCTCGAGGAAGTCCTGCTTGCTCATGACGAGAACGACAGGAACGATTGGTTGGCCAAGCTGAACTATGCTGCCGCGTTCAAAACGTCTGGGGTCCGGATGCGAGGAGTTGTGGGTGGCAACTATGAGGGTCAAGGTCGCCGGGCAATCCGGAGACTGGACAGCAGTGAAGTCACCCAGGTTGTCCAGACGCCTACGGGAGAGGTTAGCATCAACCGGAGCCGCATCGACCAGCAGATGGCTAGGGATATCCTCTCGGCTCGGCGTTACACGATGAAAGATCGAATCCAGGATGCGGAGGAGAAGCTCCAGGCAGCGCAGAAGCAGCTGGACACGCAATTGCGGAATGCCCGACACCTCTTGATACTGTCACCCATCCAAGAGAAGACGCGCGAACAAGTCCGCGCGGGTGCTGCGAAGGTTATTGCTCAGCTCAAATGGTCACGGGCAGAGATGTGGAGGCTGAGGTGCCACCGGGATATTCTGCAGTTGGATTTGGAAGAGGACAAGCAACTCAACGGTGACCTGGGAGAGATGGAGACGGTAGCGGAGCATCCAGCTTTGACCCACAAGGAGTCCAAAGCAAGCTCTCACTTGACGCAACAGCAGAGTCCACGGTCCCCTGCGCCTTTGTCACTGACTCTCTCTTCTGGCTCACTCGGACAGGCAGACGGCGAGTCTCCCGTCACCGAAGTCTTCCAAACACCACCCACCAGCGCAACGGCCTCGACCTTCCAGAAGCCGTCAGGCGCCAAGGATGCCATGGCGCTGCCTCCGGATCATCCAACCCTCAGGAAACCCTCCGTTTCCAGCATCGCCTCATCGATCCCCCAGGCTCCGTCCTCACCACCTAAGCAAGCCACTAGCTCTGTGCCCGGCCCAGAACCAAACCAATACGATGACCATGATGCGGTGGACGCTGGCGAACGACGAGTGTTGGAGCAAGCAGGGTTGCTTGAGATTGAGCACTCGCGAACACCCGACCGGCCAAGCTCATCTGCCAATGGTCCTGAGGACACTCTTGACCGGCACAAGCGAACCAGTGTTTCCGCCTCTGATAAAGAGAAAGCAGATCGAAGCAAACTACGGCGCAGCCTTCAACGCACTCTTAGGGAGAGTACGGGACACCTCTCGCATCACCGGAGTCGGAGGGGCAAGGATTCCGCTTCGAGCGGCGCGTTGTCTGACGACGTCGCTCGTGACGATGTCTTGACCCGAGGCACTGGAAGCTTCACGGTCCATGGAAAGAAAGCCTCTGTGATCAACTTCAGCTCAGACCTACAGGGCATCTCATCCGACGAGCGCATTCGTCAACGAAAGCAGCCCGTGCCAGACGAGCCTGTGCTCTCCCCTGCCAGCGTCGACGATGACTTCCACTCCGTCCTCGGAGAGCCAGCTCTGGCGAGAGAAAGGAGAGAGTCAGCTGCGAGTGCCAGCACCGCCACCGCCAGATCCTTCCGTGAGCTGCATCGAAAGTACTCATCGGCTCAGAATGTTCACAGGATTGCCAGCGGCGGATTGGTCGTGCCCTCTGACGACGACAGCGACGCGGCCATCAGCTTTTCTGATGGACACCGCACACCATTACCACCACTGGAGGACGGGTCCGGCGGTGAGGAGGAGGAGGAGGAGTCGGGACGCTCCAGTGCGCCACCAACCCGTCAATCCCTGTTCTTCACGCCGGAGCCGCCGGGCTCGCCGGTCAACGAAGTTGATGAGGATGATGACAAGGAGGAAACAAACCAACAAGCCCATGAGCGCCTGAGCCCGCCTGTTCAAACTGTCAACGCATAACGGGAGCAAAGGCAGCGCGGTGGTTCCTGGATGGGACGTTCAGTTTTACTCTTCTGTGTTTAGAAGAGCGGGTTAGATCTGACATGAAAAGCATTTAGCGGTGCCGATTTAGTTTTTTTTTTACCACAGTGTGTATTCGTCTAGGGAATGATGGAGGGAAAGATATGGTCTCTCCCTATAGATACATCCCCTATGGCTCCGAGGAAGGGGACTAAGGAGAGGGGTGCCCAGGCTTGGTGCCCATACATGTACATAGATAACGCGAGGAGCGGGCACTCGTTCACATCCTGGCTTCAAAAGTGGCACCTCATCTCTAGGCTTTCTGAATGACAGTCTATCCCGTACCGTCTGTACTCAACAATGGCACCACTGAGTTGGATGTGTCCTTATGACCCCCTTCACATGCCGCCCCATATACCACCACACAAGCAATGGGTGAACGAACGTATGGACGTATGTACTCAAGCTGCACTGTCCTTGCCGTGGCACGAGAGGACGTGGCAGTTTGAGAAACTTGCGGCCCCTAAAATCTGCGTCTGCACGGCATAGCCCAGAACATCATCATTGAGGGAGGCGGCGTGTGGATATATCTCTTGAAACACATGGATGGACACAGACTGTCAAGCTTTAGTCCAAGTGGCTAGTCTTGACAGGGCTGGCATTCTCAACATTCCTGATGAGATGGGTCATCCCCCCCCTTCTTCTTTCCAGTCTGGATGAGTTGGACTGGGCGAAACTGCTTCAGTGGTGGTGCATAACAGACGTCACGCCTGGAAGGTCTGTGCGAAGACGATTCATCACTGGGAAATTGTTTCTTGGATGATTGGTCAATTATGCGGGATACTTCTGTGAACCCCGGATAACATAGCCGCATGGTTATCAGCTAACAGTGGGATGTCTAGACGCGAGAAAGTTCCTCGTCGCGCGCGCGAAATGCTGTGCTTCTACAGGCCCTGGCTAGATCATTTCTTCTTCTTGTTCTTCTTCTTTCCGCCGCCGGTGGCCTTCTCTACCTTGACGGCTCCCGCGCCGCCGACCAGCTCCAGCGTCTCCTCCTCCTTGACGACACCACCCTGCGTCGCCTCCTGGGCACGCTTCTTGCCCTTCTTGCCCTTGGGGCGGTAGGTACTGCGGTCACGCAATGGCAACCAGCGCTCCGGATCAGGCTCTGTACCCTCGACGTAGTCCTTGGGCAGCCTCTTCTTCTTGCGGCGCTTGTTCGCCTTTTGGGGTTCCACATCGGCGGGTCGCTTCCTGCTCTCAGGGGCTACGGCGGCAACGGACGCCACGCCGGCTTCAACCAGCGCCTGAACATCAACACCAGCGGTCAGCCTCTCAACCGGCGTCAGATTGGACAAATACGGCTCAATCTTGGGGTAATCCGTGGTGGCGAAGGAAGCCACGAGGCCTGCCGCAGCGATGGTATCGTTCTTGGACTTTGCAGCCAAACCTTCAAAGGTGTCGCCGGCCAAAGCTAGGTCGTCAGGATTTGACGACTTGAGAAGTTCCACGCCAGCCTCCCGGAGCAGGGAAGTCGCAGATTCCTTGGAACGGGTCCGCCAGTGCGCAGCGGCTTTTGCCAACTCGGTCCGTATGGAATTTTGACGCCCGAACAGACGGTAGAGTGCTACTGTCACTGCCACCAGGCCAGGGGAAAACCGGGCATCTCCGTGGTCTGGCGTGGTAGCCTGCTCCAGGCGCTTCAGGAAGGCCTCCAATAAGCCAAGCGCGGGCCCCGGGTTCTTGGTCTGCACATAGAGCTGAATGATGGTTAGGAGGAGACCGATATCAGCGGGTCGCTTCTCCAGAATGGGCAAGATCTCCTTGATGGCAATCTTTCCTGCCTGGAGCTGGGCGCGGGCCGCGGCGTTGATGACACCGAGTCCAGCAATCTCGGTGGATGCAGTTGGTGTAGGAGCCTTCAATATCTGCTTCGACGTAGAGGATTCTATGCCGTCGAACTTTTGCATCTGCAGGCCCAGGGCATACCTGTTTCTTCTCAAAACAGCGGCCTGGTACTCGAACAGCTGGTCGTTGCCGGAAAGGGCGGAGGCCGATTCAATCAGGCGCTGAGTGAGATAGGGGTTCTGATCCTCCGAGCCAAGGGCCGTCTGGTTGTTCTGGGCGACTACCTTGGCGGACGGCTCTGGGACACTGCATCCAGGTTAGCAGGTAGACACGAGGCACTATGCGGCGGACATACTCAGGCAGTGTAATAGACTTGTGGAGGCTTGTGGCCTCTGCGGTTTTCCCTAGGCGGGTGAGGACATAGGCGTGCTGGATGAGCAGGGGGAGCAGCTCGGCCTGCTTCTCGGCGTCGGACAGATCCTCGCTCGCCTCGCAAAGATCTCTAGAGCGCTTGAGCAAGACAGACGCCTTGGCTAAATCACCACGGGCCACGCAGCCACAGGCAGCGTTGTAGGCCGTCTCGAAAGCCTCGAGGTCCTCGCGGGCGGGCTGACGCAGGTGCTCGTCGACCAGGTCGCCCTGGCCCTTCCACTGCAGCTGGGCATTGGTGGCAAGACCGTTGATCCTCAGGTCGTTCTCCTCTCCCGGCAGGCCCTCGCTCTCGACGTCGGCGGCGAGCTGGCGGTAGGCGGGGGCGGCCTGGTCGAACTTTTCGGCACGGTAGGCGATCTGGGCGGCTAGGTGGCGAGATGCGCGGGTGGCGGGCTGGACGGTGCCGATTGCTGCCTCGGCTTCGGGCAGCCTGCCGACCTTGTAGAGGGCGTAGGCCTTCTCGACGGCGCACTCCTTCTCGAGCCGGTCACCAGCCTCGCTCAGGGCGCGCAGGGCGTCGTCGAAGCGGTCGAGCTTGAGCAGGGCAACGAGCCTCGTGTGGTGGGCGTGGGCATTGGACTTGTCGGCCTTGATGGCGGCGTTGGCGGCCTTCAAGACTTCGTCGTGGTCTTGGATGGAGGCGGCGCGGAGCAGGGCCGTGAGAGCTGCGGCGGGGTCGGACATGGCCGCTGGGCTGGGACGCAACGGCGTCGTGGTGCAGATGGGTCGGGGAATGGCAGGTCAACAACAGCACACATGCCTCCCGTGTGTGCGCAGAGAAGGACGTGCTTCCCGGGTCTTTGGTCGGCGTCGGGGGGCAGACGGGCAGACGGGCAGACAGACGTTGGCCGTTGGGCGGGTTTAGCTGAGGCTCCCAGTGAAGTGCCATCGAACGTGCATAGCTAAACATAATCCATACATTACATGCCTGCCTTTGGTGGGGCTGCCCGGTTTCCCCTCCACCAAAAAAAAGCTAACCCACAAAATTGAATAATGAAACGACGTCTCGACTGCCATTGGATCGTTGCTTTTGAACGAGGGTAGGTGTATACTGCCTGTATCACCCTGACTATAACCTACCTTGAGCACTTGGTCAATGCTACTAGTATACCTGGAGAAGACTCACCGATTACTCTCGACTTATCGTTCGCTATGAACACATTTGCCTGCCCGTAGTGACTTATATCAGCCTACTGCAGCGCTTTAACCAATAGTGCTTCTGTGACCACTCGCTCACACGTGCCGGCAAGAGCCTCATACACGGTGACCAACATGCGTAAATAGCCGCAGCATTTTGGTCCAGACATGGACGGATTCCCTTATCCGAATACAGGGCAAACGCCTCGTGCTGGGTCACCGCCATGGTTTCATCTTATTCACTTGTGTGTTGATCCATGTTAGGCCAAGGTGGGAAGAAGACTTTTGGACCGGCGTCGTCGTTCAATCATCAATCATAAGCTAAATGCAACTTGGACGTGGACTGGGCCTAGTGTGCATGCGCATATCGCAGCCCAGCCACATCCGAGACACGAACCACGCCATATTTCACTCAAAGGGTATTCGCCAAAGCAAAGAACACACGCTTCACACCCCAAAAGGCCTGGAATACCAAGGGCGGCTCAAAACGTCCTCCTTCCTCATCAGCTGCGGAATATCCGCCCAAGAAGACCGCGCTTCTCCTTTGTCTGCCGCTGGTAGGGTTGTAGCGGGTAGACGGTCTGGGCGTTGTAGTACCTCTCGTCATTAAGGCCTTGGTCTAACAAGTCCCATGACTGCCGATATCGTATCTCGCCGAGCTTGGTGCTGTTTGAGGACATGGATATGTATGAAATGCGATTCCGAGACTGTGACTGTGACACTGTCCGGCTCTCGGGAGACTCTGGACGCTTGAGCCTCTCGTTTCTGCTGCCCTTGGAGTCGCCTCTAGATACCTTGCTCCGACTTTCATCTTTGCCGTGTGGTGGTGTCGGCTTCCTCAAAGTAGCGGATGGCTTCTTCTTTGGCCCTTCGTTCCTGTCATCTGCGACTGCGCCTCGAATGGCCACCCGGCGGTCCAATTGAGCATCTCTGGACGATCGCTTCCGGCCTTGCCCCTTCGTGCTGGAACTTCTGCTGCCGCTAGACACCGAGCCCGTGTGACTGCGTCTCTCCTTGGCTAAGCTGGACGAGCTACTAAGCCGTCGTGACAACCGGTCCATTGCGCTGATAGCTTCAAGCCTTGATGTGTTCGACAAGGACATCAGAGATTCATAATCCATCACGGGCCGCTGGCCTTTGCTCTTTGCCATCGCGAGCAACTTGGAGATAGCATTCTTCAGTCTTGTAAGAACGCGGCTGAGTGCAGATTTCGAGCGACCTACGGGGAGTCAACGTCGGGGAAGCCGTGAAGACAGGCATATACAAGCTACTTACGATCCCCTTTTGCTAGACGGTCGCCGTGTTTGGACAGTCTGGACGAATAAGCCCGTCTCACTTGCATTCGATCCGACTTGATCGAACCGCGAAGGGATTGCAGGTCAGAAACGACGCTCGCATCCGCTACCCCTCGTACTGCACCTTGGTTCTTGGAAGTCTTCAGCAGGCGGATACATTTGCTATACGTCTCTAGAAGCGCAGAAACGCGATCTCCAAAGCTAGCCATTGAGCATATCCAGAGACCAGCGTTCTGATCCCGCCGAGGAATATTCAAGGTCGAGACTAAGTAACCTCGCACATGTCCACAAGAGACATCCTATGGCTTGTTGTTCTATGCCTTGAAGGCGGAGGCTAGAACTCTGTGCTCCTCATTGTCCTCTGTCCGTGTCTGCGGGGCAGATGCCAGCCGGCCAAGCATCGTTGGCGACTAGCCGCCGTGACTGTATTCTGACGACCAATCAAGCAACGTATCGTCCATGTCAATGCTCACTGGCTCTTCCAGCCCTTCAGGCCATCGACCGTCGAAAAAAATTGTTGGTGCGACCCTGGGATGCTTCTGCCGTTCACAGATTATGGCGCTTGCACGGCGGCAGCACTCGGTAGAGTGGTCAAGCTATCCGTCTTCCACGCCTTCCAGTCCTGACAGAGGACAGAGGGAGGCCAGGTATCTCGGGTAACGGATGCATGCATGTTCATCTCCTCCTCACGCAGCTTGGCAACCCGCAGGTGAAAGCGAGGTTACAACAGAAAGGATGGTCTTGATTTGCTAATCTAAATGTTGAATTCCCGTGCGTGGGATGGTAGTCGACGGATTAGGCGATCTAGGCCGCGGCGCGGGAGCCTCCCGTGCGCCACATCGACCGCTAACCCTGGGAAGCTTTGTTCCTAGAGTTCCTAAGATAGGAATACTTCTTCTAGGCAGTTTGAATCGCTATCTACGATCGTTGACCTAATAAGCCATGGCGAGTTTCTCTAGTGTGACAAGAAGTCAGCGGGGCACTAATCACGACTCTTAGGACCAAGACTGCCAAATACCCAAAGATGAGACGGGTAACTCTGCTGAAGTTGTCTGGGAAGTGGAAAGAACGCAATGTCGCCTATATGCAGTGTAGTCAGTGATCTTAAGATTGGTGAAGCCAATCTGTTTTGTGAGGCTCGAAGCCGTGGGGGTATGCCCCGAGAACGGTGTCATAATTTCCAGCTTCGGAATCCGTTGCGTTGAGGGCCGGCTCGCTGTTACACCCAGGGCGAGTATCTTAGGTAAGACCCTACAACAACGTACGACCGATGGAATCATGCAGCCTGGTTACTGCAGGTTTACTATGGTAAGGTACGTCGCTGGATTATTGTTTCAAACCCATTTGGAGACACTGCAACAGGGCACATGCAACGTAGGCAGACATCCGGGCGCCAACTCTCCGAGATACTGGGATCATTATAGAAGTGACTTCAGACCATCACCTCCAAGACACATAGGATTGTCTCCGCGAAATGAGCGCCATGCGTGGCTGATAGAGCGCAACGAATCTCCAATCACTCTATGTCACATGTTTGAGCATAATCTTCGTTTGTTGTCGCTGCATGATGCTGGAGATACTCGACAGCTTAGAGTGCCCGAAGACAAGGCGATACTTTGTCTCACTTGGCATGCTATTTGGGGCAAGCCAGGGATGATACTCGAGCCACTGGACTGTCTTATCATCCAATGGCTTTTCTTTGCAACCAGGCGCGCGGATACAGTTCCATAGGAAACGTTATCTTACAGTCAGTGCTGGCCCAACCAGGGCGACTCGGGCCATGTAACTAAACTGGTGATGAGTGGCATAGCCTCAGCGGGAAAGCCTCCGTTTCGACAAGGCCCTGGTCATCTTTTCGATAGCCGTATCATCGAATTTCTTATCATGTCGGTATTTCGGGTGCTCTGGTAAGAAGCCATGTAACATCAAAGAGTCGAAGACTCTCTTGTCCGAGGCGACATCCTCGAGCAGCTCAGATGAGCAGCCACAGCATCGATACAGTAATTGCCTATTTGTCTAGGATAACAGAGAGAGGGGGGCGTAAACTACTGAGGTGATTTGTCCCGACTGAATTCATGGATCATGGCAAAAAGGGTCGATTTTTTTGGTGATCGTGGTGTTTTCCGAGTCGCTGTCAGTTATCACAGCCAATCATACTGCCTTGCGAGACCCGGCCTGGCATAGGGCTACGTACTTCTTATGAGACAGTATTTCAGATGAGCAAATGCAGAGGATAAATGGCGCAAGCGATACCATTGTACAGTACAGATGGCTCTTACGGACACGTTGGTTGTGAAAGCGGCTTGGCCCCCCCCCTGTTGGTACCATTACACCTCGCTTTTTTTCTTGCGCGTGGGGGCTTCTGTAGGAGGCGATCTGATGTACCTGGCGTTAGCTGATTAGTATACAGGCTATACCACTGGCAGCACATTGAAATGTCCATGGCATGGTATTATCGTCGAACGGGAGCCCGGCTGAGCCACACCAGACAATAATCATTCGACTGAAACCACAAGTTTGAAGTTTGCGGACTGAGCTGCACAGGACATCTCTACGTAGTACATTGCATTGGCTGTCACGCCTGCTGATCAACTTGTTGCGAACCTGCACGGAGCCGGTCCTCGTTCACTAGCATGTTATCGCTATGACTCGTTCGATGCTCAGTTTCTCATCTCTTCTTCACCGGTGCCGAAGCATTGACACCATCTAGCATTGGTCTCGCGACACGTGTTATTGGATGCCCATTCGGTGAGATTGTAAGATATCGAGACGGCGGTGACACAAAAACCCTGCACTCTATCAGCGCAAGATAGAGAGGTCTGCGTTAGCTGGTTGGTTGTCACGAATTGGGCCAATGGAATAGCCTCAGAATGGACCAGAGCATGGACGGTGAATCAGGTAGCGAAACTCAATTCACCCGCGGTATTCTAACACGGCCGTTCTCCAGAGACGGATGTTAGCCACGGGCCTGCTTTGCGATACACCAGCAGCACGTGTACTTGGAGGCCATCTCCCAAGACCTTTTGGCGTGACCAATCCTGGTGTCAGCAGAACCCCCCGTTGGCGGGGTCAAGGGCTCCGTTCCGTTCGTTGCCGACATCATGAACTCCATCCAGGTCGGTCTGGCACCATCTTCCGGCATGATGACACACGGTTGCCCCAAGCTCAGTAGCCCATATTATGGCCCTACACACCCGGGGACAAGACTTGCGGGTGGAGTCAACCAGAATCACTACCTGATAACGACGGCCTTGGCGCGGGTGATGTCGCGCTCAACGGCAGTAGTCATATCTGGGGCAAAGATGCCATGCAATGGTATCACCGGGGCGTGGAAGACGGAAGGCTGCACAGACCGGATGACTTCGACACGGTGCAGATTGTCGACGTTTCTATGTAGGTCTCTGATAATCGCGGTCCCTCCAGATGGACACGCAGCCTCGCCAGAGTCCCCTATCACCATATTCAGTCGAACCCTGAGGTGCCTGGAGCAGCAGTGACACAGCAGCCACGGAGTCTTGGGTCTCGTCCCCCAGGGTGGGATTGCTCCTGCAGGAGGCGAATCAAGACGCAGTAACCGGCCCGGCCTTATCTGTCCCCCCACAGACCGTTCCTCTCACCCTGTCAAGGATTTGCGACACCCTGGTGGCATTTTATTAGTTAATGCTTTTTGGACAGTGCCTACAGTGCACTGAAAGCTCCCGATAAAGTTGCAGGAGAGGGAAACATGTGGGAAGCCGTTGGGCACCTCTGCGGCAAGTCTTACTGTACACCAAGTGGAACTATCATTGGAACGTCCAGTATCAACTAGGTGCCTACTGTACTGTGTAGTCGGGTTGGAGTGGGCACCCGTAGATGGTTCCAAGTCCACCAGGCCGGGACCGCACTGGGCGATCCGACAACACATTCCCAGCTGCGAAGCTTAAGCTACTGGCAACCCATCACCCATTCATTCATCCACCCACGGCTCCGTCAATGCTGGCCTCCCTAACTGACTTCGTACCTTCTCCTGACTCGCGCCTCTTGATGGGAGAGTGCTGTTGATGCTCGGGGACCGAGTCGACCGCTTTGCGCTTGCACACCCTGTCGTCTAGTCCTGAGAAGACTGGCGATCCTGGTGGTTCCCGTAACTTATCGTATCGGCGGCTGGCTGTCCTCGCCAGAGCCACCTTGCATGCAAGAGTGCGACAATTGCACCCGCCTACGCCCCCAAGTCTTCTTCCTTTTCACCCTTGCCCGGTATCTGGTATCTCGGTCATTTCTGGCCTATCGGTTTATCTGCAACACGGTCCAGCGCAGATGCAGCCGTCCATGTCGAGGGCATTACATTAATCATTGATGGGCCAGACTACCTTGCCTTGCCTGCCAACTTGCGACACCCTCTTTGCGCGCTCCGTCGTCTTGCGCTCATTCGCCCTGTACAGACCACTGGATTTCATCATCTGCCAGCCCGGCCCTCTGCCCATCTCTATCGAAGCTGTCGACTGCCAGCATCCGCTTGGAGGCGACTTCATTCAGACGTAACGTCCCGCGTGCGTCTCAGTTATTCGGCTGGGCCGTATCCTAGCGCGCCGGACAACCGCAGGCCAGATAAAGCGGCATCACGCCTTTTGGACCAACCCGCAGACGTGCTAGTTATCACGTCAATCCACCCCTCGATTTGGAGATCCTCCACGCCACTTTGCTGCCTCTGGACAACGGCATCTCTTACCAACTCTTGGTACCAAGGCCATCTTGAATATATCCTACCGTGCCACGGGAGGCGTCTACTGCAACACATCATTTCATATTTACTACCTTTCATGGACGAAGCACACTTAAGCGAGACGATTCGTCCTGTGTGCCGGATCCGATAGCATTGCAGACCTTGAGTTCGGGAAATTTTATTTCATTCCATGTCCAGGTTCGACACTGCGAAGAAAGTTGTCTCTTGACAAGAAGGATGTCTTCCCAGTCTTCTCCCTCCCCACCGCCGGGGCCTATGGCGGATATCGATGAAACAAAGTTGCCCAGTGGTCAATGTCGCTACATTCTCCTAACCCCCGAGATCAAAGGCCATCGATGTGGTTGCGTTGGCTTCACACTCAATCGTTCACTGCCTGGCGTCAGCTGCGAGTGTGGTCACCTCTCATGTTATCATCTCAAGGCAGCTGAACAACCGCCGGATAAGGCACAGTTGGACCTCCTCTTACGAAGAGTCCAAGCCCTGGAGGGGCAACTAGACCGTGAAAATACGGGCGGTCTGGGGAGTGCTCTGGGCGATGTGGTGCGACGCCTGGGCGACCTGGAGGAGCAGTATGAGAAGAGCAAGGACGATTTCAGCCAGGAGAACCGAGGTATCTATCGACAAATTACCAGTGTGTGGCAGGCTGTCGACCAAGCAGGAAGGCGGCAGGTGGAAATGCAAAATCGTTTGGCTATTCATGACGCACGCTTGGATGAGCGTGATGACAACATGCAAAGGCTCGAGAAGCGACTGATGGAGTCGGACGATGCGGCCATCGACCTGGAGGAACGCGTCGACCGCCTGGAAGAATCAGAAACGCCGGGGCCTCGACGCCGGCGTAGATCCTCTTCAGAGTCTAGGGTTTCAAAAAACTCGGAACCAACCTCGAGCTCACGCCACGGCGTGGACGATGCCCTTGCAGCACCGGCGACGGCAGCGTCATTCACGCTCGCCCGACGGGCAGGCAGTGCATCGGGCCGTAGTGATAGGTCGGCCGGCGCAGCCTCGGGCCCTTGGACCGTCCATGTCTCGCTCATGCCTATGGCGTCGGTGGCGTTCCCATTTGAGAAAGACACCAACGCTTACAAGCGGTGCCTCTCCCGTGGACTCCACCAGATGATTGCAGTCCAAGGGGCTGACAGCGATGCCTTTGCCGCGGCCATAACGACGGCATTTGGCAGAATTCTCAACGGCCGGCCATGGATGCCGCTGCAAGCCCGACTCTGCGACGCCGAGACACTCCTGGGGCTCCCGATGCTTCGGCCTCTCGACCCGGCTCTGCTTGGAGCTGGTTATTACGACCAAGAGTTCCTGCGGAAGCACTGCGCCGTGTGCGGGCCCAACGGCAAGCTCGACTCGCTGTATATTGCCATGCAGTTCGATACGTTGTCGTGGCACTTCCTGCGGCGATCCCCATGCTACTTCCAGGGACTTGAAGACAGCTGGGCATACGACCCGCTCCTGGACCACAACGATCCCTTTGATGACGAGCTGGATGAAGAGGACCGGCCGTCGGCCGGCGACATACTGCCATCGCTGGGAAACCTCAAGCGAACGGCATCGGAGATGTCGCGGACGCCGAGCTTTAGTGCCGGGTCGGCGGGGGAAGGGGAGGGCTCTCGGCCCAAAGTGCCGCGGACGACGACGGGGGCGTGTGTGCCCGTACCGCTGGAGCTCCGTAGACGGGTCGAGACAGTCTAGTTTAGAAGGATTGTAGGCTAGGTAAGGGCGCGATAGAAGAGCAAGAACAGGCATAGAAGCGACATGGGGCGTTATTTTCCTTTTCCTGGGAGACGGGGCATGCTAGACTTTTGCGAAGGGGGTACCATGGCTCTTGCAGCCGCAGCGAGCGTTCTTTTGTCAGGTTGTTTCCTGGTACGTTGGCGACGAGGGCGACGAGGGCGACGAGGATGGGCAGTCAGCGGGCCGATCAGTCATGTAGCAAGCCGAAATCATGTTCTTTCCGACAGGACTTGAAGCGGGATGAGGACGACATGTCGATGAATAGAATAATGTCCTTGGTGAACCGTCGACCCTGTCTGTCGCCTGACTACATGTGTATGCGCATTTGTGAAAGTACATGCATGCCCGTCAGCTGCTGTGTGACGCCAGACTGACAAAGAGCTAGAGGCAGTTATGGATGCGGCTGAGTGAGACGGGAGCAAACCTCATTGTGAGTGAGCCAACATCCCCTGGCGGTGGGAGGTGACACCAAGACGGGCCACCGACATGGATTGGGGGAGCACTGACGACCGTTGATCTTGGGACGGGCTGACCCGCTCAAGATTCTAGCGCGTGGGAGCTAGCGCCAGGAGCTACCCAGCGCCCTGGGGACCCAGGATTCCGGGGCCTTTTGGGGGGGCTGGTGGGGGATTGGGGGAGAGCTCTGAGTCCTGCAGGTGGGCAGTCTCATGTCAGCAAGGCTGAATGAGTCGCGCCAGCAGAAGGGACACCCGGCCCAGGGAAAAAAAGAAATGGGCCCCGCAGCTGGAGGTGTCTGGGTGTCTGGAGCTTGAGAACCCGCCGCCCCATCATCAACCTCTCTCTCTCTCAGCCTTCCACCTGGGCAGCCTTTCACCCTCCTCCCAACTTGACCGTGCATTTCCATGTATCTATCAATTGCACTTATCCACGTACATACGCTCGATTTCTAAGAGGCACATGTGCACGCTCGGCACCTCCCGCCTGGAACACCATCTTTGCGGTTGTCTGCCTACCATAATAGGTTCAGAGTAGCACGCACGGCTTATTCTGCTTGCGCATCACCGCAAAGGGTTCTTTCTTGATCCGCAACCCCTCCCCCCAGACACGTTGGAACCCGAACAACCACCAGCCAATATCAACACTTGATCGTACCACCGCCTCATCGCCTTCTTTCTCTCGGTTCCTTCCACCCGACGGCGCATCCAGACCACCTCGGCCCATCGCTCTTTCTGCGCCCCAGCAGGGCCACAGCTGTCGAGGATGGATGCCATGGACCTGGACATGGACGTGGACGTCGACCTCGTGCCGGACGAGCCCATCAATGCGCAGCCTCAGGATACTCCTGTACGTGCATGCCCCTCCTCTTGGTCACCCGCGGCCCTGCGCGCTCTCAAGCTTACCATCACTGCAGTCCCCCGGCGAGGTGGTCGACGCTCCACCCCCAGACCAACCTGAGAGCACCTCTCTGGTCCCGAATAAGGTACACATCCGGGGACTGGATCAGATGAACCCGAACGACATCAAGGCTTATGCCGCCGAGCACTACCCGAACAGCGCCTTCGAGAGGATCGAGTGGATCGACGACAGCTCGGCCAATCTGATCTACCCGTCCGAGTCCGTAGCCCAAGAGGCATTGGTCGGGTTTTCCTCCGTCGAGATCGCCGACGTGTCCCTGCTCCCGGCGCTCGAGCTCCTCCCAGCCAAGGCCTTCTCCCAGAAACCCACCGTCGTCCTCCAGGTGCGGGTCGCCGTTGTCGCCGACAAGAAGCAGCCCAAGGCTGCTGAGAGGAGTCGCTTCTACCTCCTGAACCCTGAGTTCGACCCCGAGAACCGGAAGAAGTACCGTGACCGGCGCGACGGAGGCGGAGACCGCCGTCGGAGGGACGGCTATTCGCGCATGGACGAACCCGTCGACGAATTTGATGTCAACCTGTACGACGACGATACCTCTGCTATAGCCACCCGGAAGGGCGACTCACACCCGCGCCCGCGTCGGCGACGGTCGTTCACGCCCGATTACGATAGCGACGACCGGAGATCAAGGTCGTACCGCAGTGCAAATCGCAACAAAGAGTTGTTCCCTGGTGGTACCTCCGGCAGGGGTCGGTCGGCTTCGCCGGCGCGTGACCGTGACGGAGACCACGGCATGGGGGAGACACCACCCAGCGAGGGATCAGCCGAGCGGAACCGGCGTGGTGGCCGAGCCATCAAGGATCGCCTGACCCGCCCCAACCGCAGCAAGGAGCTCTTCCCAGATAATGCGGCGTCGTCAGAGAGCAACCGCCTGGACGATGCCGACGAGCTCACCAAGAAGTTCGCCTTGCCCGTCTTCGATGGGAGTCACGACGAAAAGCCGTTGCCTCGCGGCAGGAGGCTCGAGGACCGTGTCTCGTCTCCCAGTGGGCGGCTGGCGGACAGGATCACAGACCCCAGCAGCTCCGGGTTCAGCATACGTGGCACGGCTGGGCAGCGAAGTGCAGACCAAGGCTTCGCAATCAAGGGCGGTGCAAAGACGGCCAAGGAGTTGTTTCCCGACAAGCTGGGGCCCAACACGGGCAAGGAGCTCTTTGCCGACAAATCCGATGGAAGGTCGCGGCGTCGGCAGAAGGCAGGTGATCTATTCGACTAGGGGTCTCAGCTTAGGGTGTGCGCCGCATGGCAGGCACGGAAGCAGCTACGGAAGCAGGCCCTGGGCAGTCACGCATATGTGATTTGGGAGCGTGCGGAATCTAGTCGGTATGTCTGCACGCGTCCCAGCTCAGCGTTAAGTCTGGCGGTGGTGTTTGGGCATGGAAAAGCGCAGTGAGCGGTGGGCCACTTGAAGGTGGGCACATGGCATTGGGCAGGCGTTGGGGAGTTTCCCTCTCTCGGTGCAGAGTAAGCTTTCTGCTTTGCTTGGAAAGCGATAGACCACGATGAATTCAGACGAACACCACTCGTAAACTTTTCCCCAGTGCGCGTGTCTCACTGTTATGACAAGCATGATTAATGGTAGAGGACGGGTGCAAGTGTAACCTTGAGGATCTGCGAGCTATACTCCGTACTACTACTAAGTGAGTAGGAGGGGTAGGTAAGTTGGACCAGCGAGCTTGGTGGGGGATTATAGAAAGAATGAGGCAAGAAAGAGCTTCCATAGTCAGACGACATATTTCAGGGTTGGCTTGCGCGGCATGGTTTCAGCACGTTGAAGTGAACAACTTACATAGGTGCCCTTTGTCAAAATTCGCAGATGTTAGTTGGGCGAACATGGAGATTTCCCTGAACGGCGTCCAAGACCTTTGATGCATCGCAAACGACCTAGGTACCTAGGTACCTAAGTTAGTTAGGTAGACATCTCCTGTAGATCGCATATTACAGCAATGGCACGCTATGAGGACCTGATAGTGTCATAGTGCACCGTACTCAATTAGTAAGATCAAGGTGAGCACTGAGGAGCAGCGGGTTTGTTTTGGTCCATGCAAAGGGCGTTGGGATGCGTGCAGCCGCAGCCTATCAAGGCGAGAAGACGGGCCAAAGCGACCCCCTGGGGAATTTGGGCGCCGGCCAGTCAGAAGCTTCCAACCAGCTCAGGCGCGTCGATTCAGAAGGAGGGCATAATAGCGATGCATGCAGGTCGAGCAAAACAAACAGAAAGCCTACCGCGACTGTTATCACGCCGGTTATTCGATCAGAAATTGGGCGTTTGAACGTTTGCCCATGTCATTCGTCCCCAACGATATACTACATGCAAGTAGACACACACAGAGAGGGAGAAGAAGAGACATCCATACACAATAGTCTCAGTCCAGTTGCGGGACTACAAACATAACAGAGAAGACGGCAGCTGGGGTTGGAGCCAAACGCCATTTGCTTTGGGAATCTTGACATGGCGCCGTATGCGTGCAGAGGATGGGCTCCCGACTGCGGAGTTGGCAGCGGCGCGTTTCTTTGTTGTTCTGCTAACACACTACACACATGGATGCGAGCAACCCCTCCCCTTTGACACCGCGTTCAGGCCGCGACGATGGGCCTCACTGCTTCAAGGGACGTGGCCAAGACGGGGGCCACCACTGGCCTGTCGGCGGTGTTTTGTTATGGCCGAGGTCAGACGAGTTTCTTTTGAATGTCCCCTTCGGGATACGTGGGCGACTGGGGAACTGGGAGCGTGTTTTGCGCCAAAACTACAGGTAACCGTCGAGTTCTTTCCCCAGCCTCCTTGGAATCCGGTGGTAAGCCCAGAGAGTGTGTTTTACGCGCTTACATTGCCAGCCACCGCGAGCTACGGGTTGGACAAACGAGCTATGTAACCAGAGATAGCCCGGTGGAGCTACGCGATTGACCAGACTTGGGACACCGGGTTGGGCCATGGAATTGTACACAGTTCAGAGCAGAGGATACAACATGGTTGCTAACTACAGCGTAAGAGGCAATTGCCAATCTGCCCTTTTGGCCTTGAGTTTTTGCCAAAATGATAAGACGGTTGTCTGATTCTCTTTGCTGTGTGTCTGGGTTGCGAGATAGCCAAACCAGCCCGACCTGTAACTTGGCTGGTAGCGGTCGTGTCCTTGGGCGCGTAACAGCCGAGACCAGCGGGCGACAAGGGGGGGCCCAGGCATGTTTGGGTCCTGTGCTGCAGGCCTTTAGCGCGACGTGCAGCTGGTACCGTCACCGTCCGCCCCTGGGCACGCGGCACTAACACCGCCTAACCAAGGCCCCTAGCTTAGGAGCCCGTCCGATGTGCCCAGCCCAGCCGTGTCCCTTGTGTCCCGCCCAGTCCCCCCAGGTGTGCTGCTGAGAGGAGGAGGAGCACAGAGTGGTAGATGGCCCATGTCCCCATGTCCCCATGTCCCCATGTGCTATGGGCTGGCTGGACTGGTGGTACTGCACCAAAGGCTGCCGGCCCAGATCTCAAAGGTCCAGTGCTTCCCGCCCCGTCGCCCGTCGCCCGTCGCCCGTCACCACCACCTGCACCGGCTCCTCTCCAAACTTCCAACTACACCCGCCATCGCTAATCACGGCGACAGACGACACCCGCCGACAGCATCACTCCCCGCCGCCACCACCACGACGACCCAGCTGGCGTTGGTTGCGAACACGCCTGGAATCCTTCGGCAGATTGGCATCACAGCAAAGCCATACGCCGCATCTGAGCAATCGCCCTGCTGAGCTGCAGCTGAGCGCCAGCCACTGTCCACTCCAACATCCAGCCAACCCCCGTGTCGAATTGCGTCGCCCGGTTGCACGTCAGCGGAGTATGCGATAGAGCGCCCAGCGGGAGCCGGAGGCCATTCTTGGGACTTCTGCCGAGAGCATCCCATGGGCATCCCGCGGCGACCACATCAACAACGATTACCCCTCCGCTTTCAGCCTCCTTCGCCAAAGGCGCCTGGGTTGCATCCATCGCTCGTGCCTCTCTCGTGTGTCTAGGCCTGGCGCACCAACGCATCCCCTCACCATCGGACGAACCTTGCTGGCGAACGCAGCCTGCGCATCTTTGACGAACAGCAGGCAATCCAAACTCCTGCGGTAGCCGCATCTTTTGACATTTACTGCGCTTCGCTCTCGCCTTCGTCAGGCGGCCCACGTCTCTCCCGGGCCCCCCCTCGCCCTGTTGCACCGTCCCCGACGGCGATGACGATGGAATCAGAACAACCGGTAGCACTCGCGCCGCCAAAGCGAGCCATGGAGGATGCGAATAGCCCAGCATCGGCCGCAACGCCCGCACGCATGTCCACCCCGCCCCCGCCGTCCGATCGTGGCCGCTTGGAGGCGCGCCTCACGGCCAGCGATGTAGCCGGAGGCAACGCCAAAAGCGTCCGCCACGGTGGCAGGATGGCCCCCAGCGGCGTCGACGCCGATATCCTGTCGAGAGCCCTGTCGAGGGAACTATCCGCAGATCGTCGAGACAGCACTCCGGGCGCGAGTCCGAGCAGGAAACGTCAAAGGATAAACGGCGACAGGTATGCCAGCCCTTGACGCACATGTTGCGTTCCCGTACCCGTTGCCGCGTCTTCGCCGTACCCAGCACCGATGGGCATTTCTGTCATTGCCTGGTCTCTACTGCGCAGCTCCACTAACAATGCCTAGGTTCATACCGTCGCGCTCAGGGCAAGACCTACATGCGAGCTTCAGCCTGCTGCATGATGAGGGCTCGCCAGCTACTCCTTCCCGCCAGAAGAAGCGCACTCCTCATGGTGAGCTTCACTTCCAGAGGACAGAAGAGGCCAACCGGACATTTTCCACCTTGCTGCGGTCTGAGCTATTCGAAAACACCATACCGCAAGCAGCTTCGTCTGCTCGCTCGCCAGACGGGAATGCCCCAGGTTCTAACCACTCCACGCGCGTTCACGACCCTACAAGGTCCCATACCCCCCCTAATAATCAGCCACCTTCACTTCCATCGTCATTTACGCCCTCAACGCCCCACAAGAACCTCTTCTCATACATGTCCCCGCGGCATCACACCAACATTGCCGGCCACCCGACACCATCAAGGACCCCCCAGAGCCGGCACGGGCCAAATCTCGACACGAGGTCAGAGATCTATAGCTTGTCGCCAGTTCGATTCGGCAGCCAACAGATGCTATTGAGTCCCAGGCGGCAACCGCGGGCTGTTTCCAAGGTGCCCTACAAAGTCCTGGATGCCCCAGAGCTCGCAGATGACTTCTACCTGAATTTAGTCGATTGGGGAAGCGCTAACGTCCTCGGCGTCGGTCTTGGATCTAGCGTCTATATGTGGAATGCGCAGACAAGCAGGGTTAACAAGCTCTGCACCCTAGAGGACGACACCGTCACGAGTGTATCGTGGATACAAAAGGGTACACACCTTGCCATAGGCACAGGCAAGGGCCTCGTACAAATCTGGGATGCTGAGAGGACACGACGTCTGAGGACTATGACAGGACACACGGCCCGTGTCGGCTCACTCGCGTGGAATACCCATATTCTGACTTCGGGGTCACGGGATCGCCTTATATACCACCGCGACGTTCGCGCTCCTGATCAATGGATGCGCAAGCTCGTGGGCCACAAACAGGAGGTATGTGGGTTGAAGTGGAACTGCGACGACGGACAGCTCGCCAGCGGTGGCAACGATAACAAGCTTATGGTCTGGGACAAACTCTCGGATACGCCGCTGTGGAAGTTCTCGGATCATACAGCAGCCGTCAAGGCCATCGCCTGGTCCCCCCACCAGCGCGGCTTATTGGCGTCCGGTGGTGGTACAGCCGATCGGCGTATCATTTTCCATGACACGGTCCGCGGCACTGTCATTAACGAGGTCGACACAGGCAGTCAGGTCTGTAACCTAGCATGGTCCAAGAACTCCAATGAGATTGTATCGACACATGGATACAGCCAGAACCAGATTGTCGTCTGGAAGTACCCGTCCATGACGCAGGTCGCCAGTCTAACAGGTCATACCTATCGAGTACTCTATCTGGCCATGAGCCCCGACGGCCGCGTGGTGGTGACCGGCGCAGGCGACGAAACGCTCAGGTTCTGGACCGTCTTTGGAAGGAGACCCGGCGCCCGCGAAGACGCCGATGGAGGAGGAGGGGGACGGCTTGCGGACTGGGGGGTCATCCGTTGATGGACAGCCACCAACCGATGGCCGGCCCCAGCTAAATCTCAACTCTCCAGTGTTCGAATAACGAAACCTCGACTCAGCCACGACGACACTACGTACCGTGTATGGATACCCGTCATGTTAACGCACGCAACTCTGCATTTTCACCGCTACGAAAGGGAATGGAACGAATGGAATGGAATTGGAAGGGCACGAAATGGAAACGGCACGGCTTTTTTTATCCTTTTATCTTTTGTTTTTGTGACGACATGAGACAGCGACATCTGGGCCCGGAATACCCAAAACCCCTCCATGGCAGCTTTGCATCCATTGGCGTTGTGTGGACAAACGGATCTTGGCAAGACCAAACTCCCACTTTTTTAATCGGCATATTGCCTGTTCATATTTGCTCGAGAGTATACAGCTCCTATTTTTTGCTTCTTTTTTCGTACTGCGACGAGACGCCCACGCATTGATGATGGCTGGCTGCAGAGGGAGGGGAACGGCTGCCTTCCATCAGTCGATGGGGCATGAGTGCTCCAAGGGGCAGCCCAATGCTGCTGTTCCGAGCCAAGTACCTGCCGCTCTGCGTCACGCGAGGCTCCGCGTGTAAAGTACGGCATCATAAGAGAGCGGCATAGTTGCAGACAGCGATGTGGCCCAGTCACAGACCAGCACCACTGCCCTATGATAGAGCTTGCACCGCAGCACTCGAGAAACACGGTAGCAAACCGCTGCCTGGTAAATCAGATAGCAGGCAAATATACTCTTTGAAATATGACCTGGGTGTTCATCATGTGGCAATGGCTTGATTGATTCATGTGACTGGTTTGTATTCTACCCAGATTGACCCCGATCTACCCAGCGATGTCCCGACACCTATACACACCACCTCCCCCGGCTTCGTCTAGCGCGCCGTTCCGTGTATTATACGTGACTAATAGTAAGGGGGTATCAAATATCCTGAACGATGATGAGTGCTTCGTTAACTTGGCCAAATATCAAATAGAAAGCAGATGCAAAGGTCCGTACGATAACTCCAAACCCCAGAGGCTGGATTGCTGCTCTGCGAGTCACAAGTGCCACGTATCCCTGAAAAGCAACCCAGCCCCAAGGTCATAAAAAATATGCAGGGCCGACCAAAACAAAACGGCACTGCGACGAAACATTTCCCCCCTTCACTATTCCTGGTTCGCTGCAGGCTTTCTCGCCCTCGCAGCGTCCCTAGCGCTCGGGTCCGCATCGAGGGCAGTCGATATGACGTTGGCCGCCGGGTCGGCCAACGTCCCATCCTTGGATCTCCCCTCGTCGTTCAGGAGCGGGATCGAGTCGACGTCCATATTCCGGCCGCTGGCCGGATCAGAGACCCTGACGCTGCCCTCCTTAGCGGCAATGTCCTCGCGCCTCAGCATCTCGCTCGCGGCGTCGATGGGCTGCAGCTTGTCCTTCTTCTCGTCGGCCGGGGTCATCAGCGGCGAGTGCAGCATGAGCTCGGGGCTGTTCTGCCACTTGGCCACCTCGGCCTTCATGGTCTCGAGCTCCTTCTGGAAGCGCTTGCCGAAGACGTCGATATAGTACGTCGAGCCGTTGTAGACGCTCCAGATGAACACGGTCATAAGAAACGCGGCCGAGGCCCAGCGGCTGTAGAACCAGAGCGGGCAGGGCAGCATTGTGAGCACGGCGTAACTGTACTGGATCATCATGAAGGCTGGCTCCTGCGCCCACGACGGCAACGAGAGCACCAGCTTGCCAATCCAGGCCTTGGAGTACGACTTGCGCAACCAGGTGAACGAGGTCGGGCGGCCGGCGGCGATCTTCTCACGGCGGCGCACTGTGATGAAGAAGTAGTACGCAAGTTGCCAGAACAGGTAGGGAATGGTGGACCAGGCCAGCATGGAAATCACATTGGCGTAGGCCGTAGGCGAGCCGGGCGGCGAGGTCTTGACGGTCCAGAGGGCGGGGAAGCGCTCCTTCTGCTGCTCCTCAGTGATCAAGTGAGTGATGCAGTGAAGCGTCGCACACGGCATGATGTGGATGAAGAGCGAGGTGACCTTGTCGAAGCTGTGGAAGACGAGCGAGTTGCGCCACATGATGATGGCCACGGCGTTGTTGCCGAAGGCGAGACAGAAGGAGGCGACGAAGAGACGCTTGGAGCCGGGGAAGACCCACAGACTGAAGAAGAGCAGCAGGTTGACAAAGTAGCAGAGGTCGGCCAGGAAGTAGTGGTAGCCGCGGCGGTGGTACGAATAGTAGCGGATGGGCATGAAGTAGACCAGCTGGGCCGTGTACCAAAGGTGAAAGTACTCGGGGCACGCGCCGATCAGATAGCCACTGACGAAGATGTTCATGACACCACAGATGAACGAGACCTTCTCGCGCGCCGTGATGACCTTGGTGTCGTTCCACTGGCGGCCCAGCTTGTCGACGCTCTTGCGCATGCGGGCTCGGTAGCGGTCTAGCTGCTCCTCGGCCGAGGGCACGCGTCGCCGCCACTGCTCAACCATGCGTTCCTTGGCATGATTACTTCTGGACTTTAAGGCCTCCCTCGACTTGCGAACCTTCTCGGTCTGGGCCGAGATGCCCTTCTGGAGTTTCTCCAGCTGCTGCGGCAGGGCAAAGTTGTCGAGAAGATCCAGTACGGTCAGACGGTCTAGAGGGGGAAACGCCTCCCAGTCCTCCTGGTACGAGGAGCTGCCAGAAAACGAGGGATTCCTCGACATCCTCGGGCTCTTCATGGGCTCCAAGGTCGGGGTGTCTCCGGGGCCGGGGACATGATCGGTAGGCGAGGCGCTCAGAGAGGGCGAGGCAGTGGCATCGTCCGGGGTCAGGACGGGATCGCTATCGGTGAGGGTGTTGTCGTCGGACTTGGAGCCCGGTATGGGGAGTGGCAGGCTACTTGGCTCTGCCATCTCGCTGATGGTGTGGGACGGGTATCGCCTGAGATCGTGACGGAACGAGAGCTGGCGAAGCGCGTTGGCTCCTCTGATGATGAGAACGTCAGCCATGGGTCGCGATTCGAGCAAAGAGGAAGAGGGATGTTTGTCATGCCTGGGACTTATAGGATCGAAGATGTGACGGCGAAGAAGGGGGCTCTAACTCACCGTGGGGCGTGAAGCTGGTCGCGAGCGGGATGGACAGCAGCTAAGCGGGCACAAGCACGCAAGAAGATAGGGTTCGATCTGCAGACTCGGCAGTGGATAGCATGGGAAGGACAGCGTGACGGAAGCGATGGCCTGTAGCGAGCTCGGGAGGGCGACTAGAGGCCGTGTGACCACGGCGCGAGTGGTGGTGAGCGGGGTCTGATCTGAATAACGGCGACTGTGTATCAGGGTATGGAGTATGCTATCGCAGTTGAGCGCGGTTGATGGTGGGTTGGCCGAGTGGGAGGACAGGCCTCTGGATTGTTGTGGTTGAAGGACGTGTCGGTATGGCGACCTGTGGTTGGACCAAAACCCCCAGGCGGGCTTGGGCTAGGTATGGCCAGAATTCGGAGACGCAGCGCAACTGTGTGTGTGTCTATCTACCTCCAGCTATCTGTGGACCAGGCTACCTTGGATGCCTATGGTGGATGTTCGCTGTCAGGAGAGAAAAGAGAGTTTATGGGAGCAGCAGAAGGGGACAAGTAGCCGTGATCACAAGGGACTGCTGTGAAGTCTGAAGACAGCTATGCAACGCGCCCTTGTACGGGTAGCTAACCGAGCTCAAAGGCGCTTACCTAGGTGACTTGTGTTTGGCTCCAAGCAAAAGCAAGAGGAGTGGATTTGATGGAATGTTGGAAAGGGAGTGTTCACGATCCAGCTGTCCTAGGGGGGGGGAAGGCTGTCGTCTGAGCAGCGAGTTTCAAGCTTTCGCATGAAGCCCGCCGACAGCTAAGCAAGTTAACCTTGGACGTGATACCTGGTCCCTTGACCTGCCTCTGACGGTGACGTCTGACTTGCATGTCAGTAATGCCTGGCCTGCCTGGGAGCCCACTTGTGGAGAGAGGGACGCTGCGGTGTAAGGAAGACCCTTGGCAAGCCGCGCCGACTGGGTCCTGATGATCAGCCATCTTATTGGAGCTCAAGAGGCTGCTCCAAGTTGAGAGCCCCGAGTGCTCTCCACCAGAAAGACCCAAAGACCCTGGTCAACCCCCGCCGGCCAGGTGCCGGAGCAGTGCTGCCAACTGAGGGCCATTCTTCCTCTGGAGCCAGAACCGACGACTCCCATACCATCCAAGCCACCACCTAAATCAAGACTTCGGGTCGCGCCCAATCGTCGCAGCAGCAAAACATGGTGATATACATACCCTTCAAAATCAGCTTAACCATATAGCTTTATATTAATTAGGGTTCTCTTCGTAATTCGGGCTTCCAGACGTAGCTGAAGAAGGAGCAATCAGAACACTCCGGTCGTCAAGCTCCATAGCACCACGGTGGTCCAGAAGTGTTTTCGTCCACCATTCGAATCCGACGAATTCGAGTCGGTTTGCGAATCAGGTACAAAGCCGCGCGAAGTTACTAAGACTGTTGACTCAGACTCGGCTCACCTACGGTAAGGTGCTTTGCCTAAATTCTACTCTGTGCATATTGGTGTGGTAAATCCAGGTCCGAGTGAGCGCCTCACAACCATGTTGCAAGCCCTGAGTCAAGTACTCTTGGATGTGCACGTAGGGCATGGAGTGTTTACGCGGTGCCATAATGTGATAGGTAGACACCGGGGCTAATGGGATCAAATCAAGCGCTTCTCTACGAATTATTCACCTGCCCTGTACATAGGAGCGGCCGAGTGGATAACGAGTTCCCTGCTGCAGGCATGACATAACCGCGATCAGATATCATTTCCGTATTTTTTGATTTGTGATATATCGACCATCTATGATTGATATTGATGATTTTCCCACTCCATCCCTAATTCCATTAAAACTGGGCATTAAAATGGTGATAATGTGGCATCTAGGCGTGTACTTCTGCCAAAATACGGACACAGCACATAGGTGAGTAATTGCATGAATATAGCTTCAAGCTTCGTCCCATACTGGACTCCAGGTGCACCCATCGACTGACTGATGTAGCCTCTCACTTGCCTTGGTTCAGTGCTCCCGACTGGGTACGGCGAAGCAGTGCATTGCAATCACATTCAGTGATTATTCAACGCTTTCACGCTGCGAGACTGCTGAGGATGAACATACCTAGATGCTCGTTAGTCTCAAAACGACTCCTTATGAGTAGACGGTGGGATGGGAAAAGAGGTGGATAGAACAAGTCACAATACTATTTGCAAGACATTACGGATAGAACAAAGATCAAGATCATGTGGCTCCACACTCTGCAGAACCCTGTCGGCCGGCAATGTCCACATAGTCCACTGTACATATTGAACGGAGTTAGTCTCCGGCCTACACGATGCCAGCAGGTAAGCTGTCGACTTCTTAAATGTATGTTTCCCGGGTTGCGTGGGTAAACCCCGCCTCCCGTCACAAATTTTCTGGCACATTGAGCGAGTGTTGCGCAGTGTTGCCGCATAAATCACGATGACTTTCAACACCGGGCAGAGCTGCTCGATAGCTGGTGTCCTGGCCGACTGGAAGGTCTTGCTAGGCCTTCTCATCATAATTATCACAACCAGTATCCGTTCCTATATCCGCTTGAGCCATGTTCCTGGGCCGCTGTTCCAATCTATCTCGTCGCTCGGTTTCCTGAAGACGCATCTGGACGGTAGTCCGCACTCCGAGATTCTGAGATGGACACAAAAGTATGGTGAGTTGCAGAGGGTTCGACATATTTGCATATCTAATGCTAGCGTAGGACCATTGGTCAGGGTCGGCCCGAATTCTGTGATCACCAGCGACGTCAAAACTGTCCAGAGGATATCTGGTGTCAAATCTCCTTATAGCAAAGGAGGCTGGTATCGTCCTTTCCGCTTCATCAAAGAACGAGACCATTCGTTTTCTACGGTACATGAGCCCAGCCACACCGCATTCAGAAGCAAAATCGCGGCTGGCTTCCGTGGTTCTGCTGAGATGGAACAGGCAGTCGATCGCCAGCTTCGCTGTCTGGTTGCTCTTATTGACAGAAAATACGTCTCGCGTATAAGCTCTGGGGACAAGACGGGTTTCTGCCAGATTATGGATATTGCCGCGATTACTCACTTGTTTGCTTTGGACATCGTCGGTGATATTACGTTCGGCAAGGCCTTTGGTTTCTTGGATGAAGGTTATGACTTTTATGGTTTCCTCAAATGGAACAAGGATTTTTTCTCGGTGGCAGCCACATCAGCTGTTCTTCCAACTCTGGCACGGGCAGCACAACTATGGCCATTTCGTGGGGCACTTCCCAAGGCCACAGATCCCGCTGGCCTTGGAAAGTTTATAAGGTATAGATCACTGTCCCTCCTCAACATGCATGCTTACTGGGGCAAATTCAGGCATAGCGAAGAAGTCGTTGGCGCTCGTTACAAGGAAGGTCCCGATGGCCGTAGGGATTTGGTGGGTATGTTCATGAAAATGGGTGTTACCAAGGACGAAGCTGTGAATCAGTTGCTAGTTTCTGTGTAAGTTGACAGCCTTGTAATCACAGTACTCAAAGAGGAAATAAAGAACTAATGTGGATCGAAGAGTTGCTGGAACTGACTCCGTCGCGACTGCAATTCGCAGGACCGTTTTATTTTTGACTTCAAATCCAAGAGCATATAAGATCCTGCTATCGGAACTCGACAAGGCCAAAGCGGATGGGTTGCTAAGCTCACCCGTTCAGAGCTCCGAGGCCAGGCAGCTGCCCTATCTGCAAGCCGTTGTCCGAGAAGGCCTGCGAATCTATCCTGGCGGAACTCCCCTTGCATTCAAAGAAGTACCGATTGGCGGCGATATGGTCGCTGGCTACAGGCTCCCGGCTGGTACACAGGTTGGCATGGATGTGTGGGGGGCTCTAAGAAATACGCAGTTCTGGGGCGAGGACGCAGATCTGTTCCGACCCGAGCGGTGGTTGAACTTAGCAGAGGCAAGATTTAGCTCTATGGTCGAATGTCTCGACTTTCAATTTGGATATGGAAGATACCAGTGCCTGGGGAGGCCTTTGGTATTCATGGAAATGAACAAAACTTTGCCCGAGGTAAGTGTCACCGGAGGAACTTTTCAAGAAAGCCCGCTAAAGTCATTTCAGCTTTTAAGCCGGTACGAGTTCGCAATAGTAGACCCAGCACACCCTGCCGACATCAAAAATGCCGGCTTTTATCTGATGAATGGATTCAATGTGGTGGTCACAGTGAGAGCCTGAAGAAACCGGCGTTATAGCGGTAGGAGAGCGAGAAAGATAGGACGACATGTATGGTGTCCATAATCACTCCGTACAAATAACAACAAAAACCAACACAACACCAGATACAAATTATTCGCTGGGGGGCGTCCAACCAACTACCGATGCGGCGTTGCAGAGGACAAAGGGCTGCTCTATATGCCTGAGTGCTGCTGATCATGGGCAACTTTGCCTCTGAGGATGGAGGCATCGCACCCAAGGTCTGACTTGAGCAAATGCCGTTCGTTGGCACTCATTTATCGAAACGGACAATAGCGAAACGCTTTGCGTTTCGACCTCTCCACATTGGTCACCAGCGCAGCGCTGTGTCCAGGTGATGCGGGCCCAGAAACGAAACAGACGGCAATGGCGAGTTAAGTTACGCACAGACTGGAGAATGTCCCCGGCAAGCCCATGGGTGCCATCACACGTGACGCCAAGGACGGGTTCCTGCGTGAGAAGTTCAAAGAAGTGGTGCTCATCTGAGCACCGTCCAATCACAAACACGTGGGTACCAGGGTAACACCACAGGGAAGATGACCCGGCCGTTGGCGCTGTTGGCGTTGTCGGGCTGGGGCTGCGCTGGGGCTGCGCTCTGATTGCTGACTCTCCACTGGGCACTGGCCCCTAGCCTTGCCCCGGACGCACCACACCACCAACCCTGTCCCTGGCACCTCCTCTCCTCAGCTCTCAGGTACCGAGCCAAAATGGCCAAGATCGGCCCAAGTTAGGTACCTACGTTAGCCCTGGGGCGCAATGGCGCCGGTCCTGCTGGATCCTGTCGCTGGGATTTCTTCCCTCTCGTGGCGGCGTTGGCACTTCTTCCAAGTCCTTCTTTCACCCAGCTAAACCACCCTCATTCTCGGCCGCGATTTGTGGCCGTCCAGTCTTTGCTCCTAGAGAGCGTTGGTCCCATTCAGAAAAAAGTCACTCCTTTGACAGAGTCGCGCAGTCCAACCCAGCGGGCGACTATAACCACATTCAATCCACTCATTCACTCACACACACCCTTCGGCACAGACTCTCGGAGACCACAGGAATATCAGATACCCAGCAAGGATACACGAGTGCCCTTATCCTCACGACCAATTGTCTTTTATCATTTACTTTTCCTCTGGAAAGATGTACGGCTTCGACTACATCACTTTCTTGGCCCTCGCGGCAGGCACCGCGGCAACAAGCGTCAGCACGACGCCTCACGACTCGTACTCTTCTTCCGTCGGTGTGCTTGGTTGCAAGATTGATACCAACCGTGTAGCCTACTGGCCTGGCTCCGTCGACTGCAACAACATCTGTATTAAGCTCACCTATGGAGATCGCTCTGTCAATCTTCTACGAATCGACCAGTCCGGAGGCGCCCATGACATTAGTTACGACGCCTGGGCCTACCTCCAGACGGGCAAGTCGGCCGCCGTTGATGCTATCACCGGCGGGGGTGTCGCCATGGAGTACGAAGAGGTGGACGCTTCCGAGTGTGCCGATCTCATCCTTACTGAAGGCAACAAGCTGCCTCTCAGTGCTTCGAACAGCATGAACTACCTGGCTAGCTGTCTCGCGGAGCCGGAGAGCTGGGTTGCTCAGAACCACGTCTTGTACAACATCTGTGATGCTATTTGCACTCTAGGCTATGACGAGACTTGCACACTCGACCTGGCCACCAGCAACCAGCCTAGCTGCGGACACACTCTAGGCCTTACCACTTCCCTAACTTCGGCCCCAGTTCACAACATCGAATACCAGTCTGGCAAGGTTGTGGTGGCCGGCAGCGGGGCCGTCGCCAGCTCATATACCTACGCTGAGGCTGGTGCAGACTCTGGAGCGAAAGCCGCGACCTCTGCAGCCAAAGCGACGAGCTCTTCGTCCGTGGCTGCCAGCACGCCAACGACTTCAGCCATCGATGCCGTCTTCCTGCAGGTCACCAGCGGCTCGACTTCTGTTACGGAATACGAGACCGCCCCCGCCTCGACAGTCGCGGCGTCCACAACCTCATTGGCCGCCGCCCCTTCCACCGTCATCGCAAGTTCCAGCGCGCAAACTACGGAGTCGCTTGCTAGTGGTACTGCCACTACCCTTGTCTCGCCGGTCCACTCCTACACTGCAACTGGCAGCGGTTCCTTAGCTACCAGTGCGGCGCAGACAAGTGCGAACGCCTCGAGCACCTTTTTGGTTGCGACCCTCTCCACTGCTAGGAGCAGTGCGAGTAGCAGCAGCTCTGCTGCTGCTACAGGCACCGCTCAGCCAGCGGCTTCTGGGGACTCTAAGCTCGGCTTCCCGGCCTCGGCGTTGCTGTCAAGTATCGCCATGTACTTGCTTGTGAGCGCGCTGTAGTCTGAATCATGGGCACGCGGTTACGTCTCACGATGCTAACGTCCAAAAATTATGAATTCTAATGTATATATGTCAAGAAAAATTCTTTCTAGATCTAGAAAGCTTTTGAGCTACCAATAGAATGGTCAAAACACGTCAATTTCTCGTGCACTCTTCAATAGCTGTCAGACGTTCAAATTCGCCTGATTTCATTTGCTAAACATGTGAGACACTCGTTAAAATTGTTAGGACGAACCCAGGTCTATGCACTTACGCTTAGCCGGTGTTTGAATGCAACTTCTAATAGGGTGAGACCCACAGCTTTAGCACGATTGTTTCGTGTTTCGTTTCTGTTCCCCGGAAAAGAACCAGTTTAGGTTTAACTGCTAAGAAACTCTAATGCCCTTAGAGAATCAAAGAATTAGATAAATGTGCATGGGCATGTTATACTTAACTTCGGCCGTGGAAACTACGAATGTGGCTGCCCAGCTGGAGATTTCACAAATCGATTACACTCGGGGCAAGAAGCCATGAAGTCGCAAGGGCAATTAGTAGAAACAGCCCTTTGAAACCCTACGAGTTGGCGCTGTCAATATGCTGGGATTGGCCATTCGGCTTGCATTTCTGCCAGAGCCTACACGTTCTCACTTGAATACCTCCTTCATTAGAGGTTGATAGCTGATAGGAGTATTTAATTCTATGATGGGCCGCCCAAGAATGCCTGCTTAACTAGAGATATATGTCTTTCCATCCGATAGCAAACCCTCGTAGAGCTGCACATCAACCGTGTTTCCGTCTAGTTTCACGACAATGACCTATTTGTTCTTCTCCAGTTTGACGCTGAATCCAGATAAATCGACTGCCACTGCTTGCCCGTCTCTATGGACATCGAATATGGCTGAGTTGACCGGTTACGCATTTATGTCATTGGACCGGCGAGTGGCCAATTGTAATTCGGGGCCTGAAACCCGTTTAAAGGCCCTGTGGAGATTCCTTCATCGGCAGCCTGCTTACTGACAATGTTCTGGATTCTATATGCAAACTTGTTGCTGCTTCTTTCGGCAATAACCGGTAGGAAGCGCAGGCCACCCGTTGTGCTGAAGGCCGCTCCCTGGTTGGCGAGGATTTTGGCACCATTGCTAATTTGCTCCATGATGTTCAGACTTGAGACGTCGCCATTGATCCCAACAGTCAGAGTCATGTTCAGGCCCGAGTCCGTGGACCTATAGGTGCCAGAGGAGCTCGCTTTAGCCCCGGCGGCGGTTCAGGCTTAAGAGCAGGGAGGAGTTCTCTGACGACGGCGTCTAAAGCAAGCTGTTGCCGCCGGGACCACATTGGTGGAACGAATTCAACAATGAGGTCGAACCCAGCTCTGTAGTGCAGAATCAATACCATAGCCCCACGGTTAGAACCCGAGCCACTCGATCTAGTATAAACTCCCATAACGACGCCTGCACTGCGTGATCCTTTAGGGTGTATGTAGCAGACATTTTCCCCCACGACCCCCCAACGCTGTGGTTAAGATGCGCGGTATGCTTGATGGGCTTCAGCCACTTTGTCGTCTTTTCGGGCGTGAGAAGAGTACTATTCAGAATCCCGGTAGCCACAGTATTGAGATCGTTGAGCATGCTGAAGAGACGACCGGACGGTTTGGCGATGCCGCTGTCTGCGAAGAACAGATGACGGCTTTCACTTGATCGCTACATGCCAGGTAACGGGCTCTCAGTATGTCATTGGTACGCTATGGGGAGTGAACGACGCATGCTATGTATTGTTATGGGAGTCTCCTACACGCTCGCCCCGATCTCCGGCTTCGGTACCGCAGGGCCTGGGCGGCAGATAGCAGTCATCAGGGTCTAAGAACTATTCCGGGATTGCGCTTGCCGGCGGTTTGATAGGTAGAGATATCGGGAAAGCCGGGACTCGGACTTACCCGTAGCTCGACATGGCGCCAGCGACGATTAAAAAGGGATGATGGGAAGGAACTTCATCTTGAAGAGTGGCTTTATTTTCTTTTGCTTAAACAGGTAGTTAGTGGTTAAAGTAACACGAGGGCCTGCCAAAAAGTAGATTAACGAGGAAGGTATCAACCACGCTGGTCGGAAGTAAAGATCTAGCCTTAGGTTGACTAGACATGAAGTACGCAATGGAATGCGGGAACTGTAATTTATAACTTGAACGTTTATTTTGGAGGCCGGCCTGTCCTCCCTGGTGGCTGCCATCTCTTGCAGCGCTCCCAGTGCTCCTGCCGATGGTGGCACCGCCTCCTACACCGACCATTTCAATGATAGCAGGTGGATGGATACTCTAGTAAACCAGCACCACTTTGGCCAAATGACACCGGAGGACTCCCAGAAGGTTTGTGAATCATCTCATCCCCGTATTCAACCACAGCCTAAGGATGGAAACACAGTGGATAGTCACTGAACCGGAACGAGGCATTTCGATTTCACTCTGGCAGCCTTGAATATCCGTGAAGCACGGACTAATAACTAGTTAGTTCGTTGCCACACGCTCATCTGGTACAATCGACTTCCAGACTGCTTGACTGCACAAACATGAGATAACGCGACGCTAATTTCGGTTATGGAGAATCACATCCGGGAGATTGTCACCCACTTTAAAAGCCAATGCTACTCATAAGATGTTGTCAATAAAGCCCTCAATGATTATGGCTCTTTCCGCGAGACTATATGGCATAACACAATTGGGTCTGGATATATCGACATGGCTTGTAACCTAGTCGCGAAATAGAGCCCTGATGCGGCGAAGCTGTATTATAACGATTACGGTATCGAGCAAATTAACGATAAATCGCAGAGTGCTGTCCAACTCATCATGGGACTTATGAGAGGGAGATTCAAGTCGATGGTGTAGGACTACAAGCACATGATCCCGTTATACTGGCACCTAATTACGAGAAGCAAGTCGCATTTATGCAGAGTTTTGCTGATCTGGGCGTCGAAGCGTCCTTGACCAAGCTTGATGTCTTTATTGAGATTCCCGAACCCTAGCGCAGGTTAAAAGTCAAGCGCAGATATACGCGGACTCGGTTCGCGCATGCTTGGATGTGCATTTGTGCGTTGGTTGGGGGGTTCTATGATCCTCATTCCTGGGTATGCGATACGGTTCCGGGGTATGGCAATCCTGATTTGTGGTGGGCAGATTATACAACTAAACCTGCCCACGACGCCATTGCAGATATTTCGGCCCAATGCTCGCAAATATGACGCATGCTTGTCTGTTTTGTTCTGAGGTATATCTATTTCAGTATCTTATTCGGAGAATGACACAGAATAACTCGAGTTCTCGCCGTTAAAGATGCCGAGTCTCCCCTTTGCGCGGCACTGGCCATATTATCCAAGTCATATGAAGGATGGTCACGAACTCACATTGGACAGGACTGCAAATAGTCGTTTTTCCATGCTCCACACACCCACGAGTAGTTCCGCGAAGCTAATACAGATAATCCTTGAAGCCCCGTTGCTCCAATGTTAAGGACTCGCATTTCTCGTATTCCTCCCCACTTACCCCGGATTATCGTATTTACCCCAGGAAATACCCTCGCGACCCTCGGGCAATCAACCTGCGAGCTGTCATCATAAGCCAATTATTCATTCAAATCAGGTACATCGCTGGGCATCTAAGCACGTGAAGCATTGACGACTTAACACCGAAGGTGGAGTTTTAGTTGCCATGGCCACTCTCGCTGGTGGCATACATTCTCGACCCGAGTTTCCCCCGTCTGACCATCGTGGCTATTAATGTGACATACCTCCGTACACCCCATTGCTTTCGATTTGCTACCAGAGCAACAACAACCCGGATCCGACCATTTGCAAAATGCGGGCTAAACTGACTGCATATGCGCTTTGCGCGGCTCCTATGCTATTCAAAACAACTACGTGTACCAAATACGACGAATACATCCTCGCGCCAACTTCAAGGGTACTTTCGCCCAAGAAGATTCATCAAGTGGAAGGGCTTGTTACCGAAGCCGAAGTTTTGGTATCACCTCGTGACGGTTCTTCGTCGGTTCTGAGTGGGAACTCAACAGTGACTCTAGACTTCGGTATCAACATTGCTGGCATTGTCAGCGTGAGCGTTGGGCCAAACACTCCCCCTGATGCCATCGTTGGCTTCACGTTCTCCGAATCGTCGTTATGGGTCAACAGGCTCGCTAGTGACGGCACGGCGGAGTCAGGGCTGGACGCGGTACTCTGGCTGCCCGTCGGCGGTGGTCGAGAATCCTACACCGTAGCTGATGAGTTCCAGCGTGGAGGTTTCCGATATCTCACAGTCATCAACAACCAACCGAACCAGGCCATCGAAATCAGCTCAGTGACCGTCAATTACACCGCCGCACCGAATCAGGACTTGAGAGCGTACACGGGCTATTTCCATAGCGACGATGAGTTACTCAATCGGATTTGGTATGCAGGTAGGTTGTATAACCTGCTGCGCGGCCTCTGTACTTATGACTGACTCATGCAAAAGGAGCATACACAAATCAGCTTTGCACCATTGACCCTCAACACGGAGATTCCATCGTGAATCCCCTGGACATGAGAGATAATATCACACTGCCAGAAACGAACGCCTGGTACCTGAACTGGACTATCACAAATGGCACGAGTGCCCTTGTGGATGGTGCCAAGAGGGACAGGATTGTGTGGCCCGGCGACATGGCCGTCTCGATGCCAGCAGTCATGGTTAGCACGTACGATATGGAAAGCCCGAGGAATTCCCTTGAGTCGCTTATCGCCTGGCAAGACCCTGACACCGGAAGGCTACCCTATGTCGGATACCCTTTCTCGTATGCGGGGACCGTGAGTTTTACTTATCATCTCCACAATTTGATAGGGATCTCGCAGTATTATCATTTTACGGGCGACTTGGGATTTCTGAAGGACAATTGGAATGCATTTGTCAAGGGTGTAGGTTGGTCGCTCGGCTATGTTGATTCTACAGGATTGATGAACGTAACATCCCCGAGCGACTGGCTACGCGTCGGCATGGGCGGACACGTGAGTTTCCTCCCAGAGTATGGATAAATTGTAGGAAGTACTAACTCTATGAATAGAACATCGAGGCGAACGCTATCCTGTATTATACGCTACGGCGTGGTATGGAGCTTGCAACCGTCTTGAATGACACCAGTATATATTCGCTTTGGGCTGATACTGCTAGTGGCATCAAAATGGCTGCGAACACACTCCTCTGGGACTCAGAAGCCGGCCTATACAGAGACAATGAAACCACAACTCTTCATCCGCAAGATGGGAACGCTTGGGCGCTGAAGGCGAATCTGACACAATCACCCACGCAAACCGGACAGGTGTCGCGCGCACTTCAGGCACGTTGGGGCGAATTCGGCGCACCTGCGCCAGAAGCTGGAACACCTCTTACGATCTCGCCGTTTATCGGAAGCTTTGAGCTGGAATCCCATGCATTGGCTGGCAACATACAAGCCACCCTGGCGCTTATGCGAACGCAATGGGGTTTCATGCTGAACGACCCTCGGATGACAAATAGTACCTTCATCGAAGGGTTCAGTGCCGACGGCTCGTTACACTACGCTCCGTATAAGAGTGACGCGCGACTGAACCACGCTCACGGATGGAGCACTGGTCCTACTAGTGTGCTTAGTATGTACGTGGCTGGGATCCAGTTGACGTCGGCGCAAGGGGCTACATGGCATATCGCTCCCATGTTAGGGGACTTGCAATCTGTAGATGCAGCTTATTCCACCAACCTCGGAGAGTTTGGATGCTCCATCGTTATGAAGAAAGAAGCGATCCAGAAAATGACCGTTTGGGCCCCGAATGGTACGAAGGGGCGGGTGGTGGTGCCACAAAAGCTTTCGGGGCACTTGGTCAACAGGGAGACAGGCACCAAGTTGCCGATGGTAGATGGGTTAATCAACGATGTTGAAGGTGGCACGTGGGACTTGCTTTTGAAACTAAACCATTGTTAACGGTTGGTGGTACGTTATTGGTGGAGGGGGTACAAATAAATGGCTGCGTCAGAACCCAGCTGGCAGGTAGCATAGGATAGCATCATCGGCGGCCAATCTGCTGACCACACAGGAACTTCACGACATAATCTCCTCATCATTCTTTGCCGTAGCGGATCAAATCCAATGTGAGTGTTCTGCAATCTAACATTAACCAGTTCAAGGGAAGAAGTGGAAGGTAAAGTACAAATCATGGCACAATCGCGGCTGAGAATTAGTAGTTTAATTCTGTCATTCACCTATGAAACGAACTATGTTCTCAGTGTCCGTGTCTCAGGCTATATGCTGCCGTTAGCCACAGCCCATGTCAACACACGAGCTCAGTAGCAGCACCAGCGGTTATTGATGGCATCAGCGACTGTTTGCCCCCATCTTCATAATCCCAGCGCTTATGTAATTGGCTCAGACGCCGTCCCATGGAAACATCGGGCTTCGGGGTTATCCAGGGCAGCTTGTACTTACTGGCTGCCAGTTGTTCCCTTCGTCTATGAAATTCATGTCTAGGCTATTCTCATCACCAACATGGACCTTTGCAGCTTCTCGCCATGCCTTCTCAGAGCTTCCCGTTAGTTCAAGAGGTAGTGAACCGTAGAATTTGAGAGTTGCCTGTGCTCCACAGTCTCGAACTATGTATTCGAGGCAAGCGGGACGAGGAGATGACCACATGATCTCCAAGTTGTTGAGCCGAGGCATGCGCGAAGCGGCACACGCAGCTGCCAGGTGATATGGCTCGACTAGACCCGGTAAATACTTGAGCCGAAACATGGCTTCCCCCTCGTCTCCTGGCACCACATCATCATTCAAGGGGTTGACGTTAGGAGGCTGGACGGCGCCGACAGAGGGATCCTCGGAGCACAGCCAGGAACCACACGGCGAAACGATGCCAGCGCAGACAACGACATGGCGAAGGTTCAGAAACTCGACAGGACCATTGTTGTGGCTCCCTGGATCGGTCGACGATGAGGGCCAGAATATCTCGCTGCCAATAATGGTGTCATTTTTTACCTCCAGCGTTTCCAGGCGCTGCATGAGATAGCGCAGGGATACGCTCAGAGGATCGGGCACCGCGGGATCACCGTGGTAAAGCTGCGGTGGACTCCAATGATGGTTCAGCGGCACGCCACGGTCAAACTTCAGGGCAAAGTGGCGAACATTCCGTGGAAGCTCCATGAGCCCCTTGGCAAACTCCTCGCGCATCTCGACGCCACGTGCAATACCATGCCGCTCTAGATCTCCCAAGCCCCAATCCAAGGTGTGCACATTGGGGAGGCACGACGCGATCGCGCAGATGGCCGCCAGGGAGAAGTTTCGAAAGGTCTTGAGCGCAGTGCAACTGAACGTTGAGACGAGACACGAAACGGGAAGGTCCCTGGGGCGGTTTACCAAAAAGCCAATACAGGACCTCTCCCAGCGAACCTTTCTATGGCGACGCTTGAACCCATGGGAATCGATAGCATCTGTTGGTGACGCAGCAGACAGTATGAGGCGTATGCCGCGACAAGACGTCCCAGCCTCGTTCCCGGCTGGGCCCCATGACGAGAGAAGACAAAGAATGAGCAGCACAGTCTCGGTAAAAGCCTCATTGTTCTGAGCTGGCTCCTCTACTGATTCGCGAACGAATACCCTTGCTCTATGGTACTCTGGGAAGTGTGATATCCAGGTGTATTTCCTGCACGTAAGGGCGGCGAGCCGTTGTCAGGATGATGCCGGCAGCACGGGTGCGGGCCTGACACAGGCACAAGTAACAGCCAAGTCTGGTTGCGAATCACTGGTCAGATGGACTGTATGCATTTGCAACTCGGGCGGCAGTGATGTCAAAGACGCCATCTTGACCAAAAAGGCAAGAATGGATGGTTCATAGTAGGGAATGGACTGCGTAAACAGTTAAGACAGTGAGCCGCATGTCAGATCGTGGCGGTTAGCATCGAACGTACAATGATGCGAGGCCGACAGAATAGGAAGAAGCATTTGTAAATTGCACATCACAAAGAAGACGATCCTGAAGGGTTTTTTTGTTACTGACCCCAAGGTCAAAATGTTTTAAGGCGGGCGTCGTATTGCACAACCAACGACTATCGTTTTGAAGGCCGTAGGCAGCATTCGATACATCATGTTAAAGTGTAATCGCGACGGGATCTAACAGCTCATTACACCCAGTGACGTCTCCTGCTGTCTTCGACCTCGTCCCCAACCGGGAAACCGCGAAGCCTTGAGTCTTGTTGACTATTCCGCAGGTCCCCACAGCGGCGGCCCGTGTTCCCTCGGAATTTCTGCCTGGCCGCCTAGCGTCCAGGCACCGTTCCTTTCTGCCCTTCCCCACCGCCTTGGCGGTCCTCAGCCTTTTCTATTTAAGCCGCTGCGACCTTCCATTCTTCTCGAATTCTTTTTCCTTTCTTTTGGTATACTTACCTTGCTAAAAAAGGCCACGATCAAGCATGTGGCCTTTTAGTTTGTGGAATCTGCATTGCACAGCGTGGTATTCTACTTGCTCCACTATCCTTCGGGGTCGTGGTTGGTGGAATTTTTGATTTCAACTCTTCGAGAGACACTCTTTTCGTTGTATTCCGCGCCTCGAGCGTGGGTATGAGGAAGAACTAGATGCGTAACCTAAATTCGTTTGCTCAGCAACAGTCTTCCGCACGGCTCAAGTAATTCGCTCCCAGTGAACCGTCTATGTTAGGGATCTGCTCAGACGATTAGAATAAGCTCTGCCATAAACGCGTCTGCATGTCTTGAGATTCGTACCCAATGCTTCATGCGAGCTCATGGTTTCCCGAACGGGAAGTGCCAGGCACACAGCACATTTGCGATGGGCAAACAGTTCTACTTGTACAGTCACTGGGCTTCGTGGCTACCCTCGAGCACGCGGCTGGTTGCATCCATAGACCAGCAAACGCGTCACGCCAGCGACACGCAGAAGAGAGCCAAGTGCACCGGTTTCGTAGATGCAACGCAGACACAAAGCCATCATCTTCTGATGACTTCAGCACCGCGATGTCGCGTTGCCCGTAGTCTGCTCCTTGGGACAGGCACGCTGCCTTGTCACGTCGGCTACATCTACCACGCCCAAGGGCCACAACTTCACACAGGACGCATCCGTGCTCGTTCGTTGACAGTCCCATAATGGAAACAACAAGTCTGTGCAAACAAGTGACGTTCAGTGATTGTCATTTTCATCGTTCCTTGGGCAGTGAAGGCATCTGCATTACATCGATCACCTGTGAAGTAGATCTTGGATATGCATGTACGACTGCAGAGGCAGTCTCAGATAACCCGCCTTCCTCGAGTAAGCAATGGCGGCGTCACGAGATATCGGCAAGGACGAGCGCACAAACGGCAGGGATGACCTTTGTCATTCTTTTCAGCATTCCGTACAATTTTACATACTATCTAGACATCATGGATGGCCGAGGACACACTGCCTCCGAAAAAATCAGCAAAGATGATGGTTGAACATTGTCCTTCGCCAATTCTTTTCTATATCTATCATGTCGAAATCTTCTGACGACAATACGGATGGTCTACAACTCCCTGCCCGAAGCCTTCTCTGCCTTCTCTGCCTCGGGCTTCTCCTCGACAATCTTGCCGGTGGGTGTCCAGTCGAGCGCCTTCAGTCTCTCCGACAGGATGGGGTGCGAGAAGTGGTAACTAGCGTACATCCAGTCGGCATCCATGGTGCTGAGGTTCTGGATCTGGAGCTTGATAAGCGACGCGGCAAGCTCGGCCTTGTAGCCGAGGTTGCGGGCAAACTCGTCGGCCTGGAACTCGAAACGACGGCTGATGATGTTCATGAGCAGCTTGATGATGGTGTCCATGGGCGCAAGGGCGTCGGAGAACAGGAGGAAGCCGATGATGATAGGGCGCTCCTTGAGGAAACCAAAGTCCGCGTACAGGGAGGCATTGTTGATGAAGACCGAGAACAGCAAGAAGATGTAGAATACGTGAACCTGGCAAACAGTTAGCTGTGCTTCGGGGTTCACCTCAAGAACGGGGGAGGGAATACCTGAGAGATGCCGAAAAGGCGAGTGGTGTGGCCGAGGCTCCAGTGACCCAGCTCGTGGGCGAGGACGGCAACAACCTCCTCCTCCTTGCTCTTCTCGATCAAGGTGTCGTAGATGACGATGTGCTTCTTCCAGGGCAGACCAAAGAAGTAGGCGTTGCTGTGGGCGCTACGCTTGCTACCATCAATGACGAAAAGCTCGTGCAGCGGGAACTTGAGCTTCTTGGCGAGACCTTCCACGTCAGTCTTGAGTTTGCCCTCCTCCAGCGGCGAAAGCTTGTTGAACAGCGGCAGGATGGCGATGGGGTAGACGGTAATCATGAAGACTTGCAGGCCAGCAACGAAGAGCCAGAGGTAGTAGAAGAACTGGTTGCCAGTCTTCTTGACGATACCCAGGAAGCCGGCAAGGATAGGAGGGGTCAGGATGAAGGCGAGCATGTTGGACTTGAGCATATCCGTGATGAACAGTTTCGGGGTCTGCTTGTTGAAGCCAAACTTCTCTTCCAGGACAAAGGTGTGGTATACCGACATGGGCAAGGACAGGGCCTGTTGAATCAGAATGAAGGACAGGACGAAGACGATCGAGTGGGATATCTCGCCAGAGAAGCGAGCGGGAGCGAAGTTGAGGAGCAGTTGACCGGTCCAAGCCCACAGCTTAGGGAGTACGTCGTAGTGGATGAATGCAATGTTCTGGATCTGACCCCATAGGCCCTTGACGAAGCCGAACTTGGCCTTGGCGCGGCCGTACTCCTGGCTCTTGTCGTAGACATCTTGCGAGACCTCGGCCTGCAGGACCTTGGGGGGCTTCGTGTTCTTGAGGACCTGGTACTGGCGGAGGGAGAGGAACTCCTCGAACAGGTACTGCCCCACCGAGAAGCCGATGATGACCTTCTTCCACGGGAAGAGCGGGCGGTCGAGAAAGCGAGCGAGGCGCTGTTGGGGCATGCTGGGTTAGTATCGAGCGCCAGAGAACCTGGGACCTGCTGCGAGTCACCAACGCACCTGTAGGATATCCATCTTGATGGAGAAAAGCGCTTTGGCTCAATGGTGGTGAACAGCTGTCTGAACAGCGCTTCGGCAACGAAAGTGGTTGCTTTTCAAGCTGTCCGGTGTGAACTTAGCTTTGTCAGACCCTCATTTAAGAAACCGTGTCATCGCGCGACGGCTGCGGAGCCAAACCTGAGGGAGCGGCACCCTGGCCGCCCCTGGCCACTGTCACGTCACTGGGCCCGCCAGGCACAGGTAAAACCCCACAGTCTCGACCTAGTGAGCTGAGCCGCTTTACAGTGGCTTATTGTGCTAGGTTAGCTTAGGCCCTCCCTCTCTGCCAGGAACATCTATTCTTGGAAGCATCTCAATCTGTACCAGTTGAGGTTCTTGGCCGAATCACTCAAATAGTAACACAATGATCATCACCGATTCGCAACGACACACTCATCTGGCTTCTGTGGGCGCGGTCACTCTCAAGCAATCTCAGAGTGACTCGTCATTGCGAATTTTCGCTTTGCAGTAACCTACATAGGTGCCTACGTTGGGTATGGGCTCAGTTGCGTGATCAACACCGCCTTGGTCAAATGTGATTGAGAGAGCAAAACCTTGGGGGCAACTCGCACGTTATCTTGCCCGCCGCCATCCCTTAGCTTGATAGGCCTTCTGCTTGCTGACTGGCGATTGTAGCTCAGAAGACGAGCCGCCACGATAAGCTTAACTTTTTCCTTTCTTTCAGACCTCAGGTCACCAGAGTGGCGCCAATTCTCCAAGCACCCATTGGTGTGCTAGCACATGATGCCTATCCACGCTGCAATATATATCTATAAATATATATATATATATCATCATATCATCTTCACCGGTATGCAGCTGTCTGATGCTGTAGATCCTACCTCTATATGGTCCACTCGTAGTCATGAGAGGGGTTGAACCGGCGCTTCCATGACCCTCGTATTTACAACCCAAGGTTCGGCAAGGTGATAAGCTACCCAATCAGGATAATGCCTTTACCCCTGATGCAAGTCTATATTATCCAAATTCTCCTCCAGCCACGGCACTTAATGAACCCCCGTTGCTTTTCATAACGACCTGAAGTTCCTGGCGCCTGCAATGTGATATGCTCCGCGTTGTACGGGGTCCGCCGTTCACTTTATAAGCATATACGGCGCATCCGTAAAACCCTGCCCCGTCTTCCCTCTCTATGTATCGAGCTATAGAGGCTTTGTTTTGTTTGACGCCGAATCAACCATGCGTTCGAACACTGTCGCCAGCTCGCTGGCGCTTCTTGCCCGATGCGTCGCTGCCCAGCAAATGATGCGATTCTCATGTTCCAGGCTGACGATCGAGCGACTTGACCCCCTGGTCTCTCCAGGAGAGATACAGTCACCCCATACCCACCAGGTCGGCGGTGGTAACTCATTCAATGCGACCATGCCCCCCGGGACATATGATCCGGTCAAAGAGTCGACTTGCACGTCCTGCACCTTCTCCGAGGACTTCTCCAACTACTGGACGGCGAACTTGTACTTCAGAGCTCGCAATGGCACGTTGAAGCGGGTTCCGCAGATGGCCAATTTGGGTCTCAAGGCTGATGGTGGTATTACTGTGTACTATATCCCTCCATATGATGGCAAGTCTACAGTCACGGCCTTTAAGCCTGTAAGTTGAACCGTGTCTACATCATTGTCGTTAATGAGTCTCATCGTTTCGGTCAGGGCTTCCGTATGCTGGTGGGTGACCCTATGCTTCGGACCGCCGAAGGTCAGCAACGCCAGCTCTGCCATCGATGCTTCGCGAACGTACAACAAGTGCCATTCGGTGGTGCGCCGTGCACAGGCTCAGATACTGCAGCGTTGCCATCAGGAATGTGTCACGGGGGTATCCGTACGACCATTACCTTCCCAACTTGCTGGGATGGTGTCAACGTTGACAGTCCCGACCACAAGTCTCACGTTGCGTATCCGGTCAATGGTACATTTGAGTCGCTGGCCCCCTGCCCTGAGTCACATCCTTGGAAATTGCCCCAGGTGATGTACGAGATCCAATGGGATACACGAGAGTTCAACGACGAGGACCTCTGGCCCGAAGACGGTTCTCAGCCTTTCGTCTATAGTATGGGTGACAGGTAAGGCTCTCGCAGGCGTTGGAAGTGGAAATGTCAAAATTGTACTTACCTTCTGTAGCACTGGATACGGCCAGCACGGTGACTACCTATTCGGATGGAAGGGTGATGCTCTTCAGAGGGCCTTGGATGCCCGCTGTCAAAACGACCGATGCAAAGAGCTGAAGTCGCAGACCTCGGAAGAGGCCATGAAGTGCGTCAATAAGCAGCTTATACCGGAAGACGTTGATGGATGTAAGTTGAACCGCTTCACCTGTTGCGGTTTGATTTTGCTAATACGTTGCGACAGGGATGAGCAAATTGCCTGGCAACTGGACTATTACCTAGGATACCGAGTGCAAGGCATTATCTCTCCATTGAGGTACGTCTGTGTATTTAAAAGGGCTATATCAGACGATAATCCCGTACCGTTTAATGTCCGCCCTGCTTCGTTTGCAGTCAACTCCAGCCTCTGCCTTCCCTCATCTAAACCTTGACACACTCGTTTGTTTGAATAACCCAGCGACTGAGCTGTCTATCTTCATACATCGGAAACATTATGTATAGCAGTCACTGCCAATACCAGCAAGGATCTCCTCCCATAAGGCTTAACCCAGTGATTGCATAGATAAAGCATAGTTGGCCGAGCTTCAAACCTGGCTAGTCGCATACTTGGTTGTCCATTACATAGAGATATGGAAGCTGCTTGACTTAATTTTCCTCATACACCTGAAGCGAAGCCTCACGCTGGCAGATAGAGTCCCAAGTCGCCTCAAACTCACGCTGCAGCTCCTCTGCAGCTCCAACATTGCCAACGTTACGATAGTGTCTTTCCAATTCACCTAGTGCTCTGGCCGTATGTCGATGCTCAGGCCCCACGTCAGCCAGGCAAACCTCCAACCTCCCTCGATGCATTTTCGTTGCTTCTTCTAGAGACCCCAGGCCCTCCATGGTGCGCGCACTCAGCACATAGTACTGCATCTTGGTCCAGAGATCGATTCCACTTGTCCCCTCGGATAATGCATGCCCGACTTGCCGCAGGACCGCATCTGCTTTGTGAAAATCTCTTTCTTGGACGTACGTGCTTGCAAGCTCCAGCCGGGCCCAGAGATAGTAGTCCATGTGCCAGTATTGTATATCAGAGGCTATGAGATGAGATGTTTCTTCTATCATCGCCTCTGCCTCCGTGACCGGTATGAGTTTGAACCTGTGATAGCTCCTGGCTACTTCTAGGTATATGCATGCCAGCCACTTGTTTCTGGAACCCAGATGTTCCGTAAAGACATCGCACTGGGCCTTCATCACAGCCATCGCATTATCTTGAATACCACGAACTCCAGATCTCCACAAAGCGTACCACAAACGGCTGAGCGGATGATTCTGACCGAGTACAGCCGAGCATATGCTTGCCGTGTAGCGCATGAACGCCTCGAAGAGATCTGAGCCAATCTCCAAGAGATAAAAAGCGACACCGAGGGTTTTCTGGACCAGCTCCGGGTGGCCCTCCAGAGCGAGAAGCTTATACTGCTCAGCACATATGTGGAGCATGCGAAACCCCGCCTGTACGTTGCCTCTCTGGATCGCCTCCTTGGCAACAAGTGCCTGATTCGCCCAATTTGTCGGTTCTGAGTCGACCACAACGTAGAAAGACCTGTCCTGCGAGTCGAAACGATTCCGCGTAAAGTCTGTGATCGCCCTCATGCACTCCTCGGGCAGTCTATATGTATCAGGTGCCCTTAATGTCCTTGGCCTTGACGTTCTTGACAGTGAAGTCACATTGAGACTTCCATCTAAGACATCCTGATAAGCCAAGGACAGGTGGGGGCCGTCCGTACCTAATACTTCAAGGCTGATTTTACGACATTGCTGCCGTCGTTTATGGGAGAAACGTGCTTTGACAGGGCCATATTTAGAGCGATCTCTCCATACTTCTCTCCCACTTTCTCCTTTCTTACTCAATCCCCAGGCCGCTATCCGTCTTTTGTACATCCTCGGTCTGCGTGCGGTAATGAGGGTGTCAATGGGTATGTGCATTAACAGAATAGTGGCTGAAAGCTGCAGACTCACGTGGCGAAGAACTGGTGCTTCTGCTCCATTATATCCATGACCTGCGTCAGTGAGAGATCTTGGTCCCAGTATAGGCGGGTGAATATGTCCCTATGGGCTTGCCAGTCGGCAGACTCCGCCCACTTAATTGGGGAAAGCCCAACCTCGTCCATTCTCCCGAAGACTTTTGAGCATTTGTAGCCAAAGCGAAGTAAGCGAGCAACTTCTGTGTAACGATACGGAACGCAGGGAGAAGAACTGTCCCTCTCACATCGGTGTGAAATGTGGTTCTCCAGATGACACAGCGAGCCTTAAAATGATCTTAGTCAGCTATGCCCCTGGATACGCTTGGCATACATGGTCAGATGATTGGTCCATGTGATCCTGAGCGAAGCGCCAAGTCAGCTGGAAGTGGATGTAGATCAGAGCACAAATCTTTGCAGGATAGGAGTTTCGTAGCAGGAACAAGTGATCGCTTTTGGCCTCTATGCATCTAACCCGTCTAGTTCTATGAGCTTCGTCACCAGTTTGATGACTTCGTTTTCTTGCAAATCCGCCTGCGGGTTGTCGACCTTAAGTGCGATAGTATTGTCAACCATGCTCCGCAGTCTTGATACCAGTACCCCGATGCGTGCCCATCCACGTAGTCTGCAGAGTGTTAGTAAACTGACGAAGGCAAGGCAGATAGAGTCCATATACCTTAGCCATCCATCCACCACAAGTCCTCTCCCGAGGGTGTCAAGCTCGATGGCTCCCGAGAAGAGCAGTAGTGTATACGCATTGAAGGCTATAGAGTCAGAAAGAGTCGTATTAGGTTGACAAAATATCGTTTCAACTTACGAGTTAGATCTCGAATGAAGATCTTGCTTGTCGCCATCATGTTGAAATACGATACGAAGGCTGCATTGCCTGAGAAGCCCTGGTTGTCAAATAGTGTACTGCTCGGATGAATGAACACCCGCCCATTCTCTTGTGTGAAATACTTGATGGTTTTTGCCTCGGGGTCAAGCTCAACGGCTCCTGTCATGGACGCAGCAAACTTCTTGTCTGGGAATTGTATACGCGCTATTTGCGGACTGAAAGCCGAAGCTGTCAATGCGCGTATGATAGAGGTAGAAACCGCACTCTGACTTGAGCGGCGCGCTTCGGTAATGATGGAGTGAGAGGTGATGCCAATCTCCACGAGTGCTGCGTAATATTGTGTTCGCGTCGAAGCAATGTCTGAAAGCGTCTGGTAGGAGAGGAAGTTCTCATCGCAGAAGTTACGGACCTGTCGCTGTGGCATCCTGTCGTCCATCATTGAAAGCCACTGCTGTACTGCACGTAGGTCTGTGAGAAGGTCGCCATCTCCCCTGTTGAATCGCATACGAACTTCTTTCGCGGCGTCTCTCTTGTCTGGTGGAGAAAGAAAAGGGCTTTTGGTGCTCAGAATAGCTGCAATCAAGACCGATTCCTCAAGACAGCCGAAGATCGCACCGTACACCATGAGCTTGCCACAGCGAAGATCAGCAGGGATCATAGCCAGCTGCTGACCTAGGGCAGTGAGCTCATCTCCATCAAGCGCTCCCATTCTCCGTAGCAACTTCATGGCGCCTTCCACGGCTGAGGTTTCAGGGGGTGTCGGGGTCCGAGCCAAGAATCCCGCCACATCCCGAGTACCCATAGCCCTAACTGACAGACAGAGTTGCTCAAGCGGGACACGACGGATTTCGGGATCTGGGCGCTCAGCCATCTGTTGTTCCAAGTTTTGTGTGTAGAGCTTGTAGCAGATGCCAGCTTGAACTCTGCCCGCTCGTCCTCGTCGTTGCTTGCACGCCGCCCGGGAAGCCCATGTCTCCGCAAGCTTGCGCATGTTATTCTGGGGGTCGAAACTAGTTTCTTTCACTCTTCCTGTATCGATGACAGCTACGATATCGTCGATAGTGATCGAGGTCTCGGCTACATTCGTGGCCACCACGACCTTCCTCTTCCCATGAGGCGGGCTTGAGAACACCCTCTTCTGCTCGCGAGTGTCCAGAGATGCATGGAGTGGCAATACGTAAAGTGAGGACACAGCCTGAAGCTCCCGCACGGTACGACTGATTTCTGCAACGCCAGGGAGGAAGATCAGAATGCCGCCTTTCTTACCAGCCTGATGCAATTGCCCGTCAATGGCCTTCGCAGTCTCCACAAGAAGTGAATAATTGATTCTTGAGCCAAGCTTCTGAATGATCTTGTTGACAGGGTCCTGAGCTGCAGTCTTCATGTCTGATTCTTCGTCATCGTAGTATCTGTCTCGCCCAATCGTGAAATTCGTCATGCGGATGATGTCATCAAGATAATAATCTTCGACGGGATAAGTCCTGCCAGCAATCTCCACCAGGCCAACTTGAAGTCCCTCAGAAGTGAAATAGTTCTTGAACGTGGCAGCGTCCAGAGTAGCGCTCATCAGCACGAGCTTGAGATCTTTTCTGCGGCGAAGGACATCACGAATGATGCTCAGGAGGAAATCGGTGTCCAAGCTGCGTTCATGGACCTCATCAATCACAACGTGACTGACGTCAGCCAATGATGCCACAACATCCTCGGTTCGGCCACCTGATGTCTGTAGTCGCCGGAGGAGGACACCGGTAGTCACGAACGTGATCTTGGTCTGGGCGCTAACCTTGTTCTCTCCACGGATAGAATATCCCACTTCCTTTCCAACCTGGGTGCATCGCTCGTCGCTTACGCGGTCTGCAAGTCCCAAGGCAGAAATTCGACGTGGCTGGGTGCAGATGATGTTCGCTGCTCTACCATATCCCTTGCTGTACAGATCATCTAGGATGAACTGAACCGACTGTGTAGATTTTCCAGATCCTGTCTCTCCTGCAATGATAGTAACTTGGTGTTGAGATACGGTGTTGACGACAAGGTCTCTTACTTGCCATGCTGGCAATTTTTGACGTTGTGCTATCATTGATTTCAAAGATGGCTCATCTTGTCTTGCCTGCCAAGTTGTGCGATCGCGCGTGTCCACAATCCACTTCAGGGGAGTGGGATGCCTCGCGGACTTCCTCAGCTTTCCTACAGCCGTCCGAACCTCTGAGGCTGTTGATACAACCCCTGAAATATCGCGAAGCTTGCCCGGTCGCAGGATGATGTCGTTGATGTTCTGCTGTACCCAATCGACAATGAAGTAGATCTTCATCGGCTCTCCTCCCAGTGACTCCTTAACATACTGCAGGGTCTTCTTGACAATGCTAAGCTTGATGTAAGATGGAAGGTCGGCCACCATGGATACAGTAACTTCAGAGGGGTACTGAGGTGACTTCCGTATCTGGACGAATGTTTCGATCGCCTTCGGGCCATTTTTAACCGATTCCACGCCTATCTGACAGATGTCGTCTGACACTCGCTTGTAGAGTTCGCCAAAGACGGACTCCAGACTTTCCAGCTCGTCGGTCCAACACTCGTCTGGGGTACCCAAGATAAGTGGCTCTTCTGATGGGTCGACGGCTGTTGCCGTATCACTGCCGCTGGAAAGCAATATCTCCTGCAGTGCATCTGCGGCTTGTCCTTCATCTCCTCCTTTCTCGTCGTAGACCTTTCTGCAAAGCTCAACGGAGTAACCTGACTGCGACAACCGCTTGATGGCAGCTTCTCGTCTCAAATCTGATGTCGCAGCAACTGAAACACCAGCACTGTAGCTCTCTGGGAGGGCCCACCTAGGCAAATCATCCTCCGGAACATGAATCAAGAGCCACTCCAGCGTTTCCTCACGATCCTTGCATTCGTCCACGGCCTCCTCGACATGACTCTTCCTGAAACCCGAGCTGGTGAACTCTTTGACAATAGACTCCTTGGCAGCTGCAGAGAGCTTGACGCCATGCGGGTTCCAAATGACTTCTCGCCGAAGAAGGTCCTCGAGTTGTGACCGTGTCTTCCTTCCCAACTCGATCTTTGGTATTGTCGTCCAGCCTTTCATGGGGTTCGAGCCACCACCGCCAGAGCCTCCCGCTGCGTTGCTGCGAAGCACTAAGCCAGAAGCACCAGGCATGTTCTTGGCCTTTTCCTTGAGGGCTTCTTGCTCTTTTCGTTTCTTCTCTGCAGCCACCTTGGCATCCTCACGCTCTCTCATGGTAACAAACGGGTCAGCAGCGTAAATCCAAGCGAGGCCATTCTTCACGTCCTCCTTCTTCAAGGTTTCAAACTCTTTCCAGAGTGACCTGTAATCAGGGGGTAGCGTCGTATGGATGTTTTTCATACTGCAAACCCGGAAGAGAGCATACGTCGCAGCAGCATGCCTGGCCTCCAGCGCTGTAGGCTTGGTAACGAGGTGCTTATGTGTCGGCGGCAGCTTGAAGGATGGCAACGTTTGCATCTCCTGCGTCTTGGGGTGCTTGGCACTGAGCGTCACAAAGCAGGAATAGCCATCGGCATTTTTGTTCATCTATAACACTAATTAACTAGGCACGAGCCATGATTTCCGGGATGACCGCTCACGTTGTCATAGCTGGGCTTCTCCCACTTCTGCCTTTGGCAATGTTCAGAAAGCAGATTGACCGGCAACTTGCCGGTCCAGCTGGCGCCTCCAACTATTTGCTTGACCGTTGGCTTGGGAGGCCCTGGTGGACCAGGTTCTGGCACGCCGGCTTTAGCTGCAGCACCACTCCCTTGGCCTCTCTTGCCTTTCGGTTCCTTGGTTGAGTTGGTGAAGACGATGAAATCGTCCTCCTTTGGTGGTGCATTCTGCTTGGTAGACTTCTTGGACGAGCTGCTCGCCCCTGCGGCTGGAGCTGGCGCAGCGGCCTTCTCCTTCCCCTTCTTTACCATGCTTGCCCGGAACAACAGACAACCTACGTGGGGCTGGAATGATATGCCATCTCTGGGAGACACATGAATTGGGTAGAGCTTGTCGGGTTGACCAAAGTCAGAAGTGATAAAATCCCTTAAGCCGTAAATTCCCCGCTTAAGCATGCCAGTGCAAAAGACTGAGAAATACTGTATCCCGTTTACCTTGGTTGCGAGGCTAGCCTTCTCTTAGTGGGGCAAAGCTCGCCTGAAATGAGACGACGCGTACAGTGTGGTAATGTTTAGCGATAGGTGAAGGTCACAACTCTAAAGCGAATGCACCTCTGTGTGGCGTATCTGGATATCTTGATTGCACATATGACTCCGTCGCACGCGTAAACGCAGTGAACTGGCTTTTGAGTTGCCTTCGCATTTCTTCTGACTTCATCCCCTCAATTTCCATTTGTCTTGCGATCTACTACCAGAAAGAATGTCTCCAGCAGATTCGGATCCCGATGAAGCCATCACCAAGGAAGAGATCACCGGCGAAGCTGCAGCACCACCAGCCTCTACTGCTGGTATTACCAAGGACATAACGCAGCGTAATGCCTGTAGTACCTCCCGAAAATCTCCCTCAAGGTTCGCTGCTGATTCATATACTAGTCTCAGAGCTTATGAGGCGAAAACCAAAGGCACCTGCTCAACCAACGAAAAGCGCATCCACAAAACAATCAGGTTTGGCAAGAGTATTTAAAGACCGGGATGGCCTAGGAGCATACACCCACGACCCAGCTTCATTCCCAGCTAAGCGAGTAGTGTACTTTGATGATGATTTTGTGGTAATAAACGACCTGTATCCCAAGTCTGCAGTCCACACACTGCTTCTGCCAAGGTCACCGCGCAGTCGTCTCCATCCTTTCGAGGCCTTTGAAGATCCCGAGTTCCTCGCCAGAGTTCAGTCTGAGGCCCTGAAGCTAAAGCAGCTAGCCGCCAAAGAACTGCAACGCCGCTTCGGCAAGTATAGCGAGGCTGACAAGCTTCGTGAAGCCGTGCTGAATGGTGATATCGAGTGGGAAGCCAACGAGCTCCCCAAGGGGCGGGACTGGGAGCGTGAGATCAAGGTCGGCATTCATGCACATCCCAGCATGAACGACCTCCATGTCCATGTCATTTCCCGAGACATGTCTTCAGAGTGCATGAAGCACCGCAAGCATTACAACTCATTCAACACCCCATTTCTGATCGATGTCGCCGATTTCCCTCTGGCGAAGGATGACCCAAGGAGGCATCCTGGGCATGCTGGTTTCATGAACGGCGACTTGAAATGTTGGCGTTGCGGGCAGAACTTTGGCAACAAGTTCAAACAGCTGAAGGATCATCTTGCTTTGGAGTTTGAGGCATGGAAGAAGGAATGACTATTCGGTATGGGAATAAACCACCATCCCAGGCCCAACGATATTCTGGTGGCTTTCCTCAGTATCTTGGCGCTAGGAATGCGTTGTCACATCGAAAATAAATAATCGCCACCATTACTGTACGTGTGCACAACATTTCACAAAAATCGCGCAAGTTCGTCAATTCAGAGTACTGTTTACTTCAAGAGACCCGAAGAGTGGTGGCTCCGCAACGAATCTGCTACCAGGTGGAAACCTCTTACTGTCGGCGAATTCTGATTTCGCCCGACCATTTTCAACAACTGAAAACCTGCTATCTGGTCCTCCATACATTTGGTGAACTATTTGTGCTGTTTCACATCTGTCTTTGCCCAGGCTCAAGTCTTAGAGGATCTCTCAACAGCCTCGTATTTGCCCGTATACCACCAACGCTGCCATCTCCTAATGTCCACTATGTCCGACGGCTTTGTTGGTGTAGTTTACATCACGATCAACTTCTCTGGAGCGTCTTCTTGGTCCTGTTGCTGAACGATATCGAGAGAGAGGTTCTGGGTAGCACATAGATTCGCCGATACAGCTCGGCCCTTCTCCGATTGTATGAAAGTGTTCACAGCATGAGCCGCAGCATGAACCACCGCACTGAACTGTATTTCATGTGACTTGTCCACTTGAATATGGGAGTCGATTTCTTTGAATGCTCGTAAGATGGAGCTGACCAGTGCTATCAAATCGCCTTCGTGAAGGCCCCACAGGACACCGTATGTATCTCGTAGTTTTTGAACGCATGCTTCGTGCACGCGCTCCAAGAGGGGCGCCGAGGTACGGCGCATCATCAAACAGGATGTCGACATCTCGTAATTCTCAGCCCTCAGCACCATGTTCAACGATGGTAGGAGGTCCTTCGGATGAAGCACTGAGGCCTTGGTCTCCCGTCGCCGCTGGCGCTGCATCTCGCGGCGCTTCTTTAGGATTTACTTGTCGGTGAGCTGTCTTGTGACAAACCATTTTCCACTCCCTTCACAGGCCAGGTCCTCCTTCGATGCTGTCTCTCGACCAATGTCGCCAAGAGACCCGTAGAGACTAGGCCATAGACAATTTCATATCCAACCAGCCTAGAGTTGAGAACACCTTTGAATTTTGCTGAAATATCTCTCCCACCCAATTCCGTTTCTAAGATCCAAAGACAAACGATGGGCATCTTATGGGACAGTAGTTCGTCAACGATCAGTGGCCTTCCTTGTATATCGGAGGCCAGTGTGATGTGCGTATCTGGAGTATCGAGTCCACCGTAGGCTCTCTGGTACTCGCACTAGTACAATTCATATAGTAACTCTCGGTAACCCCCATGCTGGTCCAATAGATGTGTGGCCTCGTCGAAGATACTTTGACCAAGATCGACAGCTGTATTCTAAATGACGGCGAGTGCTGCAATGGAGAGGGGATGGTTGTCTTCGAAGCATTGGGATTTCCACCGTGCGGCAATGTAGACCCGAGTTTGTTTGATGTCTTGCAAGATGGTATGTAAAGCAAGCAAAGCATCTGCCTTGGATGTCTGCGGCTCTATAATGTATTCGTTCCTCGAAAAGTGTGTAGTATGGGTGACTTTGACCTCAGGTAAATTGAGACACGCTTGAGACGCTTGCCCAATACTCAGCGCGTTGAATCTGTTGGTCGCCGATTAAAATTCTGTCTGCGAAGGCATGTTCTGTGTTTTCGCTACGTGATGCTGGAGTATGTCGTGAACTTGTTCTATGGACGTAACAAAATATTCATGATCTTACACAGATTGGCGATCAAGATGACAATTGAGCTCCTCAAGCATGCCGCCAAAATCACGACGAACCCGAATAATATGGGAGAGAGAGGCAATAACAGACGTCGGTATCGTTATGGGAGGCTTCATGCGGTCGACCAAGAATCTGGCCAGCGGAACAAAGTCTTTGATCTTGATGGTGTGCTGCTTTGCTGGTGGAGTTTGGTCGGAAGCTCGTCCCTTCGCCGCTTTCTTTGCTTTCCCTTTGAGACGTCCTGTCCGTTCAGGCTCCTCACCCTCGAAGACGCAGCCATGTACCTTGGCAGTAACGGCAAGCCAAGAAGCGATGTAGTCTGTATCAGACTTGTAGCACCAATACGCGCTGGCAAGCGTGTCGGGAAGCATTGTGATAATAAATATCAGCCGGCAACGCGGTGACGAGTGTGCAGATGTGAAATGGGTTGGCTGGTGATGAAGATGGCAAACACGAGACCATGGCGGAACAAGAGTGTACGTCGAACAAAGATGTGAGAAGAAGCAATTGATGGTGGGAGTGGCAAGCTCTGCCCTCCGAAAAGACGCTGATCGACAGCAGGCTTTCCAGGCGTGATCCGGCCAGAACAACGTAATGAGCGTTTGTTCCAAGATATGCCCAAAGGCTAAAGAGAATGTGAGATGTAGGATTGAACACCTTGGGAAAACTGTGATTAAATGTAACGTTACCGAGGGTTGATGCCTGGCTGGGCAACCACAATCCATTGGCCGTTGAAGTGAACGCTGTAGTTGCTGGGACAAGGGCAGGTAAAATAATCCATTGAGGCACTCTTTCTCAGTCACATCCACCAGCGTATCGCTCACTGTCGTTGGAAATAACTTGTGCACCAAATATCGATCAACCATCGTTTGTCTTTACTTTTGTCGTTTACCAATTGTCTAATAGCCAATGCTATAACCTACATTGAACCGCACAGCAGTGACGTCTCTTGGAAAATGAATTAGAGGCCATGTCACTGTCAATGTCACAGATCATGCAATATTGTTAAGATAGACAGAAATGAGAAGCCGAGATGGCTCTCCAGGTCCTTCATAGCTATGGCCGTGCAAGTCTGCATATTCGCCACCCAGTCTCACACGGTATCCTTCCTGCCTTCTAGTCCACTGACTGTGCAGTGGTATGGTAAAGGGTGAATTCATGTGTTCCAGACGCTTATGTGATTGGTATGGCAGGGGAAAACATCACGAATATCAGACGATTTTGTACCTGCTATGTACAGGAAGAAGACGACTCTGTATTCACTGTCAAAAACGGTCGTGGTATTGTTTCTCCACGGTCTAGACAATGGAGTGAAAAAGTAGAGTGATTATATGAATAGGGTAGATCGATATATACCAAACACATTGTTCATGACTTGCAGTTCTTACAAGATCGATCAAGATTCTACTTCCTTCCAAACGCCAAAGGTGAAGGGATTCAGCTGATCTATCTTCCCAATCCCTCACCCACAGGGCCTCGACTAGGACATGGTACACCAGAGTCCGCAGACCCTTTGAAAGTCGTGCGCAGTGGAAAAGATCACCAACAGTGCGTAGGCAACGTAGTCAACATCAACTTCCACGAAAGCTAACAAGCCATGGATATACAGATCAGAAACCATACCACCTTCGTACCAGACGCCAGAAAGCACCACAAGGCTCGAGATCATGTGCCGCCGAATCTATTTTGTCACAGTTTGCCGCGCTTGTGGCAGAGCCATGGGCACGTTCCAGGGGGACTATCCTTGCGCAATTGTTCTCGGCCAACAGCAACAAGCGCCATCAGCTCCTGTGGCCTTCGGATCATGCAGAGAAGGAGTTGTACAACAGCAGATGGCGATTCAAGGTGGACCTTGCAGCTGCTCGAACCCAGCGGGTTCGGGGCCGCCTCAGGGGCCTACTGGTTGGCTGCAGTACAACCCGTCCATGGGAAGATATTCTTAACTGTTTGAGGGAATTGCTATACCAGATGGCGCGGGAGACAAGGTCAACAGCGTGAATGAAAACAGCTTGAAGGTGAAACAGATGTTCCGGTATGGGATTCTGGTGCGGAAGAGCAGCCTCAGTTCTCTCCCTCAGTTCTCACCCTCAGTTCTCACCCTCTGTACTTCCTGGTAGAAAAATACAAATAATCGAATGTGTCCATGTCTTCTCACAGCGGGAAACATACTACATGGCGTAGCAGCTTGTCTTCTGGAAGAGTGGCATTGCCAAGTGGTTTCGTATCATAGAACTATGATAGTGGCAGAGGGTGCCTTTCGCCGTTTAGAGACGCTACTGCCACGGGTTTCAGACCAGGTTTGCTCAAGAAAGTTCCTCGGACATCAGCCCTCCTCCAAAATCGTCGGCGGAATTTGTTCAGATCGGAATTGACGGGCGTATATCATGGAGCAATTGTTTATTTTGGAAAATTACGCTCAATTTTCGTCTCGATTTACCAGATGTAATCGAGAAATCTCTCAAGGCCGATTACAAGAATGTACTTCACTGTCCCTTCGCGAGTAATAAGTCATCAGAAAACTCCGAAGTTAGCAGTTAAACAGCATGAGAAACCACATAATGGTGAGTTTGCCAGACCATCTCTGAGAGACGCATCAACCACGTGACTACGGTAGGCCAGCCCTTTGCAGAAGCAAACATGTCTTTTCTTTTGGGGTTGGGGGGGAGGGGGGTTGTTTTGGGCTGGACTTTCTTTTCTGACAGGGGATCTCGCATGAGCCTGGACAATCGGGCTTCAATGTAATCAAGGCAGAGCGGTCGGACACAAGACCAGACATAATACGAGACCGAGAGCGGGTCCCGTAGTATAATAACACACCTAGGAGAAGAACTCCGAGTCAAAATAGAACCCTTTGATCAATACAAGAGCGAAATAAGCGTTATAGCAAACCGTACAAGCCTTTGCGCGTTGGTAGCCACTGCGTTGGTGCAATGGCAAGCCCGTCGACAACTTCTCGTACACGGCCATCCAATAAAGTCATGTCCCCCCTTGAACGCCACTTATCCTCCTGAACGCACTCATGAAGAGACCTGAGAACTTAGCCGGCGAGCTCATATTCTAGTCGTCCTATAGAGGACCCCGGGTTAGAAGCAAGAAAGGAGTTCGTTTAGGGGAGCGACGTTACCTCGGGAGCTGCCTCATCCTCATCCTCAGCCTCCTCGTCGTCATCAGGAGCTGCGGCCTCTTCACCATCTAAAGCATCACCGACCTCCACATCAGCGTCGGCTCCAAGGTCCACCTCACCATCTGTGGGGGATGTGAGTAGTTGCGTCGATGTGACGCGAGGCGGCCGTCTGTGGCAGCATTGCGACGGGGCGCAGCGCATCTATATTATTTGTGACTCACCTTGCTCATCGTCGTTCTCGGCATCATCTTCCTCCTTGTCGGAGGCATCCTCCTGCTCGTCCTCGTCGCTCTTTGCCTCGACCTCCTCGACGACCTCGCTCTTTCTTGGTCTTCCCCGGCCCCTGCCGCTGCCAGGAGCCTTGGCGGTGCTGGCGGCCGCCTTGGGGGTGGCCTTCTTGCTGGGGGTGGCAGCTGAAGCGGACTTTGGAGGCCTGCCACGGCCTCTGCCAGTCGAGGGCTTGGGGGGTTTGGGGGTGACCTTCTGCGAGGGGTCCTTGGGGGGTCGGCCGCGGGGCCTGCCAGACGGCACGTAGGGCGGCTTCTTCACACCGTTCTTTGGGGGTCTCCCGCGGCCTCTCTTGGGGGTCTCGCCAGACTCGGCAGCGGTGATGGGTTCATCCTTCTTGACGGTGGTCGCACGAGGTTCGCGACCGGCAGGACGGGCGCGCGTGCGGCTGGGCGCCATTGCGGGAGAGTGATTTTAGTTTGAAAATAGGAAGAACTATCCAGGCCCTGGATGAATTTCCGCGACCAAAAGACAAACGGAATCGATGCGGATTGGGGGTGGACAAAAATTGGGAAAATTGTCAAATCGAAGGCAGGATGCTCTGGGCAGAGAGGGCGAAAGCGTCGCGGTGCGAATGGACGCGCGTGGTAGATTGGATTCGAGGTACGAGTTACCCATACCCTTACCTTACCTAGGTACCTTAGCTCCCAGAGCTCTCAGCTACATTAGCGTACCTCAAGCGTACTGTAGGGCAGTTAGCGTGCCTGCTTACTTTGGCCCTGAGCAGGGGGTCGCGTCATTCTGTGTCAACAGCGAACACCTCATATACGGTATATCCTCGGCCTGATCAGCCTAAAGTAGACGAATGCAACACTGAAACCAATGCCGCCTCTCCTCTTGCTCATGCCATGCCTCCGCGTTTTTGCTTTTTCTGTTCTGGTAGGGAGATTATATGACTGAAGCGCGCAGCGCGCTGCTTGCTTGAAATGGGACGTCCTCATGCCAACAAGCAAGGAAGGTGTTGAACTCGCTGAGGTCGGTCAAGGAGCAGACCATGTTTGCGTGACGAAAGGATAACGCAAGGGAGACGTATTACTGCGACTTCTGTGATAGGTACCACACTAGGAGGCTGGCACACTACCTAGACTACCCAAACTACCTTGCCAGCCCACAGACGCGCCCGAGATATAGAGCTTGGAAATGTCTAGGGCAGAAGACATAGCGTTGCTTCTTGAAGAGAACGGCATGGACACCTGATTTTCCAGCGACGTGAGTATATCAGCCGACTAGTGTACAGACCGGCGGAACTTCCACCCCATACATGAACTGGGTTGCATGACGGAAATCATTTGGATTCCTCATGAACCAGTTGCTTCTATTCGCAACTGCGGATCCGCTCCCAGAAGCGAGTCACAGTATAGGGATGGGCGCAGAGATAGGTGCAGAGACAAGTACGACGCGCACACAGCTTACTTCGTTAACTTCTTTTCTCAGTTGAATAGAGATTGGCCACACTCAGCCACATTATTAGTACTGTCGGGCCCACGTAAGTCACAATATAGTAGTAATTAACATAGCTAAGGGTCGCCGGTCGCTTCCGTCGCTGATAAGAGCCGACATACTCCCTCGTTATCGGATAGCCTCATCGCTAGCCAGCGAGGTGCTTCCCCGCCACGGAGCAGACCGATAGGCTGCATCTAATCTCACACCTCACCTCGCTGTCCCATGGTAAGCTCCGGGCGCGAATGGGACGTAAGCCGAATTCGCGAAGGACTGATCTCGATAACCATTGATACATAAGTGAGATCTGCGAAACCCCAAGCTCGACCTCTCAATAGATCATGCGTGGACTTTGAAACTACCTCAACGATATTTTCCCCCTCGATAACAGGCGCTGTTTGATTGATTTATATCCATATTCCCGATTAGAGTGAGCTTACATCTCCTATCGGCCTGTGACGATGGCGGAGACTACATACTCGGATCGCACCATCCCCAAGATTTCGCTCCACGACTTCGACAGTCGCATAGACGAGATCACCGCCCAATTGGTAGCAGCTGCGGAGGCAGATGGCTTCTTCGCAGTGATCAACCACGGGATCTCGGTGGACGAGATAGAGGCCCAGTTTGACGCCGCCGGGCGCTTCTTCTCTCTGCCGGACGAGGTCAAAGCTACGGTTCCTTTCTCGCACCGCAACACTGGCTGGGAGAAGGCCAAGCAGATCCGGCCCAGTACCGGCAAGGCCGACCAAAAGGAGTCGTACCAGATGCAGTTTGGCAAGATGATGGAGGGCATGTGGCTCTCAGAAGAGACACTGCCCGGTTTCCGCGAACAGAGTCTAGGGTTTATGCGCAAAGCCCAGGCCGTCTCTGAGAAGATGATGATCTGTTTTGCCAGAGGACTGGGCTTCCCTGACGATTATTTCGTTAAGGCGCATGATGTATCGAACCCAAATATCCAAACCGTGCTGAGGGCTCTGCACTACTTTGCCGTTGACCCTACGGTACCGACGCCGGAAGGATACTATCGGGCCGGTGCACACGCGGATTGGGATTTCCTGACGCTATTATTCCAGCGCCCTGGCCAGAGCGGCTTAGAGATCTGTCCCGGCCGGGAGGTTTTCACAGCATTCGGTCTGGGGGATACTTGGACCAAGGTCGAGCCTACTGCTGGTGAGATCGTCTGCAACATGTGTGGCTTCCAGTTCCCCCTTCCTACACCTTTGTAAAACTGACATGGAAACCAGCGGCGACCTTCTGATGTCCTGGAGCGATGACAGATTCAAGTCCACCTTCCATCGCGTCAAGACACCGACAGACCCAGCGGTTGACTACTATGGGCCGAGGTACAGCCTGGCGTATTTCAATCAGCCCAATACAGACTGCCAAATACAGGGCCCACTGAAGAAATACCCCATGGTGACGGGCTCCCAGTTCACCGAGGCCGCCATGAAGAGGAATTTCGCGGCTCTCGAGGCTAAGAAGGCGGCCAACAAGTTGGAAGAAATGAAGAGCGGATTGGTCCAGGCCGGACGCTGATCTACCAACATCGAAGATCCAGAACAGTATCTGACGTGCCCGATGTCTACCCGATTAGCGAACCGACGCATAATCTATCTGCTCGAAATGGGTTAAAGGGGGGAAGGGGGGAAAGTGCGAGAATTATGTAGTCTCCAAGACACGGCATGGGCATACCCCTACGTACAGGGACTCGGGGAGTGCCAATGATTGCGCAGGGCTCGTTCCGAGAAAACTCTAAATTGCGAAGCGCATAGTGTTTCCTATAGCCGAGATAATATAGTACGACTTACAGCAGTGCAGGTGCTGGGTGTGGACCCGCTTGCCAGAGTTCAGCTGCGCATTTACCAACCAAGATAAAACCAGCATGAGTTTCATGATGTCACGGGAAGCCATAGGTCAGTATATATCGCTTCTAGACCACGGCTCTGGAACTTGTCTGTCATGACTCGCCTTGCACAAGCGAAGGTGTGCAGTCCGGTTGCGATTGGCGTTTGTGGTAAGTTGTGCCGCGACAGTACAGACAGGCGTGTCAACCGCTACTGGCTGTCAGACTTGTCAGAATGCCTTGCGTGGCCGGGGTGTGACCGTGTCATGTAGATAGTTACAGATTAGGCCCATGTCACGGCTGCAACAGCGGTAGCGATGCAGGTAACAAGCAACCTTGGGAGCGAGAGCCGTCGCGGTCAGAGTACAGGCAAGACAGGGTCACAATCGTTATCCAGCTAATGAAGGGTTTAAAGCACCAGAAACTGAGATTGAGGCTCTTACAACCCGCCCATCCATGCCCTAATAGTAACGGCCTAACTCGAGCCTCTTTGAGCCTCTGCCCAGGTGCCGCTCGCACCTCAGCTTCTGCCTTTCAATTACCGGGAAAATGCCCCAACAGCGAGATCCGAAATAGAAAACCTCCCCGCTAGCACCGGTCTAGCGCTCAAACTCGCTCACAAGGTGTCCGAACTCTGCAAGCCAAGCCACTGCATAGAGGATGGCCGAGTCATGCAAGGGAAACAGGAAAAGCCAGATTGGGACACCTGGCCCGACGTCATTGTGTGGAGAAGCACTGCCCTCCTATCCCGTCAACCCCTTGCCTGGCCCGCCCATTGGAAACCTCGAATCCTCCCTCAATCTGTGCTGCGGCCCCATAGTTAGTCGATGAGCACTTAACTTGACAAACCAACGGCCTGGGGTTGGGACGTGGACTGGGACGCCGGGGATTGGACTGGAGTTGCATGTGTACCCCTTTGCCAAGCTTGTCTGCCCAGATCAGGCCTTCTCGACCGTGGGCAGTGGTGCGTCTGTTTGTTTTGGGCAACATACATCGTTGTCGTGCATGCGTATCTACCAACACAGGTCTACGACCTGCCGACAGACTTTGGATTGACATTCGTTTCTTCTCTCCTTCTCTCATTTAATTAAACCCCCCTTTTCCCCCTCCCCTTGTCTATCCACTATCCAACTTGCCGCTCGCGCCAGCAAAATTTATACTCCGGTAACTATAGTCTTGTGTAATGTCGTACAGCAAATCCAACGCATGGTGACATTGCCCAACGTAACCCGTCCCAACCGCACGCACACGAGAGAAGCCACGGCCGCCCGCCAAGATGGGATACCGCCAATGGCTTCCCGGCACCCTGCAGGCGCTCCTCCTGGCGGTCCTCCTCTCGACGCTGCCCGGCCGGACGCGCGCTCTCGAGAACGACTTCTCGGCCTACCCGTCGGGCTCGCAGGCATGTCTGACGACGTCGGCCGATGCGAGCGGCTGCACCGGCGACACGGGCCAGCAGCTCAATAGCTGCCTGTGCAAGAACGGCGGCAACTTCATATACGCGACGGCCGAGTGCGTGGCCAAATCCAGCGCCTCGGACCTCAAGACTGTCTACGCCATGCTCCAGAGCAACTGTGCCGGCACGGGCATCACTATTGCCGTCTCCGAGGAGGCCTTCCTGGCCCAGGCCGCTGCCGCCACGAGCACGACCACGAGCACGACCATGAGGACTACGACAACCGCGGCGCCCACTACCACGACCGGCACGACCGGCACCTCAACGACAGACTTCCGGACCGAGGCGGCCACCACGACGACTACCATGACTACTACAACATCCTCGTCGTCCGCGGCGGGCCCGACAAGTACGGGGACCGCCGACCCCCTATCGACGGGGGCCAAGATCGGCATCGGGGCCGGCATAGGGCTCGGCTCGGCAGCGGTGGTGCTGGCGGGCGTCTTCATCTGGGTGTACCACCGCCGGCGGCGCCAGGGCGGCGACCCCAAGGACCACCCGTACATGATGGCAGGCTCGCCGACGCCGGGGGCGTACTCGGCGACGTTCGCGCAGCAGCCGGGCCCGCCGCACCCGCCGGGCACGGGGATCCCGCTGGACCCGATGAGCGCCGGCGGCTACATGTCGCCGGGCGGCGTCAGCTCGCTCAGCGGCACCATGATGGCCGGCACCTACAAGCCCGAGGACGGCCACGTCCGGCCGCCGTCTTCGTTACACCACCGGCAGGGCAGCAGCAGTGCGGTGCCCCCGGGAGGCCAGCCCCTGCTGGCCGAGCTGGGCACGACGCCGCCCCATCAGCGCGCGCCCGTCGAGATCTACACGCCGGTGCCGGTCGAGCTACCGGCGGTGGCCTGGCACGGGCACAACGGGCACCACGCCGAGCTGGAGAGCCCGTCGACGTGGCAGAGTCTGCCGCCAGGACAATCGCCGTACTCGGCTCACGAGCGGACCCATTTCTAAGGGTCTGCAGGCGATTGCAATTACAAGAAAAGATAAAAAAAATGCAAAGGAAACAAAAAATTAACAGAACGCCCGGACCTGGACATTGGACCTTGCTACCGGCGACGCTGGGATTAACCCTAGCAGTAGGAAACAGGAGCCGATCCTGGGGTAGCCGAGCCGCCCGGTGATGGCTACAACGACCAATACGTATGTCTTAGACATTTAGGCGAAATATAATTGGCATAGCGCTCGCAAGAGACAGGATCGCCGACCTTGGCAGTATCCAGCTAGTCATCGGGGTGGAACAGTTGGAGGGTTGCGGCACGTGATGCTGCCAGAACCAGATACGACGACCCGTTCACTTGGTCATATAGAAAGGGGTCGCCTCGCGAGTGGGCCAGGAGGGTCACGAGAAGGGGTCATTAGAGCCTCACGCATATCATGTACATATAGAAAGATACCGGCGATGATACCAAGGGATGATTAGGCGTTATGGACTATTTTCGGAGCGCATTCAGGCATCTCTATGATAGTTTTGTATATAAATACAGCAATGGCCCCTAAATCATGGATCTAGCCCAGATTGTTTAACTTTTTCCCACCCAAGTCGCCGCCCGCGTGTCGAGCGGCTCAATGCAGTAAGACTGGCTTTTTTTTACGGGCGGGTGCGTTTAGGACGCCCTTTGGCCCTCCTTCTGGCCTTCTTCGGCTTGTGAGGAGCAGGTGTGTCCGAAGTCACGGGCTGCAGATCCTACTCGGCGGTCTTGGACTTCTTGGCGCTGGCACCGCTCTTGACGCGCTTTGCAACAGGGCGGTTGATGTGGCCCTGGGGGATCCAGCTCTCATCGTAATCGGCACCGGTGGCAGCACCCTCGCCACCAGAGAGGGGCTCCTTCTCGATGACCTTGGCCTTCTTCGGGGCCTTGGCCTTCTTGGTCTGGGGGAAGAAGGCCTCGATGTAGGTCTTGTAGACAAAGTAAGAGGTACCAGCAAAAGCAGCGCCCAGAACAAGGTAGAGGAAGATGCTGAGGGCGGGTGTCAGTCACAATCATAGGAAATGCAATGGCTTCATAAAACAGTGAGCTTACATCTGAGGGTCAAAGATGCTAGTAGGAGCCTCGACAATGGCAACGGTCTGGTCGGCGACCTGCACCTGGAAGATGTTGCCGGAGGAGGTGGTGACAACACCGCCCAGCTGGAGACGGAGATCCTGGGGGTTCATGTCGAGGACGAAGGAGTAAGGGAGCGACTGCTTCTCGCCGGCGGGGATGATGGCGTCATAGCGAACAGTGCTCAGGTTGCGAACAATGCCGGCCGAGGGGTGCACATCCTCAGGCAGAGGCTTGAGGGAGTACAAGGAGCCACCAACGAAGGCGAACTGAATGGGCTCGTCCTCGTGGTTCTCGATGTCGATGACGGCCTTGGTCGGGCGGCCGTTGACCAGCTTGACGCCAAAGATGTCGGCCTCGGGGAAGGTGGCAGAGATGTCGGCCTTGAGGTCGACGGCGGGAGGGCTGCCGGCATCGTCGTCAAGGGGCTAATGGTCACATGATGATGTCAGCGTCTGTTGCGTACCGCACACAAGCTCGGCGCAGCTCTGGCCGGACGGGGACGACGGGACGGGGACGGTGGCACTTACAGACTCTCCCTGAGCAAAGACAGAGGCGACGCGGAGCGCCAGGGCGACGAGGACCGAGTACTGGAAGGCGACCATTGTGGATGGGGGGGACCGGGTGGGCAGGCGATGGGAGGAGAGTGACAAGGAGGAGATGGGAGCAAAGTCACGACAGGTGAATGCGACTTGGGATGCGGAGAGTTGAGCTCGCCCAAAAAGTTCCAGTGCAATTGTGTGAACGTGGCCATTGATTGACCCCTGGGGAGAGGGAGAGGTCTGGCCAATAATGCGGCGTCTGGCCCCGAGCAAAAAAATGGGTCGATCCAGGTGGCTGGCCGGGCGGCGACCGGGGGCCACGACCTTCTAGATTTCCAGGGTCTTCTGTGTCTTCTGTGTCTACTGTCTGTTGACTTAGGCTTACGTTAGGTCTTGGGTATGTGTTATCCATGCTTGTCTGTCTCACTTTCCAATGGGCCTTGTCTGGTTGCATTCAGTTCATTCTGCCGATACCTGTGCGTGGCTCATGGGGGCATCGTCAAGATCGTTCACCCTCTTCGTCTGCAGCTTGCCTGGGGTGCTAGCCACCTCGGCAGAACCCGAAGCTCGCATTTATGGAGGCATCGTAACTAGAGCCGGGGGAGTTGTGATATCGTGACAAGAGACATTACATAACACCGTACAACCAACCGTCCAGCTCCCCTCATCAGAGCGGCCGCGCCGGCGTAAGGAACCCGGTACAGTCGCCAAACCCAACCCCACCGCCGCAGTTTGCTGTCATTCTGATCCCATCTCCATCCTGGAGATATGTGCTCTTTGCCCCGTCGGCGAGGGTGATCTCGACCCTGCCGCCCTTGGTCAGCTCCAAGAGGCAGCCGTGCTCATCGTCACCAACCCCAGAGACCGTGCCTGTGGCCAGTATATCTCCCGTATTCAAGTTGCAGCCATTGATGGTCTTCTGCACCACGAGATCTCTGAATGTCCAGTACATCCAGGACACGTTTGCCGTGCAGATCTTGGTTGACTTCCCGTCCCTGATGATCTCTGCCTCGAGCTTGATGTCGTAGCTCGGGTTCTCTTTCTTCTCGTGTAGGAACACCGAAACGGGATATTCCTTGGCCGGAGCTTTCGTAGCAAATGGCTCCAAAGCGTCCAGAGTCACCACCCAGGGAGATATCGAAGTTGCGAAGCTCTTTCCGTTCATGGGGCCGAGAGGAACCATCTCAAGGCCTTGGATATCTCGGGCTGTTGAAACGAAGTCAGTGACGGAGCAGGTGGAAATAGATCATTAGTCCCACTTACCACTCCAGTCGTTCAGTAAGACTAGACCGAATATGTGGTCATCGGCGTCCTCCAGCTTCACGCTGTCGCCCATTTTCGTCGGCTTTCCAATGATGGCAGCAAACTCCAGCTCATAATCCATGGCCCTGCTCGCACCATATTCGATGGTTTCACCGGCGCGATAGACGCCGTTGGGTCTCTGCACCGGCGTGCCAGACACCACCACAGTCGATGAAGTGCCCGCATAGCCAACTGGATAGTGCAGAAAGCCAGGGGGGAGATTGCGTTTGCCAAAGACAGCCTCTCCCGCGTTCAGCACGTGCTCCTTGGAGCAGGAGAAGTCTGTGAAGCCGGCCACGGCGATGGGCAGGTGGAGCACGACATCCTCCAGTTTGAATCCGTGCTTCTCAACCACCGACGAGTCCGAGAGGGCCGATCGCAGCTTTTCCCTGATCTGTTGCAGCTCGGATTTGCTGAGGGCAGCTAGGCTGTTGAGCGTAGGCTACGTAGTCCGTATTAGAAAGCTTCTTCTTCAGACACCTGTGAGGCCAAGCAAACCTGAGAAAACGCTGCGGCGGCCTGGTCCGACACATCCAGCGTGAGATCGGCCAGAAATACTACTTTGTCTTCAAGCCGAGTGACCACTGCGCTCTCCCGGTGGGCACCAGTCGTCGTGCTTGCGATGCCATACGGCAGATTAGCGATAGAGAAGTGATCCGAGTATGACATATTTTGTTTTACTTGTCTTCACGATGGATTGACTTCCCTTCGCTGCATGTATGTCGTGGATCATATTTCCAACTGTCCTCTCTATGTCAAAACCCCAACTATACAGCATCTATTCACTGCGTTCGGGGGTCGGGGTCTGCTGTGCCGGGGTGCCCCGCCCCCGCTGATCCGGTACTTATAGCCGGCTCGACCCCAACCCTCCCCCAGGGTTGCAATCTCGGGGGTCAGTTATCGCGTCGGTTGGGATTCCGAAGTCTCGACCAATATGGGCTTGAGAGCGCCCCGGAGCTGAATGGCGCAAATTCCCAGGTATCCATCAAGAGCCTGACACTGGCGGCGTACTTATGTCCTCGTAATCATGAATGGTACAAGTTCACCAGCGCAGAAAAGCTGTGCAATGTCTATGTTTCGCGATACTACCTGTCTACGCTTGATATAATAGGTTCAGTGAGAAGGAGGAGAACTTCCTGGTGATTTGTACGCATCGATCTAGTGCTCGATCGCCTATGGTGGTGATACGAGCTGTCATCCCAAATGTACACACTGACGCCGCGTCCCTGGGCTTTGAAACACTCACCAGAAAAGTCCGCTGAGTGTTGGTACCAGTATTACGAGGCCATCAGCATAGCAAGAACGTGCACTTTTAGTCGGAGAGTTACTTCAAAATGCAGTATTTTTTTCAATTGTATGATCTAACGCTACCACCAAGATATGTCCGTCTTGTCTTGTCCATTCTCTGGTACTTTATTTGGGAGGGATGACGGGGAGGGTAACGTAGTTCTCCAGACCTTCACCGAAGTGAATGTGGTTCTGGCCGGCAAACTTGGCGGTTGTCCTGCATCAGATTAGTCTCAGTCTCACAGATTGCGTTAAGGAATAATGGCTTACCTGTCTGTCTCGGAGACGTGCTGGAAGATACCAGAGCCCTGGGTATCGCCACTGGCGACCTCAAACACCAGCTTGCCGCCCTTCTCAACGACCACGTTCGACGGCCAGACCTCGATATCCACGCCGTAGACCTCGCCAGCCTTGACCGGCAGCACATCGGTTGAGAAATACTCGCGGTGCGGCAGGTAAGGTCGGTTCTTCGGGTGATCCGTGTGCACCTTTCGGAAGCTTGCTCGCAGCCATCCCTTGGTAAGTGGCACTGGGTCACCTGCTGTACCAGTGTAGTGGATTTCCTTGCCGTTGGGGCCCAGGTGCCTGAGAGTCACGAAGAGATCGATGTCCTTCTCGCCGGCTGCCTCCTCGGGAGTCAACGAGACGTTGAGGTGGGCAGTGATGTGGCCAGTTATCTCAGTCTCCTGCTCAAAAGCCGGCGTGGTGAACTGAACGAGCTCGGGCTTCTCCAAAGTTCCCAAAGCCTTGTATGAAATAACCTTTGAAGCTGTGGCAGAGGGCTTGTCCTTAACGAGGGTCTGGTCGGGGGTCAGGTAGAAGTTGGTGTACTGAGTTCTGGGGATCGGCCAGGCCTCCTCGTCTCTCTTGGGGTATGCCTTCTCCTTTTCAGCGTCGTTGAAGCCGACGTCTCCCTTTCGGAGAGTGACGGTGACTGGCGCAACCTTTCCAGGCTGGCTCCAGCCAACTCGGTCATCTCCCTTCAAGAAGGCATCCAAGAAACTCTTTTGGACCTCAACCTCCTCCTTGTAGTAAAATGGCAGGTCGTGACGACCAGTGATGAATCGCAGGTACTTGAACTTGGAACCAGCGTGGTTGTAGCCCTCCACATTTCCACGTAAGTGTAGCAGGATACCACCCCAGTTGGCAACACTGAGGAGAGGCACCTCGATGTCCTCGAGGTTGAACTCCTTGCTGGCATAGTAATCATCGTCTCTGAACTTGTATTTCGCGTTGTCAATAGTCTGGTCCTGACGGTTCTTGGCCAGAACATCTTCTGGCAGGTCACCCTCGATCGTATCCTCCTGTCCTCGTGCACCAGGGCCATCAGGGGGGAAGGTCAACTTGGACCTTCCAGGCTTTCCATACTGGTTTACAAGGACTTGGCGGTTCCACCAGAATCCGATAAATTTGTTTGACAGAATACCGCCATGCTGGCAGCGGTCCCGGTAGTAGTCGGACATGCCCTCCCTTTTCATGATTGATTAGCAACAATTCCGATCAACGCCGGTGTGAATACCAGAAACGTACCAAGGGATAATGGCGGCCAAGCCCTTGGGCCGTCTGGCGGCCACTCGCCATTGGGTGCCTGCATAGTACGAGATTCCCAACAAGCCAACCTTTCCGGAGCTCCATGGCTGCTCCGCCGCCCATTCAACAACGTCGAAGAAGCACTCGCTGGTGCCCTTGCTCATGGTATCCAAGAACCCAGGGCTCTGGCCAAGGCCGCGCTCGTCTGCACGGACAACGGCATAGCCCTGCCGCGTCCAGTACACCGGGTCAGGCGTCTCCCATGCGCTGTATTTGGAGCGGTGCTCAGGGTTGACCTCGTTAAAGGAGCCATTGTAAAACGTCTCGTAGGGGATATCCTTGCCATACGGCCCGTACGTGACCAGCACAGGAAACTTGTCGCCAGAGTTGGCCGAGAGCGGCAGGTAAACGTTGGCACGGATGGGGAGAGACGAGGCCTTCAGCGGGATCGACACATTCTTGTGGAAGATGAGCGAGTTTTCCTTGTCCTCAACAACGGACAAGATGTCGCGGATCTGGGGGGTCTGCACTTCCATTTTGGCGGCTGGGGGAAGCGTGTGTAAGTGGGTTATCGCGACGCTTCGTACTACGTGATCCCTCGAATTGCGAGTACTTCTCAAGGCGCAAGGAAGGAAAGTCAAGAGTCTGGATACATATGAGGGCAAGAAAAGGAACGCTCGTGACATGGATCTCCTCACTATTGTCTCAGATGCGTTGCTCATAGTCTGTACGGATCTCGCAACTCCCCTCATCGAGGCTTCCGGATGGCAAGTGGGGGAGGGGCTCCTAATTGCCGGTCAGGGTCCTCGGCGCTGTCGGCGCGCTGGTCGGACTTACAGCTGCAAGCGAAGCGAAGCCATGGTTCACCATGGTTCACCATGGGTTTCTTCCAAATTAGCGTCTTAGGTCATCAATGCGCCTTTGCCACAGGAGGCTGGAGGGTTTGGTCGTCGCAGTTGTTTACTTAACTACATAGATACGCAGCCTCTTTATTTAGAGTTGCGCGATCAGAAAGTAAGTATGTACCTGTAGATAGGGCTGGCTGTGCTTGAAGAGTGTCGCCGAATGCTCACATAAGCTTCAAATGCGAATTGCAATCGTGTGAAGTTGTTGATTGACGTCAAATATAATGAAAACAGTTGCGACTCGATGCGCCCTACATATACAAATATGTACCAGAATGATGCTCGCTCGCTTTGGCACAGCGCCTCCCGTAAGATGTTTGCAAAGCAGCAACCTTAGAACTCTCCTCCAACTTTCCACCTCCAGACTGTGTTGGTGACCTTGCCGGCCGTTGACCTCCATAGCCAATTAGCCGTCTAACGAGTCCACAAAGTTAGCCACCTGCCCGTTCTACCGCTGCCGCTCACCATAGAATTGAATCACTTACACCAGTGAGCCAGACGCCGTTGAGCATCAGAAAAACAAAGCCCGTCTCAACGCCATTCGAGCCGTAAGGTCGCTGTGCGAAGTCTAGCTGAGTGTTGACGGGTCGATAGTTGGGCACGCCGCGATGCGCGTTGTCCCAGCCGACGGGGTTGTCGACGGGCGGAGGTTGGTGGTCTGTCAATGGCACCCAGACATGTCGCGGCGGCAGGTCTTGCTCGCCTGTGAGGTGGATCTCGTAGTCCTGGAGCGTTTCGCTGATGGTTGAGGTCACCGGGTTGTCTGTCGTGGTTACCGACATCTTCAAAGACTAAGCGTGCGGAATGTCGCCTGAGTTCAGAGGAGGATTGGGGAGGAGGAGAGTGTGCGATGGCTGGCGACTTTGGGCGTCGAGGTCGAAGGCCGAGAATGTGCAGTTACAAGCAGAGCAAGGCAAGCCGGCGAGCTTCCTTGGCCAGATGGTGGCATTACTATGCCCATGCCGGATTGGGCGGACTGACGGGCACCGGAGGAGTGAGACCTGCCGCGAACCAGAGTCGACTGATCACTGATCATCCCCGACGATACCCTCGGATTGGGCCCGTGGCAAGGATCCCGCGGGTCCAGTTCTGTACCATAGCAGCCCCAGGCCCCCTGGCGCACGTTGACTCCACACCCCACTTGCCGAAGCGCATATCCCAGCTTAAGCTTCTCGTGTTTGAACTTTGGGGTAACCGGCAATATTTTGGAGTGGGTTTTCCGAGATAGCTTTCCCAAGGTGTTTCCAACGTTTGCTGGGCAAGAACGAGTTATTGTAACTACTGTAGACTCTTCAGCTGCGGGACAACTGTCTGTATTGTTTTTGCCTCTCTCTGTGTTGCCAATCGACACTGCAGACTCACCCGACGACTTACAACCGACGAGCTGGTATAGCCCAATCACTAGCCAAGATGGCCGCTCAAGACATCGCCATCGAGAGACTGCAGATGGCAGTGGTTGATGGCCGAACGGACAACATTCGGTATCGCCAGAACCAGCTCCAGAGCCTCCATGCAGCTCTGCGCAACGATGCTGGCACCATCGCCAGTGCGCTCGCCGCCGATTCACAAGCTTCTTCCGCAGAGGTCGAGGCGGAATACTACTTGGCCATGAACTCTGTCCAGCACTTCTATGACTCCCTAGTTTTCAAGGACGAGCACGAGAAGGAATACCAAGTCACCCACGGAAAGGACAACGCAACGCGCAGGCTCGGCGTCGGCCTGGTCGTCATTCGCCCGACAAGCCACACCAGATTCTACTCCATTGTCACTCCCTTAGCTGCTGCTATAAGTGCCGGTAACTGCGTGGTGTTAGAGGTGAGCCGAGCTTGAAATACACTTCGCAGACCGAGACACTAATGCATGCGAATAGCTCGCAGACACTCTGTTGCAAGTAGATGCAGTGTTGCGCAAGATCCTCCCGGCCACATTGGACCTCAACACGTTCTACTTGAGCAAGACAATCAACGACTCGTCTATACTCGACGCGGCGTTGCTTGTAGACCAGACCAGCGGTGCATCTTCAACTAGTCTCACGAACCAGCTCCTCTCCTCATCTGCAACCCGCACAGTTGCCGTGGTAGACCGCACCGCAGACATCCAGCTAGCGGCAAAGGCCATCACGAACGCGAGGTTCAGCTTCGGCGGTACATCGCCCTATGCCCCCGACTTGGTCTTGGTGAACGAGTTCGTCAAACAAGAGTTTTTCGAGGCGTGCTCGAAGTATGCAACCCTGGCTTTCGCCAAGGAGGCCAGCGTGAAGAGGGTCAGCGGCAACTTGAACGAGGCGACTCGCAAGGCTGTCAAGGAGGCAGAGGACAAGAAGCAGGTGTCGAGCTTTGGCTCGAACGACTTCAAGCTGGTTGATGTGCTGGATAGGTAAGAGGAAGGGACGCAATCACTTTCGATGCACAAACTAACACCTTTTTCTACCTCAAAGGTCATCATCTCTCACGAAGCGGAAGATCAGCGGCCGATACCTCCCCATTGCCAGTGTCTCGGGTCTGGTCGATGCCATCTTCACCGAACAGTTCGAGTAAGTCTAGCATGTTCAGTCGCATACGCGGCCCCCTTTCTCCCCTCACCATGCTAATGCGCTATAGGAACCCGCTGTTGGCCGGCTACTTCTTCGCTGATCCGGCGGCCGCTAAATACCTAGCCCAGCACCTGCCCTGCCACGTGTCGAGCATCAACCAGATTCCCGTCCAGCTGCTCGTCGGCCCAGCTGCGCCAATTGCGCACGACGCCGACTTTTATTACCGCTACAGCAAGGACATGTTCTCTGCGGCGAGACCGCAGTTCATCGAGCCCCTGCCCGAGACGTTTGCCAAGGTCGAGGAGCTGCTGTCCGGCTCGAAGAAGACGTCTACCTCTGCCGTCCGCGCCTTGGCAGTCAAGCCACTCAAGCCAACTGGGCAGCCCGGGAACGCCCAGCTCGGTTTCTTCGAAGCTGGATTCCTCACCATGGCCGGCATCACCTTCTTTGGCGTGCTCCCAGTCCTCGGTTACAGCTCTTGGATCGCTGCAAGGAAAGGGCTGGAATTGGCTATGCGATGGAGACATTGACAACTCTAAGAGTGTTTCATTTGTTACTAGAAAGCGCTGCGAGCATGTATACTACGTGTGTTACGTGGGTGAAGACTGTCTAATCGAGCAATTCCACATCTGCACTCCAGATTCACATTCCAGAGCCACATGACTAGTGCGATATGCCCATGTGACCTTGAAACTGAACTAACTCATTCACACACTAGATGCGCAAGGTCTGGAGCCCATCATCGTCGCGTTCCTGAAGCTCTTAGTTGCGTGGTATCGTCGAAGCACTAATTTCGTATCTGGAGATCTGGATGCCCAAATCTCTGGATACGGAAAACTCAAAATGCGACTCTGTGTGGTTGTGAGATTATCCGTTGCGATAGAGTTCACTGCATTATCGCAATCTTCAAAGAGACTTTCCGGCCCATCCGGGACATTGCTTACCCGCCAGTGGACAATCAGTCGCAGAGCGCCCGGGAAATCCGCCCAGACACAACATGGTTTGATGACCCAGACCAGACCATAGTCAGCCCAGAGCCCACCAGGGGTGGGTGCGGGCGCCATGTAAATGCCGGTGCCAGGTCGGGCGGCGCGGGGACCGGCACGGCAGTGGGGGAGCGGCAAACAAGCCGGGCGCCCACCTCGACCCGAGGGCATGTGTGACCCATACCAAGTGGAACTGGGGCAACACGATGGCGACTGGGGTAGCTCGACCTCACTCTTGTAGTAAAGCATCCAATCTACCAACTCGGGCGCGGACGATACGGCACCAAATTTTGCTATCTGTCGACTTGCGGTCAAGTACCTGGGTCTCTCTGTATAGTCTTCCCACAGCTTCATTTACTTCCATCCCATCGCTTGCCGCTATCACATCACCTGAGATTTGACGGTATAGCTATACTCACACACACCTCTCAACGATGGCCGTGGGAAGGAAAGATGAGCCTATGGCTCCTGTCCATCTCTTCTCGCATGGTTCTACCATGATGCTGGGCGAGGAGCACCAGTCGGCCAAGTACTGGGAAGAGTGCGGAAACCGTGCGCTGGAGAACGGTATTGAGCATGTGGTCATGATGGTAAGTAAAGCAGGAAACCCATGAGTGTGGTCACCGATTCTTCCGCCCCCGATATCTGTTCGACTGACACTAACAACTTGAACAGGGCGCACACTGGGCAACCTCGCTGCCCGGAGTCCTGATCTCGGCCAACCCCAAGCCCGACAAGTCGCCGGTGGCCTACGTGCACCCGTCCAAGTACAAGAACTACGCGCTGAACCCGGACCTCGACTACGTGCCGGTCGTGCAGTCGTACCTGGAGGCGGCCGGGATCCCGGCGCAGGCGGACCCCAAGTTCGACTGGATCCACGACACGTACCTGGTGCTGATCCGCATGTTCCCGCGGGGCTGCCCGCCCACGACGCTCATCAGCATGAACCACACGTACGACCCGCACTTCCACATGTCGGTCGGCGCCGCGCTGCGGCCGCTGCGCGCCCGCGAGCACAAGACGCTGTTCATCGGCTCGGGCGGCGCCGTGCACAACCTGTACCGCAACGTCTGGGGCCCCATGGTCAAGTACCGCGATAGCTTTGCCCAGCCGACGCCGCCCGAGGCCTGGGCCATGGAGTTCCGGCAGGAGATGATCTCCGCCCTGTGCCCTGGCCACGAGGAGGTCATTCCCGCGGGCGAGGCGACGCCGGGGACTTTGATCAGGAGCACCAAGGGCGCCGGAGGCCCGCTGCTGCGGAGGAAAGTGACGAGCTTGATGAAGCACCCGCTGTACAGGGAGGCACACGCCACGGATGATCATTTCATGGCTGCCATGTTCGTAGCTGGCTTGTGTGGCTCCAAGGGCGATGAGAACATGCCCGGCGAGATGGGAGCCGAAGATTGGGAGCTGACCAACATGGTCAACTCGCAGTTTACTTTAGGCGCATGGGTTGAGGCCAAAGCTTAGTTTGTCCAGGATAGTTGAGAGCGTTCCGGTCGTTTCTGTATCAGTACTAGCAAAGCACGTATGTATTTGTTTGCTATAGCCTTGTGATAGCAATGCCTTTCCCCCATGGTATCTGTTAAAACCTAGAAACACCTAGATGAAACCCGTCTTCTTTCTAGAAATTTGTTACCCATCGTGTCGAGATCAGAGCATGCTACTCCATTGATCAATGTTGAAGTCCGCACCATTACCGACACTACCCAAGGACCCGAATATATCATCGTCTCCAAGGCCAAGCCCACCGTCAGCGGACATGTCCAGGCCCAGGTCTGGAGGGCCTGCACCGAGATCGAGATCCATGGTGGTGTCGTCTGCTACCATACTGTCGCCTTGGGCTGCGGCGATTGCATCGTCCAGAGAGGCAGCTGCGTTTCCGTCTAGGTCCAGACCTAGGTCGTTTTGTTGGATCATTGCGGGAGCCTGAGGCATCACCATTTGAGCCTCAACTCTCCTGTAGAGGCGAACGACGTGTTCAGCCATGATAGGGTCAAACTTCTGGATTTTCTTGCAATCCTCGGCCTCCCATCTCAACATCTGGCGAAGGCTGATTCTTGTCTGCACGTGTGAGACCTGCTGGCTAGGATCACCAAGGAGTGGTAGCGACGGTGGAGCTGGATTCGTCACATCTGGTGCACAGATAAGTGCCACGGCGATGTCGTAGACGACGCTGTCGTTGGCTGCATCGGTCACTTGCTTGACTTCATCAAGGATCAACTCCAACAGCCTTCTAGGACCTAGAAGCTTGCTTGCCACGATAATCTGACGGTGTGTGTACGATTGAGGCATGACATTTACACCAGGGTGCGACCCCCATTGTACAAGTCCTTGGATCGTATGCCGCACGGAAGCAACCATCCCTGGCGAGCTTGTCCACGTCTCAAATTCTTTGTGATCAGCACCAGCTGTTCTAGGGGGCACTTGAGTGTTGTCTCGTATTGCCTTCAGCAAAGGCTCGATCTCCTGATTTTTAGGGTCCTGTCTTTGGTGCGACCGCAGGGCGTGCTCCAGCGGGCTTGCCACTATCGTAATAACGGCTGATAGCATTGTCTGGGCCTCACTAGAACCCTGTTTTGTCAGGAGAATGAGTTGCAAGATCCGAATGACTGCCTTAGGCTCAGTTGTTCTACTAGTCCTCAAGTGGTTGGACAGAAACGTGATCGCCATGACGAGAGAAGGCAACAGGAATGTATCCACAAGATCTGTGTTGAGTCAGCTTCCAATTCCTGCCCAGACGGATGGATATCCTTACATTCGACACCGCTCTTCAGACTATCTTCAGTGAGCCTGTCAGTGCTGAAAGCCAGCACAGTTTGGTGGAACAGAGTGGAAACGAGGAGATAGAAGTCTTGAGGCGGGCAAGACGACATCAGTTCATCTCCAAGCCCACCGCTCTCGGGGTCGAAGAGACCTTGGATCCACCCCCCTATGTGGCCCTTTTCCTGCTCTGTTAACTCCTCGAAAATCTTGTGCATGTGTCCCGTGCTCAGAAGCTTCGCAACAAAAGAGTCGGAAGACCTCACCCCAAGGTCTGCGACACTCAGGCCATAACGATGGACGAAAGCTAAGACCAGGAGCAGGATGGAACCGAACTCCTCATACAATGGTTGGTATTCGCCTTGATCCTCGTCATATCGCCATGTATCCAGTAACTCGCAAAGCGGCTGCAGTATGGTGATCGGCTTCTCAAAGAGCAGAATCACATCCAGAGACAGCGGCTTTTTAGCAAGCTGGCTGCATAAAAGCTTCAGTGTCATTGTCTCTTTGTTGCCGCAAAGACGCGCAATCACCTTTGGATGTCAGTACTAGAAATAGGACCACGATGGACAGGAACGTATACCTCAGTCAGGGCTTGGCAGACAGGCCCCACGTTGCCATCCATTTTGTCAAGCTCGCCGATGAGACCTTGGATCCTCTCAGGATCAGCCATGCATTCATTGACTAGTGTGTCCTTAACATATCGGCCGCCTTCTGGAAGAGTTTGATACGTTATTTCGCCTAGCAGGGTCTCGATCGCCGACTCAGGAATCAACCCGTGCAGGCAGCAAGCGAAACAAAATTCTTGGCGAACACTGTCTGTAAACGTATTGTTGCTGCTAGAAACATCAAACATGGCCGAAAGCGTCGGGAAAGCATTAGTATCGACTTGGCTCAATGCCAGTGTGATGCATTGCTGCGGCGTTGCTGGTGGGAAAAGCGACTGTGCTAAGGTCGAGAGAAGTACTGGTAACTTATTGATGAGGTACGACCGTAAAAGGTGCCCTGTTTTGGGACCCTCGTTTCGGAATACCGCGTTGGCAAGCACATCGAATGACGCCAGAATTAGATCTATGAAACAACTCTGTATATCAACCTACACCGCTTGTTAGGAAACTGTCTGAAAGCGCAAGTCCTTGGGCTTACGTTGTAGCGGTTATGCAAATAACTGTATATGGTAGCGTCGTCTATGAGTGGACGACCAACGAGCTATCCCGAATTAGTCAAAGTGATATCAAGGCCCCCCGTGTTGAGTATAACTCACCGAAGCATTCAAATAAATATACAGGCCTGCCCGCGTATTTATGATGGGCAATTCGGCGACGGGGAAGTTCTCAAGGCCCAATGCAGAGTCGATGAGATCGTCGAATTCAGCTTTGGCGGCCTGGCTTTTCTTATCAAGCGGCTCGAAAGCAGCGAGTGTATTTGTGCGGAAGCCCTCAAGCTTGTCGGCTATTTGGGAAGCACTCTCCATGATTGAAGGGATGAAGCTGCCGAGACTCTCGGACAAGGCCTTTCTTGCCTCTGTAGAGACTTATGTCAGCTAAGGGTGTCTTTGCTACTCAACGCCACATCATGCTCACGAACCTTTTGCAGAGGAGCTGCCCAGCGCTCTCAGAACCGTCTGGTTATCAGATATCCCCAGAAGCAGCATGACGAAGGCAGCCCGCGATGCCTCCATGTCATTCCTAGATTGCGCGCTATGCACTTCGGCCATGACATCCTGGGCGAACGCCGCCGCGGCCAAGGCGAACAGGGCCATCCATTGGGCCATGATCTTGCATGTCGCTATAGCATCCCCGACAGACTTGATGCCGGTGCCAAGCCCCACCGCCTTGGTGATGCGGTAGAAGATAGTCTCCTCCTGCCCGTACGAGCTCTTCCATCTTAAGTTGCCGCTGGCGTGGGGATCTTGGCTGACGGCGTGACCAACGGCTTCTGCAGGGGTGTGAGCCGTGGAATACTTGTACAGGGCCCTCAGGATGGAAGGGGTGTCGATGAGCTTCTTGTCGGTCAGGACCTGTATATATCGAGGAACGCGAGGATCGAGGCTCTCGTGGTTGGCGCGCTGTGGTCGCAGGAAGATGTCGGCGATGGTCGCGGGAGGTAGGGAGTGTTTCGAATGTAGAACAGTCACGTATGTTGCAAAGGGCTCGGGGTCCAGGCGCTGCAGGATACATTGGGCGAGAAACTCGATCCATTCCTCCACTGCCTGTTTTTGGTCGCGAGCTCGGCCAGCTCCCTCGATGCCGCTGCCGCCGTCCACGTCCAAGTCCATGTCCATTGCAATCTGGGGTCGTGAGCTTCACGCAGAAGCTACATCAGGGTGGACTAGCCGCGAATGGCAATTGTTTGTCCCGTGGGCACCTTGGCTCAGGAAAGCAAGCCAGAGCAAAGCAAGGCAGCCGTATGGGTTGTCCGAGGCTGTGGGTGTGCAGCTTTCGACGCCGAACCCCGCGAGGCTGAAGAGCTACCTTGCTTCCTTGCTTCCTTGCTTCCTTGCTTTACCTATTTCACCTACTTGCAGGTTAGTAGTTGGCTGATAAGGTAGGCTACCTAACTACCTCAATCCCCGTGCTGAGAAACATTGGACCGGGGCGAGTGGGCACTGAGCCAGCCAGGCCAGCGGCGCGTGCGGGCGCCTCAACGCCTGGCTGCCGACCCTGGACGCGTCCTGGCGCTAAGGACCGCGGCGGCGGGGGCCTAGCCCCCCCGCCGGCCAAGCCTTCTCCACGATCACTCCAAGGTGCGGGAGCTGTGGCGTTCAGGGTCTAACCTAACCATGTAGCCTCAAGCAATGTATGTACTCTGCAGGCCGTCTAGCTTGTCATCTGAGACTCAATGATTCGATGCTAGCGAGATCTAGATTTCCGGTTTCCTGGGTCAGCCATTCACCAATGCACGTCAGCCGGGTTAGCCGGGCTATGACGCTCAAGAGCTCTCTTCACAGTATTGTATTCCCTTTGCCCGCATATCGAGAGATTTCAAGAGACAATATGTCTGTTGATACAGCCGCCTTGAATTGAACTAGGCCCGTAGACATTCCATCCGTCGGGGAATCAAGCTGATATATGAGGGCCTTTTGGAACTATCTACACAACAGGGAATCGCCAGAAAATAGCTGGCAGTGGAGTTGACTGGCCAGGAAAATGCTCTTGGGCGTGACCACGGCGTATTCAAGTACACGGCAGCCGTCCCAAGCCGGGTCCACATTGCAAAGGAAGTATCCATGAAGCATCCACATGGCCGCGTTCCGCATCCATCAAGCATCTAGTCTCTTCAAGGGACTTGCTTTCCCTGACGCCACTGCAAGTCCATGTTTAGGGCGGAGAATAATATCACTGCCTGGTGGACTGCCTGGTGGACTGCCTCTGAGAGTAACTATGGATGCTCCTGGGACTGCAGGGACTAGCTCTGACCGATCATCTGTCATCCGACTTCGTGATAATGTCTGTGGCTCTCGTCGGGAGATTCCTGCTTGAGATCCACCCCAAGATTTCTCTCATCGTCGTGCTCGATTGATCTTGGTCCTATCACTGTAATTGTAGTTAGCGATTTGCTCCTTGGGCCCAAGTGTGACGGTTGCTTGTTCAAACGTTTGGGGGCTGGGAGACCCAGACGGGGGAGAAAACCCGTAAAATTTACTCACTCCAGTCCTGCATGGCCAGCCACTCGCTCCAGTTGGATTCTGCGCTGACTATCTCGCGCTCACTGACATTCTGCAGTGGGCGAAGGAATGGGGTTGTCTGCCCCCCTTCCATGTCGTAGTGGCGTTTGACGTCTAACCAACTCCCGCTTTTCGCTGCAAACAAGTAATTACGACGCTCGATTTCGTGAAGGTGTCCAATGCCGGCAGCCCAGTCGTCACCGAAGAAGCCGTGTAACACTCCCGGATAGTCAAATCCTGTTGCTACAAGCCGTCGAATATAGGGAGTCAAAGTGGCAACACTGTTTGACGTGGTCGGCAGAGGCAGTGCGCCTGTGCTTCGTACCGAAGGAGACGGCACAGCTGAAGGTGAACCGCCTGATCGTGACGAGAGAACGGGGCTGTGAGCTCTCTGGTGTGGCAGTTGAATATTGACAAACGCCGCCACGGCTTGTACAGGTCCACTATACTGGGCGTGATCTAGGAAGTACCGCAGACAAGATTGAAAGCGAGGAAACCACTCAAAAAGGTCGAACTGGTCGTCTTGCAGCCCGAGCATCGGGCTGGGATAGTTGAAGTCTGACCCGAACCCTCCTCGCGGTGGTTGAGCCCCAGACGGTGATGGCTGGGGCGATGCCCGGGACTGGGGTTGTTGAAAGGACATGGGGAACGAGGACGGCCCACCTCCCCCGGCGTGGTACGGAAAGGCCATCTCTGGTGGACGTTGCGTTTGTCGATAGTTGTTTCCGCTATGGCCGAAGTGTTCTCGAGACACGGTTGACGGCCGGGCTATATTCTTGCTTGTCAATAGAGCTCAATTGGAGCCGCCCTCGCTGTGTCTAATAACACCTGAGGGGCTCTGAACGTGGGCACGTTAGATCATGGTCCGGCCGACAAGGGGACGGGACGGGACGGGACGTAGGTCAAGCACTTACGATCATCAGCGTGCCAGCGATTATCCTTTGGGGGGCCGCATTAATTCGGTGTTCGGTAGTACTCCAGACAAGACCCACCGTCCTGGAAAGATGGCAGTGCAGTGGGAGGTGTGTGAAGTTGGAGGAAGCCCACGAGGCTTTAATACCTTTTGGTGGTGGACGAATGATGGGATACCCTTCTTACTTGTTGTCATTCCCGTTTAGTCTAGATCAGTCTACTGAAGGGAGAACCGGTACACCAGCCCAGCATTGGTTTTACAGAAGTCAAAAAGAGACGTAACCAGGTCACCAAAGATGCTTGCAGGGATAAGCCGACACTAGACAGCTGAGGCTAGAAGCCGCCGCCTGTATGGGTCTGCCCGTCCGCCACTGAGCAGCACTCTGTTCAACAACTGCAACTGGTCGTAGGGAACGACGATCGTGTCCAGTTGCCGCAGCGGGTTGGCCAAATGTTAAAGCGAACCTCAGAGAACAGCCCGAGATTGACAGGAGCCGTGGCTTCATTATATCCTATGGGTTCCCTGCGGACAGTCATCACAGCTTGACCAACTGTGGGAGCGGAGAGTTGCTTATTCCATATCGCATTCCGTTCATGAAGGGGGCAGAGGGTCTGAGTGCACCTGACGATGCCCAGGTGTGCAGTGATGGGCTCTTGGAAGCTTCGGTATGGGACGCTAGTGTCAAGAACGAGCGTACAGAAAGTCATGAAGCAACCAGCTTGGTTCAGACGAACATCAAACATGAATACATCCAGGTAGGTACCTCCCCAGCCCGAGATAGGACGACCCTCGAAGCGAAGCTGGACGCGATCCACTGGATCGTCTGGTTCCCATGCCACGAAAAAGGACTCTTGCAGGCATTCCAAGACCTGGCTGCAGCGTGTAAGTGGTGAACTGCGATCAGGTAAAAGCAGGTCAAAGTTGGCGCCGGCATTATGAAGCGGGCGGCGGAAGCGAGGGCGGAATGGGAGACAGCAGATAAACCAGATCGACCTGCCGCCGAGTACTCATTCCGTACTATGGTAGGCCGTGATGATCTCCCAGCCAGGCAAGTCAGCAGCCGGGGATGGGGCTCTTGATGCTCTGTAGCCCGGGCAGCTACCTAGGTCGCTAGGCTGGCGGGCGCAGCCGAGTTGCCTATCATCGCGTGATGTGGCGGCCTCGATCGGCGTCTCTTAGAAACCCTCCCAATGCGTCCTTACCATAGTAACTAGGTGTCATTACCTCCTTGCTGCGGTTGGCCATGCACGGCAGACGAAGCGAGACAGTACCTGTCCAGCACCGGAAGGGCGAGTTGCGACTTGCGACTTTTCCGCGGCTCGATACACACAAATCATGTTGCAGCTGAGCGCCACAGATCTAGGCCCGCTCAGGTTTGCAGGCCTCCAGCAACGTGGGATTTAGGCCCTGCACGTAATCGCCGGGGTTTGCTTTTTCCAGCAAACGACACATCTGATTTGCTTCGCCGTTGACACTGACTCGGGTCAATTCCGAACTGGCAGAGTATTGCCTTCTGCAGCTTCTGTCGGTCTGCTACCGCCGTTTGAGCATGTCTGTCTGGGGCGCAGCGCTGTGCTCTCATCAGGTACCTGAACCCAATGCGCCTGGCCACCATGCTGCTGCTGCTACATCGGACCAACAATCCCCTGCATTTCATATATAAAATACGTCGTCTGTGTGAATTTTGCCGCTCTGTAGACGAGCTTATTACTCCACGTCAATGTGCAGGTGCTTCCCAAGTCTCGGGCGCTCCGTAATCCTGCGATCCCTCACAGCCAACCATGCGGGAAAGTACTGGGGAAGAAGGTTGCCAGCATATAATCCAGAATCAATGAAAGATCTCAGATGGAATATTGTTGGACAGCCCACCAGGATCGACCTTTCTTGAGACAGTTGCATAGCAACAGTGATAGTGACGGCTCTCGATTTGGGACTCTGTTCCCCCTGATTGTCCAAGGATTTGACTTCAGAGGTCGGCTACGGAGGAGGCCGGCTAAGGGTTCAATTGGGACCTTGCATATCAAGGAAAGCAGGTCGACGATGATAATTCAGAGAAGTAATTGCTCAGCTTCCGATCCACCTTGTTCCGGCAGGGATTTGACAAGAAAATTTGGGTGACATCCAGAGATCTGGAACGTGTGGCTGCAGGGGATTCATACACTCTGGGCATGCTCGTTCAGCAACAATAGCCCCAGCTTGGCCGAATGTAACCCCCTTATACGCAAATTCCTCTGCATACCAGCATGCCTAGTGCTTTGCTATAGACAGGGATCAACTCCAAAGTTACGATACTGCGATTCACGTTCAGGTTTTATACGGAAGACATTGGCTACATAATTGCTTTGGCGATAACGGGACTGACGTTCATCGCCGCACTCTTGTTAGACATTACTTACGCCTCTATTACCTACGGAAGTAGGTAAGTAGATCTTTCCGATATGGGGTTCCATTGAACACAGCACTCCGTCTCTTCGAATAAGTGGATCTTCTTGAAAAAGAGCATAGACGCCACCGGTTAAGTCTGCCGGTCCTGGCTGCCTCCATGGTGGCCAAACCAAAGTGCCATGTGGCACGCCTTTCAGGAGCCATGTGCGGTAGGAAACCATAATATTGCCTAGCTCCTGGATCGATGCTGCCTGCGTTGCATTGCAAGTCTGCGGCGGCAGCTCATTGGGCAGCATTATGTTTCCCCGTTGCCGCCCGGAACGAAAACTCTACTAACTTTTACCTATTACCGCCTGCATTTCAGCACGGCAAGGTCCTTGATTTTGAGTACAGCTGCCTTAGATCACTCTAGGACCATTGAGCGCTGCACATGATGCTATCTCCCAAGTAGATTCATGGGCTGGTCACAGCCTCTTATGCAGTGCGAGTACGACAACAGCGCAGGTGCCTAGGACCGACCTGCTCTCAAGACCGGCCATGACCGAGAGAGTCTTGTGAGGCATCCGAACTTCCGGGCAGGTGGTGGTCGTTCTACACCACCCGAGCCCAGGACAGTAGAGATGGCTGTGCCAGTTTGCCACGTCAGCTACCCTATTCTGTGACTAAGGGTGGCAGATACACCTAGAGAACTGCGTTGTTACATATATCGACTTCACCGATCCGGCCCTACGGTGAAGGAGACCCGTCCACCCGCTGATGGTGGCACTCAGGAGATGCGCGTTGGTGTGAGCGCCCTGTGCCTGGCTGGTGCTACCTGTTTCTAAGCACCACTGGTTTAAGGAAAATGAGCCGCTCGCTCTGTCGAACGCCAAACTGAGACATCTAATGTTGCCAAAACTATCGAAAGGTGACCCGAAGAAACCATTGTACGTGGTACCGGCATTCAGCATACGTAAGCTTTGAGTACTTGCGATCTAGATCTGAGCCAGCCCCTTTCTGGACCTGGCTCTTTGTGCCATGTAACTGTGGGCTCTGACTTATCCTTCAGCGCTTCGACGAGGTGAAAATTGCGTCCCGTGAAGATGTGGCCACCATGTAACCTCAACCAGGTAAGCATATCAGATATATTAAGCTCGCGATTCACCTTTCGACAAGAATTCCCCAAACTCACGGAACTTCAGAGATTTATCGGAAAGCAGCATAAGATCGACAAATCAACACACAGAGTATCGACGGGACAAGGTCCTGCCCAAACCCCTTTGCTCTGAGTTACCAGCTCATCATGGCATGATGTTAACAAATCCTGCCGTCTTGATATGCCCGTTGCGAGTCGATTGCTAACGAGGAAGGCCTGGTAATCCATTAGACCTCAAGGAATATGTGCATACGCTCCGAGCATTAATCTTCGATTAATGCAGCATTACACGCATCATATGCAGTAGTCATTCCCCTACGAACGAGTGCTGGACCATTGCGCAGACAAATTTTCACGGTGGTCAAGGATGGTCTCCTGGTGGCTTGATAGAACCAAGGACATCGATAGAGATGCTTCCAGAACGCTGATTCGAGCTTTCACAACCCTAGATCTAAGAATCTCGCTATGATTTCCGATCTTTGAGATAGAGTAGGCCTGCATGGTTCCCGTCGATCGTGCATGAAAAGAAAAAGAAAGAAAAAATAGATGGGAATCTACGGCTCGCTTAGCGGGAAGGGCAACGGGGGTTGCGGTGAGCATCCCGTGCATCCTGCGACGGAGCCTCAGATATGTATAGGTCGCAAGCATTCCTGTACCCGGAAACCGGCAGCATATGCACCAGAACCCCGTTTGTCGGCGAGGGGCACGACATCGGGATGTGGCGCACCGTAGACACCGTGACACTCTGCCCAGCTGCTTGGTTACGTGTGACAGGTATGTTGGATGACAAAAGCAAATATATAGTATGTCCAAATTGTGACCCTGATCTTCGCGGGAGAGACCAAAGTCGCGAAACGCTGACTCGAGCCATCTAATGATAACCAAGAAGTACCAACTGCGTGTAACTGAAACAGTCATCCCCACCACTGGTTGAAAGGCCCCTTTCAACAATACCGCTTGGGTAGCTACGTTTCCGAAAAAAAGTGAACATTCTTAAATTTTACTTGAATTAGGCTGAGAATCAAAGGAAAAGACTTCAGCGTTAAGACTTCTGCATACGCAAGGAGAAGAATGCCGGTGGTTGATCACAATGAATGAGGTTGAACGGGTCAACCGTAATATCGGTATATCACCAAGCTGTAGAATGAATGAATGAGAATCAGCTGAGCATAAGTTCTATAGTCTTTCTATGCTGCTTCGGTATGATAAACAGAAATTGCACGGGGTGAAAGTGCTGCCATTTCTACGAAAATGAATCTACCTTGATGTTCGTTACTTCAATTGCATCAATTGAGAATCAGATTGGTATCGTTTCCTGATGTCTTGTTCGTGGCTCTACGTCGAACTGGCCACAAGCTACGCATCGACCACGATTATTATAGGGTCGGGTGAATCGTTGACGCATCAACATATAACTCGACTATTCGCCAGCTTAGGGGATCACGGTTAACATGTATGGCGGGCCAGTCACCAGAATGGCTCGTTCCTCCACCAGGAGAGATGAAAGCTTACTGTGCCGTTGGGTTATGACCAATGACTGCTAGATACCTAGTCTGCGCCTAGTTCCACTATCACATCTCTGGTTTCAATTCGGAAACAACTCTGATTGGCCAGCTCCTTTATGATCTGCAAGCGTGAAATACTGCCAAGGCCTAAAACTTCAGCTCGTCCAGCGAACTTTACTGTTAGTAGTTTAGTTCCTGTAGCTTGATGGCTGCGACTCCGCCAGGAGGATTTAGACCCTGAAAAAGGCTGAAGCCATCATGAGGATCATTAGTGATTAGAAGGCACAATGTGAGTAATCGCATTGTATTTTTGCAGCGAAAAAAGTCTGCAACAAGGCTGAAACGAGAGCAAAGAGCAGTATTTCTCCGCTTGCGATAGAGACGATCTTTATAGAATGACTGGGAATGCTCTGATGCTTACAGAGGGGCCTGTCTCCCGTTGGTGTGGAGCTATCACCAAGCTGAAAATAGATTGATGAGCATCAACTGGTGCCAGGTAGGCCGGCCCCGGCGATGCGGTCTGATCAATAAAACTCCTGGCGTAGTTCTCGGCTTGCCGAGTCTGGGCTTTCCTCGTTCTCCTCGACTCTTCAGCGTGCTTTTTGACCTCGAATGATGGTGTCTTCGATGTTGAGACTGTCGGTTATCAGCTGCGCCGTGGCCGTTGCGAATGCAAAATGGTTCAACGGCCGGGATGAACCACCAAGCTGGCAGCCGGCAGAGGAAACACAGGTGTCGCCAGATCTCGCGACGAATGGGTGGACGCCGAAACCGACACCAGCTCCCGGCGCTCGCTTCCTAGAGAGGGAGTTGGCTAAAAGAGCCAGTACTAATACTTGCGGTTACTATGCTGGGTATTCATCTTGTAAGTGAACTGTCGCTCAACCGCCATGCAGCACATCTGATGGGGAAACAGCTGCCGCTGTTATATGCCAGAACGCGGCCCAATGTATTGTTAATGACAGTGACATGGCAATGGGTTGTTGCAGATCGTCAGACATTCAAGACTGCCAGATAGCGACTGTCTGTATCGAGTCCGCTTCAGCTTCACGTTACACTGGTCTGGACAGTTACGCCATTTTCTGGTAAGTCAAGCTTATTCTTGTGGAATGACCAAGCAACAAAATGCTGAGTAAAGCTAGCACTTCGTCCGAATATCCCAGCTGTGTCACTTACTCTTACGACAACTTCGATCCGCTATACGCTGGATATAGTGCCCTGGGTTGCGGTGCGGAATCGGGCGTTTATTCTGTCGAATACTACCCGCCTGCATTAGGAAGTGCAGTGAGCGGCTCCAGTCGACGCACATCAAAGACATCGACTCGGACTTCTGCCTCTGTTCAAACCACAGGAGGATCATTAACTTCAAAGGGCAACGCGGGGGCGACTGGTAAATCATCAACCACCACAGGGTCTGCGACTGGTGCGGGCCAGACCACGTCGCCTACTGCGGAGCCAGCAGCTCAGCCCTCGGGTCCCAACACTGGGGCTATCGTCGGAGGCGTTGTTGGTGGCCTTGCTGGTCTTGCGTTGATCGTGACGGGCATCTTCCTCCTTGTGCGTCATTCGCAGAAGAACAAGGACGGCGGTGCGCCGCCACCGGGCCCTCCCGCGCAGACTACGAGCTACTACGCTCCGGGCCCTGGTCCGGATCAGTCAGTATATGGCCAGCCACCACCTATGGACCAGACTCAACATTACGCAGCTTATGCTCCAGCCGGGTTTGCCGCTGTAGATAATCGATCAAGCATGGCGCCATCCACATACTTTGCCCAGTCGCCAAAACCATCGCAATACGACAATAGCATCAGTGTCAGCCCGACAGGCAGTCCACCACCACAGAGTGTCGACAATGCCTACCAAGGCGCAATGGCGGGATACACACCACCTCCTGGAGGCCAGCAGCAGCCTCAGTATCAGGCCTACACTCCTCCCCCGGCCCAGCAGTACCAAGCTTACAACCCTCACACCGCCCATGCCCATGCCCATGAGTTGCCGACATCTCGGCCGGACGAGGAGTTACGCGAGCTTGCGTAACGTAGCTAGCTTCACATCCGCCTTAGAACGACATTCAATTGAGACATTCGCGTGCTAGTGCTAGAGGATCTCTGATGGATACAATATAGAAAACACTTAGACGGCGTTGGATTACCTCACTAATATCAAAGAGGGGATGGCTTCCGTTATGTCATTGGGCAAACATGAACTAATTATACCAGAATTATGTCAATAATGCCCAATATCCAAACTTGTGCAATATAGAATGTATGATACTGTTTTGTCGCGTTTTGCTAGCGACTTTGTCCTGCTAGAAAGTAAAGTTCTAGCCTGGGGCTTATCTGTATTAGGGGAACGATAGGAAGCCCAATCGGCGGATAGACTTTGTCAGCCCCCACATAGAGAGCCCATCGCGTCCTGATTCTTTGGAGTAGCAGCGGAACCTGCCTCTTTTCACAAATATACGTCCGGAACTATTATACATCCAAGATCAACATGGCCTCTTTGACTGCATTACCAGCTAACTTTGCCTTGGGACTGCAGTTGATAGACGATGCCCACGCCGAAGACCCGAGGACGACACTAAACGAGGATGGGAACACAAAACCTTATGAGTTGCACTACGCGTGCAAAATGACCAAATGGTTGGCAGCAAGATGCCCGGATGCATCACCAAGTCTACAGCTCGCCTGCCGCGCACAACACTTTAGAAGGTACGTGCTTCGTTTTCAGCTTGACAATTATGACTTAAAGCAGACACAGGTGGGAAATCCCCCGCAACTCATACCCAATGACTCGGCCGGGTTACTTGACCTGGCGGGCGAAGCAGAAGGCCCAGGCAGCGTCGCAGATCGCGGAACTCCTGGCGTCTTCCTCTATCAGCCCAGCGTTGCCGCAGGAAGAGATAGACAGGGTGGCAGCCTTGATTCGCAAGGAGGACCTGAAAAGCAACGAAGAGACACAGGTGCTGGAAGATGTTGCGTGCTTGGTGTTCCTAGACGATCAGTTTGACGACTTCGAGAAGAAAGAGGACATTGATGAGGAAAAGATTACAAGTATCCTCAGGAAGACATGGGCCAAGATGAGCTCCAAGGGTCAAGAACTGGCACTCGCAATGGACCACAGCGATCGGGCGAAGACGTTGATTGGCAAAGCATTGGCTCAATAAGCACGCAACGTTGACCCGGACCGGACTGGAGAACCCACCGTATCTCGGCAAGAAGTCCGGGCATCATCTTTTGGGGCAGCCAGCAGGGCAAGAAGCGAATAGCTTATAAAATCGCAATGTAAAACGAACCAATTTGAAGCGCTGTGATTACCCCTCAAACCTCGGCATTCTTTCCGCCGAGGGTTCGACTTACAGACGCTAGCGTGGAGGGAGCAATTCAGACTTATCTAGCAGTTGCTTACCCGCACTTGATGAGGCGATGGCGTATGGAAGGGTGGAAAGAGTTCAGTTCGAGTATACGCTGTTTCCCGAAGCACTTAGCTGAATCTCCGTCTTCACTTTTGCAAACATGGGAGCACGATATATCTCTGTGGAGGAGATATCCAGACACAATACCGTAGATGATTTATGGATTGTCGTTGACAACACAATCTACGACGTCACAGCTTTTGCACCTGATCATCCTGGAGGTGTGAACATCCTATTGAGATATGCAGGTCGGGATGCAACTGCGGCGTACTCGGAAGTCCACGCATCCTCCTTGATCAGAACAACTCTACCCACAGCCAGCCATATTGGTATCGTGGAAAAGAGCACCATTCCAGATGAATGGACAAACCCGCCGACCATCCCTCAACCGCAAAATCAGGTCGACACAACCAAACCGCCTTTGGAAAGCCTCATCTGCGCTTATGATTTCGAGCTGGCGGCAGAGCGAAGCTTCACACCAAAGGCATGGGCTTTTGCGTCATCGGCAGCCACAGACTGCTACACTAGGGACAGAAATCGGTCGGCATACAAAGATATTTCACTGCGCCCACGGATTCTAAGGAACGTAAAGACCGTGAATAGGAGCACGACGATGCTTGGCCAAAGTATGCGAAGTCCTGTCTTCTGCTCTGCGACGTCGATGGGCAAGATGTTCCATCCTGAAGGAGAGAGAGAAATTGCAAGAGCCTGTCAAAAGTTAGGGCTTCCCCAGATGGTATCGACAAGCTCTTCGTATCCATTCGCAGATGTAATGGATGCGCACAATGAGCATGTACCTGGACAAACTGAGACTACGCCAGTCTTTTTCCAGCTTTACATGGATAAGAACAGAGAGAAATCTGAGAAACTACTCGCGCACGTGAGAGAACTGGGCGCAAAGGCAATCTTTCTTACGGTCGATGCCCCGGTCACGGGTAAACGCGAGGCTGATGAAAGGGTAAAGGTTGACGAGAGCATCAGCTCCCCTATGACTGGCGTCCAGGCAAAGAATGATAAAAAGGGAGGCGCTCTCGGGCGCATCATGGGGAGCTTCATTGACCCTACTACGGTTTGGGAGGATATCGCATGGATTCGGGAGTGTGCTGCTGGGCTTCCAGTGGTACTGAAAGGAGTGCAGACTGCTTCCGATGCGGTCAAAGCTATGGAAGCTGGTGTCGACGGCATTCTGTTATCCAACCACGGTGGAAGAAGCCTTGACACAGCACCTGCAACGATACTGGTGCTTCTAGAACTGCAGAAATGTTGTCCTGAGATTTTTGACAAATTGGAAGTTTATGTAGATGGGGGCATCTCTAGGGGAACTGATATCTTCAAAGCTTTGTGCCTTGGAGCTAGGGCTGTGGGAATCGGCCGAGGGTTTCTCTACAGCTTGAATTACGGCAAGGAGGGTATAGAACACTTTGTTGACAGTAAGTTATTCTTTTGAAATTAGAAGACCGGGGTTGCTGACTGACAGCGCCAGTCCTGAACGACGAGCTTGAGACAACGATGCGCATGTGCGGCGTTACAGCTCTTGACCAGGTCCATCCTGGGCTCTTGAACACTGGCGCAGTTGATCACCTGATTCCCTCTGGAGAGGAGCATCCCTACGCTCGTTGGAGACCTACAATGAAGAGCAGGCTATGAGATCACTCCATCGTTCGCTGCCAGAGAAGCAAGTGCTCTTCATCGATGGTAGGCTGAACCCCTGAGTCGTGGGATATGTGGCTCGTCTCAAACTGTGATGCTGCAAGGCTTCACGAGAGTGAGATTTATTTTCCCACAGAGAGCTCGGCGCATCTCTGCACAACTACTTTGGGATGTGTCACGTATATGAAAAACCCCACCGTTGACCAAGAGACCACCGGCGAAGGAGATACGATTTCAAGGTGCCTTGAACAACAACGCCCGCAGTGGGCCACAGGTCATAAGAGAACAACGAATAATTCGTTTGTCCGTAAGAAAATTTTCTCGCTTCACCATCCCAGAAGTCCTCGTGTTCCTGGCCAAAGTTTTCAACCTTTCGATTAGGCGAGTCCTATTACAGCGCCACCCTCTGACGACATTACCACATTCAAGTGCAAATCAAGATGGCCTCTGACAACGACGGCGTGTACGTCGACGTCGGCAAGGACGACGCGCAGTGGACCCTGGATGAAGACGGCGCCATCTGCAAGCTCAAAAAGGACGGCGAGACGTGGGCCAATATCGGCAAGGCCATCAACCGGTCCAAGAGCGACGTGCAGAAGCGCTTCAAGCACATCAAGATCTGCATGGAGGCCGCCGGCCACGACCCCAACGTCATTGGCGAGAGCTGGGCCGAGGACATGCGGCGCGCCGGCAGGGAGATCCCGTCCCCGGACAAGCCCTCGCCGGCCAAGAAGCAGACGACGCCCCTGTCTCACGCGCCCCCATCTCCTGAGGTCGTCGAGATTGTGCGCCTCGAAGAGCCCGCGAGCGAATCTGTACGTGAGCGAGGCGGTGCGAGCAAGAACACCCACAAGAAGAAGCAACCGCAGCAGCATGAGAGGCCCGAGTCACCCAAGCTGACCGTCGCGACCAAGGTAGTCAAGAAGGGCGGCAAGAAGTTCCTCACGTTTGAGTCACCAATGATCCCACTACCCGAAACCTCCTCTGAGTCGTCGTCCTCTTCCTCCTCCAGCGGCGAGGAGACGGACTCGGAGGAGGAGCGCGCAGCTCACAAGAGCTTCATCTACCATGAGTACCTGAGTGAGCTGTATCCTGACCAGAAGACCTACATGCCCGACAAGTTCTGGACCGCCAACGACTGCAAGACGCTTGCGGTAATCGAGGCTAAGTACGAATCGCTGAAGCACAAGCACATCCAGGCCGAGTTCTTCAATGCTACTGGGCGGATGATATCGACCGAGATTATCAAGCACAAGTTGGAGCAGGGCACAGGCAAGTGATAGCTAGTACATGTTTTGCAGTTTGTGGAGGATTTGAAGATTTGGCTTCTCATGTTAGTACCGGGGATTCTTGGTCTGGTAATGGCTTCACTGATGTCAGTAGACCCAACCAAACTTTTCCAAGTCATGCAACTGTAGGATGCAGACATCGAGGATAGGATGAGTTGATGAATGGAATGGAGCACGTATGTGCTACCAGTGATTTCTGAGGCCCTAATAGTATGCCTCATCGGGTGCTAAATTATGCTAGATAAAACAGGTCGATGAAAGTATGTACTCAATGCATCCCAAATGCTCCAGATGGTAAACATGGTATCTTCAAATGCAGAAAACCGCGAGCCAGTGGTATTCCAGCTTTTGACTGATGACCTCTATCCCAATATTACAGGCATAACTGATGTCGCCAAGCTATGCAGAAATGCAATCCCAATGTGCTCGCAAACTCCGGCCCGGGATGCTCGATCCAGGCGAAATGGCGATTAAATGATGTAAATGCTGGGTAATAAGTGCTGAGAAAGCAAGATACCGCTCGCTCCTTCAAGTGTTGATAAGATGGTTGATGCCAAGTATAACCAGTGCCGGGTAAGTAGGAAAAACGACTGCCGGTATTACTGAGTTGTGACGGTAGGTTTATGGTCCTAGGATGCCGATCGTAGCAGATGATCCGGTGTCATCAAAGTTGGAAGTCCTGTTTCATCTTTTATCGGGATTTCATATCGGGTTTTGCATGCCAGCAGGAGGGACCGCTGTCGCCACACTGTCTCCTTGCGATGTCGCTAAAGTTGCTGGGCTCTGACCCCTACTCCTTGACGGATTGCTTGAGCCTAGTCCGCGCTTCATCATCTTGCCCAGGACAGTGACAAGATCACAAGCGTCATTGAACATATCATCGTCCATCCCCTCGGTTGCCTCATACACCTCTGCGATGGTGTCTTTTGCCACTTTTCGACTCCCCTCTGCGTCATGGACACATTCGTACAAAAAGGCTGCATATTCAGTCTTGACTGAAAGTCTAAGGGAATGAGACCCCCAGAGTAGACTGTCTGCAAGCTCAATTGCTTGCTTAAAATAGCTATGGGCCGTGGGTAGATAATTCACCGACGGGAGAAGGAAGGCGGCGATTGCTTCAGGCGTTTGTGGTCCAAATCCAGGCGGAGGGAGGACTGGCCCTCCCTCCAAGGCATGTGTCGGCTGCAGAGATGACCTGGCTGTTTCTGGGATGTCTTCGTCTTTTGCAACGCCTTTGCCTTTATCGAGTTGTTGCGATGCGGTCGCAGCCGCCACTTCCTCAGCTGTCGGGATTGCTAGTGTTGACACAGGTGGGTTGTTGTGGAATAGTACAAAAATGTGGTAAAAAGACGCGCGTAGCTTGAAGGCGAGCACCTTTAACTCCACGTGGTCACCAACCATGGGGAGGACGTATTGCTCGAGCATAACTAGACCCTCCCTTGAGAGCCATATGATATGTAAATAGAGCTCGAGGGACTGGGTCATGCGTGTTGTGTCTAAACGTCGTTGTTTTCGAGCTTTGACTAATTGGCCGGCTAGGTTGATCGATAAACCAAGGATTTTGAACAGCATCGATGATAGTAGGGCATTGCTAGGCTCAACAGCTCTTGCAAGCTTGCCAAGAAACTTTTGGTCGACCTCGGACGATGCCATCGAGACTTGCTTGCCCCGATGAATGTGATGATGGGTACCTGCAATCAAGTCAGCCAATTCCAGTATTTGCAAGCTTTACTCGTTGATGTTTCAGTGGCACTTCATGTGTATTATGGAGGTCTGGTCAACAAGTACTTCATCAAGACGACAAGCAAGTTGATACAACAACAAAGTGCGCAATATAACCAAATACAGATCGTCCTTCGATTAGGGAATTATGAGCGTACCTCGTGCTATATGAGTGATAAGACCCCTGGGTTACAATGAGGTCGGTCTGTGTAGCCCAGGGTCCCAGGTGATTGATAGGGAGAGTCTGGCGTGGTTGAAATGGAAGCGGAATGAACCCACTGATGTGCGAAGTTCTGTTCGATGTCCAATGCACGTTTAGCGGTGATGAGTCTGATGGTGGATGTGTATCAGACTCAAAATTTGGTTGATCGTCGAGTGACTCTCACAGCTGGCCTTAACGAATGACTATTGGCCAACCTGGATTTTCGCCCATACAGTACTTAGACGTCGTCGGTAATGACTGGTACGCCTAGAGAGTCGGGCTGGCGAATTGATTACCGCCACCAGCCTGGGAATTACCCCCAGCGATGATAAGACCCCAGATAATAACGGACTGGCGCTGCTCAAGTCAGCAATCACTCAATTACGGGGCAATGGTCTTCAGGAGGTCGTGCCAGCTTGTCGATTGGGTGAACACTAACCGATATGATACAGTGGAAGCAATTCAATGCAATGGCCCACTCGACGGCCAAGCGGCTAGGCTCACAGCACGATTTGCGGCCGAGGTTGGTCAGTGTCGAAATGAAGGACTGATCACAGGATGAGCGGACTGAATGGCGATAAGAGTCGAACTCCTTCTATCGTGAAGCATCGCGGCGTCCGGTGTTTCGCTTCAGGCGATTGTGTATCGCAGGCAACTTGGCGAATGAATATATATATGATCGCCCGGTGGCGGGGATTCCCTAGGTAGCGCAGTGGACGCTCGGTAGACCCTAAGACCTGGCAACTCGGAGGCCTGGAATCCAATGGCGGTGTAAGATCCACAACCTGCTCGGATCTTTCAAGTTTGGACTGGACTATGTGGAGCAGTAGCCGTTGTAGGTTCCGAAGTCCAGCGAGTGCTGGGTTCGCGACTTAAACGCTTCCCAGTTTGGTCATTGAATTCTGAAGTCAACAATGACAGAAAGCGTCAAGCTCAGAGAGTCAGGGTCATTGGGCAATGATCGAGCTGTGCCGGGGGGGCTTTTGGCGGTATTATGTACGAGCTAGACACGCAGGAGTATCTCTCAGGAGAGATGCAGGCCGCAGAGCTTTGCATGAACGGTAGTGGGTCGGGCGAGCTACGTGCAGATGGCGCCAAAAGGGCTCGCTCGCTCACGCGGTACCGGTAGAGAGAGCAGGCACACTGGATGGGAGGGCAGCTTCAGAAATGAGAGACACGACAGTGGTGCGCCGCGGGAGACTTCGGACGGGCTCAGCTATTTGAGAGACGAAGGAGGCACGAGAGCCTCCAGACCTGATCGGGGTTGGGAGGCGACGGCAAGCGAATGGATGCTGCGGATACTGCAGCTGCTGCGATGCAAGGTGAGTTGTCCCAATTTCCCCAGGAAGCTCTAAGAGTCGAGGTCCCGACGGCCGCCAAGAGGAGCGGCCATTGGGAGTAGAGCAGTGTCAAGGTTCAAGTTGGGACTATGATGACGGGCAGTCCGCTCTGGCTCTGGCGTACCCTGGACAGTGGGAAGACCCGACGTCGAAGGACGATCTACCAGGAATTCGCAAAGTCGAGAACAGGGTTCAGGGGGCAATGATGTCTTTGTAACAATTGCACGTATCACTGCTGATTGCTGCTCAAGACCAACCGGCTGGGCCTGCGCAGGCAGAGGCTGTTCCACTCAGGCGCTTCAAGCGAGAAGCGAGACGCCTGTAAAATGTTGGCCCAGCGCTCTTTAACAAGATAATTGCATCATCGTAGGTAGCCGAGGGTCAGAACCTTGACTGGTTTATCAACTTCTTATCCGTAACTACACCCGTACATATGTACTTTACCAGTTATCAACAAAGGGGACCTCATCCGAAGAAAACCCCCGTCTCTGCCCTCTCTCTAACACTCAGACCTGATACATAAATACGCTTACCTGCTTGCAAAATGTCAGGCATTGCTTTTTCTGCGGCGGGCGTTCTCTCATCACGTCCGAGACATCAAGGCGCGTGTCCTCCCCTGCCGCGTGGGCGCGCTCGCATGGAACCCGAGTGGCACTCACGGCTTGACCTACCTAGGACATCACACCGGAAGCACGGGGAGAATGTCTATTCGTAGGGACGGCCACTGTCGGCGATGGGACGAAGCTCTTCAGCACACCGATACATTCTCTGATGCAGCACGGGCTTATTCTCCGCAACATGATGGTTTCATCTCAACAGGGTCCATCTGCAGTACATATGAATATCGCACCCTGCCTGCAGCTGCATGCCTTTGGCCGCCTCCTCCGTATCTTCTTCCATGGAACGCTGGATGTGCAGAGGAAGCCGCAACTCCAAGGCCTTGAAGGCAGACGAGATCTGCTAGACAGGGATCCTTGTCATGGAATTACGCTTGACCAAAGGGTCCGTCCATGGGGTTCCCAGCCACCCCATTTTCCCACAGCGGGAGCTAAGCATAGGAGGGTCCATCAAATATGCCAGCGCATAATTCAGCTTGAATGACCTCACGAGCGCGCAGAGCCCCAATGACGATTGTAGACCACAGAATCGCTATGCTGCAGACCAGCGCTTGGCCGTGAGTATGCGGCCATCCCTCCATCTTCATCAGCCCGGCCATCCTTTTCTGCAACTCTGCCTCGTACTGCGAGCCTCTGACGGCCGCGAACAGGCTCTACCGCGTCACTCCGGTCTGTCGCACGCAAACAGGAGAACTGGCGGTGAACAACACGCTCCTCTCCAAGTGTTTCGTGCCCGAGAGTCGCGTCGAGAAGGGTCCTAACTTAGCAGGTGTGCCGTAGGCTACCGACATGGGGCCATGCTGGTTAGTACACCACCTCTTGTCGTAGCGGAGGGGACACGGAACAGTGCTGTTGCTGGGCATGGCTGCTTTTCTAGAAGTGCCTAATGTAGGACTGCATTACGCCAGCTGTCGACTTCAGCCATAAGTCTCACGGTCCTCAACTGCTTGGTTGCTTCGTCGCACAAGGCTACACCCATATCTGCTAACCTCGGGATCTCCTGTCACCGTACACCCTTGCGTCCCGGATGCTCTAGCCCGACCTGCGCGTGGCGAGTACGGCTCGTGGCAGTTGACCCTTTAGAGGCATAGTCGGAATCTGATCGTGGGGTGTCTCGCTAGAGGACACCTGCAGTTCAGGGGACCAGAGTAGATATTGATATTAATCCAGCTTCCCCAGCCAATGCCATAAGACCCGCATCGAATACAGCAACTCAGATTCGAGATCACCACACCACATCTCTTCCAGAGCTTCGGTAGCGAGATCTTCCCATTGGCCCAAGGATATAGTGACAGTGACAGCCCACCAGGGGATTCGTGACATGGCACGACTCGAAACTGATCAAAGGCTTGCTACATGGCATGCCCAACTTGGGCCTCTTTCTACTCGAGACCATGCCCGAAGCGCCCGCGGCATGTCGACAGTACCATACGGGATAGATATTTGATTTGGTATATCCTTAATCTTCACATGTTGTGCAACTTACCTAGGCCTTGCTGAAACGGCTAGCCGTAACCAGCTTCCGTTGCTGACCCCCTAAGCGTTGTGTCTTCTCCATTGGGTATTTCCGCCCACGGAGGATACGTGGGCAGTTGCCCAAAAGCGTCAGGAATTGCCGACTTGATTTGAGGTTCTCTATATAAGCCGACATTGTGATCCTCAATGAGGTCTAGAACCGCCCGATATGTGATTGCTATTTCGAAGTACCCAGCAGATAAGACCCGCCACAGCTGAACACCGTGATAGACCTGGACGCCCTGCAATCAACCTGGACCCTGCTTGCTCGACGAAAACAAATTGTTTTGGTTGCAGAAATTGCTTCTTGGAATGAGTTCCGAGCCTGGGTAATCCCTCTTGTTCGTCGGACGTACGACGGACACAATCCACGAATTTGGCACCCATCCGAGCAACATAAGACAAACCACAGACTTTTGGAAACAGTTAGCACAGACCAGGCGTTTGGCTATACTCACGAGGACCTCGACTTTTTCTTCTGTCGCTCGCTTGCTCACTCAACAACACAATCTTTCAGCAATACACTCATTTTTCCTTCGGTCGCCTTTGCACCAGACTTCATTCGCTTCACGGAAACCTCAATTTTCTTGTCGCTCTTATAGACAGAGCGCAACAGCGAGAAAAGAGAAGAGGTTCATCCTGGGACTACCACATCGTAACAACGCCAGAGTATAGAGCAACTGGGGTATACATAGCAGAAAGACACACACACACACACACAGAACTTACTCATTCAATTCATTCATACACACGAGGACATACAGCACAACTCTCTACATAAACTCCAATAAAAATGTGCTCGTACTACGCCCACGCCTTCGTCTGCAAGCACATGACGTTTACGTTCGCGCGGTTCTGCACGCCGGCCAACTTCACGCAGACGCCCTGTGACAAGCGCACCATCTGGCACACCATCGGGCTCGACGAGGCCTGCGACGAGTGCCGGGTCTGGTTTCCCGATAGGTTCCCCGCCCAGGCCCAGGTGTCCGCCAGGAAGGCCCGGCGCGTGTGAAGAGAGACACAGGATGGGTCGATAGAAAGGGGTATGGTGTTCGGATCCCCCTCCAGGGAGGAACGCTGCCATCCTCTTTCTTGGACTAGAGGGCTCTTAGGTGGAATGGGTGACAGGGTGGAACGAAACGAAGCGATGAGAATGTAATATGGCAAATGGTCTCACGATAATGAGCGGATGGCGTATGGTTTGGGTAAAGGTTGGTCGGCCGTGGTGTGTTTATTTGCTGGATCAGGCTTGATTTCACAGCTGGCGTTCCATGGACTTCATTCAACATAGAGAAGGAAACACGTAGATGGAAGCGTTTGTAAGTCATGATGTCGGTATACACAAAAGCGACGGGGTGCAGGGTCAGGAGAATATCTCGATTAGATCTGTTACAGACCCTTTGAATTTGTGCAAATAGCAAATAGTTATCGGCTCAGGTATTGAGCCACCAAGTGTATCATCAAATCCCCGTCTCATGCCTTATCCGAAAGAAGGCCATCCTGTCCCGACCGTAGCGCCAAAGCCCATTGATGAATGATATCAGAGGTATCCAGTCCGCCTGCCCTGTATATTATGACGCCTGTATCAATAAGCCTTTTGTTTTTCCACCCAGTTCCTTGACCCGTTTACCCGTATAAGTATGTCCATATCATATGTACGCGGCTTTGATAGGATGCAACATCAATCGTGCTCTTAAAGAAGAATGGGTGGCCTGCCCTTGAGAGTCGAAGGCTTATTACGCCTTCGACTCATCACCGTGCCCAAGCCATCTTCAAGCGCAGAAGTCTCCTCACCAGTCTCAAATCTTTCGTGGCCTACGAGGATGACTTTGATGACGTTGCTCAATCCGACTGCCACGCTCCCACGGCCGACTCGAACCATTGGGCCGGGGCTATTGACAAACAAGTGCTCGTGTTCGTCCGAATCCTGGCAGAGTGATAGTGTATCCCAGGTTTCCACATTTCCAGCTTGCGATAGCATCCATATTTCCCATGTATCTGTAGTTCGAACGACAGTGGCTGTCTGGGTATGACTTAGGCGGCGGCGACGAAGGCCACCATTGGTGTTGTGCAAGGCCTGGCCATTCTCTAATCGTGCTTTGGGAGCTGGCTTCTTCCTTACTCCCAGCATGACTCTTGAGGGAAGAGCTTCCCAAGTGCCCGGGTCCTTGACAACACTTCGAAGCTCTTTAGTCTCCGGCCATCTGCAACACGTTTTGCTGACTGGTTGTCCTGGGGCACGGAAACAAATTGAGGCCCCTTCGTCCTGAGGGGTATATGTCTGTACCACCAGATCTCGTGTAAATGCGTTGAGGTAGGCAAATGTTAAGTACTTCAGCCCTACTGAGCCGCACCGCATTGTTCTCCGTTTAGAATGGAACGCCTTCAACGTTTTCGGCATTATCGGGTCGGTTTTGAAGGAGTGTATTGCAGAATAAGTCGCAGCATCAACCAAGTCAATAGATTGGACCCGCACAACAAGGATGAAACCAATCTCTGGTAGGGCCACAATTGACATGAACTCCTTGTCTCTTGGTCGCGGTATGTCAACCGCATTACAGTTCCAGCCCGAAGCATCTTGACTCAGGCAATGAACTTGGCCATCACGGGACGAAGTCATAACTTTCGTTGTGAATTTTGCTGTGTCGAGTCAGTACCTATCATTATACACCTGAGAGTTCGTAGAAACAGTTGACAACTTACCTTTCTCGACAAGAGCACCGACAGAGACGATGGTGCTGTCATCAGAAACTAGATAACTATCGGTCTCTCCTTTTTCTGGCCTGATTTCTGTCATCGTACCATCGCGTCGAAGAAGCAGGACCGGATGGACAGCTTCTGCCTCACCGGCGGCGAAAAGAAAGGCCTCTGGTCGATGTCGGAATGGTTCAACAGGAACGGATGGTCCCCATTGCTGCTTTTGTAAGTCCCAAAACAATACAGTTCCTGTCATGAGCAGTGCCAGCCATCGAGAATCATCGTCGATACACATGGCTAGAATAGGAAAGATGATATCGACCTCATTGTTTCCCATGAGAGCATAACTCGCGCCGCCAGCCTTTACATCCCATACTCTGACAATCCGGTCCAGACCAACCGAAACGATGTGGCCATCGGACGAAGCCGAAAGTGCGACGACATCAAGAGAGTGACCCTTGCCCAGAGTTTGGATTGTGAGTAAGTGCTCCTCCTCAGCAGCAGCAGGCGGTGTCGACTCTGCTAGCTCGTCAAATAATAGGTAGTTCATCAAGATACGCACAGCAGCACCAATGACGAGGACTATGACGACAAACGGAGTCGACTGGTGTCGTATAAAGTCGTAGACAGCCGGGAGGAAAGGGCGCTCCCTAGTGGATAGCATTCGGTCTGCGCCCTTCTTGACGAAAACTACGGGATCGAATACCCGGGCCATGTAACTGTGAGCATTTGGTTTGATGACGTGGATCACCTCCTTGGCCGTCTCATGGTCTTGAAGTCTCAGCCATGAAGTCGGACTCCTTGCTTGATGAATATCGACCAACAGTGAGGATTTTGGGGGTCCAAAATCCTTATATTTCTTAGATATGGCGGTGATTCGGCCCAAGGTCCGTAGTAGACTCTCGTTTTCGAAAAAGTGCCACTGCGCAATCAGAACGAAGCCAATCATAACGATAGTACCGGCGATCCGTGTTGACATGGCAATTTTGCCCTGCAGCATCGCGTCCAGCCACGTTTGCCTTGCCTTGGCTTCTGCAGGCGTCCGATGATTGCGAATGGATGCCTTGGCCAGAGCGTCGCTGAGCTCGGTACGACGTACATCCACACTTAAGACCGACAGGAAGAAGGTCGCGAGGTAGAAAAAGTCAAATATAATGGCGATTGCTGCAAACGTGCAGAATGCTTGTACTCCTGGAGACACGATATGGGAAAGCCCCCATAGGATGAGAAGATTCTGGGCAACACTCGCCAAGGCAACGTGGGCCGTATTGCCAAAGGCATGGCCGATGCGGTTGCTGGTACTGTTCTCCGACGGGGTGAGGATGACTGCGTTGATGAGTCTGAACACATTTTCAAGACTCATGGAGAATATTACAACGGGATAGGCTAGGCGCGGGATCTTGGAAAGATCGATCTTGAATATGGCGCAGATGGTGAAACTCGACAGTATGGACAATGCCAACTGGGCCATGACGGTAATGACCAGCCCTATCTTGGACTTGACAGCGCGTAGCTTGTTCAAGCTGACGACAAAGTAGACGAAGGTAAGCAAGTAAGCGACGCCCAGTGCGATGCCGTCTGGAATCGACATGGGCCGAAATTGGAACTCATAGAGTTGGCTGCGGGTGCCAGAGCCGTCTGAGGGATACACATCCCATTTGTCAGCCATCTTGGAGGCGAGTTCCTTGCACTTCGCCTCCCATATGCGGCCCACCGGCGAATGGCGCCGGTGAATGAGGGTGATGACAAGAGAATCGGCCGCGACCAGGCTCCGGTCCTCGAAGCGTTTCCCGCTGAAGACGATCGAGTGTCGCAGCGTGACGTTGACGGATGTTGGCTGAGTCTTCCTGGCATTCACAGTGGCAAGAAGATCGTGATCAGAGAGCACCTTGTCCTCGTCACAGGACCAGTAGAGCAAAGGCGAGTGGAAGAACCACGACTCGTCGGTCAGGCCATTGATGATGTGAAAAGCATCTCGCTGTTGTGGGTTCAGGTCGAGGGCAGTTGTGTCGGAGAGGTCTACCACATCAAGCGGCTCGGAGAGCCGGCGAGGGCTGAAGTTGACCGTCGGTCCCAAGAGTTCGTTCTGCAGTTCAAGGGCGCCTAGGAGGATGTCGCGGTCGAGGGCTCGCATATAATCGCCATGCACCCAGATGTAGCGCATTATCACATCGGGCTCGAGCCCGCGCTTCTCCTCGAGCGGTTGGGCATCGGTCCAGACGTGGTGGGGGAGACCGGAGGCGCCATTGGTAAAGTCGGTGGTGTAGAGAAAGGGGAAAGGGTATATCAGTATCGACGCAACGGTCACGGATATCAAGAGTGTGGTAATGACATGGCGCGCAGCGTATCTGCCATATCGCGTGCAGGCATCCCGCAGAGGATGGCCGGGGCCGAGTACAGGAGCTTCGGTAGTTCTGTGGTATCACGGGTCAGCGTAGGCCGGCGACGAGGGTGGGATTGGATGAACGGAGACGATACGCACCCTCTGAAAGGGTAGAGGAGGTACCAGATCATCCTCTCGACGCATCAATGTGCAGCCTGGGGTTCTACGGGAGCGAAGCGTTCAATCGGGGACGCGGCGCAACTGAGTGTCGCCAGATATGGCCATTCGTCGAGACAGGGTGAGGGGGCATGATCTTGGACGCCGAGCAGAGAGGCAGCCGCTAAGACTGGAGGCGCAAGACGAGCTTCATCAAGAAGGGGAACTCGGGAAAGGAAAAAGGAAGCTGTCGCGAGCGTGGGTACCTAGCTTTCTTCGGCCTTGCTGGCTTGCTTGCTTCCTTGGTTGCTGCTTAGTGAGGCCCAGGGCGACTCGTCAAAGGTGATTGAGGCCAGCCGCCACTAGCTCGAGTCGGGGCCGAATGTTTGACGTTAGCGAGGCCACCATTTGACACCTGTGAGTTCACACCGGACACAAATGATCGTCGGGCTGCACCCGGCTCAAAACCTCTGCTGAAAGGCCCGAGTGGTCGAAGCACGCAAAAGGGCCTTAAGCCTACCTAGGTACCTACCTAGGTACCTACCTAGAGAGTTACCTACCTACCGGACTGCGGGACTGGCCCCGTACACAGTAACGTCCACCTGGGCAGTCCCTGAGGGGCCACTCTACGGTGGTAGGTCCCTCGTTACAGCGCAGGCGGCCAGGGAAGGCCGACAGGGCCCCCGGAGAGACAAGAGACAGGGGTTCTTGGCGGAGCGTTGGCGGGTTGGCGGGGTTTTGCCGTTCCCGCTTGCCCGCGGCTGTCCCGCCCTACCCGACTGGTCGAGAGGCTCCAGAGCTGCCGTCTCCGGCTGGGCTTGCTGGGCTAGGTATGCACTGTAGCTGTGGCTGCTGCACGCTGTCGGGGGTTGTCCTGGCTGTCACTCACCCACGACCCTCCCACGACCCCCTCGAGCGTTTGGGGAGGCAGACGAGCCCATCCCATCTAGTTGGGCAGAGACTGCGGAATAAGGTCCTCAATCTCTGTCAGCGCGGGTCGAATAGGCCTGTGTTGACGCCGCCATCGAGCGAACTATCGAGCAAATACGAGCGGCGTAGAGTTTGGTGCCTGCAGGCGAAGCCCCCGGCCGACATCTTGTCCGACGCACGTAGGCATTGTCGTATTGGTAAGGCTATCCACAATTCCAAAAGGTTTTGTGTGCCGTCGACAATGCTCACAGCCAAGTGGACGGGGCTCGCAAGTCGTTCCGCTCATGCGGTGGTGTTTCCCTTTTGGCCGTACCGTACGTATGAGGAAAAGGGCCGACGTGTCGAGGTCCCTCCTCAGACGTACTGGACGGACGGGCCCCAAATATGTATTTCTCCAGGACACTAGGACCGGCTGTCTGATAGATTATGTGCATGAACTAAATCCCGACTCACCTTACCCATGGTCCTGGAATCCCTCTTTCCTTTTTCCGTTTCGCGCAATGGGAATGTTTGGAGTGGCATGTTGACCAAGTCAAAGTCAGCCCATTCTGTGGTCATACACGATGCATCATTTTTCTCATTGGCTGCGTGGAGACGGACCTCGGGGGCGAGGTTCGCGATGACCCCAGCGTCCCGCTTCGCAGCCAATTTGCAAATTTCAGGGTCCAGCTGGGGTCCGACGCCCGTCAACCAACCCTTCAGCCATTGAGATCATCCCGCCAACGCCCTAGTTGCATCAGCCCTGGGTATTTCGGATGTCCCCATCTACACATTACACGCGAGACCCGACCTGCTTTGTGTAGGGCTGTATCGCGGGCAGATCGGCCGCCTGACCAATATCGGGTTGCCTGTCCGGGCTTGCTTCACGTCGACAGCTGCAGCCTGTGAACTTTGCCAGCGATCTTGCCCATGGAGGAAATGGCGGATGCCAGAGACCCCATTGAGGAGCTCATTACGAGCTTCAACGAGTTAAACTCCTCGACAATAGAGGAACTCGATGAAGAGCCCAGCCCGCTCGAGTTTATGCGATTTGTAGCAAGAAACACCCCCTTCGTCATTCGGAACGGCGCAAAGGACTGGGTTGCAACCAAGACGTGGAGCGCTCAATATCTGCAGGAGGCACTGAAGGGTCATCATGTTAATGTTGCTGTGACGCCGTTCGGGTAGGCTTCCATATATTCCGTAGAAACCAAGAAACCTTGGAATGGATGTAGAGCTCACGTAATCTCAGAAACGCGGATGCGCCGACTGTACACAGCGACGGAGCGCACGCAGGAGGAGAGCACGTGTTCGCAAAGCCGCACGAGGAAGACCAGCCTTTCGAGAACTTCATCGACTACCTGACGAACCAGGAGCTAGACCCATCCTTCTCGGGCTCGGAAGTAAGATATGCGCAGACCCGTAAGCCCAAGCCCTCTTGCAACCATGACGGTAACACCGGGTTGATTCCAATACTGCAGAAAATGACAACCTCCGGCATGAGTACGTTTCGCTGTTCGCACAGACTCTCAAGTCCATCCCGTTCGCGCGTATAGCGTTGCAGAAGGAGCCGGATGCGATCAACATGTGGATCGGCAACTCGAGGTCGGTGACGGCGCTGCACCGGGACAACTACGAGAACATCTATGTCCAAATTGCAGGCCAGAAGCACTTTGTGTTGCTGCCCCCTCTCTGCCAGCCCTGCATAAATGAGCAGGAGCTGCGTCCAGCGAGCTACGTCCGAAAAGGAGACCAGCTGGTGCTGGACATGGAAGACGGGGACAGCGTCCCCTTTGCAACATGGGATCCCGACCGCCCAGAAGCAAACAGCACGAAGTACTCCGCACTTGCGAGTCCGATACGGGTAACCTTGGACCCTGGGGATATGTTGTACCTCCCAGCCATGTGGTACGTCCGAATAAGGAAGCCAGCCTCAGGAATCAGGAACTAACTTTGTTGAAGGTATCACAAGGTTTCACAGTCTTGCTCCCTCGAAGGCGTTTGTATAGCCGTAAATTATTGGTAAGCTTTACGGCGGATCGATAACCAAAGTAGCTGGCTAAGGTGAATATTAGGTACGACATGGACTTCAGTGGTCCTCTATATCCCCTAACCTCTTTCGTCCGAAGTATGAACGGGCGAATAGCCTAGAGAAAGTTACCCTGAATTCAAGCGCCTGAATGGTGGACTTTAGAGACGTGTATTCCATATCAATTCGTAAGTTCGTTTTGATAATTTACCTGACAATGCTGTTGAATTACAGTATCTAAACTGGACAAACTCCAATCTGGGGACCGCTAGCCTCGTTCATTTCCGCTCTGTGCTCCAAAACACCATGCCTTTCCAATCCAAAACTTACAAGGCTCATCAAGTCGTCAAACAATTTAGAAATTGACGCGGGCGCCCAGCGGTGCCCGAGAGGTCTGATCGATGAAGCGACCCTTATCGTCACCAATCTTCTTCTTGAACAATGAGAGGTCCTTGAGCAGTTCGTGCATATAATCCTGCATATCGTTTGCCCTCTCCTCGTGGATCTCGGGCGAGTAGTCGTCTTCGTCATCGTACGGTTCGTCGACGAAGTCGTCGTCCGCAAGCTTATCGTGGACGTCCCCATCGCCGGGGCCTGCATTCTCCTTGTCCGCCTCAGCCTCAACCTCCTTCAAGGGCTCCTCGGTCCTGACGACGACCTCTGGAATTGGGTTCTTCAGGCTGTCGAGGGCGAGTTTGAGGTGGAGTCGGAGAGCCTCATTCTCTGTTTGCAGACTCCGGATCTTGCCTTCGGCCACGAGACTGCGCTCCTCCATCATGCGTTGCATAGCTGCCACACGGTTCTGGTACTCCTCAAGCCGCTCTTCGCTCTCCTTCTGGTCCTTCTCTCGTCGACGGGTGTCAGCGACTGACAGTTGAAGAACACGAATCTCCTCGGCCATGGCCGCAATCTGCGCATCTCTCTCGGCAGTCGAGATGTGGTCCTGATTGACAACAGCGCGGGTACGAATGCGCTTCGCCTGATCGGCATATCGCAGGGTTGAGAGGGTCTCCTCGTAGTCCGACGGTGCTATGCACGCAATCATGGCTGTCTTGCTGTTGCCGCCCAGCGAGTCCTTCAGCAGCCAGGTCAAGATAGAATCTCGATATGGCACAATATCCTTGTTCCGCTTTCCCCCAGGGCGGTGCTTGGGGTCTGCAAGAGCGGCAATGACACGACCGAGGGTGGTGAGAGACTTGTTGATGTTGCTACCCTCTCTGAGTCTCGCACCCGTGGCTTCGGTCGACTTTGCTCTCTCACTACCCGCCAGGTCCACTAGTCTGATCCTCGAACTCCGCTCCGTCGTCTCATCTGTCTCCATGTCGTGGTGAATCTGCTTCAACATGATGGTGAAGACGGCGTGGCTTCGACTACTCGTGTCATTCATCTTGGTGCTCGCCACCGTCCGGGAAGCATCGCCCAATTTCATGTACCTGAGAATTTCATTCAAGCTTCTAACAGGAACCTCGGTCAAGTCTTTGACGTATGGACCCTCGGATGGCGACTCGCGGATTTTGAGATAGTACGGGGCCTGGTTGGGCACCACCGGGACGAGCAGGTCGCGCACGTGCTCATTGTAGACCTCAAAGTAGGAGGCCCGCACGTGGTATGAGATGTTGGGCGTTTCGTTTTGCGCGGCCTCGATCCGCTGAAATAGGTCCTCGCATGTCCGAGGGATCAAGCCTGGCTGATCTGGCGTTCCCATCATGGTGTAGGATTTCCCAGAGCCGGTCTGTCCGTATGCAAAGATACATGTGTGGTACCCTTCGAAGTTGTGGTCAAGGAATTCTTCGCCGAGAGCGTTGTATACCTCCTCCTGGTGCGCATAATGTCTGTCCTCCTTGTCGTGGCTCCAGAAGGAGTTATCAAAGGTAAAAGACTTCTCCTCAACAACCTTCCGAGTCCTGGCTTTCGCATTCGCTGGATCGCTATCGTTAGGCACATGCAAAGTTGTGCTCTGCATCACAGGATCCATGCTGATTAGACATTCCGCCCCTCGTTCGATTTCTATCCAAGCTGTATCAGTCTCGAGTCCATGACACCACAGACGATCCATGGGGCATAAGAAGTGAGTGCATAACCGTACCTCTGGGCAGAAATGCCCTTACTCTGACGACCACGCGCACATTGCCACCGCCATCCATCTTCATATGTGGCGGCAGCGTCCCATCCCGAGATCGCAGCGACGGTGTGGAGGCTGAGGAGCGGACGCTGGATCGCAGCTCCGTTGCGCGCGACTGGTCCATCGATGTTGATTTGTAGTTTTCGTCACTGCTTGCGATTCTGTGTTCACTAGCAAGCGTCGTAGCAGCACAGATTTCAGACAATTCCTCGCATATGTCCTTGATGATGTCGCGGAATCGCTGTCCGTGGATTGTACCGTACATTTGGGTGAGCTGAGTGGCGGGAGTGGGGCCGTTGTATTTACTGCCGTTGCCGGGCACCGGGGCGCTGCTCTGAAAGGTAAGGCGCGTCTCTCGTGTCCCAAGGCCCGTGTAGCACGGCGGCGCCACGGCCAATGGCAGATCTGGCTGGGATGGCTTGGTGCTTTGGCGGGGTTGACCCTGTGCCTGCAATTCAATGCATTACAAAGGGCATGGAAACTTCTTATGCGCAAGAGCCGGCAATACTGAAGTGCGAAGATGAAGGAACTCTCGGGGCTCGGTTGGCACAGGCGAAAAACACATGATAGGCCTTGACGCCGCGCGTGTTTAGGTCTCGCCCGCTGGTGTTTCCCAGGATTACCTCTGTTTGTTCGAAACACCAATGCACGCTTGACCTCTAGCTTTCCCGTCTTTAGGCGGGACGCCACAACAACCACAATTCAGCCCTCCGAACTCGAGATGCCTTGGACGAGTGTGAGAGGCTGTCACACTGAGGCACTCATAAGCAGTCTGCAGTCAGTCATCCAAGGTCATATGCACAGCCATCGGTTCATTGTTTGATGCTGCCGAAACTAGAAACCTATCCATATTTTCGCAGCCCGTTGCACCAGAGGCTAACTAGGTACAGGAGGACTTCAACTGAGCAGCCCACCTTCGAGTTCACGCCGTCTCCCAGGTTCGTTCCGTTGCCCGATAAATTATCCCGGCTTCCGCCTCATCGGGCCGCTTGTCAGCATTCGCTTACTTGCAACACTCCCGTTGTTCCCTTTGGTTACATCCACTAGGTTGATCTTGCACTAGCGATGCAATGACGTTCTCGCATGGAGTATTCAATTGCCGAACAGATCATGGTATGCTTGACGACCCGTTGCCTGCGTACTGAACTCTCGGGGCTCTAGATAGGCTTTCGGTCCATGTAGCGTACCACAGCCCATGAGACGCAGCGTACTGTCCAGCGCAAATCGAGTAATAACAATAAAGGTCAACGAGCGCCATTAGACGAGATGAATACTCAGTTGGATTCGACTTTGATTTGCACACCTATGTACATCAGTACATCCAGGAGTAGCCACAAAATCACATCTTGGACGTTGGGCACGGTGGCCTTTAGGCGTCTTATTCTGAATGAAGCCACCAGTTCGCTTCGCTCTAACTCGTTTAATCCTTAGTTGCAACTTAAATGTTTTACCAAATCCGTGGGTCGAAGTGCAGTTGGCAGGGCTGCAGAACCATTAGAGATCTTCAATATCGAATCACCCTTGGTGGGTCTTGGGCAGGCGGGACAAGGCGGAGAACAGGGCCAAACGATTCCCTCTTTTCTATCTTTGACCACGTGCGGCCTATGAGAAGCGTCCCGAGACGGGTGAGTAATGGAGCATTGGGAACACGCAGACAGACATTTCGGCCGTTTATCTACAATGGGCCCGGCCGAGGCACTTAGCGGACCCTGGCCCAGTTTTAAGTCGGACCCCTTCAATACAGAGGGCTAGGTTGAGTGCAGCACTAGGATGGATGCTGCAACTCAGAGTCCGCCAGCTGAAGAAGAAAACCCGCGAGATGCCCAGCTACGTCTTCTGCCCTTCTTGACAGTTGGGTCGACTATACCTTCAAGATGGCACTCGATCTGTATACCGTCGGTCGCAATGTGCTGGCCCTCGGCGGGGCCTGGCTGGTTTACCACCTCCTCAAGGCGCTGTATAACATCTCCCCGCTCCACCCCCTGAGCCGGATTCCCGGGCCCAAGCTGGCCGGGGCGACCTACCTGCCGGAATTCTATTACGATGTCATCTTGGGCGGGCGGTATACCCACGCCATCAAGGAGATGCACGAGCAGTACGGTAAGTTGTTCGATGACCCAGAATTTTTAGTTCGGATTGCTAACGAAGCAGGCCCTATCGTCCGCATCAACCCCAATGAGACACATTGCAACGATATCACTTTCTCGGATGAGATCTATGCTCTGGGTGGTCGCAAGCGTGACAAGCCATGGCACCAGATTAATGGATCAGCGTAAGAGCAGTCACCCTTGAGCCCGTCCATAGCCGTCGTATTAATATTTTGCTGCATAGGGCGCATAACACCAACGGGTTCACCACTCATGACCACGATCTGCACAGGTCTCGTCGGGTGCCCGTGGCCAAGTTCTTCTCCCACAGCATGATTGCGCAGCTGGAGGACGAGATCCACGATCTGGTCCGCAAGCTCTGTGACAAGCTGCTTGCCGAGTCCGGCAAGGGCCAACCAGTTGACGTGGCCATGGCGTATAGTTGCTTCACCTCAGACGCTATCTTCAAGTACTGCTTTGGCGAGTCTCGTGGGCTGCTGGCGCAGAAGGGCTGGACCCCTAACTTCCGGCAGGCGACCCTGGCCATTCTCAAGCCCGTGTTCGTCTTCAGATTCTTTCCCATCCTCCTGAACTTGGCCAAGCTGGGAGAGATATTCGTGGACTACCTGCCCGAAGACACCTCGCTTTTGATTCGGGCTCTGCAGATCGATATCCCTGGCCTTGTGCACAAGACGAAGGCCGACCTAGACGCTGGCATTCACTACGACCGTCCGACAGTCTTTGGATCTCTGTTGCAGTCTGATCTGTCCGAGGAGGAGAAGAAACCCGAAAGGCTTGCAGACGAAGCCGTCGCCGTAGTGGGAGCTGGAACCGAGACAACCAGTTGGGCTCTTGCTGTTATCACCTACAACCTTCTCGCGAAGCCCGAGCTTCTAGCCAAGCTGAAGAAGGAACTGGAAAGAGCCGTCGACGACGCGACGAAATTGCCGCCGTGGACCGTGCTCGAGAAGCTGCCCTACCTCGGTGCCGTAGTTCAGGAAGGACTGCGCCTGTCGTACGGTGTCTCTGCGCGATCGGCCCGTGAGCCCAGCGGTGAGGACCTCGTCTACCGCGGCGAGTTCAATAAGAAGCCGGTCGAGCTGGTGCTGCCCCGCGGCTACGCAATCGGCATGTCGGCGGCTCTCATGCACCACGACGAGAGCATCTTCCAAGATTCGTACGTCTTCAGCCCCGAGCGCTGGCTCGATGAGAACAACCAGCGCCGAAAGGAGCTTGAAAAGGGCCTGCTGGCCTTCTCAAAAGGCAGCAGAGCATGTCTCGGAAAGAAGTGAGTTCATACGCCTATCTGATGATGTGAGATTACAACGTGCTGACAATCGTAAATCTAGCCTTGCCTTGTGTGAGTTGTATCTTGTTCTGACAGCTCTGGTCCTGCGGGTGATGCCTCGTATGAAGCTGTACGAGACGACTGAGAAGGATGTCACATACGATCACGATATGTTTGTGCCAGTCACGGTGTCGGGCAGTAAGGGTGTGCGTGTGCTCATCGACTAGAGCATCATGGCATAGGTGTTGTTAATCATGAGAACTTATTCGACGAAGCGCGGTTCTAGATTTCTCTCTGTAAGCCCAAGGGATTTGTCCTATTGGTGGGCCATATAGTACGTGCGAGTGCCACCAGATCCGTCTTGTATATGGTGCATCGCGAAAGCCTTTATACCCTGAAATAGCCCAGAGTTATTTCGCTCCTCAATAATAAGTATGGCACAGAGTGTTTCAATGGTCCACTTATGGTTTAGCATGTACCCATGTAATCAAAGGTCACATCAACAGTTTAGGATTGCTACTTTGTGCAGAGTACAGTAACGCATCAAGTGTATGCGTTGCGAAATCGGTCATCATTGTGATATAGGGGCTCCATGTACTCAGCGCGCCTCGCATCCGATGGCGACGCGTCCATCTGATTGGGCGGGGGCTGGAGGAGCGAGCGGCGTCGGGGCATTCGACCTGATGGAGGGAGAATCGCAGCATCCAAACTTCAGCAACAGTATAACACTTCAGCACCACCATAGGCTGATCCCATGGCAACCCGTAGAGTACATGCACGCGGTCGAGGTGCCTGGTATGATGGCCATTCCAAGACTGGACGATGCTCAAGTCTGGCAGAGCAAAGGAAATCATTTGGAAATGAGGCTCCCAAAAGTCACTCTAAGCACCGGGCTAGGGCATTCTCCCTTGCGACGGGTGAAGGATCTACTGAGCTGACTGCTATAATCCACTACCTGGACGGGGCATTTCGTGGTGTGGGTGGTAGTGGCATGCCAGCTTGCATGCGCTGACCCTGTTCTCGTGAGCCTGAAAAGCCGGGAAGCCAATAAGCCTGACCATACTACAAGTGATAAGAGGATTCCATTATCCATACCTGTTCCGACGTTTTATCTGGTTTTCTTAGATGTATATCTACGCCCGCCCGTAAGCAAATAGTCAACAAAAGCTAGGCTAGGGTCCCCAGTTATGTTCAGTTATGTAAGCAGGAGTCATGTTACTGGGCAGACCGCAGGATTGTCATTGTTCCATATTTGGCAACCAATAAACGCTGAATAACATATAAGCCATGCCATGCCAGATGTTTTATCTACTGCGCTGCTTACAACCCATCTTGATGCATATCAACCCCTCCCTCTGCACTGCGTAGCTTCATTACCATCTCCTTCCAAAGAAAAACCAAAGACCTCTGAAGTAGGCGCCCGCCGATTCCATTTTTACTATCTCGTATTTTCAACAAAGTCCAACATGGGTCGACCTACCATTCTCATTATTCCTGGGGCCTCTGCCACACCGGAGCTGTACGAGTCCTTCGTCAGTGCCGTGGTGCAGAGGGGCTACGATATTGAGGCTTTACCTATCCCCAGCGTCGGCAATGCCAACGGGTCTAACGGAGCGCCACCGACGATGTATGACGATGTGACATTTATTCAGTCACGCATTGCCGCTCTTTCAGATGCTGGAAAGGACGTGATCATCGTTACTCACTCCTACGGGGGAGTGCCGGGCACTCAGTGTGTACAGGGGTTCAGCAAGAAAGAGAGGCAGTCAAATGGGCTAGAGGGAGGCATTATTGGCCTCGCATACATCACCTCCTTGATTCCAGAACTGGGCCAGCCCGCCGTGAGCGTACAGGCATCTATACCAGAGGAACGCAAGGTTCCAACCGCAATTGATGTTCGTACTTCTTTCACTTGCATCATATGATTGATAATGCATTGCTAACCTGGGATGGCAGGCGGACGGCTGGGTCTATTATCCTGATTACACAAGGTTAGCGGAGGTGTCGTTCACGGACATGCCTGGGGCGGAAGGCCTACACTGGGCTCAAAAGCTGGGAAAGCACTCGGCCGCTGCTTTTGGTAGTCCCTTAACGTATCAAGGCTTTAAGGATGTCCCCGTGTCATACCTGCTTTGCAAGAATGATCTCGTTATCCCACCCGAGTATCAACAAGCTGGTATCGACATGATTGAGAAGACAACGGGTAAAAAGGTCGATGTCACGGCTATCGACTCTGACCATGTCGCACCTCTTAGCCACCAGCAGGAGGTTGTTGATTGGATTGTTGGTGTGGCGGACCGCTTGGGGAAGGCATAGCGGGTTGGGTGTGGATCTATCGTCGGTAAAGGCCAGAGAGAGAAGGGACTTCCTTTCGTGGTGCCTCACACGAAGTATTTACCAATCAAGCCTTCTGGAATATCAAAATAAAAACAAATTACAAATATCGAGCTTTAGCTTGAGTTGAAGTTGATTTCGCCCGGAGAGGGGTTCAGGCCAACTCATGTCGTCTTGTCGCCAACTTTGGAATATGCTATGCTCGTACGCAAACGACAAGCATCTCATCATTTTGGACGCCCATGCTTTGCTCTTGAGCATTACTGACCTAAACAAGAACGAAGCGAATAAAGTCTACTCTGTTTGCGACTGCGCCCTAGCGAAATACTCTGCAACGCTCTTGACGACGGCTCTAATATTTCCGAGGTTCTAGCATAATTGTCTACTTTCTTCTCAGGCCCTTGGCAAGTAATTCTGAGCCAACTTCTTTGACGAGGTCTTCCTTCGGAAAATCTTTGGCTTTGGCCAACACCGTGTCCTGGGCATCCATGGTCCTCAGGAGATCTACCAACTCGCTCTCCATGGGCACACGATATACGAGATACCCCAGAGCTAGAAGCATGCCTTGTAGAGCTTCAGATGAGGACGACTCTTGTGTTATCGCTTCCAGGACAGATGCAGCCAGTTCCACCTGGTCCGACTCCGGTAGATATTCCGAAGAATCTCTTGTCTTATTATTGGAAACTGCGATATTGAACAGTAGAGAAGCAGCCGCCACCCGCACGTTGTTATGGCTATCATCAAGGAAGCTCGTGGACACCAGCTGAATAACCGGATCTCGCAAAACTGAGTGGGCCAATATCTGCTCCGGATATAATGGACTTGTGAAGAGGTTGCAGGCCATTTGGAGAGTGACCAGTCGCAAGGCGTAAGGGCAGCCAGTCCCCAGTGAGTTGACAAAGTTCAGCAGTGTGGCAACAGTCCTATGTTCGACTTCCTCGGCGTAGTAGCCACTGACCCTCGGATCGATCAGTGCACACCTGAATAGGTCTACAACTGCAAACATGACATCCACTGGGAGCTCTGTTACCGCGTTGCGCAAGAAAGCCGAAAAGCCTTGCATTTCAGGAAGAGTGCTTTGTGCTGGTCCGTTCTTCTCCCTCGTCTCGATGAAGTTCTTGACGCCAACGACGGCAGGTTCCGCGGTTGCCATCTTTGCAACTAGCTTCTCCAGAGGTGGCATCTTTGTATAGGACACGAGCTTGACCCGGGGGTCCGCAAAGTGCGGCAATCGTAACGACTCATGAGGATGTCTGGGGTGGGCCATGTCCACGAGCAATCGTACAGTACTACGCAGACGGGCTGAATCGGCACCGGACCATCGTTCCTGTTCTTTCCCTTGCAAGAACGTAGCGAACGTGGGTGTTGCTCGGACGCCGTAACGCTGTCCAATGTCGAAGGCTTGAGATATGTCAACCTTGATCAAAGTCACTTGATCGCCCATTTCGGCCGCCAACTGGTCATAAAGCGGGTACAGTATCTTGCACGGGGGGCACGTAGCCGATGTGAAGAAGACGACGGCACAGGACCGTTGTGCACCTTCCAGCAAAACGTTCAAGTCTTGCAGATTGGAAACATTCCTGACGACTCCTGGCGTGGGTGAATGTCCATTCGCTTGAGCGACGGGCTTGGCTGAAGATGCGGTAGGTTGACTTCGGGGGTCACTCTGGATGCCCAGGAGGCCGCCTTGTTGTGCCTTTCTGGTCTGCACCATAGATTCCAGCTGTGGCTGCAGCATCTTCCCAAACGGTGAATCCAAAACAGCTTGCGGCATGTTGCTGATATGTGCTGGTATGCTCTTTCCGACCAAAAACGTGGCGAAGTCGTTACTGAAGTTGTTGCAGTTATGTCTAAACAAGTCGTAGGCTGCTGGGGTGAATATGCTGCGAAGCGAGTCCACATATTCCAGAATAACTTCGATGGGCAGCTCTGTGGTTCCTAGGTGCAGTCGCTCCATCGGGCGGCCTAGGTGTGAGCTTCCTGGCTTGATGGTGTTGATACCGCCATCGTAGACATACTCCACGCCGTCCAGCTCTATCGATGTGTGGTAGATGGCATCCAGCTGGAATCCCAGAAAGGACATGGACATCTGGCGGGCAAGGCCGCCAGACAGGTCATACGTCAGTAAGTGTACGTCCATTCCCTTGGAAGTTTGTGAGTTGGCGTTCTGAATGGGTACTCGAGGTTGCCGTGGTGGTGGCTCTGACTCTCGAGTTGGCGGATACAAGAAGGCCCACTGGATCCTGTTGCTGAGAGACGACAAACGATGCGCTCGATATGATTGCCCTGCAAATGAAGTCTACTTAAAACCAGCCAACTTGCAAATAGAGGCGACGCAAAAACAAAGCAGGTCTACCAGCACATAAATGAGTCTTACGCGGAAGAACAGTGTCAGGGCGGAAGGCAAACGTGATGTACGTCAGCCAATGGTGAATGAGAGAAACTCATGGATTCACCTGTGGAATGTGCGGATATGCCTGTATCCGGGCTGTGCGATAATAAAGCACATCACGAGCGAGACTTGCGCGGAAGAATCGCGTCAAGTCCCGTTGTTCACGCCCCGAGAGAGTGTTTTAATATGTCAAAGTCCCCTCTCACACTACTGTTTTACCCGCAAGCTGGTCGAGCGGTATTGTCAGCAGCACCTCGGCGCATGCAGGTTGTAGAGTATCTGCTGCAAGTTACCAGTCAGGCCAGTGTTCATGACAGTACCCGTCGTAGGGAGATAAGCAGCGATACCGTTACTTTTCGTGGCTGTGCGTTCTTAGTGCTGTTCTATTCCAAGACAGGGCTGTGGCGGTTATCAAGACCTTTGGGAAGACAACCTTGGCGGCTTGGCCTGCTTAACAAGACTTGGAAGACAAAGACAAGGCGTCGGGTGGTTGTCTTGGTTGTCACGGCCCACATGGCTGCAACGCCACCAGAAAGGGGAACCTGTCCTGTCCGAGCAGTCAGCCATTGGCACACCCCTGACCCGTGTAAAGCGATTCATTGATCGAGGCTCGACAACGTTGAAATTAGAGGAAAATCTTCGAGATTGGGACACTGCACACACTCCTTTCCCATCCTTCTGCGCAACACCGGCCCTGAGCGCGTCCTCCCCCCGATCCTTTTCTGCGCATTCTTTCCTCGTAGTAAAGTTTTAATCGCGTCTGTGGTGGCCGAGGGATCTAGATCTGTTCCTCACGCCCCCCGACCTTCGTTTCGCTCCCTCTCTTTTCCGCCGCCCTGCCTTTCTCCTTCTCGACCGAAGGGGGAATGCGTCCTGCTCATCTATGAGGAGAACATCGGTCTCGCTGCCTACGAAGCACACTGCTCGCGACCCCCACGAGAAGCCCGCGCGCTACGAGTCCGGTAACCACCACCGGGCTGACCACCGAGGCGGCATCCTGGAGAAACTACAGCAAGCCGCAGGCATGAACCAGACACAGAAGACGAGGTGGCTGAAGACCACGGCGATAGTGGTGTTCCTGGTCTTCCTCTTCTACTATCTGTCGCCAAAGGGCGTCGACATCTACGAGAAGGGTGGTAAGTCCGCCTAGAATTCCCCTGCATGCGTACTGCTTGGAGCACGAGATTCTGATTGCCCGCGACACAGTGTCCAAGTCTGGCCAGACCCCCTCGGACTCGACCTACGGCACTGAAAAGTGCACCAAGTCCTTCTCGAAAGACAAGCCCATCACCCAGTATGTGCTGATGATCGATGCCGGCAGCACGGGATCGCGCATCCACGTGTACAAGTTCAACAACTGTGGCCCGACCCCGGAGCTGGAGAAGGAGGAGTTCAAGATGACCGAGAAGAGCGTCGGTGGCCTGAGCAAGTATAAGGACGACCCTCTCGCCGCCGCCCGCACTCTCGACGATCTGATGGCTGTCGCCATGGAGACGGTCCCCAAGAAGCTCATGGGATGCAGTCCTGTGGCCGTCAAGGCCACCGCAGGTCTCCGTATGATCGGCGCCGAGGCCAGTGAGCGCATCCTGGAGGCCGTTCGCAACCACCTCGAGACCAACTACCCCTTCCCCGTTGTGGCCAAGGAGGAGAATGGTGTCGCCATCATGGACGGCTCCGACGAGGGTGTCTATGCCTGGATCACGACCAACTACCTTCTTGGCAAGATTGGCGGACCTGACCAGAGCCCCACGGCTGCCATCTTCGATCTCGGCGGTGGCTCTACGCAGATCGTGTTCGAGCCGACATTTAAGGGAGTCGTCGGCGGCGGGATGCCCGAGAAGCTGGCCGAGGGCGACCACAAGTACAAGCTCGCATTCGGTGGCCGTGACTTTGAGCTGTACCAGCACTCTCATCTGGGCTATGGTTTGATGGCCGCGCGCAACGCCATCCACCTCGGCCTGCTCAACGACCTGGCCAAGGAGAAGACCGGAACCGAGTGGCTCAAGAAGCCCATCCTCAACCCCTGCATCAACGCCGGACAGTCTGACAAGATCACCGTCGATCTCGGCAAGGACTCCACCTTTGGCTCCGGCAAGGTCGAGCTGAACATGACGGGCCCGTCCATCCCGGCCCCGGCGCAGTGCCGCCAGCTCGCCGAGCGCATCTTGAAGAAGGACGCCTCGTGCGCGTTGGCGCCCTGCTCCTTCAACGGCATCCACCAGCCGTCGCTGGCCAAGACGTTCGCCAAGGAGGATGTCTACGTCTTCAGCTTCTTCTACGACCGCCTCAAGCCCCTCGGCATGCCCGACAGCTTCACCCTGCGCGAGCTGCACGACCTGACCAGCACCGTCTGCGGCGGCGAGTCCTCCTGGGCCCTCTTCTCCAGCATCCCCGGCGCGCTGGAGGAGCTCCGCGACCGTGGCGAGTACTGCCTGGACCTCAACTTCATGATTGGCCTGCTGCACACCGGTTACGACATGCCGATCGACCGCGAGGTCCGCATTGCCAAGAAGATCAAGGGCAACGAGCTGGGCTGGTGCTTGGGTGCCAGGTAAGAAACCCCCTCCCCTTTTTACATGACCACGTGAAGTTTCGCTGGTATCTACGAATCTTTCACTAACTCATTTTGTCACAGTCTGCCCCTCCTGTCCAAGAACTCGGGCTGGACCTGCAAGGTCTCCGAGATCCACTAGAGTTCTCCGACTTGAACACAAGATAGCCCGTCAGGCATGAACAAGAGACGGGTGAATGATTTGCACGGCTCGGCGTAGCTTATCCTAGAGGTTTTAATGAAAATGATATTCAACTTCCTCGAGACGAGGAACCATAGGGTCTGAAGAGTGCATGACCAGGCTGGCGTTGGGTTCTTGTACAAATAAGTTCAGAAAAGGGGGAATGTTCAGAAACTGTGTCCCTGAGATTTGGAGTATAGCCGGAGGCTGTTGTAGAAAAAAAATAGCATTCATGAGATCAACCATGATTCAATACGCACTTCATATGGCTCACGTAGTTTTGACTGATTATTATGATCCTTTCGGATGCTCTGGGTATAAGTTTGGGTATCAAACATAGAATGTCAGACGTTACAGCGGCACATCGACCATCTCGAGAACGTCGTCCATGACCTCCTCGGGCCCCACGCCCTCGAGCATCCGCTCCACGGCGGCCACGTCGCTGCCCCACTGCACGCTCCTCTCCACGGCCGGGTCCCGGATGATGCGGATGCGGTGCAGGTAGACCTTGCGCAGGGCCAGCGCGACGAGGGCCGGCGTGGCGTAGTCGAGCCCGTGCAGCACGGCCATGCTGCGGACCAGGGCGTCCAGGTGCTGCGTGGCGACGGGGCCCACGCCGCCCCCGACGGCGTGGTGCATGCGCAGGAACGACACCAGGTTCATCTGGTAGCGCAGCACGTCCACGTCGACGCTGACGGAGCACGAGGCCAGCGACACGGTCGTGATGTCGGCCTCGGTGATGACGGGCTCGGCGGCCCCGCCCTCGTACGAAGTAATACCCCGGCCGGCTGCCGAGCCCGGAGTCAGGAGCTCGTTCCCCGGCGTGCTCGCGCGGCTGGTCCGGCTGGGACGACGCACGACGCTCCGGTCGCTGCGCAAGCTATCGGTGTCAACATCTGCGTCGGCGTTGAGGCTGGCGTCGTCATCATCCTCCTGCAGGGCGGCCTCCCGTTCCTCCAGGTGCGCGAAGCCGTCGAGCGGGTCGTGCCAGTGGGCGACGTAGAAGAAGTCGTTGAGGTGCTGGGTCAGGCGCGCGTCGCCGCCGCTGGGGGCGCCGAGCACGGCGACGAACAGAAACTGCTTGGGCGCGGTCTGGACACTGGTGCGCGTAAAGATGCGCCGCGTGCGCAGTAGCTCCAGAGCCTGGATTTGCACGGCCTTGGGCGCCTTGTCCAGGTCCCGCGCCAGTACGACATTGGCGATCTGCGGCGCCGGCACGTAGGCGCTGCTCTGGCCGCCCGGCGTGGCGGCGCTGCCCGGGGACAGCTGCGTCAGCGGCGACAGCGTCCGGTGGTGGGTGTTGGTGCCGCCGCCGCTGCCGGGGTGCAGGGACGCGTGGCTCGGGTGGAAGTAGGAGTCGGACACGGGGGTGCGCGTCCTCAGGGGCGAGCTGGAGCGCGATGCGGGTGTCGGGAGCAGGATGGAGGCTGCGAAGTCGTCGAGGGTTGATTGGGGCCCCAGGGAGACGACGGTGGGTTTGAGGTTGAAGGTCTCGGTGGCTACCTGTCGGATGTATCAGTACAGACTGCTCATAAGAGAGCAACTTGGCGCAATAGCCGCACGTACTAGCTGCAACTCATCGACGAGGTCGTCCAGAGCCTCGGGCTCGGTGCTGATGATGCAATGCTCGCGGTTTATAAGGCATAGCAGCGCTGCCAGATCCAGGTCGCCGAGACCGTGGATCTTCCGCAGCAGGTCCTCATCCGCCATTGAGCAGTTGTAGGGAGCTACGGAATGCCATGAGTTCGAGAACCGCGGGTTTCAGGACATTCGGCGGTCCATTGCGAGATGGTGAAGATGAAGCAAGGCAAGCAGGACGGGGGGCGGTATGGGCAATTAACTCAGTTGACTGTTGACAGACGTTGGGACTTCCCGCTTGGAGCTTTCCCAGGGTGTGGTCTACGCTTCAATTGGCCAATCTCATCACTAGCACTGGCGGGCTCACACACAGCCCAGGCCCTGGCGTGATGCAAGATGCGCTAGAAGCTCTCTCTATTAACTTACCTTTACATGCATGATGTACACGACATCCACGGCACTGACACCTCCTAATCAATTTAGATGGACGGAACTCAAGCGTGGCCCCAAAGACTTTTTGAATCTATGATTGTACAATTACGGACTAATATGACAAGGCCGCCTACTTCGGCACCAACCTAGGATCCCTGCGATTTCAGAGACAACATGCTGTCGGGTGTCTGTAGTTCCCACGCCTGCGCTCATGCATTCCAGTCGATCTCGGTTCCATCGCGATTACTCCTGTTTAGCCCCACCGCTGTGTCAGCCGTCAGTGATCTCCGTAACACGAAAAGCAGTCGCAAGACCAACGGCGGCGCTCCGACTTACGACCCCTTCCAGAAGCTCTTGTCCACCTTGTCGTTGCTCGCCGGCGAGGCGCGGTCGTGCCGCTTCTCAAAGTCGGCGTTGTGGTCCTCCACCTCCTTCTTCTGCTCGTCGCTCAGTCCCGACTTGACCTTGTCCCCCGGCATGGCCTGGTTGTAGAGCTTGGGCTTGGGCGCGCCGTCGCCCTGCGGGCCCTTGAGCGCCTCCCCGCCGTTCCGGCTCGCCTGGTTGCCCTCGCCGCCGCCCTGGCTCTTGATCTCTCCGCCCGTGGGGCTGGACCCCGTCTCGGTCGCCTGCTTGGACCGCGAGCCGCCGGACGAGGCCGAGGCGTCGGCGGGGTCGCCAGATGAAGCTGCCCGGTTCATGGATTCTTTGAAGGCCGCCTTGGTGGGGCCGCCGCCGGTGCCCTTGCCGACATCCGGGGGAGCGGGCCCCGGGTGCTCTCCTGACTCCTGCGCTTTGCTGGACGCGGGCTGATCCTGGGGATTCTCTGCCTCTGGACTTCCTTTGCCGTCGCCGTAACCCTGCTGGGCGGCCGAACGTGGTGTAGTGATGAATGTGCGGTAGGTCCGTGGCGTTCTGTAGCGGGCTGCCGCGCCGGCAGCGCGGAGCGTGTTGTTGATACGTAGTGCGACCATTTTGGATTGGCTGTTTCTTCGAGATGCTCTTGTGATGAGTAACTCGTGTGGTTTTGAGTGTTATGAAAGAAACGAAGTACGTCGATTCATTCCTGGCGAATTGAAGCATATGCTTGCGTGACTACTATTGAGCCAGCCGTATAATGATGAAGTATGACATCATTACTAAGCTCAAAGGAGTGCTACCTCACGCAAAGGCGCATGCAAGGTTTCTTTCATCGATAGTCGTCCGAATCGACCCTTCAGGAGCTCCATTAATGTGCAGATCATAGGATCATTCGCTCCGCATCAAGGGTGCTCGGAGCATTCTCCTCCCTCCCCACGTTCGGAAGTCTGGGCTTACCCTAACTACACAACTGTAGCTTTGAACCCGTAGTGCGAAGTTCATACATCTGGGATGAGATACGCGTTGACACTGCTCTTTATCACCTTTACAACTTTCCCGACTTCATTATAATAGGCTTCTGTTATACTGGATTTAGTCTACTCAGCCGAAGCCCGTCCAAAGGCTCGATGTGAGGCTATGCGCCATTCGTCATGTAGTCTATAGTAAGTATACTTGTAACTCAATCCCTCCTTCAGAGCTATCTATTTGATGGAGGATAGCACTCTAGTAGGCTCACGCGTCTTCCTTCAGAGTAATAACGTCGCCAGTCAACCAGAACATTACACACTACATCTGCTAAGCCCGCCATTGACATCCGTTCACATGAGGAAGTCCGACCTAAGCCCCTACTCACGGGGCGTTGGCGGTTAGTGAGATGTCGTCTACGACTGGTACGAGCAATTGTCCGGTTCTGAGCTTGCCGCTGCTCTCAATTACCAAGCTATCGATGGTACACTCTAGGACCAGCCGCAGCGTCTGTTGCTCCGCTGTAGGGGTCACCACCCCGGTGTACTGCACATAGCTGCTCGCCGATGACTGCGTGTTAGAGGAGGACACGATCTTGGCCGAGTCCAGGTACGCGGTTATTACACAGTTAGCCTGGTTGACGATGAGGATCCACATCGAGAAGGTGTACGAGAGCGCGGGATCCAACCCGCGTATCTGCTGCACCACCGACGTTCTGGGCCCGATCATGTAGAGCGCCTGGTCCGTAGGATCCGACGATCTCGTTCGGCCTCGGCAGGAGGCTTGTGTCCAGTTGAGAGCCCGTTGGTCGCTGACCCAGAATGGGAAGGGGCTAGGGTAGAGGGGATCTGTCGGGAGAGTCAGTTTCCCGTAGTTTGATACTTGCAGCTGACCGTCTCCGACGGACGCCACGCGATGAACCGGAATTTGCCGATCAGATTGCAAGGTAAATGGGGATGAACATACTATAGCCGGCGAAGGAAGGATTCTTGACCAAGTTGCCGCTGTCGGGCGAGCCGTACGGGTCGCACACAAAGGGCGGTGGTATCGAGTGTTGGTTGTCACACAACGGTACGACCTTGACGGCAGAGATCGTGGCCGGTCCTCCAGAGTTTATGATGCACGATCTTATCAGCGTAAGACTGGTGGTTTCGCTTGTGGCCTGGAAGATGCCAGCCGGTGCCGTTATGGCCGTGTTGCATCCCGAATGTTGGTTGGCGGCGAAGGTAAGGTAGTAGTCGGTGCCCACCGCTGTGACATTGACTCCGTCTATTGCTGCGGTGGCGTAACAGACGGTCCCAGCTCCGGTCCCTAAAAGCGTGTTTATGCTAAATGTTTGTGCTAGTCAGCGGCCTGTTTTCTCAGATCGCAGGTATTTCATAGTGTGGGATAGCGTGGGGGACTCACCCTGCGGTAAAGGTAACTCCATAGTTCACACCAGGGACCAAGTTCTCCAGACTCACCACCGCGGTTGAGCTGGTGCCCGGAAGTTGGTAAGTCGTTGTGGTTGCCACGGCGTTCGTGCCAGTCCTGCATGTGTTGACCTCAGCACAGGTTGCCGTGGACGACTCGCTGCTCGTGGTAATCGTCGCATCCGAAACCGTGCTCGACGAGGTGATGTCTGCACTTGAGGTACTGTCTGTGATGACAAAGCTACTTGTCGTACTGGCCGTGGAATCGGTTGCTGTGCTTGATGCGCTGTCCGTAGTGACACTGCTTTCTGACGCCGTCGCTGTGACATCCGAAGCCGTGGTAGACGAGGTGAGGTCCGCAGTGGAGGTGGTCTCTGTTGCGATACTGCTGCTTGTTGAGGTGGTCAAGGAGCTATCTGTGCTGGCCGTGGAATCGGTGGTTGTGCTCGACACGCTGTCCGTGCTGATGATGCTTTCTGTCGTCGTTGATGATACGCTGCTCGTAGTCGTTACAACATCCGAAATCGTGGTAGATGACGTGACATCTGAGGCAGTCAGGCTTGAGGTACTGTCTATTACAGTAGAGCTGCCTGTTTCTATGGATGAAGAACTCTCTGTGGATGAGGAACTCTCTGTGCTGACCGTAGATTCGCTTGACGTGCTCGAGCTGCTCTCCGTAGTACTGGCGCTTTCGGATACCGTGGTTGAAGAAGTCTCGATACTGCTTGCAACAGTTGTACTCGACGTGATGTCTGTCACCGAAATGCTGCTGACAGAGGCGCTCGAGGAGGACTCGATACTGCTTGTGAGACTGGCGCTGTCAGTCGATGATGCCGATGAAGTCTCAGTCGAGACCGTGGTCGAGGAACTCCAGACACTGCTCGTCGGGCTCGAGACATCACTAAGTGATTCTGAACTAGTCTCAGTAGAGACCGTGGTCGAAGAAACCTCTACACTGCTTGTAAGACTGGCGACATCACTAAGTGATGTAGATACGGTCTGAGTAGAGGTTGTGCTATCTGTTGTCGTTGAGTAACTGGACAGGCTGACTGAAGTGCTGCTCGAACTGTGTACTGTGGACAAGGTCGGATAATAATCGCCGGACGAGACCGTAGACTCAGGAGATGTTGTGGTGGTACTAATCTGGTAGACACTACTGCTTGTCGGGCGCTGACACTTTGCAATAGCTTGGTCCGCGTGCGCGGCGAGCGCGTGTAAGAGGAGAATAGACCTCATCGTCAATTACAACGCGAAGACCATTAAACATAACAGAGTGCAGGGCCCAGAGCTCGTTGCACCGAGCAAGTCGGGCAAGAATCGATTAATAACAGACTTGTCGGGACCCCCATCATGATACCAAGAGTCTTAGGCAGGACCTGCTCTTGGAGGCTTTCCTCCATCAAGCCACCCGCCGGCCGATCGAGAACAAATCCTTCTTGATCAGCGGGATGGAGATTTTGGCATCCGGGACTAAGAAGCAACGGTCCGACGCCACGGGACTAACTAGTCGCATGTAATTTCAAAATCGCCGTATCTCTCCTTTCAGCTGAGAGCCACGGTGGAGCCTTCGATAGAACCACCAGCTTTCGAAATGAGTTAAATCCGGTGGCGCTGTTGCTCTGACTGAGTGGCACTGGATAATTCTTATACCATTAAGTTTGAGGACTATACAGCAGTCCACTGTAGGCTGCTGAGACACCGAAACACCGCTCATTTACCAAGTGTTTGGTATACAGTGTTGATCCAGTAAACTGATAAGATCTAGATGCAAAATGAATTCAACGGTGCGATCTCTATCTACTTGCGCTTTGCTATGCGCTTCATCGCCCTCATCTCCTTCTTCATCCTAGCATCCACGATCTTGTATCTACCCTTGACGCCCTTCGGCCTACCCTGGACACCTCTGTTGACACCCTTGGCCACGACGACCTTGACCTTGTCCTTGGGCTTCTTGCTCTTGGCCTTGGACATGAGTTTTGCGATGCTCTCGGCCTTCTCCTTCTCCGTCATGCCCTCGCCGTCCGCAAGAAGGGCACTCTTCTTCTTCAACTTCTCCAGGCGCTGTCCCTCCTTAAACTTCTTGCGGGCCTTGGCTTCGCGCACCTTCTTGATCGGGCGCGCGTTGTAGGCTCGTAGCTTTTCCTTGATGGCCGCAGCAGCGGCCTTCGTGATGGGCTTTTGCGGTCTGTCATGCTTTGACTCATCCTCGATGAACCAATCGGGCAGGCCGTCTCGGTCCATGAAGGCACGCTTGTTGAAGCCGTCGTCCATCACATCGTGCTTGGTGACTTGGCCCGTTGCAAGGTTATGTGCAAGTGTCATGGCCTCGGCTGTGATGATGTCGATGTCTAGGCGACCATCGGGGAGCCTCTTGTCCTTATCTTCCCAGTCGTCTTCTGGCTCCTGGTTCTTGACTACCTCAAACCCGGCGGCATCTTCGTCTTCACCCTCGGAGGCAGATGACTGCTCGACAGGTTCGACGGGCTTCCCCTTGGTCTTCTTGGTGGGCGTCTTCTTCTCTGCGGGCGCTGGCTTTCCTTGCTTGTGATCATCTGCCATGTCCGCGTCAGACTCTGACGCAACCTCTGCCTCGGGTTCATCAAGAATCCCAGGAATATCCTTGAAGATGTCTTGGTTGAAGAAACCCTTTGCTCGCTTCGATAGACCTCCTGCTTCGGTTGGTGTATTGTCCAGGTCCGTCACTAACCGCTTCGACGGTGCGGCGTCCTCATCATCAGAGTCGTCGCTGCTGTCTTGGTCAAACTCCATGTCGTCGCCGCTGGAGGCGGCTTCGTCTCCCGAAACACCTTCCCATTCGCCATCGTCGTGTTCTTGTCTTGCTTTCTTTGCACGGTACTTGGCGTCTCTGTCGGCTTTCTTTTCTCTGTATTGGTCGTACAGACCGTCCAGCTCCCGTTCTAGGCGATCCTCCTCCTCATCAGACTCATCGTCCGTCTCCCCCGACGAGCCGATGCCGCTGTCCCGGTCTTTCCGGGCGTCCGCATTACTGATGACGGCCATCTTGCCTTTCACGATCTTGTTCGTGGCTTCGAGCTTGTCAATAGGCTTGAGCGCGAACATGGCGTCCTGACCGCGGGGGCCAGCCTCCTCCATGCCAATATCCATAGGAGCCATCATGTTCAGCTGCATACGAACAATCTCTCGCTGCTTCTTCTCATTCTCCTTCCGCTTTTCACGCTTCTTCTTGGTGCTGTCCTTGTCTTTCAGAGCTTGAAGTTCCGCCTGGATCTTGAGCTCCTCGTCCATAGACTCCACCTCGGCCTCCTCGGTGGCCTCGGCAGCAGCCGCTTCAGCGGCGGCCTTGGCGTCGGTGGTCTTCTTGGTCGGGAAGCCAAACTTCTCGCGGACCTTCAACCTCCACCTCAGCAGCATCTTGAACTCTTTCCTCCCGAGCACCTTGAGATCGTTGCAGCACGTCCTGATCTCGCCTGTAGTCTCGGGCATCTTGTCGAGTGCAGCCAAGGCGACATCGCCATTGGCGGGCTGGTCAAAGGATAGTTTGTTGTAGGAGCCCAGTATGGCAATGGGGTCGATTGTCTGGATGAACTCGCTGGCGCGCAGCTCCTTGTACTGGGTGTAGTCACCCTCCTCGTAACCGCCTCTCTTGCGCTTCTTGACTTCGGGGTTGTAGACCTTGGCCTCGTTGTTGGGCGCGGGCTCGGCCAGCTCAGCGAAGACGGACTTGGGGTCCAGGAACTTGGGGTCGATCTTCTTGGGGGCCTTGAAACCGCGGCAGACGACGAAGATCTCGGCGGAGACGTTACGCGACGAGGGGGGCTTGGTGGCCTCGACCTTGGTGAAGAGCTGGTTGAAGACCCAGAGCAGGGAGTTGTAGTCCTTGGAGCGGAAGACCTTGGTAACAAAGGTACCGCCCTCGACTAGGAACTCGGTGGCCAGCTTCATGGACTGCAGGGCGAGCTCGGCCTGGTTGAAGGAGTCCTGGACCCAGGCGGTACCGACGTTGGGGGCACCGTCGTGGAGGACGGTGTCGGCCTTCCAGGTCTTGAGGTGCTGGCGGATGGTGGCGCGGCACTTGTCGGTGGTGATGTCGGACTGGAAGGTGATGACGCCGGGGATGGCCTTGATGGGCGACAGGTCGACACCGACAATCAAGCTGTTCTTGGGCATGGCCTCGGCGGCGACCTGGCACCAGGAGCCGGGGGCGGCGCAGAGATCCAGCAGGACCTTGCTCTTCTCGAGGAAGCCATACTTCTTGTTGAGCTGGACGAGCTTGAACGCGGCACGGGCACGGTAGCCCTTCTCCTTGGCAAGCTTGTACCACTTGTCCAGACGGCCCTTGCCGGTCTTCTTCTGGAAACCCATCCTGGCGGCGTGCGTCGGTGTGGTTTGTCAGGAAGATGGGAAGGCTGGGTGAGCCGGCAGGAAGTGGTTTGGTTTTCGCGGGCGGCGGGTTGGGTGCGACGGGCCTGCGGCAGTCCCTCCCTCCAGAGCGACTCGACTTTCTCAAAAAATTCGTTATCGCGACCCGGCTCCAGCAAAAACGGAAGGGCGATAAGAAGTTCAATTTGGCCGGCCCGGCAGCGGCGAGAGCAGGTGTCCAGCGGCCACGGGCAGAAGGGTGCCCCACGTCTGCACGCTACAGGTGGGCAGCAGCCCCCCAAACCAGCCCCCAAAGCCCGCTGGCCCGCTGGAGCTTCTGTTTCCCAGTGCCCACCCCCCACTGTTTTCCCAGGGCGGGCCGGGCGTCATAGCTCTTCCAAGGTTCGTGTAAAGTGCTAGTCCCACCGGGTCCCAGTGCTACGCCAATTCTCGCGTCTTGCCAGGGGACCGCGTTCGCGGCGGGCCACGCAGACCAACCACGGCGGCCCAGTCGCCCCCGCCACTTGGACGTCTCAAACCCGAATCTGTGATCTGTGGTCCGCTGCTTTCCTTCCTCCTTGGTCATGACGGGTAGTGATCTGGAATAGTCGATTTCTGTTTTCCTTCCCTTGGAGGAGACGGCCAGCGTAACGGAGCATCGAGCTGCGAGCATCCTCCAGACACCCAGCCCTGGAATCGATATAATCCCGGCCGAGAGAGGGCAGTCAGTCCCATGGCAGGCAGGTCAGCCGTGTTGGAGGGAGGCATGCCCAAGTCGCCAATTCGAAAAGACAATGCCAGGCTCCTCTCACCCCCGAGGCGGAACAATGGCAAGGAGCGGAGGAACCCGTCCATCACGCCTAGGAAGTTCAGGCGCTTCTTCACTCCGAGGCCCAGGCTATCGTCTCATCTGACCCCAGGCCATATAAGTCCTGCTCGGAAGGCACTGCGCGATCTAGCGGGCCCCGAGCTCAACAACCGTTACCAGACGCCGGCACCATCGAGCCCGCTTCTCCCTCCTACCGAACAGGAGTATACACACGATGAGAATGCTATCGAGAACTCCCGGGCCAAGCGGCGGAAGATGCGCCACACGCCTGATTCGTCGCCATGTCGCCCTCAGCCCCTGGAGTCTGTTCCTCCGTTCCAGTCAGGTGTGAAAGAGCCGGCACTGCTCAGTCCGATCCAGTCTCTGCGGTCCAGCCAGGAGACACTCGACTCCGATGAGAGTGAGGACGAGTATGAGCTCCAGCAGCAGCCAATCAGGCGTCTGGCTCCTCTGACCAGTCGGGGCTATTCCGGCCAGCTTCTGCAGCGCGAATTGGGTGCCATGCCGAGGGCTGGCAGATCATACATGACATGTCCCTCATCAGGTAACAGACTCTCCGAGGCCGTCGTAAAGAATGCCGAGACTGACCCTACTCAGACTGGAGAACGGAAACTGCAGATTTTCAGAGTCGGCCAGAAGACTTGCACAATTGTACAAGCCATGAACACCAAGGTCGATGTATACCATTCTGCACCGCCGCATGTCACAGTAAGCCACATTAACAAACATCGTCTTCCTATTATGGGCACTGCTAATGTGTTGTAGCCAATGACCTAGTCGCAGTCGGGGACGAGGAGGGCCGAGTGCGCCTTCTTGACACATCGGGTGACCCTTCGCAACCCTTCAGCAAGACACACCTCTCGTTCCAGGCGCATGGAAATGCCATCATAGACTTGGCCTTTTCGTCTGATGACTACCTGCTGGCCACCGCGTCGGGAGATCAGACCGGCCGAGTAACGGATATGATGACGCAAACACCTGTAGCACTACTTCACAACCACACCGCCTCCTTGAAGCAGGTCCGATTCCAACCAGGCAAAGCCAATGGCTCGGTTCTTGCAACTTCGTCTCGAGATGGAAGCGTTCAGATCTGGGACTTGCGTTGTAAGGGGCCCGTTGCGGAGATCCAGGCGCAACCCGAGCGTGAGACCCGCCTAGGCTTCCGGCGCTCGCAGCCCAAGCAAGGTTGTGCCGTGAATAGCATATACGATGCCCACTTGCGCACGCTGCGACAGGTCCGCCAAGCTGCCGCCGGTGGCCTAGGCGACACGCCATCACGCGGCGAGCTGCCCGGCCGCATCGGTGACGTCTCGGTAACGGCCCTGCAGTTCCTTCCAGAAGGACAAGAGCACCTACTTCTCACAGCCTGCGAAGCAGATGCGTCAATCAAGCTTTGGGACATCCGGTCGACAACGTCCCGCCACAAAACCTCGACCCCGATATCCGCAACAGCACCCCCGACGTCACACTCACTCTGGCGCCCCTTTGGTATCTCGTCTCTCGCTCTCGGCACCGATAGCTCGCGGCTCTACGCACTCTGCAAAGACAACACTGTATATACCTACTCAACGGCTCACTTGATCCTGGGTCACGCCCCTGAACTGTCTACCCGCGACCCGCCCAGACGCCGCCATGGTCATACGACGCACAACGGGCTCGGCCCCCTATACGGCTTCCGGCATCCCATGTTCCATGCCACCAGTTTCTACGTCAAGTGCGCCGTCCGGCCCGCCAAGGATGGGCATAGCGAGCTCCTGGCGGTCGGGAGCAGCGACTCGTGCGCCGTCGTGTTCCCAACCGCCGAGCGGCACTTCCGCAACGACCTGTCGGGCGCCATGTCCTCCCTCTCGCTGGAGAGCTCGACCATCGCTACCGCGACCCTCCCCCCGCCGGCCACCGCGCCGTCGTCGCTGCGCAGCGGTTTGCGCCGGCCGCTCTTCGAGCGCACCAACAGCGCCTCCAGCAACGTCCCGGGGTCCATGCGCGAGAAGGACGACATCCCTATCGTGCGCGGCGGCACGCCGCTCGTCCGCGGCCACGACCGCGAGGTCGGCGCCCTGGCCTGGACCCAGCGCGGCCGCCTCGTCACCGTCGGCGACGACTACCTGGTCCGGTGCTGGGGCGAGGCCCGCGACGAGGCCCGCGACCTCCGGCTCGGTGGCGAGACGGGCGGCCGGCGCTGGGGCTGCGGGTGGGCCGACGTCGGGGAGGACTGGGACGGCGATGCCGAGGACGACGACGAGGACTGAGGAGACACGGTGCCGTCTGCTGGGACGCGCAAGCTGGAGTTTGAGTTTGAGTTTGGGCTTTTGGCGCAGATTTTGCCTCTCGAGGTAGAGGTGATGGAGCTTTGTTTCTCTTTCTTAAGCTTGGAATGGAAATATGGATGGATACCCCCTCTCACGAGAGCGATGATGCGCGGATGACAGGATTACGGCGCGCCCCTTCGTTTCCCTGGTCGTTTGGTCTGGTCTGGTTTGGTTTGGTTGTGTAGCATCTGTGTGTCTGGCTGCGGCCATATGTATACCCCATTAGAGCACAGCGTGCGTGACCTTTTCTTGAGCTGTCGGCTTCGTGTTGCATGTGCATAGTTAGCAGCGCCCCTCTCTCTCTTTAGGGGTTCCGACAGGCGATTGGTATAAGACCTCGGTAACGATGTTATTTGTATATGACAATGTCATACATGATTCAACAATCTACGTTCAATACAATGCGATCGACGTCTCGAATCTCTCGCGGAAAAACAAAAGTTTCAGGGGGAATGAGGATCTCACACCGTCTCTTGCCAAGACTTCTACTCTATTACTTAGGAAAGGATAAGAAAACCAGACCCGGGGGTATCATATGTCGTGTACGCAATGCAATGCTATGCCATCATGCCTCTTCGTTGCTCATAGCTCCCATCCATGCCCGCGAACTGAACTCCTTCGCCGCCCTGGTCATGCAGGGCGGGCCCTCGACTCCCCGATCCAGAGCTGCTGCTCTCCTCCGCGATCCCGGGACTGCCTCCACCGGCGGTCTGAGCCCCGGCATCCTCGTCGTCCTCCGCACTCTGTTCAACCATCAACTTGGCCCATGTCATCCTCTCTCTCGTGACTACAACACCTGGGTTCGGATTAGTGACCACGAAAGACGCCGGATACTGAAGCCAATTTTTTACAAGTGGTATGGCCGTGATCAAGCTTCGCCGTCATAAGAATAGTGCGGTGAGGGAGGGGTGATGTAAGGGACTGGGGAGTTTGAGACGCCGTAGATCACCTACTGTCTCTCGTCCTCAGTCCCAACAACCTGCTCATGCGGCCCATGATGCCCTCGTCGTGGTCCACGCTCTCCACAGGGTCCGTTCTACAGACGCTGTCGAGCTCGCCCACGATCTCGACCATGAACTCAAAAATGCGCTTTGCCTCTGCGATGACATCCTCTCGCTCTCCTGCTGTCAGCAGGGACTCAGACTCGGCCAGGCGCTTCTTGAACGCCACCTTGATCTCGTCACCACCGTCGGGCCCGTCGAAGGTGAAAAAGTTCAGCGGCAGGGCTTCGGCGTGCTTACTGGGGGTCATGAGGTTGGCAGTCCAGAAGTCCTGGTCTATCCGTGCCAGTGACGCTTTGATAAAGCGTCCGCCGCTGAAGAGTGCCATGTAGAGCACCCAGGCATAGGCGAGTAACACGTGCGGCCGGTTCTGAACGGCCTGACGTATGTGCTTCACGAAAGCAGAAAGGAAGGGCGACTCGGCTGCAGAGCTGAGCTGTTCCTCTAATAACGCGGAAGGCCATCCCGTCATGGACATGATGTCCTCCTTGATGGCTTCTGTTCGTTCTAGCGAGGACGTGTGCACATGTTCCAGGAGCGAATGGATTCTGGAGCATACCACAGCCTGGTGTGGAGCATCTAGAACATTAGGTGCGTGGTGGACTGTTGAAGCTGGGCCGCACGCTTCACAGCTATGCCGGTCTGTGGCAGGATTGTTCTCAGCAGAGACCGGGGCCTCCAAGACTTTCTGCCAGGACGACTCGAAAGCATTATATATAGGGGCGATGTAAAGAAGACCGGAAACGTAATTCGAAGGGTCCTCGGCCTGCGGAGGGACAGCCAACGGGAGTCGAAGGATGATAAGCTTGTTGAGCTGGGTGTGGACGGATCTCGTAGCGATGTTGATCGAGTCTCCCAAGGAGCGAGGTGCTTCCTCTGCTCCCAAAGCCATGGTTTCGATAGTGTCCAAAAGGATAGAGGGCAGAGACAGGAAGTCTCTGGTAATGTTTCGAAATCAAAGCATTTCAAGGGGTTTTAGGTTCTGTGCTGATGCTCTCGAAGCCAAGTTTGAGCGGTGCTAGTCACCGGGTGAGATACCGAAGGAATGACTGATAAAGCACGAGACCCCACGAAAGGAGAGGCGTCCACAAACGTCGACCGTCCTCCAAATGTGACGGACAAGCTGGAGGTGGATGTGACGTGGGAAGGCGTAAGGCGCAAGGCGGAACGCAGGCTGAGAGGCTGATAAGCCGGCACGATCGAGCAATGCCGTGATCGCCTGATAGCAACTGCCAACTCAAGTGTGGTTGCGCAACGGTCGGAGTGAGCAAGGTTCAGTGGGCAAATCAAACCCCTACAGAGGCCTGCGGTGACATGGAGGAGGAGCAGAGACTGGCATGTGACAGGAGGCGGCTAAGTCGTCAAGCCCAGAAGCCCCGAGACAAGAACATGCATGTAAAGCACGGTAGGTAAGTTAACCGGGACGTTGAAGGTGAGCTCATCAAGTAAGAGCATGCAATGCAAACTTGGGGCGAAGGCGTGATCCAGGGACTCGGGAACGCAAAAGGTCGGCTAGCTCGATCTCCAGCAGCGCCTGTCAAGAGCCCGCTCCAGTCGAGCTTCGGAACATGTGGCGCGAGTCGTCTGTCGCTGTGTCTCTGAGCAGACGGCCAACATGACTTGTCGTTCGTGAACTAGACGGCAAAACCCCCCGGGGGCCGTGAAGTCATGCGAGCCCTGGAGGGCGACCAGGCGAGCCCATCTGACTGGGCCGGCGGGGCTCTGGTCGGCCGAAGAGGGCAAGAGGTCCAGTGGCGGCGGGTCGGCCGCTGCTACGGTTAAGGTTCTAGGCCCTCCAGGGCTGTCCCCGAGGCGGCTCCAGGGCGCCTCAGCAGGGCCAGGGACCACTGTAACTCCAGGAAAACCCCGATCTTGACCAGGAAGCACGATCCACGATGCAATTGCGATCCAGCTTCCAGGAAATGCCATAACCCAGATCAGTAATCTATATTTGCCCATCCTGGCAGCGTCTAGTCGTCGGGGGGGG